TTTCCATACACCATCGCAACAAATTGGCCGAGTCGTCATTTCGAGGTCCGAATGAAAGGGTAGATGAGGGCATGCATGAGATTTCCCTAATCCTTTCTAGCAGACCTAATCCTAGCATCCTGAGCACACTTACTAGCATCTAGCAGACCTAAACCTAGTGCCTAATCCTAGTAAATAGTAGTAGATAGTAGACATAGATTAATTACTGTTAATTATAAAAGATTCTATAATAATATACAATAGTTCTATACTAGATATTACAGTACACAATGGATACTGACTGACCAATAAGGCTCTAAGGAAATGTTTAAGCTTTGACTAAATGCGGGTAACAGTAACCTCCGTCTGGCTCTCATGCGACGGTGGACGACGCGACTTTTGACCTTCTGACGCGCCCAAGATCGTGAATCGTGTGCAACCTAGGTGTCCAGCATGCTCACATGTCCCATGAGCCGAGCGCAGTAATCATTAAGCAGATGAGCCAACTGATGTCGTAGGTAATGGCCGCCAGACACAGTTTCGGCGCTGCGGCGACTGATCCTGAACTGATCGCAGAGTTGAGGGACCGGTTGACTGAAGTGTGCATTAAGTGCTCAGAACGATGCCTGTACCAGTCGGCGAAATGGTGAGCAACCCGTCTTCCTGTGTGTATTCAACTGACTGACCCAGGGCAGCCGAGCTGCTCGACTCGCTCCCTGAGCAAGAGGACAGCCATGACGGCGACTCCCAGATGCTCAATGCAGATGCCCCGCAGTCATCCTACCGCACATTCTCAACGAGTTACGATGACCCTATAGAAGCGAGTCTAGAGGCCAGGGAGGCACCCAAGTACCTACTGGCAAAGACGTACTTCGACACCAAAGAATATGACAGATGTGCTGCTGTGTTCATCTCACCCGCCATTCCAGCCGGCGGACTGGCCATTTTCGACACTGCAAAGAGTCGTCAAGCAGCTTCTTCAGTCAAGACAGCCGGAAAGGCGAAGGCCGACGATGCGCCAGTCAGTCCATATCCAAGGCTATCTCAGAAGTCTCTATTCCTTGCACTCTACGCCAAATATCTCTCAGGCGAAAAGCGAAAAGAAGAGGAGACTGAAATGGTACTTGGTCCAGCCGACGGCGGCCAGACCGTCAATCGAGAGCTGCCCACCCTTGCTCGCGGTCTTGAGGGCTACTTCCGCCACCGTGATGCCGAACAGTCATCCCAGAACCGCTCACAAGGCTGGCTTGAATTTCTCTACGGCATAGTCCTTGCTCGCTCGAAACAAGAAGCAGCGGCTCAGAACTGGCTGGTGAGGTCGGTCCGCTTGCAGCCATACCTCTGGGGCGCCTGGGAGGAACTGGCAGCACTATTATCCACCGTCGACGATCTCCATGCCCAGCTTGCCTCGAACCTCCTGCCCAACAACATCATGACCATAATCTATCAGACACACGCAGCTGTCGACCTCTTCTCGACCAATGACGCCAGCCAGACCTTCTCATCCCTGCAGACTCTACTTTCAATATTTCCTACTTCGACTTTCCTGCTGACACAGATGGCGCTCTGCCACTACCACTCCAAAGATTTCGACACCTCATCAGCTATCTTTGCGGACATACTCACCACGCATCCATACCGTCTCGACGCGCTGGATCACTACTCCAACATACTGTACGTCATGGAAGACCGACCTCGACTATCCTTCCTCGTCCATCTAGCAACCTCAGTCGACAAATTCAGGCCCGAGACCTGCGTTGTAGTCGGCAACTACTACTCCATCTGCAGTCAGCACGAAAAGGCCGTGATGTACTTCCGCCGAGCCTTAACCCTCGACAGATCGTTCCTTAGTGCCTGGACGCTCATGGGCCACGAGTACATCGAACTGAAGAACACACATGCTGCAATAGAATCCTACCGACGCGCTGTTGACGTTAACCGCAAAGACTACCGTGCATGGTATGGCCTCGGTCAAGCATACGAAGTTCTCGACATGGGCTTCTACGCACTCTTCTACTATCAACGCGCTGCAGGGCTGAGGCCATACGACCCCAAGATGTGGCAAGCTGTCGGCTCGTGCTACACAAAGATGGGACGGGACGACCAGGCGATCAAGGCTCTCAAACGCGCCCTAGTCGCAGGCACTTATTTCGAAACCGCCGACAACTCGCCCCAGCAATCTTTCGCAGCATCTATCGGCACGTCAGGACCAAAAGCCAAGAAGCGGCCCACAGGTCGCAAACTCCTCGACCCAGAAACTCTGCACTCCATCGCCGCCCTGTACGAGCGCTTGGCAACGAGGTCGAGACAGCTAAGTACATGGAGCTGTGTGTAGCGCAAGAGACCGGTGCGAGCAGCAAGGGCGTGAAGAAAGCAGAGAAGTCCTTGCGGAAGCGTGCGAAGAAGGAGGCGAGGAAGGCGGATATTGCTGCTGAGCGGAGACGACATCGGGATGCCACTGCCGGGGCTAGCTACAATGATGAAGGAGCGGAGGTCGCAGATGACGCTACCGACGTGATCAGCAGTCCCTCAGAAGGCGACTCCGAGTCCGAAGACGAGGAAGACATGCAACAGCAGGCAGGTGCGATACCGAATAATTCTCAGGAAGGAGGCGATGGGTTCGGCACAGGCACGACACCGACAACATCGAAAGCACGACTGTGGCTCGCGAGGTATGCGTTCCGTAAGGGCGATTTGGATCGCGCAGAGAGGTTGGCGGAAGAGCTGTGTGCAGATGGCTTCGAGGTTGAGGAGGCAAAGAGTCTGGTGCGGATGACACGTGGGCAGCGGGAGGTCGAGGAGGGCGCTCTCTGAGATTGCCCAGAAGCCTCGTGCCTATGCTAGGATGTCGTGGACTTGTGCTGAAGATGCAACGACGATATGATACGGGTTGGCAAAAGCATATTTTTCGGGGCAATGCATGAGTAGACAGGCATGAGAGACGCCAGTAGCTGTTGTCTATGAAGGTCGCCCCAAAGTTGCCGCCCCTCTACATTGAAATGCGCTCCCCTTTGACATCACTCGGCCTTCGACGGAATCCCCTTGGATGCTTGATCCAGCACTATAGCCTGTATTAGCGTCTCCATCTCACTGCCACCCCAACATCAGCCCATTGAATCCCCTGTGTAGCTTCTCACAGACCACTTCAGGCTGGCGCGGGCCGTAGACATCCTGGCACAGAATTTTGAAGGGTCTGGGTGGATCCTGCAGTCGCATTTTCTTCTGCTGGTGGCATAGCTGCCACCACCACAGGTGCTGTTGCCACCATGCCTGCTGCCACCAACACTGCTGTTGCCACTGCTGCCACTGCGGCTGCCGCTGTTGTTCTCGACTTGGAGGTGATAGGTACGTCCGCTGCACCTCGTCCTGTAAGGCTTGAATGTTGCGCGGTGGTCTGCGGCCCTTGAAAAGAAAGGCGGCATCAATTTTCCTCGCAGCAGCAGCACCCGCCCCGATGAAGTTTTCTTCCGATTGCCTATCCCGGGGCATGAAGGCTGGGAAGAGGAATTTCAGTTGTTTGAAGGGACCTATCTGGAGAGACATGCCGGCTCGGCCCATTGAGCGCAGTGGTTGCCGTGGTTGCTGAAGTGGCCCGTGTGGAGGTTTATTCTTGGGACGATCGTGTGCATCGTCGTCCCAACGCTCACACACGCGCAGGAATGCCTCTACTTGCTCCGAATCGTGGAATCGAAGGCATTCCAGATTCGGACAGAGACTCACTAGCAGATAGAGCAAGTGGAAGAAGTGGATTGCCGCTGAGTAGGGGATAGTATGAAGTGAGCGTGCCTCGGAGTATCTTCGCCGGGGGCGTCGTTCTTCGATCGTGTCGAATAAGCGCGAGGTGAGCAGTTCATCAGCGTCGTCAGCGAAATCACCGGTGACTTCCAAGCCAAGAGCCGTAGCATATAGGTCTGCAAAGCCTTGCGTTCGCCAGAGAGCACGCGCGTGCCCGTCGCGGACTTTGCCTTTGCGGAAGTCTTCCATGTAGGTTTCAACAATGCCTCTCTGCTCGGACACAGGGCGAAAAGGTAAAAGGATGCATTTGATGTACTGAGCGACTTCGGGCTGGTCATGGATCCGTAGGAGGAGATGCGAGGGACCCCTGTCCATGAAACTGCGGTTACCGTGCGCCCGAGACTTGCAGGCCGGCCGCCGTTTTCGTTTTGTGCGGGCAGCGCCACGACAATCGAAGCGCGGATGATGTTGGGAGTGGTCGCAATGTATGTCGAGACAGGCGATGGTGAATTCCTCGATCAAGGCTCTGTGCTCACGGAGGCGGCCACGGCTGATCTCGTGGAGTCTCCGGCATGTCTCAGTCAGGGGAACAAGGCCGTCAAGGGGGTCGGTCTCCGAAATGACTATGAGCAGAAGCTCGTCGCTCAGTGAGAGGAGGCCCATCGCAGTGTTCCAGTCTCTTGCGTGAACCTTTTATTCTAATGTGGCCGGTATGTTGGGTAGCCCACTCCCGACAGTTGCCGAGCGTTGTTCCTCCATAAATGTGATGGACCTCACCGCCAGGTGCAGCTCCCCAAACACCAAGAAGTCCAATGCGGAGTTGCGGCCACACTGGCGTGCCGTCGAAATGCTTGATGTCGTGGAATTACCTCGCGTGAATGTTCTCGTTGTTCGACGGAATGTGTATATCGCAGTTGAATGGAGGGAGTCGAAGGATGGTTTCGCGTCTTGAGACCCAACGCGCCAAGCATTTCGGCAGATCTACGCGTACTCCCAAGGTCGCAGCAATACGAAATCACCATGAACCACATGGCTCTTGAGCATGATGACCAGTGCTGAAAGGAATTGAAAAGGACGGAGAAGCCCTACGAGTATGCTTTGCAACTGTCCCAGAGAAGTTGCTCCTACCATCTTTACTATCAACACCTCGATGTTAGGTGATGGCAAGTGCTCCCATGTCTTTCACACACTTGATCCTAGCGCGGCAAGTACTGCACAGGAAAGGGCAAGTAAGGTACAAATCAGCGCGCTTGCTTGCATTGACATCCCTTCAGCTCCCTCCATGAATCTTCAATCTCGAGCTCGTCATTTCACCAATCTCGTACACTCGCAACTCCATGATGAAAATCACAGCTCAGCTCTGCCTCTTCTCCTTGCTAGTCACATACGGCCGCGCCATCTTCATAACGCCCGCTCACCAATCCTCATCGCTCCCGCGCAACGTCTCAATCGGCTGCGCCGACACCCTCGTCGTTGGCCAACTCTGTGGTACTCACATCTGCCACACCACGTACGCCCAATGGGCAGTCAGCTGGACGGGCAATCCGAGCAACGTTACGATCTGCGATACTGGAAGCGACGAAACACTCCCTGGGTCATGCAGCTCGACTGTTCGTACCGCACCGTTGCGGCTCTGTGGTGGAGCAGTGTTCTGGTATGGGTCCGAGGTTGGAGGCATGTGGAATGTTGAGACCGCCAATGGCGAGGGCTGTGCGTGTGCGGTGGACTGGCGGCAGACTGGATATCGGACTTGTTCCTGTGAGCTGAAGTGCTTGGGGAATGAGGTGGTCGGACAGCCTGCGGTTCAAGACTCCCACAAGGGATGAGTGTGATAACATCGCGCATGGATCTGGACATGGAAAGCCGGGGCTCTTTAAGTGTCTTGCGGCGGGGGTACTCAGCGGCGATGTCATTAAACAACACTTACTCGAATGGAGAGCAATATCACAGGGGAGGCTGTGTTTCAGTCAGAATAGTAAGCGTCGATGGATTCTCATCAACGGGTCAAGAGCCCCGAAACGCTGAAGAAAAGTCAAAGTCGCTGAGGAAAAACATGGAGAGAGGGACATGCATGAGTCGGTATTCCCGCGCCATGCCCTGTCTGCTTCTAGTTCGCCTTCTTCAGGATCGACTTCTTCTTGTCTGGGCGATTCTTGCTCTTCTTCACTGGTCCTGCCGAAGTCAGCGGCTGCACGCTGCCGTTTGACTTCTTTTCGCTTTTCTTCTGCACTTTAAGCTTCTCCTCCTTCGGCTTTTCACTGACAATCTCGCCTTTCTCGATTTTCTTGTCCAGAGTACTGCTCGCTTTCGTTCCGCCGTTGAATTTTGCGTTCTTGACCGCTGTCGTGCCGTTCACTCGCTTCGAGCCAGAGTCCGGGTCCGTCGTTCCATTTACGCGTCTCGAATTCGCGGATTTTGGAGGCTTGGGGGTCTTGGCCTTGGACTTGTCGAAATCGGCGGTTCGTGGGTCAATGCCCTTCTTGCGGAGTCGCTTGCGCTCTTCGCGCTTCATCACTTCTGCGTCGGCTTCGTCGTCGAAGTTGGCGAAGTCGTCTTCCGCTTCTTCCGGATCGTCGTCTTTTGTGCTGGCATCGGAGGCACTTCCTCGGCGAGCAGTCTTAGTGCCCGCTATAGTGCCGTTCGTATCTGCGGCAGCAGTAGTCGCTGTCGAGATCGGGCTCGGACCGGTCTTCCGCAGCTTGCAGACGAAGAAGCCATCGACATTCTCCTTGTGAGGGTACCACCGTCTTGCCCAGTTCATGTGCTCGTCGAACTTTTTGCCCTCGAACGCGCGGAATGCCTCTGTGCCGAAGCCTTCCGGTAGTCCAGTCTCGACGATCTTGACGTTGGGTCGCTTGCGTAGTACGTACTGCACCACGCTTTCATTCTCGTCGACTGTGACCGAGCAGGTAGAGTAGACAACGTAGCCGCCCGTCTTGGAGGCGTGATCAACACTATCGATAGCTGCGAGAAGAAGTTGCTTCTGCATGTGGGGAAGCATGAGGAAGTCCTTTTCGTTCTTCGAAGTCTTCACACTGGGATCTTTGCCGATGACGCCGGTGCCGGAGCAAGGAGCATCAAGCAAGATGCGATCGAAGCCTCCAAGTATTTTCGGGAAGGCCTTCTGCGCGTCGTAGTGGCAGACAATTGCGTTTTTCACGCCCAGGCGGTGGATGTTGCCAATGAGACCCTTCGCACGTTTTCTGTTGGCGTCGTTGGCGAACACTGCGCCGGTGTTTCGCATCAAAGCGGAAATGTAAGTGGTCTTGCCACCGGGTGCAGCGGCCATGTCGAGCACGCGCTCGCCTGGCTGCGGCGCGAGAGCCATGACTGGCAGAAAGGAGGAGGCGGCTTGTAGTATATAGTGACCAGCCAGGTACTCGGGTGTAGCACCAAGTGGTACGGGTGCTTCGAATATCTGAAGGCCGACTTTCGACCACTTCCCGACGGGCTGAAGGACGACACCACGATTGATTAGTGCCTGTGCAAGCGTCCGGCGATTCGTCCGTAGCGTGTTTGTGCGGAGAACTATTGGTCGAGGTGTCTCGTTGGCTTCGAAGAAGGCGAATGCCTCCTGTGGAGAGAATAGGGAGAAAAGCTTTTGTGCCAGAAATTCATTATAGCCGTAGTACACGCAAATATCGGCAATCAGCAACTCAGTGTACTCGGAGCGGGATTTGGTAGGATTAGTAGTGCTGAAATTGCTGAGGATACGGATTGACTCGGTCATACGGTTGCGAATGAGGGCTAAGTCAGGTGCCAGATTGGTTGTATTGCCAGCAGTATCGAGTAGGGCGGAGTCAGCTGCAATGTTGGTTTGCATAGCGTCATCTTCGAGTTCGGCTTGAGCGTCCGCGTCGGCTTCTGCTTGCTCGGCATCAAGCTTTCGGGAAAGACCTTCGATATTGGCGGCCGTCAGAGCAGCTTCAGCGTCGGAGAGATCTTCTTCGTCCGAGAACATGGCGCCACGCTTTTGTTGCTGCTGGTCGTCGGAATCAAACACGGAATCCGACTCGGAGCCAGACGACGATGAAGCGTCCTCTAGATCTTCCAGAGCCATTTCGTCAACTTCCTCGTCGCTTTCCTCTGAGAAGTTGGCGTCGCTGGCCCCGTTCTGGACTAGATCTGGCGCCTCTTCATCGTCCTCGTCGTCCTCTTCTTCGAAGATCTGCGGCATTGTTGGCGGAACAGTAATTTGGGCATCCTCATTCACAAATTTCTGCTTCTGCTTCTTCTGCTTCTTTGTGGGCTTGATGTTGCCATCTTCTCGCATAAGTCGATCGAGCTTGACCAACTTCTTCGGCTCTACAACTTCGGGCTCCTCGTCTGTAGACTTCTTGCGCTTCTTCGCTGGTCCACTTTGCGGGGCGACTTCGTGATGCTTTCGCTTGTTCTTGGGAGCAAGACCCAGCTCTTCCAGCGAAGCCGGAGGGCCTTGTTTCTTCATGCGCCGCCCGGGACCCATATTGTCGTTACTGCTGGAAAGTCTTGGTGGTATTACTGCGACAGATTCATGAGAGCCCAAAACTTTTAAGAGAATCAAATTTGAGTGGGGCCATCGGAATTTGGAGAAACATCACGACCAGAGCAAAAGCACGTGATCAATGAACTTTGCGCCGAGTCTTCCTCACGACCAGGCAGAGATCCTCTTGCCCGACGGCATCAACATTGCATCTATTGCTCTGCTGCAACCCAAACATCGCAGTCGTTCAATAGCATGAGACCAAGCCCTGTCCGTCAATACAAAGGCTTGCTGCCAGCAGTGGCTGCGAAGGCCTCCTCCATTATCTGTAAGCCCTCGAGAATCTGCTCCTCAGTGATGGTGATGGGAGGGGCGATCCTGAACACACCGCCAAAGCTGGAGTGGCTGCTGAGATTGGCCCACAAGCCTCGGTCATACATGGCTGTGGCTATGTCTTTGCCCAGCTCAAGTGCCGGCTCCTTCGTGTTGCGATCGCCCACAATCTCGACCCCAGCCATCAGTCCTCGACCACGGACATCGCCAATACATCCGTACCGATCCTTCAATCTGTTGAGTCCCTGATGTAGCGACTTCCCAACACGTCTCGAATGCTCCACCAGATCATCCCTGATCACAATTTCTAGGACCTTGTCACCCACTGCTGCTGGCAAAGGATCATTAACGTGTGTCGTGTAGAAGCAGAAGTCTCGTTCGGTACAGACTCGCTCGATCTCGTTGCTAGTGACCACGGCACTCAGAGGCAGCCCGTTACCTAAAGTCTTACTCAGCGTCAAAAGGTCAGGGACGACTCCATCATGGTCGATAGCGAACAGATCTCCACATCGACCAATCCCAGTCTGAGCCTCATCCACGATCAGCAGCATTTCACGCTTCTCGCAGTGCTTCTTTAGCGCTTGGAGATAGCCTGCCGGTAGCACGTGCATACCCGCCGACGACTGAATGCACTCCACTATGCAGGCTGCTAACGATCCGCAGGATGCTCGATCAATCAACGACCAACCGTAGTCCAGCTCCTTTTCCCAGTCATAGCTACCGTCCGCATTTCTGAAGATCGACCTGTATGCATTGGGTGGCGGCAACATGTGCATCCCAGGCATGACAGGCCCCTGACCCTTGCGACCGAAATGGTATTGGGCTCCTAGGGCAGAGGCTGTCATCCCATGCCAGCTAGCGCCCAGTCCCACAATCTCGAACTTGCCCGTATACACCTTGGCCATCTTGATAGCAGCTTCATTGCTCTCACCGCCGGTGCTGAGAAAGAATGCTTTGTCAAGACCTCTTGGCAGCACCGAGGTCAGACGGTGGGCAAGATTGATGACAGGTGGCGACACCATGCCAGAGAAGAGATGGTCGAGATGTGCGGCGTGCTGTCGCACAGCCTCGACTACCTCAGGATGCCCATGTCCGACGAGACAGCTCATCTGTCCGGAGGTCCAGTCGAGCACTCGATGACCATCCGCCGTGTAGACGTATAGACCTTCGGTTCTAACAATGATGTCTCGCTCTAGCTTGGTGCCATAATTTGCGAGACACTTGCTAGCAAGGTCTTGCAACGTGGCTTGATCGGCACTCTGATACGGCAAGGGGCTTTGCTTGATTTGCTTTGATTGTACTGCCGTTTCATCATGTTCAGTCTGTCCGAGCATTGGCGCCATAGTGTTACCTCTTCCGACTGCCTTTTTGAGCACGGTTCTGCCAAATCTGCGTGCGAATCAGATCTGATTTCCAATCCAAATCCTACAATGTTCAGCTTTATATAATCCGACGGAATTGCTGGACGTCAATGGACTATCGCACGCTCCACTGTTTGCGGCTAAGCGCATTGCTGACTGGCTGCGCAGATATGCGCCTAGGCTTCCGAGCAAAGCTGTTCGCCGCAGGTTGAAGCATGCCTGCAGTTTGAGCAATAACTTTCCCCAGAACCGGTGTGCATTGATCGACGTGGAAGAGATAAGTCATACTTCTCGTATGCGGAGAGTCGTATTGCAGGTTAGATCAAGGTCATAGGGCTATTCCACCCACTTTCCGTTCCTGCCCAAACGAAGCTGACACTAAGCCAAGCCACATGGCATGGCACTCGCCGGCAATGTCATTCGTGCGGATGCGATCGAAGGATTGGTACCTGATCTCGATAGATCGTTATATTGACCTCAGTGTCGCTGACTCTCGACAGGACAACACAAATCTCCAGTTCCTCAAGAGACCGCGGAGTAGTCAGCTTCGGACCCATCTGACCTCTTGGCGTATTATTCAGCCCCATCGGCTGCTAGCATCAAACTGGGCTTAGCGGGCTAGGGCAACTGCTAAACGAAGATGATGTTCAGCGTACATCAAGAAGGCTACTATGCCTCGCCTCAGACTCCTGTGGCGGTCAAAATCAACGGTGATAAGAGCATAAGCCAGTCAAGCACGCCAAGCGCTTCCAGCAATTACAGCAATAAGAGACCTCGCAAATCACCATCACCGCTCGCCTCCGCTAGCCAACCTGGCGCTGACAACAAGCCCGACATCAATGTACCCGTCGCCAATATGAAGACAGCAAGACCTTATCGATCGCACAAGTATCCGGCATGTACGCGATGTCACAAGCGACGGTCACGGTGCACCATCGAAGTCCCTGGACAAGCGTGCCTACTATGCCGGATGCACGGAGTTCCGTGCTCTTCGGCGACGGGCAAGAAGGAGGACCGCGCCACGCCCAAGATCGGCTTCATTCATCGCTCCATGCTACCGGAGAACGACAACATGGCCCTTGACGAGTCGTCATACATCGTCGGCCCGATAGTAGCGCGCGACAATCAAGTCATTGACCAGTATCTCCCACAGGCCGCCAACGGCAACTCTGGACATGTCCCAATTCAGCCAAATCTGGGCCGCAAAGACTCGCAACAGAAGCCCATCTATCGCGCCGCTGTACCACCTCGGCGAGCAACACCGCAGGACTGCTCCTGCTCACGCAACCTCCCGGACGAGCTGCTCTCACAAGTCGACCCATTCCTCGACAAAGTCGTTGCGAACTTCTACGAGAACGTACACCCAGCCTTCCCATTCACCGAAGAGTCCTGTGTAGTCTCACGGCTCAAGACCCGCCACCAGATACCCTCCAACTTTCTCGCCAACCTCGTCGCGCACGCACTCTTCTACTGGGATCTCTCGCCCGCCCTTTCCGCCTACGCACGGCCCGACCAGGACTTTGCATGGCAAGTGGGCACCTCAGTCAACAATTCAGAATTCTCAAAGAACAACCTAGCAAATATCCTCTCCATGACCATGAATCTCGCTGGCCGACCCTCGACCAACCTGATAAACAATTCCACCAATGTGGCTAAGACTGTCGCCCTCGCTCATGCTATTGGCCTGAACCACGATTGTGCAGAATGGAAAATGCTCGACCAAGAGCGTCGGGTCCGCTGGAAAGCGTGGTGGGGCGTCGTCGTGCACGACAGATGGTTCAACTTTGCCCAAGGCACACCTCCCTACATCTCCAAGAACCACTACGACGTGCCACTCCCAACCCTGGACCTCCTCACCGGCGCCCGCAGCAACAGCCTGAAACACGTACGCGCTGCGGAAGTCTTCATTCACCTGTGCAAGCTCACCGAGATTGTAGGCGACGTGCTGCCGCTGATCTATCATATCCGCTCCGGCAATGACACTATTGCCGCAGAGCAGACCTCCCGCAGCGAGATCGAACTCAACCGCTGGATCGAGTCGCGGCCTGGATGGCTTGATCTGTCTGACTTCACCTCCCGGCCCGCCGTGCCCGGCCTGGTAAACCTCCAACTTTCCTTCCTTGCCGTCCGCATGCTTCTACGGCGCATAGCCTGGCACGAAATCTCACAGCGCGAGACTGAACCCGCGGCCTCCTGGCTCAGTGGCTGTCAGGCCGCCGCAGAGGATATCGTGCGCTTCACCGCCTCCCTCCAGAAGACCGATCTCCGAGGGTTCTGGCTACCATACAACGCGCACCATTTCACATCGGCCGTGACATTACTCCTGCGCTGTGCCCTACAGACAAACTTCCCCGAAGTACGCAAGGGCTGCATGACGAGCGCACGCGCCCTAGTCGACAACCTAAGGAGGCATTTCGAAGAAAGCGGCTGGGACTTGGCAGAAACAGCACTAGCCAGCTCAGAGAACATCCTGCGGAGAATCGAGGATGCTGTGCCGAGGGAGATGCTAAACTTCAACTCATCCGCGGGATCGACACCAGCACTGGGCACGCCGAGCATGCAAAACCTACAAACGTCATCAGGATTTTACGGCGCAGGCCTGAATGGACTCTCAGGGGCAAGCGGCTTCGACGCTAATGGGCAGCAGACCGTCGTAGGGGTTGGCGACGATGGGTTTCTGAGCTATCAAGGGCAGCAGGGGAGTATTGAGGAGTTGTTTCCGGAGATCTTTGGCGAGTTTCAGGATACTGCGCTGTTCAGTATGGCGGCGTCGGGGGGCGGTGATTTTGATGAGCCGTTTAATGGTGTGAATGGGGCTGGCGGAATGGGGCAGAACGGTGGTGGTGGTGGCGGCAGTAATAGTGGCTATCCGCCGCCATCGTCGCAGGGGATGGGCACGCCGTTGGGCACGCCGATGGTGGGGACGCCGTTGGGTGTTGGCGTCGGAGGTGGGATGAGTGGTGGATATTAATGAGAGGGTTGCTGTTGCTGTTGATGGTATATTTGCAAGCGAAGGGTCACAACACATGCATAGAGGATAGGCGTCTCGGGGAAGGAACGCGACAATGATCTTTGTCAGCAAATATGAGCCACGGTGGCCGCAAGCATTGTCGAGGGAATGTGCCCAGCTACATACAGGTGGCCATACGTCGTAATTACTGTTTGTCAGATTGGTCCTCGAGACATAAATAGCGAGCTAGAGGGCTTCAGCGGGTTTTCACATGCTTCGCCCTAATACTGATTGCGAGTGCTGCCTGTACTCTTCCCCAGCTTCGATGACCTCAGAACTCAAGTGGCTCTTTCCCAGGTCCGCTCCGAGCCAAGGACTTGGACTTGGCAGGTGCACTCCGCGGGAACCCTTGGATTCGTAACTCAGCTTCACTGTGATTGTTACCTTATCGTCTATAGGCGCTGTGATCTGCTTTGCGTCGTATCGTACGCGCTGAAGAGACTTCGCAGCCGCGCTCCTGTTACACTTGACGGTGTAAGCGAGATTCCGTGGTTATTTGTCGTCGTCCTAGGCCTGCCCTGTGTAGGTGCACTAACTGGCTTCACGGTTGGTTCATTGCGCGTGTGCATGTTCCTCTGATTGTCTGTGCGGCAACAGACTGCTTGCTGAGCCTACTGCACGAGCTGGGCATTCGGCAACATCGGAGTAGGGTGCTATCAAATATCTCGTGCTGGCATCCTGCGAAAAGTGTGGAAGTCACGACCGGTCATGTTCAGGCCCGGCTATGGGCTCGATGTGCATATCGTGGATTCTCAGCCTCCAAGTGGCCCATGAGGTCCAGGAAGCAGATGCGTTTTCGAAGGAGCTCATTATGGTCCACCACGTTAGCAGTTAAGATACTCTTCTATCTGCTCAGCTAACGACAATTCGAGTCTCCAAGTAATATGCTCAAGCGCCAGTAAGGCTCGCCGGAACCTCTATAGCCTTTGCGCTGAGCAGCAGGACGCTCAGCGAAGAGACTGAATGGGAATATTCTCAAGCGTGTCCTCTTGCCTCGAAGGTACATAATAAATCACGTACGGGACCACCTGACATTTTCGACCTCAGTCACGCAAACTTCAGACCGTAGCCCATACAACCAGTTTTCACTCACCACAGAACTCATCCAGCCATGGCCTTCTCCGCCAAGGTCCTTGCACTCCTCGTGCCCTGCTACCTGCAGTGGTGCGCCGCCGCCGCACCACAGCTTACGTCCATCCCTACAAGGCTTCCGTCCATCCCTACTCGGTCCGCGGACAACGCTCTCGCGCTCGAGGCTCAAGCCATGGTCACCGGCTTGCCTGATTATTGGGCACCGACGGAAACCAACAGCGACGGCTTGCCAGTCCTCACTATCAACCGTGTAAAATGAGCAACTGGCAGAGTTTCACTAGCTTGTATCCTGAATGGACTTCTTGTGCTGGACCTGCCCAGACCGCGGTCAGCACCGCCACCCTGACGGGTCAAGCGGTTGTGAGTTTGCATTCCCCAACTCATCATCACTCACTCACACTCACCCCTTGTCATGCTCGCGAGAGAGTTCTCTAACAAAGCCGCAGGCCGAAGCAATCCCAACCGCTGCGATGGCCGGTGGACGAGATTTCGATGATTTCTTCAAACCAGAACCGGAACCTGTTTACGTCGTCCCAGGCTCCGGTCCCAATGACTCTCCCAGCATCGTCGTCGGCAACCCGGTCAAAAGGAACGCAGACAAGCCAACATGCACAGAGCTTGTCGAGGAGTGCCGGCGTAGTGGCCGGTGGGACTGCGGATGGGAATGGCTGGACCCCGCCAACTGCGACCCAATCGTTAGCTACCAAGAAACTGGAGTAGCTCTGCTGAATGCCAACGCCATTCCCGCCAGGAACGACACGATCAAGGTCGATTGTAACGATTATTGTGCAGACTGGCTGGTGAAATGCGTCAAGAAGGAAGATCAGAGCCTCAACAACTATGGCTGTGTCTGCACGTATATGCTCTAGGGAGGCTACGTGAGTGTTGCCTTTCTTCCTGCCTGGCAGTGCAATGTGCTCTGTCTTGCTGACACGGGCTCGGCATCCAACGGCATCCCGAGCGAGCCTGGAGTACTGTTCATAGACTGATAAAGAGACTATCCAGGTCCGCAAACGCCGAGTGCCGTGCCCAATACCGCACTGAAGTGGTTGGGAAGCTCGATAAAAGGGTAACGTATAGTTTATACCTGGGGACTTGAACGACCCGACACACGCCCGAGACATATTCTCTGTAATCACATAGTTGGAGAAAGATATAGCACCACACAATTAGACAAGATTATGGCCATACTCCTGATCCTGCCTATCATTGAACGGTCTTAACTCCGTGCAACGTGTCGCACCGAGATTCTCTGGCGCATGTGTATTCATGCATCCCTGTTCATAATGATGGGCACGGTCACTGAATGCTAGTGTGCGAGCGCAGAGCTGGCAACATGCCCATCAAGAAGGCGGTATATGAACGCGCATATAGAGAACGGGCCAGCAGCAACCGCAGATCGATCTACTGACTTGAGTAAGAGCCCCTGTCATCCGGTCTCATGTAGAGCTTAGCCCAGACCGGTTGACAGCAAGCGTTTGGAAAGCTATTGCCACAGCTGCTGTCCATCGCCTGGTCCACTATCCTCAGTATCGGTCGCCTTCATAGCCTCCTTCCATCGCCGCATCCTTCGACAATGTGAGAGAAGGACACAGCTCTGAGAAGATCCAGTCATCCGGTCTCACGAGAATTGGTCTCAAGCCGGCTGACGAGGCACCCTATCACGGAAGGAGCATCGTGTAGTACCTGCCGTCCGCCCCTTTGTTCAGGAACCTCGATGGGAAGGAGCGATCGCTACGTGCTCCTGCTGTGGTTGGCAGGTATGCATTGAAGGTGCAGTGTGTGGCACCTGCCGCTCATCGCATCGTTTAGGGACGTCAATTGGCAGGAGCGGTCGCTGTGTGCTCCTGCCGTGGTTGCTTGCCTGGTATCTGGGTGGGGAGGGGATGCCGTCATCCGGTCTTGCTCACTGTGTGTCAGCCGGTTTCGAGTAGAACCCTGCTCATTCCGGATTGCTGGAGAAGGACAATTTATTCTTGCCTGGGCCACTATAACAAGGGCGATGATGTAGACGCCAGGAGAATGATCAGCAGATGATTCAGCTTTGCGGCTTCGACGACACTGTGACGTGGAGGGGATATGGCGAACTAGTTTGTTGCTGGGAGAACTACCAGAACATGTGGCGGTCAATCCGAGTCTAAGTTGATACTGCGCGCGAAATAGCTATGGAAGTCAGCCCTCCTTGCCCACGAACTCCTTCGCAATCCGACTCCGCTCCCTGATCCTTGGCCCCTTCCACACCAGCACGACTGGCACGAGCGTCAACACCACCGCCACCGCGCCCAGTAGACTGCTCGCGGCTTGGAATCCTAGATTCAGGTATAATGGGTGAACCACCAATGGGAACGCCCCACCCAGCAAGTTTCGACACACCCCAGACGCGGCCAGAGCACTGGATGTGTACGGCCCGTACGCGTCAGCAGTATAGTTGAACACGGCAAGGAAGATGGAGAAAATTCCCATGGTGGCGATGCCGACTGCAATCGTGGGCAGGATCCAGTGGATCGACGGGAAACAGGTCCAGCCGAGCCAGAAGAGGGATATGGGCAGGAAGGTGGCCATGATGCAAGTAGGCAGTAGCCTGCCCTCGGGCGTGGTCATCTTGGAAGGGTAGTATTTCAGCATGAAAGGCTCTTGACGTATATGGAGAACGGTCGAGATAATGGCCGCCACGCATTGCGAGGTGAAGACGTAGCCGGTCTGCTCGAGGGAGAAATTGTAGCTTGTGCTGAAGATGAGGGGCACGGAGCCGAATTGGAGGTAGAGGATGGCCCAGGCGAAGGAGATCCAGGCGCTGAAGGACATGACGACGGGCTCTGTGACGAGCATGTGCATGGGCCGGTAGAGGGAGTGGCCGATCATCTTGAAGACGGAGGGCTTGGGGTTATTGGTAGTGTAGCGGATACGGTGGTAAGGGTGCTGCGAATCGGAAGTCGGTCTGTCGTCTTGTAGGTACACGCCTAGGGCGTCGAGCTTGTCGTACCATTGATTGATGGCCTTTGCCTTCTGCTCAAGGATAGTGCTGCCGCGGGTCTCGCTGAAGAAAGCAGCCACAAGTCCAACGATGAGGCCGGAACTAATGATCTGAACGTAGAAGACCCATCGCCAGAGCAATCTCTGGGCGATGACGCCGGAAACAAGGGGTCCCAATCCCGTGCCGAACAGTGTTGCACCGGTAAACAGAACCATGGGGGTGTTTCGTTCTTTGCTGGACCACATGTCCGCGAGAATGCCTCCGACCATTGTCGAGAATGTCGCTACCACATGTCAGGTACTTCATGGCAATAGCAGTTTAGGATACTCACAGCCTCCCACACCCATCAAGAAGCGGCAAACGAGCATACCCGAGAAAGTGGGCGTCAGAGCACAAGCCGCCTGCATCGCAACGAACAGTATGCCTGTCAACACGAACACGGGTCTTCTGCCATTGATTTCTGAGAATGGTGCCAGAATCATGGGCGCAACTCCAAACCCAATCGTAAATACCGTGATGCCCAGCATGAAAACAGCATGCGAAACACCCCATTTTTGCCTAAGCTGGTCTTCAGGCGAAGCGTACGATCCGGAAGCGTAGGCAGCGACACCATTGACTGAGCAAGCCAGATATGTCATGAGGTTCTTCCGTGTGGCAGACCATTGGTAGGGGCTTTGATACCGGCTGAGATCGGGACATGGCGGTATGTCAATCATTGAGCCTGGTTGCTGCACTGTTATGACTGGTATGTGGCTGTCGAAAGCCATTTGACGGTACTCGATGCCGTCCGACCATCGAACGATTTCATCCCCGTTCGAGACATCCTCATTTTTCTCGCTTGGCAACGCGACGACTTCTGGCGCAGGTACACTTTCATCTTCGGCCATAATGAACGCTCATTTCACGTTTGGAGCCCTGTATGGTCACTCGCGGCCTACTCCAAGACTGCAGGAGACCTTGCACTTCATCAATGTGAAAGAAGCTACTTCCCAGCCGCGTATAGAATTTCAGGATCGTGAAGTCAGCAGTCACAGCTTACAAGAACAAGACTCACTTCACCCATCAGACCGAGTCGGACGCGCCATCTACTCCAGATTCCAATCTCTAGTACCCATTTTTGCGGTGAACGTCCCGCCGATTTGATCTGGTGCTAGGCGACGATCCCGGCACGGAAAGCCGGACGCGACTCACCTCGGTAGGACCCTGGCCTCCCCGGCAGATGTTGACGTTACGAACCTGCGAAGGAACTGACGTATGTAGTTCCTAGGTGCTTTCTGCACCTACGGAGATACGCACCTGCAGGACTATTGTGACGCGCCTGATGCATTGCGCGGCGGGTTTGGCCTGTTCGGGCAGCAGGTGCGGAAGTGCAGCGCATCTGGGGTACGAGCTCCAAGGACCGCGGTCCGGGGAAGTACGCCAGAAATTGGCACCATCGCTTCACACGCTTTTTGCCTGGTGGGCATGGGAGTATGCCTGGGCTTTAGTGATTCGAAAAGATGCGATTTCAATCTTGAAAGCACAACCTACTGCTCAGAGATTGATGATCGACGTTGATATTAAGGTCGCTTACAGGGTTATGTGCGATCTGGACGCCTCATCACAGTAAGACGCTGCCTTATCGGCTTATGAAGCGATCTTCGCATTATGTGCTATTTCGTCCGCTCGAATGTTGTACAAGCATTAGCAACCTAGACTCCCTGGGAGTCCTTCGCCCACTTTGTTGGATTTGTTGGATGATACGTGTGCTCCTCAGGCCAAGTTGTAAAATCCAGACGAATCGAATTTTGCACAAAGCACCACGACTTCGACAGATTCATCAAGTGCTTCCGCTGTCCTGGCAGATCAGACGTCTCTCGAATCTGACGCACGGGTGACGCCCATTCTGCTGGCAGACTGCTCAAGCATAGATTGCACCGCGGCCTCGTCCTCGTCCTCGACCTCGACCTCGACCACGCCCTCTGCCAACACCCATCTGGCCGCGCTTAACGCCATTCGTTGTGCCGTTCACCGCCGCCCAGCCAGACCCGCTATATGCAGAAGTGGCCACTGGAGACGCCTTTTGGGCACTACCAAAAGCTATCTCGGATGCGTCTGTGTCCGAATCGCTCCAGTCGTCTGCAGTCATTATTTTTGTCTTTGGTTTCTGTGCTGCTGCTGCAGCAGAGTGTGAAACTACTGCAGACTGTTTAGACGCTGGAGCAACAACTGGAGCCGGTGGCGACGTAGACACGCACGCTTGCACAGCAGAGGCTTCTCCAATTACAACGTCCGTAGTCAACACGTCCGCCGGAGGCGCAGTTGCGAAGCTGTCAGCAGGGGAAGCTCGACCTGATGATGCTGGCGCGGCCTTCTTCGTAGCATTTTGCTTTGGAGGGGGCGCTACTTCCTGGTCAGAGAACTCATCATCAAAATCATCGGAGAAGTCATCCTCTAGAGCCATCTTAGCTTTGCGATTCGCAGCAGCTGCTGCAAGCGCCTTGGCCTGAGCCGACTGGGTGGCTGTAGCAGTCGAAGGCCGCGAAGTCTGTGCAGGAGTCGGCTCTCGGCTTATACTCGTAGTTGGTGTGTCAACGGCCTGACCAATATTGAGCGACGAAGATGTAACAGGTCGTAACACCGATATAGGACGATCAGACGGTTCTGGCGTCGAATCGCCTCGATCTGTGCCAGTAATGTCATCGTCAGAGCCGATGTCATCGATGTCGATGGCACCCTCCATGGTTGTGAGCTTGCTGTTCTCGGCACCGACGTCAGCAACGGCGCCCTTCGTCTTCGGCTCGACTATCTCGTTGAACTCTTCCCCGTCTGATGGTTCCTCATAGGTGACGGCATGCATTCTGGTCTGTCGACGGGTGACATCGTCTGTACGCGGCTGGAGTGTTCCATCAGGGCCAGGCTTTCGTCGATTTCTTCGCCGGCTTGGTGCATATTCGGTGTCACGATCGACAACGACCACATCCGGCCGAGCTTTCTTCGGCGCAGGTTGACCCTCCACGTTCGGAACGATATTATTGAGAGCTTGGAGATCTGAGCTGAGTGCTGCTGGCGCAGGTCCGAGGTCGTCTAACGCGCGTTGCGCAATCATTGACTTCTCGATCTCCGCCAGCTTCTCCCTGCTAATTGGCAATTTCACAATAAGCGAATTTGTTTGTTTCTTAGGTTTCGCTTTCTTAGCGGACGACAGGTTGATCGACTTGTTGTAGTTGAACGCTCTCTCGCCCTCATCGAGCTTACGCTTCCGCTTCCGGCTCACCATCTCGATGTGATCATCGTCCGGATCACCTGCGCCATGACCATTTTCCCGGGCAGGCTCGTCGTCTTCTGGGATAGGCTGTGCAACTACAGCAGTCGGATCGGGATAGTCGTACGTGATGGTGTCAGTGAAGTCGTACTGGTAGGTTCGGCCCTCGTCTCGTAGAACACCTCCGTCAGGAATCACGAACTGTGGAGCCATAACGGCTTGCCCGAAGTCACTTGCTCGCCCTTCGGGGTTTTCGTCAAACATATCTTCTTCGGCCGCAGAATCCGGAGATGGCGGACCATTGCCGGCGACGGCAGCCAACGCAGGGTCGATTGGAATGCCTTCTTGCTCGGCCAAGCGGAGGAGGTCATCCTCGACCTGATGGTCCTGGTCTTCGGCGTAGTCCTCTCCAAGCTGTGTGGTCTGAGCTTGTGCGGTATCTGCTTCCAAACGCCGTCTCTTAAGCCGACGGGTATCATCACCGTTGTCGTCGCCCGATTTTTGAATCCAGCCAAGGTTCGAGAAGCTGAAATCGACGAGGCTTTCCACGGAGCGTATATCTGCCACAGCTTTGGTGTTGTGGCCAAGTCGTGTGCCAGAAGGAGTGTATGGATGATAATTTGACTTAGTTCGGCATGCTCTGCAGCCGCAGATACCTCTGCAACTCGGACAGGCCCAGTCGGGGTCAGCCATGATATCTTGTGGCATCATATCATAGCCTCTGAACAGAACACCATAGCACCAGCTCTTGCCGCAGTTGCTACATTTTGCTTGCTTCCACTTTGGCTCCCAATGCTTGTCAATATGGCACTGCGCATGCTCGCGAACGAATTTGTCAGAACGCTTGACCTTCTTTTTCTTCTTGATGTTACCATTAGCATCGACTTCGACTTCCTCGAGGCGTTCGACACCTTCAGGAACAGGAGGTGGCTTCTTTCGGTCACGCCACGGACGTTGACGGAGTGCCAATTGACATATCTGAGCCAGTGTTCGCTTTCTACCGAGACGTTGTAGCTCAACTTTCAGGGACATTGGCGACTTCTCATTGACCTTGCCCTCGTACGCTAGAATCTGATGCCGCCAAGTCTCATGCTTCTGAATGAGCTCTGGCCACGGGAATTGCTCAACCCATTGTAATCGTGAAATACACTCGCAGCTTCGGCCCATCGCATAACAATCGAGGCAGATATCGTACGTGTCTTCTTCAGGGCCGTTTCGGAGGATGCAGGTCGGGCAGGTGAGGAAGCGATTGAAAATGTTGCACCTGCAGTACGAGCAGGTAATGAAGCCCTCGAATGGGACCATTTCGCACTTCTCCTGCTTTTCGGGTAGGAAGCTCTCGGAAACTAATGTTTGAGTAAACAGCGAGTGCAGACGCCGGAAGTCCTTTTCGAGCTGTCGGACCTTCGTGTCACTCTTCGTCTTCTTTGCGTTACTCCTGCTGCTCTGCCCGTGCTTGTCAGCAAGCTTCAGTAACTTTGAGTAATTTTGCAAAGCGAAAAATGATATCGCCTTGTTCTTGTACTGCTCATCGCGGCAAACCATTCTGGCCTTCGGGAGAGCTTCGTTCATGGCCATCTCCAGCGTCTCAATTGTCGTTCGGTTCCAAGCAACTTTCATTGTCCGTGTACCGCGATTCCAGACCTGGTGCGGAGCAAGAGGTGGAATCAGGATCAGGTCACCAGGGCGCTGCTCTACTACGTACGTAGTAAATGGCGCATTCTTCCAAGCATTGATTTGAGCAAAGTGGTTCTCGACTTCGATGTCATGGCCGAGACGCGAGAGCCAGTATTCAGCAACAACTTCTCGCTCTTTGTTCTCGGTCATGAACCACAACGAGGAGCCCGGCTTCGTGGGCTTGCCGTCTTCAATCAACCCTGTGGATGCCTCAACCATGATATTTTGTCCCAGACTGGCACACATCTCTCTGTGAGAGGGTGTGTATGTTCCTTCGTGGCCAATGTAGCACATCATATTTTCAGCGCGCATCTCTTTTGGTAAACAGCTCATCAGATCACCAGCCTTCGCGATGCCTTTGCCTTTACGGGTCTCGCCGCGTGCATCGGTCTGGTCGACTGCGCCGAAGCCGCCGACATCGCCAGTGGTATCGTTCAGGTAGTACAGGAAAGGTGGCAGTACGGACTGCAACTTATCGTGCCAAAGCGGCGGACAGTCGATGTCCTTCAGATATATTCGCTGTCGTTGAGGATCCTTGTAGTTTGTGCTAGTCCATTGATCCGTGAGCAGCGCCATATGGTTCAGGTAATGCGCGAACGTCATGGGCACGGAGGCTTTCTTGGTCAGATCTCTAGGATTCTCGACCTTGGTGCCATGGTTGTCGCGCAGCCATTGCACAGCGAAAGTCCACCGGTCGAGGCGGCGGTCGTAGCCTTCGACGACGAGAGGCTTGCCTCCCAATATGACATGGATTAGAACCAATTTCTCGAATGCCTCGACGCCTTGATGATCGATCATATCGCAGTCGATCCTTACTACCCATTGAAAGTTCGGCGTGCTCTCGACGAGCGCCTTGACATTGAAGTCGGGCGAGATAGGCTCGAAAGCCGCGCAAGGCCTCGTTGACGGCATACTGAGACGAGGCGAGCCGATTGTCCAGGCTCAGTACACCAGCAGTCGACTCGAGCTCCTGCTGGGCGCTGTTCGGGTTACAGGTCGCATAGTCGAGGTTCGAGACTTCGCGTAGGCTCGCAAAGCCTGGTAGCGGATTCCAATCGCGATAGCGGTGCCCGGCTCTGGTGATGGAACTTCGAGTGAGAAGAGCACTGGAGTAAATTGAATTGCGAGCGCGCTCGCCGACGGCGCGTACGTGGGGAAAAGGACCTAATCCAAAATAGGCTAGTACAATATTGAAGACGAAGTGCTCACTTCAAGTTCAGGATGAGCTTCCATCCTGTACTAACCAGCAAGCAGGTGGACAAGTGGAGCACTACGCGATGAAGGACGCGTGAGGAAGTGAGCTGATAACCATGCCTCACTTATGAAGGGGTAGTGATGAATTCGGGCAGCAAACGAATGAGCTTGGTAATTCCAAGTCTGCAATGGGCTGGATTGGCCGTCACTCGCTACAGGCTGGTTGGGTGTATCAGATCGAGGGACAGCATCACTGCGCGCTGGACGACACTCGGCCTCCAGCACGAGAGGCATAGGTCAAAAGGAATCACCTCACAGCCTGAATACCTCGAACGACGACATGCCTCTACCTCAGCTAGCATTGACACCAGCCAACCAGCTATCTACAAGCCTCCGAGTCAGGGCCTGATTTCGAAACTCCCGCCATCATGGATTCCATACGCCGAACTGGCCCGACTTGACAAGCCAGCAGGCACTTACTATCTCTACTTTCCATGTCTCTTCGCCACATTACTTGCTGCACCCTTGGCAGTACCTGTCGCGACGCCACTCGAGGTCATGTCTACGAGTGCGCTATTCTTCGCCGGCGCCCTGATCATGCGGGGCGCTGGCTGCACTATAAATGACTTGTGGGATCGCAATCTCGACCCCAAGGTGGAAAGAACAAGGCTGCGACCGATTGCAAGAAGGGCAGTCACGCCCCAAAATGCTGTTATCTTTCTTGGCTTCCAGTTGCTCACCGGATTGGGCATATTGCTCCAGTTTCCCATTGGATGCTTCTTCTATGCGACGCCTAGCTTGTTCTTCGTCACCGTTTACCCATTGGCGAAGCGAGTCACAAATTATCCACAGTTCGTGCTCGGTCTGACCTTCTCTTGGGGTGCCATTGTCGGGTTTCCAGCCATGGGCGTGGATCTGCTCTCGCACCCTACCGCCCTTGGAGCAGCCGCTGCATTGTATGCCAGCTGCGTGACGTGGACTCTCAATTATGATATGATCTATGCATTCCAAGACATCAAAGACGATGTCAATGCTGGCATCAAATCGATCGCGCTGGCCCATGATCATAATGCGAAGGCTGTCCTCCTGGGACTTTCCGCGGTCCAGGTCGGTCTTTTGGGTTTGGCTGGTTATCTGGTTGGTGCAGGACCTGTCTTCTTTGCTGGCAGCTGCGGTGGAGCAGCTCTCACTCTTGCCTACATTGTCAAGACTGTCAACCTTCGCAGCGTACAGGACTGCGCAAAGTGGTTCCGACAAGGTGCATGGCTGACTGGCGGTGTAATATCAGCGGGACTGCTTGGCGATTACCTTTACTGCTATTTTCGACCACCGGCCGGGGATGGAAGAATACTCGAAACTTGACTAGGTTGAAGGTTTGGTGAGACCGAAGTGGCTTTCCATCTCCGTGACGATACCGCTCCACTCCATCATCCCGCCGTCACCCACATCACCACATGCAAGACCCTTGTCAATGGGACCAAGCACACGAACCCAGCCATCAGGCGGAGAGCCCCAGTCGTTCTTCAACGTTTCGATGTGCTTATTGGTGATGGGATGGCGCCACATGGCTGAGTTCATAGCCGGAGCGACGAAGATGACCTTCTTCCGACCATCAATCAGACCTGTCGTATCCCATGCCCGGACGACGCTCATTAGTAGGTTGTCACTCAGACCGTTGGCCATCTTGGCCAGTGAGTTCGCAGACAAAGGAGCAATTAGAAGAGTATGAGCCCAGCGGCGCAGTTCGATATGCAGGATCTTGTCGCCACGGACCCATGGCTTCGCCCATTCGTCCTTGTTCAGGTAGATCGCCTCAACATTGGGCAGCTGCTCCAGGCTTTCGAGCTGCGGCTGTTCAGCAGACTGGCCTTGCAAGAATTCAGTAGCAGACGATGTGAGGACAACTCGTATCGATACATTCTGATGCTGGGCTAGAGCGTGTGCTATTAGTGGTAATTTGATCGTAGCAACAGATCCACTGGCTGCGAGTAGAATGTGGTGTTTCTGATCATCAGTGAAGTCCGCGGCGGAGAAGGGCTTCTCGCATATAACATCACCGGTTGCATCACCCATCATGAGTAGACTTTTGGTTTAGAGTAGAAATAGATCAGATCTCGTGGCATGTCAAGGATGAAGTGAGGTACCGCAGCAGAGGTGTCGAACAGATGTTCGTTGGCTGACAAATCCGAGGTTGGGCCGAAGCGGCTTCCTGCATCATTTCCACTTCCCGTTCGAATTCTATACATTAGTATCATACTACAGCCATCACGTCAATTGCTCACGGATAGTATGCTAGGAAGAGCTCTAAGACTACCTGTACGTGCTGCAGAACGCTCGCTAACACGGTTCACTGACCCTGTCCAGGCTTTTCGCGGTGCCGCAGCAGCACTTGCGCCATCCGCCACCCACACTTCCCTTCTACCACGCATCTCGTCGAACTTGGCGCAGCGACGATGCCTGTCAGACGCCATTCGCGGAGCCATCGATAAGGCCGTGGCATCAGCGCCGGTTGTGCTGTTTATGAAGGGAACGCCAGATCAGCCTCAATGCGGCTTCTCAAGAACAATGATACAGATTCTTGGCCAACAGGGTGTTGATCCTACCAAGTTCGCAGCGTACAACGTTTTAGAGGACCCAGACCTCAGAGACGGTTCGAAAGCCCTCGACCACAGGAGCGACAGAAGCTAACAAGTCCGCAGGCATCAAGCAGTACTCGGACTGGCCGACTATCCCACAGCTATATGTGGACAAGGAGTTCGTCGGTGGTGTCGATATCGTCATGACCATGCTCAAAGACGAGTCGCTGCAAACGCTTCTCACCGACAAAGATGTGCTGGTTCTGGAGGACACCCCAGAAGGTCAAGCATGACAAAGCTTGCAGATCAATCTCAGATCAAGCATTGCCGACCTGTGACGTCTGCTCAAGCATTGCAAGCAATTGGTCTTGTTTGGCTTCCCCGGCGACCCCGAGATTCTGCGATCTGAACCCCGAGGGACATCGTCGGCAACTGTCCATGGCAGATATCGCCAAGCACTAACGTTTGGACACCACACATCGTCCAATTGTCCTTGCCGGAAACGCAATAGACACAAGTCACTACTCCAGGGAGGGCTCTGAGCGAGTTCTGGAAGTCAACATAGCCTTGTATACCTACGAAGCGAAGCCACCAAAAGCCTCGTCAACTTCGGCAAAAGCGATCGCTTCAGTGCACACCGGAATGACGGCAGAAACGTTCATCAATTGCAGTGTGGGTTCGAGTGCGGCTTTCGCCTGGCTGAAGTGGTAGTCCAACGTTGCAAGCAGTGCGGGCCGAGCACTGCCAATGGTCGCACTGTGTGCGAGTCGGTGAAGTACCAGTGTATATCCAGAATGACGCAAATCAACAGCTAAACTACGTCTACAACCAAAGTCGGGTCAGTAAGCCTTCTCAGTCGTACACTAAGCACAGGTATGTACAGTGACTCGAGTTCGCGCACGGATTCCTCTGAGAGACAAATGTCCGAATGAGTCCGAATAGACGGCGATCCTCTATCAGCAAAGCCCAAGTGTCGAGGTGTAATAGCCAAGCGAGCCCGTAGCGATACGGGTGACACAACGTGGCTTTACAAAAAGCTGCCTTTTGCCAAGTGTGCCTACCCCTTGGGGTCAATCCGGGAACGGTGTTGTGCGAACCTGCAATTTCGCCCAGCAAAGTTCAACCTTGGCCAAAGGCTGAATTCAACAGCAGATTCGTCAGAAGAGCCTTACTGCATGGCTGACATTCACGGTGCGCCTGCTGATAAAAGGCTAGTCCATTACGAACGCCTTTGCAGGGAGCATAACACCCCCCTGTCGAAATGCCCAAACCCTGTCCCCGACCGCCCCACTTAGTCGATTGCCTCTCTGAGTGGAAGGTGCATTTTAACATTATGCATTTCACCGTGCACTAACTGCTGTAAACAGCTGTAGGATTCCTGCCAGGACTTCAGCGTCTTACACCGGCTGTTATAACTGCCCCTTCCTGCACCGATTGCTCCTCTACATCTCGATCTCAACCCACCTCAACTGCTGGCAATTGCGATCGACACTAACTATTGCTATCGATCATACACTTATCCAGACACAACAATGGACAACTACATCACTCCAGAATCTTGGCAAAGCCCAACTACGTTCGACTCGAGCTTCCAATGGGAATATGGCAGCGGGTCGGCGTCGCCGAGTATGATGGTTGGCCAGTACAACGATGTATGACTCTACACTCGAGGCTCTATATTGCCAGTGCTGACCTCTTTCTAGCTTCTCAATAGGGCAGCAAGCTTCTATGCTACATTGGATGGCGGCAGCGACAGCATGTCGATGATCTCACCAACATCATCGCGATCGTCACCAGAGAGGCGGATGTCCTCGAACTACAACATTGTCGCCCAAGTTCAGAAGTCAATCCCAGATAAGATTGAGCGGCGGCGCGAGCAGAATCGCTCATCACAAAGAGCCTACCGAGAACGCAAGGACAAGCACCAGAAGGAACTCGAACAGCAAATTTCTGACTGGAGAGACAAGCACCAGAAGCTGGCACAGAACTACGACCAACAGACTCAGGAAGTCCAAAGGCTTCAGCAACAGATTGAGCAACTCAGTGCAGAAATTGGATCATTACAGAACGGCCTGCCAACGCTCAGCGGAATAATGGAACAGTCGCCAACGGAATTCGACTTGGTTCCTTGGTTCGACCACGGTTCTGCCGCTCCATCACCACGTTCATCGTCAAGGTGACCTTCGGAGAGCGCCCGTGGAGAGCGCGAGATTGCTGCGGATTTTGTGATACCATATTAGCACGGAGTTCGTGCGGATTTCTACGAGTCGTCCTACCTTCAAGACGTGTATTTTTGGGCAAGGATCGGGAAACTACTTGATTTTCTCGACTATCGAGCAGGAAATGCTTAGCGACAGAGTCAATGATAATTCATCATATTGCCTTATGCTGCCATGCCTTCATTGCTTCATCTTCTACGTCAGGTAGATCCGTACTAGAGTTTCATCCATTGTACGAATGCTTGAATATCACACGAGCGCGAAGGTTTACAAGTCCAGCGCCTTGCATTAACCTTGGTGCCCCAGGCCGCCGATCCATCGTTAAGGCAGTAGCTTAACACTAACATGCAGAAGTCGCCACGAAGTACTGTCCGTGAAGCGACGGTCGCACTTGCAAGATAGAGTATGGCTTGCATTATTACCCGCTCGTCTCATGCCTTCTCGAATGTTGAGCATGTTTCAAGCCAAGTTCTGCACCGGCCGATCTTCCTTAGGCATACAGACACCCGGAGGGATAACTTCTCCCGAGCTTGCATGCATCCTGTGGGCATTTGCTTCGATCACAAAGCTTCGCCAATGCATGGCCTCTACCGCAATGACTCGTGTTCAAGATCCCGAGAGCCCGTTCAATGGTGTCAAAGGATGATAATGATTACGATCTCGACTTTCGACGTTCAACAGACTGCGGTCTGGAATTAACGTGCCCGGAGGACTTTTAGCCAAATGATACAGGAGCAGGATATGTATTGGTCGAGCAGGACACAGGATGTAACTGATTTCAACGCAAAGCCAGGATGAAGCACTCCCCGACACGATTGTATGTCGTCGTCGGCATATGCCATAACCTTTATGCGTCGCGTCATTCCAGCGTTGAGCGCGTCAGATGCGACTTCATTGAGGCAACCACAAAAAACTGCCGATCAATGCATCTTGCGTCGAAGATCAGGTCCACCGCTAACACCAGTACAGTAGTAGGTTTAAGTGCTGAGAGCAAGTCACGGCAATATCTTGCGCGGAATCGTGCCACCCATCTGACGCCCGTGCGTTCGTATACGAGGTCCCTGCATCATTCAACCTTGCAGCCGGGGACCCATTGACCTCGTGTCGACCTCGCTCGGTTATGCCATCCGCTGTGGCTGGAGGCCATTCACGATCAACAAGAACGCTCTTTCCGGCTTTGAACATGCCCGTTGATCTACATTGCGCGCCTGCCATGATGAGGTAGGATCATCTTAAACGTTCTATAAACGTACAATGAGACTTCTGGGCAGGTACACTAGTTGACAATGCCACGAGGCACACAAAACAAGATGCCAGGACATCACCGCGTGTAAAGCAGCAGAAGCTCGAAAGGTGTCCCACGATCCACGGCGGCTGACTTCGCACGGCCCGCTTGCCAGGATCGCTGACTCAGGTGGCTGCTACTACACAGGGGTACAGGCTGAATACAGATAGCTTTACCGTGCCACATCTACACGTCCAATGACGAGTCGCACGTGCACGAACCTGGCAATGCTTCCAGTCTTACGCGGCTGGTTGTCGGAGGGGACCGCTTTCGATAGAAGAACCGAACCATCAACCGATACAAAATAAGGCAGCCGCCCGCTTCACAAAGAGGTCGGTGCTCGGGAAGGGGACAAGGTCCGGTGGTCCATCTCCAGATACAGCGGTGTATGTGTTATGGTGAAACCAAATCCTGCTATTTAGATGCACGATTCCACGCCTTTAACCGACTGTATGTCTCCGTGGGCGGTCTTCGGCAGAACTGCTGTCTTTCGGAGAACAAATACCGGCAGACCCAAGGCTCCAAGCCTTGAATGTGAGTTCACCGTACAGTGGTGCATCTGGTTCCGGTGGATGGTAGTGAAGGTAAACTTCACGAGGGGAATGCATGGTATCCTCAGCATCTCAGTGGACATCTCCCATGTCGCCCTAAACCTTAAGGTACAACTCAGATTGCTGACAGATGAGGTTTCGGTGTCTTTGTCATAAAGGCACCTGTCGACTATACAGTCTCCCAATGCCCGAACGGGAACGTGCATTACTTACCACCCGCAGCTGTCGCTGGTGCTGGGCTTGGCTTTCTTCCGGTTTTGCGTTTGTACAAGCCGCGATTCAAGAATTGATGTCTGGGAATTATTGCTGGGCATGATCGCCCCGAGAAAGCTTACAGTGCCAGTGAGCTGTCTCGGATTCCGGGGCAGCACGAGTCATGGGCGACGTGATCATCGCTTCTCGAAGGATACCTATCGAAGGAATGATCTCTGGGCTATGCGGTACCGAACAGAGCAACAGGCCTCCGGCGCCTATCAGTCGTTGCTTAGGCGTTGGCCGACACCCAAACGAACATGCGAAACTCTCCCCCAAATCACTCCGAAATCAGGCCCATCTTAAAACTATCTCTTTGATCAGCACTGCAGGATCTGTCAACATCAACGACAGGTAGTCGTCATCGGACTGAACGGCGTTGTTGTCTTTCTCTACAGCAGAACACGCCTTGTGATGTCCAGAACATCATCGCATGCATGTACTTGTTAACGGCAATCTCTACGTCTTCTTCCCTCGGCGTTCTTCGACTTCAATTGGTCACTGGCATTCTCGAGTTTCGACTAAATTTGTACGAGATAACGAGCATGCGAACTCTACCTGACGTCGAAGATGTTTCAGTGCTGGCGAACGGACATTTCCCTAAACTACCAGCACCAGCATCATCAGCCACCAGCGAATGTCCTCATCTCGGCAGCGCAACACGGCGCGATTCCGTCGTGACTTCCATGACATTGCGAGTTGCGAGTCGCCATGGCTCCTAGCCTTACAGACTACGGCATGCGCGCTGCAAGCGCACGTCTTTGTCGCCGTACTTCCCACCAATCCACGGTCCCTAGCTCCCACTGCCCGAAATGGAAGGTACCCCTCCCCACAAAATTGGTCAGCTAAGTAAGCCTTACAAGACCGGCAAGAGAGCCAAGATCTACACACGGAAACAGCCACCCGAGAAGTCTTCCGTGTTCTCACCTCGCTTGGCTGGTAGCGTCTGCTACCGTGCCGCTGGCCAGGTATCTGGTTAGGTATGCACCATGGTGAGCACGGCCGCCGGACATCCCGAGATCTTGCGAGACTCGCCTATCCAGCGTTATGAGCCGTCGGTATCTTATTACACTGGAATCCTGTGGCAGCAAGGTATAGACACCGAGCCGATGATGATCCGGAGGATGCAGGTGCCGGTAAGTAAATTGCACGACACAGAGCTTGACAAATGCTCCCCTACAGATGATACGAGCAACCGCATGATTTTCATCTTGTTTCAGCGTCAAAGGATGGAATCCAATGTCTTATAGCAACATAGTGTCACGCCCTGGCTTGTATAAGCATAGCTGACGTGCCATCTATCTGCTTCGACCGGCACAGCAATTCCGCGCGAGACCCTTCCTTCTAGGTGGACACCACCGGGTAATGGGACTCCGTCTAAAAGCATCTGCTCCATCGAATCACTCTGGAAATCGCGCCTGCCCTTTCGAATACGTACCTACAAACGACGTGATCCTATCAGGACATGACGTGCAAGATCCCGTAGTGCACAGGTGAACAGAGTCCAGGAACCTCGGACGTCAACCGCGATTCATACCTACCCACCGCCCAAAAAGGCGTATGCTTCAAGAGTCATACAACATAGCGGCTACAACCACGTCAGGACCCTGCAGCAGGATCAGTCCCACCTGCCCCAGAATCCACTTCCTCTCTGGGAAAGTGGCGCTGAGTCCGCTGACACATTCCTGGAAGGTACACTATCATATTTCCAAACAGTGCCAGATTGGCGAGGTTCGACAATAACGACCCCTTCAGAGACACAGGAGCCCGCAGATGCGTCCCCGCGAAGCTGAAGCCACAATGTCGCGAATCTGTGACTCTTCGCGCTGCCAAGCAAGCCTGCGTCTTCGAAGATATTGTGCGAGCGCTCTAAGGTCTATACGAGTCAGCAACTGACATTCACTACCCCAGAGAGCCAAGCCTTGGCCCGTTATTGATCTGAATAAGCACACAAAGCATGCAGGAGTTCATATGCGGCTGATTGCTGCTTCTGGCTCTAAATTAACGGGCTGATGCACCAGTTGCAATCCTTCGGGCTCAGCAGTGCTGTCGCGTGGGGTTGGCGGGCCTGGGAAGACTCCTTCCAACTGAGTGAACTACCTAGGTATGGACGGTCCAGTTTCGGACTCCGCTGGCTTAGGCGACGGCGAATTTTGATGATGCATTCTCGGGGTCGGCTCACGAACACGTTCTCGGGTTTTGCCGAAGGTCTCCTTGCTAGACACAGGTTGCCATGGTTAGTCGCGCTTTGCTGAAACACTGGAGATGGGAAGTGAGTCACGAGTCACGTCCAGGAAGCACCGACTGAGCATGCGAGCACAAGTGAGCTTTCTCATTGTGATCTTATGAGCTACGTACGGAGCATGTCGTCTGCTGAGCTATGCTATGTCGAGGAGAATCAATTGTGAAGTCCGGCTCGTGGTCGACTGCTTTTCATCTGCTCGATCAAGATGGGTTCTCTTCTCGAGTCCGATGGGTCTGTTCCCGTGTGACAAGCTTGACAAATGCTTTGTCGAGCTCCTCATCCTTTCTGGCACCAGTATGAGGATTACTGGGTTAGAGAGCTCCTTTCGCGACTGTTCTCCCTTGACCCGACTGCGAGGATAGCTCTGTTTACTCTGCACGAACCCAACCCGGGGTTTGTGGGAGTTCTGCGACACGAGTCCAACCCGGGGTATGTGAGAGTTCTGCGAGGATGTCCGCCACATTGACCTTGACTGAGCCCGAGGAGGTCCCATGGTCGCTGACTTGCATTTGACCTCGATTGAAGTCGGTTTGCAAGACCTGCGAAAGCAGTCATTAGCATACTTTACCACCCGAGCCATTACAACTTACCAAAATGCGGTACGGGGGATCCCCTGAGGTGAGATCAGTCGCCAATGCCGCCATGTGTGAGATGTTGAGTTGGAAGCTCTGCTGGCGCGTTGCCCACTCGCGGAGGAGTGGTGTCAACTCCTGGCCATAGCCAATGGGATGATTTAGATCTAAGCCCAAGAGCTTCGATAATGCAGATCTTACCAAGGCGCCCCCGTGTTCCGTCAGAATGCCTTCCTTCAAGAAAGCATCTTCGCGGACTTCCATACAGTATCCTAAACGGTTGACCAACGTAAACGTCTGCAGCAATGGTAACTTGGCGATAGTGCCCAGATAAAGGCCGTCCAGAACACTCATATGCAGATGTCGAACTTGCTCCAGAAGATCCATCGATTTCGGGAGGCCTTCGTTATACAGAATTGACAGCTTCAACGATCTCATTTCGTCGCTTGCATTGATGATGCCGTGTCGAAAGAATGCCTCTTCTGCCTGTACGTAGCATGCCTTGCAAGATAGGAGGATTGATAAGGGGTTATGCTCGAACGGTGCCAGATCCCCAGCACGACGGCGCACCTTGATCCAGCTGCGCAGCTCGCGTGGCGTACGACCTTTATTGTCAATGGCTTTCAGGTAGCGACTGAATCGACGGCCGGCGAAGAGGTGACGGAAGATCAGTTGTTGGATCTCCTCTGGCAAGGCTATGAGATTTGGGGGTGGGTCGGCCATAGTGGCTTCGGGACATGCGAAGAGCAGGATCAGTATTGAATAACGTCAAAGGATAGAGGATGAAGGATCTTACAACGACGCGGTCCTCCCGACGAGGATCACGAAAGCGAGTAGGCGATTCAGAAAGAATTAATTGCGATCGGAACTGACAAAAGGCATAAAAGACTTCAATCTTCGGTGTGGCAGGAACATGATTCAGACGTCGCAAGTGAAGTGCCTGGGTGAAGTTCCGCTGTTCGGTCGCCAGAGGCAACAAAGCGATAGGTCACAATCCAATGACAGACAGTCCGTTTGCCTTGGACCTGAAAGTGAACCATTGGGACCTCAAACTCTAGCCCTGCTTGACCGCAGAATGAATGGAACGTGATGTAAATTGAGCGGACTTGACCCAGATAGAATACAGTCCCATAATCAATCCTCAACGCCACACACTGTCGTCATGGCTATGCAGTACGCCTTTGCGCCCACTCTCAGGTTGACTGACCGAAATACCCATACCGCCGATGCACCTGCCCAAGGAAGCTCACGATCTTCTCGAACACTCTTACCCTCTCCGCCTCAAGAATTGAGGACGGCAGCTCCAACCAACCGTGAAACGCTCCTTCCACCTCCATGACTTCTAGCCTTCTCTCTCCTTTCACGAGCGCTCTACTGTCGCTGACCAGCGACTCTCCCTCGTCCTCAAGCTCTGTGCTTACTCTTTGAACAAACCTCCTCGACTCATCAACCACAACATCGATCTCCGCCAGCACCATCAGCACGTCCCTCGGCAGATCCTTCGCCTCCATCACCATCGGACTGCACCTCGCCTCACCACTTCTCCCACCACTCAGATCCGCATAGCAATTATACAACTGTTGCAGGAAGGAGAATGGATCTCTCTTCGGATACTTCTCGCGACACAAGATCTTCTTCTGCCATGGCGGAATCCTCAAGTCAATGGGTGCGTAGCAGGTATACGTGCCTTGATGCGCGTAGAGGCCTCACTGCCGCCGGAGCAGCCTTCACCGAGGCACGCGGCGAGGCCGAGGTTGCCGCCTGCGGAAGTGCCGCCCGTAGTGATGAGGTTAGGGTCTGCGCCAAAGGCGTCGGCGGCATGCATGTGGAGCCAGGCGATTATGTCGTCGATGTCGTCAATTGCGGCTGGGTAGGGGTGTACAGGTGCGAAACGGTAGGTCGGCGAGACGACGATGGCGCCTGTGCGTGATGAAATGAGCTGGTCAAGGCGGGCTTGCGATTCCGGAAGGCCGCCAATGAAGCCTCCAGGGTGCAGGGAGACATGGAGGGGACGGAGACTGGAGGAACCCGGCGAAGGGGCTGGTGAGGATGGTGGTGGACGATGAAGGAGGGCTCGAGTGCGACCGGATCGTGTTGGGATGTCTATCGTCTCGTAGGGCTTCTTACGGAAGAAATAGGGCGCTTTGATGATCAGGTTGACGAGGATGTTTGTTGGCCAGAGGAGAAGGAGGCGCCATCGATACTTCCAGGCGAGAGGGCGGGTACTCAAGGCGCTGAGGAGAGGGTGGAAGTTGTTGTGAATGAAGGTCCGCATCTTCTTTGTGCTATCGTCGTCTATCTCACGGCAAAGTCAGTTTGATCGGCGAATAGCTCGGGTGCGGCAGATATGCGGAGTGCAATAGGTACGGTATTTCTGCTCTCAAACGTCCGACATTGCGTTCCGAGGGCGGACTCGCCATAGTATGAGCAGTCAGCATTGAATGGTCTCAACCAGAGAATCTGCCCAAGAAATCGAGGTGTCGAGATCCGAATACGAGCGCTTGCAGAATAGGGATCAAAGCCGCCGGCTGGGCGTCTGGGCGAGGCAGCAACAAGGCAACAAGGCATCAAGGCAACCACAGAGTTGGTCAGGGGCCACAAACAGCTCCGAGCTTCCTGACACCTTCATTATGTCAATCAGCAACACAGGCTCATCTCATCAAGATGTACTCCCTACGATGCGTCAGACATGTTGTCGTATGCGCCGAATGCGCCGGTGAAGGGTTGTTGCTGAAGGACCAAACTCGTCCATTTTGGAAAGAAACTCTCACCTGAAGAAGTTCTTCACTTTATGTCTCGATGTGACAATGTGATAGAATCTGATTGCGCCTTCGCGGGGCAACGCCAAGAGCTGCCTGGACGGACGTGTCGCGACTCTATGTCGCAAGTCAAAGTTGGCGGTCCGTTAATTTGTCTCATAGCAACCGCTCCTCGCCTTCTTTTCTGACAACACCGCTCGCACACGATGGCATCCTCTTCTGATGTGAGAGCTATCGTCGCATTGCCGATCGTCTCGCGATCAAAAATGGATTCTTTGACCTTTGCTATGTCGAGACTTAAGTTGACTGATAGAATCGACCTCACCACACTACCGTTCGAGATTCAAGAAATCATCTTTCGCCATCTCTTCGCCGGCCGACGCTTCCACAGATGTTACCCTTTGCCCAATCCCAGGGACAATCCCCCGTCTTCATCACCAGCATATCAAGATCTGCTGAAAAAGCACCATGGTCGCTTGCGAACGTTGGACATAAGTGTCGAGCCACATCCGACCCCAGCTGAGTTGGAGGCTCAAATCCCTGATTGGGGTCTTCCCACCAAGAAATTCTCTCTCATCTACAAGCTGTCAGGCGACCGGGTCTTCAAGGAGGATGCGGCCAGCTATCTCCACAAGCATATCAAGCTCATCAATGGACGCTTTCACGCGCGAAGCAAGTTGGATCGCCTGTGTCTTGAACGTAATGAATTTCCTCGAGACAAGGCAAGCCCCGTGGCGGTCATGCTCACTTGCAAAGCATACTGTACACGAACACAGAATGCGATGCTTCGATACTCAGTCATCAACGGAACCAAAGTCATGTGTGCTTATGAACGATATGGTTACGCAGAGCCAGAACCGATGGGTCTGCTACGCCAAGCCCGACATCTGTACTTGAAGACTAGTATTCAAACGGATTATCTTGGTATCTTCGGTCGAATGACACAACTGAAGTCGCTGACGATAGACCTACGAACCAGTGTAAACCGCACACTTACAAAAGATCAGCACAATGGTGTTTTGACAAAGCAAGGGCGCCAAGCCGTACGAAGACTTGTGTGGTCTCTAATAGCAGTGAAACCCTGGAAGGCCGGAAGACCGTTAGGATACTGGACGAATGTAATGGAACTACTTCGGGAATGGACACTCCGCGAGGGCCCACTCCAAGTCAAGATTCTTCTCAAAGACACAATCCGCGTCCCAGAAGCCGGATCAACGGTCAGTTTACAGCCTCTCTCGCCCGAAATCTGCTAACAATGCTGTCCGCAGGATCTCGAACTTGACTTCGACTCGCACGAAATACGGCTCATGAAGGGCATGGTTGTGCAAGAGACAATGCCATTCGAAGTACATACCTTGCTAGACCACCTTTCGCACGGTCTTGGCTGGACTCTTGTTCTATGGCCGTGCTGCAAGTCAATTGAGGGCAATCGTTCACTATGCGCGCAGGAAGAAATAGCTAGGGCAGCCATGATATGAAGCCCACCTAAGGAATCACGAGGGTGCATTCAGCGATAGCAGGCTGGCATACATGTAGCGGCAGAAGCCTTGCGAAAAGGACAGAACTCAAGGCGGGAAACACTCCTGGGCTCTGGAGCTAGGCAAAGGAAGTCTCCTATTTTGGATCCGCATGTACATGGTCGTAGGTCATATCTACCGAATCTCAATTTTCCTCTGACTCCTAAAGCGCTGTCTTCGACCGAACGCTGTAAGCAAAACCCTCCATGGAGCCCTGAACAGCGCAAGCTCGGAGAAGATGAGTGCTGCAATAATGTGGCCTTGGCTGCTGCTCGAGTCGCCACCATCTCTCCAGTATCACTACCTGAACCCCCCATTCCATCGCTGATCAGGCCAGTGCATGGTCGTCGCGACAAGTCTCGCGTAGCCATGACGTTCGCTCTCCTGATCACTACCTTCTGGCTGATTGATGTTGTTCCACAGGATCGCCAGCATCCTGAACAGACCTGCTGCTACAGCGTGCACTTCTTAACCCAGACCCATGTAAAGCGCATGCTCCTCAGCCGACTTCTTCTCCAGGCCATCATAGTCGTCATCGTCGTCGTCGTCATCATCATCAACCTCGCCCTCATCACCATCAGCCTGCTGCGACCTCCGTAACTTCGCGTTGATCGCGTAGAGGCCTTCGGGCAATGCTTTGCGCAGATAGTCGTCTCTCTCCGTCTCGCTTTTGAATGGAGCATTGAGTTGCTCCTGCTCCTGCTTGCGAGCCTCTTCAGCTTCAAGCTCGTTTGCTCTGACCTCGTCGCTGCGGTCACTCAGAGTGCTGTCGGTGTCGCCATCGTCCTCCATGTAGTCACCGTTGGCGTCACCAGCTGCAAGGTCACCCATGTAGTCACCATTGGCGTCATCAGCCGCAAGGTCCTCCGGAAGGACGTCGCATCCATCAGATATGTCCGACTGCCCGTCATCGTCGTGCTCATTGCCGCCTTCATCACCTTCACCACCTTGGTTGTTATCGCCGCTACCGTCGTCACCACTGCCACCGTCACCACCACTGCTGCCACCACCGCCGCCGCCCCCACCGGCTTCATGATCATAATCGCCGCTGCGACCGCCGCCATTGCCGTCACCACCACCAGTATCGTTATCGTCGTCATCATCGTTGTCGGCCTGCGGGTTTAATCTTCGTAGCTTCAGCTTCCGTACCATCTCGTCACATATTCTCTCATAGTCTTCAATTTCCAGGATGCTCCAAGACACTTCATCTTTTGCGGCCTCGTCTCCGGCAGCATACGCCGCCATGCAACTGTACAGCTTGCTCATGCTGTCGCAAACGCTGTCCTCGAGCTCGACAAGGCGCGCGTACGCCTTTTTAGCCATGTCAAGAAGGGGCTTCTCCTCAGCGAGCTTGCAGAGAATGAACGCGCATGAGACAAGGTTCTGAATCATGGCCGAGTTCCAATTCCAGGTAGACCCGTCCAAAGGCCGCCGCAATCGAGCATCGACCTCCATGATTCCTCTAGGGTCGAATGCGGTGATGTTGTAAGCGTGGAACTGCTTCTTACACCGCTGCCAAACGGGTCCGTAGAAGGTCCGGAGTGCTGCCCATTCCATTTCGGACTTTTGATCCCCTGCATTGGGGAACGTAGCTCGGCCGTCAGTGGCGCTGCGCTGCCCTGCACTTTCCACTTCATGATCAGAGAATGTCATGACCACGCCGAGGCGCGCCCCGTTGGACGGAGCTCCGGTGGGCGCGTTGCCCTGGGCTACCTGTTTCCCTTTAGAACGCTTGTCATTGTCCTCCGTCTCGTCATCGTCTCTCGAGGCTCTTTTGCCCAGAGTCGTGTTGGGTTGGGGGTCCTCGTCTGGCTGTGGCGAGATGGCATTCTCATATCCCTTCCAGTAATCGACGGCTACTTGCTTGAGACGCTCGGAGGCCTCCTCAGCAGCTCTGACTCCTGCGTCAATTTGATCCTGCGTAATGGGTTCATCAATCGGGTCATCAGCAGCCTCAGGCTGGTTGTCGACCACCTCATTCTCTGATGATGCGCTGGCATCTGAGGTCGTCGTCTGTGGCGCAGCTTCTTCTGAGACGGGTTCGTCGGATTTAAACTGCTCGGCAAAGTCCTGCTGAATGTTATTGAATATCTGGTCCGTCTTGTCCACGTGCCGAGGGGCAGGAACTGGTCGCTTCGCTTCTGTCGATGCTTCAAAGGCGTTGCTGTCAGGCGCAGGGAATGTGTTTGTGGCCACATCAGACGTCACGTTGCTGGCGAGCTCCTGGGATGAGAATTGTGGAGTAGTAGGCTGGGCTGAGGAGTGTGTCGCAGGAGTGCTGGGTTCAACGCCACCGTCCGGGACACGCGAAGATGGGAATCCTTGACCGGCCTGCATCCTTGGCGGTGCGCCTCCTGTGTCACGTTGGCCGCTTGCCCATGTGTAGTATGGGGTCGATGAGTCGGTGTTTAAACTGTCATTGTTAGCTTCAGAGATCTCAGCGCGAAGGGGTACATACTCAATGACACTCAGTTGGCCCTTGTCGATATTCACTGTCTTGTTCTTCGACTCCAGCTCGACTCTAGCTTCGCGGATAGTCGTATCCTTCACCGTGCCACGATGGCCCTTGTACGGACCCTTGGTGATTTTCACCGTCTTTCTTATAAGTCTGTCGATGCCCGGTCGTTGAGGCGGAGCCACAGGAGCACCGTTGGGACCTTTCGCTTTAGCCGGTGGCATAAAGTCCGAAGGTCCGTTGATGCTGTTGGATTGTTGCTGATCTAACGAAGCCATGGCTGGAAGTGCGGCAGACGAGTGTGGGTGACCGATTCCACCAGAGAGTTCTTCAGTACTTCGGATAGGAGTGCTGTACATAGAGGTTGATCCAATATTCGCATGACTCGTCGTGTTGCTGAGATGCCCCTGAGCTGCAGGTCGGGAGGCCGCCGGTGTTACAGCAGGAGTTGCTGAACTCTTGTGGGACGAGAGACCAGCAGATGTCGCGACCGCAGGATTGGACGTACTGAATGCATCCAGAGGGTTCTTCGTTCGGCCCGCGCGGACATGGACTGGTGGTGTTGGGTTTGCTGACGGCAGAACTTGGTATGAGGGACCAATTCTTGAGGAATGACCCGGGTTTGATGTGAAGACTGGTGGCTTGTTGTTGGAGCGAGACAGTCTGAACTGATCGATCTTTTGACCCGTCTTCCGTACTTTGGTGCTAAGAGGCGTAGGAGGCTTCGTGATGGCCGGAACGCTCCTCGCGTTGTCGGGTTGCTGCTGAGTCGAAGCACTCGAGACAGCTAGTGCCATATTGGGCTTCGAGATATCAACGGAGCTTCGTGACTGCGCCGGAAGATTCGAGACAATTGCTGGAGAAGGTCGCTTTGTTTTAGCGACGAGGCTCAGGTATCCATCGAGAGAATTAGTCCAGTCCATTGGATCAACGCTTGAATGTGCAGACTGGGTACTAATGCTAGGTGTAGCGTTGTTACGACCCACGGGTGCGACAGTTCCAGCAAGCCGGGAAGCGTCTTCCTGCATGGCTTCATCTTCTGGCTGATCAAGCTGAATATCCATAGCGTCACCGTCTAGCTTTGTAGCTAGCGCTTGCTCTGGCACTGGAACTGGTCGAGTCGCAGTATCTTCGGTAACTTTATCTTCTGGCTGCACAAGCTGAACAGCCATAGCGTCGCCGTCTGGCGTTGTAGCTAGCGGTTGCTCTGGCGCCGAGACTGGTCGAGCCGCGCTGGCTTCGAGCCCTTCCATCGCATTCAGGACTTCGGTAGCTGGACCCTTGACGCCGACCGCCACGAATGTCTCGCTCTGGGAGGGCGCTGGCTGCTGCGGTATCACCGATCCAAGCACATCGTTTTCGGCTTCCTGAATAGACTGCATAGCATTGTTGTCCACAGCATCTTCGATTTGGGAAGATACAAGGCCGTATGGAGTGCTCGTCATATCATCCGAGTCATTCTGGTATACTGAGGGCGCGACCGGGCTTCCACTCGCAATATCATCATGCCGGGAGGTCTCTGGCTGCTGTGAAGAGACTGTGTCAGGGTCCTCGACGTGGACTGGCAAAACTTCACCTGTGGAGGCCTCCAGATCGAGTGCGAAGGGACCGCTGCTGTCACCATCGTCGTCACTGTCGCAGAACACTTCGCGCTCCGAAGCGTTCATTTCAGACGGACCGGACGCTGGGATATGCTCGACGACCTCATTGGCAGTGGACCCCAATCCCGCAGCCTCATCAACAGCGCCGAAGGTGTCCGCATTGTCGGACGCTAAGATTGCAATGACTTTTTCCGTGACTGCTGAAACTGTAGCATCTTCATCGTACCCCCAAACGACCTCCACTTCATCATGATCTGTGTCTCCGCTGAAGCTATCCGCAACTACCGGTGAGGTAGGTTCTCTTGTCTGAGGCTCAGTACTCTCTTGCTCTACAGCCATACTGGGCTGGGCGACATCTTGCTGTGCCACCTCAATTCTCTGAGCGATGTCTTGCTCCGCCGTCACACTAGTCTCAGTGACTTCGTGCTCAATCACCTTTGTGGTCTGGATGATTGCAACCTCATCGGTGCGCTGGCCTGACTTCTTGCTCCATAGCTTCATTTCGAGACCCCATTCCTCGTGCACATCGCGCAATGGCTTGTAGTCGCGTATGCGCCTACGAGTCATGTATGAATCTGGCGCGCCGGCAGCAGGAGCACTCCAGGTCCGAGTCTGTGTCTCGGCATCGATGTAGCGTGCGATACTTGGTGGTGGCGGCAGATCTGCTTGCGTCTCCGTGCTTACGTATGACGATGTTGTTTGTGTTGATTTCGTGTTGCTATCGTCTCTGTCGCTGCTATTTGTGTTCTCTGCGCCGGCTGCGATGTCGGTCTTGCTTTCGTTTTCGATCATGCACCACATAAAAACGAGAAACACGAAAGCACACGCGATCAATTGGATGATGGTGTGCTTATAATTCTCGTTGATTCCGAGGACCAACGCCTCATATGCGAGCGTAGCGAAGCTGGCGGACGACATATTGGCTGTCTTGGTTCTGTTGGAATGAGTAAGAAGAGCAGAAGTTGCTTGCGATTGTCGATCGAGAAGAATATTTGAGATCTTGCAAACAGGCAGTGTTTCTGTATTTATCACGTGAAATTGAGACCAATTCGAGAGGCTGTGAGTCACGGCCTGATCGAGCAAACGCGTCTTGGTGGATGTGGTTGTCAAGTGAGATGTCGTCGTTACGGTTTCGGTAGAAAAGGCAGTTGTTGCCTTCGTCACCCACTCAGCATCTGAAGTATTGATGGCTTTCCACAATGTGACGGTTGGTCTTTGCTTGAAGAGGATTTTGTCGAATTCCCGCGTGTCTCCATAGTATTGGAATACCCGTGTCGCAGGAACGAGAAAGCCGCAATGCTTCCCAGCGCACCCGCTACACTTCCAGCAGCAACTATGTCCATGCTTCTCTGTAATGTTGACTTTTGGACGCCTTGCAACCCCTTCTGCACGTTATCCGAGACGAGTCCATCGCAGGACGATCAACATGGACAAAGAAAAGACGAGAGTCCCTGGAGTAGAAAACAAAGCAGCTCATTGTTGGAACGTTACAGCCTTAGTGTCTGGCTCCAGCTCCAACAACGACTTACCTCTTCCCATTATCTCTGCTCCTATTCCGAGACACTGCACAATTTTCGGCTCTGTTCCGCATGGTGGCATGGTTGCGCTCTCTGACAGGAACACCGACGGACGACTGCGATCTCGGCTTTTTCTGGAGCTGTCACCCGTTCAAGCCGGCGCGTCGCGGGTCCGGGTGTCACACGAACGATGCATTCCCTGACTAAGGATTGGTAGCAGCCTCGCAGTCTTCAGCATCGTCTGGCACTACTGCGTAGTCGAGAAAGAAACACCCTGACAGAAACCACATCGTGGTGGAACAATGTATCGGCATGACGAACAAAGGCAGAACAATACGCCTGAGTCAGGCACGTCATTGACGTATATTCCCGAGTCGCGCTTTACTAACGTCTCAATATGCGCACCGTGGCTGCCATAAGTAGATAATCATCGCATAGGAAGGAAACGAAGCAAGAACGATGTAGATTGACGTTGATTCTAGGAATCGCTTGGCGGGCTTTTCGCCGCGCCGGATGACGATAGCTGGTCTCGGCCAGGCACGAGTAACCCCAGACAGTACCTCACCTTAGTTGATGCGAATACAGTGAACATGCCGTAACATATCACATCGCGCGCTGACGTAGCGATCTCCGTGCAGCAGGAGCAGCCCTACATTAAACACCCCGGTTGACTTGAGATTATGATGTACTCCCCATTATTAGCCAGCACTCCGCTCTCACTACAACCCAACACCAGCACAACCTTTGACTACACCACTCACAACAACCAAGACCTCCTCCCCCTCTGCTGGCCCCTCCCAACCTGCGACCTCTGCCTCGCCTCCCCACACCCTTGCGCCTGGTGCGCCGTCTCCAGCACCTGCGTACCCAACACCCTTCTCCCCCACCCATTCGCCATCCTCGCACCACTCAAATCAGAGAGTATCTGTCCGCTGGCGTGGAGGGAGAGGTGGGAGTTGCGGGATAAAGTGTTTGGATGTCGATGTAGTACGATGACCGTGATGAGCGTGGTGGTTGCAGTGGTAGGGACTTTGGTTGGGGTGGCGGTATTGTGGTTGTCGGGGATGTTGGTGATGTGGGGATGGAGGAGGTGGAAGCGAAGGCGGGAGGGGTGGTGGCGGGTGCATGAGGGAAAGTGGTGGGGTCTGGGAAAGGTGCGATGGTGGAAGCGGAGGAAGGAGCTGTTTCCTCAGGCCATGGGGCCACAGCAGGAGCTGGTGGATGAAGAGCGACGGCCTTTGATCACTTGAGTGAGGAACGAACGATGTACAGTATCACCGATTTTGTGTTCGACATGGATTGCTGTTCTGCATGGACTCTATGCATGTCTGTGATGCTGCGTCTGACCAGCTGATCATGTCCCGCCATATACTAGGACAGCGGCAGCCTTGTGCGAGCGTGTCGATCACCACAGACTCGTCGCCTTGCCGCTCACTGGCCCCAGGATCCTCTTCGCAGGCCCCAGCAACGAATTTCCCACCCCTAAGCCTCCTCCCCAGCAACCACTTGCCAACCTATATATTATTCTGTCCTACTATTTTGCTCGACAATAGCGTCACAGGACCATTCGCGTACACAAGAACACTTGCTGATTCCTAGCAAAAGCACCCAGTAATGAAGATTGGTGTTAGTAGCCCCTGGTTAACGTCCACCACCGCGGGACAATCCTATGGTAGAAAAGGAATCTGGAGCTTAAGTCCTCGATGCGAGTAGCGGTGGTCCCAAAGAACCCATTCAGTTGGGTTTCTCAATGGCCTCCCTTCTCCCTCCTTGGGGCAATTGAGTTTTTGCTGTTTTGGTGACGCGGCGGTGTTTTGGCAGCCACTGTGGGGTGATTGTGGGCGCTAGGCGTTAGCGGTCCTACTGGCCCATGGCAACGACGAGAGCTGGACGACGACGTTGGTGGTTGCAATCTTGGCATTCATGATCCATGCGGGGGACCTCAGTCGTCCTGCCAGGCGCTTTTCTTAACGTTCTCGCCTTGTGATCGGCTTTTGCCTATGCCGACTTTGACCTTGCTGTAATCACGCTCCTTCTCCATGACAGGGTCGCCTTCGTTCTTCGCCTTGCGACTATCTTCTAGATAGAAGCGACCACCTTCGTACGAGCCAAGATACAGTCCGGACCCCATCGCAGTCCAGCCAGCACGAAGAGCTGCTCCCCGGAAGAGGCCTCGGATGCCTTCCTTCTGCAAGACCTCCTTTGCGACTTCGAAACCACTTTTCCGAGCCCCGCCTGCTCCTTGAAGCCAACTTGGCACTGGACCTTCCTGCTTGGGCTTCTTACCTTCCTCTGCCGCTGCAAGCATGATTCGAGTCTTCACAACATCGATCGGAGTGGTGATCCAAGCTGAGCCGCTACCAGCGATCGAAGCGCTCATTGCAGTGATGCTTGCGCGCTCAAAAATACCATTGACAGGTTCACCACCCTTGCTCTGTTTCCGCCGGTCCATGAAATATGTCTTCAGCTTTTCGAACACAGGAAATTGCAGCGCGGTGAAAGGCAGGTTGCGGGCCGCGAGTGCACTATAACCCCTCCACAGCTGCGTAGGCTGCTTGCGGAATTTCTTCAGCACATGCATGGTAGGCGAAGTCTTCGCTCCCATACTGTTCCTGTCCACCATCTGAGCATTCTGCTTGATCACCTCGGCGGGTGTCAGAATGGCGCAGCTGACCAGCTCGGCGCCTCCACTGGCCAGCGCATGGATTGCTGACTGTGGTATAAAGAGAGTTGAGTTTGGAGGAACGATCTCGTTGAGGCCGTATTTCAGGGCTTCATAGGTTGTGAAGAATGCTCCTGAGGAGGGTATGGTGATGGCTATGATAGGGCCAATGCCTTGATATAGACCCCTGAACAGGGTCTTCTTTGCCTTCCCACTAGCATCTCGGTAGATCTGTGTGTAGTCTGGTGACTGAATGCGTGTCTTGAGAGTGTCAAGTGGGTAGACAAGTAGATCGACGCTGAATGCTGCGAATGCTCCGGCCTGTATATGTTAGCCAACATCACTCGGAGGGATCCAGGAAAGAATTACAAGCCAGATATCAGTGTTGGTGTTTCGCGACATGTATGGCCGAATGGCCGAGTGAGAGGTGAGTCGTGGCTGCTGATCTGCATAAAGCCTGGGCTATTTCGATGACGAGGTGAGGAAATGGAAATGCAGCGCGCCGGATGACAAGATTTGTTTGATGTCCGAATACGGCAGGTTGGGCGAGGCACACTTCACGACTTCCACGGCCAGAATTTTGGGCGTATTCACGAAATTCATTCCTCTTCCATAATCGGCTTTCGTGCAACATGGCTACCGCTGAGTGAGTGCTACCATGTGTCTGCCGACTCCTGCTGACTTGCGAACAGACTTCCCAAGGATGCGCCGCTCCAGGCCATCCAGGTGGAGGCCCTCACGGTAATGAAAATCATCAAACATTGCGCCGATCGATTTCCCACGTTTGCGACAGGTTTTCTGGTGGGCATGGACAGAGAGGGTACACTAGAGGTCACCAACGCGTTCCCGTTCCCGGTCATCGACCTCTCGCCTGAAGCGCAGTACGAACAGCCACACGTCAATGCCGCCGCAGCAGCCCCGCGGGCGAAAGCCAACGCTGGGTACCAAGCAGAGTATCTGAAGGTCCTGCGGGAGGTCAACATCGACGCCAACCACGTCGGATGGTACACCAGTTGCAATCTGGGCAATTTCGTCAACCTGAACTTCATCGAGAATCAATATCACTACCAGAGAGAACTAAATGAACGGGTGGTTGCGCTCGTCCATGATGTGAGCAGGACGTCGCAGGGTATTCTGTCGTTAAGAGCCTTCCGACTGTCACCTCAGTTCATGGCGGCATACAAGGAGTCCAAATTCACTGCCGACAAGTGAGTCCGAAGGTCTACCTTCTGCCATGTAGCGTCACTAACACGCTCTAGCCTGCAAAAGTCCGGTCTCAAATATTCCGACATCCTCGTCGAACTCCCCATCACCCTCCACAACGCACTCAACGTCAACACCTTCCTCAGTCAAATTCCGAACATGCTGTCCAACGGCACCCTCGCCGCCCCAACATCTGTCTCCGACATCGAGCACAACCCCGCAGTCGCGCAAGACGACCTCGCCCCATCCTTCAACGCCCTCACCCTGTCAAACGACCCCTTCCTCTCACAAACCGCCGACAACCTTCTCGATGCGATCGAAACCCACCACGTCGAGTCAAACAACTTCAGCTACTACAATCGTGCCCTGGCGCGTGAGCAGGCCAAGATTCAGCAATGGCAGGCGAAGCGGAAAGCAGAGAATGCGGCAAGAGCGCTTTCGAAACAACCGCCGCTGCCAGAAGATGAGTGGCAGCGGTTGTATAAGTTGCCGACGGAGCCAAGTAGGTTGGAGAGTATGTTGAATACCAGGCAGGTGGAGCAGTATGCCAGGCAAGTGGATGGTTTCGTGGCGGGTAGTACGGGCAAGATGTTTGCGGTCAGAGGGAATCTGCTGCCGGATGGAGCGCCCAGTGAGGCTTGATTGCGCGCAGTCAGGACGGGCGGCGCGTTGCACAAAAACTTCTGTCCACCTTCGACCACCGAGGAAGGGCGGCTGGGACGAAAAGGGGGTTCTTCTCGTGAGAAAGCTGGCGTTGAGCCTGGCAGCTCGCCAGTCTCATAACAGGCATTACAGGTTCATGGCTGGACAGACGAGACACGAACTTAATGCTATTACGAGCATGGGAGAAGCCTTAGGTCGAGGGTCGATAGGTCTGTCTGCGAGAGTTGCAGATTCACTGAACAGAGACGCCACGGAGTCTTCTCACGCCGTGCTGTCGCTGCATCCACGAGCGTACGGACAGATCAGATTATTCACCGAATCACAAAAGGTTTTCACCAATTGCTACAAGTATGTCATCCGGTCCAGCATGAACACTACCCTTTTCGCAATGCAAGCCGCCTACCCCAAAGACCCATGTCGTGAGGTCGCAGTCCACCAGCTCCGCTCCGCCTACCACCCCGCTCCGCCGCGGACCTGATAGAACTTGCCTTGGCTAAAATCGGAAGGTGAGTTGCCCTTCCCTGACCGCCCGAACCTGGCAACACCTGTCCTAAACACCTCTCCCTTCATCAGGCAGCAGCCTTTTCCTCAGCAGCCACCCTGTCCCTCCCTCTGCACTGCCACCCTGTCCTCCCTACTAGCGCTGCTTTAAACCTGCTCAACCTTCGCAGGTCCGCACTGGATCTGATGCTTTGTTTACAGAGTGAGTCACAAAAGCAGCGAGGGTGAGACAGGTCCACTCGCGCTGAGATCAAAGTTTCGAGGATGGACAGGACAGGTGTTCGGGGGGTTCTGGCAGGGCCGGCAGGATTCTGCTCGGGGAGGAGGACAATTCAGGGTCCGGGCAGCGCTCGTCGTGTGCAAGGAGAGGGGAGGTTTTCGGTGAGGGGAGCGATCCATTCGATTTGTTTGTGATCTATGTACAGTTGACTTAACAACCAGAGCTATGTGCAGTGTTCTCTGTGGCATTTCGGGCGTCTCGTCACTCGCGGGATGACCAGAGCGAAGGCGCTCAGTAGTGGACGGGCGTTCTCCCACGGGCTTTGCGCACATCGGGCTGATGCTCGAGTAGCGGAATGACAGAAGTGGAAGGCCCGGTGTGAACTTGCGTATGTGAAGCCTGGAGTGACAGGCGTCTTAGGCCCCGGGGCCGCAGTTCTGGGGGTGCTGAGACGCCCGTAACGCCTAGAAATCCCAGGTAATGTTCGCTTGCATGAATGATCCCTAAACTCGAGGCGATAGGACCCTATATCGGCTAGCTAGATTTGGACTCGATCTTGCGCCGCTCTCGAAAGCGAGCTATAAGCACGACCAATTGATGTCAGTTGTAAGCCTGCGTCTGCGCAGCCGAGTCAGCATCCCGTGCTCGCCGCTCCTGCTCAGAGCCGGCATTCAGAAGCTGGTTCTGGGTCTGCTTCTTCTGTGCTGATAGTTGTGATGAGAGCTTGCCTCCGGGCTTGCTTGCGGCGGCCGCTCGCGCCTATAGTTCCTTGTTAGTTCTTCCGCTGGAAGATCCGACAACATACTCGAACGAATTTGGGAACGACTGCTGATGCGCTTCAGAAGATGGTTGGTAGATCCACATACCTCAGCAGCCCGCGCAGCTTCACTTCTGGCATTGTCCTGCCCTGACGGCGTCGCACCGTCACCTCCAAGTGTGCGTCCGGGCGAATTGGTGGTGATCTTCTGCGGCACGGGCGCTGATGAGGGGGTGCTCTGGGTGGCAGCCCCGCCTAGCGGCCTGCCAGGACTCGAGAAGTTATCGGGCTGATTGGAGGACTTGGAGCACAGGTTTCCCATATTGATGCCCTTGTTGTCGCGCGCTGCGCTCTTGCAGTTGTAGATTTGCACACACTGTCGTCGTGAGAGTGTACACGTTGGCTTGTCGTGAGAATGAAGTTCCGCGTACCTTAGCGAACCTTGGCGCAGCGGGACGAGTCGAGTCGAGTCCGTTCTAGGTGCTCTCCGCCCCTTATAGCGGCGAGTCGTAGGTGCTGGCCAGGCTTATAGCGGCATGATATAGAGGCTCTTTGGGCAACCTCTAGGTACTATAGAGCAGCAAGGGACCCCTGTTTGCCTACAAGTTGCCTGCAAGTAGAATGCAATCTTGACTTCCTTCACACATCAATGATCTCGTCTGCAAATTGCCCGTGTTTGAAACGCATCAAATTCCATCCAAATGTAGGTCGAAAGTGATAGCAAGCATCGAACAAGCATCGGCAAATGCTAGGCCTTGATTTGAGCCCCCCAATATTGCTTAGGCACGCTCCGGAGGCGGTAATGTCCAGGTAAGTTTAGGTGTTCTGTCGTGCCCGGGGTTACGCGGAATCACCTCCAGCCCCTAGAGGGCTCTGGAAGCACACCCGCGGAGGCTCAATGGCACCTGATTCCAGGCGGCGTAGGAAGGGGGTATAGGGGCTTGGGACGGTCTTACACGCTGGGATTGTCCGCGTCGATTTCGCTCTGGATGGTCTGGCGCTGCGAGGATGTTTCGCCAGGTATTCCACATCGAGATGAGCACGATCATCAAGGCCGTTGTTGGGAGATGCAGTCTCGTCCGGGATGTACACGGAGTGTTGATGCAGCAGATGTCTGGCGAGGTTGGGGCCAGGAATGCTTTGCTCCCTATGAGAGGCACATTGCAGGTAACATACCCAGGATCACATATCGGAAACAATACCAGTTGAGCACACAGGCTTCCCTTGCAACGATCTCAGGGCGAATCGAGGGTGGCTGGACAGTGCGATGCTTTCGCAAAAGATGCCTACAACGTCAGGTGCCCTGCTGCCGCTGCCGCCTTTCCAGACCGTTCGGTACAGCTGTTCCCTCGAGCACAGGCCTCTCACGGGACCTTGCCCTCAGTTGGTTCCAACCTACTGACAAGTTTTTCACCCTGAAAGCTTCATGGCGTGAATCAGAGCTGACTGCGCCGACGCTAGTCAGGTGTGTTTTCAGAGATTTCCCGTCCTATCAGAGGGAGCCAAGTGGTATGCGGAATCGTCACGGAGAGGCCTCCCCGTGCTTTCAGAGCCTCTATCTCGACGCACAGACAGCCGGACGGCAGCGAAATTGGTATGAGAATGATCGTCTCGGTGAGCCTGCTCGATTCCCGGTCAGATCGAGCGAACTGAACGCGGACTGAGGGAGCTGCAGCCGCACATGCATTGAGATACTGGAAAAAATGCTATGGCCATTGGCTTCAGCTCTGCTTCTCCCCGTGATGCTCCCGCCCCTGTTCTCATTGGTGCGGGTTACCGCTGTTTACAAACCTTGCTGCGCTTCCACCCTCGAGTCACGGTCCCGCCGTGCAAGTACTGGTACTGCAGGGAGTCACACTCAGTATCCGTCAGGCGACGAGCTGAACTGCTTCGCCCGGTCTGCAATAAGTATGGCCTCCAGATTCCCATTCTCCTTCCTGCGCCTCATCACAGAAACCAGAGTACATTGCACGGAAAAGAAACTGCAGCGTACAGCACAGAAACAGAACCAGCAACACACAAGAACAAGAACAGAAACGGCGGCAGCAACAGAAACGACAATGGCGGACTTGAAACCAATCGATGTTCTGGCCGTTGTTAGGGAGGGATACCACTTGAATCAAGCACGCAACAAATGGGTGCTGACTCTCCAGTATGGGAGCAAGACACTCGATGTAGCTGTAGCTACGAAGGCGGCCCCGGCCAAGGCAAAGAAGAACAAGACTTTGGGCGAACACCGCTGTGATAAATCGTTTGCAGACGTGCATTCGAGACAGCACGCCTGCCCAGCTGTATACACAAGCAAGCAGCTGCTCAAGGCCCACCAGGCGGCCTTCCACAAGTTCACGATCAGCAAGTGCCCCGGGAACGATGGGGCTTGCGAACACATATGCAGCGACCCTCAGAATATGCAAAAGCACATCAACAACAAGCATAACGAGGACAAGTACCATGTTTGCCCACGGGGTGACTATCAGGGCCTCTGGTCGAACGTCCAGCGTCACATCACAACGTGCTGTCCTGGCGAAAAACCCGTGCTGGTTGGAGGCAGAAACCGAAACCACACTCCTCCTCCTGCTGATTCACAACAACAAGGACAACAAGAACAGCAGCAGCAACAACGACGGCGGCAGCAGCAGCAGCAGCAGCAACAACAACAACTTGTTGCAATTCCTCCCGCTGGTCAACAACAAGCAGATCCAGCACTCTTTGCTGATCAACAACAACCAGCACAAGCTCATGTAGCTCCTGCTCTTGAAGCAGATGCTGCTGCCGTCGTCAATCACAACAATAACCACGCATACTGGATCGGCACGGGATACGGCTGGGCTCCAAACAACTATAGCGATCTCAATACTGCTGCTGCTCCTCTGCCTGCGGGCAACAATACAGAGAACAACGCGGCAAGCATCGACCCCGCGCTCGAGGAGGCCCCTGTCGTCACCATGGAGGCCTCCACACAACACTATCTCGAGGAGCCTCTCAACTCCAACGCTGAGGGCTTCGTTCAGTACTTCGCTTCCACTCCCGTGGCCGACGTCAGAGAGGCCGCCCCAGCGACCATCGACCCTGCAATCACCAACGGGTCTACTTTCGTCGCCAACAATTCTGTGCCTCCCGTCACAGAGGCCACCTCAGCGAATCTCGGCCCCGTGCCCGACGAGGCCTCCGCTGGGCTCACGGAAGCTTTCGACATTTTCGACCCGGAGTTTGCCTTCGAGGAGGCCCCCCAGCAGGAGCATTCTCAGCTCCAATTTCAGACCGAGGGTTTCAACTTCGACTTCGCCGACCACACAGAGGCCGCCCCAGCGAGCTTCGCCCCTGCCTTCAACAGCGAGTCGTATTTCGACACCAATCCTGTGCCTCCCGTTACAGAGGCCGCCCCGGCGAATGTCGTTCCTGACATGGACGGCCTAGCGTGGATCAACTCATTCCCGCTGGATCCGGTCGCTGCTGCCCCAGCACTTACCCATGAGGGATTCGGAGTCATCACGGATGAGGACATGGCCGCCGTGAATGAGTACGTGGATGGCTTTAATCGGCCATGGTACTAGCTCTTCGTCCCAGAACCGCTTCTTGCTGTCCTCCAAACACAAACAGGGCTATCGGACCAAGAGCGGCAGCGTCGTTGTTTCCGCTTCTAGCTGTCCTCCCGAAGAAAACAAGGGCTATCGGAGCTAGAGTGGAAGCAACACATATCAACAACAAAAATCAAGACCAAAAATCAGCGCCACAAGTCAGCAACACAAATCAAAAAACAAAAGCGACTTGTTCCTGTTTCTGCAACAACTTACTTGGTGACAAGCGGTGGAATTGGAATAATTGCCACGACAGTCAATATTGGTTGTGCTTGTGGCGAAAGGGAGTGTCAGCCTCCAGAACGTCACGAGTACAGCCTGGAACACAAGAGCAAGAAGGCTCAATCGAACGAGAGGAGTGCTTGGTGTGGGCTTCGGATGCCTGATAAGCAGGATTGGAGGAGGTCTACCCGAGCAACGCGGGGGTGAAGGGTGTTGGGCATACCTTTGGGGACGCCCAATGAGTATAGCGCCATGGAAGGGGAAGGGGTTGATAGTGGACGGGATAGGGGTTGATCTGGGCATTCTCCAGCCTTAAAGATCAATATGGGTATACATCAATGGTGACTGTACACAAATGAGCGTGTGTACAGCACAATAGTCCACATCAAGAATACCTCAAAGACGACCTCGCTGCTTTCTGATCCAAGTCGTAGACATTGTTCTCATTGACGTCGTCGCTGCCTGATCGAAATCGTGAACAGTGCTCACTTTGACGTCGTCACCAGTTGGTCCAGCCCGTGGCGATCGTTCTCTTCGAGCTCGTCGGCGTGATCGCTGCCATGTCATCTACAGCGCAATCAAGGCGTCTGGTACAAATTCCGACCCCTGGATGTGTTGCCTTGCCGTGTCGTCAAAACAATCTGCGATATCGATAAAGTCCGATCTGGTCTAGACCTCATCGGCAATAGATCGTCGCTGCTTTGACAGGGATCATGACATAAACATATTTTCTGCCTCGGCTCGTCAGCACTTGATGATGAGCTAGGGATTATTATTCTCAAAAGAAAGCCAACTCCGACACTTAGTTTTGTGTGATACACATGCCGAGTCGTGTGAAGTAGGAGGGAGGTTCGTTCTATAAGATCCTGAGCATTCCGATTTTCCTCTTGTTCAACTACACCTTCGTTTGCTTCTCTCAGACCACTCTCATCACGATGCCTACGAATCCAGCCTGGGTCAAGGCCCTCAAGCCATCTGGCCCTCAAGGCTCTGAGCTTCTCGAGCAAGAGCGCTCCAAGTCCAAGCTGAACATCGATCAATTGGCCGACTTTCTCTTCACCAAGCAAGAGCTCGACAAGCGGGCACGCATCCTCAAGATCCTCCAAGCTGACCCGGTCTTCGACAAATCGCAGAACTACTTCAGAGGCCGCACAGAGCGCATGGAAGCTGCCCTTGCACGCGGCAAACGTCTTCGCCAGCTGAGTGAGAAGCATGGATGGGATGAGAGGGAATACCACATTGCAAACGAGTTGCTGTCCGAGCCTGGGCCGTATGGTCTCCACGCAGGCATGTTTCTCAAGACTCTCAAGGAGCAGGGTACACCTGAGCAGCACAAGCTCTTCCTCGAGAAGGCAGAGAGGTATGAGTACATCGGCTGCTATGCTCAGACTGAGCTGGGCCACGGATCGAATGTACGAGGTCTCGAGACTACCGCGACTTGGAACGCCGAAGACAAGACATTCACCATTCACTCGCCTCATCTCACAGCGTCCAAGTGGTGGATCGGCTCACTCGGCAAGACTGCAAATCATGCCGCTGTCATGGCTCAGCTCATCATCAACGGCAAGTCGTATGGTCCTCATCCATTTGTGGTCCAGATCAGAGATCTGAAAACCCATAAGACCCTCGAGAACATCCATGTTGGCGATATCGGTCCCAAATTCGGCTACAACACCATGGACAACGGCTTCCTATTGTTCAACAAGGTCAAGATCCCACATGTCAACATGCTTGCTCGCTTCTCCGGCGTGGATCCTAAAACCAGCAAATATGTCCGCCCAGCAAATCCGTCGCTGATCTACGGCACGCTCACATACATCCGAAGCACGATCGTCCTCCAGGCTGGTGCTACCCTCGCTCGAGGCGTCACCATCGCTACTAGGTACTGCGCTGTTCGCCGCCAGTTCCAAGACCGCGACGCTCCTCCATCAGAGCCCGGCGAGAATCAGGTGCTCAACTACAAGATGGTCCAGATCAGACTGCTGCCACTTCTTGCCGCGACCTTCGCCCTCCACTTCACCGGTCGAGGCATGATCGCGCTGTACGAGGAAAACCAGAAGCGAATGGCTTCTCAACGCCCAAGCGACGAGAGCAGCCGTGCTCCCGGACCAGAAGAGACCTCTCCAGGCCCAGACCTCCTCGCCGACCTGCACGCCACGAGCTGTGCGCTCAAGTCCTACTCGTCCACCGTCGCGGCCGAAGGTCTCGAAGTCTGCCGCCGAGCCATGGGTGGCCACGGCTACTCTTCTTTCGCCGGCGTCGGCAGCTGGTACGCCGACTATCTTCCTACCGTCACCTGGGAAGGCGACAACTACATGCTCACCCAACAAGTCTCGCGCTACCTCCTCAAGTCCGCCCGCGCCGTCCTCAAGGGCAACGTCCAAGACAACGACACCCATCGCATCCTTAGCATCTACCTCAAACGCCAAGACATGGGCGCCGCCTTCGATGTCCTCGGTGAAGACGCTGAGATCGTCGATGCCTTCGCCTGGCGCGTCGCTCATCTCACTTTCGAAGCCCTCCGCCACCGCGACGAGGACAAGAAGTCATGGAACTCATTGTTGGTTGATTTCTACCGCCTCAGCAAGGCACATGCGCAGTACATGGTCGTGAAGAACTTCCATGATGCCCTCTTCAAGGAGGAGGCTACGAAGAAGGAGCTCGACAGCGACACGATCGAACTATTGAAGAAGCTCTACCGTCTCTTCGCGCTGAACACGCTCGAGCAGGAAGCGTCCGAATTCTTCTCGTCGCAGGCTACTACAATCCGGCAGATTACGCTGGCGAGGACGAAGGCGGTGATGACGCTGCTGGACGAGATTCGCCCGCACGCAGTGCGATTGGTCGATGCGTGGAAGTTCCCAGACTGGCTGCTGGATAGCAGTCTGGGTAGGTATGACGGCAAAGTGTACGAGGATATGTTCCATCGCGCAAGTGAGCTGAACCCAATGAACTCGATCACATTCGATCCGGATCCGAATTCGAAGGTTCTGTTCCGACAAGATGACAGGCAGGATTTGCGGAGCAAGTTGTGATTAAATGGTTTGGAGATGATGCTTTGCCTTCGAGCTGCTGCATTGGTTTGTGATTGAATGGTGTCTCCATTTGCTGGCTGTGTCCCGTTGAGGACGGTGGTCATCTTGAGCGGCGGGCATACAAAAGGGGAGAGGCGATACTTTTCTGCATCTCTTTTTGCTTTACAGTACATACACTCCACAATGAAAATGAATACAGAATATTGATCTGCCTTCCTCATGCTCCAATACTTCATGATGAAGTGCAAGTAATCGCCACGTAACGCCTTCGCTTGCTCGCTCGCCCAAGTCCCCAACTGTAGCACACAAATTAGGAGGCACGATGTGAATTGCCAGAACAAAAGTGCCAGAGGCCTTCCGAGAGCGAAACGGGGTAGTACTCTCAAGATCTCGCCCTCCCGCTGAGCCAGCCAACACAGACAAACTCCCTCAAAAACAACTTCTTCGACAGCTCCTTCCTCGTCCGCGCCTTTCCCGAAGGCACATTTCGTCGAGAGCTCCTTCTGCAAGAGGTTATTCCCGGAGAGCTCCTTCCTCGACCACACCTTCCTCACCCACACCTTCCTCTTCTCAACTGCTCCTTCCTCAGCCTTCCTGGCCGGTTCATGCCTCGTTCGCTCCTACCTCCAACGCGATCCCCCAATCGCTCCTCCCACGGCTTGTTGCTGCCGCGATCGTCATTGGCCCGACCGCGCCTTCATTCACGAACCACTTTGCTCAATCAATCAATCACGCCTTCCTCAAGTACACCTTTCGCAGATTGGCTGTTGTGCATGTCGTGGATCTGGTCGCAACTCGCCTTAGATCAGCTGCTCGCAAACACAGCAGGCTGCCACCAGCTACTGCGGTTCCCAGCTTTCTTCTTGTCTTCGGCCCCTAATCGCATCCAATCAGTATGGCTGCTCGTTACGAAATGGCAGATATGAGACGAGATCCGACTAGACCTCAAGAGATGATAGAGACCACACCGCGCATCACTTCTGGGATCACATCAAAGCAGGAAACGAAAAAGAATTTTCCAGCCAAAGAAACTCGGGGCGGCCTGTATGGCTCCCGCCCGCTGAATCGATACAACCACAGACACTCCTCTCACTCTCGATCTGAATCTTCAAGAAAAGACGTACCGCTTTTTCCAGCCTCGCCTGTGGCACTGGTCTCAATCTCTGGCAGCGTTGGCGGTCCCCCACCACCTCCACCCTCAGCAGCACCCTTCAGATCCCCTCCACTCGTCGAACTCGGCACCTCCTTCGCGTCCTCAAACACCGCTTCACCTTCCTGACTGGTATCATTCGCATCTTCTTGCTGTTGCTGTTGCTGCTGCCCACCTTCCCCGCCCTCACCACCCGCCTGTGCTTCCGCTTCCGCTTGCTGCTGTTGCCTCCGTGCATCCTCCCTCGCCTGCTTCTCCATCTGTCTCTTGAGCCTGCGTTCCTCAACCTCAACCCGCTGCCTCTCCATCGTCTCCCAATTCTCCCTCTGCGCCTTCTCATCCTTGATTCTCCTCTGCCGCTCAATCTCCTCCACTCCACCCGTCTTCTTCAACTTCCCTTCCTCCACAAAATTCTCGACCTCTTGTTGAAACGCGCCACCCTTGCGACTCTGCAGCTCTTTCTGCCTCGCTCGCTCTGCTCGTTCGATAGCTTCTAGTCTTGACTCATGGTTCGGTTCCAGCGCGCGCACTTCGTCGAGCATCCCGGACTTCGCTTCATGCGGATCGACGTCGCCTGTCTCGAAACTCAGGTTACGTCCGGAAGTGGACCGCAGACCGCTAGGTCCAATAACGGAAGCTCCGCCCTGCTGTTGCGCCTGCAAGTTCTGCTGCTTGGTCGCCTCCTCCACTAGACTGAAGATATCCGTCACATCCTTCAGATCCCCGTCTAGATCAGCAATGATTTCATCTCGTTGAGTAAGGTCGTCGCGCTCAGACATGACCATCTTCAGCTCCTGCTCCCAGATCTTCGTCCATATTGGCTTTTCACGCTTGACAAAGTCTTTGAGCTTGACGAGTTCTTTCATCGTGCCCGAAATCTCCTTGCTCACGCCTTCCAGCTGTCGTGGCAGTGGCCGCACGCCGCGGGTGACGACGTCTTTCCGCAGCTCTTCTACGATATCCGCTAGGTCGTCGACGCGGTTGATGAGTGTTTCGGTCTCGGAGGAGAGCTGTTTCTTGCCAGAGTTGATGTGTGCGCGCCCGGCATCGCTTCGTAGGATGGAGTAGCGGCAATGGCGGCGATGGATTTGACGTTGGCAGCTTTGGCACGGATCTCGGTCATCGCGGAGCTGAAGTCGGAGGACATGGAGCCGTAGGTTTGGCGTAGAATGGCGATGTCCCGGCGGAGGGATTGGACTTCTTGGAGGGAGGCATGCGATGAAGCGACGTTGGAGGTTTTGTTGTTCGTGGCGGGCGTTGAGGATGAAGGCTTGGGCGTCAGGACGCTGGGAAGGGCAGACATGCGTGCCATCTCTTTGGAGGCCTCGAGTTGACGGTCGGAAAAGCGGGTCATCATGTTGCCTTGCGATTCGAGCTGGAGTTTGAAGGCGTTGAGGGTTTGTGTGATGCCGGACATGCCTTCGTCGAAATGCTTCTTGACTTCGTCTAGGGCTTCGATGTTCAAGACTAGCACTGATCTATCTTTGACGTCGGACAGATCTTCAAGCTCGTGGCGTACGCCGGACACAGGGTCTTGTATGTAGATCTCTGGTAGCTCAAGACCTGTTTCGTTGGTGTTCCAGGAGAACTTCTCGATGAAAGCGAGCTGTAGTCGAGCGAATGTCAGTTCCTCGTAGCCTTCTGGAAGGACGAATTTCTTGATCTTGGACCTATACTGCAAGAAGAGCGTCAGATCTTTACCCTGTGGCGGTGATGAGTTCAAGTCTGTCGTCTGAATGGGCGGAGGAGTCATGACATCTCGAGTCTTCTGTTCCACAGCCACTGCATCGTCATCAGCCCTCTTCTCCGGCTCGAATTCATGCTCCGGTTTCTCATCCTGCGGCGTCGGAAAATTGGCACTGAGCACCGAATCCGGGGGACTCATAGGCCCGTTAAGCGTGGCGCTCAGTATGGGTGCATCTCTTTTGTCTTGTGGTGATCTCGGCTTGTGGTATTCGTCGGGCGTCTTCGCAATAGGGCTGTCATCGTCACCAGCTTCATCGGGCGGCGTGACCTTGGGGAAGTTGCCCGAACTGAGGGATGTGCTAAGAGCAGGCTCTTCTTCTGAGATGGTCTCTGGTGCCTTGATCGTGCCACTTCGACTGGGTGACGGATCGAGCTTCTGCTGCGGCTGTTTCCTATACTGCGAAGTCCGTGATCGGACTGCAGTCATGGACTCTCGCACCTCTCGACCACGATTCGGTATAGGCGAGTTCTGCGTCGGAGGAATTGGGATGCCATTCGGTGATGCGCCCAAATGCTTGGAGATCTGGTATGCTGAGAATCGGCGGGACGCCCTTCTCTCCAGATCACCTCCTCTTTGCAACTGCGCCAAAGCATCTGTCTGTTTCGGAGGTGGAGGCGGAGGATGAGGGAAGTTGACTTCTGACGGCGGCCGGACATTTGCCTCGAAGGGTGGCTGTACGGGAATATTCTGTGCCGTCGCACTCGACAGGGTGGAATCAGTGTCGGACTGAGGTATTGATGGCTCACGACGCATGCTATGTCGATTGACAGAACCTCGACTCAACGAGCCACTTGCACTATTGGCCGACCAGGTGTTGTAGTCGCCATCGCCACTCTGATCTCTGCTGTGACTGCTCGAAGGACTCCCTGCACGAGCTGGACTCTGCGTCGAAGGCACACCCTCCAGCATCTGCGTGATTCCCGTCTCATTACTCGCGCTCGATGCCAGACTGGCATTTCTCACAGGCGGCGCTCGCCCACCAGCTGAGCCAGTCGAGTCCTTGCTCCCCTTTCCTCTCAGCTTGCTCTGTTTCCTCTTCAACCCATGCAGGAGAGTTATGATGATATCGCGTATTCTCGGCAGGTAGTTGTCCAGCGCCTGGGGCGACGCAGGCTGACTGAGGGTGTCCTCGAGGATGTGTCGCAGCAGATCAGGCACATTTCCCAGATCTGCGGTCTCAACACCGATCGAATTGAATGCCCGACAGGCCAGGTTGAACTCGTAGCCCAGGCGAACGTAGACATCTGAGACCTCCTCTTCCTGTGCCTGACCGCGCGACCATTGCGTGAGAGTCTCGAGGAGCTGTTTGGTAGCGACGAGGAGGTGTGTCACGCTCTTCTCGATCTGGGAGATCTGCTTGTCCGGCTGTTCGTCGACTGTCAGTCCATCTTGCATGCGGCTCAGGGTCATGATGGGAGCATTACATTCGCATTCTTCTGCGACCGGCCGCTGCCCGACGATGTCCGTCCTTGTGGCACCTGCGACGTCGAGGCAGAGGCAGACATGGTGTTGATCGCAGGCTCCGGAGGCTCACGCTCGGGGACGGTCTGTTGGCGGCGCGGAGGTTGGTACTGCCGCGGGATTGTGCTGGACTGCATATTTTATACTTAAGGTCGGCATGGACCTAATCATGACGCTCGGACCTTCATCTGTGCAGGTTTATTCGGGGCGTGGAGGAGCTAGAGAGAAGATGCAGTGCTCAGTGCTCGTGACCAGACATGACGATGGGGGTGAATGCCCAGAAGCAGGGGTGGTGGTGGCAGGGGAGGAGCATTGGAGCATGGGGGTCCACTCCCGCCATTTCTCAATGTCTTCAATATTTCGGCTCAGAAGTACCGATGTTTCATTTATTCTTGGTTTAGCATGACTATATGCAGATGTGGATGTCTAGACTGTAGCCAGCCGGATGCTGTCGTATCTACTGCCCGATCCGCAAATGACTATGGTATCTATCCTAAAGAAACACACCTAACGCTAAAGTCGAACTACAAACCAGCACCGCAACCACCATAACCAGCACATCCACCTCCCTTCCCCAAACCGACGCACCGCTCTGAGGCTGCGCCTTTCCGACCCCGCCCGCCACCTCCGAAGAGTCAGCCCGGCACGTAGACACCTCACATGCATACCCGGTCGGGCAGCAGCCACCACTCAGACTCGCCGCACAACTGTTCCACCCTGATTGACATGTTCCCGTTGGCGCATTGGCCCCTGCTACAACACCCGTAGGCGCCTCGATCGTAACACCGCCTGTGTCCACGACCGTAGTAGTCCCCAACGGCGGGCACGAAGTCGTGTCGCAGTCGCGATCAGTCTGGCAGCAGCCACCCTGATGGAAAGCCTTGCACGCGTAGAATCCCGTCGGACACGCGCCAGGTGCTAGACTCGTCTCGGACGCCGTTCCAGAATTGGTGCTTGATGTATCGCTGTTGGGCCGATCGGGCGGTTGGAGGCCAGAGCTCGCTGGACACAGCTGGCCTGTCCCACAGGCGCGGTCCGTGTGGCAGCATCCGCCTCCAAGACTCGCGGGGCAGCTTCGGTACTGGTCTGGACACACGGTGGTGGTTGCGGTCGACCTCGCTGTCTCAGTCGTAGTCCCAGGGTCCGGCAGCGTAGCGGTGATGGTGTTTATGACAACAATGGTAGTCGCCACAACCGTAGGCACTGAATTGGACGGTGTGATCGTAGTATATGACGTGACGGTGGTCGTTCCAATGGCGACTGGTGGTGCAGACGTGCTGCTAGGCGCTACCAGGACAGTCGTTGTCCCAGTCTGAATGCATACATTTTGAAAGCAAGCATACCCATCCCCGCAACATCCCCCACCGTCGCATCCATTCGATCCGTCAGGGCAGTCACCCAGTATCGTCCCGCATGTCTCGCCGGCTGGACAACACCCAATGTCCCCGTTGCCAGCATCCGGTATGGTCTGACACGTCGAGCCGCTCGGGCAGCAACGATCAGATCGATTGGGACAGGCGTTCGAGCCTGAAGGACAGTTGGACTGGCGGCGGAATAATCGTCCCAGTCCCCATACTTCGCGGTTCTGTGCCTCATTGTTGACGCTGTCCGAGGGTCCAAGATGCGCCCTCATACATCCTCCCAACTGAGCCTGCTGCGACGCATTGTGTGAGAACGCCGGCTCCGGATCAAAGATCCAGTAGTCCAGATAGAACTTCTCGCCCGGGTCAACCCCCATCTTCTGTACCCCAATCGGCATCTGCCATTGTAGCTTGCGCCGTATAGCTAAGTCTCGCCGCAGTATATGTTCGTATTCGGGGAAGTACTTGAAGTCTGGGTCTAGTTCGCGTGGATGGGGATGTTGCTGACCAGCAGCAGTGAAAGCTGCGGTGCTGATGAGGAGGAGCAGCGAGGGCGGGAGCGCGAACAACATTCCGCCGAGGCTGCGGGCGCATCCGCCGGGATGGCGAATTGAGCGGATTGGCGTGACTGGAATGCGACTTCAGCTTTCGGACGGGACGTGCAAGCTCCAGTCTACTTGAGAATATTGGATCACAATCTCTACCAGGTACAAATTAAAGAAGAGTAGAGGCACGTTGCGCGTGCTGGCGCGAACAAATTTGTGGTGACCAACAAAAAGTTGGATGGCTGGAAAAGTCGATCAGGCCTGCCCGGCGGCCGCTTCATCATATTACTACCAAAATCTCCAAGTGCCCTACCCACGCGTGCAAATGACACTCAGATAGATTGTGAACTCCAGTCGATACGACGATGGAGTCTGTGGTAATATATATGGTACAACCAGAGTATCTATCCGAATGGAGGATCAAACACAGCGCCGTGGTTCTTCAGCACCTCCTTCGCCCGCACCCTCACATTCTTCGGCATGTTGGGAACACTATCACCATCACCACTGCCACCATTACGGAAGATGCTCAGCTCTCTCACGGGCATAAGCAACATGGCAACCAAAGATCTCCGCCGCTCTTCATGGTCTTCTTCCTCAGCCGCATCCGTTGACCCGCTCTCCTCGTCTTCTTTGCCAGCCTGATTTATTCTCTCCAGCTCGTCCCCCCAAACGTCCAGAACATGCATTCGGAGCCCATCGGGCAACTTCCGCGTCGCTTCCAGAGGTAGCGCAACAATATCGGCGATGAAGTTTCCCCACAGATCATCGTCGACTGTAGCCTCCTCCCAGTCACCACTCACCAGCCCAGCCATTTCACTCACGATGGCAAACCCCTCGCTGATCCAGAACCTCACCAGCATCAACACTTTGTTCATACGCCACTGGTCGATCACTGGCCACTCCCTGGCTAACTCCTCCCAGAACGCGTTCGCCCAGGCTGCACTCTGTGGAAAGTCGTCGGAGTAGTCGGGCTCCTCCCCTTTGTCATCCTCACTCGCCTCGTCATCCAATGAGTCCCGCTCGTAGACCGTCCGCAGAGTGCCAGCCAGTGTCCTTGCAAGGTTCTGTACCGAAACAGCCGACTTGGAGTCATGCATATAGAGGGCGATGTAGAGGGCCCGCCAAATTTGTTGGAGCTCGGTGGACGTGAAATTTTGTTGATTGAGAAGCGTGAGGACTTGCGTGAGGGCAAATCGGCGAAGAGATGGCTCGGACGACGCAAGTTGCCGGAGGATGTCGGTCAGCTGCTGTGGTGGTTGGTCCTGTTTGGGTATTGAGCGGGTTTTCGTGCTACTTTTTGATGTGACGGGTCGAGCCTCTGCCTTGGTAGTCGGTGCTTGAATCTCATCCGTAGAAGTGATGTTGGCGAGCGCTTTGTCAAGTGATGCTGATGTCGGATTGTACTTCGATTTCGAGGACGCCTTTGATGGACTCTTCACCTTCGTTTTACTCGACGGCGGCTTAGAGACCTTAGATTGCTTGAGGTTGAGCATCGTGCTGTGTGACTTGTCAGAGGCCAAAGAAATTTAATAGACGTTCATGAGTAGCGCGTTGGACACGTGGAACGGATGCAAAGGTGAAAGTACGTGGACCAGAAAATTTATGGCTACTGGGGAAATAAAAGGCGGCGAGGCGACCTCTCTCAACCGCTTTGTCTTAAAAGCTATCCTTGTCATCCGGTCTCGAAAAGTTCTTACAAGCATGTCATCCGGTCTGAACTCAGCAGCACAACAACCCAGGCCTTCGGATCGATCGACTAGTGGCAGACATCTGTACAAGTCACTCGCAGTGCACAGATCCCAGTAGCATCTTACTGGAGCGTTGAGCTCGTAGTCATCGTAAGCCGCGGCTATTAAAGCATGACGTGGCCGATACTCTTTGCTGGAAGCAATTATATTCTATCAGTTGATAGATAGTAGCGACGGGCAGAGACAACAACGAACGACAGCGGAGATGCATATCACCCCGGGCTGGGCCAGGCGTGAGCACTTGCCAGGCTGTGGACACAAGTACTGAGCGTTTTTAATGACCAAGCCTGTATGCTACTCATTGTGGATTTCAGGCCTGGGAGGGCGCTGAAGACCTCTCGTTCTTTCGCTGATCGAGTCGATAGGACGAGATGAGTCTCACTTGAGGGTCAAAACGCTGAGAAGAAGATTGAGAAATCTTAGCCAGGGAGGGCGCTGTAGAGATCCTTGGACCGAGCTGGAGAAGACGCTCGGTTCTTGCGCCCACGGCTTGCTTGCTTGTCGGGTGCACGACCGTAAGCGTGAGCGCCCGTACAAGTCTCTCTTTCACCAGTACCTGTACTTTGCCTTCCTATATCGTCCAAATTCTCTCCACATAGATCCCAGGTCCTCGTAACCATCGTCGGACAACTCATCTCTCACATAAGTCTCTAAATAGCTCACTCGCTCCCTGTCGAGCTTATTCATGCCCTTCTTGGATCGCAGCAGCCAGAAAGCGCTGCTTGCAACATTATCCTGACCACCAACATGAGAGGCAAGGCAATTCACGTCCATATAGATGACTCCACGAAAGATGCAGGTACCATCGTCAGGATCGGTATAGACAGGTCGTTCATAGATCTTGAGGTCACCACTGAGTCTGAACGACTTTGCGAAGCCATCGCTGTCGCCACTGACGTTCACAGGCTGGCCGACGAAGCCTGGCTCATTTGAGGGTGGAGGGCGCGAATACCTGCCTGGTGGCCAAGGTTGAGTGGGAAAGAAGCATTGATTGTTGGTCCACGTCAGATCCAAGGACGAAGTCTTGCGCAGATTGGCGATGCCCACATCGAATTCTGAGCCGTCTAGCTGCGCTTGGAAGCCGGGCATGACAGACCTCATCCGTCCGTATCCTTTCGTCGTCTTCGTTGCTCCACTTCCCGATGCAGTACCCTCTGTTTCGTGGTCGCCACGAATGCAAATGGAAAGCCTCCCATCCAGGTCTTGCTGGGCACCATCCTGTCTGCTGCGGAGTTGTACGAGGAGTGCCTTGTAGTCCAAAGGCCTCCCCGGACGTTGCTGGAGACTTTGCTGCAATTGCAGGTCTGCCATGTCGAAGACGTCGTATTTGCCCGTCGTGAAGACCGTGCTCTTGTCATCAGCTTCGCTCGAGCTTTCGTCAAGTTCGCCGGAGGTATCATTCTCAATGTTGGTCTCCGCGTCAGGCTGACCTTCAACGACCGCAAGACTATTCGATGTTGGAGGGGTCGTCTTGAGCGCCGGTCCAGCGGCACCAGCCGTTTGATTCTCTTCAGGCGCGTTCTGCTGGAGAGTGGCTGCCGGCGGATCTGAAGTTAGATCAACTGCTACTTCCGATTTTGTGACGGCTGTGTTGAGCAGAAAGGCCAGCTTGTCTGGAATGCGTTGGGCTGTCTTCTCGAGAGTCTGAGAGACAGAGGCTCATCGGGAACGGCCAGGGCGACAGCCGCGGCGGAGTCGCCACCGGCATCCGCCGGATATTGCTTCGCACGTTTCGAAGGAGCGTCCGGGTGGGCTTTCAAGAAGTCATCGAAGTCGAAGTGACGCTCGAGCTCGCGACTCGCGACGCGCTGCACGGCCTAGTGTCAGCGTCCTATCGCGCAGCAGCACGGGCGGACTGTTTCAGGTAGCTTACCTTATGACTGCCAGAAGCCGACATGGCGTTGACGAGCAGTAGCAGACGACTTTGATCGGCGGCGAGCTCCAGAGGATGCAGCAAGCAAGGGTCGATCAATGTTGGTAGACTCCTGAATGCAAGCCAACAGCTCGTCTGCGGAAAGAGAGTTTTAACATTCGGGCTCAAAGAGGCCAACGTAGTGCGCACGCTGTGTCTTGAGGTCTCTAACGGTTTCTTAGAGACGTCAAGATATGCTGAGAAACCCCGTCCAGATGTAGGTCGGAACTTGACTGGATTCTAGTTGACATGTTTCTCAGGTACCTAGAGTTGATAGATTATGGCGATAGCACAAATCTCCATATTTCTGCATGCAATTGTGCTGACGATTCGTCAACAAATCCCTTCTTTAGAAAATGTGATAAGATATCTCGTCGTCGCTCAGCGTTTCTCGACAGTAGAAGACCAATGTCAGTGAGGAGAATCATCTTCATCATAATTGTGATAGCTCAGGACAAAAGTGACAGCGCCCCCCCCGGAGTCTGCAAACGTGCGACCTGGTCTGGCGGGACGCTCATTACCAAGAAGCTATAGCATGCGCTTTATAGCATTTTAGCATCGTCGACGGCACGGCGGTCGGTCAGTGACGAGAGGACGACGATGCGGTAAACGAACGGGGACACGACATCGACTTCCGTCAGGTGAAGCCCATGACATCTTGTCCTGTAATTGTATGGGTGTTCAAGCATAGTAGAGATTTCTAGATATGAACTAGAAATGCTGGGAACCTGTCTCGTAGGTCACACGTATGATTCCATGAACGCCAAGAAATTGGAATGCAGACAGATGACAATAGTATTATTTTCAGGTAGATACACCAACCCAACTTTTTCTGTTACACCTGTCCGCTATGCCTGAAAATGCTGGATGGTCATATATTCGTGTACATGACTGACAATATGCACACATTATATATGCTAGATACCACAAATGATATATCGCTAAATCAAAAGTTTTGGCTGATGCCGCCCTGCCCGGTCGGGTAGCTCGGTGCCTGTGCAATGCGAGTATTCCTTCTGGCATCCACATCTCTGACGACCGGCTGTCCGCCGCCACCGTATGTGCCATCTCCATATGCACCGTGGTCATTATATGGCTGTTCCTGTTCGTAGTATGGTTGCGGCATGCTTGGGGTGTCTGAGCTCGCTTCTGACGGTGGCCGGTTGGAATAGGCCGAAGATGCATTTGACGGACCACGGTGGACGCCATTCCCGTGTTGCTGGCTGCGATTTCGTGCTACACCCGCGGCAGCACCAGCAGCGGCCGCACCACCCAAAGCACCGACACCATCATAGCCTTCACCGTGGCCGAGCATCGGATCGCCCGAGTATGCATCCGAATACGCGTTTGGGCTAGGGTACTGGCCACCGGGCTGACTGCCAGAATCGCTGAAGCCGGGACCCCGCGAGCCATTTGTGTTGCTAGGATTGCGAGCAGAGTTTGTTGCGCCCCAGCCTCGATATCCAGAGTTGTCCTCTGTCATCTCAGACTGATCTTCTGCGTACGATGCACCACCTACGGGAGCCAGTGTTGGGTCATTATTGGGATTGAAACCGTACTCGGCCATCTCGCTCTTCCGCATCTCCTCGGCATTCTTCCTTGCCTTGCGTTTCCGCCAGAACCAGAAACCAAATATGAGCAGTCCTGCGATTGCGGCTATCGGTATGACGACTGCGATGGCGATTGTGCCACCTGTGCCGAGACCGCCACCACTTCCACCACTTTGATCTCCAGCTGATAAAGCGGAAGGCGTAGGAGATTCGCTCGATGAGGCTGTGACCTGGGTTGTAGGTACAACTCGTGCGGATGTGATCGTCGACGTTATCTCAACGACGGAAGTGCGCGGCGCTTCTGTGGGATTCGTTGGTGATTCGGTTATTGTCGATTGTTGAACCGTTTCTGAGGTGCTGAGACTGTTGTAGATACAACTGTGGATGATGGTAGTACGGTCGTGGTAGAGGGAGGTATTGATGTCGTTTCAGTTGATGGGGGCAATGTAGTGGTTGAGGGTTCTATTACGGATGTAGTGGAAGGTGAGGGTGTGGTAGTGGGTTCCGTAGTAGGAGTGCTGGTATCTTGAGTGGTAGTAGGGTCAGTGGTGGAACTCAACGATGTACTTGAGACTGTGATGCATTGGTCAGTCCGCAAACAGGCTTGCGACCGACATACGGAAGGCGGATGGGGCAGAGCATGTGCATACCTGTTGTGTTGGACATCGTTGCGATGTAGTACAAGAACGTCTACCACCGACCCGTAGTATGAAGTCCCGGCACGGCGAGCGGACGCGTCGAGGTCGATGACGGAAGATGAATTGAGCGTGTTTCAAACAGGTCTGTATAGGACAATCGCGTAGTTGTAGCTATTCCATCCCCTGAGCGCACTATGCGCGGCAGACACCTCGGCTCACGCAAGCTAGCAACAGTCTTTGGCTGACGAGGAGGTTTATAGATATTGTGAGGGATGATGTGATGTTGATGGCGTCGGCAAGGTGTTGAGAAGGAAGTCAGATTGCACGGCAGGAGCAAGAGCAAGAACAGGAAACGAGTAAGCGGAAGAGTAGGGCCGGCCGGGGTGTCCTTCTTGAGGAGTTCGCTGCGGTTCACCAGTAAAACCCAGCCAAGACCAGGCTAAATTAAGCCCAGAAAAGTCTCGTGGTTTTTGACTTCGATTTCTCTGCTGCAGGGTTTGAATCATCCCCTTTTCCGCGTTGAGGTACACTCATCTGCTCATATGACACTTGCTGACAACTGGTACGGTGTCTTCCAACGATAATGCCAGCGGCACATCGATTGCCCTGCGCAAGGTGAAGTAATGGTGTTCTGACAGTCATTGAATCTCGATTCCGATTCTCCTCGGGACGGACGCTGCATCCTTGACACACAAACGGTGTGGATCAGGACGATGATCTACTAGTTTCACCATCCTTGCCGGGGAATGCAACCTGAACATTAGAAAACACGCAGATTACCACCCTCTTCCAACAACTCGTCCCAGCGATGAGATCGAAATCTGCAGGTGTCAGATCCTCTCGTTGGCTAAGCCCTTACCACAAGACGTGTTAAGGCTCAGAAGGATATCTGATATGTCCTTCGCCACCAAAAGTTGGCTGCTGCCGACATACCCAAATCTGTGGTCCCCACGATGGATGAAGCCGCACGATCCCGTAAGCGAAATAGGGTGACGTATGCAGGTAGCCGTTGTTTGTTGTACCGTGCATACTCGGCGAGAGTTTGGCTATGGTCAATTGCATTGTATACTGTGTAAGCATCCTGCATATCATGATCATGAGGACATGCTGTCCGTTGCTCTGCACGTCATTGCTTGCTTCGGCTACGGGAGAATCGTCCTGATCGACCGTAGATCAGACGTTGTCTTGATGAAACGAAAGCCCGCTATGCAAGGCGTCGCTTTACAGAAGATGAACGAGAGTGCCTAGGCAAGGGCGGGTGAGATATTGCCAGTGCAATATCAATTTTGACTTTGCCATACAGATGGAGGGAGCGCAGTGGATACACTACATCTGTCTGAAGAGATATACATAATGTCCGCTCTATGCCTTCATATGATGCCGCCTTTCTAGCTGGCCAGTCCATAATCATCATCCTCGAAATGTACACTTTCACCACAAATATTCTTTTACTTAACTCCGACGAGGTTCCAAACGACCGATTGCATGTTCTGGCGATCCCACGAGGTTGTCCAGACTTCTGGACTCCTTGTCATGCGATAATGTACAACACAAAGCCATATGACGCTGATCAATAGCTAGCAGTCGATGCAGCTGACCGCGCTCATCTGTTCATATCCCACTTCGGCTTCAATGCGTCGCTGATCTCGTCCCGCGTACCAGCAACTTCCCTCGGGATTCTAGACACACGGTAAGCACCGGTTCGGATGCTGTGCTCATGCATTTTGGAAATGCCGGATCGAGCACTGCGAATACTGCCTGCCTCGCTCATGCTATCAGCAGCACGAATACGACCAGGTGGTGCGAAGTCGAGGCCAGTGAATGTGCCCGATTTGCGCAACAAGTGCCTGGAATCTGTCAGCTAGGCCAAGGACATGGGCGAGGAATACTTACGGGCTAGGAAGGACTGCCATATCGTCGTACGAGGACTGTAGAGGCGTGAAAGCACGCACAGACGGAGAGTATGGCCGCTGATCACCACCCCGACGACTATCTGGAGTTCCAGCTCGCTGCAACTTGGCTCGATCGGGCGGTGCGAAGTCCACAGCGAGATCCAGCAGGAAGGTATCATCCTTCAAGGCCGAAGGTGTGGGTAAGACATTGAGTGCTTTGGGAGGAGGCATTCTCTTCTTCGGCGGCATTCGCTGTCTCGGTGGCGGTCGTCGACCATATTGTCCTGACGCAGACGAGTAAGCTCGTGGTCCGCCGTGGCTCATGTAGCTCCCATTGGACATGGCACGGTGGCGACCGCCCTGTGCCGACATGCCTCTTGGTGGGTAGTAATCTTGCTCGTCATAATAATCGTAGTAGTCTTCGGCACCATCGTAGTACTGAGCCATGTTGCCGCCGCCTGGCTTTCCGCTCTCGTCAAAGTACTCCTTGTAGAACGATCGAATTCGATTCGCCCTTTGCTCTGGATTCTCGCTTGGATCGTCAGGTGGTAGAGGACGCATACCCCAAGTCATCCGTCGTTGGTCGTAGTCTTCATACTCATCATACACACTATACGTGTCCTCAGGATCATAGTAGTCATCCTGATCGTCGTACTGTTGGTATTGCTGAGGTTGCTGAGATTCTTGTCGGCTGTGCTGGCCAGTGGTCGGCTGAGACTGGTCGTACTGGCCATGGCTCGAATCTGCATATGCCTGATACTGCTGAGCTTGGTTGGATTCTTGGCGAACGTGCTGACCAGGTGCTTGCTCAGATTGGTTGTACTGACTGTAGCCAGATGCCGCTCTACTCTGCTCTTGTGACGCAGGTTGAGCAACTCCATATTGTGACTGTTCTCTGCTGTCCTGTGGGGTCGTGCCTTGGCTGTCAAAGTCCATGACGCTGAATTGCGGAATCTGCGGTTCTCGGTCTACAGGCATACTTGCCGTTCGAGGTGGTCTTTGAGATTCCTCAGTCACCGGGGCTGTGGCTTTATCATCATCATAGATTGAGAGTCGACCGTGTTCCAGAGGCTCCTCATTCATGACTACGGCAGGCAGGACTGGTGGTTGTGACCTGTATTCTTTTTCTGGCGGCGTGGGGATGACTTCAGCTTCCGTGACCTTGATTTCTGCTTGCTTTGATTTGTCCTCAGGCTTATCTTGCTTGGGGGCACCAGCGCCGCCGCGGATATAGGAGCCCAGATAATTGTTGCTTGCTCGGAATGCAGCAGCGTTGCTAGTTGTACTGACAACTGATTCACGTGCTTCCGGGATCGATGGTGCAAGCAGGTTGGCAGGTGAGGGTGACGCAGTTCGCTCGAATGGGACAGGCGAGTAAGCCTTAGCAGGAGGCGTCGGTCGTAGACCATTGCTGCCATGAATGAGCGACCGACTCGATTCAGCATCGTTGCGGTATTTTGTCGAGCCAGAGAAGCTGGAAGAGTCATCGGCACGACGCATGCCCCTCACAGAAGGCGATCGTATTGACCCGTCGTCTGGAATGAAGTTTGTCCTTTGATACTTGTCGTCTCCCAGATTTGCGGTTCGAGACATACTATGCAACGATTCTCGTGAGTTTGCGAGGCCAGCTGGAAGAAGGTAGGGGTTGTTGCCCAAGTCGATCGACAAGCCACGCTCAGCTCTCAGGGCTGCTTTCGCATCTGCCATCGTCATCTCGGGAGGTGGAGGAGGTTGCTTCTTCCACCGTTTTGACTTGTTGTGCAGCGGTCTTCGTCCCTCACCCATACCAAAATCCAGCGAACCGTGTTTGTCTTCCATGTCCTCTTTACGAAGGTTTCTTACATGCCGCCGATGCAGGAAGATCAACACAATTATGGCAATAGTGATGGGAACAACAGTGCCCACGACAATGGGCATAGTCGTATCGCTCCCCTTGACCGGGCGCTCGCAAGGTCCAGTGGTATCATTTGGACCACATGCTGAGGCGGTGGTCGAGGCAGCTCGCTCTGACAGAGTACGCGTGACATCTCGTAACTCGAGGGCCGGAGTATGCTCTTCTAAAAAGTAGTCCAGCTGGGCATCGGGGAGCGGTACTGGATTGGCATTGGGGTGCCGCGGCCGGAACTGAGGTTCATCTTGATATGGATCGGGTATCTGATCCATGCCGGCAGGACGGGCGTTTCTGGGTATTCGTAGCTCGATCTGTTCAACACATTATTGTCGTTTGGTTGGTACGTGCTGCTGGATCGGTTCAGAATGTCGTGGTCCCGGTGCTAGGGGGTAGCAGCAAACAAAGGCGCGACCTCGACAAGTCCGGAAGGAGGTAAACAACACTGTACAAAAAGATTGACTGGGGTGAGTAAAGAGACCAAAGGGGTGACTGGAAGGAGTGACAATGGCCGCTATCGCCCGTGTACCTGAAGCTGTAGACTCGAGGATGAATGAGGTACAATGATAGCAGGAAGAGAGGTCTCGTCGTTCTCGACCTGAACTCGGGGTGGAGTGCAGGGGTGAGCCGCGAAAGGAGCACCTGCAACCTTAAGCTCATGGGGCCTTGCTGCTTGGCATGCCCGCAGATTTGTGGCTTGCACTTTCTTTTCAAAGCTCGATCCACTTTCCTCACTGGCAGTCCATACTGTCCTGGCGGCAGCAGCGACGTCCTCGAGACATGATGATTTCCGTTGGGCATTCGTCCAAGAGGTGAACTCGAGAGTCATGGGTGTAGTACAACTAGCTTAACGCGGTTCTATCGCGCTCCCAAGCGATTGTTTCCTGTTTAACGAAGTTCGCCTGGGCTCGACGAGGCTGTCGTCTAATCTCCGCGACTCACCAGGTGCGTGGCCTCCGTACCAGGCCCATCCACCCAATTACAGCTTGCGAAGTCCTTCAAAAAAACTCCGTTCTCAATTTCCTTTCCAACAAGCATCGCTGATCAGTCACTCAATGATTTTGGCATGGATGTTGGCATCGACTTTTCCTATCTTCGCGGCCATGCTGTTCATGTCAAGCTGCGACCATGTCCGCGCTTGACAGCGATCAAGATCGTTGCTTCAGGTGAGTTGGCATCCTTAGCCGCAGGCGCCGTTGTTTGAGCCACATCGCGAGGCTGTCCATATGGACATGGTCAGGATGAGAGATTAGGCCAGGCGATCCGAGGAGTCTGAAGACTGCGAAGCATCTCCTTCTTGAGCATGAGCTGTCACCATCATATATGCTTGCTATATATATCACTGCATCTGTGGCCACACAAGTACTGCTGACATGAGACATCAAAGCTTCTGTCGTCCGCGCAGCAACCCTGAGCCGCAGCATCCGCCGACGATACCCGACACTTGTGGTCGTTCATGATCCAGCGACTCGTGTCCGTCATCTCTGGCCAGCGGCAACGACTTGAGGAGGAGGTATTGAACGATCAAAGTTCGAGGAAAGACCATCTGGCCCTGCACGATCGTAATTCTCAACTGGAACGTAACAGTGTCGTGCCCTCGTCAAGACTGGGAGCTACCGTTAACCGGGACACATCCGCTAATGCATGGAAGCCATAGACCGCCGGCAACATGATGTCCTGGCTGTGACCGTGATTGAATTACTTGCTGCTGGCACAAGCATCCGCAGTGATGGGCTGCTTCGCCGCGCTCGGCGCACTATGCTTAGGGGCGCGCGAGATTTCGCTCAGCTGGATCAACAAGCGAAGTGAGTCTGCCTGTTAGACCTCCTGCTGGTTTGCCGATGCGACTTGTTCCAACAAGCAATCTTGGGACAATGCCAACACCTTGCGAAAGGTCGTCATTGCCTACCGTAGATATATATTGCCCATGTCGAGAGTGAAGATGACCTGCGCTCGAGTCGAGCGCCGGGTCACAGACGGGAACACCTTCAGTGAATGAAGATCGGTGATCATGAGCACAATGAAAGCACTCGGTCGTGCAGTTTCCCCAGGGAGGCCTTCAGAGGTACACCTGCATTGGCAGTGGAGGAAATGTATAACAAAGCCGCCGTCTCCAGAAACGTGAAGTCATGCTTGGCGTCAATGAATATCATCTCCAACTCGAAGAACATTGCCCATTTATTTTGCCATCATGCCACCAAGCCTCAGGCTGCAAGTCAAACAAGCCACGTATGCTGATCGAGGCAGTCATCAAGCTACGGAGACTGTAACACCTTGAGCCATGAAGTCCCTGTCGTTCTGCTAGCGAGCCGCTCTACCAACACCACCTTCGTCCCACATCTCATCCAACAAGCACCACCATGTCCAAGTAAGAACCTCTCACACCTCACCCGTGCTCCATTAGAACCAACTCTAACCTCCCACCCAGCCGCTACTCCTCCCTCAACCGCCGCACCCCCGCCACCTCAACCCTCTTCGACTCCTACCCGGGCAACAACACCACCCAAAGCCGCCCCTCCTCCTCCACCTCCGACTTCCGCTCCTCCTCACCCTACACCCACCATAACTCCTCCCAACCCAACCCCTACGCCTTCCCTGGCTCAACCTCAAACGGCCTCCCCCAACCCCAACAATCCGGCTTCCGCCCCGCGACCCCAAACCGCAAAGGCCAGTACTCCGCCGCGGTCCTCGAAGACTCGAGTCCCAAAACGACAACACCGCCACCACCCTCCTGTCGCAAAAAGTCGGACAACTAAAACAACTCACGATCGCGATTGGCGATGAGATCCGCGACAGCAGCTCGCTGGCGGACCAGATCAACACGGGGTTCGAGAACACGAGTGTGAGATTGAAAGGCACGATGCGGAGGATGCTGCGCATGGCGGAGAAGACGGGGGTGGGGTGGAAGGTGTGGTTGGGGTTCTTTGCGGCGGTGTGGTTGTTGTTTGTGTGGGTTTGGCTGTTCTAGTTCCGCGGCGCTTTTCAATGGTGGATGGGTCCTGTGCTGTTGTTGCTCTGGTACCTGCTCGATGTCAGAGCTGGATTCGAGAGGAACTATAGAGATGGGAAGGCCTTTGATGTGATAAGGTTCTACCCCGAAACGGAAGATGATGAAGGCAATTGTATCGTACGGGTGAGATGCCTGTCAAGGAGGACTTCATCTGAATGACGGACACACACTTTGCATGGCAAGGTACGGAAAGGCTGGTTGTACATTACCCAGTGTTTTATGCTGCGGAGCGAAGCAAGGCGTTTAGGACATAGTACATCTTTAGTCTATGAGGCATGGTCACATTCCTGTCCCGAGCCGGTCACAGACTCGTACTCAGCCAGCACCTCGTCTGCCACCAGTCCGCCGAGCGAATCCAGCAAGCAACCTCCCACTCCTCGTCTGCCTGCCCGCTACGCCATCGCCACCGTCATCGCCACCATCTGCCCCGAAGACCGAGCTACCAGTGGCTGCATCCAAACCCTGATCAGGCGTCTCAAACTGTACCGTTCGTTGGCCTGCAGCGCCGCGGCCGCCTGCTGGAAACGGAATGCTATGACTGGGAAGACTTTCTGGAGTGAAGAGACCGCCACTGCCACTGCCACTGCCAGCTTCTGCGTCTCGAGCGTTTGCGGTGGAATTGTTTGAGGGTGCACGACTCGGCAGGCCAAACAGATTTCGTCGCGCGCCAGATGGGTTTAGCCAGTTCCTCCGACCGTTCGCTGCTGCTGTGCCTTCCGCAGTCTCCGGGACTGGGACGTCTCTCGGCTGAGGCACCTGATAACCTGGACCTCGACGCATGGAGTCAAATCCCGATTCGCCTGTCATGAGACCCATACCTGTTCCCATCGCGAACGAGCTGTCTTCACCGAGAAGCGGGCCAGTCGCCGTAGGAGCATAGCCGGAACAACTGTAGGCGTCTCAAAAGACTGCATTTGACTGCTGCCACCAACTTGCGATGAGCTTCGCTGTGCTTGACTCCTCAGACCTCTTCTTGTGCTGCCCGTCAGCCCGCCTCCTCTGCCCGACGACTGCCGAGAAGATGGCCTGCCACTACTGGCGACTGAGCTGGACACAGCACTGCCTTCCCGACTCTGTTGTCGACGATCATGCGAGCTTGTGCCCATCACCGTGGGAGAGATGAGAGCCGCGTTACCGCTGACGACTCGGACGCCGGTACCTTGTCTGCGAGGGGTGCGTCCTGCTGCAGGTGGACCCGGATTGGCCGCATAGGGCGAGTTGGATCGGGCAATATGCTGAGCGTTGATGCTTCGGCGGGCTGCAGCTCTTGCGGCGGTCTCCTGTGCCGTTGTTGGAATGTAGCTTATATCCATCTCTTCGTCCTCGTCGTCCTGAGCCCCGAACCCAGATGTGCGACTTTGATGTGGTTGAGCGTGTCTACGACTTCGCGGCGGACTGCTTATCGGCAATTCCTCGTCACTATCAGTGTGTTCCCATTCACCTGAGTCGGCTTCTGGCACGGAGTCGTCCAGATCTCGCTCGGCTACGGACTCGCCGTGTACGCCATACCTGTTTGATGCAAAGCTCGTTTCGCCCATCTCGTCTTCGTCAAGCATCTCGTCGGCCAGTGCCATTGCTTCGGCGTCCCGCTCGTCGACGTCGTAGTCTGAGCCTGGTGCGCCCGGTCTTCGCTGGTAGCCTGCTTGGCGTTGCAAACGGGCTTGAGCACGGATTCTTCGAAGGGCCGCATCTGCATCAGCATTGACGTCCTGCCCATCGATCGAAGGCGTGCTCGGCTCACGTCTCGTGTCGTACGTCCAAGAGTCGCGCTGCGGACTGCTCTGAGGTTGTGGATTCGAGTCATCCGAGAACACATCGCTGGCTTCATCGTCTGCAGCTGAGGGGATGTCGTCGTCTAGATCTCTTCCACCCATGTCACCTTCGCCTGCTTCCGACACCATATCGCGCCAATCATCATCGTTGGCCTCGGCTTCTCCATCGGCGTCAGGGACCTCGTCGTCCAGGTCTCGATCGTTCATGCCAGCAGCATCACCTTCGGCGTTCCGCTCCGCCTGTCTTTCCATCTCATCCGCCTCAGCAGCCATACGTTCTTGCATCTCGGTTTCTCTCATCTGACGTTCGATTTCTTCGCGTTCAAGCTCCTCTTCACGTCTGCCCAGCATTGTTTTACTACACCCAGCGGGTTTCAACCAGGAATAGCCATACATAGCAATAGCAAGTTTGCGTTGCGTAAGCTGCCGCTCCTCTGCGGAGAGTGCTGTGAGAGGACCGCGAGGCATGGTATTTGATTTGTGTCGTCGAGAATGGCCATGATGTTGAGAGCTGTTTGGGTTCGACTGGTGGGTGCCATGCCCACGAATTGATGGGTCATCAGGTGAAGGATTGAGAGGTGGAAGAAGCGATGTCGCGGGTGGAGGGAACTGGGGTAACACTGTCGATAGTAGCATCATGCGTGACGTCGTAGCTCGAATGATAGGCTTCTCTGTGCTTCACGCGTTTTTGTGGTGGTCCTTCAGCTGAACACGACGGAACGCGTCGAGTCGATTGCTCGTCGCGGGCGCAGCCGTGTATGCCACTGTACGAACCTACGAGTCCATTTGACGCGGCTCTGGGCGCATGAGGAGATCGTTCGGCGTGTGGTGCATATATGTACCTATCTCAATCGCAAAGGAATTGGATACTTAGTTGCCTTGCAAAGTGTAGGAATAAGGCAACACTTGAAGGCAACCAACACGGAAGGCACTCGGCCTTGGCAACTCCGCCCGCGGGCCAAGCACTGCCAATCTTTTGCAAAATTGCGATGCGGATACTCGGACCGTAAGCTGTTCGAACGAGAGGTCACATCGCAAACACGTGCGCGCAGCTATTTCCCTACCAGCGTGCAACGCAACGGCTTCATGATGTTCCTCGCTCTCTCTGACTTGCAATATGAAGAACGTGCTGATCTAGCGCGTACACTCGCTCCATGTTCGATGTCCTTGGCCGTCGCTAGCAGCACACGCGTGGGCAATGTCTGACGACATTTGGATGCGGCTCCTACTCAGGGAAGGGCATGGTAGGACTCTCTGATTGATGGTCTGTAGGATAAAAGGTGAGCAAATACCATGGTAGGTCTTTCTGGACACGGTTCTCAGTGACTGCCAACTTTTTGTTCAGCGTCCTCCTGACTACAGCCGTTCGCTCGAAATTCGGTCGCTGCCCCCGAGTCGTTGACCATCATGCGTTATACCGCCACCCTTCTCGCAGCAGCTGGGCTCATCTGCTCTGGCTCAGCTGCACCTCCCACTCGGCCAGGCCCAGGAGCTGGAGGCCCGGGATCGAAGAACGGAATGAGGAACTTCATCTACATTGTGCCAGATGGATACGGCCAGCACTCTCAGACAATGGCACGGGACTACGCCATGCTACTGCCACCGAACACGACAGCTTCCAATCCAGGCCCAGCCGGGTTCCATCTCGCAGCCGACCTTCTCGTGGTTGGGACAGTACGAACTTGGGCCTCGGACAATCTAATCACTGACTCTGCGGCATCCGGTACTGCATTCGCGTGCGGGTACAAATCCTACAACGACGCCGTCGGCATCACACCCGACGGACTCCCAGTCGGCTCCATCCTGGAGACAGCCCACCTTGCGGGCTTCAAGACAGGATTAGTAGTAACAAGCACAATCAATCATGCCACTCCTGCGGTCTATGCCTCTCATGCCGAGAACCGTGACTCCTACGAGGCCATAGCTGCCCAGGAGATCGGATACTCTCACCCATTCGGCTCGACTGTTGACATCCTCATGGGTGGCGGGCGATGCTACTTCAAGCCGCAAAACGACAGCACGTCCTGCCGCAGCGACGATGTCGACTTGTTCAGCTTCGCTGCCTCCAAAGGGTTCACAGTCATGCAAGACCGCGCAGCATTCGATGAGCTGAACCTCGGCGAGAACGCACCGTTGCCCTACATCGGTCTTTTCAACGATGACCAGATGATGTATGAGATCGACCGCTCCAGAGAGCCGGAGAAGGAGCCTTCGCTGCTCGAAATGGTTGAGACCGCCCTTGTGTCTCTCGACAAGGCAGTCAGTGGCCGAACACCCCCACAGTCTGGCAAGCCGGGAAAGCCAGCTGGACCAACCGACAAAGGATACTTCATCATGATCGAAGCATCCCGCATTGACCACGCCGGCCACGCCAACGACGCTGCCGCCCATCTGTACGAAACACTGATGTACAACGAAGTCATGGACTTCGTCCGCAACTGGATCGACGAGCACCCAGACACAATGATGATGAGTGCCGCTGATCACGTAAGCCCTGTCCCCCTCCTACACGTCAAGCAGAACTAACCAACTCTCAAAGGAATGCGGCGGCCTAACCACCAACGGCTTCGACCCAGAGCCCCTCCAAGCAGCCCAGCACAGCCTGGAATACCTCGCGGATCTCTGGAGCGAATACAACGGCACCAACATCCGCGGCTTTTTCGTCGACACCATCCTCGCCGGCGCCGGTCTTTCCGGAGTCCTCTCCGACGAGGAGATCGACGCTCTTCTCGCTGCCGGCGAAGATGAGATCCTCAGCACCCTTCCGGACCTGACCGCCGAGCTTGCAGGCGTGAATTGGTCGACTGGTGGCCACACTGCGGGAGACATAAATCTGCATGCGTACGCGGCTGGTGATCGCTGGAGGGAGCTGAAGGCGGATCTGGCGGGAAATCATGATAATACAGAACTACCAAGGTATATTGAGAAGGTCTTGGGGTTGGATATGGATGCTACGACGCGGAAGCTGCGTGAGGCTGCTCCATTTGTTGCGCCAGCAGACGCCGCCAAGAAGACGAAGAGGAATGTGAAGACTCGCGACGGGCACGAGCATGGACATGCGCATATGCACTGAGAAGATTAGGAAGACGAGGGACGATTTGCGCGCTTTGGAAGGTTGATGATGTCTATACGTAACCGCCAGGCGTGCCCTGGGTGAAGAAGTAGTAGTCCTACTACGGTCGAGTGCCCAGAGCTTCCACATCCCCGTCGTGACTGCCCGTCATGAACATCCACCGTGATAGCACGCAGTAAAGCCTCGCTCTCAGTCCGCTATTGATAGATGCTAAAGACACGTACGGGCATCAAACATCGCCGACTTGTACATCCCACCGTCCCATCTCCGGGTGGCCTTCACGCCCTACAACTCTTCCAGTCACTCATCGTACAACCACAGTCACCAGCATACAGAAGCGAGAAAATAGCCAAACTAAAGGAGAGCAGCTGCCACGCAAATTGAGCCAAGCTGCTCCAGCACCTTCGTAAACTGATATGGATCCGTGAACCGGGCGACAGCGTACTCGGTACGCGCAAGCGTACCTCCAGGCGCTACGGCCATCAGTGCAGTCTCGTGAATGGTGTATGCTGGCATATCGATGTTGCTCTTCCAGCGCCAGACAAGGAGTATTAGGTATGCGAGCGAAGCTGCCAGGAATGTTGGCACGCCATTGACAACAATTGCTCATCAGCGGCCAGCCAACTTATTACGCCTTATGGGCAGTTGGAGGAGGCATGCTTGAAAGCCACCGCTTCGTTCCGGCGGCCAGGCCCCATTCGAGCCTTGGGATAGCCTTCGCAGTACTGACAAGTCCAGATGTTCGGCGGAAGTCGATACTTCCATGGCCACTAGTTGCACATGATAGGAAGTTTCATGCCACGATCTTGGCCGGGCAGACATAGTTCATCGTAACATCTCAGACTGCGAATTAGAGAACGCTGACTCGATCTTCACTCTCGTTCCCAATTCCATGCATTCCCTAGTCCTTGCAATTAAGATCTTGGACAACTGCCGCGATTGCATGGTTCATAAGAATTGGAAACCCCCTTCAGGCTCTTGATGAAGAACTTCTCAATCTGGTCGAGAGCAGGAGCGGCTGCGGACGGGAGAGGAATCGCTGTGCCGGACCCTGGCATCTTGTCGAGTCTCGGGCGAGATTCCAGTCACGCGACTTGCAGTCTCAGGTGGCGATCAGGTGGACTCAGTGTGACGTGGTCTTGACTCTGCAATGCGGGAACCGAGTATTATGAAGAGTGGTCTCGGAAATTGTCTGCTTGGATCTGTCGTGCTGGCAGAGCGACATTAATGCCTGAGAACAAGCAGAAGAAAATGACTTCAGCTCGCTAGCCGTGGGCTGTGACAACCAGTAGGGCATGCCAAGAGAATGCGATTATCCTGCTTATGTCGAGGTGAATGTTGAGAAGTCAATTCGTACAATGACGTCTGGTAAGTGGCCTGGAGCAGTGCAGCTGTCGAAATTCGGTAGCTGGAAGTCACGTCTTCAAGTGCTGCTCATAGAACTTGAGACTGCCTCCCTCCACCTCGCTCATGGCACCAACATTGGCCCTGCCAATCTCACGAAAGCCTATCTTCTCATAGAAAGCATCGCCAACCTCGCTCGCAATGACGGCCAATGGCAACGGCGGCTCCTCAGACCGAGCTACAGCAATAGCAGCTTCGATCAAAGCCTTGCCGTATCCGGACTTCTGTGCGTTAGGATGGATGCAGAGCAGCTCAATCATCCAGGACTCGGCTCGCGGTCCGGTGAAGTGATGCTCAATCTCATTCCAATTCTGCTCAAATGCTTCAAGGGCTTTAGGATCGGCAGATCGATTCGTTCCAGTGAAGCTGTCAGCATACTCGTCGGCATCGTACATTTTCCGGACCAGCATATCGGCATAGGATTCAGCCCCACCCAGCGCTTTAGCTCCTTCGCCAACACGCTTCATGAGCATACACCCCATTATTATGCCCTCCTCGTTGGTTCTAACGAAGCATCTCGCGACAGGGTCCAGGACATGCTTTCGAACCTCAACGTGCCACCATCGGAACCAGTCTTCTGGGTGCTCGTGGCGGCCAGGGTGCATCCAGCGGCCGAAGACGTCGTCGTCGACGAAGCCGTATGCAAACACTTCAGACATTTGGGAGACATCGGCTAGCTTGGCTAGGCGGACCTCGGAGCCACCCATGACTATTGTACAGATCTCAGGAACAGGTTGAGGTGCAGGAGGTGGTTCGTATTTCTGCTTCTGTGACACAACGTGAGGGGTTTCCAAGGTTCCGTGCAGCAGCTCGCGAGCTCTCTACTATCGAGGTTGCCAACCGATACCCAGAATCCTGGTTTCGGACATTTTCAAGCATTTGTCGAAACGATGGAGATGTGCGACAGTGGCGTTGGGAACTTTTGATGGATCCCTCTTGCCAATAATTGCTGTTGGGTGGACTTCGGTCGCACTTGCTCCGGATGCAGATGCACGATCTGCCGAACTTCTAAACGTGGACTCACTCATCCCTCTGGCCTACAGTACTTGCACTCTCTTTCAGTTCTACCAGACCACCATTGATTCGGACGGCAGGAATCCTGCCACACACGTCCCACGACGGCGACAATGCCCGCATCATGTAGGCTGAGGTCATTTGTCTCTGAACAAACATCAAATTGTTAGTACCTGTCAACTAGTAAGAAACAACGCGAAGTCCCCCTGCGAGATACGCGTTTAGTGGGTCTGAAATAGATCGTCACCTGCCAAGAAAATCATGATGTTATTGATTTTCAGTACTCGGTCTGAATGGGACAATATACTCACATAGCCATGTAAGTATCCCTGATCATCCTTGCCGCGACGCGAACAGCTTCGCGTTCACTGCCAGCAACATAGCGGTCCGAAAACCTTGCAGGACCAATGTCGCGTATACCGGCTTCTGTACTTCAGTCATTGCGATCCCCCATTACTCGATCTGTCTCCTTGGCAGCGTTCCTGTCACCGTCTGTGGCCGACAACAAAATGGCTTCAGAACTTACGCATCCCTCGTACAAGATAGTGCCTTATCAACCCAGAAACATGGATGGGCCTTTCCCCTACACCAAAGCCGAGCTCACGCCTACAGACCGCTCACCGGACACTGCTTTCTATTCGCAGCCGCGTTTTGTCACGCACATTGACGACAACGCTATTGTGTCACTGAAGGAATACTACGATTCAGAACTCCCACAGGAGAGTGATTCACAGTCTGTCGACGCCCGCCGTCCTGTCCGAATTCTGGACATTTGCTCTTCCTGGGTTTCGCATTATCCGCCACGGATTGTGAAAGCTGCCTCAGCGTTCTACAGCCCAGCCAGTGCTGCATCGACTTATAGTCCAAGAACCGAAGAGCCGCCTCCATCCCAGACAGCTGCTCCAAAGAGCTCTCCCATTCAATGTTACGGCACGGGTCTCAATGCCAGCGAGTTGGCTGCAAATCCAGCCTTGAATCCGACCGCGTCTGGACGTGCACGAGACGGCGAGGCTGTTGCAGAGAAGCGCTGGTGGGTACAAGACCTGAATGACGAGTCTGAATTGTCACCTCCGGAGCAATTGAAAACGTCACTGGGCAGGCAGCCAGAAGAGTCGCCGACGAGTCCAACGCAATATGGACTCTTTGACGCTACCACGTGCGTGGTGTCTATTGACTACCTGACCAACCCCACAGCGGTACTGAGATCCATCCTTGACCTTACTGTTCCGAATGGGACCGTCCATCTTGCCATCAGCAACAGATGTTTCCCAACCAAAGCTGTGAGGAGGTGGCTCGAGATCAGCGAGCAAGAGCGATTGGAAATGGTAGGGGACTACTTGTGGTGGAGCGGCTGGCGTGAGATCGAGATCGTGGAGGTCGTCGGGCAAGCGCAAGGTAGTCGATGGAGTCTGAGCTCATGGAACGACCCGCTTTGGGTGGTAAGAGCTCGAAAAGTGGCCGAAGACGCACCTCGCAGCACTGGTACCGTCACCACTTGAAAGTGCGCCTTATTTGTGGACTTGTCGTTCGACGTTGCCGCACGTTCAGCATGTCTGCGGTACGACCATCGCAGATTTCGCTGATGTCCCTGAACACCATTACATACAGCCTCGGAGTGACTATCAAGCTACGGGCAGGGTGCACTGCACACCTCAGTGCCCTCCAGGATGCTGCATGCCAAGCATGAGGCTGAAATGCAGTCAGGCCCAACTTGACCACCGGACATTGCCCGGACCTCGCTTGAACGTCAACGACTACAAGGTATTACCGTCGAGTCAGCTCGCACAGCGTCTTCCCGGCGACGGCTCAATTCAGAATCGGCTTCACCACGGATGGTGTTCGCACAAGTTCGGAAAACATGTCCTCTGAGAAACGACATCGCCGACTCACAAACCTGCGTTGCAGCTGCCACAAGCCGCCTGATGTGTAAGGTGGAGCCTAGATCGCCTTCCAAGTCTGGAGATATAGACCGGTCGAAGGGGCAGTTGCGACGCGGGAGAAGAAGCCGTCGCGTGAAGTCTTGCACAGAAAGTGCCACCGATAAGTTCGTGGTCAGCAGCGAACCTTATATTCAGATGTTCTCTGCTGAAAAACTGCAAGCGGTTTGCGACTCTATGGACGAGTTGCATCGACTGCTTTCTAAGTTTCTCCGATGGTGGCTTGTCCCAGAAACAAAAGTTCATGCAGCTTTGTCATCACGCGACATACATAAGGCGGCACGATGAGTAAGATGACCCAGCAATACGAGCAAGGCACTGCGGATCGGGAACCTCAACAATATCTCAAGTGTCGAACATTGTGTTGAAACATGCCAATCCAGACAAACGCCATGTCCAGGGCCCGCCCCAGAGCCATTGCTCACCATGACTCAACGTTCATTCACTCGTGCATGTCTTCCAAGGCTGCGCAGACCTTGGCCACGCTGTTCAGCTTAAAGGCAATCGCATGGCCGAGCCACGCTACATTGAGTATCTTCCAGACAAGCGTGCCACGGCAAGGGCGCGTGGGCTCCAGATTGCTCAAATACGCTCTCACACCGCGACAGTACACCACGCGAGAAGGGCTCGACAGCGCCACAGTCCTGTTGGTCAGCAGTTCCGACCACAACTTACATGTTCTGTGTGCTCGAATGCTGTGCTCCCGGTCCAGGAAGAAGTGCCCCTTCAGCCTGGCCGTCGAAGGACACGCAGCAATGAGGAGTCGCTCCTTAAAGACGATGAAGCAGAGGAAACCGACAGTCAACTCGCGAGCACAGATAGTGTACCCTTGGAAACCAGCCTCACATGCTTCCCAGATTATTTCGGTGCCGTACGCTGGGCGTGCGAGTCCATCGACTACTACAACAACGCGGACATACCCTTCCATGACACTGCGACCCGTGTGTTCAATGTTCGGAATGTCATGGCCGAGCTGTTCAACAGCGCTTTCGTACATCAAGTGAGCACTCATAGCGCCGTGGCGTTCTCTGAGTACCTTCTCGATCGGCAACGTCGGCCTGGTCTTTCGCCTTCGGCTACGGTGCTGAAAAACTTGACTGTAGCAATATCGAGGCTGCGGAATTATTTGTTGCCCCTAGACGGACCTCCGGACGATGGAGCACTCCTCGGGGTCTTGTCGATTGTTGTAGTCGCACAACTCATGGGCGATGCTGATGCTGTGCATCTGCACAACAAGAGCCTCCTACCACTGGTCCAGGCCCGTGGCGGCATTAACAATCTCGGCATTGATTCACTATTGCGAGTGGGACTGCTGCAGTATGAGTCGACATGGAATGCACCTCTTGGCACGGCGAAAGCCAGAGTCATTTTGTTTCCTGAGGCCAGAGCTCCAAGCGACCCCTTGCCCGCGCGGCTGTCTCCCTCAATGCCGCTCGTGGACTCTGATGGACTCGCGTTGGCAGTGCCTTTGGGCTTTCGGAGATTGAGGAGATATCTCTCACTATCGACAGTTGAAGCCATTGCCCGAACAGCACGTATCGTCGCCACCGGGGGGTCCATGGTGTCTCTTCCTGGATCTGCGAATACCCAATATCGGGACTTCTGGGAAACATGTCCATGTTTACGCATCGAAGAGGTCCCAGGCGTTCCCTCAAATCTCGAGAAAGTGGTCGTGCTTGCGCTCATCCTGTACTGCATGAGCGCATTCTACGTAGGCCCTCGGAGTGTCTCGATGACATACACAGGCTTTCGTGATGTTCTGGGTGTGTGTCTTCGCAGCCGGTGCACAGCAGCAAACACTGAAGATGAGTCGGCGGCATTAGCCTGGTGCTGCATGTGCCTGGTCGAGTCCTGGTACAGTCCTGCCAAGAAGACTTGGCCGCCACCGGGCAGATCGTTGATTGAGGAAATGAAGCGGGGCTTTCCACAATATCATGGTCGCGTTGATGAGTTGACTGCTACGCTGAGACTGTTCTTCATCTCGGACGACATCGAAAGGCGGATGCGCGTGTATTGGACTACGGAGGATGTGGAAGCTCTAGGCACCAGACCGTAATAGGACTACTACTTTCTTCACCCGGGCACGCCCAGCGGCTACGTATAGACATTATCAATCTTCGAAAGCGCGAAAGTCGTCTCTCGTCTTCGTGATCCTTCGAAGGGCTTGGAAGATCTATTGCAGCACCTCGTCCCCATAGCGCTTCATATACATACCCAACGCCTTGATCGGGAAGATGAACTTGTAGTTCGGGTAGCTGATCATACTGTTGCCCTCACAGTCAGCGAAGTAAATAGAGCCAGAGGGGTAGGAAACTCACCAAGAACAATTAAACACCCCCTCAATCGCCTCCTGCAACCACTCTCCATTCGCCTGCTGCCTCCCCATGACCATCTGCAGTGCCCTCTTGATCGGTCCCTTATCTGGGTATTCCGCGTACATCAACGCAATGACCGCCCACGCAGTCTGTACAACCTGACTCTTCTCCGGATGATCGACCCACCGCTTCTCATCACTGGACAAATAACTCTCGCCCCACCCACCATCCGCCATCTGGTGGTCGATCAAGAACTTGCACGCTTTTCGGGAGTACTCGCTGTTGGCGTACGTCTCACCGATATGCGCGAGCGACTCAAGGCTGAACATGGCCGCGTACGTGAAGCACACACCCCAGGAGCCGTACCAGCTGCCGTCGGGCCGCTGAGCGGACTTTACGTATTTCACGGCGCGAGCTTTGACGTGTTGGATGTCGGCGGCGCGGTAGTCTGGGTAGTGTTTCTGGAAGAGCGACAGTGCTGTGACGACGGCGGTCGTGCATTCCACGTAGTCGTACTCGACCATGATGCGGCCAAAGACTTCGGCTGCGTTGAGCATTTCGAGGTACTCTGACCCGCGCTGGATCTCGTAGCTGGAACAGCCGCCGGAGTGTTTGTTCTGCATGGTCAGAAGGAGGTCGGCGGCCCATTTTATGCGTTCTTCAGGCACGACGGCTTTGTAGCCGGTTTCATTCTGCAAGAGAAGAACGGCGCGAAGGCCTTCGGCAGTGCAGTCGCTGACGGTGTAGCCTTGGTCCTTGTTGCTGAATGTCCAAGCTCCCTTGCGCTCAGCGCGGTAGCAGATCTCGCGGTCGGGGACTTCATCGAGGAGTTGTTGGCGCTCGAAGTAGGCAAGGGCTTTCTCAAGCATGGGTCGCCATTTGGGGGATTTGGCGAGGCCGCATTCGACGACGGCGCCGATGGTGAAGCTTGTGTCCCAATTTTGCACGCCGTTGGTGCCGTTCACGTGCATGCCGCGGTGGCTCATCCAGCAGTAGTCGTGGAGACGGTCCAGGTGGCGTTTGAAGGAGTATGAGTCCGGGCCTTCTTCGACGTAACAGGCGAGTGTGTTCATGGATGCGTTTATGGGAGCCAGACAAGCATAGTCTGTGTTTGCGTCCTCGTATTGGATAAGTCTCCAGGTCCATGCTTCGGCTCTCTTAGCGATTGATGCAGTTCGAAGGAAGGGAATCCAGATCCAGACGATGAGCAGATAAATGAGTTTGAGAAGCCATGTCTTCGGGTGGTAGTCGTCAAATTGGGATATGTCGTTGCGATGCGAATCCCAGTTGATCGACTCGTAAGGTGTTGTGTAGACCTCCTGTCGCAACTGTCGGATCAGTTCTGTTTCTGGCGCTACCCATTGTTTTGACCAGAGATAGCTCATAGGAAGCATGATTTGGCGTATGTGAATCCACCATCTCCAAGGCGATATAGGCGTCCAGTCAGGCAGAAGCCACAGCTCTGGAGGAACGGGATTGGGAAGTTCCCACTGTGATATTCCCAGTATGCTGAACCACCACTTCAGCCAATGCGGCCCACTCAGGGCACCGCCCATACTGTGCAACTTCCCTCGAGCTTTGATCAGACGTGGATCTTCCGGATCAGCGCCCAAGATGCGTAGAGCAACGTAGTACATGCCTGTGCCAAAGACAGACGAGACTCCTTCAATATGTAAACCCCATCCGCCATCCTTTTGTTGGGTAGCGAAGATGTAATTCTTCAATTCGATCCGATATGGTTCTGGGATAGGCGTGTTGGTCGCGTACCATGCGAAGACGAAGCCCGAGATCAAGAACTGTGGCCCTCCGTACTCGCAGCCCCAGTGACCCGCGGGCAGTTGTTGCTTCGAGTAGAACTCTAGTACATTGTTCACAGCCTCGGACGGTTTCGTAGGCCTCGACAATGGTGGCAGTCCTGTGTCCAATCCAAGAAAGTACTTGTCGGCGATCGACTGTGGCCATTTTTCCACCTGCTCATCTGTTTCTAAGTAGTGCCAGGTGTGTCTGCCATCTTCATCGAGCATCCGCCATCTTGATCGATCGGTTGTCTCAACGGCAGGCTTGTATGCCTTCACTGAGTGACCGTTGAGGTTCCCGTTGGCGTGTCCGTTGGCACGGCCGTTAACTTTGCCATTGGGCGTGCTCGCAGACCGTGTCGTAACCATCGTGGCCGTTGTTAGGTCTTCGGCAGTCTATGCCACTTGGGCGGACTTCGTGGCGTGCTGCTCTTAACGGTCAGAATTGAGTGAACATTTTCGACAGTCAGCCACGACCGTTCAGGGCGCATGTAGAATCCATTCGCTCTCTCGTTCTGTTTTCCAGGCTCAAAAAGGTTGTAGAAGAACCGAGACTCCTCTGTGCTACCGTAGGTGCACTTTAGCTTCGGGACAGCGGTCTGGGGGTGATGCCACTTCGCGACGGAAATGGCCGAGAAGTTTGCCGCCAAAAATTTAGGCGAGGAAACAAGCTTTGATTTCGATTTCATGCAGGAACGAGCCTCGGCGGGCCAGCACAGGTCGGGGTTCAGAGCATCTACATTCTTCAATACCTACTACATTTGCGAGCTCGTTAAAGTCGGGCGACGACGCGGCATGGCGGCCGAAATGATGGACATAGACGATGTTGATCTGTCCCAGGACCATGCTGATCTATCTCAGAATTCGCTCAGCGAAGCATCAGAAACTGCTCTAGCCTTCATCGAGCAGTCCCTCGAGCGAGTGTGCCATGAAATGCAGCAAGGTGAGGCGAGTAGTCCTGCCATCTATCTACGCCGACTCGATCGATACGATGTGGTCTCCAGTCAAAATCTCGTAGGCAACGGACACAGAGCGAAGGACCATCCAGTCAAGTACTCCTGGCCAGGCAAGACGGCTGGTGAAGCATGGAGATTTGGTTTGATATCCTCCCTAGACCTTTCTGAACCCACTGATCTCGATCAAGCATGTGCTCTTGCTGTACTGAACTCCGTACATGCTGCGATCAGCTCTGGCAACGGCGTCACGAAACGGTAAGCGGCTGTGGGGGCTCTGAGCACGACTGACGACTGTCCAGAGACATCTACTATGCCGATCCAGAGCTGTTCGGTGACCAAAGTGTGGTTGACAGACTGATTGCTGACATCGCTCACACCTGTGAAGTCCCTCGCGCTGCCCTGTTCGTGGTATGCTTAGTCCTCATCTATGTCGATCAACGGGAATTGACAGCATCCAGACAGCGAGCCCCAAAGGACTTTTCCTGGTTCCAGGCCAAGCGAGCGATGAACCCCAGACAATCCCTCTGAATCCTCCATCAATGCGCGACATCAATTGGATCTTGGTGGTCGAAAAGGAGGCCACGTTCAACACTCTGTGCGAGAAGGGATTTCACGCTCTCAGTCGAAGTGGTCAGGGCATGCTTGTTACGGTAAAGAGCCCGAGGGTGGATGTACAGCGAACGGCACTGACTCTCCATTCAGGCCAAAGGCTACCCAGATCTCGCAACTCGCCAGTTCTTGCGCTTGTGCTGTAGATCGGCTGCTGTCCCACTACCGGTCTTCGGGTTGTTCGACTATGATCCATACGGCATTGACATACTGAAGTGCTACCGATCGGGGTCTAAAGTCTCAGCTCGAGAAGCCGACCTCAGTCTTACCGAAATGCACTGGCTTGGCATCAGATCTGCTGACATCGTCGATCTCGCCTCCACGTCGGCGCTGTCTCTCACGCAATCCGACCGGAGAAGAGCAACGAAGCTCATCGAAGGTATGACCTCTGTAACCGGCGAAGTGCCAGAAGAGATGTTCGAAGGTCGTGCAGAGCTACAAAGTATGCTCGTGCTCGGCTGCAAAGCAGAGATCCAGATCCTGGGCGACGACATCTGTCGCTGGACTGAACAAAAAATGCTCGACATCATGTCGAGGTGAAGCTGGATGTGTACAGTGTCATAGACCCAGGAACCGCCTCGGAGATCCAGGGACCGCCTCATAGACCAAGAGATCGCCTGACGCTTTCTCTCACACTCTTCTCAAATTCCGGTCGTCTCTCGCGCCATTGCTTTGCGGCATCGACGTTGGCCGGGCTCTCGTCATTTGGCTCAGCAAGCATGGACATGACTGACAATAATATGCTGAGCACGCTCTGGGTCGGTGACCACCTTTCGTCGGCGCTCTCGTAATTGTTCGGGTCGGCACCGGGCGGGTGGAGGATGGAAATGCAGACCTCTCCATTCGTGTAGACTGTACCAAGATTAGTAGTCGAAGCACAGTGTATGGCACGCTACTTACCGTTCGGATGCCATATCTCACCAAGAAACTTCATCTTTGGTGGGTTCCATGGATAGTCCTTGGGAAACGCGAGTTTCGCTGGGAAGATACCACCCTCGAAAGGTGTTCCTTCGGGCCCCTGTATCAGTGCTTCCCAATTGAAGAGATCATCTTCGTCGATAGGCCCCGCGGTGATGCCATCTGGTGGGGAGGTCAAGAGCTGCTTGTATTCTTGTAGTAAGCGCTTCGATGCCACTGTGGCGGACATGATTTCTTGTGTGCGATAGAGACAGATGAAATGCAGCGAGCCAGATCGAGGTTGTGCAAAGCTGAGTGTTCGTTGTTGGTGAGAAATGATAAGATGGAGGGCGAGCCACTCGGTCACTGCCTGTCTTGCGGGATGGCTCGATCCGGGTGCCGAGGCCGCCTGCGCTAGGGAGAAGCTCAGGCAGTAGAGCTGCAATCGAAACGCATGGTGACTTCACCTCTTCATCTACAACATTCAGAAGTACAGGACAGTACCAGCATCACAGTAATCCAGTAAAATGGTTCGTAAAACGCCTTCTGGCTTCTTCGCCATCAACGAAGAAGCTCCGTCCTACGTGTCTCCCAATCCTCGATACGGAAGTCCTCAAAATGCATCGCCAGCACCAACACGCTGGGACGAGTCATCACCATCTCAACGCGGCGTGACTCGCAAGTCATCTTCAGGCTTCCTCGCTACCAGTAACAAGCTTCCATATCGTATAGCACGAGGTTACGATGACAAGGAGTGGAAAGAAGCGGAATGGACCGACATGTTGGCGAAGAGGGAAGCGAAACCAGAACCCGAGAAGTCATCGTTTGATCCCTCCAAATATACTCTTCCCTATGTCAAATACATGACCGAGAACCCGACTATATTCCACGCTGTCTCCTCCTTCGCATCCCAACTCAAAGATGCCGGCTTCAAACACCTCAGCGAGCGCCAGACCTGGACGATACATCCTGGAGGCAAATACTTCGTGACACGTAACAGCAGCTCCATCATTGCTTTCAGTGTGGGCGGAGAATTCAAGCCAGGCAACGGATTCGGCATTGTCGCCGGCCATGTCGATGCACTCTGCGCAAAGTTGAAGCCAGTGAGCAAGCTGCCCACAAAAGAAGGATTTGTCCAGCTTGGCGTCGCTCCCTACGCCGCGCCATCAGCTCTACATGGTGGGACAGGGACCTTGGTATCGGCGGCCGCATTCTTCTCAAGAAAGGCAATAAGATTGAAGAGAGGCTTGTAAAGCTCGACTGGCCCATCGCACGTATTCCAACACTCGCTCCACATTTCGGCGCCGCGGCATCAGGACCTTTCAACCCAGAGACTCAAGCCGTACCCATCATTGGCATCGACAACTCCGACATCAACGGCAAGGCATCGCCCGAAATACACATCGAGCCAGGCACCTTCGCCGCAACCCAACCGCCGCGCCTGGTCCGAGCTATCTGTGGCTCCGCCGGCGTCACCAACTACTCCGAGCTTGTCAATTGGGAACTCGAGCTCTTCGATACCCAACCCGCCGCCGTCGGAGGCCTAGACCACGAATTCATCTTCGCCGGCCGCATCGACGACAAATTATGCTGCTACGCCGCCATCGAAGCCCTGCTCTCCTCTGCCCAAACCTCTACATCCCCCGGCATTGTCAAGATGGTCGGTTGCTTCGACGACGAGGAAATCGGCTCCCAGCTACGACAAGGCGCACAGTCAAGCTTCATGTCCGGCACCATTGAACGCATCCTCTCCTCCTTCCAGACCTCGTCCTCCTCATCAACATCCTACTTCTCCCCAGCAGTCCACGCCCAATCCATGGCCAACTCCTTCCTCGTCTCCTCCGACGTCATCCATGCTGTCAATCCAAATTTTCTGGGCGCATACCTCCCGCAGCATATGCCGCGCCTCAACGTCGGCGTAGCCGTCTCGTGCGATCCGAATGGGCACATGACCACCGATTCCGTGTCGACGGCGTTCCTGTATGAAGTAGCCAAGAAGTGTGGCGCGACGCTGCAGACGTTCCAGATCAGGAACGACAGCAGAAGTGGTGGAACAATCGGGCCGATGACGAGTAGTCGGCTGGGATGCAGGGCGATTGATTGTGGGATTCCGCAGTTGAGTATGCATAGCATTCGGGCTACGACTGGTGCGTTGGACCCTGGGGAGGGCGTGAGGTTGTATAAGGGGTTTTTTGACTATTTTGAGGAGGTTGATGCGCAGTTTGAGTAAGAGCTCTGCGAGAGCTTAGACTGAGCCGTCAGGGGTCAAGGAGGATTTCAGCCTAAGCTACACACATGCCAGCAAATCGGCTGTGACGCCACATTCAATCTATTGAGGCTGACGCAACGCCTCGCCCACCGATGACTGGGAGGACGTTTGGACGTCAGCAGCTCCAAGAGAAGGGAAGGAAAAGACTGTATACACTGTAACATTTGGGACCTACCCAAACTGCCATATGAAAGCACATTATGAGGGCCGCGAACACAATGGATTCGATAGACAGATAGGTCCAGGAGAGATCTACGAGAACATCACCTCGACAACAGGTTTAGCAGATAAGACGAGATTCGCATTGATATGGCCCTCCTGCTCGCAGCCGCAGAGAACGAGACCACCGGTCGTCATCCATGCGCACTTGGCTCGGTTGGCGTGAAATGACTGTGATGGGGTGACTGCATCTTTCAGCATCACATGCAAGTTGCAACGAATTTGTTTCGGAGCAGTCTCCGCCCGGTCGACACAATTATAGGCCATGTTCTGCCTTTCACATTGACATGGCTTGTGCATGTTTTACGACTTGAAAGTACGGATCTGAGCCGATGTCGCGGTACCAGGAAACCATCGATTTTCTCTCTCGCTATACGATGTCCTCGTGATCTCCATTCGACGCAGCCCCAGGCGAGATCGACTTCCAAGATTAGGCATTTTCAGTCCAGCCCCAGGCGATGCTCGCGCTGCCATTGAGGTCGTCTGTAGCGCACGTAGATACGTAGGTCAGTGCTTCCAAAATCGACATCTAGATCAATTCTGTCCCTCTAGCAGGACGGCACGATGGAGCGCAGGCCCTGACACAAGCTGCTGCCGGGTGAATCTGTTGTCTCAGGTCCCTACTGTCCAAGCAGCACATGGTATGCATCTCATCTGGTGCATGTATTGAGGTGCAGTGACCACGACTGAGTGCTCTCTTCTCGTGGCTGCCAGATGGATGCCCATCGGACTTGGTGAAGAACCCCGACGAAAACGGGGCAATGATGTAGCTGAATGATGTGGTCCCGTTTGGACTGATATGGTCTATTATGCATTTTGCACTTCCGGCAGTCTAACTGCGATGTCGCCAGACTGTGTGATATACCTGACCCATGGCAGACTGGGGTACTGCAGTTTTGGCTCGATGATCTTCAGGTATCTCACTTGAATGCCTAGAGTCATCGTCAGTCATGTTACCGTGTCTCGAAACATGGTCTAGCTTACCTGAAGTAGTGAAATAAGGAATCTCGAACTTGATCTGCAGTGGCCTCTTGCCCCGGCCATCCCCACCAATGCCTCCCATACTACCACCAAACCCCCCGGTCATGCCACCGCCTCGCTCGTCATCACCTTTGACACTAGGCAGACCCAGCTCAGCACGCATCAGGAACTCCTTGCCACCGCCAAATTGTTTGATCTTCCATACAATTGCCGACTTCTCCGGCGCGTAGTGCACCGAACCGACATTCGTCCGGAAACGAGGCGAGTCTGCATCCTCAGGTACCGGCACGATGATCTCGACGTTGTTTGCTGTTGACCGTCGCTTGAATTGTGCTCGAGCCTTCAACATATATTCTATCCTTGAGCCGGAATGCGACTCTACCACACACTCGACCCAGATCAGAGGCTTGACGGCCGTGTTGAGACGGTACGACATCAATTCGAACTCGCCGTCCGGAGGGATGAAGGATATCGTGCGATCGTTCTCGAATCGTGATAATCGTACACACTGGTGAAATTTGACGTCCTCCATCTCGACAGCTTTCCCTCTAGTCGCTCGCCCTGTCGTTTCGAACATGACTTTGTCGTTCAGGCCTAGCCGTAGTTCGGGCATTCCGGAGAGGTAGCACTTCATCTTGACCGCCCCAAATCTCAGACCGGAGCACATTCCCGGACGCACCCACCAGCAGATTCAAACTCTCAACCACATCCAAGAACACCTCATTCTTCCTGTACCGTATCCCCTCCGAGCGCCACGACACCGCGTTAGTAACCGCAATCGGCGGCCTCGCCTGCACCTCCAACTTGTGGCTCTCCTGCGTGATATACTCCTGCAGGATCTTCGTCTCCGTCGTCTGCGGGTACCCAAAGTCCATCATCTCATCCAGCAGTTCATAGATAACCACGAAATTATCCCGTATCGACTCCTCCTCTAGTTCCTTGAAGTATTCGGTAAACACCTCGACGATCTTGTGCAGGAAGAGGAGGATCTCGGCGGCGTTGGTGTTGCGTTTGGTGAGGGCGAGGACGTAGAGGTTGGAGTGTCGGATGTAGAGGTAGTTGATGCCTTCGTCGGAGAAGCAGGGCGGGACGGCGGAGGACTCTTCTTCGGCTTCGGCGAGGAGGATGGGGAACTTTTCGACTGCGGACATGGGGATGTCGCCGCGGTAGTTGCGGGCTAGGAGGGTCTTGCCCTTGAGGTCGAGGAAGAATAGTGCGGAGGCCATGGTGGGTGGAGGAGGTGGGTGTGATGTTCAGATGTTGTAGGTTGTTTGAAAGGGTCACCGATGGGTGAAGGTTGAGCACGCGCAGATCATGGTGCGTTGAGGGCCTCTCCGAAGTAATTTGCCGCCGCAGTGAGTCGAGTGTCTTCTACAGAGGTCCAGGAGAAAAGAGAGCACTTCTATGTACGCATTGTTCATCAGCCCTTGAAGGCGGTCGTCTATAGCGCCCCCACCTGGCCCGAAAATGGCAGGTCAACCGATTTTCTGGGGATGGGATTTCAAAAAAGTTTCGAGAGATTCTTGGTCGGCTTTCTTCTCATCATACCGCTCACGAATAGACAGTACAAAGCAGCATATGCAGTGATACCGTCGTGGCGTTTTGCTACTGACCAAACTGCGCCTTTTCAATTGCTCGATTTTGCGATTTAGTGATGCGCAGAAGAATTCATGATGGTTCTATAAGAGCTGGCTGAGCATTTTATCTACAGTTGCTCAGGCGGTGTCAGAAGTCCCGAACAATTTCCGCGTGTTGTACACAGTAGTGTGGCTATCAGTACAGAGGCTTCCTCACGAAGAGAGCACAGGGGTCTCCTTGTGGAGGGCCTTCTGCTGAATGCTTGGAAGTTGTTTGGCCAGTCCTAGAGGGAGGAGGATCTTCTCTTTGCAGACCTGGTTGGCAACAGCACCGCCTTGTTCGAGAGCGAGTGCGCCGACAATGGCGAGCATGGCTTGTGCGTATACCATGTCTGCGCCGGAGTTCGCGAGGTTGTCTGGCTAGGACAGATCAGCATAGATTTCGTGCACTGCGAGATGCTATACATACATTTCTTGGTACCCAGCGCATAACTTCTGCTATGCCGTAATTTGACGCTATCCTTGCCACACCAGCATGATGCGTGAAATGATGTCGCGCTTCCTGAGTCAACGATTCGAGGCCTGCTAGGGCAGGATGCTCAAACGGCTCTCGGCCATCGTCCATCAACGCCGCCTTGATCGCTCCAGCAGGTGAGCTGCTGATTATGTTCAATGATGTCTGGAGCTCAACAATGCGTTTCCCTGTCTCCAGTAAGCCACATGCGTAAACGTATCTGCCCTGAACATACCGATGAATGCCAACCGATCATTGAATCCCCGCCGCCCGTGGTCAAAACTCTTATGTGTTACAGCCAGCCATCGTGTCTCGTCTGATAGAAGCTTTGGACCGTCCGGCCCCAGTAATCGTGTGTAAAAGCTGTCCAGCCTTCTTGGGTCCTTATTCACGTCGTGTCGTCCGCCTTTGTTCGTCAACTTCCTGACAGTGAGGGAGCCCTTCATCGCCGGCGGAGTATGCGCCCATCGAGGCGCAGGTGCGTCCACCTCCATCTCTTGCTGGTGTATTGAGCCTGTTGACACCAATCTGCGCTGTTGCCGTATGCGCTGGCGTGTAGCTTCTATTCGTGTGCATATACATGGTGATCTGGAGGAGATGGGTGGTATTGACTGGAGGATCGCTCGTGTGCTGCTAACGACAGGTGAGACCATATTGTCGCTAGGGGCCGCCTGGCCGTAAGACTTGAGCGGAAATCTCAGCTGGGTCCTAAGTTCGAGCCAGACGATAGGATGTGCTTGATAGTAGCTAGGGAGTGCTCTGCAAAGTGATTATGGACAGCCGGGAGAAATGTAGACTTACGTCGATCTGCAAGTGAAGCCATAAATTTCGTTGGAGCAAGAACACCAACCATGTATTTGATCGAATGCGTTATTCAACTCCACATCGTCATCTTCTACACATCCTGCTCGACCAAAGGTCTGGCAGCCTTTCGTGCCTACGCGAATGCTCGAATGCGTTGAGGAAATGCGTCGAAGCAGTTCCAAGTTTGATGCTGGATGTCCAACACGAGCGAAGCCTCGCCTGCAGCAGCTCGTCATCTCTGTCTGATCTCGTGCTCGCAACATCAAGGCCAGGTTATGTACCAGTGTCATGCTCGTCTTGCAGGGTCGCCGATCATAAGCCTCAGTAATGGTCCAGTCATCTCGAAGAAAAGGGCTATCGCCGCCCTTGCCTCTGGCTCAAGCGGGATTACACGAATTAAAAAACATACTGCTGTCCTACAACAAACTTGATCTCGTCAACACCGACAACAGCACTACACGAGTCCCGGATGTGAAGTGCACGATAGGCCTCAGACTCGATAAATGCGGGTGCTGGACAGTCCAAAAAAGTCCATCCAGAAGGAAGAAGCAGAGCTTCATTTTCTGGACTGTCCAGCACCCGCATTTATCGAGTCTGAGGCTCATCGTGCCTTCATGTCAGGTGCTATCATTGATGAGAGGCAGGAACGTGATGGGCAGGACCGCTTCACCTCGCTGCTGCCGACGTCAGGCGCATTCCGATGCAGAGCCCAGACGGCAGGCACACCTCGAAGCCTCCCATCACGGTCGATTCCGCACTGTCCAAGTATCCCAGCAATGGACCATCACATTTTTGCTGGGTAAGGCATGTGACTTGCCTTTTTGCACGTATTGTCCCAGCTGTTGCATATTTGCGCGGTGGCTCTAATCAGTCAGCTCTCAAGTCATGGCTAGGATTACTCAAGGTGCTTATAGGCACCAGACACCTAACACCACCTAGAAAGAAACTGTAAGAGCAGCTGAACAGGTGCTACCGTGATCGCACAGTGTACGCTCAGATACTGGCCCACAATCACAGCAGCTTTACTCATGAATATCAAGGCTGAAAAGATATATAGGCTCCGCAGGCGACCAAAGTGCTGGAAACAAGTACTTGTTGTGCGCATATTATTAGTGCTGCAGAGTTCACCCTGTGAGCTGCAAAGTACCCAAACTCTACGTTCGTTGCATGGGTCAGGACAAGTAGCCGGTAAAGGTACTTGTCTGAGATTTTTCGCTATATCATGCCACAATCTCTGCAGTTCTGCGCAGTCATATCAACAGGTTCACTAGACATTCACCAATATGGCTCGACTGGCGCGATACATCATATGCATCGTCTCTCTTGTGTTGGCCACGACCATCCCCAATGTTTGCGCAGCACCTACACGAGATGACAACACGCCGAATTGGGGACCAGGCCCTACAAACGAAACAGCTGTCTGGAACAATGAAGCAATTCACAGCCAATTCGCGCCGGCCCCGGAGAACGATACCAGCTCCAGCTGCCCCAATCTGGCCGGCCTCACGCCCTTCCAAATTTCAGCTTGGGACCAGGACACAGACAAAAGTGAGTAGCCTAGCAGGCATGCATCGGGAACTGCGCCATAACATGAACGATGGCTTGAGGAAGAGCACAAAGGGTCCCAAGACATGACGGCCAATCCTTTCCCTGCCATCTTCCAGTTCGTAGTCATTTCCCGAGACGAAGCTAATTCATTCGCTCCACTATAGAGTTCTGGATCGGGACCGGCGAACCGGGCCGCACGACCATGTCATCGGGCGCGTTCAATTTTCGACTCATGAGGAATTATAGAAATCAAAACCACAGGTGGACATACTCCAACAATTTCTTTCAACGCAACAACTCGCTCCTCTACTGCTACCGAAGGTACACATATATCGCTGTCGCCGCCGGTGATGCTTACTTCGATAAGAGCATCTACTTGTTTGAAGAAAGCTTGACCTCCAGTTCTGGAGAGCCATTACAGAACTGGAGACCAATTCATGTGGAGCAGAGGCAGGACAACAAGATTGTGCTTTCGTTGCCAGCGTCTAATCGGACGATACCCTGCTGGTCTGAGGTCTCGTCGCATGAATCTTTCGATCAGTTGAAATTCCGCGCGGACAAGCCGAAGAAGGGCAAGAAGAAGTGCCATGGGATCAGAGAACTGACGAAGGTGCCCCGTGCATAGTCCTTGGTAGAGTTCCGAATGGAGCATGAACGAGCACGGTTGCGCTGGCGCAGACGGTCCATCGCCTGCGGCAAAATTCTGCCGCTTTCACACGACTGTTACACTTGCCCGCTCGGCACCTCAAACGGCCCCTCCCCAGGCCTTGGAAACACTGGCCACCCCGTCACCTCATCCCAGCCAAAATCCTGCGTCCGTATCGTCCTCGCGCTCCACCCAGTCGCATAGTCCCGCATCCCGTGGTACACAATCCACCATTGGCTCTCATCGGGACTCGTCACGAAGCTGGCATGGCCGACGCCGTACACCGATTCCTCTGGGTTCTGATAGAAGACGCAGGAGGCGTTGTTTTTAGTCCAGGAGTCGGGGGAGAGCGGGTCCGGGCCGGTGAGCTCCAAGAGGCCGAGGCAGTAGTTGCGGTTATCGGAGCGGGCTGCCGAGTAGATTACGAAGGATTGGTTCGTTGTTGGATTGTTTAATTGTTGAGGGCCTTCGTTGGACGACAGACGCACATTGACGGTGCGATTGTACGGGGTCTTCTCCCAGGGTTCATCGGGTTTGGAGATTATGAGTCGCTCGGACAGAGGAGAGGAGACAGTGTAGGGGTTGGACATCTTGGTGATGCAGAGCATGGCAGGCCAGGAAACATATGCAGAATGCCAGCATGAGTAGATGTGGTAAAGACCGGACGAGTGCTGGAAGTAGGTGCCGTCGATTGCGAATTGGTCGTAGGTATCAAGCTGGGCCTTGAATGCATATTCGCTCTCCCAAATGTCTGAGCCGGAGGACTCCAGAGTAAACATCCGGTGATTAACGGCAGGACAATTGAAGTCGCAATACATGTCCTGCTCCGGACTGGGTGACTCGTTGTCCACATTCCCGGTAAATATTACATACCACCTATCGTCGATGTTGTGAAGTTCCGGTGCCCAAAGTGAATATGCGTACGATGTATTCTCGACGGCCGTGAAGGCTAGCTTTATGTCGGCAGTGTTCCAGTCCGTCAAAATGGGACTTCTCAGGATGGTAATGTTCGTCCCGGTAGTGTAGGTCATGTAGTAGAGCCCATCCACTTTCACCACAAATGGATCGGCCCCAACACCGTCGAGGATGGGGTTTGTATATGTCGCATTGGTATTGCTGGGAGGGTATGCCGTCCATTGTGCTCCAACTAGCCATGCCGCGGCTGTGAAGATGGCGCCTGTTACCGGTAGCATGATGAATCTGTTATGGCGAGAAAAGAACGGAGATGAGCTCAGTGCAGAGAGGATCCATTAGCATTCACCTAGAACGAACACATAGGTTCGGGCGCAACGTTGCATTATTTCTTGCCATACTCTTCCTGTGCGATGATCTCACAGCTCGGATGGACTCCATTCTGTGCTGCAGAAGTTGCAACTCCGCCGTGTGCGGAGAGCAGCCATCGAGTGCCCATCGCTTCTCTTGCAGACTTACCTTTCTGCTCGCGGCGTGTGCGCCGTTGGCATGGCTGCGTCGATGTGTTCTGCAGCGAGGTAAGAGCGAGACAGTCAGAAGCTATCGCTATCACAGGCATGCCTGGCAATCTGATGTTCCTTATCCATTGGCTACTGGGCCGGCCTATGGAGCACGAAACGCGTGAGCAAAGCTGGCACCTCTTCGATCCCGTCTGTCGTCTTCACTCATTCGTCGCACGTCAAAATCGGTCGCATCAGATGCTTGCATAAAGCGACGCAGAATGCGGATTGCATGCAATGTGGCAGCTCTCCACTGTCAGGCCATCTGTCATGCGAGCCCTTCCCCAGATCTTCCCCGCCTTTACAGGCCGTCCCGTAAAGGGATAGCTGATCACAACGCCATGCTCTGTGCAACATTCAGAAAGTGCAACGACCGCTGCAACAGCCTGACGTACGGATCGCATCTGCTGTCATTAATCGGAAGCAGAATTCTGGTACAGGAAAACCCTTCCGATCTCCCGTAGTCCTGTGGTACTCTTGACATCGCAATGCTCTTGGCAGCAAGGGCACTGAGCAGGCGCCTCCCACGGCATGCATCTACCGCCTACCACTTTCCAAACGCTGTGGCTCGAAACCACAAATCTCTAACCTCGCATAGATATCAATTGCGACCGCTTTCTTCGACCGCTGTCGTATGGACGAGGAGGCCTTCCGCGATCGCCCAGAGGTTGCCTGATCCAGAACGTGAACCGCAGCGACTCAGGGACTTTGACCTCGAAGGAAAGATATTTGTAGTCACTGGCGGAGGCAGAGGTCTTGGCCTCACCCTTGCAGAAGTGCTTGTTGAAGCTGGCGGGAAGGGTAGGTAACCCCATACTGGTATTTGAAGACTCACAGTCCGCAGTATACTGCCTTGATAGGCTGTCCGAACCAGTGCAGGAATTCTATGATGCGCAGAAGCGTTCGGCAGAGGTCTACGGCGGACGCTTGACCTACGACCAAGTCGACGTTCGTGATCCGAACAACCTTGACCAGGTCATTTCGCGGATTGCGGATGAGAATCAGGGGCTGCATGGCTTGATAGCTGCCGCTGGCGTGCAGAAGGTTATGCCAGCACTCGAGTATCCTCCAGAAGCTGTCAACGAAATGATGGAGATCAACTACAGAGGAGTCTATTTGTCTGCTGTCAGCTGCGCGAAGCAGATGATCAAGTACAAGACACCGGGCGCCCTCTGCCTTATTGCCTCGATGAGCGGACTCATTGCGAACAAAGGCTTCACTTCGTCGGTTTACAATTCATCGAAAGCCGCAGTGTGTCAATTGACGAGGAGTCTCGCAATGGAATGGGGCAAGATCGTTGATGGGAAGCCCATTCGGGTCAATGCGCTGTGTCCCGGTAAGCACTTAGTCCACTCGGCAGACTTATGCTAAGGCCTCCAGGTAATATTATGACGCCCATGGTGAGGAAGAACTTCGAAGATGACCCAGGGCTCCGGGAGATATGGGAGCGTGAGAACATGCTCGGGCGCTTGTCTGAGCCATCAGAATTCCGAGGCGCAGCGCTTTTCCTACTAAGTGATGCCTCAAGCTTCATGACAGGATCTCAGGTACGAGACAGACGCCATAGCAGTGCTGACTCTGACACGAACAGCTCATCATTGATGGCGGCTATACAGCGTGGTAGACTTCCATATCCAGTGGGGTTCACCTATTCAACGCGTTCATATCTTCGAATCCTGAATCGCCTTCAGTCTGAAATTTCCACGTGGAAAATGCAGATGCAGGTGCCCCTTGCCTCCAGGCACTTCTGACTCGATGACGAGTTCTTTGAGGTGTAAAGCCACAAGTTTTCCTTTGTCGTGGTGATTTTGCCCCGAGTCAGTTGGCCAGCACTCGATCAGCTGACCCTGCGACAACCCCAATGGATCGTATTTGTCGACACCTTTGATGTCCTCGAAAGTATTCGATCCCAGCACGCGGGCGTATGCGTCTTCATTGCTCAGAATCTCAGGCTTGCCATTTCTCTCCGTCACTGCCTCGCAGGATTCGCGGTGGCGTGCGGTCCATGAAAATGCCCTTGGATAGTTCTCTTTGGTAATGCCCTCCTTCGCAGCGATATCAGGCAGTATCTTCGACATACCAAACATCCAGTCCCAAACCCAAGCCGTGTGGATATCGGTCAAATCAGGCTTGTCCTTTCCGGACATGAATTGTCGGCCATCTGCAAGGAAACGGTTCTCAACTGCATCCAGGAAAATACGAGAATGAACCAAGGCCTCCGGTCTCATCGCACCAAGACCCTCTCTGCTGAAGGGCACCCCGATCATCTCAGTCCGGTCTTCGAGGAACTTGTCATCCTGCAAAAGCGCCGCAGGGATCATCTGACTCGTTCGCCAGAATGGTCCTCCTTCGTTGACCCACGACTCAAGCAGGTACTCGACACCACGCATGAAAGGGTCCTTTGAAGCCAGGCGGTTCTCTGGAATCAACTGCTCCAGCTTCTCAATTATGATTCTCGTATCGCAGTATACATCTCGACCAATGGCCAGCCATGGAATTCGCCGGTACCTTATACCAAGCTCTTGGAGCTGCTCTCGGGGTAAGTATGGAGCTGTGATGCATTTGGCATACTTGATCCCTCGTAGGTTCAGGTACCACTCAATCTTCCGTCCATAGACGGACGCGTCGTAAGTGAACAGCACGATGTTGTTTGGGGGCATTGTCTCGATTCAATTTGTAACAACAAAGAATTGTGCCGCCGCCCAGGTGCAGCGGTGCATCATGCATATCAGCAAAAAGCACGGCACTGATGGACTTCCCAAGCGGGGAAACCCCGCAAAGTCAGCCGACATACCAAGGCCATTGGTCGCATCGTGACTACAATCACTGGCTGACCTCGGCCTCTTGTTCCTGGCAGAAACTTACTCGACTCACCAGCAGGGCGCCAATGCTGACCTCCAAATGTGCGAGTCAGATTCACATATGTCAAGAACAGCATGCCAGCATTTAAAGGTCTGGCATGCCAGGCCCAGAGCTTCATACGCTGCCCGTAGCACCGAAGCGAGCGTTAAGCGACGATACCATCCACCAACATGACCACCCTTGAATGGAAGCAACCAAAAGCACGCGAGCTCCTCGGCGGTGATCTCGCTGCACAGTCTCTCGCACAGCTCGGTGTCACAGTCGCCTTCGGTCTACATGGAGGGCACTTAGACGCTTCCTAGTCGGCTGCGATCTCGCCGGCATCAAGCTCATCGATACACGGCACGAGACTGTCGCGGTGCAAGCCGCCGAAGGGTACGCCAAACTCAGCGGCAAAGTTGGTCTTGCATTCGTCACAGCAAACTCCGGATTCTGCAATGCCCTCCCCGGCATCGCAACAGCATACGCTGACCGCAGTCCCGTCTTCGTGCTCACATCCTCACCACCATTACGAGATGCCGAGACCAATGCTTTGCAAGGCTTTCACGATCAAGTCGTGCTTTCGAAGCCCATGACAAAGTTCACCCACCGTGTCACCAACGTCGAGGAGATTCCCCGGATCGTCAGCTTTGCCTTCCGCACTGCACAGTCAGGCACGCCTGGTCCTGTGGTGGTGGATTTTCCGATCGATGTCCTGTTCTCTCCACCAAGGATGTCCGCTATCAGCTATGGTGCTATCATGATGGGGCCCGCCTCGCCTCCAGCGCCAGATCAGGCAGCTGTAGCAAAACTCGCCGAGCTGTGGTCGCGGGCCAAGCGGCCAGTGCTCATTACAGGAACGGGTGCAGGCAGGACGACTAGCCCAGGCACATCGACATCCGCGCTGCTTTCTTTGGCCGAAGCTACGAACACCCCAGTCTTCTATTCTTCCAAATTCGCGCCCGCACTTCCCTCAGATTCGCCCTTCCGCGGCGGTCCAGCTAGTCGTCTGGCTGTACTGCCATACATCCAAGCCGAAAGACCCGACCTCGTCATGCTTGTAGGTGCGAGGACGGGCTTTCTCTTAGGTGGTCGAAATCACGCAATCATTCCTCCCGACGCGACAATCGTTCAGGTAGACATTGACGGTGGGGAGATCGGCCGCTCGCTGCCTGTCTCTCTCGGCATCGTCTCGGGCGCAAGCCTATTCGTCAATGCATGCTTGTCACATTTCCAAAAGTCCTCCACAGCATCACAACCTGACAGGAGATCCTGGCTCGATACTATTGCAAAAGTCAAGTCCTTACCCTCACCGCACGAATCAGAGCCAAAGACCATCGAGAAGGACAATAACCTCCTGCATCCCTACCACGCCCTGAAGTCAGTATTCACGTCACTACCGCCCGACTCGATTATGCTGTTCGATGGCGGTGAATGCGGCGTGTGGGCTTTAGATCTGGTTGAGCATGCTAAGCCAGCGCATGCGTTGGCGTCGACGGGTTATCTAGGCTTCCTTGGGAATGGCTGGGGTTATTCCCTCGGTGCTGCCCTGGCGTTCCCGGATAAGCTGATCGTGAACTTGCAAGGAGACGGCAGTGCGGGCTTTCATATTGCGGAACTGGATACCTACGCAAGGCATGGGCTGAGAATATTGACTGTTGTGGTCAATAGTAAGTTGTTTCCTTATGTCATCGAAGATCTCCTGTACTCGCGAAGTCCTCCCCGGAACGCTGACTCACATGCTCCTCACAGACTACTACTGGGGCATGTCCATAGCCGGTCAAGACCTCCTCTACCAGGACTCCGAGCCCACTCTCCGGCCCGTCTCAACCTTATCCCCCAACTGCCGCTTCGACATCGTCGCACAGGGGTTCGGCTGCAACGGGACCATTGTGACGAAACCCGAAGAAGTCGAGCTGGAAGCGAAGACGATGATCGAGGGAGCCACACAGAAGCAGAAGCCTGGGCTCGTGAATCTGATCGTGAGCAGGCAGCCGGTGACGGCGACGACCAAGGCGATGGTGGGTAAGACGGACGAGGAGGGCATGATTGTGGTGCCGTATTATGATAACGTGCCGAGGGCTTACTATAAGGAGGATAAGGGGAGTGCAGTGGGTAATGGTGTGAATGGTCATTGATCGGATAGAGAGAATTAAAAAAGTGTCCTGACTTCTTGCATGTTCAATCAACCCAGTGTCCCAGGTCGACTATGACTGTCGGCACCCAAAAACCCGAGTATGTCGCCGTGGGAGTCATCCCCATCTGCCCTGCTGCCTCCGCTACGTTGCGACGTCTCTCCGACCATCACTCGGAAGGGAGATCGTTATGCTTCCGCCGCCAAGCAATCTGAGAAGCTGCATGGGTGCTAGCACGCAGCCCGGGCACGATTCGTACGTCCCATTGCGGCGGTTCTCAGGCCACCAGCGGGCGGAGAACGTCTTGGCGAATGTCAAGCTGCTGCAAAAGTACAGTATTCCGCTCCATGGCAAAGCCGAGACCGCGAATACTGATATACTGACTCTGGGCTCACAGAGGCCTCTGACGCTGCAGCAACGAGTGCGCGCTCTTGGCATACTGAGTTTCCTCGAGCTATATATGGCCAATGGCTCAATTTGGCAATTGCGTTGATCGTCGGGACCCGGTCCTGTCCCATTGTTCGAGGCCCTATTCCTGAAGCGTGTATGAAAATAGTTGAAATCCAAAATAGTCCATAGGAAATTGCGATGACGATGCAGGCAGTGCTCGGCTTCGCTGTCCTTGGTGGCTGTGGGATGGCCGCTAGCGTAGTGTCAGAGGCCGCCCTGATGGTGGCAACGAGAGGTGAAGGATATATATCATTGCTGCGTCCCGTCATCGAGTATCAAGCAACAAACTCATCCAGACACAAGAAACACTTACAGATAGATAATTTTCCAGACCCGTTAAGGACTCAGCAGACGAAAACATGCGACGGTCAACATTCTCTTTCACTCACCTCATCCTTCCAGCTCTGTTTAGTAGAGCACTCACACTCCCCGTCATACAATCAAGCCCACAGGGTGAGTGGAACAATCTCAGCGCCCTCCTACAGCCTCGACAAGAGCATACCACTGTTGCCATCAACGAGACCACGCTTGCCGTAGCTGGAGGTGTGTTGGGCGTGTACAACGGCTCAACCCAAGTTGGGGTCCAGACCACCGATACTGTGCAGCTGTACGACATTCCTAGCGATACTTGGGCCGATGTGGCACCACTTCCACTCGGTCTGAACCATCCGAATGTCGCTGCGGTCGATGGAAAGATCTACATCCTTGGCGGTTTGGCCGATGGCGGGAATCCAGACTACTTCATCGACTGGGTCGCTACCGGCGATAGCCACGTGTATGATCCCTCCACAAATGTATGGACTGAGCTTGAGTCCATGCCGAGGGGCACAGAGCGCGGCAGCGCTGTGGTTGGCGTTCATGATGGAGTCATCTACCTTGCTGGAGGCATGAAACTTCTGCGAGACGGCGAGCAGGCAGGATTGACCACTGTGACTGCCTTCGATACCATTTCAGGCAAATGGCAAGTGCTGCCGGAAGAGGCTGCCAACATCCCTGACCCTCGCCAGCATGCTGCCGGTGCAGTATATGAGAACACCTTCTATGTCATCGGTGGACGCAATGTCGACCAATATGACGGAAAGGACACTGTTTTCAAGCTCGACCTGGACGACCTTGAGGCCGGTTGGACGACAAGCGACGCGACTATGCCGACAGCTCGCGGTGGAGTTTCTGGCGACGTGTTGGGTGACAAGTTCTTCGTCTTCGGTGGTGAGGGTAACAAGGAAGCCCCCAACGGCCTTTTCGACCAAGTCGAAGTTTTTGACCTTCAAACTGAGAAATGGACCGAGCTTGATGGGATGCCGATCCCTAAGCACGGAACCAGCGCTGTTGCCGCCGGGAAAAGCATCTACATCCCAGGCGGTGGACTGCAACAGGACGGGAAGGAGTACGTGCTGGAGTCTGGCGAGGTCAAATTGGCGGACACCTCGAAGTCCTTGGACGTTTTCACCGTGAAGGGTCGCGGGGATTGGGAATCCTACTCGTGGTCGCCTGTGCCTTGATCGATGTTGATGATGTCAATGGCTGGTGGTGCGCAGTCGCCAGCATAGCATTGAATTTGTATTGATGGCGTCGTCAGGAGAGCAACAAAATATGTGCGAAACAGAATAATTAGCGTTCATAAGCAAGACCGGATGACGTGCCTTGCAAAAAGTACGTACTCATGCCTCGGCAGACCCACCCCCGCAATTCTTAGAGGTATTCAAGGCCTTAGACTGTGTTCGCTTTAAAACCACTGACTTGAACTTCAACGTCCACCCTGATCGACTTCAACGGCATTCCAATCCCCTGGCCCGACAATTCATCCACTGTGCACCATCACACCTCATTGCCCAGAATGCCATTCCTCCAACACGGCCCCGTCAACCTCTACTATGAAATCCACGGCAGCAACACAACCAACCCACCCGTCATCCTCTCCCACGGCTTCAGCTCTACCTCCGCCATGTGGCAACCACAGATCTCCACCCTCTCAGCCCACAACCGCCTCATGATCTGGGACATGCGCGGCCACGGCCGCACCACCTGCCCACTAGACCAATCCCTCTACAACGAAGCATACACCATCAGCGACATGCACTTATTGCTCACCACTCTCTTCCCCAGTGATTCCAAGTTCATCGTCGGAGGCCTCAGTCTGGGCGGGTACATGTCCCTCGCCTTCTACAACGCCTACCCCGACCTAGTGCGCGCCCTGCTCATCATCAGCACAGGCCCAGGCTTCAAGTCGCCCAAGGCACGCGAGCAGTGGAACCAAACAGCTTACGCCCAGGCTGATCGGTTTGAGAAGGAAGGGCTCAAGTCCCTGCAGAACCTGAGTCCCGAGCGCTCTTCTGTGACTCACGAGGATACCTCCGGCAAGAGCCTGGCGTTGGCGGCGCGAGGAATGTTGTCGCAGCATACGCCGGGCGTGATTGAGGGGTTATGTGGGATCAAGGTACCGAGTCTGATTGTTTTGGGGAGTGAGGATAAGCCTTTCATTGGTGCGGGTGCGTACATGGAGAAGAAGATCAGGGGAACGCGGAAGGTGGTGTTGAAGGGCGCGGGGCATGCGAGTAATATTGATGATGTGGAGGGCTTCAACAGAGCAGTAGTCGGGTTCTTACAGGAGCAAGGCCTAAGCGGTAGTGGAGGGGGCAGGCCGAAGTTGTGATAATCCGAAACAGCTCCACAGCCTTCGCTGAAAAGCCCATGGTGACTTGGTCACGGACCAGGTGAATCAGCTGTCTCATTTACCCATGTCTTCCACTGACATTTTCTGTACAGCAGATCTCGTACGAGATTTGCGCGGGTGTAATCGCACGTCACGCCTCACTCGTACGAACAACATGAAGCCTGACTGTGGTCGAGGGCCCTCTGACTTTCAACAACATATCGCAAACTTCCCAGATGCACCTACAAACTCGCCCTCAAACTTTCCTCATCTCCCCCGTCCTTAACCTGCACAATCAACTTCCCCGTATTCACCCCCCTATACAAATCCACAAGCGCCTGCTCCGCCTTCCCCAACCCACCCTTGATCACCGTCTCCCTCCTCTGAATCTTCCCCTCCGCCAACCAACCCGCCAACTCCCGCAACGCCTTCGGATACTCCTTTTGGAAATCAAACACCACAAATCCCTCCATCCGGATCCGCATCGCCACAATCATCAGATAATTCTTCGGGCCCTGTACATTCTTGGTGTTATACTGGCTGATCCCGCCACACATCACAAATCTAGCGTGCTGCTTCGCGCGGCTTAGCGCGAGATCGAGGACTTCGCCGCCGACGTTGTCGAAGAAGACGTCGATCAGGGGCTTGGTTCGCGCGCGGAAGTCGGCGGCGAAGGTAGGCGATTTGTAGTTGAGGCGTCGTCGAAGCCGAGTTCGCGTAGCCATGTGCATTTGTCGTCGCTGCCGGCGATGCCGAGGACGGTTGCGCCTTTGAGCTTGGCGATCTGGCCCACGACTGAGCCCGTGGCGCCTGCAGCGCCGGAGACGACGACGAAGTCGCCGGCTTTGACCTGGCCGACGTTAAGGAGGCCGAAGTAGGCTGTGAGGCCAGTGGTGCCTGTTTGTTGTACGGACGATGGTCAGCCTCGCTCGTTCTGTCGGCAAGCCGCGCGCCACAGCATACGGATGCCCGACTTGCATATGAAGACAGCCGAGATGGAAAGGGTAAAGGACTCACCAAGCACGCTCAGCGTATCCGTCAACCACCCATTCTTAGGCAGCACAACCTTCTGCAGCGTCTTCTCATTCACCACAGCCAGCTCGGTCCACCCCGTAATACCAGACGCGACGCTACCAGCAGGGAACTTCTTCGACTTTGAAGCCTTACACACGCCGACGGCGTAGCCGCGCATCGTCTCGCCGATCTGCACTGGCGGGACGTAGCTTCTTGTGTCTATACCGACGTAAGTGTGAGTATCAAAAACCTCGAGTGTGAGCATTGGTGGTCATGTGTACATACCATTCAGCCATCCCCGCATAGCTGGGTCGAGGGACAGATAGCGGGCTTCGAAGAGGACTTCGCCATCTTTGAGATCGGTTTCTGTCGGTGCTTTGGCGCTTTCTAGTCTGAACGTCTCGCCGGGGATGATGTTGGCTGCTGGCCGTTTGGCGAGGACGACTTTTTGGTAAGTTGTCATGATGGCTGGGCGTGCCGCTGTCTCTTGGTTGAGATTCCTATGGGAACCAGAGCCAGAGACGACGTAGTTGTCTCGTTAAGGGTGTGGGAGCTAGTCCAGAAGTTCCTTCCACAGTCGGTATCTTTCTTTCATTTATATTCTGGACCAGAAGATCGCCGGCATGGCCGATAACAGCTGCAGGGATTGCAAAGAGGAGTCGACATCATGAGAACCACGTCTTCAGGCCGAGGTAGATGCCTGATTAGGCAATTCCGCCGTTCTCAATGCTTCGAAAGAGCATACATTAATTTGGATACTGACTAATGACTAAGATGGCCCTTGCACAATTTTGTGTCGTCTTTGGATCATACAATATATGATTTATAGGTCTCGTATTCTAAGGAGCAACCGCATGGAGCACCATATGGGTCTTGAGCGATCCAAATGAATGGAGATCAGCTTTTATTTGAATCTGTCGTCATTTCTACATACAAAGACAGCCACATGAAGAGACAGAATATTCGTCATTTCGCGCATGGTGTCCTTGAACATTTGCCCCATACTATACAGGAAAGTCCAGATCCACGACGGGCCCTTTCCTCCGCCGGGTGGGCTCTAGCTCGAGATCAGCGCACACACATGTTCCTCAGCTGTGGTACATGTACCAAAGCATTGGCTCTACCGCTCCCCTCTCCTTTGCTGATAATGTCGCTCATACTCAGTCGCTTCCCTTTTTCTCATCTGCGCCTCATGCTCCCTAGCCTTTCTCTCCTTTGATTCAAGCGTCCTCTTCACCATATCCACTGATCTGACCTTACTCTTGACACTCCCCATCGCTTTGTCGATAAAACTAATATCTTGTTCCGGCTCCGGTGCCGGCTTCGTTGAAACGTTACGCGATATAGTGTTGATGACGTTGATGGGATTTTCCTGCGACAAATTCATGCCCTCGACCTTCACGGGCTTGCCTTCGAACCTATAGCCGAATGCGTCGACTTTCTCTGGAGGCTTGTCTAGCCCTATGGCCCTGAGGCCTAGTCGGATTCGAAAAGGATTGTGGGACAATGTCTCCATCTGAACGGCCATCAAGGTACTGGTGGTGAGAAACCACAGCTGCACGGCCAGGGGTTGATAGTGGCAGAAGATGACCGACACGACGGGCATCACGACCTTTAAGAAAGTTTGTGCACTGGCCATTTGTGGGTTTACTTGTTGACTTTTTTGCATGCGGGTTACGCTTCGCCAGGTGAGTAAGCCGACTAGTGCAGGGAGGATCCAGGGGTCGGTGGTGATGAGGTCGGAGAACCATAGGACGGATTCCGTCTCGAATGAGGGAACTGGGAGCTCGGCGGCATTGCGTAAGCAGCGGAAGCCACCGTAGGTTATTGGAATTTGAATGATCGTAGGCAGAAAGACCTTGTACATCTTGAAGTCAACGGACCTCCCGACCATTTTGATTTGGTGAGCCAGGGCCATCATCTCCTTCTTGTCGCCTGCAGCAGTAGCTTTCTTGTACTCCTCCCTCAGCGGCTGCATAATGGGGGCGATCTCTTTCATCTTGTCGCCTTCTTTCTGCGCGGTTATTTGAGGTCTGACTAGCGCGGCGCGAACCATGAAGCCCACTGCGAAGAGGGAGACTGCCCAGGGAAGGCCTAGAGTGATGTGCAGGTGCTCGATGCAGTACTGAAAGAAGGCGGTGGGACCCCAGCCGAAGTCAAGACCTAGATCCTCTTTCATGAAGCCTATTCGCTCGACAACTTCGGGCACGTCGATGTCGTGTAGTCCATCTTTCGGTGCTAGTAATCGATCCTGGATGTCCTCTAGCACTTCGGGCTTGTGTGGTTCGGCAGTGAGCCACGACGGGTCGGGGGTATCCGCTGTACCGTGTGTCGCCTTGATAGATGTGACGCCTTCGGATGTGACGATGGGTGATCCATCATCTGGCGGCCGGATTGTATCTCCTGGTGGAGGGATAGAGTTGCCCGACCAGAGGCCACTCCATGATATCGATCGGCATTGATGTCCGTTATATATGGCATTGGCGAGACGAGCTTGTGACGGTCGGCCAGCGAGACGTGTTCCCCGTAGCGAGACGGCCGAGTACTGCAACAAGTCAGTGCCTTGCAAGCAGGCGAACGAGCAAGGCCGAGACCTACATTTCGAGAGCCACGGAGGGCCGCGGTGGGTGTCTGAATAGTCTTTATTGACCGTGAACAGGCTCTTAGGCCTTGAGCCCGTGGGATCATTGTCACGGAGCACGTCCGTCGTCCGCAGTCGCACTGGGTGTCGTCGTGGAGGACGAAGCTCGCTGGTCCAAAAAGTGAAGAAGCATCATCCCGATTGGGCATCTTAGCCGACGCTTCTCTCTACGCGTGCCTACTACAGTCACCATGCGACATTGTATGCAGCATTAATTCACGCGTTGACGATGAAAAGCCTGCTCGAATGTGTTATTCTGCAGTATTGATCATCTAATCGTGCGTCCTGGCCATGTACCATCTATCAATTTTTGGGGGCCCGCTGAGCGATTTTGCCTGCCACGCCAACGCCAGTGCTTATGCATATGCTTCCCTGTCTTCGTGTCCGGCACGCCAGGTCGCCAGTTTAGGTGAACTTCTGGACCACAGCACCTCCACGCTTGAGCTCCGGCATCTCGCCCAGTACTTGCTGGTGGTCTTTGAGCTCCATTGAGGGGAAGGTGGTCTGCAAAACCCATGATCTGCCACTGTCAGGCTCTGCTCGCTGGACAAACTGGTAGACGTCGCCAACAGTCTGAGTCGTATTGAAGCGCGATGTGAGTCGTGTGCCGGATCCTAGACTGACGCGGATTGTGACTGTCGGCTGTGACTCATCCACGGTGTTTGAAGCTGCAGCTTGAGCACGAGGTGCAGCAGCAGGTGTAGGTTCGAAGGCACCAGGCATTGTCTGAGCACCGCCAACATCAGGTGTCGGGCTACCAAGACGATTGCCAGACCCTCCGAATGGCGCATACTTCTTCTTTGGCTTGACGTACTTCTCCTTGTGCTCCTTCAACTCCACGTCGACCTCTTGACCAGGCAGTACATTCATGATGCGGAGCGGTGCACGACCTCTTCTTATGAGTTCCAGCAACTCAGCATTCTGTGGATCATCGGACCGGTACAGATCGCCATCATCGACGGAGAAGCCATCGCTCCAGAAGTGCAGTGTACGATTGACGCGCTCGGCGGGTGCAGGTGCTTCTGGGGCAGCAGGGACTTCTTGTGATGGAGTTTCGTCGGAGCCGAGGGTGGTTCCAGCGCCTTTGAAATAAGATTTCTTCTTCGGAGCATCTTTCGCAGGTGGGCCGTTGCGGTTTGCCTTCTCCAGAATACGCTTCTTCAGATCATCTGGGTTCTGTACAGACAAGCCTGACTTCTCACCTCCAGCATATAGGTCTTGTTTGTCATCGTCGTCATCGTCTCCACCCTTGGAGGAAGAATTGAAGTCACCGAGTGTAGCAAACTTCTTCTGTGTTGGGGGCTTCTTGGATGTGGAGGACGTGGGAGCAGTAGATGATGAAGCGGGCACAGAGCCTGATACATCTCCTAGCGTGCGGCCACCGCCGGGTCGAGACTGTGCGGGCTCGTCTTCATCATCTTCGTCGGCATAATCTGAATCTTGGGCGTCGTCGGGTGCATTGTCTGTGGCGGCATAGTAGGTTGCGACAGCGCTCTCAACACTGCCCGAAGATGCGGCGAGGTATTGTGCAGCTTCACGTCTGGATACGCCAGTGATGCTTGTGAATTGCGCTATCGCTTCGTCGCTTACCGAGTCGGCCATCTTGACGGTGGTCTTGAGTATGGAGGAATCGAGATGGCAATAATAGTGAAAGAGAGGTGCGGGCAGGCACTGGCAGTCAAATATGTCAAAACGCAGAGGCACCAGAGGCAACAGCAGCCGCAACGTCACTGTATGGCCCTAACCCTAGCGTTTTATCTAGCCGGTTGACGCGAATTTGGAGATCGACTTCACTGCTCCGATCAAACGCCGTCAACCTCACCGCGTCACCGACGCCATTTACTTGACCCGTATCTACTGAGCCACTACACTATCGTCGAAGGCCCGGGCATCCTCCAGTGACGGCTCCTTCCTCACGATCAACTTCGAAGCCCAGGCTTCCAACTCGCCGGCGCCCACTCCGAACGCTCCTGGAATAATTTATCCGAATCACAAGAGCTCTACGCCGAGCCATATCTTCAATTGACACGGCATCCCGGACTGCCTCACAGCGCCATGGCTGACCGCTCACCCTCCCCGTCCCGCGACCTCTCCGCGTCCGGCCTCACCATCCCCTCAGACTCAGAGCCATACTCATCACTGTCACCACCCTCCTCAAGCCCACCACAATCATCATCGAACAACAATGGGGAACAGCCGGTTATAATATACCAGCCGCCAACTGTATGGTCAATATTAAGAGGCGCGGCTATCAATCTTCTACTGCCGTTTGTCAATGGTCTGATGTTGGGGTTTGGGGAGCTATTGGCGCATGAATTTGCGTTTAGGGTGGGGTGGAGCTCGACCAACGTAAGTATCGAGATCCGTGTACGGACAGCCCGATCGGTCTGCTAACGCGTATGGAACAGGTCTGGCCTCGCCATAGGAGTTCACACGCAATTGGTCCTGGTGTCGAGATGCGAGAAGATCCGATTGAGAGACGGAGAAGACAGTCTGAATTCGATCCTGATCTAGTGGATGCAGCATCACTGGAGTGAACACGACATGAATCGTATAGGAAAAAGGAGATTATTTGCAGACTTCACCATAGACAGGACGCTTCATTCCAGAGGACTTTGGCTTCAATTACAGCAAGATCATCCGGCGAGTGTGTCTAGCGATTTCGAAATTGTTTGAAGTGGGACGGAACCGGACTTGGAGCAATGTGCTATCGAGAAAGATCAGAGCTCGACATGTGCGATAACGACCACTCATCTGTATTTGCAACTAGGCAGTTGCTCGACCAGTCCCAATTCATGAGACTGGCTGTACGAGGCCAAACCCGTGAAGAAGACACCGCTTGCTCAACTATATGAGCTATCTCCTCGAAGATATCGCTCGCCCCACCAAGCAGCAGCAGGGTGCCGTCTTAGCATGGCGATCAGGAAGCCTTCATCATCTGGTCGAGGAGAAGAGAAGGAAGAAGAGGGAGAAGTCAGAATCAAATCGACTACTTCTACCTCTACGTCGAAGTGAAGATCGAGACGTGACTCCATGAGGAGTCATTCACTGGTCGTCGCATGAGTGAGGACATCCAGGCGCTACCTGGTGATGCAAGCTTCTCAAGAATCGTAGACGTAAATTTACAGTATTCTCTACCCAAGGCCGTTTTCGCCACAATGGCACGAGATCGTCCCTCCACACAAGGTACTTCCCCCAACCACGTCGATCCAAATTTGACCAACCTCTACCACCTCCATCAGCCCAAAATCCCCTTCTCCCCCCTCCCAGCACTCCCACTCCCATACCCCCAAAACTGCAACCCCAACACAACATCACACCCCGCCTGAAACACCCCACACGCCTTGAACACCCACGGCACCACCTCACTACTCCCAAAGAAATACCCCATCTTCATCGCGTCCCCCACCAGCCAATTCACAATCACGCTCAACCGAAAACCCCGACACGATTTCTGCGTGTAGTTCTTGTAGATCTGCGGCAGCGGGAGAGTGGCTTCCACCGCCAACCCGACGGTGCCGAGGAGGGAGATGTAGAGTGGGGAGTGGGCGATGAATGGCAGAAAGAGCTGGATGAGCGTGAGGGAGGCGAAGAGGTAGGCGAGGGTGAGGTAGTAGGGTCGCGGGGTGGGCCAGCGCCAGAAGTTGTAGGGGCGTTGGCCTGCCAAAATTTGGGAGATGGGTGAGGTCGAGGAGCTGGTGTAGTCCGAGAACGGGTTATGGGAGATTGTGTTCGGCTTTTCTAGTGAGGAGAGTTCGTGGGTGCTGGAGGGGAAGCCGCGGTTGTCGAGCGCGACTTTGAGAAGGGTGACTTGGACGATGATCATGAGGAGGGCTTGGATTAGGAGGGCGGTGTCGTAGGGGTGGCCGAAGTAGTAGAAGACTCTGCGAGAGGACGTTAGTGGTCTTCTGTGCGGTGGTGGTGCTGGAAAGTTTGTGGGTTGTCGTAGAGACGTACTTCAGTATGCTCGCCACGAGCATAATCAGCGGGATATCCAAGCTGAAGCCCTGACTGCTCTTGCTGCGGTGTATGCTGAGGATCTGGTCGGCGTAGCTCGTTATGGGTGATGCAATCAGACTATTCAGATTCGGCCAATCAGTACTCGCTCAACATTGCGATATCTCCCCGATCGCGTGCGCTATATGGAGCACAACCCATCAGACAGAACATACAAGACAGGCGCAAAATAGTCAATGATCGCGCTAATGAAGCCCACCATCTTGCCGACGTCGAGGTGACCCTCGGCGTCGACCGGTATGGAAAAGTGAGGTAGGCCGAATTGCATCTGGTGAAGTCAATGGGGCTCAAGCCACCCAGGAATATTCTCTACGACAGCTGCTGATCGCGCTGTCGAGAGATTGATAGTGCAAAGTGGTCCATGGCCGGATTGTTTGTATATTCACTCAGAGCGCGCTGATGACTGTGTCAGCAGCGACTCTCGCCGGCGCAGCGAAAAAGTTGGGAGGACGTGATTTGGTGGATCTATGATCGTCATCAGGGCTGTCGCTTGACAGGAACAGGTTTAGCATCAATTCGCTAGTCATTAGGGCTACAGGTCTCGTCTCGCCTACTCGACGTCCTCTTTATAGCAATAGTGGAATGGTAACCACGGCAAGACGAAATCCACAGGGTGCAAATGCTTGCTCATGGCATCAATCATCAGACATACATATGTTGCTACACAAGAGCTGCTTTTCCTGCAGTCTTTCCCGAATCTGAACATGCTGCCGTTCTAGATGATGTCGAGGACTTCCAAGAAGGAACGCCATAAATGCTGACTCAACGAACGCACCAGCCTCTTGTTAGCGACAACCATCATACACACTCCCACTCAGCCCAGACGCACCAGCGAGCCTGCCGATCCGCGAGCACCAGAGCTCTCCATGTGCCTCGCTCCTGCACTTTGACCACGCTTTCCCAGATGCTGCCCAGCACTTCGCCATCGACCTCGCGGAGTGAGTTGTTCTGGGGCAGACCTTCCGCTTTGCGGTTCAGTCGAATGATCTTTCCACCAGGACTCTGAATAGCCAGCTTGGCAGGCTTCTCCTTGGCTTTGATGCCATTGGGCAAGCCTCCATTAGAGCTAGGCTCGCTGGGCTGGCTGCCCTGCGCTGAGCTTGTCATGCTCATAGCGCTACCAGGACGCATCATTGGATTTGGAGACGCCGGTCGTCCCTCTGTGCCGTTTTGCTCGCTACCGGACGAGGTAGTGGCCGCCATCTGGCGAACGCAGAACACGTAGGTCTCGCCAGCTCCGAGACGCCAGCACTGTGGTTGGACAACGTACAGATCGTGCTTGCTAGCGTGAGGTGTCGGATGTCGCTTGACAAAGTCGTATGCTGGATTCTTGCCAGTGTGGTACAGTGGGATGGCCATTGCGAGCGGATGGACAATGTCTCGAGCGCTAAGCATCAATCCTTTTCTTCCAGCATACACTTTCAAGACACCTCGTCCCTCGTCACCAGGTAGAACCGCTTTGATCAAGAATCGCTTTTGGCTGATCTCAGTGTTGGGGACGGTACGATACCAGCTAGGCTGTGCTAGGACTCGTTTCTTGGTGGTGTTGTCAGGATCCTCGTACAGATCGCCTTCCTGATCCCGTAGGAAGCTTTTCGCCTCGACTTCGGCAACAATTTCAACATCAGAAGGCGCATTGATACTGATCGTGCAGACTTCCAGCTCCTCCAAGCGAACAATACTTGTGTCGTACGCATGCATGCTCAGGCCCAGCCGGAAGAAGACAGGAGTCGTGCCAGGCAAGGCAAGTAGCGTGTCGGGACTTACGGGCGGCACAATCCGCTGTTGTTGCTCATCCGCAGGCACGTGGGTCCAGCACATCTCGGAAGGTCTCGCGAGGAAATACCATGCTTCGGCGATACTGTTGCTGACGCCAGAATATTGAGCTCGCTTCGGATTCGTTGGACTTGCGATGCTGGCGTCCAACATGCGCCACTCATTGTCGACCAACACGGCGTTCCAGCTGTGATTAGGTCGACTAACAGCATCCAGATCCATGTCTTCGCCAGGGGTCTTGAGATAGCCAACCACGACCTCCGCCGGAACACCGATCGCATTGCACATTTCGGCCACCAAAGCAGCCACTTCGCGACTGCTGCCTCGCTTGGTCTGGATGACGCGTCTCGTGTCGACCTGGAAGCCGTCGTCGAAACCATCATCTTCCCAGCTGATCCTTTCAGCACACCACACAAATATTGCACGTAGTCTCTGTACGGGGGATCGATACGGGCGGCAGACATAGCCTGTGGCCAGCGCGGCTGCGTTGATGCTGCTCGGGAGGCTAGTGATGAACCTGGCTGCCTTGTCCACCTGGCTGAAGCTTGGATTGCTCAACTGGAATGGCTCATACACGGGACCGCCTTCTGCATTCTCATCGCCTTCTCGATCGGTATACAATTCTTCCACTGGACAGATCACTGGGTGATCAAGCATATTGCAGCGATTCGCACGCTCTTGCCTCTCGGAGGGGCCTGGCGTGTTCGATCTGTTGATGTCTCGTCGAACGACCAACCAGTCGCTGCTAGCTCCGCCGAGTCCCATCTCTGCAGCAGCATCACGTCCATAAGTGAGATTTGACATGCTTTGATTCTTTTTAGAGGCTATGCCCAAAGCTGCACCGCCTGCAATACCCGTCATCTTGGTCGGCGAGCCAGATCTGCTACCCGCATCCGACCCTATGGTGCTTCGAACGCTGGCAGCTCCAGTTTTGGCCGTATCTAGCAGTTTCTTGAAGAGGCCCGACTTCTTCGCCTTGGGTGTGGAAAACCCGCCCAGACCGCCGGATGAGACTGGACGATACTCATCATCCCAGCCGACTGCGGACCGAGCACCAGATCGTGTGTCGGCATAGGCTGAGCCTGTTGTTGGAGTCTTCGGCCTCATACTAGCAAACGCTTCTGTCCTGGTGCCAGCACTTGTCATTGGGCGATCATTGGCGAACCGTTTCCGTGCCAGACTACCGGCACTGGTGGCACTGAAGCCACTCGCCGAGTAGCCGCTGAATATGCTCTGGCTCGTCATGCTCGTTTGATGAGACACGTTCGTGCCTACCGTCTGACCACTGGAGTTTGTGGAATTAGTCTTGGTGGTATAGGTTCGGTCGAGATTCTGGCGCATGTCTGCAGCAGACTTTCGCTTTCTCATGGACAGCCGTCGATTGAATGCGGACGTGGGGCGAGATGGCGGCGCATATGGCGAGTTCTTCGGTGGTGGTTCCGGCGGGTCGCTACCCATGACATCTGACGAGCGCCCTTCCCTTGCCTCTTGCATCTTCCGTAGTCTGCTCTCCATTCGCTGAACATATGTCTCGAGTTGAGGAGGCCCGTCTGAGAATTGTTCTGGGCTATTGTGTCGCTGACTATAATTGATGCGGTTCTCGGAGTAGCTGCTCGCGCCTGCTGCCAGGCCCAATGATGTGACTGGCCGGGCTGGTGGTGGTTGTGGCCGTCGGAAATTGTCAAAAGCTTCAGGCGACCACGGGTTCAGCAGCTCCTCCGTCTCTCGGAACGAGTTCCCTCTCTCCAATGTCATGTCTTCCAAGGACGTCATCACATCGTTCATAGCATCACGCATCATTGGCGGCGTATGACCATTCGCAGAAGGAGGAGCAGGAGACGGTGTCCTCGCGTGATGCAGGTGGAGTTCATGAGGGTCAGCATGGTGTGGCTGAGGGGACGCTACCCGATATGGATCGACCAGAGCTGGCTGAGGGGACGGAGCGCGAGAATGGACCAGTGTTCGGTGTGGTGGAGGCGGAGGAGGTGGTGAGGAGCCGATGTCTGCCTCAGGCATGGGAGAGGGTGTTCTTGAAGGCCCTCTCGAAACTGGCCGCTGTTGCCAGAGCACCGTTGATGGTGGCCCATTGTTGGTGTTGTATCTCGAGTTCTGTTGCTGAACTGGCTTCTGCGGCGATGGCGTCGCTCCGACGCCTGTTGGAGTTGAGGCCGTCTTGTAGCCCTGGAAAGGTCGCCGGGATTTGGCATCTTCCTTCTTCTTTTGTTTCTCTGCTGTTTTCGACAGGCTGTCGTTCTTCTGCAGCTCGAGCATTGGGCTGACCGAGCGACTGACTGGGATGAAGTTCTCCTCCAGGACCGTGACGAAGTTCGAAGGGAAAAGACCCATCATCCGTCGGTCTCTACGCAGTCTCCCCATCCACCACGATCCGTCTCCCGCATTCAGGCATTCGATGAGGTCGCCCTCAACGAAGCTAGGTCTTTGTCGGTCTCGCCGCCCCATGAGTACACCGCCCGACACCAGCATGGGAATCGCATTGGCAAGGAAGGACCTGTCATCTTTCAGTCTGTTGTAAAGTGTGACATGTGTGTGTGTGTCTGGCGCAATGCGCCGACTGATCGGCCGTTTAGATCAGCGGATGTGAGGTATCAAAGCTACTGAAAGTCGGAAGAGCGAATGGTTGAAGCGCGAGTTCCGACTGTAGCTTGTTGACGAGTATTTGCCGCGTGAGCTGGGGCGCGATATCGCTTTCGAGTCCGTTGCTTGTTTGGTGGGAAGCTGCAGATGCAAGTCGCACCTTCCGCATGTAAATACGCTACCGAAAAGGGTATAGCGTATCAGATCCCGAAAATCTAAGCGACCCTTGGTCCCTTGCGCAGATCCATAGTGCCTGAAACTCGATCTGTACACTCATCGCTTGTTGCTTATGCAATCCTGTCCGGGTACTGAATTCGCTTCATGAGGGATCTTCGTTAAGTCGAATGACATACGCAGAACATACATCAACCTCATGAGCTCTTGCGACGGGACCATGCCATTGGCTAGTCCCGTCAGTGCCTGAAATTCACCACCAACCTGTCACCTATGACAGGGCCGCGAAGCTTGCATGGCATGTTGAGCGTGTTATCGTCGTCGTCCTAGTGCATAGCTGCTAGTCGGACCTGGGGTAACACGTAAGTACCGATGAGTTGCATCACTAATCAGTATACCGAGCGCCCATTGTCTCACACCTCTGAGGCTCAGCTGAAGAAATAGGCCGAACTCAAACATGTACCTCAGATTTAACCTCGCGCTTCGGCATTGCTCATAGAATTTACCTCTCCAGCAGCTTCAAGCGCGCATTCTGGTCCGCGCCATCAGGTTCGCAGCGGCACGAATCGCATAGTAGGGATATTCGTGTGGCTGTGACAATGAAGTCAGCGCGTGCTCGAAACGTGTCAGCACACTGCAAAAGCACATCCATCGTCTCGAGCGAACCAACGCCCACTTGCGACAACAGAGTTTCCATGACACCACTACCTTCGATAAAGCTACAAATGTACCAAGCCTCTGGGTTTGCTAGAGTCGAGCTTCCGAATCCCCTCCCGAGCTCATGGCGGAAGTGTGGCAGCTGAGTAGCTACTTTGACAACCATTAGTGCCATAAGATGTCAAGCTCCGAATCAAAGGTAAAGCTATTGGTCTTTCGCATTGCGCGGTTCTCTTAGCACTGATTGCCGTGTGTTCTCGTTACCTGCCATCTCTGCCGACAGCATCGCACACTCCCATCAAAATGCAGTACTCAGCCATGAACCTCTTATATCTGCTGGCATGGGCCTTATCTGCCCTCGGGCAGTACACCGAAGAGAAGATACAGTTGGCAATCTCGAACGTGACCAGCATGGCGCAAGCAGCAGTTAACAGCAGTGCAGTCCCCGGCGTATCTATTGCCATCGTCTACAATGGCTCAGTTGTATACAGCGGCGGCTTTGGAGTCCGAGATACCAGCACCAATGAATCGTATACAGCGGACACGGTCCAACAAATGGCGTCCGTCTCCAAGCCCCTGTCCGCGACCATCGTTGCTGCCATGATCACCGCCAGCAATGGCTCGCTGGCTTGGGACAACTACACGAATTCTCCCGGCGCAGTAGCACCGTACTCTGACCCATGGATCTCACAAGAACTGAGACTCTACGATGGCTTCAGCCACCGTTCCGGACTCTACGGTCTTTCTGGGGATGATCTGGAGGAACTAGGACTGGATCGCAACACAATCCTCAGTAGACTGCAGTATATGGCGCCCATTTACCCCTTCCGAGCGGGTTACACCTACAGCAATTACGGCATCACCGCTGCAGCCATATCGACAAGCGACAAGATGAACATGACTTGGGATGACGCCGCCCAGGAGTACCTCTACGGCCCGTTGGGGATGACCTCCAGCAGCAGCTCCTTTGCAGAGTTCCTCACCCGCACGAACCGCGCCAGTCTGCACGTTCCCGCGTCACAAATACCAGGCTACAGCAACAGCACTAACGCAACCCAGTGGGAACCCACCGGCCTACGCAATCCTGATGCTCAGAGCCCCGCAGGCGGCGTATCCTCCAGCGCAAACGACATGGCCAAATGGCTACAGCTGCAACTCGGCCTCGGTGTCATCCCCAACACCACCAACCGGCTAATCGACGAAGCACCCCTAAACGAAACACACACCCCCTTCACCGTCCGCGGCAAATCCGCCTTCGGCATCACCAGCTTCTACGGCCTCGGCTTCGGCGTCGACTACCGCCAGATGGGCGCACGATCCTCTCCCATGCCGGTGCCTTTGAGGTCGGCTCTCGCACCAATATCGGCTTGGATATCAACGGCGGCCTCGGCATCGTCGTACTGTCCAACTGCTTCCCCACCGGTCTTCCGGACGGCTTGACCGATGCCCTTTTCGATCTCGCCTACTCAGGCGAGCAGAAGCCGCGACTGGGTCGCCTTCTGGGACGGCATCTACGGTGGCCTTGAGGCGGCCGAGTCCGGTGGCGCGCCCACTTTCGGCGCCGCGCCGCAGAACCCGTCGCCTATGCTGGCGGCCGAGGCGTATACCGGCATGTACTATAATGACTATGTGGGGCTGATGCAGGTTGCTGCTGGATCAAATGGCACCACTTCCTCCTCCAACGGTACTAGCAATACAACCACATCCGGATCAGGAGGAGGAGGCGATCTGACCATATCCTTTCCCGTTACCTCAAACATGACCTTCCCACTCACGCACTGGGACCGGGACACGTTCAGTCTGAACACGGTGCCGCAGCTGAATACTGCAATCGAGCCCGTCATCTTTGCAATTGGAGCAGACGGGAATGCGACAACGGTAATGGTGGACCGACTTGTAAGTTGCTGTATTTGCTGTTTCCTACACTTCTTGTTTGTTTCTGCGAGGTCTGGCGACTGTCATTCCGTGAACCACTCGTAACACAGGATGCTGACTCGGGACATTTTCCAGAACGGTAATGGTGGTGGTATTCTCAATCGCGTGATGGACAACAGCTCTTGAGGTGTCCGATCGACAGGAGGCAGTGTTGCTGTAGCAAAAGGAAGCTGAGCCCGTTTAGCTAGCCAGATGTTGTTCAAGATCGCTGCCCCGAAAGCTTTTGGTCCTGTCTCCTCACGGTCGCAGAGCTTCACATACGTCGCCTGCGCGGGCACAATTCCAACAGACGCCATCACTCGAGGTTTGGTGCGTCGCTTTCGAGGACGGTCACACGATGCTGTCCGTGCCCTCGACATCTGGTCGTTCAATGCTGTACCTCACCTCTGAGAGCGGTCACTCGAACCTCTGCGTCTCTTCGGAATGCGGCCACGCAAAGCACGCACTCAAGCCTCGAGATTCTCTTGCAACCTGCTCAGAAAATTCTCACGTGAAGTTCGTCTGAGTTTTGAGTGCTCCTGTCAGAATGATTGCTTCCCGCTCGAAAGTGAGATCAGACCGCCGTACTGATTTAGCAACACCAACCTCACGCATCCCCTAAACCACCTTCCACAATTTCCTATCCAAATAGTCAAGCTGCTCCGCCCTCCACGTGTCCTCCTCAACATGCACGGCACCTTCCCTGCCCGCATCGAAGACCAGATTCTCAGGTCGCTCAAGGTCATAGACCGGCCACTCCATCCCGCCAGCACCGTCACACTGCCGACAACGATTCGGATCTCGATGATTGAAGAAACTCACCCACCTTCTCTGCATCACCTGCGCCAACGCCCTGAAGTCTCCCGCCCTATCATTCTTCCCATCTTCAAAAATATCAAACGCAGGTCCGTCCATCCGCGCCACCTTCTCTCCAAACAGCAAGAACGGCATCTCAACCGAATGCCCCGCGCCCTGCGCCGCGGGTCGATCCCCCGTGACGGTATTGAAGCGATAGCTATACGCCGTCGCGCCAGCTTCCGTCCACGCACGCACCCACGACCGCCGGGGTGCCTGCATGGCGCGGTCGCCCGCGAACGCCATCACGCGCTTCCATTGCGTGCCGTATGTTGCGGCGTCGGTACCCTTGGGGCGGTCTGGGTAGGTCGCTGGGAGGCCTAGGGAGGGAATGTCCGGGTAGAGGGCAGAGATGGTTTCGATCGTGTCGTTGGCAGCGCCGCCGGAGCGCAAATAGGCTTCCCACTGCTCGGTGGTACTGATGCCGCGTGGTGAGAAGTAGTCACCGTCGTCGGTTGCGGTGCCGATGAGGATGGGGACCGGAACGAATTTGTTCTGGCGGAGGAGCTCAGAGCGTGGCGAAGGGATGAAGTCTCCATCCACGATGTCGAGAAAGGGCGGCCAGGTGACGTTGCCGATCCAGATGGCGAGTTGGTCGGCAGGGACGGTGCGGAGACAATCGAGGGAGTCCTCCTCGGCAAAATTCTCACAGCCAGCTAGCGAGAGCAGTTTTGAGTATGACTTCTCCCAAGTTAGGTCTGATTCGTTCTTCACTTCGCGAAAGTCCGTGTGGAAGCCAGTGCCGCTTTGCATAATCGCCGCAGAGAACAGCCCGTCATCGCGCCCACCAAATGCTGTTAACAAGGATGCAACGCTGCGTGGACCGCCACTCTGGCCCCAAATTGTCACCATTCCTGAATCACCTCCGAATGCCACGATGTTCTCCTGGACCCAGCGCAGCGCTAGACGCTGGTCCCAAAAGCCCAGATTGCCAAACCCTTGCCTTTTCATAGCCGGGCCCCACAAGAAACCCCTGGCATGCAGCCTGTACTGGATACTGACAGCGATGATTGGCTCTCCAACAGCGACTGAGGTGTCCACGATCGAAGACAGGTTGTACTGCGAGGCTGAGCCGCTGACTAGCCCGCCGCCGTGAATCCAGAATGCCACGGGCAGCTTAGCGTCTGGGCGGACTCCCGCTGGTCGGACAACATTGATGGTCAAACAGTCATCCGTGCCACCGATGAGAGGTCCCACAGGATATGGGTAGTTGTAACATTGCTGCTGGCACTGCGTGGCGTTTCGTTGGCCCCGCCATGTTGAGTTGAAGGGCTGAGGCTTCTGGAATCGGAGGTCATCGATTGGTGGCGCGGCGTATGGCATGCCTAAGAACATATCTTGGTTGTACGTTGGATTGTAAACTCCATAGTAAGTGCCATTCTGGAGTGCGACGGTAGGTGGGCTGCTTTCATCACGAATTGTGCCAGCAGATCCCTTTGCAAGCCAAAGACTCAAGCTTGCTGCCAATAGGGAGAATGAGAACACCATGATGCTCCAGACTGACCAGCCACAAAGGACTCCGGGTGTGTTGTGAGTTCTGCTCGGTGCAGCATTTTGGTCCTTGACTTGTGTTGCCTTTTTATAGTCCGTAGATGGTATAACGGTTGCCGGTTTCGCGGGTGAGGCATCCTTGGCGACAAGAGGTACTTCGTCCGCCATGACACGTGTATCGTGCCCATGAAGACAACCGTGGCTCTTGATGGCATGTAGCGCCTTGGAAGTAGATGAACTTCCACATCCGGGCAGACTTCTGGGATTCGAATGTGGGGAAGACTGCGAATGCGGGGGCACTTATTCGGCGTAGCGGGCTAAGCTATGCGGTGGTGGCGGTGTGTTCTTCGAGTGACCCAAGTCAGACTGTCTTTGCCGGGGGACAGCTATCCTGGCATAAGTCCTGTCAGCAACTTGTCGACAGTGTCAGACATTCCAGTATCAGCAATGTCTGCAATCCACTGAGTCCAGTCCAGGTCATTGTCAGTCTCGACGAGTCCAACGCCTTCCTCTGTGCCACCCGTGCCTGGCTCTCGCTCCACCAGCATGGTCATTGTTCGGCTTGCGAGTGCCTCGAATAGGTCTCGATACGGCCCGACCCCATCCCAGCGCTCTGCCATGACAACCAGAAGCATTGTGCAGTCCGAACATGTGCTGCTTATCTCGTCATGTCGAGCAGATTGTCGCACTACGGGTGACGTCCATAAGCAGTGAAGGTAAGTCAGTCCCGCAAGGAACAGGAAGTGGAGAGCTTGCCATGTGTAGCCGACGGAACGCCCAACAAATTGTCGGCGGTAGCGGCGGCATACAGTACCAGCGGCGTCGAAGCAGTCTAGAAAGACTGATCCGATGGATGAGGTTCAGTCAGCTGGGTCCGATACAGTAGTAGGATCGAGAAGGCATAATTTGTCGTGAACCAGTCTTCGCAGCCAAATAGGACGAGAGCTTTGACTGAGTGGGCAGGTACGGGTGGCCGTGTTGCCATCCACTCTTCGAGTTCAGCGCGCATTCTGAGGATCCTCTCATCCCTGCCAGAGAATTCTGCCGCCATGTCTGATAATAGCTCGGTATGTATTCTAGCCCACAGGAACCGACTCTTAAAGACATGAATAGCCACGGACATTGAGGTTGGTGGATCTTGATGGGACGCTCTGGGAGGTCGGAGCACACCTGTGTCAATGATGTGCTCATCATCTAGATCAAGCGGATACTGCCAAAAGCTTGTTAGCACAATCAGCAATGATGCACGGAGATGGGCTTGCCTACTTCTGCGTTCACCTCGTGGACTGGAACGCCCAGAGGCCTTCCCAGAGTGGTTGACTGCGAGCAGTCAATGGTGAATGCTGTCCAGAAGGCTCGCCTCTGCATCTGTAAGCGAAGTAAGTTCGTCTCGCCACCAGGTCTAGTAGCAGTTCGATGGTACCCAAGATCGACACACTGCCTTAGCGCAAGTCCAGACAGTTTCCTGTTCGACAATCAGCTTCAAGTACGTGCGTCGTAGAGGTTACTGACCAGATCGAAGGTCCCTCTGCCGCCCGCAAGGAGTACACTGCGCAGCAAAGCAAGGCCTGGATCGACTCGAGATTGTCCAAGGGAAGCACGTGATCGATATAGAGCTGGGCTGACGTGAAAAGACGCTGAAAGGCGTCAGTCAATGAAATTGGTTAGGCGTACTAGCTTGCCTTCGAATCGTAGCTGCTGTTAGGCAGCAATATTGCAGCAGTGGCGTAGACCTGTCTTCGTCAGACCGAGCACCAGTCATAGACGTGGGACCCAACAGACCGCATAGAGAAAGAACAGAGGAATTCGATCCGAGTCGACCAGCTCTTTGCCAGGCACGAAGAGGTCAGACTCCCAGGCCCTGAAGGTTGGCTCGTGCAAGAAAGGGTATTGTTGCTGAATGGAACGGAAGTAAGCATCACTAAGAAGGCGAGCAGAGTTGAGATCGGGTAAAAGGCACGGGAATTGATGCACGTCCAAGTCGGTAGAGGTCGAGCCAACGTCGTGAATTTTGGTGGGTGCAGCCTTGAGTAAGGAAGAGCTGATGATCCGTGAGAAAGAGACCACAGATGACTGGCCCAAGTATCGCTTTTCGTTTCCGCTGGCGTTGAGTCCCAGCGTGGCAAGACTCTCTGCGAATGTCGAGTTGTTCTCGCGTTGAGGGCGTGATTCTTCGTTAGCAGGCGTTTCGTCACGGTCTGTACCCGATGTGGGCGAAACATATGAGCCCTGGACGAGCGCCAGCTCCAGTTGAGCGATTCTATTCTCGAGTGTACTGACGTAGTCGCGAGGATGCTGTCGTTTCGTCACTGGGTCTTCCACCAGACATGCTATCTCGCATGAGCTCTTACTCATCGCGATCTGCTATGAGAAACACTGACCCACGTCAAAGCGAGAACAGTTTCTGCAAGTCGGAACGCCGTCGTCGCACTATTTCCAGCTGTCAGTCCCGGAGTTGGCGGTCTCGAAGCCGGCACTGGAGAATAGATAGGCACGTCTCAGATGGCAGAATTTCATACTTTGAGTCGCTTTTCTTTGCAATTCAGGCAAGACACCGTCACCCGTGGGCTGTTGCGAACACGGTGTTGCACCTTGCGTGATGGCGTAGACATCTCCTTGTGTGTGAAAGCATGTTCACGACAAGAGACGACAACGAGATGGAACGTTACCAGGCTACGATGAGGACGGGTGCAAGAAGCTCAGGCATTGTGACCTCCCGATCTACAACGGAGAATTGCAAACAGACTCTGAAGAAGTCGTGGGGCTGTTGCTGAATTGTATCACTCGGGAGATTTAGTTAACCGGCGTGACTTGAAGTGCTTGGCGCAAATGGTGACGGACTTCAACTTTTGCATTCACCATCATCTCTGCTATGAATCACAATACGCCCGAAAACACACGTCGCCAATCTGGCGTGCGAAATTCGAGCAGTCTACGGCACCTTGCTCATAGAGCGTTCTCTCAACGCTACGCGGGTCCAAAGTCGTGATAGCTACTGCCAAAGTGACTCTACGCGTCCTAGGCAGGAATCACATCGTGGCTGCACCCTTGGACTCCTTCTCTGCAGACGCGGCCAATGGCACTTCCCATTCTGTTTCAACGCTGAGGTCGAATTAGCGGGAGGTTTTCGTGGGTACAACTTCGACCTTACAGATTGTTCTTGGTGCTTGTGTTCCTTGCTAGCTCCTGGTCTTCTACGCCTTGCCAGATAGCCGCTTTGGACCGCTTATAAGCGTTGAACCAGGACCCCTTGAAGACTTCTTCAATTTCCTCGACACTCAGTCCGGCCACCTCTGGTACACAGAAGAAGACTATGCTCCAATTAGCTACCAGCCGCCTTTTAAACAGAAGTCGGTGACACCCTTGGGACATGGTCGGAAAACATACCGTATACGAGTGAGATGAGGCACCAGCTCGCAAAGAAAATGAAAGCGCCCCAATCATCTGTTTCTTTGAGCAGTGACGGCACACTAGAGGATCGTCAATACATCGGGTCAGGTACCAGGTGCGTAAGAGGACTGACCTGAATTTCATCGCGTAGATGAAGAGCCAGTGAAACGTTTGGGACAACGCACCGCCAAATGACCGGATGTGATTCGGCCACAGTTCGCCACCAAAGACATAAGGTAAAGTAAGCAACCCTGGGATAATGGTCAGCTCACGCCCATACAGCATACGAACCACTTACCGACTGCATATCCAAACGCGTGCACAAACAGCATAGCAATAGCGCCTTGCGATGCGGCCGTGGATACAGATCCGTCTTGTTGACACTTGACAAAAGCTCCGATATAGATGTCGGAAATCGCCTGAAGTGCGGTGCCAATGAAGAGGGAGTTACGTCTCCCAAGAGCGTCAATGAATAGGAAGCTGGAGATGAGACTGAACCAGAACTTCGAGAATCCGTACATGCCGGACAGAAAGATATTGCGAGTCGTGCCACCTCCCGGACTGATGATGTTGACGTACGGAACGAAATAGCTCGTGATGCTGTTCGCTCCGCTCAGTTGTGCCAAAGCATATGAGACGACTGTCTGTTGCAGACGTCGAAGGTTTGTCTTCTTGGTGAAGGTCTCCTTTGCTAGAGCCAAGAACGTTGGCCTCTCCTCGCCACCAAGACTTCTGACAGAGGCGTCGATGTCGACGATCTCCTGCTGAACACGTGGATGGTCCAGTGGCAGTCCACGAAGGCGGGCGAGAACAGTCAGTGCTTGTTCTTTCTTCCCGACCATCATCAGCCATCTCGGGGACTCTTCGGAAAACCCATATGTGCAAAAGAGACAGAGAGCCATGAAGATGACTGGCGCAAAGAATGCAATCTGGTATTGGATCCTGCCTACTGCGACATGGAGGTAGATTCCATACACGCAGAAGATAGAGGTGAAAAGCGAGAGTCCCATTGCCACGACATACCACGAGGTCAGAAGTCCACGAATCTCAGTGGGCGCAATCTCAGCCAGCGACATGGGTCCAGAAACGCTGAGAGCGCCGATGCCGATGCCGCTAACGATACGAGCGGCATACAGCCCTGCGACATTGGGAGTCGTGATCGCGATAATCTGTCCAATGGACCAGATTGCCACGTACAGACGATACGACTGGAGCCGACCGATATTGTCGTTGATGAAGAACGACAGTGCTGCGCCGACCGAGTATCCGATGTACACCAGTGATACAAAATTGCGAATCTGTTCCGGATTGGCGCCAGAGGTGATTGAGAAATGATTCTGGAACCCAGGCAGAGAAGGGACCACGGACGATGAGCCTTGATCCCATGCTGATTGCGTCAGTATGGCTTGGAGCACGAACGGAAGCACTCACTCATGGGTATCGCCGACAGGGCGTACAACAAGGATGATATGAGGAGCGCCCTGTTACAGATGACAGATCGTGGTGCGCTACGGATAGCATTCGCATATTTCGCTACCGCAAGGTTTGAAAGCATTGAGCGTCCCGACATGATTGCGATTTCGTGCTCCTGCTTGCCGACGAAGGGTGGTCTCGTGAGGCTCTATATATTGTCCTGGACACTGCGGAACCGTCCCCATATCTACTCGACTATCTGGCTTATCTTCTGGATGGGACGCCACCATGGCGGATATCATCGAGGTCGCTGGCTTTCTGGGGAACTGCTCCAGGAGGACCCTGTCGCCAAGGCTGGATGAATACGGACAGCCAATGACAACTACTGGAAGGTTCCGAGCAATCGCAATCACCTCGGAAGAATACGCACTGCCAATCACGAATCAGTACCACTTGTGGATGGTGCGATGCACACGCAGATGGACATCCTGCCAATGTGTTATATAGTCTCACCACGGAAACCTCACGAGTTTTCTGACGCGGTGAATACTCACAGGCACAATGGTGACCAAAGATTCTAAGATTATCGTGGTTGGGGGAGGCGTCTTTGGCCTGAGCACATCGTTGTGGCTAGCACGAGGAGGTTACCGAGACGTCACCATCTTCGACAGGTGCCAGTTCGACAAGAACTTCTATAACCCAGCAGATGGCTGCGATGGCGCTTCAGCAGATCTCAACAAGATCTTCAGAATTTCCTACGCCGAAAAGCTGCACTACCAGAATATGGCAATCGAGCTCGAGACATGTGGATATCATGGAACAATGCCATCGCCGGAAGTGATGCATCAGCTCTTCCTCCTGATCTAGAACCTGACGACAAGCTGCTGCACGAGTGCGGCTGCTACTACGTCGGAGACGGCCAAGATATGAAGGACTACTATGCCGAGAGCTTGCGATCGATTGAGAGGACAGCTCCTCACTTGCGGAAGAAGCAGTTCATCAAGGTGAGACCTTTGCTGAAAGAGCTCCAGACACTATACTCTGCTGACCGAACGAAGGGCAATCCTGAAAGCGAAGAGCAAATTCGTTCTCTCGGTGGCACATGGGCTAAGAAGTTCCACATCGTTGACAAAATCAACGGTGGCGACACAAACGGCTTTCTCGACACGAATGCCGGCGTCACGATCGCTGACAAGGTAAGCTTTGTTCCAGAATCTCACTTGAGCCGCGCTTATCCCATGGCATAGGCCTGCACCTGGGCCCGTTTCCTCTGCGAGCAAGCCGGCGTCATGTTCGTCTTAGGCGATCCCCAGGGCAAGCTCAAAAGACTCATCAAGACCCCTACCCCCAACTCAACCCGCGTCACTGGCATCGAAACCTGCGACGGCAAGACCCACGCCGCCGACCTCGTCATCGTAGCCGCCGGCGGCTGGACAGCATCCATCCTCCCCGAAGCCCATCGCACAGTCGAAACCACGGCCGGCACCCTCATGTTCATCGATATTCCCGAAGACCGCCAGGACCTCCGCAAGAAGTTCCATCCGGACAACTACCCCGTCTGGCACTACCGTCGCGGCTCCGGCGATACGTACTACCAGGGCGGCAGCTTTCCCATCACGAAGTCCGGGCGTCTCAAGTTCGGGTTTCGTGGGAAGAAATTCACCAATTTCGAAGATCATCCCACGGAACCCAACTTGCGTGTGTCGACGCCGCGGACGAAGTACACCGATAATCCAATCAACACTGTTCCGGCTTACGGACTGGCCAAGATGAAAGAAGTCCTTTACGAAGCCCTCCCCGAGCTTCGGGAATTCGCGTTCACAGACAGCCGGCTGTGCTGGTACACGGACTCGATTGACAATGAATACGTGATCGATTACGTGCCTGGGTACGACAAATCCTTGTTCATCTGTACCGGCGGATCGGGACATGCATTCAAGTTCCTACCGATCTTGGGCCGGCACGTAAAGAATCAGCTGGAAGGGATGGAGGACCAATTCACCCAGCTATGGAAGTGGCGGGTCGTGACGGAGGGCAAGAGCAGTAACGGCCTGGAGGAAGGCGAGGGTGGAGCGAGGGTGCTGGCTGGGATTGAGATGGCGTCTCGTAAGTTTACCATACCTAACCTACCCGCTTTCACAGCTTCCCGTCCGCCGTCTCATGACCGCTTGCTTGGTATGGCCGATATGACTGACCCGATTGTAATCACAGCAAGCGACTTCAACTTCAACGACGTCCGCGACCGGCTTATGCGAGAGGCTGGTCTCAACAGCAAGCAGGCAGCCACCAACATCGTCGCCGAAGTGAGTCTTGGAGCTGTTGGGCCGAAGGAGGTAGCCGTCCAGAACTGAAGGACAACAATCACGCCGCATGGATTCGGACACACCGATCCGATGATATGCCTTCACTAGGGAAGAATACACCTGAAGTAATTTGACACATTGTTGATCCGCTCCTTTTCACTACTTCCTATCTAGATATTGCTCATCAGCGGCCTCTCTCCACCACGTCGACAGCCAACTTTGTCAACCTTGCTGCTTGTGCCTTTTCTCCCCTTCCTACTCTCAGCCGACCACAAATCCGTGCCTGAATATCGCCCACCGACCCGATTTTTGTACAAAACAACGCTATGCAAGGACTTACAAAGAAACGGACCTCTCCCCAACGTACCCATCAAGGTTACTGCACGCCCGCCCACCGCACAGCGACACCCTCGCACCACTTTGCAAACATCCCCTCAGCCAGAACAGCCGTGTGCTCCATCTGCCCGCCAACCTTCGCCTGGATGGCCTCGATCTCAGCCTTCTCTTTGTCGAGCCGATCTTTCTCTTTGCTACCACCGCCACCGACATCCTTCTTCTGCTGCTCTGCTGCCTGCAACTGCTGGCTCCGCTCCTTGATGCGATCCTGTCGGGTCTGCAGCTGCTTCTGCGGCGACCCTTGCGCAGCTTTGCGAGGACTACCGTTAGTAGCCGGCGTCGAGTCCGCGGAGGATGAAGTCGTGTTGCTTCGTTGAACCAGCTGACTTCCACGGCGCTTGAGGAGCTCCTCGCGTGCCGAAGCAGACACCTTTGAGGGCGATCTGGAAGGCGTCGGCGACGACGGCGCTGAATTGACCGGTGTGGTCGAAGCCGGCGAACGGATGTGCGACTGTGTTGACTGCCTCCTATGGTGTGATTTAAGATGTGGGTTGTTCTGCGCAAGGACGAGCTTCGCGTTCGCTGCGGTGGTCACAGCCTCCGCTGATGCCGACTTTGTTGGACTTGACATTGCCGTACTCAGACGACTGCCCGGAGGCGCTCGTGTTGCAGCTGCAGCTGACTTTGGTTTCCGTGGACTTGCTGACGATGCGACCGATGCTGTGCTTGCAACACTGGACACCCTACTTGCCGGTGCTGGTGGGTGCACGGTATTCATGCTAGCCAGTGCTGGAATGAGCGTCATAATCTTTTTGTCATCTTTGATGCGTGTAAATACCGCCGACATGATATGGTAGAGGCCTTCCGGATCGGCAGCTTCCAGATCGCTGAAGGCTTCAGCCAACTTAGCCACGGCTTCGCGTCGAGGAGCGTCAGCTGTGTTGTCCAGAACATCCTGGCAAGAAATGCCGATAGCTTTACTGTACAGCCTCCGTCCTAGAATAGCTTCCTTCGAAGTTTCCGATGCAGTCGACGAGGCAGACGTCTTCCTAGTCACTTCCGCCAAGGTCGATGCGGTCGAGAAGCGTGACTCTTTGCTTGGAGATACTGATGGCGGTCGGGTGCTGCGTCTCGATGGCGATGGCGAAGGCGGTGGTGGCATCAACTCGGCGTCGCGATTCAGGCCGAAGGAACTCGATGCCACTTGTATCTGTTCTACATGGGTCTTCGGCTTCTGCGGTGTGTGAATCACACTTCCTGTATCTGGCTCCTCGTTCTCGTTCTCGTCGATAGTCTTCTTCGACTCGCCGTAAGACGACGTTCTCTTAAATTGTCGGACTGTGCTAGGCTATTGCCAAAGGACATGTTGACGCCAAGCGGAGGTCGTGCTTGTACGCTAGACAAACGCTTTTTCGTATTCTGCTGATGTCCAGGCGATTTGGGCTTCTCGTCTTCTTGTTTCTCCATCTCAACCACTCGCCGCATCGTCGCTGATTGAGCTTGGCTGAGGCTTTCGCGGCTCGATTTTGCGGACAGGTCGTCCTGAAAAGGATCTACACTTGGTTTTGATTTTCGAGACGTGCCCATGTTCGGTGTGGGAGCGGCCTTGATTGTATCGAATACCCAAGAATCGTCATTGTCGCCAGAATCGAGCGATCGTAAAGTCTCAGCATAGTACTTAAGATGCTTTTCGCTCCCTTTGTTGGCGTCCCAGTCCTGCTTGCGTAGGATCAATTCCTGTAAGGCCTCTGTCTTGCCAGCGTTCCTTATGAACCGATGTTTCAGTAGCTCTTTTGCAGTACTCCGGCGTTCTGGATCTTTCGTCAAACACTGCGCAACGAAGTCCCTGAAGTCTTTTGACCAGCTGCCACCCTCTAGTCGTGGTGCAGGTTGCTTCGGAATTTGGAACAAAACTTTCATGGGATGGATGTTCGCGTGCGGTGGCTCGCCATGCGCAAGTTCCATGGCTGTAATTCCCAAGCTCCAGACATCGGCTTTTGAGTCGTGCCCCTCTTGTTGGATGACCTCCGGTGCCATCCAGAACGGCGTGCCTACGAATGTGTTTCGAAGACTCTTGAGTCCAACCAGCTGGGCAGCGACTCCAAAATCCGCAAGCTTGACCCTGCCATCGCGACCAAGGAGCACATTTGCTGCCTTGATATCACGATGCAACTTTCCTTCCCGATGCAGATAGTCCAAACCGATGAGGAGTTCTCGACATATGATTGCGATATGCGACTCTGGGAGGTTATGTGGCGGAGGTTTCAGCAGATCAGCGCATGAGCCTCCGCCCAGGTATTCCATCACGATCCACAACGTTTGCCGGCGTAGGAAAGCGAGTTTGTATTTTGTGACATGCGAAGAGGCGCAGGACGATAGGACCGAAAGCTCGGAAAGGATGTCTGAAAGGTCCTCCTCTGAGGATTCAAGATCGACCTGGGCTTGTCAGTCCACTTCGCCCGCACCGAAGAGGGTGTTGCTCACATGTTTTACGGCCACAATCTCGCCAGTCGACTTCTCAATGGCCTTGTAAACTGTCCCGAACGAGCCGCTTCCGAGCTCTTCCAGCATCTGGTACCTTGCAGCGAGAGTCTCTCCATCGCAGTCGTCTGTCTGCATCTGCATTGTGGCTTCCGTGGGTGCTGACTTTGGCCGGTATTGAAGAGTGCTCATGTTGCTAGCAAACGATGAGTATGAGCTGCTGTCTGTGGCAATCCCCATCATAACGATTGCCGTTGCTTGCGTCGTCACTGCACAGCTCCTTGAGTCTTGCCAATGTCGAGCCGCTCAGAGAAGCCAACGCTAATTGTATCCAGGCCCACTTCCCTTCTATGCCAGTGACGTAGGTATGGTACACAAAGCTCTTCTGATGTAGCCGTCTATCCAAAAGCGCCGGTAAATGCTTGAGAGTTTATTGATACAGAAACACGACACCAGCCGATATGCAGAAGCAGGATAGATGCAGAGGTTGAGATCGGTAGTAAAGGATGCATACTCCAGCTCCGGCAATCGGTCGGTAGTAGTATCGCTTTCGTGTTCTGAATCTCGGTCCCTAACTTGTCTCACAACCGTGCTAAGAATCCCAAGCTAAGCAGAAAAGGTGCCGTAACCTCAACTTGATCAGCCTGACCCCCTGATGAGGCGCTGATCTCGTCTGGTCCAGCGGGGAGTGCGCCAGCGGAAGGGAAGTTCGGGTCAGGCTGCTAGATGTGTGGGGACCATGAAGCTGGCAACGAGATTTGATGCGCAAGATGGTAGACTGGTAATTTCGTCCCTCGTGGACTACTGATAAGTTACGGATAGCAAACGCTTCAGCTCGTGGGTAACATCATCAATTGTTCCGGACAGGTGGGGACTGGCACACGAGGCGTTGTGCCGAAGTTGACAATGTCGCATTTTTGGGATAGTGCGGGGTCGCGTTGCTCGAGGCAACCGCGCTAGGGAGTCCGAGGTCCTACAGGGTGGAGTTTCGAGAGCCTCTTTCCACTTCGACCATCATCAGTGGCGCTCACAGCTGCACAAGATCCAGACCATCTGTGGAAGCTGCCGCGTGGATGCAAGAGCGACTTACAAGCTAGAGATACCTGGATGCGATCGACCCTGCATCATGCAAGGCAATTGTCCATGCATTCGGGCCCAATAATCATAGCTTCCTACCGCTTCCCAGGCCTGCAAATATGCAAGGCATCAGCTCTCGCATCACACATACAGAGTATGAGGACGGCATACATCGTTCAGCTCGATTGACTGAGTCTCAGGGGCCATCTGGCTAGGTAGCCTGTCGTCAGATGGCGCTTGCGATCTTCTAGAAGGATGCCGAGATCAGCCCAAGGGGCCATATTGTTGCTATGCCAACATACCAGTGGTCCCGCGAAGCATTTCCGAACTGCCAACTCGTGATCAGCCTATCCTGATCGCTACTATGGTCTGCCACATTGCACCCTACTTACTGTGACGGGTCCGCAACTATCGGATCATGACTCGGCTACCTGGTAACGTCTGCGGAACAAGGAGCACATCTTGATGCAATCGCCCCTCCTAGGGAGTTGGGGTCCCGACATCACCATCTACCTTGTTACGGGCATCCGACCGAGTCAGCACAGCCAAACATTTATCGGATCCTAGATCAGATCCAGATCAGATGCGAGGCCAGATATCCGGCCCGAGACTCTGACGTCGTAAGTTGTGAAGGTACACTTGTTTGTTGCAAGGAATATCCATGATGCTCTAGCGTTTGTCCTTGGCGAGAACTTGCAAGCACGAAGCCAACGATGTAGGTATCGGCGCATGACCTGGGGAAAGCACGGCAGTCACTGCCATGGAATGCGTTGCCGTTTTGCTTCGTGGACCAGTGACACACGCAACATGCCCTGTCACTTTGATGAGTGCTTATGCCGAGGAGACGGCTTTAGTATTAGTCACACGACATAAGTCCGACCCCAGCATTCCGACATCGTAGCCAGACACAGAAACTCTCGTAAAGTTAGAGTCTGACAGAACAGAAAGACCGTTCGTGTTCCCCAGATTCTACATTCCTGGCCGCAACCTTGAAGTTGTGCATGCGTCATAGACTCAGATGGCAACAACCATGGAGGAATGTCGATCTTGTAGCGATGTCCATGGGAAGGAGCAGATGCAAGATGGAGTGCTAAAGACACACGTCTATACCCGCAACACGTTCTCTCATCAGCTCATTGAATATGTACACTCCACGTACACATCACTATATACAGTCCTACTCTACGCTCAAATCCAGCCGAACACTCAGCGCAGCTCAAGCCTCCATTTCCCTAATAAAATCACTCCCCGTCCGCGCCAGCTTCGTCGGCGTATCCTTCGGCTTCTCCAGCTCCGGCCAGGGCAAGTCCTCTCCGTCGACCACGGCTGCTTTGACAGCAGTCTCTTCGACTACTGAATCTTGGCGCCGTACGAGCGGAGAAGAGGCATCCCAATTGTCCCAGTGCTCGATGTCTCCCTCGTCGAGATCGTCTTCTTCCTTGCTTGCTGCCTCAGATGTGGCGCCAGGCGAGTCCGAGAGCAAATCCGGCGTGCTGCTACTGCCACTGCTGTCATTCGGCGTGTGTGCTCGGTGGCCTTTGATAGTATTATTGACGTCTGCTGCGCTCCCGGACGTCTTTCTCGGTGGCTTGCTCGCATCGTTGGTCCTCGTCACTGCTCTGGACGTTGCTGCATCTTGAGGTGCTCTTCCGGGCGTGTCAAGCCCAAACTCTCTCCAGAAGGAATCTTCTTTCTTGCTGCTGTCATGAGGTTTGCCCGTGCTATCCTTCCCGCCGGTGGTACTCGCCATTGACACTTTCTTGCGGTCAGGTGACGCAGAACCTGCGAACCTGTTGTTACGTCCATTCTTCTTCGCAACCCATCGCCCCTCCAGCCTTGCTTGCTGCTCCGCGCTTGTCGGCCCGTAGACCGCCTCATCGCCCACTGTGGCCTGCCGAATGTCCTCGAAGAACGTCCACAGCCCGTCGCGCACGCCCTCGACGACCGCGCGTCCCTGCTTCATCATGTCTACCGTAGCCGGTGGGAGGGACCGTCGTTGCTGTGCAGCCACGAGGTCTTTGTACGTCTTGCCGAAAGTCGGTGTCGTCGCCGATGTTGCTGATATTGCATCGGGCGAAACAAAGCCGTCGAGGGTGGGTAGGCGAGAGAGCTGGTGTGATGTTTCTAGTGTCGTCGTCGACGTGCCTGGTTGAGCCCCAGCCTGCGCATTGTGCTCTTCAGTGCTGGCTTGCCCCTCTTGAAGTTCAGAGTCGATACTGCCGGCGAAGTCCTCCTCATCCGAACGCCGCCTCACCGCAGTAGGACTCAACAAGCTCAGAGTCCTTGTATGTCGGCCTTCAAACACCTTTCTCTGACTCTGACTCCCTTTCCTCGCCACACCGCCACCACCGATGGCCGGGCTCCCGCTGCCGGCAGCATTCCCACTGAGCTCTACCAGGACCCTCCTCCGCCTCCTCTCCTCCTCTTGTATGTCCAAGTCCTCGACTTGCTTGATGTGTGGCACGTCTCCCAGCGCGACCGGCACGCCCCTTCTGACTCTGATAACCTCCTCCTTCTTCTTCCTCCCCTCATACGTAGCCCACTGCTTCTTGAGCAGCGTCAATTCCTGCTCCGCTTTGTCCAGCTCCTCCCGTATCTCGAGCACTTTTCGCTCCTGAGAGGCGATAAGCGTCAGGAAGTCGGTGCCGCTCGACGTGGTAGTGGGATTTGCGAAGAGTACAGGAGTTGCGGTAGTGTTGGAGGTGTGGAAGGAAACTGCTTTCATGCGCGGAGAGGCGCGGCCACCATTGGGCGAGGACAAAGACGGCGAAGCAGTTCGTGGCGACGTCTTTTGGGAGTTCGAAGCAGTGGCCGTGGGCAAGAGGATTGGGAAATTGAGCGACAGGCCTTTATTGTGCCGGGCTGTTCGGCGTGGACTAGTTGGTGCGATGGGACTGCTGGGTGATGGCGGCAATTGTGGCTGCTGCGGCGGTGGCTCTCGCGCGACGATTTACAGCACAATGGAGAGCGTCTGCCATGATTTGCTATGGTGTCCCACGTAAATTGGGTGTGGTAAAGGAGTGACTGGCGCTTAGAGCGAGGAAGCAGGCAGCTTCAGGTGCTCATCATCGTGACCGCTGTAAAGACATTGAGCGTCGTCAGTCGTAAATATCGTCAATCATGTCGTTCCGCTCAAGCATACGACCCGACGTTCATTTCATGATAAGGACAGAAAGTTTCGAGATGTTGACAGTGCCAGATACGGAATTATCGACGAAGTTGCATCTCGGGGCGGCTACAGCAGCTGCAGGATCCTTGCACGTTGGCACAGACGCGGGCAGTCGCATCTGGTTTAGGTTTCGTGGCTCCCTCATCTCGCTGGTTTGGGGGGCCTTTGGCGGTGAAGTCTGGGGTGGGCCAATCATTTGTGATGGCGCATTCCCTCGAAGAACAACGTACACCTTTGCGACGTTTGACATCCATGGATGGTGTCACGTTCGAGGCTCAAGAGTCCGCTTTAGAGTCCTCCTGACGAAGTACTAAGGTCGTTGTGGTCCAGCAAGTGAGTTCATACGGTCGGACTCGGCCTGTACATGTATTCTCTATAGAGTCCAAGGACCACATTGCAGTCCATCAATCATTATGCAGCACTGAGTCGCTGTCCCAAAGTACATCTGCCCGTGACGGTAGTAGTACACAAGCTATGCTACCCCTGCGACTCCTCGAAACGCCAGACAATGCTTGCATGAAAAGTTCCCATCTTTGATTATCGTTCCATCGTGAAATGCGTATCCGTCCTTATGGCAATGCGTTAAGATCAACTGACTAACCAATACGCTCCTCCAGCCATGCCAAATACCACGAGTACTGTAAGAATGCCAGCGCCTGCACGATCTGCTGTCGTGATTTCCGGAAATTCATCATGAGGAAATATGGGTGCAGAAGTGCCTGCGTTGGGGTCGCTGGCGGATTTGCCGCCAGTGTCTGCTGTCAGAGGCACCATGCTGGAGTCGATCAAGTTGGCGCCTACAACTGATAGTGCTGTCATCTGTTCCACCATTAGTAAGAATCCACTCAGAAGGCATGTACGACATACCTGCTGGCCAACACCGCTGCTGCCGTCCCAAACGCTCGAATACCACTGCCGTCCGCACATTCGTCCATTGTCGCCGCCAATGCACTGATTCATTGCTGCTTGTGCGCTAGTCCGTAGCTTTGCCGTTATCTGAGGTTGCAAGCTTGGAATCAACTGGCCGGTGACAGCCATCCATCTCGCCAGATACGCTTTGAAACTGCTCTGGTCGTTGTTACAGACACTTGTTGGCTCGCATTGCATCTCTGTCATGACATTGCCACCCAGGTTTGAATCCGGCGGCGTTCCGTCGAGAGTGTCGGGGAAGAAAGTCTTGAAGGCGCCATCAAGAACGTGCGACGCCCGGGTGGCCCATGTAGCGTTCTCGGTCAGGTTGTAGAGGTATGCCATACCAGAAAGCATGGTGCCGTAATTATAGGTCCAGACATGGTGCTCGACATCAATACAGCCATTGTTGGTATCTGTGTTGTCCCAAATCCAGAGCCTGTCCTCCGTCTCTTGAAATAAGTGCGTACCAGCCATCCAATCGTACATTTTCTCCGCCCAGTCAACATAGGTCTGATTTCCGGTATAGCGAGCGAGGCGAGCGGCAAGCTGAAAGAAGCCGCCGTTCGAAATGGTGTTCTTTAGGTTGTAGCCAGCGTTGAATGAGTACACCTGCCATCGCATACCTCCACCGCACACTTTGGCATCCCAGAGGTTGGTCTGAAAGTTGAACACAGCCTGCGCGAGCGCAAGCCATGACGGCTGACCAGGTACGTCTGGCAGGCCCGCCTCAGCCGCATCGAGGGCTGCGAATCCCCAGAAATCTTGGTCATCCACGCCCATGTTCTTGGACTGATTCGGCGGGTTGAAGTTGGCTTCTGGTCCCTTTTGGAATTGTAAAGCTTCTGATATTACTTGGTTGTAGCTGTCGTCGCCGGTATACTGCCAATAGTTGACCAGGGCACCGAACATGGCTCCTGCTTCCCACCAGTAGTAACACAAGTCCGACGCACATGGCCCTGGCAGCAGTCCTGGCGTCTGTCCCGTCAGGTTTCCCTGATAGTATGTCATCATGTCGTGAGCGAGTAGTGATGTGACTTGTTTCATCGAATCGCGGCTGTCTAGGTTTAATTGATATGCGGCATGTGCAGAGGGTGCGAGCGCCACGAGCGGCGCGAGTATTGATATTGACGGCTTCATGGTGGCGGTAGTGACTGGCCGTACGTCTCGTTGAGTGTAGGAGGTACCTCAGATCGACATGAACGTGTGGTGTGAGCGAAAGTCGTCGTCTGCAGGATGCGTCGGAACAAGTGGGTGTTCGTGGCGTTTGGCAAGTGTAGGATGCTGGGCTTGGAATGGGCTGATAAGTACGTCACTACCAGATAGCGATCTGAGCGCCCAAAACAGCCTAAGCGAGTGTCGTGCTCTGTCCGGAGTCTCTGTAACTTCTTCTACCGGCGAGCAATACAAACGACAAAAGCGAGCGAAACGAGGGCGAGCGTGAGGTTGGGTTGAGAACAACAGGTGCGCAATCACTGATCAAGAAAGTTCAAGATCAAAGATCGCGGAGCTGCACGGAGTTTTGGGCATAAGGTGGCGGTCCAGGAATCTGCAGGGCGGCAGACTTCGATGATGTAGCTAAAGCGCGGCTGGGTGATTCTCAGCGCCGGATTGGAGCGGCACTGCCCAGGTGCAGCTGCCAATATTCCTTGCTTGCCAGCCATCCACCAAAACTCGCGGCGCCTATGCTTGGTCTACAACGACTCTATCAACCACAGTTCATTTACCAAATGCTGTATACAAAGCTGATCATATTGTCAGACTCGCAAGACGCTGCAATCTTCGGATAAGGGTCACAAGAGTAGTGCAAGGAGCGAAGCAAGAACCCGGCACGTCCGCTTCTCACACTCGCAGTAAGAGCTGAGACTGCATGTTCCAGGCTTTCCCGCCTCCTTCGATTATGTCTCAGACTGGCCGATTACAGCGACATTCGCTTCTGCATACCACGTTGCTGGTGGATTATGTATTCGCCTATGTCTTATATGGAGCTGCATTCCTGGTTTTTTGCTACATATGTCACTGTCATCGATGATTAACGCTTGACGGCGAGACGAGCCTTGCTTCCAACCTGGTGCCACCCCAAGTTACAACCCGGGCGCAGACCTTCTCATTTTTCGTATCCGTGTGGAACTTCTCTCCTTAAGCGATCGATGTCATGCCAGGGCGATCTCACACTCAACACTTCGCCTGCATTACGACTCTGCTGACACGAGAGAAATATGAGCAACCCTGTTCAATTTCGATCAATCTAGGGCACTACTTCATGTAACACACTGCTGTGACTCAATGTCGAGGATTCTCCGTCTCCAGCATCAATGTAGATGACATTACTACCATGTCAAACTCCTCCCAGTATCCCAAGTCCCATGAGTCGCTCTGAACGCTCGCACAAAAGTAATCTCAAACCCATGCATATGTCCGTATCCTGTACAACGGCACACCCGCAATTCAGCCTGTGACCAAAATGATCTGCTTTCACCCGGCCTTCTTCTCCTTCTCATCCTCGTCGTGATCGTTGCGCTCCAGGTCCTCCTTGGCAGTCATCGAATCAGCAACAGACGTCAATTTATACATGGCTTGTCCCAGTCCAACTCGTGCTTTCTTAGTATGATTCGCGGCGATCCGACCCTCCAGGCCATTGTTCTCGAACCTGTGCTGGTAGTCTGCTCCAGACGATAAGCCCGTCTCCGCACGGAAATTGCCCTCAAGGGCTCCTGAAACAGCCATGTTGTTGGTCGGCACGTTCTGCATGGATCCAAACGACATTCTACGTTGCATCAACCGTTTCCCTTCACGGCTTTCTTTTTCATGCAGCTTCTCTGACGGAAGAAGCACAGCTCGATCCAGTTCGTATGGCAAGCCACGATGTCGTCCACGGATCATCATGGCAATGATCACCAGCTTCGACAGTGTTGCAAACTTGGCGGAGAATGATGCATTGATATCAGGATAGCCCAGTGATAGGCCGACTGTGCCATACGCCGAGACAATCTCGAATAGCACCGAAAACATAGTGAATGCGTACTCGTTCGTGTTCTCAATGTTGTGGCCTTCAACGATGGCGATGATGAACAATCCCAGGAAAATATACCACAAGTCGAAGCTCAGTTGTCGCCGGACATGGGCTCCAACGTAGCTAGGCTCTTTTCCCTCCTCATCATCGTCTTCGGTGGCAGCGTAGATGCCCAAACTTTTCTCCTCGTAAACATTGGTGCGACGCATCGATATCGCAATAGGAAAGACCGATATGTACATCATGATTAAGTAGGACACTTGGATCGCAGGATGCAAGTTGGCGATGTTCACCACGCTAAATCCTGCCGTTCGAGTCGAAGCAGCTTGGAAGAGGCCGTCCAGAATCCGATATCCCACGGGTATGCTCGATACAGTCTCGTCATTGAGGTCCAGGATGATGAACAAGATCAAATCTACGCCGTTGAGTATGACGAGAATTCCGAACAGCCACCATGTTGCGCCCCTCGGGAACAACAATGTGAAGCATCGACGTGGGTGATCAAGCAAAAATTGAAGTTCTTCCCAGATACCACTTCCTGCCGGTACTACCGCAGAACAAGCCCAAATGACGAATCTGAGCATGCACGGGAATCCAGTGTTGCCGATTATTATCAGAAACGTCATCAATAGCAGCGGAAAGACGGCGTATTGGAAGGAGATCATCGAGTCGGGCGTCAGAGTGAAGCCGAGATCGTTGAATGCAGAGCCGGCTGTGAATATGCCCCACCAAGGTCGACCTTGACCAACATCGGTTGGAATGGCCCCGAAGCGTGTAGTCATGATCCAGGGGACGAGACAGATAATGCCCAGGATGTGAAAGCCGAAAAAGAACGCTACCAGGATCCATGCCAAAGTCTTCAAAGCGCGATACTCGATGCCACCTAATTCTTCCCTTTGGTCTTCCGACAGGTTGACGAAAAATGAATTGCGCCCGACTGTTGGCTGCCAGCTGAGGTAGGGCGTAGGCTCTTGAACTGAATGGCCGGTATTACTCCTGCGAAAACTGCTGAGGCCCGTGTTGGTCCGTTTCCTTGGGCTCAAGTGGTCCGCACCGAGGTCCGTGTTGGTGCGTTGTCGGGAGCTCGCTCGAGGGAATGTTGTGGTGTGCGTTCGATTGCGGTGTATCTGAGGCTCATCGATTGTGATATGGCCTGGTCCAGCTCTGCCGCCCTCCGCCTCGAAATTCGTATTTACACGACGGGGGAGACCTCCAAACCCAACATCGTCAACATTTTCTGGCTTTCCTCCACGATCGAATTCTCTAGGACTGGGGATACGTAGGGTTGAACTATCCTCTGGATTTCTCTGCCGCTCCAGAAACTGAATGTGCTGTTCGGGGCTGAGTTGAGCAGGGATGCGGACTTCGTCGATGTCTCTGTAGGGCTCATCGTCGTGATCGAAGTCCTGCGGATCGTTGGTCGAGTCAGACTTCTTTGGCTCCGAATCGGAGCCCTCGTCGACCTTCACCTTGGGCATAGACTCATCCTGCTCATGCTCGCCCTTCTCGTCTCTGCGGAACGAACGACCTGTGTGACGAAGCACTTGTATGGCGCGACCTCTGACGCCTAATTCCCTCCTGACTCTTTCAGGATCGTCGGGATCCAGCTCCATGGTTTTAGTCCGAGATTTGGATCGGCGCAGAGACCTGGCATCACGGACGATGTCCTTAAACCGCCGCTCGAACCAGTACAGCCTGACGAACACCACGGAGGAATGGATTATTATCGGATTGCATAACATGGCCCCAATGTAGAAACAAATTTGCTGTCCCAGATATAGTGTATTGACGTCGACAGTGTTGAGACCACTTTGTGTGCACGAGCCTGCGGCGAAGAAGAGGGCATCGATGTAATCTATCTCTCCAGCCGCACGGATTATGGCTGAGAGGAAAAAGGACACGCCTATGATGTAGAGATAGTGGATAGTGATGAAGTTGACCTTCCTCTTGGTGAACAAGTCTGGGATCTGCCTCTTGACGAACGCCCAGACGTCGTTCCATGATTCGAACGCCATGTTGGCCAGTGAGGTACAGCAATAGGGTTGCGTTGATCGTTGTCGCCGTTAGGTAGTGGGCGCTGGGGCTGTGCTATGATAATGATGAGGTTTCGGGATCATGAAATCGTAGCCGCAGACCCAGCGGCGGTCGCTTTTGGTACGTCCATGTCAGTAGTAGGAAGCTGCGACGGAGAATGTCATCTGCGAGACTGTCAGTAGCGAAGGAGCATGCGCTGATGTTTTGACAAGAGCATGGCAGTGCTGCGCTTGGACCGTGCAAGTTGGATCGGAGAAAGGTGCACCATCGTCTTTCCCCGATGCCTAACCCCACCTAAATCTGCCGACTTCCAAGTTGTGATCAATCACACGAATTGCATCTTCACTCATCACCTTGAGCTTCCTCGGCTTTCAACATCGACCTTCAAACTCTTATAACGACTTTGCGGGGAGAGCTCGCGACGTCCGTGGTTGATGACAATCACCGTCACTGTGCAGCTTCTCGCTTGACGATGTTTCGGCATATGTCAGATGCTCACCGTCTGTCGACAACCATGGGTCCCGGCGCTGTCGTCAAGTCATCACAATCACACAGGATATCATGTCGAGGTGCGGGTAGACGGAGGGTCAAGAATACCGCCTCTTCTGATCAGGATCCTCGTGGCCCTATATATGATCATGCCCAAATTGCTCGGCGGTCCTGCTAACGGAACAGGCGTGCCGGCTTCTGCAGCCTGCCATGCATTCTCGGCTACTACGCGGATTTTGTTGGTTGTACGAAAGCTTGTGCCGACGCCCGATCACTGTCTAGCAGGCGATGCGATGTGAATACAACCACGCTGCACTGATCACGAGGCCATCATCTGGTAATATTGCCCGGCTCTGAGATGCTCCATTCAAGCTGCAAACAATGCTTACGCAAGTTCGCCTCGAGCAAGCTGAGCCTGCCCACATCAAACGGTATATACAACCAGTATCCATGTGTCTTACAGTGACTCAACGCCGCAGCTTTGTCAAGCACAAGACATAGTTGCACGATCTGCAGTGAAAAATGCTCTGATGTTCAGTGAAGATCAACGGTAAGAGCAACATGTATTGTTGGTGTCCCCTACTCTCTTACTCTGAGGGCCGATCGGAACTGGCCGCAACACAAGTGACAGTGACAAGCATGAACAAGAGGGTAGCCGCCAAATTGCGGCCTAAGGCACAACTGTCACTTCATCACATAACAGAGCAGCTCACTGCATAGGTGTATATATTATCATTACGTCGCTCACCATGGTCCATTTCTCAGCTCGCCAAAGGAACTTAGCAAGCTAGCTCCATACCGACCTACGACCGTCGAAGCATGTCGACGCCTTGAGCGACACCGGCCCACAGCCAGGATACCGCCGACCGTGCTGAAACAAGTCTCGCGACAAAAGAAGTACTAAGCAGCGACGATCCCCTGCCGTACAATAGACCAGTCCTCAAGCCAAGCCTTTCCATCCTTTAGCCAAACAATAACCACAATGTGCCACACGATCTTCCACAAGGGCAAGTGCAATCACACTGTCAGCACTACTGTTCAGCCCTGTGAAGCACGATCCGCCGGCAAAACCGTCTGCACGAATGGCGCGACCTCGTCTGCAGCCTTTGCGGACCAACCTTGTGATCCTTGTGCTCGAGGCACGTCCCGAACAGGTGCCGTAGATTATGGCAAGGGTGAAGCAATCAGCGCTGGAGACGATGATGGGAAAGGTGGAGGGGATGATAAAGATTGTGGGGAGGGTGTATTCACGTAAAGGAGGCTCTATCTGAAAGCATCACCGCATTGCCTTGGCCATCGGTCGGAAGTAAGCAGCACGGAGTGATGCACTAGGAGGTATGTCCAGGGCTGCCTGGCGACCTGGCTCCGCATACCGACTGCGTCTGGGAGGTATATACGATTCCAACGTCGACGGCCAGCGGTTGACTCTGATTTGCAACAGGAGCGATCAAAACTGCCTCAGGCACATTGAGCGCCTTTCTGTGGTGTCAGAGACTACCACGAAGCACGATCGCAAACGAGGCCTGAAGACGGAGCTGATGGGTAGTCATTGCCTAAGTCCAATGGCAGCTTCCTGCATGCAGGTGCTAAAATATCCTGGGCGTGCTAGGCACTCTGGACTTAATCGTGGTAACGGCCTGTATTGACAGATGTCGGGGAGACTGTACCATAGGCACATAACATGAAAGCTATCGCATGTAAAACAGACAGACGTCGGTCTCCGTGATTGACTCACACTCGGATGTTTTTGCCCGTCGCGGTAGGTGCTTGAAGTATTGATCCTCGGTGAAGGACAAAAAAGACGTAGATGTGATGAGCCGCTGTAAACAGGAAACGAGCAGGGCGGATTTGCCCGGTTTGGGCTCGGCAAGCGATTCCCTCTGCTCATTGGCGCTTTCCGTATCGGATGCGAGTCGTGTAGCGAGGCGGCATGCACACGAAGTCGAGACTTCCTGGAACTTGCCCTCGTTCTCCACAGCTGATTCTGGCAACTGTACTTACGCTACGAAGGTTCGACCAAGCTCTCATGGCGCAAAAATGCGTGGGAGTGGGAGTATAGAAAGCTAGATCAGACGACATGAATCATGTATGTACAGCGTGCAGCCCCCAAGAGCTTTAATACTGACAGGCCTCGGTAAGGAACACGGCGGACACCCCTCGGGGTAAAGTGCCACCACTAAATAAAACACAATTCGTGATCGGCTTCCCGAAGAATCTTTCCGAACGACAACAAGCGCGAGGTGTCATCAAAGCCAACGCCTCGCGCCATCGATGGGCGGGGCGAGGCACGACCGCTGATGAGAATGGCAGATCTCGGAGACGGCGGCGGGCTCCTCCTGCAGCGTTGACTCCGTACGATGTGTACATCAATCAAAAGGATGTCGCGACACAGCCCTACGCTCGGAAATATCTGGAGGATCATCTTATTGACGAAAAGGACGTGGGCTCGATCAAGTTCTCCCAGTCCTTAGGAAAGCAAACATTATCACCCGTGTTTCTGCTCGACAGGCCCAGCACGGTCTCCGAGAACCAGCTGTGGAAATTCCTCGACACCAGTAAGTTATTGCGCCAACAGATACTGCCTGTGGTTTGGCTTTACTTTCAGACAACCTGACCTCTCGGATGCAGTTCGTGCCACGTACAGGTCTGTACTTCCGCAAGATCCGTCAGGTCAGGATGTAATGCTCAACGCCATAATGAACAACATTGCGACAATCAGAGAGTGCTTTCAGGGCCACATACTCGTACAGCTCCTGGGAGATCTCCGGCCAGATCCGCAGGAGGATCAAAGAAGACGACAGGCAGTAATATCAGTGCACTCCAAGGCTGTGACAATTGTCAACGAAAACCTCACACTGAAGGAGAAGGCGACCAGCGATACTACGATCTTGGCCGTTCTAGCATTATCATACGCTGATATGTCCGGTAAAGGGGTAATCCCAACGGTCGAGACCGTTCCAGGGATCACGCAGGGACCTCTGAAGATGTTACGGCGGCTTGACATCGGGCCGCCTCCTAGAAATGTGGTGGTTCACTTCGATGGTCTCTGCCAGATGATCGAGCTAAGAGGAGGGATCCACGAAGTGGCCCTGCCTGGTCTTGCCCAGCTGATTAGCGCCACAGAAACGAGCCTTGCATCGAGATCCTTACGACAACCCAGATGCGACATTTTGACGTTTCTGAAGTTCGACTTGAAAACGTCTCTGGAGATCAACCGCAGACCAGACCACCCGCTCCAACGCATGGGCACGGCTTTTAACGCCATCAAGAAGGGTGATGCTTCTCCCTCGCGGATCGCAGTTGCCGACTGCCTTGAACAGCTTGCGCTGTACTCACTGGGTGTCGACGACCACATCGCGGCACGCTTCATCCAGCAGAGCCTCGACATCATCGCCGATCAACGAACATACGTGCAACACTGCCTCATGATGCTTATGCGCGTCCACGTTGATGCCTCAGTCGACCTGCTCACCAAGCTGTGTCACTTGATCGGCGTCCTATACAGCTTCCTTTGCGTATGGCCCATATCGGATGCTCCTTTCCTAGAACTTCTGCAGATGATCAAGCGAGTCTTACTTCAAAAGGAGCTACGGACCGAATGGGCCAAGTCGCCAGAGCTTATGGTCTGGGCTCTCTTCATGACTGGGATCATCTCTGTTGGCAGCCCAGAGAGGGTGATGATCGTCGCAATGCTGGAGCGCTGTCTCCGCAAGCTTAGTATCGACACCTGGGAGGACTTGAGAGAGATCCTGCTGCAGCACTTGTGGCTGCCGATTACAAACGATGCGGACGGCATTATGCTGTGGAGCGAGATCGAGGCATCAAATCCATTCGAGTGGGGATAGCGCCCTAAGGCTGCAGATGACTGCAGATGAATTGTGAGGGACATACCCGCTCATATATGGCGATACTGCTAAGTGATATCTCTCCCATGAACCGAGATATACGCCTTGTTGGCCGGTGAGATCGTCTACCTCTTGTACAGACCAAGTCTTGACGGCTCTATCGACTCACCAGGATTGCCGCTGCCGCAGCATTATGCACTCAGTCGCGAGAGGAAGCACCGTTGTTCAAGGCCTACTCGCCTTGCGCAGCAGCAGCTATGCTCGGCGAGCGCGCGATAATATGGTGGGCTAAGACAGCAGCCTCGCGACAACATAGCGGCTCGCACTCAGAGGTATGTTGAGTGCGTGTATCGCAGAAGTAGGGGACGAGTCCAAGGACATACGGCAACCCAGGCAGATCATCGCTATTACGGCACAGTCGAAGTCTCCTTGCGGGTACATCGAGACCTGTTGGGATCTAAGTCCGTAGGCGGTGAGGTGGACGGCAGGCGCAGAGGGTGTCCTGTGATCAGCTGAGTGAAGCGTGGTAGCATTTAGGTCAGGCGAGGTTAGGTGAAGGTCGGACTAGCTGGCATGAGTGGCCTGCAGGGATCATATTCGTATGGTGGCCGGTGAAAGGTTAGGATGTTGATGATAGCAGGTGCGATAATAGTGCGCCAGAATTGTGGGTCTCTCGAGACCGGTCCAAAGCGTGACCAGTGGAATAATGGATATAACTGCTGAGGACAACACTATGAAGAATGAGCTGGGTCGAGATGCTGATTGGCGGCTCCAAGAGCACAACAGGCTTTTCCGAACAGTCTTTCAGTCACTGCTGGTTCTAATGTGAACAGTTTGCCAGTTTGCTTGTTAACGGCGAACCCCATCCCTCAGGAGCTCGTCACCCGGCTCTGGATAAGGTGCGTCGCGAATGCCAGTCATCCGGTCTCATCAAGGCCCGCGCGTCAGCCGGTCTTGCGAATGTCCTATTGGTCTTGTCATCCGGCGCTAGATAGTTTCGCTTCCAATACTGTCGTCCGGTCCCACGGAAGACCGGGTGTCATCCGGTCCGAGCAATTGCGCGCGACGTGTCGTCCAGCGTCTTGAAGGACTCTTTGCCATCCCTCGCCCGGGACCACGGTAAGGCGCAACATAGATCAAGAAATCCACAGAACGCAAGTGTTTTGATGTCCATTTGATTGCTTTTCTAAGAACGGCCGCGGTAGTCTTTGCAGTCGCCTTTGCCTAAGGGGTATCTCAGTCATTGTTTCGTGATTCGTTCTGATCATTCGCCGCCACACATGGCATGACCAACAGCATGGGTCGTGTATGCATCTATTCCCACGAGACAGCATTTACCGTCGTACACTAGAGCCTGCCAACCATCCCGGACCAGTCGATCGTACGCGGTGTGGGTACCGCCGGTAGCAGTGCCATGCAGCAGAGCCTGCAACATCATCACTTGTCGTCAACTTAGTCTTTATCAGACTTGTACGGCTCAACCTTCCGCTTGCCAATGTCGCTCCAATCCGTGCTAAGGGTTGTGCCTCCGCTCTCCAGATATGACTTCGTCATGGCGCGCTGTGTATCCGGGTCACTGCTCTTATACAGCTTCTTGAAGAAGTCGTCCACATCGTCACCGCCTTCTGGGTCGCTCAGCCCACCAGCATCGTCGTCTTCTTCGTCTGAGACCTCGCCCTCCTTGGCGTCTCTCTGTGACTGTGCTTTCTTCGCCGCTTTTGCCTCCTTTCTGTCCTTCGCGCTCATCTCATGTGCTAGCTTGTCCCAGTTCTTGACGCCCTTGCGCGATGAGGTGGGATAGGCTGGAGGAGTGTCTTTGGGTTGGAAGGGTTGTGTGGTGGTGGCTGAGGCTTCTGAGGACTGACCATTGATGACGGGCTTTTCTGTTCCTTCAAGTGCCTTCCATTTTTGATTTGGCTCTGCTTTCTGAAGAACGATCTCGACCTTGGTCTTCAGGACGTTGATCTTCGATGAAGATGTGACGATGGCGCCGTATGAGGGATCCATTGAGAAGGTGTACTCGGATGAGGTGTCGTTGGGATTTGGGAATGATATGTAGACCGAATCGTGGTTGATCTCGCTCTGAACTTTTTGCTTGTCAACACCCTTGGCGAAAAGGTTGATCGTGACAGTATTGGTTGTCTGGAACCAATCCTGTCGGATTGGGCCAGCAGAGACCGGCGCGGGGCTTGTCTTGGCTTCTGAGGTAGTCGATGCTGTCTTGGGAGCGTCGTCTTGACGCACCTCCGTGCTGGTCTTACTGGAGCCCGCCTCGAAGTCGAAAGTGCCGTCACTCTTGATTTGCTGCTTGAATAGACTGATGGACGCCTTCTCGCTGGGTACAGTCGTGCTCGGAAATTCCTCCACTGTCACGCTGTCCCGTTCTGACTCTGACACGTTCTTAAGCTTTTGGTTGACCTTTGCCTTCCACATACCCATCGCCCGCTGTGCTTCAGGTTCCAACTTCTGTTCTCCCATGACCGAGCTCGCATCACGTGGCTTCTTCTCAGCCTCTTTATGATATATGTCGAGGAGCTTTGCGGCTGCGACATATTGGCCTGTGTTGTAGAAAAGGACTATTCGCCGGAGTTGTGCATCATGGATCTTATCCCGTCTGCCACGTCGCAAAGCGAATATCAGGCGTATTCAGCATCTTTAATGGCGAGGTCATAGCGTGGAGGGCTCAGTCGTGCGAATGCTTTGCTTCGATTCGAGTAGTAGTCGGGTGAGGTTGGATGTTCGATCAGCGCCTTGGTGAAATTGACCAGCGCGGCTTCTGCTTTGCCGTCGCTGAGCTCGGCTAAACCTTGCTTGTTCCTATCCATAAGGAGGATTCACTGCAGTGAGTATTTCGGAGATAACTGAGGAGTGAAATATGAAATGCTGGACTGGTATGAATCGAATGAATTGTACAGAAATGTGTTTTTTAAGAACGCGCCTGTGCCTGTTGGAGAACGGCAGTACCCCGCATAAAGGTATTCACTAGGCGGGCTCCAGGGATACGCCTGCCTTGTTGCCTGGTTGTCACCATGAGTCGCCTTCTCTTCACTCTTCACCCACATTGACAATGCAACCCTGGATACAGTGGTCTGAGGCCCTGGGCATAGTGACGTTGAAACTCGAATGAAGTCATTTGCTCTTTGGTAAATTTGGAAAGTGAGAAAGAGTGATCTGAGCAAACAGCGTTTTAATTTGCTACACCAAATATAAGAAGGATGCTCTGTTAGACCACCTATCCTGGACACTCCGTACAACATGCAGAAGAACATTGGGCAAAATTGTTTCCCAAAGGTCACGTGGTATCTATACCACAACACAGGACTGATGTACCGGCCAAGCGAGTCGACAGGCTTGTGCATCATCAGCCAAGAATTCCGCTCCTCTCGGCTTAAGCGGTAAGACCTTGGCATCACAACGACCAGCCTTTGCCTGTTCACAGCTTCGACAGCTTCGGGATCCCTCATCAACGCGTCTAAGATGCTTCAGCTCTAAAATGTCTGCTCATTTTGTAACATTCCAGTACGCGCTTTCGTCCCAGTCCCGTTGTTATTGAAGTGCAGACACTTTGGTACAGGCAACTCCCTGCACATGCCCAGCTTTCCAGCATTCCTCGGCGGTCACTGGGCGGCATCTCGGCGGCCAAATCCACAGAAGGATATCAACGGAAAGCCGGAAGATCGCATGAGTATCCTCTCTCCTGCAGAACAGTTCGGGCTATGGCCTTCTCGAAGCCCTAGAACCTAGATCCGATGCGAGCCTGCTGTAGATCCTTCCTTCTCCAGGCGTTGTGCTTTACCAGCCGACGCTCGAGTTACGGCATGTCTTGCTCATGTCCACTGATAGCAGTGCAGACCATCTTCTTGGCACGTTGCATTCGTTCGAACTGAGGACTTCGCGAAGATTGCCAAAACGCGGGACCCTGGTCGTTGGTTCGGCTTGACAACCCTTCGTATGCCACCAAATGGCTCGGCTGATATGCTCGCTGCCTCTGGCTGGCCAGCAGACACTCTGACCGTGATGGTTCTTGCCACTTTTCTGAACCTCTGATAACGAATCCGGAAAGTTTGCTTGGCAGTCGGCGGCCCTGGGTTTGTCGAACAGCATATAACAGCGCGGGAACCTAGCTCTGACAACGAGCCATCCTGACACTCTGCCTTGATCTCGTGCCAGTAGTATTGCCGCATACAACACACCAGCAGTCATGGCCGCAGAAGACATTCAGCCAGACAAGCGCCACGCTGCTGACCAGCACGTATCCGTCGATCATGTTCGATCTCACGGCTCAAGCGACAATGAAAAGAAGACATCCGAGGAGTATGATCCATATGCAGCGTATGAGCAGAAGGAGGAGAAGAATACTCTGTGGGGACACGTGAAGGAGCCGGGCGGTGCGATCCAGATTGTGATCGCTGCAATGCTCGCTCTAGCCATTGGTCTGCCTGTTGCATTCACCGTTGACAATGTTCCGGATGCTGCGCCGACCATCTTGAACATTCCAGGACGTATGTGGCTGCGAGCTCTCACAGCTGTTGGTGAGTTGAGGCGGGCACCAATACACTCCGCATGTAGCTAACACTTGTTTCAGTCATGCCACTTATCGTTACCGCGATGATACTTGCTATGCAGCGGCTGAAAGAAATGACTGGCGGAGGCAACAAACTCGCAAAGTGGACTGTTGGCTACTACGTCGTCACGACGATCATTGCTATTGTCCATAGCACCATTCTCGTTTCTCTTGTGTGGCGACCCATGTATACTGTCGCTGGCGACGACAGTCTGGCAATCGACGAGGATGACCAGGATACCTTCGATGAGCGCAGTGACAACGATGTCACCACAATCTTGGTGAACATTTTCGACTCGTTCATCCCAGGAAATATCTTTGCAGCACTCGCAGAGAATCAGCTGCTAGCAGTCCTCGTCACTGCAGTCGTTGTGGGCGGGCTTCTTGAACCAGGGTCTTCGATCATCAAGGCTGTCGTCGAAGTCGAGCGACTCATCACCAAGGTCATCATCTTCCTGATTAAGTTGGCGCCAATTGGTGTCTTCTTCCTGATTCTTTCCAACATCATCAAGCTGGACCCGGAGTCGATTGGGAAGAACCTCGGAATCCTCATTGGCTCGTCCCTGGTATCGATGTTCATCCATCTCTTTATCGTCCTGCCACTCATCTATTTCGCATTCGTCCGACAGAACCCATTCACATACTGGATGAAGAACTCGCCTGCATGGATCACAGCTTGGGGCACTGCGTCTTCAGCAGCAACGCTTCCTGTCACGATGCGCTGTGTCCGTGCCCGCGGCTGGCCAGAGACAGTCATCAAGTTCACTGTCCCGCTTGGCTGCCTTGTCAATATGGATGGTACGGCAATCTACTTCCCAGCCGTGGTGGTCTTCATGGCCCAGACTCAAGGGATCACCCTCAATGCGGGCGAGTACGTCATCGTGGTCCTCCTTGCCACACTGTCGTCCATCGCCACCACACCAATTCCTTCCAGCTCGCTGGTCTTGACAGTTATCATCTGTCAGTCGGTGGGTGTGCCGGTCACGGGCATGTATGCTGTGGTGATTGCCATTGATTGGTTCATTGACCGCTTCCGGACGGCTCTGAATGTCTCTTCGGACCTCTTCGCCGTTGGCGTCATCACGAAGATCACCGGCATCAGTGATGCGGACGGCGTCGCATACGAGGCGACCGTCGAGGAGAGACATGCTGCTTCAGTTCAGGGCGCTGCTGGCGTTAGGCAGGACAGCAAGGTCTGAAAGTCGTCCTTTCTCTTGATCACATTCCCAGCGGGTATATAGCGCCCTTGATATGTCCTGGTACCGAGTGCGATGGCAGGGGCATGACGCCCCGCATCGCGGTAGACAGAATGTGCGGGAGACCCAAGAGAGGTGACCCACCCGGCGTATCCACTGTCTTCTTGAGGGGTGGCGGACTGAGGTCTCCATACCAGTCCTGTCGTGTTTCCATAGATTGCCTCAATGGCATATGACGATCTAGACCATCTCTTGAATCTGGCAGTCTCATCCCGATAGGAGGATAAATGTCGTCTGCGGCACTAATTTCTGGCACAAAACCGTCGGTGCCTTCTTCCGCTGCGATCACTGACTGCATGACATGAATGCAGGCATCGGCAGTCCAGAGATGTTCTTCGCGGGGCGCGCGGTCCTTGAGTAGCGATAGTGCCTTCCTTCGAATGCTCGGCTTACGGCAAGCCCAGGTCGCGTAGAATAGACATGGCACAACGGCGATATCGAAAGGAATTTTGCGCTCGCTGATGTCACTGAAAGCCAGACATCTGGCGGCTTCGTCGACGATGTTTTGAAAATGCTCTTCGTGGGTGTCGAAAACGCCTAGAGAGGTTTCCCACAAGCACCTCAAGCGGATAACCGCGGAGTTCCAGACAACCAGTTGCTGCGAGACAAATCTTCGTAGTTCCCCGGTACAAGACATGACTCCGGACTCTTCCACAGCCGATCTCCATTGAAACATTTGTTCAATCAAAGTCTCCCGTCGTGCCTCCGCTGCATCATCCGGAGCGATCATGGATGAAGAATTGCAGAAGCGTTGGACCTGATAAGCCACGTCATAGAGCTCTGTCATCATCCGTAGTACAGTCGCTTCTGTCGAAGCACCGTTATTGTTGGGGTGCAACTTAGCACGAGCTCTGACGTCCTCGGATAGCTCGAAGCCAAAGATAGACAGAGGAAGTAGACTGCGGAACATGTACGGCAAGACAGCTTCCAGAATCTCCTTGTCAGCTGAACAGGCATTTTCGTCGCCCTGGTTGATCTGAAAAGCCTGGAACATCAATTTGAGACCAGTTGTTGGTCTGCCCTGAAGCATCTCCACGCCAGCAAGAATGAAAGTGTTCAATGTCAGTAGCGGAGAGCTGCGCGAGTCAGGATTCTGCGCCGCCCGTAGGCTGCGTCCGTACCATTCCAAGGCTTGACGCTGGAAGAAGTCCTCGTTGTCCGGGTCGCCGAACGGCTCAAAGTGGTTTTGTTGAATCGGATGCTCGTATAGCGTGGACAAAGCAATGACTCCGTACCAGACCATGTCATCTTGCTGTGCTACTTGCGGCACAGCCCGGGCCCAGAAGTTGCGATCCACACAATTGGTCGTGTCAGATACAGATCGCGCGACCAGCCATTTGAAAGCTCGAACTTCCCTGGGGCTGCGACCAGCAAAAGGCGAGATCTCGGCAGCAATGCTGTTCGGCGGGCTTGAACTCTGGCACGGACGCGTCTGCAAGGCAAGATCGGCTGCGAAGACATGATTGCGGATTCCTTCACAATGGATACCCTTCCTTGAACAATTGTTGCAGATGGGCATCACTTCATCGCACTTGATTCTCCTCTTCCTGCGAAAAGTCAGTCTCAACGGTCTCCTCATCTCGTAAGACTGACCTGCATGCGAAGCAACCGAGCTTCGATCGACCACGGCTCTTGCGTTGTGCCATCGTGGTTGATTCGGGTCCTCGGCCACCAGCAGGAGGCCCGACTCGTGTCAACTTATACGACGCGTCGATTTTCGGTCCTTGATCCGAGCTCTAGACCGTTCAAGCAGAAAGTGGGTGGCAACAATGACTGTCAACCACAACGTCAAGCGAAAGAGGCTCTATGCTTTTAGATGCTCGCTTTGCGAATAATCAACAGAAACCGCCCAGAAGTCATGATGTCAAGGCGAAACACTGCCCATGTATCGCACGAGTGAGGCTGTTGCTAAGCCGACAGCAGCACACATAGATGGGCGAAGCGGTGCCTGCCAATTCTTGGCTCTTCTGCAGAGGCATTGGTATCAAGGTTTCCTCAACAACCAGTAAAGGTCACGGCGACTGATGTCCGCGTCCGAGTCCCCGGGTCTCGTCTAAGAACCCGCATTGAGTTAGTTCGACAGGATCTCAGCCAAGCAGACTTTGAGATAGACGAAGAAGATCCACTTTTCAGGCACGACATCCGGCCGAGAGGTGGTCTTCTGGAACTCGTCTCGTCCGTGTTAACTGGAATTCATATCGGAATGTTTTCAACTCGCCGTGAGCGTTGCGTCCAGATGAAGACCAGTACAGAGCCACTGCGAGATCTGGCGCGAAATCCTCGATAGTTGTACTAGGCCAGAACGTTGGATGTGACGGACGTGCCTGCCTCACTTACAGACGTCATGTCTTCGTCCAAGGTCTCACTGCGTCTCCCTAGACATGCTACTTCCCGCGTCACTGAAACCAAAGTCCTCTCTGGTTTTCTCCCATCCGAATTGCTCCATTTGGTCTTCATGCTTACTCGGTCGACTTGGCTGGTGCGAGACCTTGACACCCTCATGCGTCTCGAGGTTATCGAATGGCTGTCCTCCTCGATCGGAATATTCTTCCCGTCTTCCTTTCTTCCTTAGGAGCCACGGAGCAGGATCCCATCTTGGCGTTTCACCACAGCTCATGTTGAATCCGGAGAAACCTGATCCGTCCTCGCTCTTTCTCTACCAGGAGCAGTTCTGCCAGCGCTGATAGGCCCGTCCCACAGGAGCAGTCGTACTGGGACATGGATGTCTCGCGAGTGAATCAAGCTCCTACGCGAGGATCGATTCTGTCCGTGCTCATGTTGCAAACGCAACACCAAGCATCCTTTCGGCTCCCATCCGAATGCTTGTGTGAACCATCTGGCCCTCAAGCGACTTCCCGGCATCGAGTCTGACTTTATATGGCACACATATCGACTTCTTGACGTTGTCTCTGACCTACATTTTTGCAGTTTACTGAAACACGAGGATTTCGACTTTATTCAAGTTGCGGAAACCCCGATTCATGTTCCTGCAACCTCGAAACATGGCTGAGATGCCCACGGCCTTCGGATGACCCCATGCGTGCCAGCTCCCGCCCCAGCGCTGCGGCTCGAACAGATCTCCCAAAGCGTACATCATAGCCCAGATGGTGGCAGACGTCAACCCCGCCATACTATGGTAAGATCAGGATTCCTTGGCCTGTTCGCCATGCCCATAATCTCGTCAACTATTATTGAGGACTCATGCATATTCCAAGCACCAGACGCGCCGCCTTCCGGCCTGGCCTTGCCGTGGCTTGCAGATAGCTTTGCGTGCAGGCATGTCAACATCAGAAAATTCAAACGCGACAGAACTTCTGACGTAGAATGCTGACCATATCGCTTTGCGACTTGCCAGTGGTCTTGAAACACGACAGGTCTGCAGCAGCTCGGGCTCTGGGGCTTAGCGACTTGGCACTACCATTTGCGTGCAGTCAAGTCTCTAGGTCTTCCTAAGAGCCTTCACAGAAGAGCCGATGCCGATACCATTTAGAGCCAGATCGCCGTGAATCTGACACTGTTCAGTCTGGAACGTCGATGATCCGTGCAGGAGGGACGTATCACGAAGCCACCGCAGCTCGAATCCAGTTCTTGGTATAGTTTCAACGACGTGCAAGAGTGAGTCTTAACCGAGCCTGCAGAAGTATATGTAGCATCTTCGTGCTGCTCGAAGGCGTAATCATTCTTCATCAAGGAACCGCACACTCACTTCCTAGCCAATCTTTAATACAACAGAGCTGGTCTCTCTAACATTCACAATCATTCAGAATGGTCACCACAACAACCCACCTCCTATTCGCCCTCCTGGCCGCCAGCCGCACAGTATATGGCCATGGCGCAATCGTCAACGCCGTCGGCGACCAGGGTGGCTCCGGCATGGCTCTCGGCGTCGACCCGAACACTCCCCGCGACGGCACCGGTCGCAACCCATTCCAGCAGGACAGCACGCGCTTCCGTGGCGACGCCGCCGAGTCGTTCGGCGAGACCTTGGGTCAAGGCGACAACCAGCCCGAGGCTGGGACTCAGACCATCATGGACTTGACCGGCGACCAACTTCCTCAGGTCAGCAAGGTGGCCAGCTCCAGATGACTGTGCATCAGGTCAATGCTGATGGTGCCGGACCCTTCACTTGCATGATCAACAGTGATGGTACTGGTCAGCAGTGGACTCCTATTCAGGTCAGCCAGCAGGTTCCGGGTAACCAGCGTGGACGTAATCGGGATGGTGAGGAGACTGACTTTCCTCTCACTGCTGAGATTCCTGCTGGTCAGGAATGTACTGGGAATGTTGCCGGTCAGGACAATCTGTGCATGGTGAGATGCGAGAACCCTGCGAATGCGTAAGTCCTCCCATACTGTCCCTTGGCAAATTTGTTGACAGTATCTAGCGGTCCCTTCGGTGGCGTCGTTCCTGTTCAGATGGCCCAACCTGCTGCAGTCGCAGCTACAGCCAACACCAACAATGCGGCCAGCAACGCCACTGTGAATGCCAATGGTGGGAATTCTACTGTCGCTGCCAAGTACAAGCGTCAGATCCCAGCTGACGAGCCCGACTGTGACGACGACGAGGAAGCCGAGTTCGACACCGTGGCACCTATTGCCACGGTTCTACCGCGCTCTGCGTCTGTGGTCGCAGCTGAGGCGTGGTCCAACATGAAGCTCAAGCGCTCTGCTCGTGGTGGCTGGGTCTTGTAGAGATCTTTCCATCAATGCCATCTTGACGGCCCTGTAAGGGAAAGAAAAGGGCAGCAATATGAGCAAGAGACACAACATAGCTCAGGGAGAAGCATCGCGGCGCTCCTTTGCGATGGCGAAGACACACGGGCAAATGGTTTGTCTCGGTGAAGCGGCTCAAGGCCACAGTGAAACAGGTGACACAGCACATCAGGATGTGGTGAACAGAACGAAAGATAGCATAGACACAGAAATGTTGCTGGTAGAGACTTATAGCAATCCGGACTACTGCATATCATACTCTGCCATGGATGGACTCATTTGATTTTCTTCAATTTCTGAGGTGCTGAGCTACCTGCTTCTTGCTCATTCAACTAGTTCATGATAAGTGGGAAGAGTGATAGTGGCCTCTATCCTGATACGAGGAAGAGTTCTTTTGTGGAGTACCTGGACTGCCAGGCACATGTAATCGGTCTAATGAGCCTGGATCTTAGACATCGATAGCATCAACAACGACGCCCTTGACCCAGTCATACTGCATGAGACGAGCAGCCTCGTTGGCGCTGTCGTGGCTGACTAAAGCGCTGACCAGGTACAACGTCGCGTCAAGACCACTAGCCGGGCCACCCGTAGTAATCACGCGAAGGCCACCAAGCTTCATGTTTGCACGCTTGATGATGCTCTCACGTCTAGTGTTGCTCATTCTGCGCAACACGCTACCTTTGCGAGCACTGCTAGTGCGTCTAGCCTTCTTGAAGACATACGGGTTCTCCTCTTCATCCTCACCGATCTCGAAGCGGCCGTGGTTGACGACGTAGCGCTCTTCCATGACATCGGTGCGCTCTTGGGTGTCGTTGCTGGCGGCTTCTTGACACATGTGCTCCATCTTGATGTACCAGTCTGGGTGGGTGGTGGCAGCGAGACCTTGGAGGATCCCCTGCTTGGCGAAGAGGAGAGCAGCGGTGTCGACGCCCAAGAGCGAACGCTCACGTGTGGGGTCGTTCTTCTGGAGCTCGCAGTAGGCCTTGATGAGGTCGAGAGGTTCTTCTTCCTCCTTGATGATCTTCAGGATGTTGCCGCCTGGGACAATCAACACGTCAAACTCCTTGAGACGCTTGTGTGCCTCGTCGAAGGTGATCTGAGCACCTAGGGGGATGCCTGCGTTGGTCATGACTCGAGGCTCGGCGGCGCAGACGGTGATGTCGAAGGCCTGGCTTTCTGATGCGGGTCAGTTGTAGACACTATGGAATAGCAGTATGTACTCTACCTTTGTCGGCGGGGTTGTGAAGGGTTTTGGACATGACCTCGAGGGGTCCAGCAACATCCATCAGGTTCATCTGGTCGTGGAGTGACACCAGAACCTGGACGGGTTCGGCGTCACCTGCTTCCTGGACTGCACTCATCTTGCCGGTATTTGGTCGGGTGTTATGATGGAAAGGTGATTGACTTGGTTGTTGGTGGTGGAAGGAATGGTCTCGTGTGCTTGCGCAAGGGGAGTTCGATCCAGGTGCTGAGATTGTGGGGTCCCCCGCGTTTACTCCGAGCCTGAGCCTGAGTCCCCGCGACCTAGAGGGTCTTAGCGTGATGAGCTACGTCAGAGTCAGCGTACACGTGACACAGCCAAGAGTGTAGCTAGACCGGTTGACATCGGTCACCGCAGCCTCGGCTCAAGCCCGCATCTACCCGACATATTTTTGATCCCACTCCCCCATCGGAATTACCGGGGCCTCTGGGGTAAGTTGTCACCGCGTAGTGGTCGTGAAAAGGTATAGATATTGTTCCTCAAGCTTGGATAGCTCCATTCTCCTTCTTCTGAGTCTCTTTAAACGTTTCGAATCTTCGTGACGGTGGGCTTGAACTGTGTACCGTAATTGACTGGAGTTGCAGTCCTCCTCCCACCTTACTCATTCAGCACAACTCACAGCGTGCTCTCAAGATGGCGACCACGAAGCCACCCCCAGTCGGCCGCAAGCTCTGGGAGAACCCCAACCCAGAGTCTACCCAGCTGTACAAATTCACCCGCGCCCTCGAAGCCCGAACCTCCCGCCGCTTTCCCACATACTTCGACCTACATGATTTCTCGACCTCCCGCCGTGCTCAATTCTGGAAATTTTGCTTCGATCATTTCCCCATGGTCTACTCCGGCGCCGTACTCGAGCCTGTCGTCGATGAGTCCGTCCGCATGGACTCGATACCGCGGTGGTTCCAGGGCGTGCAGGTGAACTTCGCTGAAAATATTCTGTTTGTTGGTGACAAAGATGGTAAGCCAGTGAAGAGTCCTGGCAAGGAGGACGACAAGATCGCGTGTACGCAGGTACGAGAGGGGTCGTTCTTGGAGCCGATCAAGCAGGTTAGTTGGGGTGAGCTGCGGAAACGTGTGGGCAGACTGGCGCAGGCGATGCGGGCGAGGGGACTCAAGAAGGGCGATCGTGTGGCGCTTGTGGCGAGCACATGTCTGGACACGTTGTGTGTGTTTCTGGCGACCACAAGTTTGGGCGGTATATTCTCATCGAGTAGTACAGATATGGGAAGCAGAGGAGTGCTGGAGCGTTTATGGCAGATCAAGCCCAAGTGGGTCTTCGTGGATGACGTGTCGATTTATAATGGTAAGAGAACGGATCTGAGGGGCAAGATGAAGGAGATCGTGGAGGGGATGAAGGGAACCGAGGGCTTTGAGGGTATTGTCAGTCAGGCAAGGTTCGAGGGCAAACCGGCAGATGTGAGTGAGCTCGATAAGGTTACGAGCTGGGAGGAGTTCGTGAGCGCCGCGAAGAGCGACGAATTGATCTTTGAGAGAGTGGAATGGAGTGAGCCATTCTTGATCGTGTACTCGAGCGGCACGACCGGTCAACCGAAGTGTATCGTGCATGGTACAGGCGGCGTCATACTGAACGGGCACAAGGAAGCAAGGCTGCATCGTTCTGTGGACCACACAAGCACTCAGTTGCAGTATACGACGACAGGATGGATCATGTACCTCGGGTCCGTCCAGCAATTGCTGATGGGATGTCGAATGGTGATGTATGACGGCTCGCCCTTTCTCCCGGATCTGAAAACCTTCATCAAGCTCCTCGGTCAGGAGCGCGTCACGCATTTTGGAACGTCCCCAAGGTACATGCAGACTCTGCAAATGGCCAACGTCAGTCCACGCGAAGTGGCCGATCTCAGCCATCTCCACACTGTCACGACAACAGGCATGGTCCTGTCTGATGCGCTGTTCGAGTGGTTCTACGACACAGGATTCCCCAAGATCGTGCATCTGGACAACATCTCTGGCGGCACCGATCTGGCGGGTGCATTCGGTACAGGCAACCCGAACCTGCCTATCTACGCCGGCGGATGCCAGTGTATATCATTAGGCATGGCTGTAGAAGTGTTTGACCAGGAGATCGAGGGCGGCAAGGGCATCCGTGGAAAAGCGGTCGAGGACGGTGTGCCGGGCGAACTGGTCTGCACAAAGTCGTTCCCAACGATGCCCGTTAAGTTCTGGGGCGAAAACGGCCAGCAGCGATATTTTAGCAGCTACTTCGAGAAGTATGATGATTGCTGGACACATGGTGATTTCATCGTACGTATAACCCCAGTCCTGTATCGGGCGAGACATTTATATCCCGCTTCTGGTCCTTCCGGAAGCATGATCAGTCTGACAGGTGCGATAGATGATCCATCCTACGACGAAGCAGGTCTTTTTCCTGGGTCGCGCAGACGGCGTATTGAACCCCAGTGGTGTGAGATTTGGTTCGTCGGATATTGTAAGGCTCTCCCATGGTCGAACTTGTATCCGAAAACGAGCGTTGCTTGGAAGACTGCCGAGCACACGTCTCGGATTGACAATGAAGCTGCTCTCATTGACCTAACTACCCTACCTTCGAGCATACGCCCTTTTCTCGAGACAAGGCTAATCAAATTTGTAGTATAACGTCATTGAGGCCTCGTTTGCGGATACGGTCTCGGACAGTATCTGCGTGGGTCAGAGGCGACCGAATGACCCCGATGAGTCGGTCATGCTGTTCCTGTTGATGAAGAAGGGGCACAAGTTCACCCCACAGCTGGTGCGTCAGGTGAAGCAGGCGATCAGGAAGGAGCACAGCCCGAGGCATGTTCCAAAATACGTCTTCGAGACCCCCGAGATCCCGGTAAGTTCATCAATGCAGAGAGCTTCCTTGGACGCCTGCTAACGGGCGGACTTTAGACGACGGTAAATCTGAAGAAAGTTGAACTACCGGTGAAGCAGATTGTGTCAGGCAAGGTGATAAAACCGTCTGGGACGTTATTGAATCCACAGAGTCTCGACTACTACTACCAGTCGCGAAGGATGAGCACCTGACGGTCGAGCCTGAGGCCAAGCTATAAAAGACGAAGCAGGATTGTGGGCGCGACCTGAGAAAGTTTTAGACGTGTACAGATGCAATTGGCGGCCTCCGCAGCGATCTTCACGACGCATTGTGGCGATAGACAAGACCTCCGGCGCGAGGTCTCTCTCGAAACACAGCTGAGGTGCATGATGAGAAGGACGCGATCGCGGTGCAGCGGTGACTAGGAGACTCACCAGAAGCTGGTGTCGATGGCAGATCGATTGGCTGAGGTCATGGGCGGAAGGCTGCTGGGCCCTTCCGCCTCTGAAACTCGAGGAAGTGAGAAAGACGACGCCGGTGAGGTCAGGCTGTTGGTGACCGCAAGGCCACGAGGCCGCCGAGGCGGTCACGCTAACTCAGATATATACTAGCGCAGATATTCGACGCGTCAAGTTGAGCACTTTGACTGAGCAACCAGAGTAAATACCAGAAAGCATTACTCCTGCCAACTGACCTGGGTTCTACAATTGTCTAATCGCCCGCTTGCAAGCGTCGATTCCGTTAGGATCATTGTACATCGTCACCAGTACAACTGTGCAGTAGTCGACGACCGTCCACGCCGGCAATTACAGCACGCGTCTAAAATTTGCAACCCCACCAACGCGTCGCCTCCTTGCAGGGCTCTGGAACAAGTCCGCCGACCAGATCAGCAACCCAATCGCCGGCTCAGCCACGGTTACGCTCCCTTCGTCAACTTGCAGTAGCCCTTCACGCTAGTCGTTCAGTCATCTCGCGTTGTCTAACGTGTCTCTCATCGTGAGTGGCTCCTATCTTTTGCACTTCGACTGGGATAACGTGCTGGATATCCCCTCAGCTCCGCCCTCTTCTGAGCTCTGAGCGCTTCTGAGCTTTTCATATACTCTCCTTCAATCCTCAGCTGAACACTCATGCAGATATCCAACACCAACGTCATGGCTACGCTCTCTGCTGCTCGTCAGCCCTTTGGTGTGCTTAACGACTCCAAGCTACGGCACCTGCAGAGCGTAAAGAACACCCAGAACTGTAAGGAAGCCACGATACTACGAGTGTTCGTAGCTGACAGGTCTAGCCATTCCATCACCGTCTCTCAAACGCCGTGCCCCATCGCCAGACAACTCAGACTCCGAGAATGTTGACCCTCGATCATTCGACCTCAAACGGAAGAGAACTTCACTCGACAACGATGTCACATTTCCGAAGCCAGCCCGTTACAGCCTCTCCAATACGCCACTACGGGGCCCAAGAGTATTGCCTGCCACACCCAGACTTGACACCGTAGCGAAAAACACCACGCCTGTCTCTGCACCAGCTGCAGCTGGCCGCTCACCCACTCGCAAGCGTACTGGCTTCAAGCCCGGACGCTTCAATGCTCCCATCTCCACAAAAGCACCACTCCTCTCAATCACAGCTGCTCTCCAGGGCACTCTAGCCAACAAGAAGTCTCGCAAAGTCCGCACAGAGCCAAAGTCCAAGTCATCATGTTCTTCGACATCTACGAAGAACCAGAGCACGCCCAGAATGATCGAATCAACGACTGGACAATCTCCCAATCCGCTGACAACCTGCTCGACATCTCCGATGATGAAGGCAAGAACAACCAATCCAATGACCGAGGCAAGGAGAACATCGACCCCAACGGACCGTCTGTTCCCATGACTCGTTCCATGGCTGCCGCCAGAGCTGCCTCAGAGGAGCTGAAGAAGGATATCATGGCCGATGATCGTGCCCCTCTGGGCGAACTTGAGACTGTTAAGTACTATTCTGAGGGTCTCGACGCCACGTCTGTTGTCCTCGTCCAGGACGACGATGCTTCTGAGGAGAAATCGTCTGTCGAGGTCGAGGGTGTCGCCTCCAAGGCCGAGTTCACCTTCGATGCCGGCAAAGCACTGCCGACTGATTTTGATACGACTGATATCGCTGCCGTCATCAAGTCGTCGGCACCACTGTTCGATACCACTGTCACGGCGGTCGCTAAAGCAGACACCTCTAACGATATTCCCCGTCTCGAGCCCGGCGAAGATCTCGAGATCTGGGAAAGCGAGAGCGCGAAGGATGAGAACGAGCGAGCAGAAGCCAGCGAGAGCGTGTTCGCTCTTCAGGAGCTGTAGTATCAGTTCCACCTTCAATCTCTAGCCGCTCGTGTAGTGGTTATCTCGAGCAGTTCTGGCGTCAGGTTTCGGTTAGCTAGCTTCCATGGTCAGGTCCGGGCGTACTGTGGCGATAGATCTTTTGCCGGATGTCAGATATCATGTATTCAGTTCAGTATCTTCCCAATCGACCAGCTGAGCCTCAATCATCAATCCGCGCGTTCCACTTTCGTCGCATTACTGCCCACTGCGACCTCGGTTTCGAAAGCCACGAACCATTCTCCGGCTGTGGCGATCGGCCATTGACGATATTCTTGATTGACATGGCTCGTTTGATGCGTTGATCTGGCTGGTCATCTGTGTCGGAGCTCGAGTAGGGAGCCGAATGGGCATCATCGTTGCCCTTCCGCTCCCGTTTCCGTTTCTTCGCTGGGATTTGCTTGCCGTTCCTGGTCTTGCTCTGCGTCCCTGGAGTCGGACCTTCCCTCTCCAGTTGCGTTTTCGAAATCTTCGACCTTGGCTCTGATACCGGCGAGTCTGGCTCCAGCTTCGTCAATTGTGCCTCATGCCATCTCTGACAAGCAACGGGATCGTGTTCGTACTCCGCATCATTTCCAGACGCAGTGGGCGCGTCTGGATGAGGTCTCAGACAGCCCACTACGACTCCACGTCCTGCTGGGCATGGTGTTGTGTCAACAGGATAGTCGCTGTGCGTGTTCCACCATCGTCGATAGCGACCAATCGCAGGTACTTGCCAAGGTCTAAGTGGTCCAGAGTAGGGTGTCGTTCTCCAGGAGAGGTTGATAGAGGCGGTACGGCCTTGAGGGGAAGGTGATGGCGGATGATCTGCTGGCAGGGAGCGTGGACAGAAAGCTATGACTGGTTCCTGTTCATGCTCCTGGCTGATCATGACCCCCTTCCTCCATACGGTAGGGGTAAGAGCAGCTGACGAGGCGTCCTGACCAGGATTTGGGGAGAAGAGTGGCTGTCGAATCTGTGAACCCGGCGTTTGTGGCCTGGTTGGAGTATCATGAGCGTCCGAAAGTGCAACGGAGGCGAGTATATCTAGCGGTACCGACTGTGCTCTGGCAGGAGCGTTGATCTTGATGGGCGTGTCTAGGTCGATTGAACGTTGCGGAAGGAGCGCCCGTGGCATGGCTGCTGCTGGGAGTGGCAATGACCGCTCGTAGTGTTAGACTGGAACAAGAATGGATGCTGGAGTAAGTTGGAAGGATTGGTATAAAGCCCCAGCATCCGCTGTTTGGGACGAGGTGTGGACTGGGATTCGCAGAGATCTCCTCATCCCAAAGTCGGGATTCGACTCAGTATTGTGTTGTACGTACCCTATGTCATTAGCGATGAGTAGCAAGAGACCGGAGCATCGACAGCAGAATCGAGAAACTAAGTGGATGAATTGGATTACTCAGGGAGGTACCCAGTGGCAAGGTACTCAAGTTGCCAATACCGTAGGTGCTGAAGTGATCATTCGCTGCAAATGTTTACACTTTAGCGAACTCAGCTCAGCGCCTTGTCCAGATTCACATGTGCGTCCTGAGTGACTGAAGGACCCTACCAGTGTGCATTGTGCTCGCCTCTTGCCGCCATTCCCACTGCCGTCTTCGTGGCAGTATCGAGATCTTCCTCCGGCAGCCCCAGGAGCTCGTTGTCGAATTTCGTACCAAGAGCATCAGGATAAAAGTTCCTGGAGTAAAGACACGTGCAGAAGCCAAGCATACGCTGGCCCTGCTGCATCAGCTGCCTTCCCCGGTTGTATCTCTCTACCACGTCCTCGTGGTCAACCGTCCAGTCCTCAGGCTTGTCTCCTGTAGCTCGCAGCACAGACTCGAACATTTCGTGCTGGTCGATGCTGAAGCTTCTGATCTTGATCGCTCTGTTAGCCCAGTCGCTGATCACTGGCCCTGTGCCAGTCGTCGCGTCTCGATCAATGGGTAAAGACAGCAGCTGCGCCACGCCACGGCCTATTTGCGACCACGTCGAGGTGTTGATTTTCAAATGTCCATCGTTGTAGAATGTGACGTCCTTCTTCTTAAAATCGAAGCCGTATCTTGCCTCAGTGCCCGCCAGAGAGAACTCGTACCAGAAGCCACATGCACAGCCGATCCAGGATGTCTTGCCATTGCCATTCTTCTCCACATAGTCGCGTACAGCCTGGAACTTTTCCAAGAGGAAAGTATCTCGAGAGACCGCCTCGTTTGAGATGTCACCTCCCCATTCGTTAGGCATGATGAAGCGTACGCCAGCGGCTATAGCGGCGTCTATAAGGGTGTAAAGCACTGTTGGGTCGGCGTTGAGTGACAGGCAGCTGATGAGGACATCTTGACCCTGTAGGGCGTTTATAACGTCCGGTAGCGAGGAGTAGTCAACCTTCTTGACGTCGTGCAAGCCAGACGGCAGCGCGGACTTGCTATCGAGGCGTGTGATAGCTGTGAGCTTGTGCTTCTTGGCGGACAGTATGGCGGACGTTATGGCACCACCGCAGTGCCCACTGGAGCCGACAATGGCGATATTGGTGACGAAGTTGGTCATGTTTGCGTGGTACGAATGATATTTCGACTGTGAAAAGTGAAGAAGGTCTTGACTCACCTTCGAGCATCGTAACGATGGTCATATATAGTGTTCGCAGCCTCATACTTGTTGCGAGCAACTCCTAAAGCATTCGTTATTGGACAGAAACCATTACCCGGTGGACGTTAAGTCCGTCGCGTATGGCCGGCCTGTTAGCCATTCAGATGCGTGGCCGATCAGGGCAGGCCAACAACGGCAACTAGAAGACGCCACAACGTGGCCTTCATTGACGCAGTAGCGTTACTAGCACATGGTGGAACATGTCAATTGATGCTTCCGGTCATAAGCTAAGGCAAGATATCGTGGATGTAGAAGCAGGAGTTCGGAGCAAGGGCGGCCTCTCGGCGCCGGGCTGCAGGAAAGGCTAGACTCGAACAAGGTCTCCTAGCAAGATCTTCTTCTCGATAGGGTCTTCATCAGATATGCAGATCCGCAGAACGATCATGATTGAAAAGCTCTGTAGCAAGAGCTCGCACGAGGTCTGTTCTCAGCGTCTCATGAACTTATCTCCTTGGCAATGTCTTTACACTGCACTTCCGCGTCGCCAATTCTGAGATGCGCTTATGCTGGGCTGAGATCGACAAATGACTGGACGAATGACCATGGCTTTTCTTTCTTGCGGAGATGTTTGATAGTGCGTCCTGATTGTGGTCAGTGTTGTGAACCTTCCACTGCGTAATGGCACCTGCGCTGTCGTTGCGTCCATAGACAGAGTACAGATCCACGCCCACAAAGTCCGGACAGTCACCCTAAGGGACCGCGATCTTGTCGATGCTTTCTACATTTATCTTGGGTCAGTCGAAGAATATATTTTCATGCCGTTGACTCGAATTGTTGCTTGTCGACTCAATGCATCGTCCCCCGTGCTGGACATTGTGCTACAGGCAGGCACGTCAGAGCGGCATCAGAGTCGTACAGCAACGCGGCAGGCGCGGAGCGAAATGTATCGCACCTGCGCTACCTATGTAGACATGGCATCAACCAAAGCCGGCTAACGACATCGATGAACCAGACCGTATGACTGGACCTGACGACGAGCACTTAATCAGACCGGATGACGGGACTTCTGGACAGACTGAGGAGTGCATCATGGTATACAACGGCCTCTATCTTGAGTTTGGTAGCGCACGCAAATCAGCCACGGGCCATCATTTGGCTAGTGATGTCCTAGTAAGGTGAGCCTTGATCACCCGCAAGTCCTCCTCACCGAATCCGAGAGCCTGTCGAGCATAACCTTCTACACCACTGCCTCCATACACGGTCTCGATAGCTTCCAGCAGTTGTTGCATAGCATTAATTCTGCTTGAGTCAATGTTCTGTTCTCTATGGCACGGGTTGAGAGATCTAGAGCGTACGGTATTTCGGCGTATCGCCTCATGATCGGATTGTTCACGTCGATCTGCTGGCCTTTCATCAACTTTGCAGTCAAGAAGTCTCTCGCTGGCTCTATGCCGATGCGTGTGTACGCATAGTCGCGATCGATGGTACTGGTGTCCGCCCCAGCAAGGCTCAACAGAAGCGCTGCCAGGACGCCTGTGCGATCCTTGCCTGCTGCGCACAACGAGTCAGCGGTTGCCGGAAGTAAACCATGACTGAGGGCGGTTTCTTACCAGTGCAATGAAAGAGGAACGGATCATCGGGGTGATCTCGCACATGCTCGAGAACAGATCTGTATGCGTCACGGTGAGTTGACAATAGGTCCATGTACATGTTCAAGAACTGTGTGAAGCCATGTCAGCCTCCAAGAGTTCGCCCCTCCAGTAGCGGACTAGGACTTACAGTGAAGTTCTTGGGATCTTGTCGTTGCTGCTGGACCGCCGCAGTCGTCTCGTTGTCATCGGTAGAGGGCACCCAGAGGACTTTGACGCCTTTGATTTCGGGCTCCGGGTTGCTGCTTGTTTCCTTTAGGCTCCGGAGATCAAAGATCGTCTTGATGCCGAGATCGAGTAATGCTTGCTTGTCGTTGTCGGTGATGTTCTCGAGACTGCCAGATCGGTAAGCATAGCCCTTGCGAATTGGCAGGGGTAATTGTCGCGCATTAACTATTGATGGCGTGGAGATGAACGGCTGGCGAGACAAGGTGGCGTTAACTGTATTAGGTGCGAGTGGTTCGAAGAGGTGCGTTGAGAGGATGTTGTTGAGCTCTTGATCAGAGTCGGTCATGTTTCCCTATCTTTCTTGACAAGTAGACTCGATGACCCGTCCCAGTGTGATAGAAGACGTAGGGGTACTTATATATCGATCCTGGACCGCGATTGAGGTCCTATGGGTTCGTATGCACAAAAGTTCCCACGTGGAGACAAGCGAGTCACCCACGCAAAATACGTCGTATCAGACAAAGAGCCGAGTCTGAAAGCGAAGGATGGTGCCTGAGATTACTCGAAGCAGAAAAGTGCGCATGCATGGAACACTGAGAGAAAAGCTGTAGGACAGACAATTTGTGCCAATATGTATCTAGCACGATCTATATCGCCCCCACAGACATTAATTGTTCCGTCTCACCACGTCTTCTCCATCGCTTCCATCTCTGACATGTCTCGAAGCCCTGGCATGAAGATCTTTCCATTCTTGCAACCACCTTCGATAGCCTTAGCTCCGTAATCGAACATCTGCTTCTCGTAGTCTTCCAAGGCGTGAACCGTCAGACCATGTTTATCGAGAGCTTCTCCCAGAATTGCGGCATCGGTGAGCGCGGACGTTGCGCCGACGCCGGCCGTTGGTGGCATGGCATGAGCGGCATCCCCAATGAGCGTCACCAGTGGACTGTCTTCAGGTTCAGCTGCGTGTCTCCATCTCGTAAGCGGAAGAGGCATAACGCCGCTGAGTAAAGGCATCGTGTGCTTTTTATCTTGAAGCACTATCAGCTGGCGCATGGAGTTGTTCCAGTTTTCGGTAAGCTTGTGCGTCAATTCCGCCGTCTGCTCGGCAGACATGCCACGCCAATCGATGCCTTGTGCTTCATCTTGTTCACTCCGAAGGGCCAGCGCCCAGTATACGTAGTCTGAGGGAATGGCTGCAGCTGTGTCCGCGTCCATGGACCGAGCACTCTCGCGTTGTCCAAATCGCATGGACTCGCACATGAAGAACATCTTGGAAGGACTGTTGAACAAGCACGTGCCCTCGGTCAGCTTCTTATAGTCATCAGAGCCCATTGCAGTCTCCAGCTCTGGTGTGAGATGTGTTCTGCCAAATGCCATGCGCATCGAACTGTCGAGAAGCTTCGTATCGGGCAGAAGCTGAGCTCGCACTCTGGAGAACGCGCCATCGGCTCCAACCAGGAGAGCACCACGCACAGTGTCGCCGTCGGCAAAGCGCACAGTGATTCCACGTCCCCCGGAGCTGGTTGCAGAACTGACCGAGCGGTTTGAGTCACTTTCTGAGCCATCGCTTTGCCGATCTTCTTGGTAGCTAACCAACTGCTTTCCGAACGTCGTGTATTTCGCCAGCCCGTTGTAGAGCACCCGTCTCATCGTCGTCCTTTCCGCCACCAGCGGCTCTTCGTCCTTGGCCAAAGGTGTCGACGGTTTGGACATGCCCATGGGTAGCAAATTGCCAGTCAATGCATCGATACGTTTCACACCGGCAGTCTGCTGATCGGCGCATGATGCTCGCAGCAATGCAAAGTGCTCGGGCGAAAGATTGTCGCGACAGGATGTGACGCCTCGGCCAGTGACACGAAAGCGATATCCTTGCGTGCGGTGATTCAGAGATAGATCTTTCTCGAACAGGCGAAACGGGATCGAGAATCGCAGTAGCGAGTGTGCCAGCAGAAGCGCTGAGGGACCTGTCCCTATGATGAGTACGGGGAGCCTGGAATGGTCCATCTGGGTTCAGGCTGTTGTCTGCGGGTTTCAGATGGGGAGTTCAAGGGAAGTTTTGGATGCCCACCGAAGGCACAAGGTGGCGAGCGAGCGCCATCTTTATACTTGTTCTCATGAGCTCGTAGTCTGTAGAGTAGCAACCGCTCCTGAAATCAGATGTCGTCGTCACAATCTTTGAATTATGCCCTACCTCAAGATCAATGACAGGGTGGAGAACGTAGCTCGGGCGCGAGCATCAGCGAGTTCCCGAAGCCAGACACTCATCCCGACGCTGCTGGTCTTGCTCGGGACCTCGGGGGCCACCCATACAAACAAACCTGGAGAACCTTGTGTTTACACATTGTTTCGGTTGATTGGTCGAACGACGAGGTCGAGATCGATCCCGCCTCGATGTACTTGCGAAATGATAAAGGAGCAAGAAGGACGGTATGAGAATTGGAAAAGAACGAGGTTGAACGCGGGGCTTGGCGCGCGCCGGAGGATGTCATCACTGGTTGCACATTATCTCCAACTGACCTCTTCACTATTCGCTCCCAGTTCACCATGCAGACAGTGAAGTTGGGAGGGCGTCGAATGGTGTTTGAGGTTTTCTAGTCCCAAATTACGATTAAGTCGAGTCAATCTGACCAGCAACATGTCTGCGTCCCCACTCAGAATCGGCTTCGTGCCAGAGCACTATCTCCTACCACTACATCTGGCATACCGAGCCTCTCTGTTCCCATATCCTGTCGAACTTGTATCATGTCCCTCCGGCACTGGCCAGATGATCACGCTCATCCGTGAGGAAAAACTTGATTTGGCCATCGGCCTGACCGAGGGCTGGGTTGCTGGCTTGCTAACGCCACAAGGTCAGAAAGAGAAAGGCTACAGCATAGTAGGCTCATGGGTTGAGAACCCGCTCCGATGGAGTATAGTCACGGGCAAGGATCGAGAAGGACTGCATAGCGTCAAAGAGCTTCTCACAGCTGGCAAAGAGAAAGGCAAGGTCAAGGTGGGTGTTAGCCGCATGGGTAGCGGGTCCCACATTATGGCTATCGTCCTCGCACAACGAGAAGGCTGGAACGTGGAGGATCAGGTGAGCTTCGAGATTCTTGGACCATTCAAGGAGCTGCGGGACGGTGTCAACAAGTCTAGTGCGGATTTCTTCATGTGGGAGCATTTTACGACCAAAGGCTATTGGGAAGGTGAACAGAAGGAATTGAAATGGCTGGGTGAAATCTACACGCCGTGGCCATCGTGGTGCGTTGTAGCAAGCCAAAAGCGCTTCGAAGCGCCCGAGGGCGATCCGACGCTCAGATCTTTCTTTGAAGCAGTGGACAAAGGCAAGGAGATGTTTCTGCAGCAGCAAGATGAGTGCGTGAGGTTGCTGGGAACTCGAGAACTCGGTTGCTTCTACGGAGAGGAGGATGCTAGGGAATGGCTGAAGGGTGCCAAATTCTTCAACACGACTGAAGGTATAGATACTGATATGGTGGACGGGGTTGTCAAAGTATTACAAGGTGCGGGAGTCTTGAGTGCAGACGTGACGAAGAGCCTCAGTGACGGGACAATCGGCGTACGGCGAACACCCTGAGACACGCATTCGGTTGCGACTTGACAAGGACGACCCCATAGCCACTTAGAACATCATTTGCTGTCCTTCAGATCATCTGCATAGAGACGTATCTTGACTACCCTTAACTGTGATGTTGACGCGATTCCAGCCTGAGCCTCAGGAAGTGCCCATTGATCATGGAATGGAGCGATGGATCTGTCAGGTAGTGCCAATTGATCATGGAATGGAGCGAGTCAGATCCATCGCTCCTGGATCTACACGGCATCCATCGGAGTAGGCAACTTTCGGCTAGGTGCCTGGTCTCAGAGAAGTACACTGACGATGCAACAGCGGACTGATCGCGAACGTTTCAGCCTCCGTGAACGTGAATGTAGCAGCCGTTGGTAAGGAACTCGGACATCAGAGATTGTGATCTAGCCAGCTCCAGCTACGGCGCAAAGGGTACCCCTACTCTTGGAACACGTAGCAGAGGAGGGAGGTATAGAATGAGACTCTGCCTCCTACAATAAGTCGTGACCGTGGAATGAGTTTTGTTATGAAGAGAAGGAAACAGGTCGCTGAGGCTTGAAATGAATTTTAGCGACCTCTGCCAAGACTTGCCCGTCCGTCATTCCTCGTCCGGCCTAGGGAGACTTGGGCGGGCGAGATGGGGCCAGCTGCGCGCGCTTACACATACGAAGGTGCCGCTCTCCGCCGCGAACCCTTGATGAATAAGTGCGCTTCCATTGTTGCTCGTTCATCTTCCCATGTACACCTCTGATGATATAGCCCAGCATGTCGAATACAGTGACGCATACAGACTCGATCGAACAGGAGGAACACGATGTTGAGCAAAAGCACAAGCACCAGAAGAAGCCGAAGTCCCGGAGGCCTCCAAGTACGACCGTGACCGATCCGCTCCATGCGACTTGCTGACCGAAACAGACACTGCGTTCAGACAGCAGAGGCTGAAGGCATGGCAGCCTATCCTGACGCCGAAGACAGTGCTGCCCATCTTCTTCCTCGTCGGGGTCATCTTTGCGCCCATCGGCGGTCTCTTACTTTGGGCGAGCGAAACCGTCCAGTCCATCAAGATCGACTACACGGATTGTAATACCACAGCCACCACAGAATTTCAGCAGATACCGTCCGACAAGGTCGAAACCTCATTCTCATCTTCCAACTCACCGGCACGGCCGCAATGGAAGCGCGAAGTCGCCAACGTCAGGCCCCCATATAGCGTCCGCAACATTTCCAACACTCCCGTTTGCACTCTCCAGTTCAGTATCCCCAACGACATCGGCCCACCCGTCTACCTCTATTACGTTATGACCAACTTCTATCAGAATCATCGGCGGTATGTCAGGAGTCTGGACACATCTCAATTGAGGGGCGATGCTATAAGTAAGAGCTCGATCGACAGCAGTGCCTGCGATCCTCTGAGAAGCCGCGATGACAAGCCAATCTATCCCTGTGGTCTGATTGCAAATTCAATGTTCAACGACACCATCAACAGCCCTGTGTTCAACAATGAAGCCAACGAGGAAGACCCATCCGTGTTCGAAATGACCAACAGGTCTATTGCTTGGGACAGTGACGCTGAGCTCTACACCAAAACCGACTATGCAAATGGTGACGCGGTGCCACCTCCATACTGGCTCGAAAGGTATCCAAATTACGACGAGGGCTACCCTGATCTGTCCACCTACGAGGAGTTCCAGGTTTGGATGCGGACGGCGGGTCTGCCAACCTTCAGCAAGCTCGCACTGCGCAACGACAACGATGTCATGAGAGCTGGCATCTATACCATGCGTATCTACGACTGTAAGTCCATGTCCATCCAGCAAAGCGCTTTTCGTGCTCTAGTCCAGTCTGGAGAACTTCGAGAACTGCCAATCTTGAAATGCTGTCATTCCTCCAACAGATAGACTCCCGATATCTTTTGCTGCGTTGCTCCGAGCATTGCTGACGTGTAGCAGACTTCCCAGCACATCTCTACGACGGCACAAAATCCATCCTTATTTCGACCCGAACAGTAGTCGGTGGCAAGAATTCGTTCCTAGGCATCGCGTACGTCGTCATTGGCGGTCTGTGTATTGTCATTGGCTTAGTATTTACGGCCGCTCATTTGATCAAACCTCGGTTTGTTCCCCTCCCATGCGGCTCGGGCGCCCTGCTAATGTTGCCAGACGATTGGGTGACCATACGTATTTGTCGTGGAATAATAGCGACCTTCCGGCGACTGCCACGACAACAGGGCGTGAACCCCGACCCGGCGCTTCCTCAGGAGGTGCCTGAAGCACAGTGAATGTCACCCATGGAAATTGATTCATGAGTTTCTTCCTTGCCAGTTCGTTCCTGAAGGAGGCACACCGAGCGCTATAAAAACGCGGTTGAATGATGCAGGTTGAAGGCCATTTCAAATGAGCGTATGAATTGCGGGTGTTCGGCGTCCTTCGGACGAGTATGTCTCATCACTTTATGTAAGCAATGTCTGAGTTCCGGAATTTAGAGGACATCCGGATGGAATGGTCAGCGCATGCATTCCATACATTTGCGTCTGTGCTGATCAACAGGCACATTGGCGTCTGCTTTTACAGGTACGTTGACTTCGCTTCTTCCTTATGTGTCCAATACGATCATGCTCGTGATCTTGCTGCCTCTACTGGCATTGCTCGAGGTCGCCCTCGCCGCCAGCCGATTTCCTTACTATCAGTTGATCCCACGTCCTAAGTCAGGGCAAAGGGCGCAGCAGCGAGTATGTGGCACTGCTCACCCGGACGAGAACCTGAGCAAGGCGCTGCGCACACTCAATACCGTTGAGCCTGATGAGAACAACGAATTGTGGTCCCCCGAGACCTTCTACCGCCAAATCTTGAGCCAGCCCTTGGACAAGCGAGCCGGCGCCCTTATCACAGTGCCGTTGTACATGCACGTCGTGTCTGACGCCGTCAATGCCAATCCTGGAGCGCGCATGTACGTCTCGGACACGCAGCTCACTGCTCAGTACAACTACATCCAAGACGCCTTCGCCAATATCTCCGTGAGCTTTGACCTGCAGCCCACTACCCGCACGATTAACGACCGCTGGGCCACCGGCCGCGACGAGTACCAGATGAAACAAGCACTCCGCCAAGGGCCCTACAGCGCTTTGAACGTCTACATCCAATCCAACTTCACCGTCTACGACGACAACGGCATTGCCGTGCCCCAACAGGTCCTCGGTGTGTGCACCCTCCCACTCGGCAACATCACCACCACCTCCACGCCCGATGAGTATACATACGACGGCTGCCAAGTCCTCTCCGGCACGCTCCCCGGCGGCGCCTCCGCCCCCTACAATCTGGGCGGCACCGCCGCGCACGAGATCGGGCACTGGTTCGGGCTGCTACACACATTTGAGGACAACTCTTGTGCGGCGAATTCGTGGGGAGATTATGTTGCGGACACGCCTCAGCAGAAGAACGCGACGTCGGGGTGCCCGCCGCGTAACAATCAGCCTGATTCCTGTGATACGGGGGTGCCAGCGGGGTGGAATGGGAGTCCTGGGCAGGGACCTAATCCGTATAATCAGCAGGGGTATAGTGGCGTTGATAATACGAGGAACTTTATGGATTATAGTACGGATGTGTGCTATGAGTTGTTTACGGCGGGGCAGGGGGCAAGGGTTATTAATGGGTATGGGTTGTGGCGGAAGGGGAAGTAGAACAGTGAATGGAGCATGATATGGACTCTGTGGCGGAGATTCACGTAAGGTAGAGCGGAGTCACCGAATGCTGTGGTGGTGCGTGTGAGATCGAGGCGGTAAGAGCCGGATCATTTTATTCTCGGGATCGTGAGATACATTGGCTGCAGAAGATTATAGAAGAGTTGGTAGGTCGGATCTCAGACCGGATGACTGGATTGGAGTGGTAAAATATATATTTCAAGCCCTGGCAGTACTAGTCTTCCCAACCCTTCCTCCCCGTCATCACTTCCAGGGCATCAAGAGTCGTCTGGGGAATCTCGTCTCATGTTGATTTCGTGCGCTGCCTCACGTCGCTCTCAAGTACGCCTTGATGGAAATGAACGTTTACGCAATTCTTGCTCGACCAGTACATCTGCCAAGATGTCATGCACCGCCTCGCATTGCGCCCCTGCTAGCTGCAGGTTGAGCAAGACCCCTCATGCAGCATGCGGTGCAGCAACCTCGCAGTCAGCCTGATGAATTTCCGTTGGTATAAGCAATGGCGAGCATCGCGCAAGGTGCTCTAGCCTGGACACGCGTTATGTTCACCATTTGAGTCTAGCAACAAATGGCCGAAGTTGTTGCATCGGTGATCGGCATCACCACATTCGGCGTGAAGCTGGTCGACACTCTCTATGACTTCGGCTGCAATGTCGCATCTGCTCGAGAGCAGTCCTCACGCATCGGCGATCGTGTCAATGACTATGTCACCATCCTTGACATTCTGTCCGGCCTTCTAGAAGATGAGGCCAGTCTAGTATCCGCCAAGGCAGCGGCGATGGTGAAGAAGTTGTGTGTCCAGTCAAACAATCTGTTCCACGATATTGATGATCTGGTACCACGGACCAAATTTGATGGCACAGTCGCATGGCTAGATAGAATCAAGTGGAATTTCAGGAAACCCAAGACTGAATGGCTGCTTGGACAGATCGAGTATATCAAGACCAATGTTCTACTCCTCGTTATGACGACTATAGTAGGGAAGCGAATCCGAAAAAGGTAAGTATGCTTTCCATTTGCATTCGACACCGGCTGACATTCATTTCATCAGGAGAGCGAAGAAGAAGTCGCAGCAACCAAGGGACGACCCTGACCTACAGCGGCAAACCCGACGCGCACAAAATGTAATTGTACAGCACATCAACGCTGGTGAAAGGCTTGCGGCTCTGCAGAAAGATCTGGAGCAGGCTGACACAGCCGAGACAAAGGTAGAGAATGCTTCACAGGCTCTCGTGCAGTCATCTGGCCAGTTGGCGGTAGTCCTGATGTCTCGACAAGTCGATGCCATTGCTCGATTCCAGAACTCCATGGTTAGCTACTCTGACCCAGCTTCTCGTCAGGCATATGTCATGGACAAGTCTCCTGCACTTCTGAGAGATCTGCTGGGAGAATGGACACTGTTATCGGGAACGAGCACGCAGCAGATGCCACGACTGAGACTCTCGCGGACACGACACCGGCAGCTGGCGATATTGGGCCCAGATATAGGGCTCGGGAGGGTGGTCTTGAGCCCTCAGCTAGCACTACTCCCCGTACACCAGATTCGCGTGACGACAGTCCAGTGCAACGGACAGCCAGCTCACGGACTCAGTATCAGATAATCGATCCAGAAGTTGACGATGATCGACAGGCTGTTCGCGACCAAGCTGTCCATACGGAGGAGCCGGCGGAACAGCAGCAGGCAGAAAAGACAAAGGCGGCTTGGGCAAGAGCGCGGGCTTCGGCATCAGAGTGAAGAAGGAGGCGGATAAGAAAGATGCCTCAGAGGCAGCCATGGAGCGCACAAAACTGGGAGAAAGGTCTGAGAAGGAGCGGAGGGCCGAGGCCGACAGACGACGGAGGTTAAGACACGCTCCTGATGTCGACAATGCCGATCACGTCACCGGATCACCAAAACCCGGCCAGGAGTGGTACTACAACGGACATGAAGGTCTTCGCGGCCCGTCCGGCAAGAATGCTGACTACGACAGCGGAGATGAGAGTGACGACAGCCTCGCCCGTAAATGGGCCGCTAAATTTGATAAAACCAGGCAGTACATGGAAAAGGCTGCGCTAGGGGCTAGGTCTCGACCTAAGTTTGAGCGACACGAATCAGGTTCGTATTGGTCAAGTCACCACCGAAGTGGGAGTGACCCAGATAAGTACGCCTCCTCGGCCAAAGAACGAAAGCGACGTAGGCACGATGACTCTTGACGGCCTCCCATGCCTACCATGAACTCGAGCCCAGCCAATCTCAAGGCACGAGTCGAGGACAGATACCGGGAACAAGAGCGACGTAGCTACAATGACTCCTGACAGCCTTATTTGGGTGTTGTCTGTTTCAGCCAAAAGCCGCAAAATCTAGCGCGGCCTAGGAAAGCAGTCCATTGGAACAGTGTCACAACTTCGGCGTCGCTTTCCTCAGAGGAATAGTCACTGCATCACAAGCACACGCACCTCACTTGTAGAAGCGACAGGTTGCGACGGCAGTAGAGAGGGCCTGCTGACCCAGGCTGCCGGTTGAGCTGGACCTCACCACTGATTTTGCGTTAGCACGTAATGCACTAAACTTCTCTGGCTCAACATTGCCACCACGCTCCCAGACGCCAATTCAAGCACAATATGACCAAAAAATCGAAGGCGACTCCAAACGGCGACATCAAGCACAACACATTGCAAACCACCATCGAACCATCAATGCCTGGCCTCATGGGTGTTTAGGACCTTGGCTAGGTACGAGACTATGTGATCAGCGTCGATACAGTCAATCTGCGATTCTGAGTACAGCGATGGCCTTTCCCCCTTATTGGTGTTATGCTTTTCGTGCTATTTATTGCGATTACGATGCTGGAATAACTTCTGATAGTGCTCGTGGTGGCCATGGTAATGCCATCCATGATGGAGAAGCTGGCCTACACCCGCCAACTGCTGTGCGACTGGGCCTGGCGCACAATACTTCAGCCGCGGCTAGAATACACCTAGTACTCGTCGTCATCATAGTATTCCTCGTCTCCATCGTCATACTCGTCGGAGGCATCGCCGAAATCATCATCTTGATCCTCTTGGTAGTCGTCATACCCATCGTCCTGCACCTCGTATCCTTCTTCACCACTATCAAATTCTACGTCTCCCGCAGCTTCTGCTTGGTCATACCCAGCACCATCATCGTTGGATTGATCACTCAGCCCAAGCTCGATGATGAGGTCGATCTCCGGGTCATCTGCATGGCCGAAGGAACCCAGCGCCTGATCTTCCCAGTCTTCGACAATGGATTCATTGCTTGTCTCCACAGGCTCTTCCTCGACAACAGGTACGTGATTGTAAATTTGAGAACCATTGTCGCCTTCATCGTCATCGTCATCGTTGTAGTAATGAGTTCGAGGAAGATCTCCCATGCCGCCGTGTTGAGTCTGGTTCAGGCAGACGTCATGGAGCCAAGATGCCATAGTGTCTACTTCCGCGCTGGTAGACCGACTTGCCGGTCTGATCAACGTGGTTGAATGACGACTGAGTGGGTGAAACGGTTGTGAGTGACGACCAGTGTTGTGCGAGCGATGAGCTGAGACAAACATGGGGCCAGGCTCGGCGAGACTGCTGTGAGAGTGTCGTGGTGAGCCGATCTTTTGTGCCAGATAGCTACTCGGCAAGGCGCCATTGCTGACGCCACGTCTACGTTCGTCTGCCATTGCTGCTGTATCCTGACGGTTGAGCTGAGATGTGCATGTACTCGCATTGCTGCGGTAGCCGTCTTCTCCAATCACCGAGTTGTTTTTCTCGTAGTTGATCTCTCGGCCTTGTGGTGTTGTGTATTTGGCCCGGCCTCGCGTATCTTCGTAGTACGTTGAGCCATCAGGGTTGCGATAGTAATAGCTCTGATCTCTATCACGCACGTCAGCGGGAGAACAATCTAAGTTGTGCGAATTTCCTGAGCGTAGGTACTACTTACGCATTACTGTACCGATAGCTGGTGGCGCTGGGGTGGTCTGAAAATGACCGCTTGACCCATCGATTGCCCTGCACGTTGACGCCGCGATCTGGCACACTGTACTTCCCATGACGATCATTGTCGTAGAGGCGATTCATGCTAGGATTATGTCTCGCCGCCATGCTTCCGAGGACGTGGAGGCCAGACAGTGGAGCGAATAATGCTCGCCGAGAAAATAGCCAAATGGTTTGCGAACAATGTTGAGGGTTGTCAGTGCACTAGATATCAAGTCTCGAGAGAAGTGACAATGCGAAAGACTGGTGAGAAGTTGCCTTGCGGAAGCTGCCTTTTAGATTCCGCTTGGCCGCTTTCACGTGCAGAGACATCTGTGTATGCCCTTCAAACCTGGCAGTTTCCAGCTCCAACGCTCGTCGTTAAGTAGAATTGAGCCCTCAAAGCACTCTGCGAGAAATTCCGTCTGCTTGCTATGTGGTCGGTCCTCAAAGTGCTCATAACTCGCCCGTTGAGAACTTGTATGCAGTCAGCCGCATTGACCACTGTCCATCAGGAGGGAATGGGACGACTGCCTGGCACCAGTAGAGCAGCATCTCCGAGATGTCCTCTTAGGATCTGGTTTCAAACATGTCAACGGGAAGTGCGACAGATTCGTTTCCCCAAGCCTGGCGCAACATAGTGACGGAGCCCAGACCTGCAACGAGCATAAGCCGATTCTGCAATGGACCACTGACACAGGAGCTGCGAGTCTGTACGGTCTCTTAGCATCTCCTGGTTTTGTGGTCACGCCAAGGCCGTACGTGACATATCATTTCGTGGACAAGTCTGGAAGCTGGCCAAGCCGGTTGATGGTAACAGGGAAGGACCTGCAGACTTCCTTTCGTTGTTCATGACCATGAGCTCGCTAAGTTTAATTCGCTCAAGTGAGCTCAAATGCTGGGTGCAATGCGCAAACATCGTCTCATCTAAGCAAGCAGGCACGGCCTCCATAACGGTGGTAATTGGGAGTATCAGACCTTTTCCGGACGATTCATAGCCCTCAAAGAGCAAGATCAGAAATATCAGCCGCTAGCTGTGCTCGGCCTGTCAGGACGAATGCCAGCTCCAAGCTGGTACTCCTTGCCAGGACAGATGGCCGCAGACAGGAGAGACGATTGCGTGACAAGAGCTGGCACGGGAACCTTTGGCAAGCAGACGACAACTTGTCCAAGCTGAAATTTAAGCTTAGTAAGAGACACTCACTGGACGGCTCCACAGACCCAGACGGGCAAGATCAGTATCATGAAATATGATTAATAGTATGAAGCTGTTGGGAAGAATATGACTTGGAAGGTTGACGAAACAGTATGGTCAGGATATATATGAGGCAACCTTGGAGGACTATGATTTGAGTTAGCCAAGCTGGGGAGTCCTCCCTGGAGGGCTGCATGGGAGTTGCCGCCTGAAGCCAGCCGAACTTTGTCGCGACTCCCCAATAATTATTAATGTTCTCCTGGGCAGTTAGGTACTCGTGGCCTTCTGAAAAAATACCAAAAAACAGGTGCTTGAAAGCAGCGACGACCTACAAATGCCCCGCTCTTTCATCATCTCTGACGACGACTATTAAATAGAGATGGCATGGACCTCTCAAACACCGATCCGCGACTGCAATTTGGCTACGACACCAGGTTTCCATTCCCTCCGCAGCCTGAACCCTCTGACGGCGCGCGGTACGATGGCGAGGGCGATGGCGGTCTCCAGTATGGCATCCCGATGCACACACGCGGGCAGGAGCAGGAATGGGCGGGAAACAGCAGCATGGTGCCGCAGATGGGCGAAAATATAAATCCCTTAGCAATGCGCACAGCGCTAGCCCACAGACTCGACTGCACAATGCGCGCGGTCTACAAGAATCGCCTGTGAATATTCCGCGACAGACTGCAAGCCCGAAGGCTCGAATGAGGCCCGCCCAGCGCAATAACGCGATGGCCAACGATCAGATCTATCTGCCCCTCACCCAGACAGGCTCCGGTAACCCGTCTTATTTCGGAGCAGGGTCCTCCTCACAGGTACCAAATACTCCCGCTATTGACCCGTCGCTGGAGGCGGCAACTCTGCTGGAGCCGGAGCCGGAGCCGGAGCCAGAGCCAGAGCAAGAGCAAGACAGCTTTCCAATGGTGACCAACCCTCCGAACTTGGACGCCTGGCGAGACCGCTTGTTCAACATCGAACAACCTATACACCTGACCGAGGAACAATTTCTCACGTACTTTCCTCATGTTGATAATGTTTACTCGCACCGTTCGACTCAGAAGTACAAACGGAAACCCTTCAAATCACACTATTGGGATTGTAGGCTGAAGGGCAGGCCATCAGGGACGAAGAAATCAGACGATCCCAACAAGAAGAAACGGAAACGCGAGAAGCGGGAAAGAGATTTGTGCGATGTCAAGATCAAGATCACTGAATGGCATAGCGCGGATTATTGCCGGGAGCATGGCCTGGACATGGAGGTCCCTCCATTGAATGGCATAGCAGGCGACGAATTGCAGCATGTCATGGGCGACGGGAGCGGAAACGGAGACGCAGGCGTCAATGGAACATTGGTCAACGGGAGTTCCTATGGGCTTCTCGAGCCCGCGAAGCGATTCCCCAGAGGCCACCCGGGCGCCAGTGGGAAGAAATGGTATACGATTCAACGCGTCAATGGTACCGCAAATTCGAATGCAGCTGGAGGAACTGGAAACGGTGGTGCCGACAATATGCTCAATGGAGATCTCGACGGGGCGGGCTCTGAGGGTAAGGACCTAGATCACAAGCATACTCTTGAGGAGAGCGACCGAATCAAGAAGAACAGTGTGCAACGCTTCATATTGAAGGAGGAAAAGGAAAGGCGCACATCGACGAAGAAGGTACGTCAATCATCTCTGGCTCTTTCAATCCTTGCCTGAGGCTCTGCTATTGCTGGCTTTCGCCTCTTACGTAGCTGGCTTGCGGCTCTGTCATTCCTTGCCTGAGGCTCTAGCATCGATCCCTTGCGGCTCTACCATTCCTTGCCTGAGACTCTAGCATCGATGACCTGAGCCTGAGTCATTCCTTGCCTCAGCCTCTGTCATCTGTGGTTTGCGGCTCTGCCATTGCTGGCTTGTAACTCTGTTCGGAATAATCTATACTGATGTTGTGTACAGAAGCCCAACGAAGGTTTACAAACATCACCCACCGCGTCCAGCATTTTCAACTTCTACCGAGCGACTGGCCTCGCCTGCAATACCGTTTCATCCCACTTAAACCCCGCGCCCAGTCAAATTACGTTCTTTGGCAACGCGTATTGCCCTTTCGCGCAGAGGATCTGGATCACCCTCGAGCTCAAGAGGCTGGCGTACCAATATGTGGAGTGCTTGCCTCAAGATTTGGCGCTGTCAATAGGCGGGCATGTTAAGCATCCTGGCATGCCACAGGAACTGTTGGAAGTGAACCCAGAAGGATACATACCATGCATCAGACATGGGAACTGGGCTGTGTGGGAAAGCAGCGTCATGATGGAGTATCTGGAAGAATTGGAGCCAGGTGACGTTCATGGAACTTCTAGCAGTGTGGGAATTGTCGCTCTGCTGCCACCGAAAGAGAGCAATAGCCTCAGATTGCGGGCACACTGTCGGCTATGGGTGGACCATGTGGAGAGGAAAGTTCTGCCAGCGTTCTACGCAGTCCTACTGATGCCGCCACCACCTCCGAGCACAGTCGGTACTACAGATCCGACAGAGATGGAAGCGCGACAGAAGCAAGAGGAAAATCGTGACGTCCTGATGCAAACGCTTCAGGCAGCAATTGCGAAGCTTGTGAATGCGAGTCATGCGACTGGACCGTTCTTCCTTGGCGAGGGCATCAGCTACGTCGATGTGGCCTTCGCGCCATGGATCATAAGACTGTCGCGGGTTCTGCAGCGCTATCGCGGCTGGAAGAACCCAGACATGGGCATACGATGGCAAAGCTGGGCAAATGCGGTCGAGAGCGACGAGCGGGTCAGGAGAACTGTCTGTCAAGATGAGGGATATCACAGCGTCTATCAGGGAGTCGGTGAGGACGGCTGGAACAATACGAGCTGGCTTAGAGATAGGAAGAAGAGTATGCTTGAGATGAATTACGCCAGACAGGTTATCAGGCGCGAGGGATTCGGATTGGGAGGTGATCTTTACGGACGTTTGGGTGCCGATGGTCCTCCATGAAGCTGGCAGGCGGTTCGAGCATGAACTGGGCGTTTTCGGTCGAAAAGCTGCCAGGTCAGGGAGGCCGCTAAGGGCATGCCAACTATCTCGGTGATCAATTTGACGCTTTCGAGATGATTTTCACATGAGCGTCAGTCAGTAGGGAGGGCCTTCTGTGGAGTTCCTGCCTGGGGAGGGCGCTGTGAGCATTCGACACATTTGTGCTGCAACGCCTTGGCCGAACAGCTTCGCCGGATCCGCCTGTCCCTTTGTAGGCAGTGACGAAACAGTCCGTTCAGAGACCCTCTGGTGCACGAGCTTACGGCCGGTCCGCGATTGATCACTGCGACAGATCTTGATATCATTGCGGAAGCAGGCAGGCGTCATGATGGTCCTTTTCAGTCGTAGAAGGCACGTATTATGTACCATGGAACTCCAATTCAATGTTGTTACTCCAATTACTGCTGGATAAACGTCGGGCAAACCCCAAGCTGAACCCTGCGTCATGCTTCACTTCCAACCTTGGAATAATTCATTCACTGCGAAGAGGCATCGTCGCGTCCATTCCCGTCGTGCCCATCGTCGCCGAGACTCGTGCATCAACGACAACTGCAACACACATCGCCTCGTAGCAGGCGTCCTACATCCGTCCGCCTACGCGCGACTCGCATGTTCCACACATTTGTGCTGCAACCCCATCCCTGAGTATGAGGTAGGAGAGAAGTGAGGTGTGGACATCAGCAAAACCAAAAATTCACAGCCGACATGAATCAACATCCGTCCGATGGATGGCGCGGCCCATCTGGTCCGCCAGCATCGGACGCGCCAGGTCAAGGCAGACCGTTTGGTGCATTTGGAGCGTATGTGTATGGAAGCCTTCAGCAAAGGTACCAAACTGACGGTGGAAACAGACCATCAGGACCGCCACAAGGACCCTCACATGTACTACCACCGCCACCGGCATCCTATCATCAGCATCACTCGCAGCCCTCGGGTGGCCAGAGCCTCTCCATAGCCGACCTGACCCAGGCACCAAAGCACCAGTACGACAGTCGCCCATCTCAACCACCAGGGCAGCACATGCCACCTCTCAGCCACGGCTTGACGCAACACTCCCCGCCATATCGCAATCGCGAGCAAGAGCGCGATCGGAGAGAACGCGAGTACCACGAACAAGAGATGCGCGAGCGCGATCGTGAGCTGCTGCAGCAACGACACCGCGATGAAATGCTCGCACAAGAGAGGCAAGAACTCATGCGACGAGAGCAAGAGCAGCCACGGCCAGTTCAGAGCCATGCTGGATCCCTTCCCTTGCATCAGCCTGTCGCCAATAAAGTCCAGAACACCATCCATGGCCCAAATGGCATCCTCTCGAACAATAATGCTGGAGGGCCGGCTTCGAATGGGCCCATGTCTGGAGGACCTGGTGGTATATTTGGACCAGTATCTACTGCCGATCAACGAGCCCCATTTCTGCAGCCACAGCCTCAGGGACTGGGCGGGCAACCTCAACCACCACCTGCTTTCTTGGGTGGTCCTTCGCCGATATCAGCAGCGGCGCAACTGCCACACGGACAGCAACCCATATTGAATGATGCGTTGAGCTATCTGGACCAGGTCAAGGTCAAGTTCAGTGAGCAACCTGATGTGTACAATAAGTTTCTCGACATTATGAAGGATTTCAAGAGCCAAGCGTAAGTTGTGTGTACTCCCAAAGAACCACTGCTGATATGCTGTAGGATTGATACACCTGGCGTCATTGACCGGGTCTCCAACCTCTTCGCAGGCCATCCGTCACTGATACAAGGCTTCAACACCTTCTTGCCGCCAGGCTACCGCATCGAATGCGGTACTGCCGACAACCCGGACGCTATCAGAGTCACTACGCCTAGTGGGACCATGTCTCTGCAAGGCCGCGGCTGGATCCGTCAAACCTAGTCAGTCAAGCACAGTCAGGCTTCGCTCGACACGACACCTTCGAAGAACGTCGGCAGACTTGGAGCCAAGCGCCCGAGGACTCATTGCTGCATCAACAAGACCAACGCGGCTTGGCTCTACCAGGCGGCAGCAACGCCTCGAACGGCGCTGTCAGACCCGTTTCGCCGGCCCGAGATCCTGCACAACTCGGTGCTGATGCGAAGAGAGGCGGTCCTGTCGAATTCAACCACGCCATAAGTTATGTGAACAAAATTAAGGTACGTCAAACCCGTGCTGCTGGAATTCGTTTGCCTCGTTGCTGGTCACGTGACAAATGCCTTCCTTTCGACCACTTGTCAATAGTCGTTGGCCAGAGTATTTATTGTTCTTATTCAATTGTTCGATTGTCTACCAATTCTGCCAAGACGTCGAGCCATATAGATTTGTCTGCTGCCGAACAATTCGAAGCACTCTTCTAATGCATCCTCGCAGAACCGATTTGCGACACAGCCCGAAATTTACAAACAGTTCCTTGAGATCCTGCAGACTTATCAGAGAGAAGCAAAGCCGATCCAAGACGTCTACGCACAAGTCACTACTCTGTTCGGGTCCGCGCCTGACCTTCTTGAGGACTTCAAGCAATTTCTGCCAGACACTTCTGCGCAAGCTAAAGTGCAAGCGAATTCGAGAGTAGCCATGGCGGACGAACTCAACAACGTGCGAGGTGAGCCGGGTTATATACCTCAGGCTCAGACTCCGCGACCAACAGCGAAAATGCCACCTATGGGCCAATTCGATCCTCCTAGCACAAGCAAGGACAACAAAAAGCGACGTGGTGGCCCTTCCGGTCAGAACGGTCCATCTGCGATTGATGCTGCTGCTGGCTCGAATCGCATCGTCCAGGTCGGCAATGCCAACAAGGTACAATCCGCTCTTCCTCATCATCATGAAATTGTGCTAACAGAGTATAGCGCCAGAAGCTCTCAAATCAGCGTCAGCAACAGACTGAAGCGATCGTCACTTCGCCGTCATTGACTCCAGCACTTCCTGAACCTATGGCACCCTTTCCGAACATTACCAGCTCACTTGAGGAGCTCGGCTTCTTCGATCGTGCAAGGAAGCACATCAACAATCGATCCAGCTATTCTGAATTTCTCAAGCTTGTCAGCCTGTACACAATGGACATCATCGATAAGTACTCCCTAATCGACAGAGCGCATGGCTTCTTGGGTACCAATCTTGAGCTCATGTCCTACCTTCGGGACTTCTTGAACATCGAAGATCAAGAAGACTCCATCGAACTCAAGACTCGCATCGATGCGGGACGAGTGAATCTGTCGCACTGTCGCGCATATGGCCCAAGCTATCGTCATTTGCCCAAGCGGGATCAAAGCAAGCCGTGCAAGGGCCGCGATGGAATGTGCTACGAAGTACTCAACGACGTCTGGGCTTCACATCCTACATGGGCCTCCGAAGATTCTGGCTTCGTCGCTCATCGAAAGAATCAGCATGAGGAAGCTCTTCATAGAATCGAGGAGGAGCGACACGACTACGACTTTCATATCGAATCCGGCCAACGCACCATCCAGCTTTTGGAACCACTTGTGCAGCAGGTCTGTGCCATGACTGAGGCTGACAGAAGCAATTTCAAGCTCCTCACTGGCTTTGGCGGCGCAAGCGAGTCCATTCCCAAGCGCGTCATCAATAAAATCTATGGTCGTGAGGCTGGAGGTCGAATTCTCCACGAACTGTACACCAAGCCGCTTGCAGTCATGCCGATAGTGCTCAATAGGCTCAAGCAGAAGGTTGAGGAGTGGAAGGCCACCCAGCGCGAGTGGGAGAAGGTATGGCGAGATCAGATCAACAAGCAGTTCTGGAAGAGTCTTGACCATCAGGGTATCAACATCCGAAGCATTGATAAGAAGGCATTTCAATCAAAGCAACTCGTCGCCGATATCCAGCACAAGTACGAGGAAGCGAAGAAGAAGCGCGAGAACGGCGAAGCCACCAAACGACATCACTTGGAGTACAAATTCGAGGATGTCGATATCATTGTCGATGCCACTCGTTTGATGCTTGTCACACTGGCCCACGATCGAAATGATAGGAACGGCTTCAGTCAGAGCGATCAAGAGAGGGTCCGCGCTTGGCTCCTGGACTTCGTACCACGCTTCTTTGGTCTCAATCACGAAGACTTCATCGAGTCAGTCCGCTTCGAGGTCGATGGCCCAGCTGACCAAGACGGCAATGAAAGCGACGAAGCTGGTCCCCGCAGAGGGCGAAAGGGCGGCCTGCTTCGAAATATGTTTGCCAAGCGTAATGGGAATACTGACAGCGCAATGAACAGCAAGGAATCGACGCCAATGCCCACGACAGAGCACGAGATGGATGTTGATGAGGAACTAGCAGCCTCTGATACAGAGGAGAAGCCCTTACCAATCTGGATCAATCTGGCTTACGCACCTGACGCAACCCAGGATAAATCGGCACTCAAAGAGGTCTACCCCGAGGAAGTCTATGATCACTCCACCTTCAACCTATATGCGAACCAAAACATCTACTGCTTCTTCCGCATGTTCGAGATGCTTTACACAAGACTGCTCGGCATCAAGAACAATGAGAGCCAAGTTCGCGAAGCCATCAAACGTCACCACGCTGTGGAGGAGAGGAAAAAGATCGCCATCGATCTTAGGATGGTCGACAAAGGTCCCGAGTACTTCTTTTCGTCTTTGAAAGCCACCAACGCCCATCACTTCTACCATGAGATCCTTCAGCAGATCGAGGAAGTCATTCAAGGCAACACAGAGTTGACACACCTCGAGGATACTCTTCGACGGTACTACAACAAGACTGGCTGGCAGCTGTACACCGTCGACAAACTTCTCACCAACCTCCTGCGCTACGTCGCCAACATCCTGCTTGGTGATGTGAAAGATAAGAGTGTCGAGATCACCAACCTTTTCTTCAAAGACCGTGAGCGACAAGAATCCACCCGACGTCAGGAGCTCGAATACCGCCGACAAGTCCAGAACATGACCAAGGACAAGGAAGGCGAAATCTTCTGCATCGGTTACGTATGTAGATTTTGACTTGACTGATGGCCCATTTGCTTACATGCTTCAGACTCCCGAGGAAAAGCAATGCACGATCCGTTACTTCCCCAAGGACGACCCGACCTTCGACTCCGACGCCCTGACCGACGACCAGCTCTGGCAGTACTACGTCGCCTCCTACGCCATGCGCGAACCCACCGAAGGCCTTGATCTGAGCATTCTGCGCCAGATGTACTTGCAAAGAAACGTGCCGCTCCAACCAGTGAACCTTGACCAAGCAATGCGTGAGGCAATCCTGAACTGTAAATATGTGGACGACCAGACCGCATTCATTAGCCCGGACACCTACAAATTGCTCCTGAGCCACGACTACATCCTCGATCGCGAACCGATGACGCAAGCGAATACCTACACGGAGGGCCAGCGTCTGGCGAACAAGGCGTTTGAGAAGACGTTCAAGGAGGGTCCTCTTTTGATGGAATCAGACGGTACACTGGAGTCGGGAGCAGAACCAAACCTGTGGGATGCACATGTCGCTGACGGGTTCGAACCGCAGCCTGATACTTCAGACGAGGAGATGTTATAAGTGTTGAATGTTGCTTAGCGAGGGTCTAGGTCTTGATTAATGCTGGACGATGATTGCGGGAGATCAATTGATGGGGAGACGGTCAAGAGCTTCAGCCTGCGCTCCCAGTTGCCGGTGCAAAGCACGGGTTTAACAGTTGAGATTCGAGACGGGGTACGACTCATTCAGGTAGCTCTTGCTCTGAACATCACGGCCTACTAGCTACAGGACAATACTAGGTGTTTCTTACCTGATAAATATCCGCGCGCTTCCCTCAAGTGCACCTGATGGATTTCACGCTGCACAGAAGTGATATCACGAGGACGACAGTCCGAGTGTGAACTTGTGAAGAATGATATGTCCATGCCGCACAAGAGTCGTTCGCGAATATCGGCAAAATCGGAAATGCCCTGCCGAAGCTGTGGATGAGAAGCGGATATGATCCGGAAGGAGAAATGCCTTCTCCATTGCTGGAGTCAAGGATCTGCGAAATAGTTCAGAGACAAGTGCTGCTACGCGGCAGTGGCGGAGCAGGAGGGTGGGTGACTGCCAAATTGTCAAGGTAATCTTTTAGCAGGAGAGACAAGTTGCTCATAGAATCGCATGCTGGGCGGCCTTTATTGCGTTGTAGACAACGATTCGGCTTCACTGAGATGAGAACTGTACAATTGCACGATGACATTGTTTAATTTTGATTCATGCCATTTCGTTGATGATTCTCGAAGCCCGCCCGGACGGCCAAACCTGAAACATGGCCTGGCAAAAGTTAAGATACGGTACGTTCGTTGAGCTCCGAATCTTAAGGTCGATCGTGGCTGTGTGGCGTAGACGTGGCTTCTGACATATGTCGGCACATGTCATCAAGGTATCAGCAGATATCGTCGATGTCTACGATCTGTGTGCTGTTACTCAACACCGAATATCTGCGCCTTATTCAATAGCCGCACAGAGACCGCCCAAGCGCGGTCGCAATCGCCTCATCTGCACGGTTACTGAGGGGGAGATCCCAACGAACGCAAGAAGCACGCTGCGTGGCGACTCGTCGGGTCATGCGGAGTTCGATTTGGTCCATATGGGTACAGTGATCTTGAGCCAGATGAGGCTATGTGGACAATACCCTATACCGGCAAGCTCGGGGAGCAGCACATTTTGCCAGAACGATCTCAATTTCCATGACTCCAAAGAGCCGCAGTGGGAGTAAGCGGTTACTGTTGATGGTTGATATCGTTGTTGCAATCTCACTGGCAGAAGAGAACCGACGTGGGACGTGAGCTCAGGAGATTGCCTTGTGCCAAGGTGTCCATGGGTGGGTCCGCTACGACACAAACAGATCTAGTACCGAGGCTTGTCCTAACGCCCATGGCCCCCTTTTCCCACCTTTTGCAGTCCTTTTCCCACCAGAACACGTTGATCTCGAGCACATCCACTGTCAGAAATGATCCGGAGCCTATCGGCGCCGCAGGTCGATCGTCTGTCGTGCTTCATACGATGTGTGCGTTCGCCGAGGTCAGCCAATCTGCTTTCGATGATGCGTTCACAACAATCTCCTCCTATCACGTCAGATGTCCAACGAGTGCCAACCACATCAGCAAGCCTTGGGCTTTCTCTGCTCTGTGACTTTCAGTCGAACAGCCACACCTGCTGGCTGGTTGATTTGCGAATGTTTGCATTTGTGGGAGATCTTATGGCAGGCAGGGTAAGTTGCAGTACGGAGTATGGTTGACCTCAATCTCGCCAGCTATACCCTGCTATACAAGGTCGCAACCAGTGAGATTACCCGTAGGAGAACCGCGTGTGGGCTAAGCACTTAACGAGATGGCCGCCAAACCCGCAACAGCTAAAATCGACTTCGCTTCTTGGGATTCGAGGTCCCAATTTTCTTTAGCGCTCTCCTGTCCCGGTCCACTCCCGCTGTGGCAACCATGCTGGGCTTTGCATATGAAACTTATATGCGTCCGCTCTCTTTACGCTTCCCTTCCCTTTCTTCAAGGCTCCTACACTTGGTCAATACTCACCCTAGTTGCCCTCGTCCACTCCTTCCAACTACCGCGCCACTCTTTTCGCGGGCATTCGTTCTTCAACGACAACACGACGATACACTATAACCCCTCTACAATCTAATAAATCCGATCAAAAGGAACATACATCAAAATGAAGGCCGTTACATTCGCAGCTGCTTCCGCAGCTCTCGTGAGCGCCGTTGCGGCTGAGGGCTGGGAGAACACCCCGGTGGATCCCGCCTGGACATCCACCACAACAACCACCACCGCTGCCTCTTCGACCAGCTGGGCGGATTATTGGGGTGACGAGACCACCACCACCTCGACCACTAAGCCGGTTAAGGACGAGACCACTACCACCACCACTACCTCGGTCGAGCACACTTGGGCTGATTACACCTCATCGACCACTGAGCCAGTCAAGGAGACCACCACCTCAACCACCTCAGCTGCGTACACCTGGGCCGATTACACTTCCTCGACCACCGTGCCAGTCAAGGAGACCACCACCTCAAGCACCTCCGCTGCGTACACCTGGGCCGACTACACTTCCTCGACCACCGTGCCAGTGAAGGAGACCACCACCTCAAGCACCTCGGCTGCGTACACCTGGGTCGATTACACCTCTTCCACCACCGCCCCCGTGGTTGCCAGCTCCACTTACGTCTGGTCTGATGTCCCCGTTGATGAGTCCACTACCACTGTGACTGGCACCAAGACCGAGACCGTGTGGGAAGACGTCCCCAGCAGCACTCCCGTTGCTGGCGATGAGTGTGTCATCTCTGTCAAGACCGTATATGGCAAGCCAACCTGGACCCCAGACTCTGGTGCCGAGACCACTCCCACCACCTGGATTGAGGTGAGATGCCCCACGAGATGTGCAGCGTTGTGAAATGCTGATCATTGTTCAGGTCCCTGCTCCTTCTTCCCCAGTCGTCGAGACTTCGACTACTGCTACCAGCTGGAGCGACGTTCCCGTTGTAGTCACCTCCACGACGTCTGCTAGCTGGGCTGATGTCGCATGCACACCCTCCACTGTCACGGTCACTGAGGTACGTTTTTTCACTCCGATCATGCGAGACCTATTTGCTAACCTGTCCAATCAGGATGTGACCATCACCGTCAGCAGCGGATGGGCGGACTACACCACCTCCTCGTCCACCAAGCCAGTTGTCGTCGAGACCACCTCCACCACCTCTGCTGAATACACCTGGGCCGACTACACCTCCTCCTCGACCAAGCCAGTCAAGGACGAGACCACCACCACCACCACCTCGACCTCTGCTGAGTACACATGGGCGGACTACACCACCACAACCACCACTAGCTCCACCACCAAGCCAGTTAAGGAGACGACCACCTCAAGCACAACCTCGGCCGAGTACACATGGGCGGATTACACTACCACCACCACTACCTCGGACCCGGCTGTACCAACCGGGAGCTACTGGGGTGACAGGTGAGCTGCTCTGTCTTGACTAGCATGATGCATCTGCTAACGAGTCTATAGCCGCTAAACTCAACATACCCATTCTGCAATGACACGAAAATGGCTCCAGCCCTTGGGAATGAAGAAAGAGGAAACGACGGACGTCGCCTCTTCTCGGAATGCTCACCAGCTGGAAGCTGATCATGACTCTTGCTTTGTGCGTGGCATTTGTTGAGAAGCCCGGCATGTACATGGAATTGTACACTTCGTTCCAAAGATATACCAGATGTATATATCCTACCATTATTTTTGAGAAAGATTTATTGATCTCGGGGTTATCCATAGTCGTAATGTCTTTCTGACTTTAGTCTTGGCTTCTTTGATGCGCGCGTGCTCCATCTGCCAAGGCATTCACCCAGACTTCGATTCTTCATTACCTCTGCTACAGATCTGTCATGCACTGACCCCTAGGATGAGATGCGTTAATTGCCAGCCTCTACCCATCCCAACTGGTCGTAGAATGATACATACAAAAATGCAGAACCTCAAATTTGCTGTCCATGGGAACGGATTTCGAGGACTGGGTCGCCCCAAGGGAGACTGACCTCTCTGGACATGAGGGTACTCGAGCAGAACACTACTCAGAATCCTTGTTGATCCCTAGTGTTTTCGAAATGGGGAAGGATGAAGCCAGAAAGTCGATATGTTGGTGGTCGATTCGGCTCTGTCTTTCATCAGACCGGTAGACAGGAATATCTACCCCTATAGGCGAGCCCGTCACTTCATTTGCTCCGACACTGTACCAGCAGAGCAACGTCGACTTGTGAGTGCGGTATGGTGATGTATGTCACACCATTTTTTATCGCATAATTTGCGCGTCAATGGACTGAATGTCAACCTGGCTTTCAAGTGGCCTTTTTTGAAATGATACATCTCTGCCCTCTGCAGGACTCAGACAGCAGCGCCATCTTGGTAGAACCACTGCGGCCTCCCCCTGGGCCCCGAGATTTGAGCTGGATGTTGCAACAGGGTTGTCATGATGGATCCAAGATAGTACTCCGACCTCTTTGTATTTGCATATGTACCCGCGAGTCCAGTCTACCTCGCCTGAGCGCAAATCACGCCTGTCTCAGCCAGCCATGTGCAAAGTCACTCCCTCCTGACGGTCCTGACGGTCCTTTTGCCTGGGGACATCCTTCAGTCCATCTCTCTTTCTGCGCAGCCATCGTTCTTGTCCATCGTTCTTGCCCATCGTTCTTGCCGATTCAGTTTGCTCACGAATCCCTCTTTCCCACCTTCAAGTTCGTGCCTACCAAATTTCCTTCGTGCGTCTTCTTCGTGCCTGTCCTTCGTGCGTGTTATTTGTGCCTGGCCTCCTCTCCTTCCTGTTTCGGTTCCTCAAGCCTACTAATATTTCTCCGGTGCCGAGTGAATATAGCCCGTTCTACCTTGCAGAAGCCTTTGAAGTGTCTGCGCTTTATCGTACCGATTCTGGCTAGCAATCAGGGCAGGTGCAACTCCAGTCGTCCCGGTAGATTTGTCTCTGATCGATACCCTGAACAAGTCGGCGACTTGGTAAACTTGCAGTAAGTTTTGAGTCGCATCAGGACTCTCTGCTGGGTCACCTGTTGTACAGAAGGTCTTCCTTGATGTCCAGTTTCTGCGCTCGTTGGGACGCAACGGCGCTCGTGGCGCAAGACACAGCGCAGATGACTGCATCTCAGGTCAGGGTGGGCAGACGATAAGGCAGTCGCAGGAACGCCGAATGGCAGATTGTTGTTGGTCCCAAATGTCATACAAACAAGCTGTTCCATATCGTTGTTTGGTCATGTCGAGTCTTCCACAGACATCGTTGACGCTACTAGACACCACCCAGGCCATCCCATGGACCACCCTGCCCTGCCGTACCTCTTGGTGTTCCGGCCGTCATTTGTTCCCAAGCTGCGCTGCCGAATACATCAGCCAGCGCAAAGTCGGCATTACCCCAGAACATGGGATCTGGATCGTCCATCATTCCCGAAATGTTCTGACCACTCGATGTTGTGTTCATACTGGGCAAATCTTGAAGTTGCATCGAGCTATGCGCAAAGGCCATTTCTTGCTGTGTGTTGTAAAGCGCAGATCCGCTGCCATAGGCGAAGGATGCTGCTTTCCCACCTGACAGTGCTGGGTCATTATTAGAGCGACGCATCCCAGGCGGTGGTGTCGGATTGATGAATTGGCTGAGATCGTACATATGTGTGGGATTGGCTGAAGCATCGATGCTGCTGTTCGACCATCCTGAAGGTGTATGCTTCTGTCGCGCGGCGGCCAGGCCTGCTGCTGTGCGCGCATCTGAAGTGGCTGAGTTGTTATTCGCGGTGTTCATCGCTGGCGAAGAGACATTACTGGCTGTGTTGCCCGGCGTTGATGTAAGTGGCGACACAGCGTCCATTGTTACGTCGTGGTCTTCCTTGTTGGAAGTCGATTGACGACGAATGCCCGCCATCTGGACCTTGGGAGGATTCGTTTCCGTCCGCCGACGCTTTGCTGGACGATCTGCATTTTCGGGAGGTATGACAGGTGATGGTCCGTCAGGCTTTTGCACAGCAAGGAGACCATTGGTGCTTGCTTTTCGTGATTGTATATTGCCCAGAAGCAAGGTCAGTGTCTTGTGACAGTTTTTCACAGTGTACCAACGAGTGTTCATCGATGTCAGCAGGTCTAGGCACGCATGAATGTCTCTGGTAAAACTATTAGCCATTGCAGAATAAGGACGCTAGTCAGGGTTTGTAACGCACGCGCAAGCCCTTGCCTTCGGATACTTGCCCAATTGGCAAGCGAAGGCAATAATCAGCCCGCTCATCCACGCGGCGGAAAGGAGACCTGGTAAGAACATCGTCTGGCCGGCTGAACGATGTGCTTTCAATCCTGCCAAGACATTTCGAGATGCTCGAATGCACACTTGCAGACCGTGCTGAAACTCTGGCGTGCTCTGATCCAGGGACAACCTTGGACGTGATATTAGTAGTAGTAAACGGTGGTAAAGAATCTTGAAAAATGGAGACAGATTTGCGAGTTGTGTCTGCGGTGATTCTGAGCCTGCTGGTGAAGGCGCTACCGTCGAATTATGCTGAGGCTCCTCTCCTGTGAGGAAGAAAGGTAGATCATTCCACCAGGTTTCGATGTCGGATGTCAGGTAGACGATCTGCTCGTGCTTCGGGAATCGATGGTTAATGGACTTGTGAAATATCTCAATAATACGCCCGGTCAACTTCGACCAGTGCACGTAGCTGATCAAAGCGGCCTCCCGAAGTGATTTCTCGCGTGTTTCGGGCCCTTGATTTTCGTCATCTGTGGGCGAGGCGGCGGAATCCGGGGCCCGGCTTTCGGCATATGCATGTGCATTTCGTCGGCTGGGTTAGGCAGCAAATCTCGTGCAACTGCTCGGTGCAATTCCTTTCCTGACAAGCACACATCGATGTCGTCGTCCTGAATGGTATTCGGATCGCCTAGTGATAGCGAACAGTGGCGATCTAGGGCGTAGGCCGACCAGAATATTCGCTTCCTTATCTCACATTCTTCTGCAGTCAGCTGGGCGTAGCGTAGGGGACAACGATGCAGTCCAGCGTGATAGATAAGCTTGACTATTGTGCCACCAATTGTTGAGGCTGCGCGAATTGCGAGAGTCGCAACAAGGTATAGCTGCGCTGCAAGCATGGTCTGTAGAGTAGCCAAATCATGATCCAGTGCCATCGATCCTGCCACCCTCGTCACATCAGCCGTGGATTGGATCCTGGACTCGGGTGGAAGTGTGATATCTGTCCGATCGAGAGCTGCAATGTTGATGATGAGTTGGAAAGTGATGACCTTCCTCAGATCAAGAACAGGTTGCACAGTCCGACCATTGCGTGCACCAGAAAACGTCGGCGGCGTTGGCTTTGTGTATAATATCTCCATATCCTTGAGAAAAGAAGGGCCGTGAAGGAACGGAAAGACTGGGTGCCAGACCCTGAAGAAGCTGCTGGCCAACTCAATAGCAATCTTCCTGTCAGGCATAGTCCCTAAGGACGTTGATAGAAGCTTTGGGAAGCCATCCGTGGTTGATGGACCGTCGACGATAGGTCCATTGTAACTTCGTCCCTCCGAATCTTCGCCAGTCAAGATGTCTTCGCTGGCAGGCAAGGCTTGAGAGCTTGCAAATGCTTGCGCAAATGCCCTACGGACAGTGTTGACGAAGTACACACCACTCGAACTTCCCAGCCATGCAGTGCCACTTTGGTTCGGAAGCTTTTTGAGAGTCCCTATCTCAGAAGTGTGAGTCGGTCGCTCTTCATCGTCATCAGAGTTCCGGGCGGGATGTTCATTGTCGAACGGGTCGGTAGATGTCGTTCTTGGCGTCATCCTGTTGTCTCACTTCGAACCATATCTCCGAAACATGTTGTGGTTGAGTGCTGCACTACTGTCGCCTCATTGCGAGCTTTCTGGCGGTGTCGCTGACTGCTCTGTCTCAAGTCTTGCGAGGGAACGGCCGGTTTCAAGGCCCAGAATGTCTGCGCTGTCGCTACCCCGACTTTGAGCCAAGAGAATCACGAAAGAGGGGTGGATGGCAGGAAGCGAGATGATTGCTGGCCAAGAAAAGGGCCAGGTTGGGCTGGCTGGGGTTGAGGAGGAGCCGAGTTGATCTCGTCCCAAGACTCCAGGGCTCCTTGGCGATAGACTTGTCGACGATTGCTATTGATTGGCCGGAGCACACGTGACTCTCGCTTACTCAGATCGAGGCGCGCTCTGGAACTTGAATGCAACGGACCGATTTGACGTGAACAATAAATAGATAGACGAGCAACACGTCCTCCGCGAGAGTGTCACGCTTTTGTGCGAGCTGAATGCGATGACGGCAGTGTCATGTACGTTGTAAGCATATATCGCTCAACAGCAAAGTGCCAGGAATACTTTGTTCTTGGGCGCTTGGAACTCGCTGGAGAGGGCGGCCATGCATCAGCTTGACCTTTACTAATCGCCCCTTTGATGTCATATTGGGGGCCGGGAAAGTCATTCATTCTGGTGGCTGTTGCGTCTGGAGGATAATTCGGGTCCAACACGAGACACTGCAACACTGCTCAGTAGGTGGTACATCCGTTAGCTCACGTATTATTGATCATGCAATAAGGATCTGCGAGTAGATCTGGAGCCCTCGTCAGGGGCATCTACCTGTGAGAGCACATAGACGGCGATCGTGGATTCTCGGGAAGGCGATGTGAATGGACTCAAGATGCGGTAGACAGATGGAGGCCCGGTTGGTGTCTGTTTCTACATGATGGTACAATCTATAGATTCATGTGCTGCCTATCTCCAGGTACTTTCCTGCGTGGTTCCAATCGGCAGCAAATCGCCGCCTGCCTTCACGCGCGTTGGACTATCTTCTCTTTTGTTGTCGCCTGCGGGGAAGCTGAACTTCTCGTTCATACTCGGCCGTGGCGACGCTGTGCGTTGATGCTGTGGACTCTTCTCCTCGGTCAAAGGCAGGAGCGGCTGTTTGACCCCGTGTCTGAAATGGTCCGTTTTGGCGCGACGCTCTGCTGCATCTTCCATGCTCGTTCGATCGTACAGATACAATCCAACACACGCCAACAGTATACCCAACACCTGGAAGCGAGTCGTCGAGCTACGGAACCAAACCACAGCCACCAGAATTACCCAGATGCGTTTGATCAGAGATGCAACCGAATATGACACAGGCGACATCAGCGACAGCAGGATGAATGCATGATGTTTTGGAAAAAGTGAAACAGGCCATTGAAGACGTATTCAAGCGCTAAGGCGCCGTGGTCGAGGGTGTTCTTCTTGGTCGAAAGATCCAGGGAGCCATCGGCAAGGAAGTCACGGATTATGGATGCGCCTTCTGTGTAGAACCAGACTGGTGCTGAAAACAAGAAGGCACCAACCGAGCAGTAGCACAGCAGATTAAGCTTATCCAGCTTTCCCTCCTTGTGGGTTTGGCCCTCCGCTTCGGCTCGAGAGGATTCGGTGAAGAGCTTTTTGGAAAATATGTTCTGCGTGACGAAAACAATAGCGGCGATGAAGGCAGCAGAGATGCCCCAGAAATTGCTTGAAAAGTCGGCCGAACAGGCCATCATGACTCCGGCTGTCAAGGGCACCAACGAGAGGTAGGTCGCGCGTTTATAGCGAATGCGGAAGAATAGGCGGTATGCGAGGACTGTGAAAAGCGGCGATAGCCCCTTGATAGTATGGACTAGTGATACGGGGATCTTGGAGGTGGCGTAAGAGCTGAGGAGATGTCCGAGGAGCTGGAATATCGATAGTGGTAGGGCTGTACGTAGTACGTCCCAGGAGGGTTTTCGAAGGCCATTCCTAAGAGCCGGTATGTTGCGTTTCAACGAGGGAAAGGTTGAGGCTGCCGTAGCGAGTATCAAACACCATAGGGAGACAGAGGCGAACTGGATGATGGTGAGGGTCGCAGGCTTGTCGAAAGCATTTAATATCGATTTCGAGGATGTGTTGGTCAAGGCGGAGGTCATGTACCATGTTATGCACAACGCCTAGACTGTCATCAGCAATGTTTCAAGTCGTAGCAACGCTTCACACTTACAATGAGCTTGTACGACACCGGCGCCTTGAGCGCTTCTGCCAAATCATGCGCATTGTCTGTAACACTGCCTTGTCTGGTCCGGAAGTTCTTAAGCGCTTCGCTAACGCTTCGACGGTGTCTATGACCAGCCGCACGGTTGGTAGCGCGACCGCTGTTTGAGCGTGCCGGCCATTTGTATTCGGGAACGATGGGTGCACTCGTCTCCAGCGGACTCTCGGTGATCTGTGCCAGGCTCGGACGTCTCGCTTCGAGGTCGAACGAAGGGAACTTTTCATTGCCAGGTTCGCTGATGGCTGATCGCGGCGACAATGACTGACGTTCGTGAATTCGAGTGTTCAGCGACTCAGTCATGGTCGTGCTCATGTCTCTCAGGGTACTTTGGAGGAGAGCGAGTCGAAGGTGGTAGGGTCCGGGCGCATGTCAGATGTCGAAATGGGACGTTGTTGGTCAAAGACCGTGGGCACTAGCGAAGGTGTTATTTTGAAGTCATAATCAACGGACTCCGGATAGACTGGCGCATGGGCGACTCGTGGTCTTGACCGAGCGAGTGTGGCTGTGAGAAGACTGGTGACATCTGTGATAGACAGAGTTGAACATTGTTCTTAGGACTGCTGTGGTGCAGGACAGTTCATGCACTACGGTGAGGCACATGCACCATAGAGTTGATCACGTGTTACAGCATGTCTTCGGATCTCCTGAGACGCAATCGCGTATGCCAACTCTTTCCTGACTTCAGTCCAAAACCCGTCTGTGTCGGTACACGCCTTGCGGCTGGTGGATGGGACAGGCGCCCACCAGGCGAGTCGCGTCGGACTCATCCGTCGCGGAAAGTGCAACGGCTCGAGCTGTGTGCGAGTCTTGCATCTCGCGAAGCGGAACAGCTGAGTCGATGGTACGCTCCCAGCTTCCCGAGCATGAAAGCTACAAGTGGTCGAGGCTCGAGGCCACCAAATTCGAAGAGTCGCTTGAAGCGGAGCGCGAATGCTGCCAGCGATCACAACTATCAAATTGCTGCGTGTTCGACGGCGATCGTCATGCTGAATCTTAGGCTGTTGTGGGTACGTCTGCAACTGATGGAGGGCCATTGTTTCAAATGGCGCTTCTTCGCCAGGGTTGTTGGAGTCCGCTGCACGGCTGCACTTACGGCAACTAGCCTCGCAGACGCTGGTTTACCTCAGTCTGACATTCGCAACGGCAATCTGTCTTTAACTGGGCAGTAGGTAGGATGCTTGACCCGACGACTCCAGGAGCCGAGCCAAAGGCAGAACTCTTCCAGGGAACGAGGATCGTATCTTGTGGGCGAGATGAAGGGAGATATGCGGACAGATGAGTGATGTCGATCATGGTGCAGTGCTGTTGCCGTCGACATAGGCGCGAAGAGCATGGTACCAGCCTGTTCTTGCTCATTCAGCGGCTGATCACCATCGGGAATGGCGGTAGTGAGGGTACGGGCACGGGCAGAAGTGGTGATCGTCGTCGCGGTTGTTGTGGTGGCTGTGGCGAAGTTGGTGGTGATTGTGGTAGTTATCGTGATGGTGACATTGCCGGTGATGGTGTCGGTGATGGTTGTTTCGAGATCGGCGCGTGGCTCGGTCATGTTGGTTGGATGGAAAGGAAGAAATGGTCCAGCAGAGTACTCTACAGGTATGGTTCACTTGCCTTCTCACACAGTAGATCAGCGACCAGTCTGGCCTGCAGGAGCGCTGCATGTGTGCACCTGGATTGCCCGTGCCTTCCCCAGCAGTTCTCACTAGGGAGCTTAGGAGCACTTGCTCAATTGTGCCAACGTCTACACTGATATTTTGAGGGAAGGCACGCTGGCAGTAGGACATTACTTTATCTTTCCTCCTCACATCTGCACATCGACTCGTCCTCACACCCTCAACATCTACCAATCTCGAAACTCATTTCAGCTAATTACTCTCCTCTCTTCTCGGACTGAGCCGACAAGCATCCTCTGGTCGCTTGTGTCAATTCTGTGTGGTTTAGGTTGCACCTACCTCGGTCCTATGTTTTGACAGACCAGAATTACATTATTTGCAGCTAATTGCATCGACTACAATTGAGCTATATCCGATCAGAGAACAGCCGCAGCTATGGCTTCGAGTGGCTCACCTCGCGAAAGGCGCGGAGCTTCACCGTCAGGCAACGCTACAGAGAAGCACGACAGCTTCAGCAGAACTCCGGCAAGCCATCGATTGGTATGTTCTCGACCTCTGACCCATCGTTGAAAGTCGAACGCTGCTAATAGTCACAGTCTGCCAAGTCGTCCATGACCAAGAACTCGTCTCCAGCTGCAAAGTCTGATGGTGCCACTGCCATTCGGGCCTCGCGTCTTCAGGTATGTGTCATCCCGCCTTCGCAATCTCACGGTCTAACCGAGCCTCAGGGCTCGCCACAGGAGGTTCGCAAGCCATCAAGCACCATGGAAGACATCCTCGCCAACTTGAAGCTTAATGACTCTCGAAAGATGACACCCAAAGCCAGCCAGCTCAACAACACCAAGGCCAAGGACGATGCTAAGTTCGACAAGCTTGTTGCCAACCTTCAGGAGCAGAACGATGCTCTCAAAGAACAAGGCCGTGAGTTGAAAGAGGACACTCGGTCCAACAACCAGAAACCCAGTGACAATTCGTCGTCTTCTGGACGCTACACCGAGTCCTTCGCAGTCATCTCTAGCTCTGGCTCGGAACAAGGCAGTCGCTACGATATCGCTGAAATGCTGCGCATCAAACAAGAGCTCCACGCTGCCAAAACCGTCATCTCGCGCCAGGAACAAGAACTTGCAGAGACTCGCAACCTCAAGCACACTATGGAACAGGCTATTGGTTCCTCTGAGCATGACTACGCTCAGCACGACATCTCAGAGCAGACCATCGGTCACCTCCAGAGTGCTTTCAATGCCTCCGCTCGTCCATTTACTTCGAAGAATGTCGCCTGGCGCGGACCGGATAAGGCCCGGTCTGACTCAGACTTCTCTTCTGCAAGTATGAATCCCCGCAACTGGGAGCAGGTTTCAGGAAACGTCCATGGATACAACAACAACCTCAACAGCATGATGGGCACTCAGCGAAGCCAGCAGTTCCCGGGTCCATACCAGCAGGGTCCGATGGACACAGACTCTTATGCTGCTCAGCGATCCTTCTCAAGTTCTTCATCCTCCCTCGGCTACGATGCTCGTCATGCTAAGGATATGGCGATGTACGGTCTCAACCCTCTTGGACGACGCAACACTCAGTTGCGTGGCAATCCCAACATGTTGGACCAGCTCTCTCTTGGCCCTCTCGGCAACTCTGGAATCTCGCCACCCATCAGTCCGCTCAGCATCGATGAGCAGTTCGCTTTGGCTCAGCAGGCTAGCATGGGTCTGCAGCCATCTCCGGTCACACCAGGCTTCCCTGCTCCACAAGGTCCAGGTCAAGGCTGGCTAGGTGTAAGTACTTCCTTCCACCCCCGCAGGCTATAGCTGATCTATCATAGCCGCCATTGGCTGGTAATCAGACCTATGTCACCCCCCTCGAGCCTATGAACTATCGCCGCCTCCTGGATAAGTCTGTGTCATGTGACTGGAAGTACATTGTCGACAAGATTGTCTGCAACAACGACCAGCAGGCCTCGATCTTCCTGCAGCAGAAATTGAAGGTCGGTACAGCTGAGCAAAAGTTCGACATTGTTGAAGCTATTGTGAACCAAGCATACCCACTGATGGTGAATCGTTTTGGCAACTTCCTCGTCCAACGCTGCTTCGAGCACGGCACACCAGAACAAGTCGTCGCCATTGCTGAGGCTATCCATGGCAATGTCATTGCACTTAGCATGGATCCTTTCGGTTGTCACGTCATCCAGAAAGCCTTCGACTCTGTACCTGAGGAGCACAAGGCTGACATGGTTCGAGAGTTGCTTCGACGCATCCCTGACACTGTCATCCATCGCTATGCTTGTCACGTCTGGCAGAAGTTGTTTGAGCTTCGTTGGTCAGGCGAGCCGCCACAGATCATGGTCAAAGTCAACGAGGCTCTCCAAGGCATGTGGCACGAGGTTGCTCTGGGTGAGACTGGCAGTCTCGTCGTTCAGAACATCTTCGAAAACTGCGTTGAAGAAGAGAAGCGTCCTGCCATTGAAGAAGTCATCACCAATATCGACCTCATCGCTCACGGTCAATTCGGCAATTGGTGCATTCAGCACCTTTGCGAGCATGGCTCGCCTCCCGATAAGCGTCGTGTCATCGATCACATTCTCACCAACTCGTACAACTACAGCATTGACCAATTCGCTTCTAAAGTCGTCGAAAAATGCCTCAAGATCAGTGGAATGGATTTCTTGGATCGCTATCTTGGTGTTATCACTACCGCTCGTCCAGACCGTCCTCGAATTCCGCTCATAGACATTGCTGGCGACCAATATGGCAACTACCTGATTCAATGGATCTTGATGAATGCTCATCATCATCAACGCGAACAGGTCGCTGTCCACATCCGGAAGCACATGGTTTCTCTTCGTGGGTCCAAGTTCGGCTCCCGTGTGGCGATGCTCTGCTGCAACCCAGGTATGGCGACCCGTCCAGGACCTGCACCCGTTGCCAACCCGTACGGTGCTCCCGGCCAGTCACGCAATGGATGGACTCGCGGCTTTCGAGTTGTCTGAAGGACGATTCATCATATATCAGCGATCATCTCTGCCAAAATTGCCAGCATATCTGATCTCCCCACCATACGGAGGGAGATCTATCCCCTGTTGCTTGGACTACTCACACGACGACACTTGCTGTCGTCCGCTACTCCTTCCTTTGGCATTCGACAGACCGTTGGCTTTCACCACCAATAGTATCGACCTATGAACGTTCGGAAATTGTTCCAAATATTTTGCCTCAATATGCATATTTATGTTGCTAATGCTGCGCGAATGGAGTTCAGTATGGTATCTGCGATCAGTCACCCGTCCGAACGAATGGGTCGAACAGCGCTTGCAAGGTTATCGGTATGGGAATAGTGTTAGGGCGAAAGAGCTTGATGGTGTTTCTAAAGTGGCATATCGGTACCACAATCAGAGCGGGAGGCATTCGAGGCCCCTGCACATTGAATGCTTTCTACCATTAGACAGACATTGCACAATGTAGTGTAGACAGCAATTCCACATCCGTGATGATACACTGAGATGGAAGTCTCGGCGCCCTTCCACTTACTTTTCGACTTGTTCACCGGCCAAGCAGCTAACCTAGTCGACCTTCTGCCCACAAACCCAGCCGATGCCGGCGCGCATTATAGTCTCGATTACATCGGCTTCAGCATGTGTTGTGGGTGCATAGACCATCACCCACCCTCTGTCAACGAACAGCAGAGGAAATCGTTCACCCCATCCCCCTTCGACCACTCGCTTTGCGTCGCCCTCCGACAGCCACACATGAAGACTTGTGTCAGCAGGATGGGCATGTCCAACCTCGCCTTGCAAGATCTTGTTCTTGGGATGTTTTACCGAAGGATTCAGTGTTTTTACGTCGTCCTTCGCGTAGATTCCGTCAGCTGCGCCGCCCTCTGTCTTTGCTGGCGCAAGATACACGAGGTGGTCGTACTTGGTCACCAGTGTTGCGCAGAGGCGATCGATTCGTGCCTTGACGCCGTCCTCCATGTCCGATTTCTTGTACGGGACTTGGCGTTGAGGCATGGTTCGACCCATGATACGTGGACGTGGCGTCTGACGGGGCTTCTTCTCAAATCCTTCTGGCAGATAGCGTGGACCTTCATCGGCATTGAGTTGTGATGCGTCCCGCAGATCCGGGCCTGATAGGGCGTGGTTGATGCGGATTTTGGTCATGCGCCAGTAGCCAGCCCAGGTTGGTGGTGTTCCTCCGGTGCCGAATGATTTCCAGCTCGAGTAGTCTGCTATGACCCATGCTGTGAAAAGGCTGCTTAGCATGGCTACGGCTGTGGATGCCAATACAGGTGCCAAGCGGGGCGTTTGTTGTGAAATGTAGGTTGCGGCCTGGTTGATGGCGTTTGAGATGGTTTCCATATTGGCTGTTGTACACCATGTAGACTGGAAGTGGCCTGTATTATTGGGAAGGACCTCAGCGGCAGGCTACGACGAGTATAATGAGAAGCGAACGTTGAGAAAAGGTGACCTTATCAGGCGCGGTGGAATGGGGTTGCTTTTGTACTTCTGTACCCCAGAGCCCCGCCCCCAGACGAAGCCAGTCCCTGCCGGTGCTGCCCAACTTGAACTGATGCAGATCTCAACTGGACGACACGACTTCCCAGCAAGCCGAGCATGTCTGCCGCCTTTCTAAATCTGTTGCCGTCTATTCAAATTGTTTAGGCTGCTGTAGTACTTGCAGAAGCAGTCGGATTGATACTTCTACCATGATAACTTCATGACGTGGCTGGGAACTCTTTCACTACGACGTGATTGAATTCTGTCTGCCGCTGAGCGTCCAGAGTACCTAGGAAGGCATTCCGCTGGGATTGCCTGATGGGCATCGAGCCAACGCAGACGAAGAAAGATGGACAGTAAATTGCGTGAAGTCGGTTACACCTTCATGGTTACGAAGGGTGCCCATTACTGACGCAGGTGAAGGCATACCGCAAGCTGATCTATGCGAACCATATTCTTCACTTTCACGATGTCGTTGACGCCTACGGTCACGTCTCCAGTGCGTTCATTATGCTTGGACAGCTGTCTATCGGGTCTCAGATGCTGGACTTCGGGTTTGGTGAGCCGCTGTTGCTGACCTTTTCACGGAAAAACAGTCAGACATCCCACAGATTCAAGCCTGTACATTATGTGGTGAGTCGGCCCAACGATATTCATACATGCCACGATGATGTTTCCAAGCTATCACACTCGACATTGCCTCCGTCCAGGGCTGACGATGTGCTGCTCGAATGAACAGCGGGTATATGGCGCCGGCCCTCGTACAGTCGCCATCTGATCTAATCACTTATCACATCGACACTTCTGAACCAGTGGAACCGAATCTGCCGCACAAAGGCTACTCGGAGCGATTTATTCATAGTGAACTGGTGAGTCCATGCTATTGACACGATCAAGCGATGTCTGCAATGGTCGGGCGCTATCCCACGAAAATGTTTGGAGTCAGAAGAAGCAGGACGAGGTTCGTCAATACCAGCGTTCTGCGAGTACTGACCGTGGTATCCTACAATGCAGTACAAGCGATTCTCTAGCATCAACTGCGTCATACACTCGCACGCTGAGGATGTGTTACCATACGGTAGGACTTCTCTGTCTCTCGTTGCTTGGAAAGAGGGACTCGTCTAACAGTCGTGCGTAGTGGTCTCTCACAAAGTACCTCTACGTCCAGTGTACCACATGGCGGGCTTTCTAGGATCGAACGTACCGGTCTGGGACGCCGCAACGCTCTACGACTCACTCGAGACACCTGTCTCGAAGAGGGACATGCTAGTCAACAACATTCCACTCGGTCAGAGCCTTGCATCACAATTCTCGAGCCGAAGCCCGGAGACGACGACCTCAAAAGACGACAAGCCCACACAGACCGTGGTCTTGATGCGCCGCCACGGCTTCTCGGTGCAGGCAGATAGCATCGAGATGGCCGTCTATCGTGGCATTTACACCAAGATCAACGCCAAAGCCCAGACAGACGCCATGGCTGTTGCGAGGAACTGGGAGGGCACGATGGGCTCAAACGCGGACGGTGTCCAGGAGCTAGGATTGACGCAGGAACTCGTCGTGGGCTGCACCGAGATGAACGAGCGATTTCAGTAAGTTACAGCAGCTTTGTCACGATCGCCAGGGTTGAGCGCTGTTGACTGACCAATGCTTAAGAGAGAAGCCCTGGAGGCTTTGGGTCAGGGAGGTAGAGGGTCGAGGCATTTATGTTAACAGGCTGGCGTGATGAAACTTCATTTATAGCCCGATCAAGGACCTGGGCAAGGGGCGTTTGTAGAGCATCGAACTGGCTGTTGTCAACCGGTCGGAGTTAAGCCTGAATATCTTAGCAAGGGCGTGCCGCAAACATACATGCTGCTCCTTCTCTGTCAAAGCGTTTCGCTGCGACAACTTGGAATTTGAAACATGACATCAACGCAGCTCGCACGCGCACACAGCGGCATACTCGCTTCCTACTTACCACTGGGAGGCGAAGTCGTGCACGGTCTCGGCAATCTTGAGCGGTTGTGTGGTCGTTGAGGAGGACTGCGTCGCGAATCTGTGCGACCACCCTGGGTCACACAACAGTCTGGCCGCGTGGGCCGCCTAGTCCTTGTTGCACTGCAGCAAATCCAAGTTCAATCGCGCGAGGGTGAATGCCTTGGCTTTGCCGGCGCAACCTCTACTGGCACTGTAAGGTTAGTGCAGTGTTACTGGTAGACAACCCGCATCATGTGTCGCCTGGCGATCGATGTCGATCTTCGGACATCGATTGGCTATCCCGACGCTTGAAGGCTATTTAGACCTTCGCTATCGACAGCCACCTTTTACTCCACCCAAGAGAGGTTACTACCCGTCCTGGAGAACATACGAGCATTGGGTTGAGCATCGCCCGCTCCGAGGAAAGTACGGACGTGCTTTAGAGCATGTTTCGGACTGCGATTCAGCGGAGAGCAGATTAGTAGCCCTGAGCGAACTTGTAACACACGAGCGTCTCCTGAACGGGCTGGCACACCACTTCGACATTGTGAGTGTGTTCTCAGTGGACCAGGCAGTCCGTCGTGACGAAAGCCGCAAGTGCCAGCTCTCGCGAGTCTGTCCATACGCGAGCATGTCGACCGCAACTTCATCTGCCACCATTACCCCCATAAACTCAGCCTCATCACCGCCTACACCAAAGGTCATCATAATTGGCGCTGGCCTTTCCGGCCTCGCCATCGCGCACGGACTCCGCCGGCACGACATCCCGTTCACCATCTGCGAAAAGGAGTCCACACCCCGTGATCGCAATTGGGGCGTCACCATCTCGTGGGCGGTGCCTTTCCTCGCCAAGTGTCTTCCACCAGAGCTTTTCGCACGACTGCAGGAGTGCCAGCCGGATATCAGATTGAACAATGCTGCAGAGGGGAAGGAGAGCTTGTTGATCAGGGATGGTGCAACGGGGCAGCCTTTAATTGAGCCAAGCTTTCCAGGGACAAGGAGGTTGCAGATCAAGAGGACGAGGAGGATTTGGGGAGAGGCGCTCCTGGAGCACGGAGGAGAGGGTGTGAGGTATGGGAAGGTTTTGGTTGGGATTGACACGCCGGACGAGGGTGAGTACAAAGGAAAGGTGGTGGGGCGATTCGAGGATGGAAGCTGTGAGGTGGGCGATGTATTGATCGGGACGGATGGGGGCTCGAGTTTTGTGAGACAGGTCGTGTGTGGCGACATCAAAGGCGGGAGCGAGGCATGGGACCTAGGTACAATTTCCTGAATTTTTCATTCACGGTGACGCGTGAGCAGGCACTTTGGCTCGATGAGAAAATCAACCCGAGTGTGGATGTGGGCTGCCATCCGAAGAAGATGTATTCGGGGATACTGATCCTCGACAAGCCGGATCTGGAACGGCCGGAGACGTGGGTGTTTTATGTGCTCTCGACGTGGCCGAAGGAGGAAGGCGTTACCTATGGGAAGGACGATGATTTGTTAGAGGAGTATAGGAGGAGGATGGATGGGTGGGGAGATCCCTACCGGAAAGTGGCGGATTGGATTCCTGAAGGAACGAAGGTGAGGCCAATTCTGGGTGGGTTGAAGGTGTTTGCACCGAAGGAGAGGTGGAACAATAGAGATGGAAGGGTCACTATCGGTGGTGATGCAGCGCGTACGTGACCCGTTCTGCTAACCCCTCCGTCCCATGACCCTTGCAAGGAAGTAGCCACTGACTGTACTAACCAGATTCAATGACTTTCCACCGTGGACAGGGCGGCAACAATGCATTGCGAGATGCGGAGAGGTTTGTCGGCGCAATGGTGGAGGTGAAAGAGGGACTCAGGTCGTTGAAAGACGCTGTTGATGCATATGACCAGGATGTATTCGAAAGGGGTTTGAACGAGGTCGACATGAGCTCGAAGCAGACGCATGCATTCCATGATTACAAGGCTTTCTTGCAAAGTCCTCTAATGAAGCATGGAATCAAGCCGACGGCAAATCTGGGATCGAGTTGAAAAATGCAATTGATGATAGCTGCAAAGCTTTCTGGATCAGATTATAGTTAGCTGGCGCATAATTTACCGAGCGCTGATAGCCGCACATGGATCGCAGGCCACAAAGGACCGGCTTGTGAAAGAATTGAGGAGGATGTGCAACGACCAACAGACAACAGAATTGCTTCTTCAAGGCCAAGAGGATGAAATAGGCTCAGGCCGCTGCCAGAACCTTACCTAAACTGCAGGGGTGCTTTCACTAATCGGCCATACCTTTTCTGTGCCTGGGATCGCCTGGGCCTTCCCCACGCTTCTGTCACCAGAATTGTCTGACTTCACTTCATCTCAATCGCGACTTACACGTTAGACCATTAGCAACACGCCTCTGCCACTACAGCCAAGGTATTTGCCGCATGATTGCTGACGGATGTAATACTACGTCAAGCTTATAGCAGCTCGACGACCATCGCTCTCGAGTCCAGCCATCCGGGTTGCATCGATGCTAGGCTGGCATCATGTCTGAGGTGAGTCGATCAATTAAGGACGCCGCCACAAGCACGCTGACAAGAGCAGTACTGGAAATCAACGCCGAAATACTGGTGCAAACATTGCTCGATATACGTAAAGGACACACCGTTCGAGCGGCGCACACATGAGAGCACTGGAAAGCATCAGTCGAATCTGAAGCGGTCCCTCAGAGACATCCAGAACAACCACGAACGTGAGGAACGAGACAAAAAGAAGGCCAAGGCGGAGATCGACCGCCTGAACAAGGTGGTTGGGAATAATGCGCCTACAGTTGCCGTTGACACAGGCTCAGTCAAAGGTGCCGCACCGGTGACTACTGCTTCAGTACGTAGAGCAGCAGGTGGCCCACTCAACGCTGCAGATCAGAAACGACAATGGGCTCAGCTAGCTGATATGGGCATCGAGGTTCCCGATAGCTACCGAGCCGAAATGGCAATGGCTAGCGATTGGAAGGCCGTGCCTCAACCGAACCAACCTAAGCCCGATGATGCACCTGCGGATGCCATGAGCATCGGCGTGCGTAAGCGCAAGTTAGATCCGGACGAACAAGCGCAACTCGAGGCTGATGAGCATCCCACCGTCAAAAAGGTATGGGGCAAAGACGTACGGCACTTTCCGGGCGAGACTGGCGATGATGGTCTGGAGGACCTTCTTGCAGGCAAGACATTCGTCAAGAAACATAAAACAGACGTCGATGTGAAACAAGAGCCAGGCCATGCAGCTAACGGAGCATCCGCAACTTCTGACACCGCCGTCGACTCCCAAACCCTCGAGGTGACTGCAAATCCAGTCGAGGCGAGCGGCGAGTCGATACCACTAGTGAAATCAGAGACAGCCGCTGCCGATGACCAGCCCACAGCAACTCCAATATTCAAGAAGCGAAAGGGTAAACAAACCACGAAATGACAATTGGTGCCTCGTACGATCTAATGATGCTATGTGCAGCGAGTCATTCGATACTCACAAGTGGAATAATTGTATTGATCGAGTGTGCCCGCTTATTGCTCATCTCCGTACACAAGACAACCTTGGAAGCCGCCGATTACGGGGCGTACAGGGCTAATCGCTAGCTTGACCGGTGCAGGTAGCCTAGAGGTGGATCACGGATGGAACACGTGCCCATAGGGATGATGTGTGTAATGTACATGTGGCACACCTCGCAGAGGCGGCGGCACTCCAGTGTCTCTTGCTCCGGACACCTTGGACGCAGACAAGGAATATGTCGCCGGTCAGAAGTCGCAGGTCTGCCGTCTGAGGACTTGCACGAGCAGCACTTGCGCGTCCTGGTACAAACTATCGAACAGAGGCAGTCACGTCCGAAGGTGGGAGAGGTTTTATTGTTGCACGCAGATTGACCATCCCAAATAGCTGACGCTGGCTGGCATCACAATCGCATCGGGCCCGAAGAGGCTTCCTGCAGTCAATTCTACCGCGGACCAAAGAGAAAGGCCGATGAACACATCAACCCCTGGAGCACCCCCGTCCTCAACCAAACAGATCGCCTTCGGTTCTGAGGCTAGCTAATTAACCGACCTGCAGGCGTCGAGGGGCTGGCATGGTACCAGATGTTTTCGCAATCCTTGCTCGCATCATGGGCGCCTGTTTGCGGATCCCCGTACCAGGAGATACGCAGTCCGACAATAGTGGCTCGAATCTCATGTTGTGGTGTCGATTCAGCGCGTCGGTGAATGCGAATGGAAGCGCGAACAATTTCCTGACGCTCTTCCAAGGTGCTTTTGGCGAGCATTCGACTCGACTAGCTTCTCCGGAGAATTTCGAGTTTGGTGGCATAAGCTAGCCATCGTCTACGAGGAACACCCCAGCAAGCTGAAGTTGCGCTTCAGGTCGGCGAGCACTGCCAGACAAGCGGTCCAAGCGTTCGTTACACCTTACGACAATGGTGATCTTCTGCCGTACCGGCGTACCGCCAGCATTTCAGTACGACTCGGTACCAGCGGAGGTCACTATCTAGACACCGGGACTTCCCCCCTACGTCAGGAATCCAGCACTTGAGTGACAAGGTCAACAGCGAAGGCGTGACAAAACAGATCTGCACCCACGGAGGCGTGTATGTGGTTACTGGTAGAGGTCGATCCCATGCACGGATCCTGACAGCGTCCGTCATGACACATATGGAGTCTCGGATGTCGTTGACACCCGGACGATGCTTTTTTCATTCATCATTTCCTGTCGTTCTGCTCTTCGACTTGAAGTGTCTGAGGATGGGAAATACAGGAGCATTCTATTACAGGAACAATAGAAGCCATAGCTTTGGGCAGGTACTGTATCCTCCGAACTGCCCGAGACATCTCCTGGTAAGATACAACGCCTGGCTGGACCTGGTTAGCTTCATTACTAGTTTATTCTGTGAGCATTTGAGACTTTCGAGTCCTGCACCTATAGATCGACAACATCCTTCGGGATTGCTATCGAGCGGCTTGGAAGACTACCGGCCCAATCGCTCGTGTTGATTATACGGCTGTCGTCTTCGGCAATCATCGAGTCTGTCTTGCGAGATCTGAACAGGCAGGCGAGAGCAGGGTCAGATTGCTGGCATTCATGTATGGCCCGCAGCCACTCATCTCATTGTGCGTGGCAAGCTGAACATTGATGCTGACACGGTAGCATTCACAGCACGGCTCCCGTGACCATAAACATTGGCGAATCCGGTGTCCAGGAGCGAACTGCCCCGACGCCTTACGCATCAAGCACATTTCGGGGCTGCCTCCTTGCCGTAGGATAAACCAGCGAGCTGGTGCATGTCTATCTCTAGATTGGAGCGGGCTTGGCAACGGTCGCAAGCCTTGAACGTTAAGCACAACGTGCTAGAGGGCGCCAGAGTGGAATGGTGCAACTCGCAGGGAGATCCCTGGTTCGCGACTAATGCGATAGTGCGGATGGAGTCGAGGCTACCACGTACCATCGTACAGTCCTCGAGGTTCTGACAGAAGGTCCGATCACGGTCAGTATATGTTTTTCTGGCCCCTAAACAACCCTCACATATCTGCCATTTTTTGCACATCGTGGTGATCAGCCTGCAACGGCGCAGATTGTGATTGATGGGTATGCCCAACGCCGCCCATACAAACCTCATAAGCACAGGGGTGCCGTCAGACACTAGACACCAGAGCGGATTAGCCGGCGGAGCCTAGCAGCCTCGCTTAAACTGGGATGTTATGCAATCGAGCTACCGTCACTGAAGACCCCTGCACGAACAAGGTCTCTAGCGTCGGGACATACCATAAGCGAAGACGAGCGTTGAAGCGGCCCTACTGAGACGTGGTAAAGACATTTACAGAAGAGTGACGACGGAACGGAACATCGAGACGCATATGACTCCATACTCTCGCTAGAGGGAATCAGTCTCAGAGGTCTGTGGAGTGCTGCCTCGAAACTCATATCGAGGCGAACCCGAGCAGGATAGCGAGCGAGGCCATTCGTGTCGGTCTTGGAAATAATCTCCTTTGCTGGCCGTTGGTACTGGTGCATCATGCCAGTTCCTGGATCCTGTTTCCCTGGAGCTGGAATGGCACTGGAACATTTCGGCACTTGGGTGATCCGCATCTCCTTGACCAAGACAGCATGGTTGGAAAGCGTTTCATACCTTACCGTCTTGTCAGAGATGGTACTTCTACTCTAAACCGTTGGTACCGTGCTAGCAAGGGCCCTGTCGGCTGGCCGTGGAGTGGTGGATCATGCAGACTGGGTGCATTACTACACACCCTTCACCTCCAGCATTTACACATGTCGTTCCCTTGATTCGTGCATTTCCTTCTCTACTACCAACAGTTAGCGGTGTGTGTTCTTCTGTTGCAGTAGTTAACTTATCGTCCTATTCAGTTGTCGCCTAATGCTGTAAACCTTGTCGTCAAAGTTGCCTTCAGCAAGCAAGTCGTGGCTCGAATATACTTCATCGTCGCCCACCTCGTCTGCGGTTGCCGTCCCGCTCCCACCTGCCTCGAGCAATACCAACATCGCTACTTCTACCATTAACGAGCATATCGACAGACAAACTGGCGGAATCGACGGCCTATATGAATTACCACCACCCTCAGATGACGACTGCAGCAATGCAGCCGTCTTCGGCATCGATAAGTCTGCCGCCGATCAGCAGCATTGACTTTCATTCACAACAAGCCCACCATGCGCCTCCAGACGTACTGCAGCCACAGCCACCACGCAGCTACCGCCTCTTCCGCACCAGAACTATTACCAAGGTGTGCGCAGCATACCCCAGGAGCCTCAGTATGTCCAGCAACAGCGGGCTATCTACCCAGGCATGCCAGTCGGCGCGCCATACGGCTATGGGCCTGCTCGGATGCCTCTGCCTTCAACGGCTGACCCGACGCTCATCGTCAACGCCCCGAGAAATAAATCCAAGGAGGTCAAGCGGAGGACGAAGACCGGATGCATGACATGCCGTAAACGCAGGATTAAGGTGAGCGACTTTTCGTACTCTTTTGCCGCAACGATCAAGCTGGAAACCTGGGGATGAGAGATTAGCCACGATCCTCAATGTCACGATGGCGCATCTTGACGTCCGCAACGTGGCATCGATCGCGACACGGGACGACACATGACAAAGGCCTGGATACGTCAAAAATGTGTTTGATGCATGTCAAACACACAATCAGATTGTTCCCGACTTCCAGTTGTTGCAGCCGAGGATGATTACGGGGACACCAAAACCTTGGTAAATTTAGGTGCGCCAACTGCCGGATTATCGCCTGTGGCACCTGATCTTGGGCGTCATCTCTGGGGCTTGCCGCCTCCAAGAGTATGCCTTCCCTAACCGACTGGGGCAATTTGTCTCCGACCTCCGCAAGCTTCTTCCTTGTCAACCACCTGGGCACACCTCAGTGAATCCCTTCTCTTTGCCATCAACATCCTCGACACCTAATTACAACCGCCGCTCATCACCGCTTCTGATTCGGCCTCTCTGGATCATCGCGCTATCGATCTCACACTTCGCATCTTGTGAAAGCCCAATTGCTAACCACAATTGTTCCTGAATTTAGTGCGACGAAACTCGCCCCGAGTGCCGGAACTGCATGAAATCCAAACGACAGTGTCTTGGCTACGATCCTGCATACCACAACCATCCCCAGAACCCTCACTCCATTGCGCCTTCGCAACAACAACAATCTAATTCTACTGGCAACAACCCTACCACTACCTCGCTCGCCTCGTCGCAACCCCAGCATTACCACACAAGTAGTCCTTCGGCTCATAATCATACCTCAATCTCCATACCGACATCCCACCAAGATTTCAACTTCTCCAAACCACCAGATCTGTTACCCACCCTTAACCAGCCCTATCGGTTAGATCACAACGGTCATGCTGGTATGCACCATTATCCTCAAGCCGGACGACGTGATATGAGCAACCAGCACGCTATTCAGCAAGGCTTGTACTAAGTCTTAGACGCTCGCACGACCATTCTTCTGTCTAGTTTGGAGATAGGATAAATCCAAATTGGCATTCACTCTCACCCTTGAATTTCTCACGATACCCCACCACAAATCCGACAACCATGGCGAATCTTCCACGCCGCCGCACCATGGAAGACATATGCACAATTGCTGGGACCAAGGTACCCGCGATCCCAGCCATACCCCCTGACTCGGTCCCCAACCTGGAATCTATCCGCGTGGTATACGACATAGCATTCGCTCCCAGTCTAGATAAATTCCTCGAATCATCCAACCAATGGTTCACTCTACATGGCTTCGATCTCCTCGCCAGCAACCGCACCTTGTTGGGTTTGATGCTGGCCTACCTTACCCTGGTCAGCACCAACCATGACAAGCCAATCAATGCCAACCCAACCCTCGTCTCACAGGAAGCACGGGTTACCTGGGCGATGCTCGGCCTTTGCACGACACCCACGCCATCGAACCAACCCGACGACGAAGCAGACATCCTCGCCCGCCGCTACCGCACCGTCGAAAGCATACTGACAGGCGAGCCACTCGAGCCGAGCACTTTACCCGGTGCAGCGACCATGTCCCTTTCCGAATTCGTCCACCAGGAGTCCGACGACAACGACTCCTCTGTCAACATGGATATCACCACTGGCATGAACAGTCTCAGCCCCGTCACAACATTCTCAACTACCCCTGCTTCCTTCCCACAATCGAGCAATCTCCTCGACCCTCTTCAACAGCTCCATCACCAACAACTGAGCCAAATGCACGCGGATATGCTTCTCGCTGCGCCGACTGTTTCACCATCGCCCTTCAACGCCCAAGTTGCGCGCCGCACCCACGACTTTTGGTCAACGCTCGAATCCATCGCTACCTCCCAAACGGGAGACGGCACAGATCCGACCACCGGCCGGCGGCCACCACTGAACACAGCGACACCCTTGATCCCGCAGTTGCGCAGCCTACTCGACGGCAAAGAGCAGCGCGATATCCTCTATGCGACCTGTTTGCTCGGCTGGGGACCTAGTGATGGGGAGTCGCCTACGAGTGAGAGGGAGCTGGGCAAGCGGCTGCTGCAGAACGAGTTCCTTGGTGGACGTGCAAGAGGTTTGGTATTGGGCAGTGTTGCGGGAATGTGTTTGCGTGGGATGGGCGTTAGTGATGGAGCTGGGAGCGTTTGATGTTATGGACGCTCTACTTCTGGACCTGGAACGGACCAGACCGAAGCTTTGTTCGTGCGAGGCAAGGCAACTCAGTCCATGGGCAGCGGGCACGCGACAAACGAGTGGACGAATAATTGCCAGAGGTCTGTTGCTACAATGCGGCTGTTACCGAAGGGCGAGAGCTGAGTGCAGATGATACGATTGGCATAACCCAAATGGTTGATTGCGCGAAGAGGAAGAGATAGAGGAAGAGGGAGGGGGACCCGCCGGACCAAGGACGACACCGCCACGGCCTCTTCGAATCCGATTGATCCAATCAGGGGCTCTACCACGAAAGTAAGAATGAATCATAATGAGTGCGGCAGAAGACCTCTCAGACAATGCGAGGGCGACTAATGATAGCCGGTGCGATGGGCGCAAAGCATCACCATTAAGTGAGGAGTTAGAATGATATGAGCGAACTGCATAGTCTCAAGAGCGCAACAGGTTGACTGGATGGCCTGGCTGGACCCAGAGAAAGAGGTCCAATTTGTTTAATGTCTTTTTTATATACCCTACATCGAATCATACTGTCGTTATTTTGCAGCATGTCCTCCCTGAGTCCTTGAATTGTTATGCTGGGTGCAGACGCCGTGTTAGTTAGTCATCGTTGACCCCAGGCTATTCTAAGGTACGCAACTACATAGAGCGCTGGTCCTCTAGGTACCTTAGGTACGCTTTTGCATGCTATCGTGCCCTACTGCCACGGCAGGTGGTAGACTCTGTTCATCCTCTGGATGCGCATGGGTCACCACCCAGTTGTGAAGTTGAGTTGTGGCACGGATCGCCTGTCGGACTGCCAGGTCGCTTGTCCGACCGAACAAATTAACGAGGCTCAATCGGGTCTACACAATGCCTGCCCGGAGCATGTACGTGGTTCAACGATACCTAACTCACCGCCATTGTCTCGAACGCATTCACTGGCAATGATCAAACACATGAAATCATGTCGCAGAAGGGTCGCAGACACGTCCTCTTTCAAAACACTTATGGAACAAACCAGCTCTGAAACCTGACCGGCTAACGGATGAGGTCGAGACCCGGTATCATTGAAGAACTGAGGAACTTTTCGTCATCATTTTGGAGAGTGTCTGTGCAGCGCGATCGTCAAGAACCCGAACGTGGGCAGATCCCCAGTGTGCTGGAACAGATCAACAAGGTTTGAAAGATGAAACGCCGGGCAGCAACGGTGAGTATGAGCTTCAAAGCTTGGCGTACGTACAAGAGATGGTCTGCTACATCGAGCTTGCAGTAACTTGAGGTCTCGAGTTCCATAGACTGTGAGAGCAGAGCAGGTCCAGGGCGACAGTGAACCTATCGAAGTACGCATCTGCCGTGGTGCAAGCCATGGTAGTCACCTGGCCGGCACTCCCTGAAGCATTTAGAGTCGAGACCGAATTCGAACACCTGCCCCGAGCAGATGAATGCATTCAGGCTGTATCGAAGAATAATGGCTGAAGCTGAAGCAATAGTATACAGCGCCTAGATCAGCATACCTGCAAGACAACAGCCAGCCCTGTGCTGTAAGCGCGGAGGATGATCGACTCTAGGCATACACGAGCGGCCACCTGCACGCAGGCCTTTCGATAGTGCTCCAGAGGGCTGCAGACCAGTGTACGAACGAAGTTACGAAGTGCGCCCGGAACCATTTTCACAGCCTGTAAGCTCATCCGGGGCCCTCGCACGACACTCTCGCGAAAGACGGCAGGCAGGCCTGTACAGTAGGCGCGTTGCAGGGGCCAGCTGCTCGCTCGCTTGAACAAACGAACGAGATATCTGCAGCACACCGCCTGTACCTCTCTGCTGTGTAACTTTGCCAGGGGAGTAGTACAGGGGCTGGCGGGCGCACATTTACCTCCGAGATACGCCGCAACGCCGTACACTTGCCTGGAAACAGCAGGGAGGCTTGTTGATGGCTTGCTCGATGCGTGTTCATACGTGTGATGACCCATGCATTGTCATGCTGGCTTTGTCACTAGTCCTCGGCGGCTTCTGTATTCGTGGTCCAGGCGCAGTCAAGGAGTGGTCGAAACCAGTTGTACGCTTCAGGATCGCTGTAGAATACTGTAGAGTCTTCGCACCACCCAGATCGCGTTCGATGTCTGGATTGCTGGTGTGTTATGGGGTCTGATCGAGGACTAACGAGCTCTGGACTTTAACAGCTGATAACGGCAATCAAGTTATTCTCGACCAGCGTTAATGCTGTTGTCGAAAACGGTTGTGCTCCGTTGATTTGGTCAATAAATGCCATTTTGGTGGCATTTCTTGAGCTTGGATCCCGGCCCTTAGGACAATCGAGCGTAAGTTCGATGGAAGTTCCCAAGCGAGCACGCGAGGTCGCGGGGCGGTCCACATAGAGGGTTCTTGTGGTGCCAGGCCGCAAGGATGCAGGCAGGCGACGACTCGATTCGCCTCGAGTCGTTGATTAACGACATTGTTATGCGCATTCGGCTTTATGCTAACGAGGTGATTAGGCTCGCCGGCGTGAGATTGTAGAGCCTCACTTTTGAAGACTTATTGAACATGATTTTGAGCTCCTCACGGGATGATGCTGGTGCGGTTGGAAATTGACCTTAAAACGGCCAAGACACGCATCCTTCACTACCACGTGTTGAAGCTGCCTCGCTTCCGCGAGAGACTTTGGGCCCGCAGCTGGTGAGCTCAACGTGTTGACAGGGATATCCGGTCTTAGACGTTTTATAGGTCTTGATTGACTTCCCCTCGAAATATCGGAAGTTCAATCAGAGTTGCGGCACCAGAAATGTGGACAGCTAGGTTCTCGTAGAACGGGCTCTGCAGATCGAACCTGTCACACAAGCGACACGCAGATCCTCCCACGCACACCCATTATAATGGCATTATTGATTCCATGGGTGTTTCGAAACGCAATAGATCCGACAATTTGCTGCAGGTCTGCACGACGATTTCAGAACGGTTACAGACTTTGCCATCCTGGGTGTTTGCACGGCACACGCCGGCAGATCTTTCTGGAACATCAAGCTGCGTGTAATGACAAGGTACAGGGGCCTCCGAGCGAGGGTTCGGTAGATGCTTCGACCGTCTGACCGCCACAAGCATCCCTGCCTCAGTGCGGAGGGAAGCACTCAGATGATGGAAGGGCTAGAAGCTGTCAAAGTCCATGCTTAATCTTGCGTGAACTTCGGATTTGTTGCCTCACTCTTCGAATCTTCTGTGAGCTGAATTGGCTGACATTTTTGTTGTTGACTGCGAGGTTGATGCATGTATCGCTGATTGTCTTTTTGTCTCGCATGACTCCAACCTGCCAATAGACTTTGTTCGGTTCTGCTTAATTGCTCGTGACGAAAAAGATCCAGGCAGTATAGATGAAGCGAACGCGAGCGGCGAAAGCGCTTCCGAACCTCGATGGAGCAATACGAGCAGATCATCCAGGATTTTTCCAGCCGTTGGTATTGGTTTTTACCAACGATACTGTTTGGGTCCTTACCAACAGTACTGTCACTTTCCAGGATGTGTCGCCGGCCTAGCTGCTTACGCCGTACAAGTAGTGCTATCAGCGGAGACCTTTTCCAGCGTGTCAGCCAAGAATAACAGGATAGTGCGCTTGTACTTGACCTCGTGCGATTGTCGTGTCTCAGGATCTTGTCCGTTGCTGCATCGAGCCCGTCGCTTGCGAGTCAAAGGTGGACTCGTGCCTGCGGCCGAGTAGTATGTGACCGGCAGCGATGAAGTCACTTACCTATTCGGCCACGAGTCCGCGATTCAAGATACGTAGGTGCTGTTAGGTAGCACTCAGTGGAAGTATGGGCTCGTTACGAAGAGAGAAGCGATATCGCTTGATGAGAAGTGCGAGAGGAAGAGGAAAGTAGAGCAGCCACGATGAGGGGACGCCCTTTCTTTGTCGTTGTTGCCACGCACATGCGTCGCGCAGGATCACTCCTGCTCAACTTGACACTCGATACATGCAAGCAGCAACTATCCAAAAACATCGATTGCGAGTTTGACCTTCCAGCTGCGTTCTGAACGCTCGAGAAAGAGCAGCGCATGGACGTTGCCAGTTGTTGCCATATTGCCCAGATCATCGTTGTTCTTCTCGTAAGCTGGTCTGACAACTGCATCAACGTTCGAAAGGTTTTCCCTGCAACTTCAACCATCTGCCTCGTCCGGCTCGTCCACTTGCATCTCACATCTCCTCTGCCATCCTTAATCTAGTCCGTCGTCCTTGCGGTGGCTCCTTGCAAATCGGGCTGACTGTGAACCAATATCTTGAAGCTGTATGTACCTGGCAAAGCAAGAGCAGGAGCATATAGCTGATATAAGAGAGACGTAATCTTTTAGCAGCTAGTGGTCGTTGTCCACTCCTGCCGGAGCACCTGCAACTATGAACAGAAGCTCGCAGTCTAAGTGTTGCCCGTCCTACTTCCCTGTCGTCGTTTTCGCAGGAGGCACACGTCATTGCTGCCACAAGTTGCCCAAGATATCAGCGGTTTCAATGGACCACAGGAATTTAGGGCATTGTCCCAAGCCATCCTGTGTGTATTCCAAGCTGATTGACTGTTCGATATGGGGACCAGCGGACGCCTCGTGACCACAAGTCTGGCACGCAGCGAGCTGCGCACGGGTTGCAAGGGTTCCAAACTTCCACTTGTCGTCGTAGGGCCAGTGGCATTGTTCAAATGAGCCTGAGGGAATCAAGGGTCCCCTGCAGCACCATTCGAGAGGGTGTCGGGCACAGACGAACGCATCGCCCAAGCTCTTCCGCGATTGAAGCAAGCAGAGTCGTCCACGAGACGCTCAGTCCTTCTCTTTGGCAAGCCTCGTCGCAGACACGATCCTCTTACCTCCCATCTCCAGAATCTTTTCGAGCAAAGTCCCTTTCGAATCCATGTCCACGACTTCATCCGAACCACCTATGCTCTTCGTGTTGATCAATATATTCGGCACCGTACCGCGGTGTGTCAAAGACTTCAGCAGATCCTGCAGCTTACGTCCAAGCTGCACATCGTCATCATCCTCATCGGCCTTTGGCACAATCTTCGTCATCTGATCCAGCTCAACCACATACGGCGCCGGCTGAATGTCGTACTGGTGCAGAAGCAATCGCTTAGCCCGCTTCGAATAAGGGCAGTAGGACTTGCTGAAGATGATAATGGGACTGCGCTTCAGAATCTGTTGCAGCTCCTCACGTGCAAAGTCCTCGCCTGGGTCCGCTGACTTCTTCTCTCCTTTGGCTGGTTCATCGTCTGCGTCGTCGCTCTTTGGATATCTCGGCTTCCCGCCCGGACTCTCGTGCGAAGGCGACTGCTTGGGCTTTGGCATCGTCTTTCGCCCTGCGACGGGTATCACATCTTCGACTTCTTCACCATCGTCAACCGCCGCTTTCCGACCATCCTTCTCCGCTAGTATCTCCTGTAGCTTGCTGTTCGTTTGCGCTGTGTAGTCCTCATCACTAAGGTCCTCCGCCAGGATACTGTGCTTCCGCTTCAACGCTGCCTCTGTCTTGCCGCGGAAGTCTGAGCCCTTGTCTGCTTCCGAAGAGAAGAAGAGGATGTAGCACAGCACCAAGACCGCGAACAACACTACGGCCTGCGTACGTCGTCGCGAGGTGCTCATGGTTGCGAGTATAGTTATAAGGTGGGGTACGAATAGAGATTGTAGGACAACGGCTCAACGGCTGCGGCAGTGAGGCGAGGTCGAGTGTCGATCCGGGGTTGAATTGAGGGATGATCGGCCACAGACGTGTGTTTGAGGTCGATCGCCTTCTCACTTCCCCCTTTGCTCGCGCCAATCAGTAATGTGGATTACGATGATGTCTCGAATTGCGGAATCTGAGGTATGCGTCAAACGCTGAGAGTACTCTCGAGGTGTGCTGTGGAATCCAGACAGAGATGTTGCGTCTACACACGGCGATATTTGTCGCCTCCTTTATCTATACGGGCGGTATAGGATAAGTCACATATAGGAAACGTTTCGAAGAAATGATGGAGGAGGAGATATGTCGATGAAGGATAATTTTGTTCAGTCAACGTAGAATAATGCCAGGTACTGTGAATCTCTGACGTCGCGCTTCACGCGCCTCTCGTGGGTTCGAGATTCCCCTCCCAGTGGCCGAGCTCCAGGCCCATCCCTGATTCCCCAGGCCTCCGTGAGTGGAGCTCTTATGCATTGTTCCTGCATGTCAAACCTACGGAGTATAGATGATTTCTGTCCCTCCTGTTCCCTGTCTTGAATCACGTCCAGCTGCAGAAAATGGACGACTACTAGGCCATTGACACCGTGCGTAATGGGAAGACTTATCCGAGCAAGTATGACACGTCGGTGAAATGGACGAGGAGGGTCACGTCAATGCCATATATCTATCAAATACACATTCACCGTAACGCCATCGCTAATCCACAATGCAAGTCATCGTATTCATCGCACATCTTCCATCTCTTCCATCAAGTCACCTCAACAGCAACTTCAATGACCCATCAACCCTCCCAGGACCACCTTTTGCACGCTCATTAGCTCCTTCTTCGCGTTGTCTCTCGACGCGGTCTCAAATTCCCGCAGAATGCCTCCAACCATGACTTTCCTGATGCGCGCATCTGCCTTAGTGAACAACTCACTCACGGACGCTGTACAGCTGTCTGGCCCACTCAGGAGCTGGAGCAGGCGCTGATATACGTCGATCAACACCTCACACAAGGTCGCAAAAACCGTGTAGAAGTCAGGCGCAAACGGCAGAGGCGGCGTGATCAGGTAAGTATACAAGCCCTCGTTGGCCAACAAGGTCGAATTTGGAGCATCAGCGGGGCCTGGCAGAGGGAACGCCGTGGTGTTGGGAAAGCTGGACGCTCCAGGAGCGGTACTGGGCAGATGTGTTGATGAGCTGTTGAAACTTGATGAATTGTTTGCGCCATCGAATGATGTCTGATGGGCATGGCTCGAAGCTTGGTCTGGCATCGCAGGTGCAGAAATTGACTGCGTAAGTTCACTTCCTATCGCCCCGCTAGATTTTCGAGGTCTCGTCGTTGATCGTTTGAACATTTGTGGTAATCGAGCTCGGCTCAGTGTGCTGACCGTACTACCATCTGGCGGATGTAGTTGCTGGTATGCCTCAAATTCGGTCAAAAGCGCATTCAGACTTCGCAGATACTCTTGCGCTACCATAGCATTTTGCGGTGCTGAACTGGACGGATGCATGGGATGGACGTCAAGCACGGCCGGTATCGACATGCCTAGTATCAAATAGTTTGTGGCACGTCGTGACAGTCGGTTCGGCGTATATGATGGTAGTCTGCCGACATCAGTTGCGGAGAATTTGATTGTGTTGAACCAAAACATGCGTCCTTCGTGTCTGCGACTGATCAGTATCAGATCTGCTCTTGTCTTGTGCTACTCACGCTTTGCGCATATAGTCCAGTGTTGCCATTCGCTTGCTGGACATATCGTGTATCGACTGATACAACGAGTTCGGGTTTGCCAACGCAGCAGCTATTGTCGGATTGTAGGCGACTGCGCCATGTATCGGCGGCACTTTTGGCACATCGTTGCGCACATATTTATATTGAGAGTCCACGCCCAAGTCGGCCGCTGTTAAGGACGGCACGGCGAACATGGTGCTGGACTTCTCTATCGGCGATATGAGAGTCGAGGAACCATCGCTGGGTTTTCTCGCGCCCGTCTGTAGACTGCCCAATGTCACAACTCCGTCAGGTGCGGTGGTCCCACGAGTCGGTCCAGGTCTCGCTCGTGTCTTGGACGCCCTGATTGCGGCAGCAGACACAGGATCAATCGATTCGGACGAAGGACGCGACTTGTGCTTGCGAGAAGGCGAGCGCCCGAACTTTGAGAATAGGCTATTTGAAGTTCCCGAGTTATTGGGAGGATTGAACTCGGCCATCACCTCTGCGCTGGCCATCTTTCTCGGGCGGGACACCTGACGCTACCCCTGCAGCCAGAGTTGAGCTCCCGATTTGATGTCAGCAAAGTGGACGCATCGGGCTGTAGCTAGCGAGGTAGTGTGCGGTGGTGAGTCGAGAACATGCAAGGCGTAGGAGGGACTCCGTTAGAGCCGTCCTGAGTGGACGTTGGATCGACGTTTCGGCTCAGGGGGAGCACATGCGAAACACCATACATCGCAAGCCCAGCAGGCACCCCCTGTCCTGTCCTGGGCGTGCCTTGTGCTTTCCCCACGTTGCCGCTACGGGCATACCCGAAGTTCTCGCTTCACATGCCCCTCAGCACCCCTCAAGCGACGCCAAAAATTCGACGGCAGCATTCGTCAAATGTAAGATGACAAAAAGCATATTGATATTGACATAACAACGGCTGTGAGCATGGAGGATGTCCCAGAAGCCGGACACTGGCCGGTAGACCCTCAACAAGACCAAGAAATTCAGAAGGATCGGCTGTGGGTGGACGGGTGCTTTGATTTCGCCCACCACGGTACAGGACAATAGCCCAACGCGCCAGGATCCAGTCTAACTTCCATCTCAGGACATGCCGGGGCACTGCTTCAAGGTCGCCAGCAAGGCAAAGAGCTATGGTGTGGCATTCACTCGGACGAGGCCATCTTGGAGAACAAAGGCCCAACGGTAATGACTTTGGCTGAGCGCGTGGCTGCGGTGGAAGCATGCCGATGGGTCACCAAATCTGTTCCCTACGCTCCATACGTGACATCGCTGCCATGGATTTCTCACTACGGATGCTGGTACGTCGTTCACGGTGATGACATCACCTCAGATGCCGGTGGTGAGGATTGCTACAGGTTTGTCAAGGCGGCAGATAGATTTCTTGTGGTCAAGCGAACGCCCGGTATATCGACGACAGATCTGGTTGGTCGTATGCTACTGTGCACTAAGAATCACTTCATCAAGTCGCTGACGGATTCGATTGAGGGGAAGGCAAATCCAGCGTTGGGCGAATCTTCAGGTGCTGAGATGCTGCAACGGATACGAAATTATGCCACAGATGAGACTGGTCTTCAGCCAGGTTGTGAAGTGTGGACGTGGAAGAGCTCACTCGAGGCAAAGCTGGAGTCTGACGCGGCAGACGCCGGATCCTTCAGCAAGCTTGTCCAAGGCAGTCCGCCGAGACCAGGCCAGCGAATTGTCTACGTTGACGGTGGGTTTGACCTGTTTTCTTCCGGCCACATTGAGTTCCTCAAGCGTGTTAGCCAGGCAGAGAATGGCGAAGCCTACATCGTCGCCGGCGTCCACGATGATCACATCATCAATCACTGGAAAGGTCTCAACTATCCGATCATGAACATATTTGAGCGTGGCCTCTGTGTTTTACAATGCAAGTACATCAACGCTGTCGTCTTTGGCGCGCCGTTCTCGCCCTCCAAGCCGTACCTCGAAACAATACCAGCAGGCAAGATTGACGCAGTCTATCATGGTCCAACAGCGTTCATGCCACTGACATACGACCCGTATGTCGCCGCGAAGGAGATGGACGTCTTCAAGACCATCGACACCCATGACTTCGCGCATGTGAACGCGGGCGAGATCGTGTTGAGGATCATGAAAGGTCGAGAAGCATTCGAGGAAAGGCAGAGGCGGAAAGGGCAGAAGGCGATCGTCGAGAACGAGGTGCGGCAGAAGGAGATTCTTGCAGCTCATGAGGCGGCTGCTGCTGGGAAGGAGGCTAAAGCGTAGCCCGATCTACTGTTCCTTGCAAGCGTATACCCATTCATAGCGTAACGCATTCATAGACAACCATCCATTTTCGGGTCTTTTCTGTATATGGCCGAGAAGCCATACATACAAGACATGCCTACCTAGGTAGCAAACGCAGGCGTGCCCGTCAGCATGCTGAAAAGACTCTGCTGATCTGGAGTGAGCGCTTCGAAGGCCTTCAGAGCAACTTTATGGTTCTGATCTCGCACGAGTCCACACCTCTCGCGCAAATCATAGCTCGTGATACCTCAAACAAACGACCGACAGGGATACTGATCGTTGTAAGCCTGTTCCTCCGCAACGTGATACTTCTCCACGCCGCCTGTGCCAACCTTACTCCTCGTCGCCACGGGCATCGGCGGCATACCACCTTCCCCAACCAACACCTCATTCACCTTTCCCAGACCCAGATCCTTTGCCTGCAGGTAAACCGCTAATCCACCAGCTTCGTCACCCATCTTGCCTGCCTCGACCAACTGCTTACTGCCTTCCTCCCCGGCTAACAGCTGCGGACTCGGCTTCGCCGCACTCCCCATATGCAGCAGCTGCACCGCTTTTGATTGCGTAATCGTACTGCTCACTGGGTACGCCCTTCGCACATCGCGGCGCCAGTATGGGTTGTCCGCAATGTCGGCGGCGGGGACGGTGACGGGGTCGTCGTAGGCTTTCGGGTCCTGGCCGCCGGGGGCGGGGTTGCGGAAGTGCTTGACGGGGACGCCGTTGCTGCGCTCGGGATCGACGGCGAAGAAGCGGCGGATGCGCTCGAAGACGCCGGTGCTGCCTTGAGTGTACTTCTGCGCACTAAAGTTAGGACGTGTTCGAGGTGGGCTCAGGGGAGTGTTATATGTACCTTTGAGATGTGGATGGCGTTGTTGAAGGGGAGTTTGGAGGCCATATCGGCCGGCACAAGCGTGTGGCTCGCTGCCACTCAAGCAACCAAGTTGGTGTAGCTGCAGTGCCGCTTGAGGGTTCGCGCCGAATGTCTGTAAAGTAAGGATGAGGTCTTTGCTTAAGCAACCTCGAGCTCGACACGACGACGACGGCATGTACCTGCGGTCGTATGGCTTGGCATGCCAAGGCTAGACTCCACCCATACGATGTTGGAATTCATTCAGAAAGATGCCACGGAAGTCCTTACTTGCCAAAGCGTGACACTGAAACTTTCCACATTCAACATCCCGACGGTCCCTGAGACGTGAGGTCAGGTCATCGTCGCCTTGAAGCAGGTGTCACGCGTGACGTCTTGGCACGCTCTAAGAGGTATCTGACGAACTTCGTGTGAATTTCAGTCTTTTTACAGTCGATGAGTGTGGGGTCACATTTGAGAAGACGATCAGGCGGGAATGAGACGGACAGCCAGGAATTTCCAGCAGCAGCATGCCAGGGTAATGTGAGCATTGGCAATGACCGGGATATGATGCTACTTGACCGCCAGTCGAATAGCCCAGTCACTGTTTCCGTCCATTCCTCCATCAATTGACCTGCGCTGGACCACAGTGCGTGTGGGAGCCAGATCTACCGGCATGGATCTGCCTCTCCATCCGCAGTGGACCAGCACCAACGACTACGTTGAGTCTCTCCTTGGTTTCGTTACCGCTTCCGCATTATTTCAAAACCTATGTGGCGGCGTACATGTGCTCGACTTTCTCACCAGAGAACCTGACATCTATGCTTCTGTGCTGCCACAAGAATGGCGAGAATGGTTCGAGGAGATCGATGTCCACGACTTGCTACAGATTTTGCTGAGGACAGAGATAGGGGATCAGCAGGACGATGGCGAGCTACGTGGAGTGGAGGGTCAGCTGTTGACTGCTATTCCCGAGAGTTTGAGAGAATACATATTTCGTGTCCGCATACACACTTTGCAGCGAGAATTTTCTTCAGGTAGGAATCAAAATACCTCCCCTGAGGGCAGCAGCAGCAGCAATCACCTCCCCATGCCACGCCATGTTTCTGTTGGTATGAAGCCGAAGAAGATGCATGAAGTATCCAACTTCGCGTCGTTCGTTGCAAGCCTTTCGAGATCTCTGGAGAAGCCCATTCCTACTCAAGCAGGTTCAAGAAGCGGAACGGCAGACCTGAAAGTGGTCGACTTCGGCTCAGGACAGAATTACTTGGGTCGCACGCTGGCATCGCCGCCTTACAACCGGCATGTCATCGCTATTGAGCGCAAGCACCATAATGTGGACGGAGCGCGCGGATTGGACATCCAAGCCAAGCTTGTCAAGAAGGAGAAGATTATGCGCAACAAGAAGGAGTATAAGCGGCAGCTGGCAGAGATGGCTTCTGGGATGAAGTCGAACGGCATTCTTACCCCACCGCCTTCAGATCTTGAAGTCGACTCGAAACCTCCGCGGCTCTCGACCGGTTCTGAGCACGTTGAACCTCATGACAACATCGCAAATCACAAGGATTCGGAGTCGGACCCCGAAAGGGGCTCAATGACACATATCGAACACGACATATCCTCCGGCGAAATTGAATCCGTCGTTTACTCAGACTTGCTCAACGAGGCACAGAGAGATCCGTTGATGACGGTCTCGCTTCACTCGTGCGGCAATCTCACCCACCACGCCCTACGATCAATCCTCAACCCATCAGTGCGCTGCGTTGCCGCCATAGGCTGCTGCTACAATTTGATGACAGAGCGGCTCGGGCCTGCGACATACAAGCACCCAGAGCTACATCGCTCATTGCACCCACGACTCGTGGCGACAAGCACGGCTTACGACCCGCAGGGCTTTCCAATGAGTCGGAGGTTGGAAGAGTATACGTGGACTTCAACAGCGGATGCCAAGAGTGAAGATACCACTCACAGCGACGAGGGATCTTTATCACCCAGGGAAGGAAGAGGCATCCGCATGAACATCACTGCCCGAATGATGGCCGTTCAAGCACCCGGTAACTGGGGTCGAGAGGACAGTGAGATGTTCTTTACTAGGCACTTCTATCGTGCGCTGCTGCAGAAAATCTTGCTGGACTGTGGTGTGGTCAAGCAGGGCAGAGCTACGGTCGAGGTTGAGGAACGTCCTGGGGCAGACGAGGCTAACACACCACTGATAGTCGGCAGCCTTCGTAAAGCCGCTTTCGACAACTTCGAAGCATATGTCAAGGCCGCATTGGGCAAGCTGATTGCGAATGAGGAAGCAGATGCTCAGATTGCGGGCAAGAGTATAATCAAAGCCAAGACTGCCCATCTGACCTCCGAAATGATCCAGCATTATGAACGAGAATATGCTCATCGGCGGAAACACCTTGCAGTGATGTGGAGCTTGATGGCGTTCAGCGCAGGCGTCGTCGAGAGTCTGATTGTGCTGGACCGGTGGCTGTGGTTGAAGGAGCAGAGCTGCGTTGAGCGGGCGTGGGTGCGGACTGTGTTCGACTATGGAATGAGTCCGAGGAATTTGTGTGTTGTTGGGATGAAGCGGAAGGACGTCGGTGGTGGGGAGGGGTAGCGGAGGAGAAGGGGTCGGACAGGTGGTGTTTTTGGGAAAAGGATAGTCAGCAACGGCCATGTACAAAATCCACGTCCATGAATCAATTTGATGTGTCGTGCTGCATCATCGAGAACAGTTTGAGTGCAGGTTCGAGCCTCTCATCCGGGCGACCTCGCTTGAATAGGATGCAATCCCCCTGCCAAGACTTTCTGTTTGCCTGCGATCCCCCTTCGCCTGAAGCTCACACATCCTCCCTACGCTCAAAAAGCAAAAAGAGATGGTTTCTGAGGGGTTTGAACCCTCGTATTCTCGACACCAACAGGACTTGCTGTTGAAGTTAGTTTTGCCGCGCCTCGCTCGCAGGGCAATGGGATGAACTTACAACCTGTGCTGGAAGATGTTAGACGATGATCGACGATTCAACGAGCAGTTTCAACTAACCGGGCGAACCCATGTGATTTCTAGTCACACGCCTTAACCACTGGAAGAGTTAGCAGGCTGTTCAAGACCTGAGAGCTCTGTCATGAACCTACCTCGGCCATAGTGTCTAGTCAGAACTGTGTCTGATTGTTGGAGCAAATTTTGCGCACCCAAATACATATCGCAGCGTAGATTTTAGCCGCTGATAGAAGGTCTTCCGAGGAACAGTCATGCCTGATTTGTGGGAAACCCAGCCAGTGGTTCGGGCGCAGTGAATGCTAGAAAGTGCTGGGTCGGGATTTTCATGAGGGGTTTACGTGGCACCCCTGGCTGATGGCTTCCCCACCATGACCCTGAAATCTGAACTCGAACACCAAGAATTTTCCGTAAGCACTCACGTCACGATCCAGCTCAATCATTCATCGTCGCAGCGCTTTTTGAGCATGGCAGACACAAACGCAGGCAATCCGCAGTATATGAGGATGCCAAGACCGGAATTTCCTTATTCGGCCAGTGGTCCAGCAGACTTGGGAAGTCATCGCACAATCATCAGAACGCTGTCAAGAACCGTGAAATCCATCAGCGCTGCATGGTCAAGTAAGGCCAACATCGCACGTCCGACGATTTCGGTCGAGTCTAGGTACGATGCATCGACGTGAACTGCCTCCATCAGGTTCCCATCTGCCCAGATGACCACAGGACTCTTCAGAATTGCAACGAAAAGGGACACCTGTCCTTGGACTGTTCATCATTCGAGGAGTACTAACTTAAGTGGGAGAATTCACTGGAGACCCAGCCAGAATCAGTCCAAGGGATGCACCGGCGTCCAGGATCGCTCGGCTTCGATGCTTGCTGGTGATGCTGAGTACCTGGTACGTATCTAGCTGCTGCTCTTCGAGTCGAGACAAAACGAGATACTTCCAGGAGCATCAGCCCGGCGAGTTCGACGATGTCTTACCACACCTGACTTTTCAACGTCACGCGGACTCCCGGCTCAAAGTTGACCTAGGTAGGGTTCCTGCTTTTCTCCCGGCGCCACCACCTTCTCGGACGCCACCCACTCGTGGCCTCCCCGCAATTCGCTTGTTTCTCCCCCGCTCACGCCGCTTCCGGCTAAGGCTCACTGGTTACTTGTGGCTTCGCATGAATTGACTTGGACCTCACGTCATACCCAAGAGCTCGGAGGAGCTCGCTTACACTGGTAGGTACCTCGAAGTCAGCACATAGTTAATAAGCTCGAAGATGAAGTATTGCCTCCGGCGGTAGCAGAGCGCCAGAACTCCAAATCAGCACTGATCATGTTGGCCAACCTCGCAGTGCTGTGCGCATGGCTTGCTCAGCATATACTCGCTCAATCGACTGAGACTGTCCAGTGGTTACGCAGCATCTCAGCGATCCGCCTTACGAGAACTACTTCTACTCCGACTGTGGTGTCGACGCTCAAGTCGTGGTGACCAGTCCTTTGCCAGACTCTAATCTCTCGATCATCGGCCCTCGCTTGATCATAGCATGGCCGGCCGGCAACAGCGGCATCTGCACTTTCTTCGAGCCTGAAGACGGCAAGAATGGCACATTGGGCATTGAGCTCGTCAACTCCACCGTCGGCGAGCCACTCGCGGCCATCAATGTCGAGGAAAGCAACAACAACTACTCCTTCGTCGGCGTGCAAGGTGTTATTGCGTTCAATTCTTCAGCGAAGCTGACGGTGCCCATCTTGGGAAGTGTCCGTACCATTCGGGATTTCACAGAAGGTCCGAGTCTGCTGTATCCCAAGATTCAGGATGCCATCAATGTGACAAGATACAACTCGACTGGCGCTTTGATCTCCAGAATGTGGCTTGACAACTCCACTGTAAGTCTTCTTTCTCGGGTCGACACCTTCGGGCAATGCCAGGTGACTGACACTCGCGTAGGTGTCGAATTTCACCCTGGTACCGTACAGTAACAATTCGACAAACATCACTATTGACAATGGAACACTTTCATTCGATTCGGGCTTTTACCTGTTCACTGCATCTTTCAACTATCCTCAGCTGGAGCAGCTGACACCCGAGGAGGTCCTGAACAACGCTTCTCAGACGCTAATCGATGATCAAGAAGCAGAAACTACGTCGCTCTCCTTCCTCTCGTACACCGACAAATTACTTGCAGGAGCCTGGCGCTTTCTTACCTACTTTGGCAGGGACAGCATGATTGCTGCCCTGTTGCTCGAGCCTGTCCTATCGACGGGAAATGCTTCTGCCACAGAAGCTGTCATTGGAGCTGTGTTGGAACGCATCAACCGCACGGATGGTTCAGTCTGCCACGAAGAGACGTTGGGTGACTACGCGACCTGGCTGCATCTGCAGGACAATGAAACGTCAACGGACCCGATCTTCACTTATCCTATGATTGACACAGACTTCTATCTGCCTGTCATCATGGCCCGGTATTTTGAGCGCTTCCCAGACCGGATTGAGCCACTCTTGTCGAGGGAAGCTGGCAGTGTTGATGTGGCCAACCAAAACCTCACCTATGGCAATCTCACAGCTATCAATGCAGACAAAATTCTGCGCATCACCGCTCCATTCGCCAATAATCAGACTCAGGGCAATTTGATTTCTCTGAAGAGTAGCGAAATTGTAGGAGAGTGGCGCGACTCGACGTATGGCCTTGGTGGTGGTCGCATTCCCTTCGACGTCAACACGGCTCTCGTGCCTGCAGCACTTCGCGCACTATCACAGCTCGTCGATATGGAAGGAGTCTTGCCTGACGCTGCCTTCACGTCGTCCGAGATGTCGGATCGCGCAAAAATATGGGAAGACTCGACTCTGGAATTCTTTCAGACTTCTCTGAGCACCACAGAGGCATCTTCACGCCTGGAGGACTACGTCAGCAGCGTTGACTACTACAGTGGACCGACTTACAACGATACGCTCCCTGAGTCGGGTAATATCACCTCATATGCAATAGCACTCGACGGCTACGATGACCTGTCTGTGGTGGACGTCATGCACAGCGACACCTCCTTCCGCATGTTCTTTGTGAACTCGACCGATCAGGAACAGCTGACATCATTCATGAACTCGACCGCCCAGGAAATCAATCGACCCTTCCCAGCTGGCCTGCTCACAGGCGTGGGAATGGTAGTCGCAAATCCAGCACTCTCCGGCTCAGACGTGCTGATCCAGAACTTCACCAATGCCGCTTACCACGGAACAGTAGTGTGGTCATGGACTCTCGCAATGATGGCCGAGGGCTTCAATCGCCAGCTCTCTCGCTGCAATTCTACCCTAGAGACGGCACCAGATTGGTGCAACAACACCAGCGTTTTTGGCAACGTGGTCAATGCATATAACAACTTATGGGACGTGATTGAGGCCAATGAGGCTCAGTTGCAGAGTGAAGTCTGGAGTTGGACGTACGACAACTCTACCGAGGCCTCTTCGAATGGTACTACTGGCTACACGGTCACTCCATTGGGTGCTCTGCCGCCGCCTCCTGGTGTCTCGGGCGGGACGGAGAGTAACGTTCGGCAGCTTTGGAGTTTGACGTTCTTAGCTGTGAAGAGGAACGAAGCGTGGACTTAGTCTCGCTTGGACAGGCAGCATGTAGACGTGACGAGTCACGGTCAATGGAGTCAGTAACAACAAGTAACGTTGATGAGTCTACGGGATCTGGGGAAGACTGCGTCCTCTCTTGTGTCGTTTTCCGCACTCCAGGTAACTACACTTGCGTAAGATATCAATCCAGATAAATAATACCTTACCATGGCAGAACATCGAACAAGGTCAAGCTGTGTCTGCGCCACCCAGAAGACGCACTCGGCAAGAACCCAGGAGGCCTGGAGCGCACGTTGGCTAAAAGGCGCTGCTTCCTGGTCCTGACAAGCAATCTCAACAGCTGGTGCACGCAATCTAGGTATGCAGCATCATCCGAGGACTTCCTTGACAGGAGCAGAGCCTATTGCCACGGCAAGCGGTCCAATCGGTAGCCTGCCATGGCATCTAAAGTGGCCATAGCACACAGCAAGTATCGGACTATGATCGTTCAAAAAGCAAAAACAATCAACAAACGGGATTCGCTAATGGTCACCCACTTAACTACTAACCGTTCGGCGTGTGGCTTAAATTGCCTGAGCGGACGGGAAGGCTTGTTTTCCACACCCTGTGGTCGATTGCGAAAGAGAATTGAAGACTGCTAAAATATATAGCTCAAAAATTTCAGGTGTCTTGTAGTGGAGGTGGAAGAGGTTGGATATCTGTCCCTTTGCCAAGGCTTCCGCGTTTCTCCTTCTCTCCTGGCCCTTGAATTTACATCTGAGCAACTTCGTCTGTTCTGCACTTGACCATGATCTAGATTCGTTCGTTGGATGTCTAATGCTCCTCTGTTGCTCTGCCTAGCAAGTCGCTCACTCACGAAGATGACCTCGGGCTTGGTACTTTCGACATGCGGCTTGCCGATTGGGTTTTGTGGCAGAACCATCCCGCCACGTTCTCTTGACCTGCATACCAATAACAACCTGAATCATGGCCAAGCGTCTTAATTCCTGTTCAGTCGCGCAGGATAGGTCTCCTGCCTCAGAAGACCTTGACTCTGCGCTTGATTCGTCTGGTAAGCGAGTCGTGAGGATGGGCAGCCAAGGGGTCTCGCCGTCCTTGGCCTGCATACCCCCTCATCGAAGATACGAGTTTTCTGGGGAAGTTGTGGGGATGGGGGACTGATACATCTAGAGGTCTGATCGTTAAGTTGATAATGAAAGCCATGATGGACCCAGGGCACGGCGCTTCATCAAACAGAATCATCACTTCTCGCAACAGCTCCTGCCTACGTGGCTTCGAACACAGACATTGTCAGAACACACCAGATCCCGAACAAGATCGCACGCTTTGAATACCTGAGCTCGTTCCCTTTTCTCCAACATGGCGTCTATTGAGAAGGCAGAGCCGACGACGATGGAAGTCGAGGCTGTGCCCAAGTTGACAGAGCACTCCAACCCTGACCAGCTTGCTGAATTCGAGCCCAAGCGCGCTCGTTCTATCAGACGCAAGGTCGACTTACGCCTCCTGCCTGCTCTAGCATTTATGTACGCCATCTGTCTCATCGATAGGAACAATCTGGCCGCATTAGCACTTGCTGGCATGACGGTCGAGCTTAAAATAGTTACAGGCTATGGCTACAAGTATGTATTCCCAGCACAATGCCAGCAGCGTCCCTAGCTGACGATCATGGAGCCTGATCAACATGTCGTTCTTCATCACATATATCCTATTGCAGCCAGTCATGATCATCGTCGGCAGGAAGATAGGACCTCGATGGTTTCTACCAGCGTGTGTGGTCCTCTGGGGCTGCCTCATAATTGGTGCTGCGTGGAGTCCGAATTGGACCACACTGCTCGGCATCAGACTCATCCTGGGCTGCTTGGAAGCCGGCTTCTTTCCCTGCTGCGTGTATCTTATTAGTGCATGGTATACAAGATGTACGCCACCCTGTTGCGGCAGACGCTGCCCAAGCTGACCGTTTTCAACAGTCGAGAGCGCGAAGAGATACTCCGCTTTCTATCTGACTGGTAGCTGCATGGCAGCTCTTGCGAGTGTTGTCTCATACGGTCTGTCCGAAATGAAAGGAATTGGTGGCTTGTCAGGATGGCGATGGTCTGTCGATCAATGTCCCGAAGCTCCCTGTGACTGACGTCTAGCCAGGATCCTGATCATGTTCGGCATCTTCACAGTAGGAGCAGGCGCCTACGGAGCTCTGACTATGGTCAAGTTCCCAGACGAGGAGCTTAAGAAGCCCTCTCCCAAGTTCCTCAACAGAGACGACCTTGACTTTGCGACTGCTCGACTGCACGCTGATCGGGCTGATGTTGAGCTCGAGCCGTTCACCTGGAAGCGCTTTCTGGAGCCAGCTACGGACTGGTACATCTATGGTTCCCAGCTTTACTCATGCTGAACACTGCGCTCGGCTACGCATTTGCGTTCACGCTGCCGGTCATCCTACGAGGATCGCTCGGCTTCAGCGTTGCTAAAGCCCTTTGCTTAACAACGCCACCGTACTTCTGCTCCGCATTGGTCATGTTCGGCGCAGCATGGATCAGCGACAAGTACCAGACACGCGGTCCTGTCTTGATCACACTGACTTTGATCTCGCTTGTTGGGCTGCCCATCATGGGCTGGGTCAAGAATCCATGGGTGCAATACTTTGGTACGTTGGCGCGAAGGGGCTTTGATGACATGGCATAGTATACTGACCAGACGTTCAGGGGTCTTCGTCACGATCAGCGGCGCAAACAGCGCTATTCCTAGTGTCATGGCATATCAGGTACGTTCAACTATCATGAGGCATTCGATCAAGGACTGATGGTGATAACAGGCCACCAACATCCGAGGCCAATGGAGGCGAGCATTTTGCTCCGCTTCCTTGACCGGGTTGGGAGGTATCGGCGGGATCATCGGCGCTCTGATCTTCAGGGCTCAGGATGCTCCAAAGTACTATCCGGGCTTCATTGCCTGCATCGTGTAAGTTATCTGGGTTCTGTGGACAAGTGTGTCGTTCGCTGACAAGAGCAACAGCGCATCGGTACTCATCATTATTATCGTGCTGATCATGTCGTGGTACTTCCGTCGATGCAATGCTCAGGCGGATCGAGGCGAAAGGATTCTGCTAGGCGATCCGAACTTCAGGTTCACCATTTAGCCATGCTTTGGTTCCAGTCACGCCACGAGCGTACTCGCGGGCGTTGCAAAAGCCGGCAGCGGATAGCGCAGGCAGGCATCGAAGTTCGCCCTCTGTTAAAACGAAGCATGTGGGCAATCGTCTATAAGCTGTGAGTTCACGGAGTTTTAGTAGTGGTGGAAAATCCGTGTGAAAAGAACAGGCACGGCAGCCAGATTCATTTAGCAACTCCCCAACCTTTACTCATTTCCAATTTTGCTTTTACGTTGCCTAAGTGGTTCTCGTGGTAGCATTCGTCACCGTTCCAGACTTCTTGCTTATCGAGTTTTCTCGATCAGGCGTCAGACCAAAGCTCCTTCGCGATTTCGACCTCAAGCCGCACCTTCGCCCACTGCTCATCATAGCTTAGCGAATTGCCTTCTTTCGTAGAGCTGAATCCGCACTGGTGCGACAGGCACAGCTGATCAATTCCCTGTCCACAGTAGCCTGCTGCCTCTTTCACTCGCTTCACAATGTCCTCTTTGACATCCAATTCTGCCTTCTTCGAGCTCATAACTCCCAAGACCACGACCTTGTTCGGTGGCAAGTGTCTCAACGGAGAGAAGTCGCCCGAACGTGCATCGTCGAATTCGAGGAAGTAGGCGTCCACGTTCATTTCTTTGAAAAGCACTTCCGCCACGGGTTCATATCCGCCTTGAGCGAACCATTTGCTGCGGTGGTTACCTCGACACAGATGAATGCCAATAGTCATGTCTTTTGGGCGCTTCTCAATGGACTTGTTGATCAGCTCTGCATATCGCCTAACCAGTACATTGGCGTCTCCGTGCCGTGCTTCCGCCTCTTTCCTCATGGCTGGGTCACATAAGTACGCAAGGTTGGTGTCGTCCAGTTGTACCATCCGACATCCCGCAGCATACAAATCCGCGAGCTCCTCCTGGTACACACGTGCCAAATCCTCGAAGAACTCATCCAGATCCGGATACACCCTTTCGTCAATGGTGGTCCGATCATTCCGGAAGTGGACCATGGTAGGGCTCGGAATGCAGACTTTCGTCGTCAACTTGCTCTCGGCACCATTGGCCTTGATCTGCTCCTCGAGAAACAGGAAATCGTCGACCTGAATCGCCTTGGAGTGGCCCAGTTTGCCAGTGACGACACATTTTGGTGGTCGGAAATCAGAGACTGAGGCAGCGGTGCTGTTCATCTGGCCCTGGATCTCAGTGCCATCGAGGTGCTGTAAGTAATCGAGGTGGAAGAAGGCGCGACGGTACTCGCCGTCAGTGATGGATCGTAGGCCGGAATCAATCTCCGAGGTCACGACTTCGGCGATGTGTTTGTCCTCGATCGCGCGGAGATCTTTGTCGGTGATTTTGCCCGCATCGCGCTCATCGCGTGCGTCGAGTACGGGTTTGGCACGCAGTAGGGAGCCCACGTGGTCGGCGCGGTAGACGCCGAATGGAAGTGGCATCTTCTGCTGTGGTGGTCAAGCTGGTCGTGGTCTTCAGCAATGTCAGAGACCGATCTCGGTGGACAAATTGAGAAGATCCTCCTGGATGTAGCAAAGGCTGGAAGTTCCGCTTTATGTGAGTTCTCATACTCTGTAGCAAACGTTGAATGCAGAACTGCCGTGGTATTGGAGCCCTTGTGGCCGCGGGGGCGACCTCCCTCCGTCATACCGAAAAAAGCATCATGATCTTCCAATATTGGAGCCTCGCAGTCTGCTGATTGGCCACGATCAGATCTCAGAGGATACTTGGGTCAGACTCTCGGCTGTGACGCTGTGCAGAGTTTACGACGTTGTAATTTGTTCATTGGTGGGAGGTTGAGTAAGCGACTGCTTTCGTTATTGGCAAGATCCGTAGTAGTACGTGAAAGGTCTACCAAGATACCAGGTACCTTCACAGGCTCATCCTCGGTTACAGTATGTCTCTGATATCCTTGCAACTGACCTTCATCGCAGATAGTGTCGAGCGTACACAGCAGCAATGCTGTACCACACCTGGTCTACTCATTTGCGCCTGGGAAGATCGCGGTTGCTCATAAGTCATCAGATACGCCAGGATCCTACCTGGAAAAGACCCAACGGAAGGCTCTATCTTGGACCACAGTCCGCTCTAACAAAAGTGACCCAGGTCGTCCTGGTCGGCTCAAGCGTGCCTTCCCCCACGGCTACTGCCCGGTGGCCCCTGACCCGATCTCAGCTGCAAAGTCGTGGCTGTAGCACTGGCAGCCACGCCGTACAGCTTGCGCTTGCCGCTGGACACCTACCAGAGCGCTTTCCCATCCCAGAGAGCCGATAGTCGTGCTTGCCATCGCTTCCCAATCCTCGGACGTTCGACGGCAGCAGTCTACGCCAACACAACAACCTAACGACACAAAACGTTCTGTGTCATTTGAGGTTGTACCTGCTGCCGGCGATTGGCACACAGACGGCTTCCACGTTGTTTCCATCCGGATCAAGCAGAAAGCCAGAGTAGTCTGCTATAATGTGAGCGGGCATTAGATTTGGGCACCCGAAACACATACAAGGCTGAACACTCATCTCAGCATGCACTTTCGGCGAGCCGTTATCCTGTCCTCCACATGAGCTATCGATCCATCAGCTTCGCATGAGTTCTCGAGACTTGCACACATACAGCCCTGCTTTATGGAAAGCGTCAACGTCCGCGTTCCCTGTAGAAGTCAGAAAGGCCCCATCTCGGTCTAGTCGAGCTCACTATGGGCGTCGAAGGCAATGTGTGTCGGAACGTTTGGCTGGTCTCTGGGCAACGCTCTCAAGAACAAGTAAGGATAATTGGACCCGATGCCAACATAACCCTCAGGATCGATCGTGATCAGCTCTCGGTAGCCCAGAGGTCTCAGTGCTTGTACATAGAAGCTTCGAACGGCGGCGAAACGGCAAGCCGTGACGCGGATGTAGATGTGGTTTATTGTCATGTTAGCTGCACGTAGTCATAGAATAGGACCGTTTGCGAATTGGAAGGCGTGAAGCTGACGATGTTGAAAGTTATCCAATACATATTTGGCTATCGTCTTATAGTGAAACGCTTTGCAAGCATTCCAGCACTGGCGGACTTACCGCGCAACGTGGTCGCATAAGCCAACTGAAACAGAAGACCTTTAAATCCGAGGACAAAGATCGCCCAAAAGAACGCGTACTAGCTGCACGAAGCAGCGTGTGCTGTCGCTGGTCGCTTCACAGACAGTACTGGCTGCTGATATGAATCGCATGAACACGAGACGAGGTCCTGGACGTAGTGGGAAGAGAGGGTGAGATAGCTTTCAGACCAACAAGGACAGCTGACCGGGACTTTGGCAGCTTACGTAAGTAAAGCCTCCACATTAAAGAAGCTGCAAGTGATAAACTTCGAGACGCATAGAATATCTCGCCTACAGCATAATCACGGTTTCGATGATTAGAAGAACTCAGAGAAGATATCACTGTTTGCGTACGAGGAAACAGAGTCTTTCGAGGTCCCCACGTGATTTTCGCTCCACTTCCAAAAGGACTGCTGCTACGACCGGGTCCTTAACCCGACTTCAGCTCCTCAGCGCTAAGTTCATAACAAGCACCTGCATCCGACAAGTCCATGCTAGCCGGAACACCAGCACCTCAACTCTGAAATATCAGTCATCACCTTTCGGGCCTCTCGCAGAACCGCGACGATCAGGGACCTGACCTCAACAAACACAGCCACGTCTGAATCGCGACGCAGATCATAGTGCAGCAAAGACGCTGCTGTTCGAGGGCAAGTCCGTCTGATAATCATTCTCGATAGATCAGGCTGTTGCGTATAGTCGTCAAAGGCCGGTGCACGGGACGCTCGTTCCCATGCCTGGCATGATGCCGGGGCGAAAGCAATGACATCAGCTGTACATATCGAAGAATCCGACAAAAGCGCATCTTCAGAAGAAACAAGCCCGTCCTCGGAGCTGGTCATACGGCCTTCGGCAAAAGCTGTCAAGAAGAGATGGCATTCCAAAGTGCGGTCAGTTGCTGGATCTTGCTTGAGTTGCGGGCGCTGATTTCTGTTGCCTAGGACTGGATGCGATATGTGCAAGAAACGCCGGGTAAGTCTTAAAGCACTCAGGAGTCCCCTGTCCTTCTACGTGCGATTCGAAATCTAAGTACATCAGGTAAAATGCGATGAACTGAAGCCAGCATGCTATAAATGCACAAGGAAGGGTCTCAAGTGCCCTGGATATAACCCTCCAACTATTAAGCTCTTCGAACTCAGTGATACCCCCGAATTCGACACTGCTGGAGATAAGGAGGCCTACAATGTCTTCATCGAGCGCGGGTCGAGGATATTCGCAATCGCAAACAGCAGATCCATGGACTTGTGGGTGAGGACGATTCCCCAATTGGCCTACCAGTACAAAGCTGTGCGACATGCTGTCATTGCGATGGGGACTGTTCAAGTGCGTGCCCTACAGAGCGAGCAATTTCCAGTTCCTCAAGCAACTCTCGTACACAGAGCCCGAGCTATGCAGCAACTATACAAGTCTGATCCATCAGAGTTGCCAGTAGAGGTGTTGGCTTGCTGCGCATTGTTCTTAATGATTCTGGATGTCTGGACAGAGAACGGTGCTGGCCCGGAGTTTCACCTGACTGCACTTTTCCGATTACTTCATGAGCACATAGCGATGCTGAAGAATCAGGGTCTTGCACCGAGTCGGGAGGTATCCGAGATATTCTTGCCTGCCATCGATTGGGCTCTGGTGAATTCCTTGACGGCAGTCGACAACTTTCCGCCCCCAGGATCACCGGTCTCTCCCGGATACAAGTTGCTCCTGAACCCAACCATTTCTGATAGCTTCACCGATTACAGGGGAGCTTTGAATAGCCTTGATGCAATCAACAAGACAACAGCGAGATATAATATCGGTCATCGACAACGTGGAATAGAAGAGAACATCTCAACGGCACTCGCTCGGTTCCGCGAACAAGTCTCTAGGCTCTCAAGCCAGTGTCTGCTTGACCCTGACTCTTCACGACGGAACGCGCTTTACGAAGCGTATCTCTCCGCGAACTGGCGAGCAACAAAAGTCATGTTTGAGAGTGCGGAGTACCCTTCAGAGTCACTCTTCAGTCCTTTACATGACGCCGATTTCCAACACATCGTGGTGTCGATGAAAATTTGGCTTGCAGGTGAAGCAACAATTCCGCCGAAACAACGGATACCCAACCTCGGCATCATACCTGCGCTATTCCTTGTGGCAACCAAATGTCGTGATTCTGGACTTCGTCATGACGCCGTCGAGCTGCTTCATGATGCCGCGCGGTCGGAGCGTGGATGGGACACATGTATCGCAAGCGTTATCGCGCGTTCCGTCATCAATACAGAAGGAATGGCCCTCACAGCCGGCGAGCCTTTTGTCACAGGACCTGACGTCGATGAAACACTCGCATCGATACAGGCGCATAGGCAGCGTCTGTATGTTTCGCTGGCCAAGGTCGACTTAGCACCGTCCGAAGGTGTAATACGCATCCGTTATTGGGAGCAGAGGTTAGAACCGAGCGGTTTGCAGGCGAGAAGGTCCGTGAAAGTCTCTATACCATACGACTCTGCGCTTGGAGCTGGGTCGCCAACCTTTGATATACTAAGTTCGAAAGTGCTAAGGGCGTATGGATATTCTGGATTCATTCTGACGGCGCCCGAGATCTCTTGCCAGTGTACGACCACAGACAGGAGAAGATCCGAAAGTGCGGTCCACAGCTGGGCTCGGGGCTTTGTATCATATGTTGTGTTGAGTGATGTTGATGACAGCGACGACGAGCAAGTATTGGACGTCACTACTGGGGGATCACATCATCCAGGCTCGAGAAGCAGCAGTGGAGGCTTCTTCCATTGGAGACCAATTTGAACTGCTTGTAGTGCGAAAGACCGCGGGCAGTCGACTTTGCAGCAAGCGCCAAAAATTCATCGCTTTGCCGATTGCTGTACTCTTATCATAGCTGCGACGGGATCACTTTCCGTCTAGACAGAGTCACGACGGGAATATGAACTGTCGAACTGGCCCTTGATCTAGGCGGTGGCTTCGAGGCAGTGAAAGACTTGGCGTGACCTCGGCACTCGGTTGAGCTTCAACGAGGACCTCGTCTGACACTCGTCTCCGCATCTGCCAGCCGTAACCGAATCAACAATGTACAGCAAGATCCTAGCCCTCGATCTGAAGCCTGCTGTTTCTGTATAAGAGGTAGGAAGACTGTTCGAAAGTTCGACGGGCTGCCATTCTATTTTCAGACCCACTGCGACCGTGATCCGCCATCATGAACTTCGACATTCCCCAGGACGTGCAAGCATTCATCAAGCGCATTGATGCCTTCATCAATGACACCATCCTACCTTTACAGCACCAAGATGATAACAACAGATTCTTTGATCACCGCCGAGAGTCGTCACGCACCCAATGGGACAACCTTGGCCTCCCTACTGAAGACTGGGAGCAACTTCTAGTCAAAGCCAAACGGCTCTCGGACGAGGCAGGACTCTTTCGCTTCGCATATCCGAAGGAGTATGGCGGTGCTGGATCCGATCAGCAGAACATCACTATGTGCGCCGTACGATATCATCTTGCCTCACATCCTGTGTACGGCGGAGGTGTGTCACTCGCCAACGACCTCCAGAACGAGCACTCCGTCGTCGGAAACAACCCTTTCGTGATCATGATGCATCACTACGGAACCCAAGCACAGAAGGACTACTACATCCCTGCCTCGACGCGAGGCGAGTTTCGATCGACCTTTGGCCTGACGGAAATTCACCATGGCAGCGACGCCACCCATATGGACACCACTGCCACCCCTTGCACGCTTGATGACGGCACGCCAGGCTACGAGATTAACGGCAACAAGAAATGGCAAACCGGCGCACACCACGCCAATCACTCCCTCGTCTTCGCCCGCACTTCTGGCAAAGCCGGCTCCCCTAAAGGCATCACTTGCTTCATCGTACCCACCTCCACGCCAGGCTACAAAGTCGTCTCATACGAGTGGACACTCAACATGCCCACAGACCACGCCACTATCGCCTTCAATAAAGTTCGCGTTCCCGCCACCCAGATCCTAGGTCCGATCGACAACGGCCTTGCCATCGCACAGACCTTCACACACGAGAACCGCATTCGACAAGCCGCCTCCTCCTGCGGCGCTGCACGCTTTTGCATCGACAAGAGTGTCGAGTATGCTAAGAAACGCGTCGTCTTCGGCAAGCCGCTGTCGACAAATCAAGCCATTCAATGGCCGCTCGTGGAGCTGTCGACGCAGCAGGAGATGTTGCGGCTCCTAATTCTACGCACGGCTACAGAGATGGACCAAGTTACAAGCCGGGCGCTGGCTGCAGGTCGTCCTGCATGGATCGATATAGAGAGGCAGCTGGGCGGTAAGATTGGAATGTGCAACTACTATGCAAATCGACTGTGCTGTGAGGCGGCGGATCGGGCGATCCAGGTACATGGTGGTGTTGGGTACAGCAGGGAGTACCCATTTGAGCATATCTGGCGGCACTTCAGGAGGTATAGGATCACGGAGGGCAGCGAGGAGGTACAGATCAGGAAGGTTGCGGCGTACTTGTTCGGATACAAGACGACGGGGGAAGAGGATCCGCAGGGAGCGGGACCGAAGTTGTGAGCAAAGTCGTCTTGAATGTGGCGTATTTGACGGCAGGGGTGCAATACGAGCGTGTGTATGAAAATGTCCGTATGAAGTCTTCAACAGGATCAATCAACCTTGAACTCCTAGCTCCGTAGATGTATTGCAGCTGCAGCTGGTACTGCCAGCTTCGTCATCCGGCTTGCCAAGAGCGCTCAAATATAACTGCACCTGCTGGTGAACGGCGTCCCAAACCTGTACACGCCTCCTCTGTTTATAGCGACCGACACATCACGCCTCCTCAAGCATTTCTCTGCATCAACAGACGTCTTCCACGACCAGTTTCTCGCCACTGTGCTCGCCCAGATCAATCTTCAGCCTCCTTTCGAAAACCTCCAACAACATCTCGAAACAAACCTTAGAAATCGCAGGATCATATCTTCCCTTGCTCAATTCGTCCCTAATGAACGCATCTATTGCACCTGTCAGACAAAACGTACATTGTGAAGAACCTAAAGCGGGAACTTGATGCCGCAGCCGATCCAGGTTCATGGGTATACGTACGCTGTGCTCCGAACACCTCATACCACGAGAAGTTCGTAGCCGCCTCATGCAGTGTCTTCCTAATCAGATCCCGCCCATCCGGCGGAACATGATTATCACTCTTGCCAAAGATCATGACCAACTCGCCCTTGATATCCCCGACCCTTTTCAAGCTGTCATCCTCCTTGCCCTTACCCAACGAATGCGAGTGAATGTCCGTCGCGAAGTAGCAGACCGCAGCTGATACTCTTGCGTCCAGCGCGCAGCGAAAGGCAAGGTGTCCGCCGAGACACATTCCCGTGGCGCCGATGCGGCCATTGCATGTCTTCAACGAGAGCAGCGTGGTGACTGAGAGCTCGGCATCTTCATCATAGGCCGCGACCTTCTTGGCGATCTTCCACTCGTTGCCAGCATCGGTGCCGGGTCCGTCGTAGGCGAGTGGTTCCGGCCCAGTGAATTCGTGGTAAGAGGAGGGTGCGGCGACGATGTAGCTGTCCGGCGATCTGGCGGGCGAAGCGGGCAACGGGGCCGGTCACTGTGGGTAGGGGTAAGCTGCCGTGGTAGTAATGATGTGAGACCTGTGAACCAGACCTTGATATATCTCGCTGAAGACTACAACACCTGGAAACTTCGCATGAGGATAGCCCGCTATGCTTGGGTGGAAGATGAATATGCCTGGGCGTGCTCAGCAGGTGGGCGCATTGCGGGCGTGAGAAGGCCTACGCATAGTCCCCGAGCCATCAGCCTTGGTGGCCACATCTTTGTGGCTTTCTTGGATCAACATAATGACAGGTCGAAGGCGCTCGACAAAGTGATTTGTACTGCGAAGTGCCTGCAAAGACGTTGGCGCCGTAAGTAGGCTTCGATGAGGGGTGCCTTTGGAGAATCGTGGGGTATAGTACTGCCCGGGAATAACGATTGCAAGCGCAGGGCATGCACAAGAGGTCTTCAGTATCTTCAATTTGACGAGTTGCTCATCGGCCCTGCTCTGCTCCAGCTAGGATGCAAGGACGAGCCTCCACGTCCTTTCCACACACCCTGCACCTTCCGAGTTCTCTGTCTTCGGGTCGCTCGGCAGTCATGACGGTCACGAATGATTAATTTGTTCCCTCCAACTGTTCACTCGACACAGGTCCTTGCTGATCTAGGTACTTCCCTAGAACGGAATTTACATACTGCAGAGACAAGGTCATTTTACGTTACTCTATGGCTCACTGCTCAAGCTCTATGTTGGACCTCGCTCCAGCCATACTTCCCAGACCATCTGATGAGCTGTTCCCCATAGCAAACCACTGAGATCTTCAGCCACGCCGCCGTCTATCGGATCTCCATCACATATTTGCAGCAAGCCATGCTTGCGTCTCTGGAATCGCATCGTAAGCATTCAGCCACTGTCGATATGGAGGTAGCGGAAATCTCGCATGCATGTCGGCCTTGGGCTTAGGATCCTTTCGACGCTCCGCCTCTGGCCGCTCCAAGTTCTTGTACAACGCCGCCGTCGTTGCGCGGATCATTTCGTTCCTTGCCTTGGCATCTTCTCCTCCCGCGTTGAGGAAGCCATAGGCCTCGTGACTTGCTTGCTGCATACGCTCCACGCGAGGCTTACGCATCTTCTCATAAGCCAGAGTTGCGTCACTAATCGGTCGACCATTCTTGTGAGCCCAGTCGATACATTCAGCCAGCACACCGCCATCTTCTATAGCAGAATTGCCGCCTGACGCCGAATGTGGTATCACTGTTCTGTTTAGCAAGTACTAAAACAAGGCCAGGGTCACTTACTGGCGTGGAAAGCATCTCCAGCAAGAACCACTCGGCCGTTATCGCTGCGGCAGGTCGGCAGAGGTGGCAGCTCAGCCAGTGTCCACTTCACACACTGGTCAATGTTGCTTAACAGCTCAACAAGCTCAGCACTACAATCTTTGAACACCTCCTGAACCACAGAAGGGTCCTCCTTGACGCCCCAAACACCAGGAGGGACGTCGCTATCCCGGACCTTGCAGAGGACAAGATCGTAGGGCCGATGGTCGGGCAACCGCCAGCCAAGGATGTATCGATCATGGTCCACGAATGCCATCTCAACGCCACTATTGTCGACCAGCCACTCCAGCTTAGGATTGCCCCTGATTCTGTCCTTCGGCACCGTTGCACGCCAGCACTGCTCCTTCAGCGCACGTGGTTCAATACCAGCGCATCTTGGTATTGAGTGGCGAACGGGAGACTTCATGCCATCAGCTCCAACAACGAGATCCGCTTCAAATGTTCTGCCGTCTCTGCAGTGCACGACTGGTCGTTCGAGATCAACATCGACTCGCGTTACGTCGGCACTGAACACCATCTTCGCGCCCCTCGCTTCCGCGCCATCTGCCAAAGTCTTCTGGTAGTCCGCCCGATTGATGACCCAAGTTTCTGAGCCATATTCGATTTCGCTGTTGTTGCCAATGTTCTGCGCCAGCAGGCCTATCAATTCGTTCGTGAGTGCGTCTCGCAACTCGACTCCATTGTCGCGGGTAATCACTGGCTCGAACGCGTCGGCCAGACCATAGCTCTTGAGGACTTTGGACCCGTTGGCGAGTATGCCGATCGAAGCACCGAACTCGTTCAGCCCGTCTTTGGCTTCGAGCACAATCACATTGTGGTTCTTCAGAGCGAGGGCGCAAGCTGCGCCTAGTCCGCCAATGCCAGCACCGACAATGACAATGTCGAGCGGTGCGATGCTACCCATTTTTCTGCTCTGTTGGTCTTGAGATTCTGATTGACTGACGAATCTTCAAAATGCCTTGTTCTTGTAGCCCTGTCCGCGTGCTTCAAGATCTGAGCTCTAGTCATAGGTCATGAAACATCAGATACATCACTTTCAGATAAGCTTACCTTCGAAGCAGGCCAAAGTGCGAGCGTCTACCAAAGGTAGGCGTTCTAGTACTGTAATTTCGATTACACAACCACACAAAGTCTTGCGAGGTCGATGGACCACGAGGCTCTCGCTCCATTCATATACTGTATTACTCGTACCTAAGGTCATCGCAGACTTATGTGTGCGCATCTGTGAATCCCCACAAGAGCCCACACCGAACGTGTAGACATGGAACGCCGACGTCAGCCGAACCATATCTCCTAGGCTCATGCCCCATAGGAGAACATTCGTTTCGCAACTGACTTTCACACAGCGTAAGATCGGCGTGCATGCCAGAAGTCAGCAAGTGTGCGATGCCATGGCACTGGAGTCATCGTTAGGGAAAGACCGAGGACCCTGTCCCCATTTGGTATACTCGGCGGGCCTAAAGGTGGGAACTCATTCATCGCTGTCTACTGCTGTACATCGTACATAGGGCAACTGGGCAAGTCAATCATCTTGGCGAGGGTCGTGTAGGTCTGGTCAAAATGTAAGATGCTGGGATTGGTCTTTCTGATAAGGTAAGCATGGCGGGATCTAAACTCTGGGCAGGAGGGCGGGACTACAACGCCTGTCGTACGCACGACGCTCATCCTTCAGCAGTTTCACGTGGGGAGAATGTATTTCATTCGCCCGCTCCTGTACAACTACGGACCCCCTTGCACCTTTGCTCAAGGGCGACTGACGATAGTGCGTCTCAATCGTTGGCCATCGGAGTATTCCAACCTAGACGTCCACTGACCTCTCGCCTACACTGCCGCAACTCGCTACAGCGACATGCTCATCGGCGCGCCGCCCTCCCCATCACTCGCGTCTTCATCCCGCTCAGCCTCCGGCATCGGCGCAGGCGGCACCTCCGTCACACTCGCCCCGGGCACAGCTTCTGACGTGTTGTTGGTCGACGGAACTGGCCGGGTGCTACCACCAGCAGCTGGAGCAGCAGCGCCAGATTCCTTCGCCTCGCGCTCCGCCTTCTTCCGCTTCGCGCGCTCCTGCTCCCACTCCTCTTTCTTCTTCCGCTCCTTGTCCTTGCGGTGCTGCTTGCTTTCGAACTCGTGCCAGTCGCCTTCAACGGTCTCTAGCTCAATAGGCTGTGCTGGCGTGGGCTCTTCTTCGGTAAAGTAGGGATGTTTCAGGACTTCCTCAGCTGAAGGGCGGAGATTAGGATCGTACTTGAAGCACTGCGTGATCAGATCCATGCTGGCTGGGGAGAAGATTTCAAAGAACATGGCTTCGAACTGGCGCGGTTTGCGTGCGGAGCCGGAACTGCTGCTCGTGGCCGCATTGGCGGCGGTCTGCATGAGCTCGAACCACGGAAGGTCAACAATGCGAGGCCATTCGGCGCGTGTTGGTGTGCCGAGGACGTTGTAGACCTTCTCGAGTTGGGAGAGCTCGGAGCCTTCTCCGGGAAAGACGGCTTTGCGCGTGAACATCTCCATGAAGACGCAGGCGGCAGACCAGATGTCGACTGCTGGACCGTATTGTGTTTCGCCAAGGAGGAGTTCCGGAGGCCGGTACCAGATAGTGATGACTCGATTCGTGTAGTCGAGAGCGCGAGACTTTGTGTAGAATCGTGCTAGACCGAAGTCGGCGTACTTGAGCTGACCTGTGTTGGAAATGAGGATGTTGGCGGCTTTGATGTCGCGATGTAGAACACCTCGTCGGTGCAGGAAGTCGAGTCCGTCAAACATTTGGTATGCCAGATTCTTCTTGTGTGCTGCAGTGAGTTTGAATGTCGGATGGTTAATCAGGCCTGTCAAATCGTGTGACATGTATTCGAAGACCATGAAGCATTCATTCTTCTCCACCATGACTTCGTGCAGTGCGATCACATGCTTGTGGCGGAGATGCTGAAGGAGACGGATCTCGCGCACAGCAGTTATGGGGTAGCCATCTCGTTCGCCTTCCATGCGGATCTTCTTCAGGGCGACTTTATCGCGTGTGTAGATGTGGATGGCTTTGAAGACTTTGCCATATGTGCCTGCCCCAACAACTGACTCGTTGCCCGGCTTGCGGTAATAGATGGATTCGGAGCCTACAAATTCGGGCAATAGTGTAGGCTTCGGTTTGGGTGGCTCCGGCTTCAGACGCTTGGGCGGTGGCGACCGTGATCCTTCCGGTCTTCTGTCCATTCCTGGCCGATCCCGCGGATGTCGTCTGTCCATAGGCGGACCATATCGAGGGTCGTGCTGATATGGGGGTCGCTGCTCTGGTCGTCTTTGGTCAGGATAAGGAGGTCTCCAGTCCGGCTGCCTCATCGGTTGCCTATCGAATCGCTGTGCTGGTGCTTGGTCGAATCTGCTACTTCGGGGCTCTGTGGGTGGCGCACGGTGCTCTTGCTTCTGGAAAGCTGGCTTGGCCTTAGCCATGAGATCTGTAGGCGCCTTAGCTGGAGCCGTTGGAGGTTGCTTGGATTTGAATGCAAAGCTAAATTTCGACGCATCCTTGGCCGGAGCAGTATTACCGTTGTTGTCTGCAGGAACACCATTTGTTGGTCTCTGTCCTGTGGGCGCATCATCTGGTGGCCTGTGGAGCTCTTCCGGCTGAGCGCTTGATCTCGCGAGTCTGTGGGCGCAGGCTGCTTGTGTGAGGGCGTGCTGTGTGCAGAAGACATTTGACTGTCTCTTGGAGGCCCGACCGCATCTGGACCTGCTCTCATATGCGACGGCGGTCCGCCCTGATATCCTCCACGCTGTGGCGGATTGTAAGGTCCGGATGAGGGACCATTTGGTGGTCCAGAAAATCTGCGATCTGCAGGACCTTGCTGGTAGGACCTATCTCCTCCACGGTATGCACCACGACCGCCGCGATAGGTTGTGTTCGATGGCCCCGACGGAGGATGATTGTAGCCATCAGGACGATGATAGTTTGGCGCGTGGCTTGGAGGTCCGTTAGGAGGATAGCTCGGCTGGCGGTATTGCGTCGAATAATTGTTCGCCGGACTGTGAGGTTGGTTAGCTTACAAATCTCATAGAAATATGTTCGAGCGACTTACCCGCTCGGAGCATGAGGCGGGGCAGCCCATCCTCCTCGGTTTTGGTATGAGTTTGCTGAATGGGGAGAACCGTGGTGTGAGCCGTTTGGTGTCCCATGCGGTGGTGAGCCTCCGTGCTGATATCTAGTATCTACCCATGGTCTTTGTTGGCCTCTCTGCATATGATTGCCGCGACTGCCATGGTAGCCTCGTGTGGCGTGTCGGCTGTCCATCGGTGCCGGTTCTTCCTGCGCCCTGCCGGAAGCTGGATTAGGGGTTGTGACTTCCTTTTCCGCAGCTGGAGCCTGCCTCGCCTCAACCTCCCTGGCCCGGTCTGACCGAGCAGGCCGGGGCGATATTTCGCGAAGGGGTGGGGCGTCGTATGCGCGTCGTGGAGGCGATTGAGGTCGACGAGGTGGAGTATCTGGACGCTGTTGTCGATGCCTAGGCGATGCAGGCTCTCGGCCTCGAGGACGCGGGACGTACGAGTCGATCTCTGGCGGCGGGCCGCGTGGATCGATACGTGGACCACGGGGAGGCGAAGCACGACGAGGTGAGAAGGCCCTGTCAATAGGCGCCCACTTGTCCTTAGAGAGTGGTCGCTCTCTGCTCGGGCTTCTTCGCCGCAAATCAGGAGCCCAGCGATCACTGCGAGCTGGAGAAGGACTCCTCGTCCGTCGTCGCTTTGGACCTCTTGGTGGTGATGGCTCGCGGTGATACGGAAATCGATCGTCGTAATGCCGATGCCGCTGTGGGGGACCCGGTGGCGGACCTGGAGCGAATCGGGGTGATGGCGACCTTCGCGGGTTGTTGGCGTATCTCGAATCCCTTGAGCGGTCACGAGGACGATAGTAGTCGTCGTCGAAAAGCTCTCGACCTCTGTAGGAAGATTCACCAGGGTAATGGTATGGAGATGGTGAACGAGCCCAACGGTCTCTGCTTCTCTCACGCGGACGTGGATGTCTATCGCGATAATCTTCCTCTGCTCGCCAACGATCCTTCATCGGCGGCGTAAGCTCTCTTCTCGCCATGTACTCTTCCCAGACATCAGGCAGAGTCGCTGTTGATGCCTGCCAATCCGGTGGTCGCTCAGGTTCAGGTTGACGAGTTCGGTTCGAATCTGCGCAATACAGCGAAGACGAGTCAGTCCGGCTTCTTGCTTGGCTCCGGCGGGGCATAGGGACTCACCTGCAGGTTTTGTGCCTAAGCCTTCTCTTGGGCCGCCTTGCCAGTTCCATCGCTTCTTTTGCTTCGCCATGGTGTCTTCTTCTCAAATTTGAGAACTGCTTTGTCGGAAACAATGCCCAGCAGTGCAGACTCCTAAAGCCTGGGATGGTGCGTGAGATCCACTGAAGAATCTCAGGCTCATCTCACCAGGCACTAAGGCTTGGCACCATCTGTCCGGCTACCAGTTACTTCACGTTACTGGCAACTCACGGCCGGCCCAGCCAAACCAATTGCAGGTCTGTTGCCTGCAGCTAGGAAGAATCACGAGCAGAACTATCTACGATGAATTTATCCCCCGAAGCTTCTGTCGGCCGTCTTTGTCACTGTCCTTGTCTGCCATTCGGCCACGTAGATTAGATCATAAGTCGATGCACGTCACTCCTTCGTTTTGAGAAGGCTTCCAGCGGCTTGTCGTGAATGTTGCTGTAGCGCATAAAGACGATGATAATGGCTCGTCTGTGTTGATCTGTCGAGTTCGGCAGTGGTCGACATACAGGTTCGAGTTTGCGAATCCGATTTTATCGAGCACAGGAATGAGCTCGTGCTATGCAGGATGCGACGTCGACCGCACATGATGCATGATGACCCGCCGCTGCCGGATGCGATGGTCCACAGATGGTAATGACAATGGTGATGGGTAGTGAGACGGGAGGACGACTTGGAAGCACCCAGCACAGAGCTGTTCCCAACTGTCCATGCCCTGTGGCGGCGGACAAACGTGAGACAGCAACTTGCACTCTGCTGTCGCCTGTCAAACAGCCGATCTGGAGTGTAGTGCGCAGCTTCGCAAGTGTGGATATTCCCGCCAAGCGACAAAGAACACCGCAAGAGGACTGCCTCTCGACGAACTGTGACAAGACCGAGAACCGGGGACAACATCTACATAAACTGCTTCGAGGACCACACGCCGCCCATACAGGCTGCTCAGCTTGCACACCCTCAAGAGAGCGCGTTGTGTCGATGAAACACGTGCTGTGCGCAAGGTTGTTGATGGGAAGCTGATGCTGTTGAATGGCGCCTTCAGGGCGGCCACAGGGTGATACTTGCCATCCTCCGCACGCGACTGAGGCTCAAATGATGTCTCGAGAAGATCATCGCACCGACAGAAGCTGGATGCGACTCGACTTTTGATGATCACCGATGGTAAGTGATTGTTAATTGAAGTAAGAAGAAGGAGGCGCTGGGATGAAGTTCTGCAAGCTTGGCACTACTCGGCCTTGGCGCCGTCATCTCCCTTGTTCTTGCCCCACCGCATGAAAGCTATGTATAAGGTGAGGTCACCCGTATGCGAGGTGCACTTGGCTGATTCTGATAGTCTCCGGATCAAACACGAACATGATCCAGTGTTTGACGCTGCTCAAGGGCAGGCGGACTGATTTGTGAGAAGGAGCTGCGCGATACTGGCTGGCAGACTGTGCACTGCTTAAGTATGGTCACCACTATCTCGGGTTGTTATTGCCAGCAGCCATGGTGTTGTTATTTATGGACCGATTTCGACAGGCACGCGACGTGAATATGAAGGATCGGTGCAGCTTTCACCATACCCAGACCGTCTGCCCTGCAGGACCTCACTGCCATCGATATGGCTCATAGCCGTGAACTAACGTCCGAGACGTCTCTAACTACCATATAGTCCGTGGCCCTGACAGCCAGAGACAGTCATTGCGCACCGAACGCCTGAAATCTCTCCTCGATCGGGTACTTCTGGCCTCGCGGACCAGGTTTCACATCCGGTGCAGCGACACCAAACACCATCTGTGCCCTCAACCGCCAGTCTGCCGGCAAATTCCACTCCTTCCGAACACCCTCATCGATCAGCGGGTTGTAATGCTGCAGATTGACTCCCAGTCCAAAGGCCACCAGCCCAACCCACAGATGATACTGGCAAATCCCCATGCCATGGTGAACCCACTCGTCGACCTTGTCCTTATAGCTCTTTGGACAGTTCTCTCTGAAATTCTCTACCGCGTCACCCGAGTCCCAGAACAAGATCGTGCCGTATCCTTGCCCAAACGCTTCAATCTTGGACTTTGTCGTTGCATCATACCGCTCCTGGCCGATCTTGGCCTTCAAGGCATCGCCAGTGATCGTCCACAGCTTGGCGTGGTCATCGTGGAGGAGGAGTGTGGCCCGGACAGTCTGGCTGGAGAATGCAGTCGGAGTGACAAGGAGGGCTTGCCGAACTAGTTCGACGATCTCCTTGTCCGGGACGGTGGATTTGGGGATGAGGCTGCGGACTGAACGGCGAGCTTCGGTTGCTTCAATGAAGCTGAGGGTGTGCGGCGATGACATTGTATGGAGCTCGTCGGCTCGTCTGGTAATAAGGACAGATGATTGTTGGAATGGTAACGCTGGTAGGGGTCAGTCGCGTGATTGGCGCAAAAGTGGTCGAGTTTCGAAGCTGAGCGGTGGTACTTCTCAAGTTTACATACTGAGTGAACTCGAAGTGAAGTGCTCGTGCCACCGCGTGGATGACGACACGGAAAGTGCTACCTGGTTTGAGAAAGTGAACAGTCAGCAAGTCTATATCCTTGGCCTGTGTACTTATTATGCTGTGCTTCGTGATATCGTCCTACAAACTCGGGCATTTCACGACATGATCTAGCCGCGTACGCCGCTGCTTCTTCGTCAATCGGACCAATGGTTCCTGGCCATACCATGGGTAAGTAATGCGTGCAGCCAGGCATATGCAGTGGGACAGCTCGGACGCAATATCGGAAGATAGTCCAGAAAGATAGTCCATATGCTCGTTGGCCTAATCCGGAAGCATGCACACGTTTCTGGTACCTTGCTAACTCATCCAACAGATCGCCTTACGATCTTGGCAGTTTCTCCTTTTGAAGCTGAGTAACAAGTTTACGTGCATCCACGAATGACACGCTGCGTGACGACAAGCTGGGCTTTGTGTCTTCTTCTCGCGTCGACAAGGTCATGTTGAAGCGCTGCCTGCCTCTCCTTGCGTCTTGCTGCAAGTGAGCAAGCGTTTGCTAGACCGGTCCTTGGCTACTCACACGATCACAAATACATAGGGCGATGGTACGGAAAGTCGGCTGATCGATAAGAAGCAGGTTACAGTGAAATCTCTGGGACTGCTGAATGTATTGATTCTCTCCAGTTTATCAATGATGCCCTCCCCATTTTGACGGCGAGTCTTTCCGATTGAACGCTAGAAGCAAGCTCAAGCCATGGTCCGAAGCGTTTCCCGATTCTTCGATGCTGCAAGGTTGTCTAACGCCACATGCTCGTCCACTTGACCGTACAATTGTCTTGATATTGAGCGCCCCCGTGGTGGGTGCGATCTTTTCTACAGCGTGCCGTACCCTTGCTGACGCAGACCACCGCTCTGCACACGGTCGCTGTAGACTCCTGGAGCAGGCTCTCCGGTCAGCTCGCCGTTGCGGGCACGCTCGCGACGGTCGAAGTAGACATATTCGATGTAGAACGCATGGATGTGACCAGGGAAGTCTAAGAAGAGGTTAGCTTAGTGCGGCGATGGATCAGGAGCTTGAAGCGGACTTACAACCGAGAATTGTGAGGGCGATGTTGATGAAGAGATCCGCACCGCAGCCACTGACCATTGCCACGCCGACAGGCGGGAACAGTATCGTGATCAGGACGATCAACAAGGCAGGAGCTCCGTCACCCATCTTTGCAGATATGCTTCGCGCTTGTGTAGAGGATGTTTCTGTGAGAATACTTGGAGTGCGCCTGATAGCTTCGAGAATCTTATAAGTCAAAGATTGAAGTTGAAGGGCTGGTCGCAACGAGTATTTATCGGTGCCTGCGCCTGCCAAAACCTGCATGGGAGGGAATGGACGTCACTGCCGATCGATCGCCTGTGGCGCAGGCTGTGGCGCAGCAAGATCTCCCAAGCGCTTGCAGAGCTCCTAGACCTCGGTTTCATATTCATGCGTGTTTCATAGGCTATTGAGATCTCGACCGACATGTGGACGTCGACCGTCTAGCATAAATCAACCGTTTGGCCGGCCTCCAGTTCTCATCCCTTCGATGGGTAGCGATGGCTTCGGCCTGTCTGCCTCGTGTTTTACACTGCTCATGCTTCGCCTCGTCTTCCCGCGGACGGCTCTGCAATACCACTCGCAGTCTGCACAGGGCAGCAGGTATCATGGCGGGCTATGGAGTTTGACGAGCATCAGGACCAGTCAGTAGTTGATCATGATAGATCTTATCTGCGACAAGCTTCGACTGCCGCAAAGTCCACAATGCCTGTATTGATCAAGTGAGTCAATCAAGACGGGTTATCAGAAGATATCTCCTCTTGACTTGGATATGGCTTACATTCACGTTCACTAATGCAATATCTGCTTCACTCTCATTCATTGAGTTCATTGAGTTCATTTATTGAGGTAGCTGGCCCTGCCTCAACAACCTCGCCCTTGCCAGCAGCAATCTGCTGCACAGGTTGCGGCGCAACCACTGCCGCCAGCCCACGAACACAATAATTACCTATACTATCTGGTAAACAACGAGCGTCCTTTCTGATGATTTAGCACTCTTTCTACACCTGACTACAACGTCTTCAAAGAGCAAAACACCACTACCGCTCAAACATGGTCCAAACCCAGAAAATCACCCTGCTGCTGGTCGGCTTGGCATCTGTGGTCAGCGCGCGATATCAACTCGTCCAGGACTACTCCGGCCTCAACTTCTACCGTGGCTTCGACTTCTTTACCCAACCAGACCCTACAAATGGCCACGTTGTATTCAAGAGCATGCAGGAGGCCAACGCGACCGGCATCGCTGGCTTTCTCGATGGCGGTAATGCTACAAACGCGATTTACATGGCGGTCGATTCTTCCGAGATTGCGCCCCAGGGCCGTGCTTCCGTGCGAGTCACGTCAAAGCAGTCATTCGACAAATTCCTTCTCATAGCCGATATTGTGCACATGCCAGGCGGTATCTGTGGCACTTGGCCTGCTTTCTGGACTGTTGGTCGCAACGTAAGCGTTCCCCAACCGCCCGCCTTCCAATCTCATATACTGAACAAAACACAGTGGCCGTACGACGGTGAGATCGACATCATCGAAGGCGTGAACGACCAAAAGATGAACTACATGACCCTTCACACCTCCGCCTCCATCCAGCTCGCCTCGCCCTCTGGTCCTGTCCGCCGCAGCTCCAACAACGCAACCGACAACGGCGGCTACAACAACCCCTTCTCCCCACTCTTCGCCGGACAAATCACCACTTCAAATTGCGCGATCGACGCCCCAAACCAAGACGAAAACGCTGGCTGCGCCATTCTCGACCCATCCCCACTAACCTATGGCACCGACTTCAACGCCAACGGCGGCGGCGTCTTCGCTGTCCAACGCACCTCGTCATCAATCAACATGTGGTTCTTCCCGCGCGGCAAGTTCCCCTCGGACATCGTCAACTCCCAACCCAGCCCGAACCCATCGTGGGGTCGTCCCCGCGCGGTCTTCCAAGGTGATTTCTCCATCGACGAGCACTTCGCGGCGCAGCAGATCGTCTTCGACACGACATTCTGCGGCGGGTGGGCAGGCAAAGTTTGGGCAAGCAATCCGCAGTGCAGTAAGCTGGCAGCCACGTGTGAGGACTACGTGACGAATAATCCGGAAGCGTTTAGGGAGGCTTATTGGGCGGTCAATACGTTGCAGGTGTTTCAGGATGATGGAGCGGAGGATGCGGCGGTCAAGGAGATGGTGAAGAGTCACAAGCAAAGCGCGAGGAAGCGACATGGACTTTGATGAGCTCGTGCAATTGAAATGTTCAGGAAGTGGAATTCGAGATTTTGTATGACTGAGAAGAGTTGAGCAGTATCCCAGTGGATTTGGAACATCGATGAGCAGCTTCAGAAGCAGTCCCGTCAAGGCTAATGAAATGGCTGCGAATCAAATATCTATTCCAGTAGCGCCTGCGCTCGGATTCGCAATCAATGCTTTTGAGAAATGCCAGGATGTTCGTGCGTGAAAGTCATGCCAGTGTATTGTACCCTCATCAACGCACGTGGATGCGACATCTTCATCGTACGTCGTCATACCCCTCCAAGATGTCGTTGATCTCGTTCCTCGTCAGTACGTGGCGTGACATCCCCATCATAGCTCATCTACCCATGCTCTCATCTCGAGCACCCAGACCGTCCCCACCGCATCTCCTCCTGCTCCACATACGCCGGCGGTGAGTCACTAGCTGGCCTATCCGTCATATACCTTTCATATGGTGCGTCGCTACCCTCGCCGGCGGTGGACTTCGCAGCGTCCTTGGCGTACCTTCATCATAGCGTTCTCCGTTCAGGCCGACCAGCGACAACCTCCTACTGTCCGTCCTCCGTGGCTCATATGGTGGTAATGGTGGTTCCGGCGGTAGTCGCGCACACGTCACTCTCAGGAACCGTCGTGAGTTCTTCGACGACTTCTCAGCTTGCCGTCGCCATTGTCGCCGTCGATAGAAGTATAGCCCGGTCGCCAGCATGATCAGCACGACAATTAACGTGAACCCGGCGATCTTGCCAGGCGAGTAAGATGTCGAGGTCGATTCGTTGTTGTCAAAGTCAGATGTTGTCGCCCTCCGGTGAGCAATGGGCATGACCCGTATTCAGGAAAGGACTTTTTGTATGCAGGCTGCCGGCACTCGAGTCGCTTCCTCCGCGTTTATCTGTGCAAGGTACAGCCAGACCATGTGGCACACGACAGAAGAACAAAAGGAAATGGTAATCCGATGGCTGGGACGGAAAGAGATAACGGAAAGGAGACGAAGTTCTGGCTCCGTTCACAAAGGAGGCCAAGTGCACGCCAAGGGCAAGGTATCATTCGAAGACTCGGGAGAAACCGAGGATAACGCGTGGAATGCAGCAGCAGTGTTGCAAGCGAGGTGGAGGTGTAAACCGCCGGTGGAGGCATTGCGTTTGCGGTGGCGGGTAGTGGGCAGAAGCGGCTCTCAGCCAGCCAAGTCATCATGGACTTTTCGGGCCTTGATCTTGTCGTGCGACATACCAAACAGACAGGATTGCTGCGCATCCGTTCTCTCCTTGAAATGTGGCGCAACTTGAAAGATGTGTGTTGCACGAGAGGAAAACTTCTGGAACACGGCAGGAAACAAGGCGACAGGACAATGAGGCACTGTGCAGGTGCAGTATGGTGGGGCTGTGCCTGCCTTAGCGGCTTGGGGCTTCGGAGGCAATCGCGACGGTCGGTGGGATTCTGGCCTTCTGCTTATCATCCGGGTATGTTCGCACAGCGCTGAAGGCACTCTCTGAAGGCACTGTTGATGCTATCAAAACACCCAAGAGTGCCCAAGGTGATCATCTCCGCTATAGACGACGATTGAACATCCTCCAGAACGATAAGCAGCACCTTAGCCCACTGGAGACTGGGAATCCGCCCGCTCTATGGTGTTCAGACCACCAGATCCCCACCATCACTTATCGCAGAGTCGCTGGCAAGCGTTGTGTAGAGTCTTACCAGTCTCCGAGCGTTTTTCAGCGTTGGCTCCGCCATCTGCTCGTACCGCGATTCGCCATACCCTGCTTTGAGACAGCCGTGCCAGAAACGCACTGACATCGAATGGAATCAGCGACCAACTCTCGCGATCCTCATGAGCGCGGTCTCCAGGCACGGCGTGTATGAACCCTGAGCTGAAGTCGACCTCCACGTACTACACCACAGCTGTCAGCAGGCTCTCGCGTAAAATGGGATATGAAACTCACCAGATCGCCAATATACCCCAAACGTCTCGTCTCAGACACAAACGCGCTGCGGTGTGCATACAACGCCGTCATCTTGGGAGAGTAGAATACAAGTCGGATCTGAGGAGCACGCTGACTCCAATGACGAAGCAGATACACTAGATCAACGTTTCGAAGGTCTTCGCTCAAGGCGTGCTCCAGTCGCTCAGCAAAATCTTGGCCTTCGTCTTCTGCCACCTGGCCATCCTCAAATTTAGCCAAAACGAATCCAAAGTCGTAAGGGCGCTTCTTGACCCGAAGCGATTTGAGGTGTGGTACCATGCCATCGAAGACATTGAACTTGCGAAGACGACAGTCCTTGTCAATGTGCAGATGTCTAACCTCCTTGAGGCTCATGACAAGCGGATGAGAAAGGGGCTTTTGCCTGAAAGTATCCACGGCCATCATGACTTCTGTAGCATCGATGATGCCGTGCTTGAAGAGCGCCTCTCGACCCATGGTGTAGCAGTCCTTGGAAGCAAAGAAGACCGAGACTGGGTTCGCAACGAGCGTGCCATCCTCGTTCTTCTTGCGGTTTTCGTTCTTCCACTTTGTCAGAACGATCAGAGAACTCGAGCTGGTGTCCGTTGGTCCGATGTACCGCTTGAATCGCCGGCCGGTGAAGAGGTATTGGTAGATCGGGCGCTGAATTTCAACAGGGAGAGACGTGAGAGAGTGCGCCCCATTGTGCCCAATCGCGATTGATGGAGACGGTCTTGAGGTGCCCATGCTGTACCTCAAAGCCATCAACAGGTTTTGTGAACGGCAGCAAGGTAAGAGAAGAGAAGAAACGTGTAGGTACGGCAGAACAAGGAAATTTGAAAGTGTGCAGGGCTGGCATGAAAGTGTGTGACTCACCACTAGCGTCTCAGGTTGCTATGGAAGCATGATTGATTTAGTATTGACGACTCACTACTGCTCACCTGAGGCCAGAGTCAGTTCGCTGAGAGGCAAGTAGAGAGATCCCAGCCTCCTGGAGATGGCAACTCGAAGTGAGAAGTGTAGAACATAGCAGCTTCAAAACACACTACAACCTCGCCTGCAACTTCTCCCTCGTATCACCCAAGGCATAATCGTTAGCAGTCCTCTTACTCCGAACCTTGTCAGCCTGTTCCGGCGTCACGAACTTCGCCTTCGTCGCCGGATTATATCCCAACCCACTAAGCTTGCTGACTTCGGCATCACTGACCTCCTTATTCTTCTGTCCATCAGCCCTTTTGTAGACCGTGACCACGACCGCACCACCGAGTCCCAAGTTATGCTGCAGAGCGACATCGGTATCCTTCACGAGGCGACCGTTGTTGGCCCAGCCACGGAGCTGCCAGACAAGCTCAGCACACTGCGCAAGGCCAGTGGCGCCGAGAGGGTGGCCTTTGGAGATAAGTCCTCCGGAAGGGTTGATGATCGGTCCCTTCCCGCCATACGTGATGTCGCCGGCACGAACCATCTCGTGTGCCTTTCCTGTGTCGCAGAACTCTAGGCCGTCCAAGAGCAGGAGCTCGTTGGTGCTAAAGCAGTCATGGACCTCGGCAACACGGACTTGCTTGGCAGTGACGCCGGCCTCCTTGAGCGCGGCACGGGCGGCACGACGGGTCATGTCGAAGCCGACGAGGTCCATGGCGCTGCGGCTGAAGAGCTGTGGAGAGTCGGTCATGAGGGCTTGCCCGGCCATGAGGATTGCTTGGGACTTGAGGTGAGGACGAGCATCGAGGAAGGCTTGTGAGACAATGACGGCGGCGCCAGCACCATCCGATGTGGGCGAGCATTGAAGTTTGGTGAGAGGAGGATGGATCATAGGTGAGTCGAGGATTTCTTGGAGGGTATACTTGTTCTGGAATTGAGCGTACGGGTTCCGCTGAGAATGCTCATGCGATATGCGGGCTATCTCAGCGAAGTCTTCTGCTTTAGCGCCATACCTATGACAAGTCAGTAAATCGACATGAGTATTGACCGGCAGTAGTACTTGTCCATATACTCCTGACCAGCATTGCCGAAGTACTGTGCGTTGCGCGGAGAATCGTGCTTGCCGTTGATGTCCTCCATCATTGTCGTCGAGAGACCCATAGGTGATGGGCGGTCGTCCCAGACCGACTTGATCGAGCCAGGCCTCATCTGCTCGAAGCCAATGACAAGAACGCAGTCAGCTGCGCCGTTGCGGACGAATGTGCGGGCCAGGTTCAGGCCAGTCGATCCTGTGGCACAAGCATTGTTTGTGTTATAGATTGGGATGCCATTCATGCCAAACTGATAGAAGATACGCTGGCCAGCTGTTGTGTCACCATAGCAGTAGCCTGGCTATTGGTCAGCAACCTAGACCGAGAGTGTCCGAATAGCAGAGCTCACAAGCAACACCTGTCTCGACGTCGTCAAAAGTGATCTTTGCGTCGATCATTGCCTTTGCTCCTGCCTCGAAGCCCAACTCCGGGTACTCGCGTGTACGGCGAGGCTTCAGGAACTGGGTCAGGCCAACGCCCAGGACGTATGCGGGGATGGCACCTTTCGACATAATGTTGCGACGAGTGTGTAGGAGAGTTCTTGAGATACTGTGAAGTGCGTGGAGGTGAATAATGTTGTTCAAGGATGTGAGATGCCTTCGCGAACGGTAGTCGTGTAAGCTGGAAGTCGTTGTGTCCCCTCATCCACAGCCGAGGCCCGATGCTTATGGTGTACCCAATCGGAGACATCACCTGGGTCGGCTTACGGCTCACGGATATCGCTGCCGAGCGCTAGAGATGGCTTGCGGGGATTCCATGGTGACCATAAGTTGTTTATCCACCTTGAAAGCCATTCCAATTCACGAAGTTCTCGAACTCCTTATCCCAGACGTGCTGCAACGCACCATACGTCTCTGCCAGGCCGTACTTGTCTCCAGGAGGCTGAGACACAGCAGCTATCCTCTGCTGAGGCGTTGCCTCCGATCTCGAGCGGAGCCTCCCTCGAGTATTTCGTTGTTCACTAATCACATGAGTATCGTCAATCTGCAATCGTGGGATGCCATGCACAATGAATTCGGCGGGAAGCCCGACTGCGCTCGAAGCGAAGGACGGTCCAGCAGCAGCATGCCCGCTAAGATACTCCTGTGCCGGAGTATGTGGAGCGCTCAGAGGAGACGTTGGCCCTCGACGTTGAGCATCGGAATGATTTTGAATTTGCATTTCCCAGTGAGGATGGTTTTCGATGAACCAAGAGTGCTCACGTACAACATGGTTCTTACAGTTCTGCAGCCGGCTAAAAGCCGCGTGCTTGCAATCGCGTTCAGGGACGGGGCATCGATAGACTCTTCCCGTGAAGGACTTGGCTCGTCGCGTGCGCGGTATGCTATTCATGTCCGAGCCTTGGCTTGCGACTGACGGACTTCGACCTCTCGAGGAAGCCTCTGCGTTGTCCGAACTAGCAGAAGTTGGCGACCTGCTGGGGTCTGGTAACATCAAAGTCGGCGACTGCAGAGGATGAAGGCGCGCTAACAGACCAGAACGACTCTGTACACATCGTGCAGATACACTCTCGCTGCCTGACATGTCTTGATCGCCATCGTTGCCAGGATCAAGGGTCTCTCCTCGCTGTTCGCGTAATCTCGACCAGATACTCTGAGAGAAGCAAACGTTGAGGAATTGTCCTGGTGACAGCTCGAGCCGGATCGGCAAGTTGGCCAAAGCCAGATACTCCAGTCGCTCGAATATGTCCGAATCGTAGTCGCAGACTACTCTTGCCGCCTCTCTGAAGTTAGGATGCTGGTCTCCCGGAACACAACGTACGCCCAGAGGTCCAAAATCATTCCAGGCTGGAGGCGGCATCAGAAAGCCAGGGCTGGGCCCCGGTGTGGGACATCCTTGACCGACTACATCCATTTCCAGAAGTTCTAGACAGCGTGCAAGGTCCGAGACGCCCTGTCGTGGTCACTTGAATCTTAGCGAATGCTGGCAGGAGTGTTGTATACACAAACTCGATTTTCTGCGTCTGCACGCCGCCCGTCGATTTGTTGTACGATGCGCTCCAAGCAGACCAGTAATCCTATAAGTCACGCCAAAAACAGTCGACAAAGCTTGGGCATGAATCGTCAGCGGTGAACAAGGGATGGTCCTGGAATTGCGATTTCTACTGCTGTCAATAGAGCGATGATGATGTAGATGTCGAGGGACAGTCCGATACTTGAGGATGGCTGACTGCCCAGACCGAGAGCGAGTAGTGTTGGTAGTCGGAACTTGATTGTGGTAGAGAACTCTTTGAGAAAAGATCAACTAATTGTCGTGTCACATGGGCCGGATGTCACGTTTTGATGATGCACTGCCCATGCGATCTGATCTGGTATGGAGCAGCCCGCCGGCAAATAAACGAAGTGAGGCGTTTGCTCCACTGTGATGATCGAGTTCTGTGGGAGGATGCAAGCAGCTTAGGTAGGTATGCCTTTGTTTCTTACTTTGCTACTTTTACAAGTGGATTCGCATAGCCTCGTAAAACAGCACCCGCACATTCAACCGATGTTAGGGTGCTCACACAGCGTGGTCTGGAGCGCGCGAGATCCAGAATTGAACATAGAGGCCGTGGCGCAGTACGTCCTCAAGTTCGCACGTTGGTCGCATATCGGTAGCGGCTGCCTTGCAAACGCCTGCGGGGCAGTAGGATATGATTGTGCCTTATGGTCTGCCTCGAGGGCTGCCATCGACTATGGGTCAGGGACTTTTGACCGAGGCTTTTTCTTAGACGCACTCGATGGCATGACGAATATAAAGGCGCGAAACAGCGGCATACGATCGATTGTCTCGAGTCATGTTGATCATACAGGACACAGTCAGTGTTTCCTAATGTGCGGAGCAGTCGAAACACCTAGTCAGGCAACCATCTCTTGGCAAACAGGGATCGGCCAAAATGCCCTCAGGTACGCCTAGCGCCCCGACCGGTCGCACAAAGTTCCTAGCAGATGTGCCTGGTAATATGTAGTTAATCAAGCACACGGCAGAAGGCCGATGCTAATCCGCATGCGTCCGATTACTGCCGGGCGCAGGGCAGCGGCCCATCGTGGCGTTGACTTGAAGCCAGCGGAGCAACGTTGCAACTCAAATGCTGAGAAGTATCGGAATTGCGCCGAAAGCGTACCAGAGGGGTCTGGAGATCATTTGCTTGCCGAATTTTCCTCTCCAGTGCCCCAAAGGCTCGTGCTGCAAGAAACTTTGGATGCCTAGTCTTCATTGCCTGACAACGTCGCCGCGCGGGTCGACCTTGTTAAACACGTCTCGAGACGAGCATGGTCGAAGAATCAGCAGTAGCTGCGTCATGACTTTGGAACTTATGGCAGACCAACTGTGTAATATGTTGTTGCATCACTGACCATGTTGGAGACGTCTGGTAACTGGGAGTGCTCCAGGGATTGCATGAGCTCCATCTGTTGCTGTTCGCTTAAAGACTGCATCTCATTCGTGCTAGGCCCATATGCCTGATGTAGATACCGAGAGTACTCATCGCCAAAAGCGGGCAGCCAAGGTGGAGTGCTGAACGCAAAGTCCGGGGACTGGGGAAATCCCATACTGGCCGCAGTCGACGTGACTGGATGATTCCACTGTGCTACACTGCCACCCATCGGCATGGCACTTTGGAACGGATCGAAGGTCGGGAGACTGTAATGAGTTGCTCCTGTAGAAGTCGTCTGGCCTGACACGGGCATATAGTAAGGCACACTAGTTGCAGAGTGTGGCGCACTCATTCCACTTGCACTAGCTGGGGACAAACCCATGTTTGTCATACTCGCACCCTGATGGCCGGCTTTCAACGCCTGGGTTGTGGCTGGCAGGGCGTTCATGGTTTGAGGAGACTGTGCGCCATATATCGAGGCACTCGTCACGCTTGACGGACTCTGGGCAACCTGCGACACTGCTGAGCTAACATCTTGCACAGACGATAGGTTGTCGGAGTAAGGCGACTCAGCAACGCGGTCGCTATCGTAAGCTTTCAGACAGCTTTGGATGAGATTTTCGTATAGTTGAACGGCAGATCGAACTCCCGGCCACCTGTCAGCGCACATGCTGATGGCCTCAAGTGCAGCGTCGATGTGACTTCGGACCTCGTGTAGAGGGTGTAGCTGCCTTACAGCAGCATATGAGATTGACCACAAAACTGTGTTCAGAGCCATATTGATAGATTGCGTAAAGATCCACGTTATGTCGATCAGACGTGCTTCGACCTGTTTCTTCTGTAGATGAATATTGAAGATAGAAGCATCGTAGGCTTTCATGGCTGCATCCAGAGACGGATTCGGAATCTGTGGTGAAGGGCGGTACAGGAAGACAATCATGGTATTCTTTCGTCCGGTGAACCAGGCTGGACTGAGACCACTTCCCTCGTCATTGTGGGGCGAACTTGTTACCCAGTCGTCAATGCGTCTTAAAATATCTGCGAACCAAGGGTCTTGATCACTGATAGGCGTCGGCCGTTTCTTTAAGTAAAGGGTCTTGCGGATCTCGGCTTGGAGTACCCTCATTTTCAGAAAGTGTATGGCTATGCACTTCTTCATAATAGGATGATGGCCTGGCAGCAGTCCTTCGGGCGTGATGAAGCGATCGTCACACTGCTGAAAGAACCTGACGTCCAAATTGTCGACCGAGACACCAAAGGCGCTAGGACGACCGAGACTGTGAGACAGTCCATATTCCATGGACATGATGATCCAAAAGAGGCGTCTTCTCATGTCAACCTCGAGGAAATCGGGCCGCGAGCCAGCCACAGACGCCTCTATGGTAGATTCTTCGCAGAATCCAAGTTCCTGACAAAGCTTTGTTGCCATTCCAACAACCCAGTAGGCAGCGGTTCTGGTTGGGGTGAGCAGAGAGTACTGGGCGATCAACGCATAGCATTGCAAGGTTGACAGGTCCTTCTTTTGTATTGCCCCCGTCAGAAACGGCAGAGCGGCAAGATAGTAGCTGTCTGCCAGGCCAGCATACTGCGTGTCCAACTTCTGCATGCTGATTGCAACGACCATGCGTACTTGGAAATTCAATGTTGGGTCCGTAGTTCCGTTGTACACCTTGTTGAGTTCCTGCTTGAACGACGGCTCATGTAAAAGTGGCGACATGTACTGTGCTTTGACCATGTAGATGTTGACGAGTTGCTCCATGAGTTCGCGATTTGGCAGATCTGGTGCAGCGACAGAGCTGATGAGTGGGTAGACCTTTGATGTCGGTTTGCTGCTCTCGCTTTCGAATTTGTTTTTAATCTCCTGTGCTGATTGCTGTGACACGACTTCTTTGATAGTCTTCCTAGTCGCATTTCGGCGGGCAAAATCCATCACAAATCGAGTAATGGCAATGCCGCTAGAGGGTCCGAGGAAACGGCATTCCTCATTCTCGCTGAATTGTACCAGGCCGGCCTCTCTAGCCATCTCTTCTGGATCAGGCTCCTGGGTCCCTCCATTCTGAAGTGTCTTGAGTTCATCCTGAAGCCGCCGAACTGTTTCCTGCAACGATGTAATGTACGTGCGAGGAATCACCTTGTTCCTTGTTGAGTCGAAGTATTCGCAGTGCGCATTGCTGCGCTCGCATGGCTCACATCGTGGCAACGTGGGATCGCACCTCGTTTTCCGCTACGTCCTAGTCAGCAATGCGTAGGCATCGAGCGCTTATGCAGGCCGTACCTGTCGACACCGCACGCACGCAGTCACAGTGTGATGTATCTTCGTCGATGAGGCCGTGAGCCCATTTGGCTCCAATCCGCCATCATATGTTGCGGTCATCGAGAAGCAGTGGTTGCTAATCGCGTTTGACGGCGCAGCGACATCATAAATCAGGGACGACCACGGACCTGAGGTCACACATGTGGTGCTGAGCCAATTTCCCGCGATGACAGTGTTAGACCAACGACAGCGAGAGATTCCTGATCAATCACGAATGCCGCTTTCTTTTTCCCGAGGTTCGCGCTTTCCTCACCTCTACGCGACCTTTTAGGCTGGCTGAGAAAGTCTAGAAGGGCAGGCCCAGGCTATGTAGGTTGCCTCGAGTCAAGAAAGCCGTTAGAGGCGTGGTGTAATCCTGCCGTAAATGTTAAACCCCACCGTGGTCCTTATCCTCCCACGAAACTCCGGCTTCGTATCGCAGAGCCCCTCCATCTGGAACGGTGATGGTGGCGCCCCGAAACGCTGTCGATCATGTCGCTTCCGGACATTCATGCCTTATTAACCGTTCCCCGGAAGCGAATTGTCGGACTCGCCAGGCCGTACGTATCACAGGGACGTAAGAATTGGCATGATCTGGGCGGTTGAGGGACGTCGGATCTATCATCACGATCATACTAGAAGTGTGCTTACCTTGCTGACCTGCCGTTCACTCTTACGGCACAGCATCCATTGTGCAGGATAAACGGCGACAACAGTCCACGCCATGCACAATTTAGGCAATTCGAGCGTCAAAGATGCCAAAAGGCGAGTCAATTGAGTCACTGCTCGAACCGTCGCTTCGGGTGTCTCGGCCGGTTGCTGCGTGCTCGAGATGTCGATCGTCCAAGATCAAGTGTACCTGGGGCATATCGGCGTGTTCAGCTTGTGAGAGGTCCGGCAAGACAAGCAGCTGTACCAGTGCCAACGAGGAGTTCGCACGTGGTAACGAGAGGAGTTATGTTGCGGCCCTGGAAAATGCTGCCGAAAGGCTGCAGCGGAAAGTCGATGCCAACCGGGCAGGCAGCGAGCTCAGCACACTCAGCAATGGTTCACGTCAAGGCAAAGGCAGAAAGATCAGTGGTTCTCAGCGCAGAGAGGCTTCAGATGTCAACGAGCTGGTTAGCGATTTTGGTTTCTTGACGGTCAACGCAACATCTCGCGATTTTCATGGCTTTACGTCTTCGATGTCATTCGCAAAGATCCTGCTTGCCATGGCTGTGAAAAGGGACTTCTCGACACAGTCCGCTGCAAAGCTGCCTCCGAGACACACCGTCATGCAGTCAACATCACACTACTTCGACAAATTGTTTGTATTGCTTCCTTTCTTCTCGGAGACGGAGTTCATGAGCTCTGTATCTCGAGTATATCAGGATGCTCAAGTTTCCGCAGCCTCTGCACTCGATTTCTGGTACGTCCGCCTAGTGCTTGCGATCACCCATGCCTCCCTGAGTCGATCATATGGAGATGAGCACCATCATGTTGCCACACAACACATGTCTGCAGCGATGCAGCTTGCAGAGCGTGTCATGCAGCCCGGGTCCATTGCTGGCGTGCAAGCACTGCTGCTCCTGGTCCAATATGCCCAGCTAGATCCAGAAAGACTGGACACATGGTACCTGATGGGAATGGCTTCCCGACTAGTGGTAGACCTTGGTCTGCACTGCGAACTGCCAGCGGAGGCGAAGATATCCCCAGAAGAGCTTAACATGCGGCGCCGGATCTTCCACTGCGTGTACAGTCTGGATCGGTCCATCGCAATGTCGTTGAGTCGTCCTTTCAGCTTCACAGATGATTCAGCACCCGGGGTGCCCTTTCCGATCTTGAACGGCGAGGACGAATCGTCCAGTAACACTGGCATTTTCCTGCGTTCGATAAAGCCGTGCTTGCATTCTTTCGACATTCGTCGCATCCAATCTGGTTTCTATCAAGCAATCAAATTTGCCTCACGGACCGAATGGACTGCGTCAGAAGCTGCGAACATCATGACTTCTGTTATCAGCGACATTGAGAAGTGGCACGCAAGCATACCTTCTTCACTGCCTTCCAACCATCTCACTCTGTTCAACTTAGAAAGACTGTATACGTACATACTCGTCCTTGCGCCTCATCAGCGACACACAGCCGCAGCACAGTCTGACGACGACAAGCGCAGGCTCTTCGAACACTGCTGTCGCTTCGCAGAGATACTTCATCCTATTACCTTTGATACAACCTATTTATCGTCTTTCACGGACGCTGACTTCTGGAGAGCCAATTGGGTGGCACGACAGTTCATCAAACTTATGTGGTCAGATTTTGAACTTCTGGTGCGTCGAAGCCAGGAAGCTGAGGCAGCATCGCGTTGCAGTCGCGCTCTGGACAATATTCGGCGCTTCACAGATGTCCTAGATATCGCGAGGCAGCGATGGAATAACGCAGAGGTGCGGGAGCAGTTCGAAAAGGAGTCTGCGGTGTTGGCGACTCGACTAACGAACAAGTTGCACGAGCTGTCCCCAACACAAACTCGCGAATCCTACTTCCAGCCTGTTGACCCGGCATACCATGTGCAGCAGCAGAATTTCACCGACCCAGCCCAGTTCTTTCACCATCCAGATGGCAAGGCTTACAGTCCAGGAGGCACGAGACGTGTCTACCAATTCCTCGGCAGCGGCAATGGTTGACGTCCAGAAAACATACCGAATCGCCAAAAATGATCAGTCGCGTGTTTCCCGCTCGCGTGACCCATGCAGTCCTCGCAGAGATAAAGCAGAACTACGAGAAGAAAGGAGTCGCGTGAGCTTGGTCGCCTACAGACACTCGGTTTGCCTGCATATAGTGTGGCACAGGATGGGCAAAGTCTGTCAGAATGAATGCGGTCTGGTCAGCCGACGTGAGTGTCAACGTGCTCAGGATGGCCTTGCTATTGGCTGAATCTGGCGCAAAACTGTCCAGCTGCTCGTGTGCTACGCTGTGTTCGACGCGTCGAGGTGGGGCTTGAACCCGGGGTTGTGGTGAGGACATTATTAAATTTAAATATACACGAAAGAACACCCTTGATCTGCCATCGAGCGTCTTGCCTTTCGACACTGTTGACGACAACTGTTTTGCATCCCAGAAATTTCACAGCCATGATCCCAAGCTCAACCTTATTGGCGTACCCCGGCCTTTGTACCTGAGCCAAGCGACCGAAGCGAAGCCGGCGGTGTCAGTGACGTAGCCTTACAGGCTGTCGGCATTGCTATCCCGCTTAAGTTCCAGGCACGATTTATTGGTATAGCCATATTGTTGTAAAAAAAAACACGGAATACGTTCGCTTGTGGTGCAGTTGTGGGCAAGACCTGCCGGCCTGTGATAGTATGGCGAGCCTAATTAATCGACGACTACGCCTGCCCTGAGCAGCCCACCATGGTACGCTTCAGTAGCGAGCTCCTGCTCTTCACCGTCTGCGCTGCGGCCTACCAGGAAGCCGAAAGCACGAATGGCCAGCAGCAACGGATCATTCAGTCGCCCGTTGAGCCTGGAAGCGTCCAACGGAAGCTGCAAGGACGCTTCCTACATATAACAGGTACAGTATGGGACGCAGGCGATCGCAGCACCTGACTGACGGGCGACAGACATCCATCCTGATCCCTTCTACAAAGCCTACTCAATAACAGACGGTGACCATCCATGCCATGGGAAGGCGGGCAAGGGCGATGCAGGCTACTTCGGGGCTGAGATGACCGATTGCGATACTCCCTTCACCCTCGTAAATGCAACTTTCGACTGGATTGAAAAGAACATCAAAGACGACATCGATTTTGTTGTGTGGACTGGCGACTCTGCCAGACACGACAATGATGAGGACTACCCTCGAAGTAGCAAGCAGGTCGCTGACCTCAATCGATACACCGTCGACCAATTCGTTCGAATCTTCGGAAAGACGGGCAAAATCGATCCCAAGAACCCTCTCGACAGCTTCGTCGTGCCCATCGTCCCAACATACGGCAACAACGACATCTTACCACACAACATCTTCACAAAAGGGCCCAACCGATGGACAAGAGAATTCGAAGATATATGGCGCGGGTTCATACCACAAGAGCAGAAACACTCCTTTGCCAGAGGCGGCTGGTACTTCTCAGAAGTCATTCCCAACCGTCTGGCCGTATTCAGCTTAAACTCACTCTATTTCTTCGATTCCAACTCCGCGGTCGATGGCTGTGACGCTAAGAGCGAACCGGGCTACGAACACATGGAATGGCTCCGAATCCAACTAGAGTTTATACGAGAGCGAGGCATGAAGGCTATACTGACCGGGCATGTGCCCCCAGCGCGAACAGAGAGCAAGCAGAACTGGGATGAGACGTGCTTCCAGAAGTACACTCTTTGGCTACGGCAGTATCGCGATGTCATTGTTGCGAGTATTTTTGGACACATGAATGTCGATCACTTCATGTTCCAGGACGTGGCTGAGCTTAAGTACAAATTCAAGATTGATGGCCTTGAAAGTGAGGATTACGAGGCAGAGGAGGGCTTTGACATCGCGAGGGACACATCACCCGTCGACACACTGGGCGCAAAGAAGGCCTACTTGAGCGAGCTGCACGACTCTTGGGCCGGACTGCCGAAACCACCAAAAGGTGCCTCATACAACCCTCTTAATTCGAGCATTGAGGCCGACCTAGTCAAGAGAAGGAAGAGGAAAGGTGGCAAGAAGAAGAAACAGAAAGAGATCGACAAGTTTTACAAGCAGATTGGAGGACCATGGGGCGAGAGATTCAGTCTGACGTTGGTGTCACCTAGTGTGGTGCCCAACTTCTTTCCTACCCTTCGCATCATTGAGTACAACATCACGGGAATGGAGCGTGAACATCCAGCCAGTCACATTATGGGCACGCCTGCCGAGGTGTTCTATGGTCAGCTCGACGATGTTACAGAGATACCACCAGAAGAACCACTACGAGCGGAACGCCGCCGACGAGACACCGAAGACGTGGATGTCCAGAAGAAGAGACGGAAGAAGAAAAAGAAGAAACCAAAGAGACCACCTAAGCCGAATTTTCCTGTGCCTCTACCGCCGAAGTCCTCGTCAGCCCCTGGACCAGCCTATTCGCCACAGGCATTGTCACTTATTTCGTGGAAGCAGCTATATGCAAATTTGACTGAGATCAACGCCGCGCACAAAGAGAGTGCGAACTCGAACGGCAAGCACAAGCCCGGCAATGGACCATCAGTGGACTATAAGCTCGAATATAACACGAGCCACGACAAGTACTACAAGATGAATGATCTGACTATGATGAGCTGGCTACATCTAGCTGAGCGGATAGGACGCGAGGAGCTTCAACACGGCGATGTCGAGATCTCCGAGCGTCTGGACGAGTCGGACGCAGTCACCAACATTGCTGAGGAGGCAGATTGGACCGATCTTGGTGTCGACGACTCCGATTTCGACTCCGACCACGAGTCGGAGAGTCAAGACGTGCACGCCTCGAAAAAGGGCGGCAAAAAGAAGAAGAATAAAAAAGCCAAGAAGAAGAAGATGAAGAACCACTTATGGAAGGAGTTCTTGCGGCGAGCATACGTGCATACTATGACGGACGATGAGCTTGATGAGATATTTGGCTCGTAGCACCCCCAGATGGAATTGGCATTGGCATTTCGGGTTGTTTGAGCGACAGTGCTGTTGCACTTTGAGTTTCTTTATGCATTGGGTACAAGGTCTGCATGCTGGTGCTAATTGGTCCTCAGAGCCTGTAGCACCGGAAGGAATGCTGAGACTCTTTGACCATTAATTCAAGACTGTCGTGCATTCGGTTTAGACTTCACAGTGACCGGTTGACACAGATCGTGAACCTTCAGCAGACCGGATGACAAGCCCCAAATCCGTGTGGGGGGCCTTGAACAACGCCGGATGAGCAACCTTCAGACTTGACTACCCAAGGTTACTTCCACTTGCTGTCTTTCCTTACTGCCCCCCACGGTTCCTTCAAGCAATAGCAGTGTTGGCTTGTGCGTCAACACAGCCAGGCGAGCGACTGACCTTGCAAAGGCGACATACATCTGCCGAGATGGAGCTGAGAGCGTGAGTGAATATACTTGCTGGACTCCCCATCATCTCACGCAATAATTGTAAGCTAGGTCAGCACCTTCAATACGTCCACCTGGACCCCCTCCTGGTCTTCGACATTTGATACAACAGTCGGCCTCATAGCCTCAAACACTACTTTAAGCGGACGCTGCTGATCATCCACGCCGAAGCATTAGCTCCTCCCCTCCGTCTCTCGGCCAATCGCAAAACCGCGACAATGCGAGCAAGCTAGGGATCCTTCCGCAGAACCACGTCTGGACTCACCACCTGTCCGCGAACCCCACACATTCCACATATGGAAATTACGCAGCGAACAGATACTTCCTCCACTGCCGCTCCAGAACCGCACGCCAACTACCCCTCCCTGACTCCAGCGTACACATTCAATTTTCGCATTGGTGGGCCCGCCAGTCCAGTGGGAGGGCTCACTCGCGGCCAGCCGCTCACGGTTGTGCATATTATTGGCGGGAGAGTCACTAGCGCGCCGCGCCAGTCTGATGCTCCATTAAGTACTGGAGCGGGAGGTGTTGGCGGTGGCGATGGCAGTGGCAGTGGTAATACTGGTAATCCTCGGGAAGCAGAAGCTGTTGATGAGCTCCCGAGACTGGAAGCGACTGTACGTGGCCAGGGGATCGACTTTGTGCGGAATGATCCTGACGGTGGCCGGATGAGGTTGGATGCAGGACTTGTGGTTGAGGATGGGGATGGAGCTGTGGGTCCTCTTTGTCCCGTTGTCTTCTGCTTGTCTTTGCTATGGCAAACTTGCTGACGTCGATTGTGTGTGCGGCTTTAGATGATTCATATCCACTACACAGGCATAGTCGAGATAAATGACCAGCTCTCGGCAATCCTGGCAGGCAGGCGTGACGCGAGGGATACTGAGTTTGGTGCTTCTTGTAAGTTCCCGAAGCTTCTCTCTGGGTTTACGTCCTTATCCTTGTGGTGGACTAGGACAGCACATATGCTGATAAACGAGTAACTAGTCATCCATGTGACCTTCGAGACTGGAAGCGAGAAGTACAAAGAGCTGGAGCGAGGCGTCTTTGTTGGCGCCGGGCGCTTCATACTGGACCGAGGAGGGCTGGGTGTCGAATATAAGGTCAGCAGGGTTGGCTGGAAACCGCCATGAGGCTCGGCAGTACACTGAAATACCTGTTGGCTCGTTTCGTCTACAACGCTTTATGCTCTATCGACTTCTTTCAAAGCTGTCTATGTTTCCAAACTCGCACACAATATAACGCACATCTACCACGAATGGAAAAAGCTCTCAGGCAAGAATCTGGGGGATCAAAGCAGATCAGCAGCACAACCCACTGTCCCAGGGACTCCTCAGATCATCCTCGCTCCCAAGTAAAACCCGTAATACACGATCGCAGCGATCCCAACAAGATTGATCCCAGCACTCGCCCCATGCAAAGCCCCAAACTTCCGGTTTAATCTCTCCATCTCAGGACTATGCGGGCCCTGATCATAACTTTTCTTCCCATCCCTCGTCTCCTGATGCTTCCGCTCCCTCATCACCTTCGTCGTCGCCGGACCCAAATACAGCAGGTTCACTACTGCCACAATCCAATTCGTTGCTAGGGGGGCGAGCACTGTCCACCGGTTGATGGGATCGAGGCAGCCGGAGATGGAGGGTGGAATGGTGCTGATGGCGGTACGTTCGGTGGGAAGGGTGAGGGCCAGAAGGATGGGTAGAACGGATTGCATGCCGAAGAAGACGGGGAAGGTGGCTTGTTGGAGGGTGGCGAATTGCGGACGGGGGAGGACGCGGAAGGCGATGACGCCGCCGATGAAGGATTGGAAGAGGGAAGAGCCGAGGAGGGTGCCGTAGCTGTGGGTCGGGAAAGGGGATGTTAGTTTTGTCTTGGGATGGTGTTTGTCCACAACAGAGATATGTGTTTCTGTCCGAGTAGGCGAAGTCGACTTGCCTGAGGATGTGCTATACAAGTGTCAGAACCTATCATCGCATCCATGGATGTTCAGGGACAGTTGCAGACTTACATAAGGTGCCGGCGAAAACAGTATCGAAGTCATCTTGTGCGAGGTTCCCCTGATATTGCAGGCCACCGAATCGCCCCTATCTATCTGCCAAGCTCAGTTCGTAGTCGTCCAATGAGTGAGCCGCCTCCAGATGGAGAGATATCCTGCTGAGGTGTATGAGCGTCCTCTACGTATGTCCTATTCCAGTATGTCGACGTTAGGAGTATGAAAGAAGGCAAATCAATGACGCGCATCGCGACAAGGCAGCATCTGGACCCACACCATGCAGCCGAGGCATCGCATTGGCCAGCTCGAATTGCGTGCTCGCCGCGAATTAATGAAAGGCCATGGGTTGCCTTCTTCCTTCTAATAACCGCGTCTTATCCTTTCAATACATTTAGAGCGCGCGAAGAGCACACGGACTATATGTTAAGCATATCTTGGGCCCACATCACCATCGTCTGGACGTCGCGACAGCGCCAAGCAATGCAAGCGGAACGTTTCGACGAGAGATTCGATTGTTAAGGAATAGACCGGACTGAAGCTCAGTGCGATGTTTGCCCCTCGAGGCAGTCATATCAAATCTACGCTCCTTAGACTCGCTCATGTGTAGCGAGGGGCGCGACTGGGCCGCTGTATGGCAGCCCTGTCGGCACGACATGTGCCACGGAATGCCTCCAGGAAGTGCGCACGTGCACTGTTGCGGCTATCAGCTGGACGTCATATCTCAACAGCCTCATGGTGTTGGAAGCTGTATGACAGCCCATGGTGTGTACAGTGTGAGTCGAGAGCGAAGTAAGTAAAGTCAGGACATCATTTAAGGAAAAGGGGAGCAAAACGAGACCCCATTGTATGGCTGATCTATCGCAGCTTCAAGACCTAGGCCAGGCCGATGCAGTTCGCGGCGAAGGTTTGGCCAGTATCGCCACTGCCACTTTCGCCTGCAGCCGCGCCTTCGGAGATCGCCTTTTCAAGCAGATAACATGATCGTGGATCGCAGCTTCCGACTGTTTCCTACTCAGCCAGATAATGAGAGCTGGCGGCTCAGGTTCGTTTAACATCTGGATCATCTCTGTCTTGCTACCTACCCGACGGTCTACACACTGACATCCTGATCAGTATCGCTGCATCCTCACTTCCACAGCGACCGTGCTGGTCCTGCTTCTCCAACTATTTCGAGAAGTCCGGGTCTCGACAACCTTCGAGAATCTGGCACAGAAATCCGGTGAGCGTTTGCAATTACTTTTTGGACTTGTCAGTGAGTCCTTTGGGAGATCTGTACATCTGCACTTACTCAGCACACTCGAGCGCCTCGGACCTGCTTCTGTTGCGGCCATGCAACTGCGGCCGGTGGCGCATCATATGTGAGGGGTAGCCACGATAATCGCCCACTCGCAGGGGAGCACCTTCCGCGCTAACGGCTGTCGGTCAAGGCAAACCCCTCCGACAACCGTCGGGTTGGGCAAGATCAATCTTTACTGAGAAAGGTGAATGAATGCGTGAAGGTGAATATTCCTTCTCCAAAGGTGACGATGTCGACCGCCACTATCTTCGATCGATCCTGCCTCAACTCACTTCTCGCCCTCCCTTTCGCTTTTCTTCCCTCGTTCTCTCATTATCATTATGCCCTTGCAAAAGTACGCTCATTCGCTCGCGAGAATACTTGGTATCGAACTCGTCGAGCAGCCCCATCTTCGTGAAGTTGAAGAGTCCCTCATCCGAGTGCTACCACATCCTTACTACGAGCCAGAGCCTACGGTCGGCGAATACCTACGGACTCTAGCCCCAACCAAGCGCGGCGTTGCAACTTACATTCATGATCTGTTCCCTTCAGCGCAATGGCTGCCACGATACAATTGGCGATGGCTGCTGGGCGATGCTATTGCTGGGCTCACGATCGGATTTGTCGTCGTGCCTCAGGCAATGGCTTACGCTTTACTGGCACAGCTGTCACCTGAGTTCGGGCTTTACACATCCTTCACAGGAGCGGCAACTTACTTTCTGTTTGGTACCTCCAAGGACATAGTCATCGGTGTAAGTTCCTACGCGCCCAGCTGACACTTCACTAACAGCGCAAGACTACGGCGGTGGGGTCTCTTCTCGTCGGTTCCGTCATCACTTCCGTCGAAGAGCGTCAACCTAATACATACAGTCGACCAGAAGTTGCCAAAGCTCTGTCGTTTATCATCGGCTTGATCTTGCTGCTCGTGGGATTACTCCGCCTCGGCTGGCTCATCGAGTTCATCCTTATGTGCCATCTCGGCATTTGTTACAGCAGCTTCCATCACCATCATATCAACACAACTCGGCGCATGTCTCGGGATTAAGGGCATCGACACACATCAGTCGCCCTACAGAGTCATTCTTGACACATTGGAAGGCGTACCTCGTGTTCAGCTTGATGCGGCTGTGGGACTGACCTGCCTGGCTATGCTCTTCGTTGTGCGTGATGTGTGTGCGAAGCTTGAGATCAAGCAACCTTCCAGGAAGAGGCTGTGGGCTACAGTATCCTCCTTGAGGCTGACCTTCGCCATGCTCTTCTTCACCTTGATCTCGTTCCTCGTGCATCGATCAGACAAGGAACACCACAGATTTCGACTGGTGGGCAAGATCAACTCTGGTGAGTATTCAATTCCCATGCTCTCACTCGCTAAGATCGCGTGTAGGTTTCAAAGAAGCTGGTCTACCTCGACTGGAGCCCGGCCTGGTGAAGATGATTCTGCCGGAGCTACCAGCAATCATCATAATCCTCGTCATCGAACATATCGCGATCGCGAAGTCATTTGGAAGGACCTTCGGCTACACCGTCGTCCCATCACAAGAAATTCTTGCTCAGGGCACCGCAAACCTGCTCGGACCCTTCATCGGAGCTACGCCTGCACGGGGTCTTTCGGTGCGTCAGCCGTGCTGTCCAAGGCTGGCGTTCGGACGCCGCTCGCTGGACTTTTCAGCGCCTTCGTCCTCATTCTAGCTCTTTATGCGCTCACCGGAGTGTTTTACTACATACCGCAAGCTGCGTTGGCGGCGCTCATCATTCATGCTACCTACAACTTGATGACTCCGCCAAAGTCACTGTACAAATATTGGCAAATATCGCCATTCGAGCTGCTGATATGGATTGCGGGCGTGACCTTGGCGCTGTTCACAAACCTTGAGACTTCCATCTACTGCACGATTGCGCTGTCGTTGGCCCTCCTTCTGGTCCGACTTGCAAGAGCTAGAGGTCGGTTTCTGGCGCGGATACGCGTTGGAAGGCTGGCGGTCGATGTCCATGCCCACGACGATTCAGGACCTCTAACTCCCAGTCACCACACGCCCGATTCTTCATATCGCGATGCCTTCCTGCCAAGCGATCGCAAGGATGCGTCTAACCCAGAAATCAACGCTGAGTCTCCATACCCAGGTGTCTTCGTCTACCGCTTCACAGAAGGCTTCAACTACGTTAATCAAGCTCGACAGATGGATGGTCTCATCCGTCAGGTCATGGCAGAAACCAGACCGACGACAGTTGATGACGGCATCAGACCGTCTGATCGACTCTGGAACGATCCAGGACCAATACGTGCTGGCTCTAAGATTGGGGCCAACAAGCCTGTTCTTCGTGCGATCGTTCTCGACTGTTCTCCGGTCAACAACACCGACATTACTAGCGTTCAAGGCCTCATCGACGCAAGGAATTTGTTGGACAAACATGCTGCACCTGCTGTGGTGGAGTGGCATTTCGCGAACGTGGGAAATAGGTGGACACGGCGTGCTTTGGCGACTGCAGGATTTGGCTTTCCCGTTGAGGGGACTGATCGTGCAGGGCAATGGGCGCCAGTGTTCACTGTGTCCAGATGGCTCGCTGGTGCGACGACCGAGGATCTTCAGCTGGCGCTGCGAGAAGGCGGGAATGCGGAGACTGCGGTTGATGAGGAACGATGTGGTGAGAAGCCGACATCCAAGGGACACTATTCTGCAAGAAGTCGACAGAGTATTCCTGCAGCACCCGATGACTCGATATTGCAAAATGGGAGACAGAGCACACCTCCGACTCCCGTTAGAGACTCGTCACCGAGGTTGGTGTTTGGTATGGACCGGCCGTTCTTCCACATTGATCTCCTTGAGGCTGTCGATGCGGCTGTCAGGGACGCGAAGAGAGCCGATTCAAGATTGACGCATGTTGTTGCGGCTGGTAGGCGTAGCGGCGATAACAATTGATCCTTGAGCTCTACCTGCGTATCAGCAGCGTAATCGACCTGGTTGCTTGAGATGACTGAGTTCATTGGTTTCAAGAGCTTTCGCATCCGTGTCATTCATGCAAGTCTACATATATACATACAGAAGCGATACGAATTGAACCTCTACCTTTCGCTGCGTGACATCGTAAAAATGCTCTAGAAGACCGTGCCGTCGCTGATGATGCCAATTGGGGGGCCTTTTGTGATCGGGCGGGATACTTGTGCGATTTCTCGTCCTCCCTATAGTTTTGTCAGTCTTGCTTAGAAAGGTTTGATGTGACCTGTACTCACCTTCCACGTGCCAGCCTCCAGCATCTGTGCCAGGCTCAATTGCACGCCCAGACCCTTGTTGACCGCCGCAAGAAGCTCATCGAGGAATCCTACGGTGACTGCTCTCCATTCGACCACCACATCGTCACTTGGTTCGAAAGTTGGCACCACTTCAGTAGCTTTGTTGGATGGCGTGACCCTGTGGTAGGTCTCGAGACCCCTCTTGGTGTCCTGGTCCTTGAGCGTCAGAAGACCGGTGTCAACAAGCAGGCCGCCATTGCGATATTCTGGTAGTCCAGTCATCAGCTCGGCGCCGGCGAAGTGGACGTTGAGCAGCTTTGTCATGGGCACCATGATGGAGTAGCACAGCCATTGAGTCAGCTTGTGGAAGGGTACGATGTTTTCCCACGGTTGAGCAGGAGGGGATGTTGGCATGGACGAGCAATTCCAGGCGTCGCCCAGTGGGACACCATCGATCTTTGTGCGGGTCGCTGGCCAGATCTCTGTTAGGCCGTCCATGAGAACGGACCATAGTGTCGGCAATGGCACGACAGGCACTGATGATGCTTGTGTAGTCGGATGCGAGATCAAGTAATCTGTGATTGTCAGTCGTGAAATGCAAAATTTCCAAGGCAAGCTCACCAATCATGTTTCCAGGTCTTGCATCAGCTCCGAACATCTCGGGCTTCTGGAGCGCAGACGATAGTCTCATGAGCAACCCAGCCCGGCCTTCGAGTCCAGACATTGGGTTGGTCTCAGAGACCTGCATACCCTTTGCCAGAGTCTCCACTGTTACGTTGCGTAGTCCGGCCGCGTCGACTTGATGGGGCTGATCTTTTCTGCTAGAGAAGTAACCTGCCTTGAACATCTCCAAGCTAGCCACTGCCAACCCTTCACTTCTGGAATAGACTCGACCGGATTCCTTGGACTTGTATGACCATGATGTGCCTGCTCCGGCATCCAGTAGGACTGACACGAGGAATAGATCAATCAGTCGTCGAGTTCTCTCCGTGTTGTCTACGGAATTTGGCCAAGCTTGTAGCAATTGCGTCACTCGAGGCCTACCACCGACTTCGAAATGTTGCCATCGGCCATGGGGTGGGATGTTCTCGTAGTCGCCAGCAAAATCTCGTTTGATGATGGATACTACGTAGTCGGCCGTCTCCTGGAATTTGGACATATCAACGGCAAAGTGATTCAGCTGGTTCGCCTTGGCCTCATCAGAACGATCTTCGTCCGCTCTCGGACAGCCTGTATGCTCCGAAGATACGCTGCCGGCTTCTCTGCTGGATCAGGCGTGGGCGGCATTTCGATATTGTTGGGTATCGAGCTGGCCATCCTGGGCAAAGCTCCGTTGGTCTGTGAGCTGCTGACGAGTTTTGGTGATCTTATCGAGTACTCTGACAGTCTGTCACCCGAGACTGCAGGTCTGGGACCTGACTTGCTGCTGCGTGAGTCTTGCGACTTGGAGTCCTTCTTGTGAAAAAGGCCCATTTTCGAGGTCGTGCACGGACGTGACCGAAAATAATTGGTGTTTGTGCCGCCAATGCAAGGGCCGTGCACTCCCCCGAATCGGATTAGATCCTGACGCAGCGGAGATGTGAGCAGTCAGGAGAACTATCGGGATCTTGAATCTTGATCTTTTGCATGTGCATTGTCTCTGCTCAACAGTGACTCTTACATGCCAGCGAGGTGTTATGTCAGGATCTGCGAGATCTCAGCAAGAGAGAAGGCGAGATGCGACCTGCTAAGCACTTCGGTGGCTCCTGCTCACGTACAGGTGTTCGGTGGCTCTTCGCCTGAACCCTCCCCGGCACCTGCCCGCGCACAGTCGAAATTAATTTTCCTCTGGGAGGCCCCTGACGCCTTAGAATCTTCCGCGCTCGCTTAACTCGGGCGGCTTTCGGTTTTGGCACTTTGTCCAACCATATTTTTACTGGTAACAGTTTCAGATGCGCGAGATGCAACGCTAAACGATCGAGTGCACGGACTACCATCGGCCAGTCGAGTATGGCATCTCGCTAGAGGCTTGACTTCGGCCGAAGAGGGCAAGCTGCCCACGGGAGGATACATTTATAAACTATAGTGCCGAACCCGTGGCTCTTGCTCTTGCACGCTTGAACTACTGCAGGGGCGAGTCTACACATATCGTACGGGCGCAAACATTGTTCCGCAACACGGCGGTCGAGATTCTTTGCTCTCCAGGCATGTCGAGCAGCTTGAAGCAATCAGCGGCGCAATAACACGTGCGCTCATGCAAGCACACCACTGCTGACTTATGTATGGCTCCAGCCTTGACCTTGATGTATCGCGGATGGTTCTGTCGATATCCATGTGGGTGAAAGCCCCTCATTCGCCGCGATGGATCTTGCCAGGTTGCGTGGCGCACTGTGCTAGCGGATCCAGGTGGGCAGGCGCCATCAGTACGACTCAGGAGTCAGGACGAAGCCCATGGTCGTTCTCTGACGGACGGCAGAGGCCCTGCTGCGGACGTAGAGCTCACTTAGCTAGGTACTGAGTAATCGCTGCCAATTGTGCTGAGCGCTCTGCGCATGATTGAAGGACGTAGTATGGCTTCTGACTGGATCTTCAGCATCTCAGTCGATGGCTTCGCCGCAAAATCTCAGGCGGGAAGCAAGCGCTCTGGGCCGTCTAATCGATACGCTTGTGATGGAAGATGCGACGTATGATGCATGTTCGACGTTCTCCTAGATTTCATGATCCGGGTGTGGTTGATCGAAGAAGTTCAAGTTGGGCTGTTAGTATCCGGGGAGAGCGCTGCACCGCCACACACAGGCGCCACAATGTGGCGGGGCTCTTGTTTCGTTGAACAACGAACAGCGTGGTTGCGGCACAGGCATCTGCCATATCTTCTCGTGTGCATAGACATGTTTAGGCCTTATACAAGTCATCGGTGACAGAAGTAGACACATGAAGTCCGACCATGGATGACCTGGCGGGAATCGACTGGTCTAAGAACACGAGCAACCAGAAGCCTCCCGCAGCCAACTATACACTAAACAATACATCATTCTCAAGCCTGCGCCCGACACCGCCCGTCTCTGGCCGGGCAACACCCTTATCTGGCAATGCTCCGTCGATAAAGCCACTTTCGAAACCTGCGACGCCTGCACAGTCTGGAGATAACTTCGCAAACCTCGTGTCGTGGTCCTCCAACCCATCCAACACCAAACTCTCCCTCCAGGAACAACAGAAGAAATTAGCAGAGGCAAGGTTGCAGAGCGGCCACCCGAAACAAACGCTTGGCAGCAATCATTGGGCGGGCGCCGACGACGCAGTATGGAACAGTCTGGGTAGTGGGCGAAGCACCCCTGCCCCAAGCGCACAGCAGAATGGGAGTACGGCACCCAGAAGCGGTGGTAATGATGAAGACGACTTGTTCGCCGACTTCAACGCCCACAAAGCGCAGACCGCAAAGTCTCCAGAATGTAGACCTGCACCTGCAGCAGCAAAAGCATCTCAGGACTTCCCAGACGATGACGATCCGTTTGGCCTGGCAGGACTCCAGCAGAAGACTGTCAGTCGGCAAGAGACCACGTCTACTATGCACAGTGACGATGACGACGTACTTGGGCTCCTTGGCAAGCCTGTCGATCTATCTCGGAGGAGGCCAGATCAAGAAGAGCCACAACGACCGAAACCGAAGGGAACCAGTAGCGAACATCCACAGGATAAGGCAATTGCAGAACTGGTCGACATGGGCTTCCCTGCTGAAAAGGCCAAGGCAGCGCTTGAGACCACAGACTCTGGCTTCGACGTTCAGGCTGCTGTAGGATATCTGCTCAACTCTGCCCATGAAGAGGCACGTGAGCGATCTCAGAGTCGCAATCAGGCAGCCAATGGACAGAGCAACAACGCGTCTTCGACGGGCCGTGGTGGCCGTACTGCGCAACCGGGACGACAAAGTACACATGTGAAGATGACGCAGGTCCAGTCATGCAGCGACGGCAACAGCAGATCGAGAAGGATCCTAGCCAGGTCGCCGCTGATATCGGTGCGAGCTTCTTCAAGACTGCCAATTCGTTATGGAAACAAGGTCAGAAGAAAGTGCAGCAGGCCGTGCAGGAGTTCAACTCTGACAGCGAAAGCGGCAGTCAACCCAAATGGATGCGCGAAGCGGGCCAACAAGAGGGTTCTGGCGGGCAGAAGGACAACGCATTGCCTACCAGACGAAGACCGACCAGCTCGAGTGGCAAGCGGAAAGAAGCGGACGTTACAGACGAAGCATGATGCTTGAAGGCGAAAGGCCAACACCGCCGCCGCGACTGCAGCCACAACGAAAGGGACAGCATTATGATTCAAGCGCAGATACATCGAGAGATCACTCTCCGGCAGTACCGTCAAGATTACGGGACACTTCATCTCCTCAGCCGGCTTTCCTCCGACAGCAACAAGCCAAGCCACCTCCGCAAACTTCGAGGGCAGCACTCAGCAGGCAAGCGAACGAAGACCAAGCAGCACAGGCATATGTATCGTCAGCTCGACGGCGGAAGCCGCAAATGCCTGCACCCTCGGTATCAGAACCAGATCTATTCGACACAGGTTCAACGTCACCGCCCGTTCCATCGAGACCACAATCATCTCGACCTGCACAGCCAGCACCGAAGCCCACACCGATCGCATCACGGCCACCTCCACCGAAGCGCAATATGCCATCAATATCACCCCTCAGCCTCAAGGCCTCACACGCAGCCCGCGAGGACGGCAATGCACACTTCAAGCGCGGCGACTACTCCTCAGCTCACGAATCCTATACGACATCCCTTCGGCACCTCCCCACCGGCCATCCCCTCACACTAGTCCTTCTCACCAACCATGCGCTCACAGCCCTGAAGACAGGCGAGCCCAAAACAGCCCTCACAGACTGCGACACCGCCATCACACTCATCGGAGCCTCCAAAGGCGAGGCCGAAACACTCGACTTCCTGGACAACACTCCACCAAAACCAATGCGCGACTATTACGGCAAAGCCTTGATGCGCAAGGCGGAAGCGCTAGAGCAGATGGAGAAGTGGGAACAAGCCGCTGACGTCTGGCGAGAAGCGGTCGAGGGTGGCCACGGTGGTGCTACTTCCATGCAGGGTCGTTTGCGGGCTGAGAAAGCCGCACGGCCAAAACCTGTGGTTGCAGCAGCGCGGAAGCCGACTGCACCCTCGTCAGCAGCACCGCCCGACCGTCGCCCGCCCATAAAAGCAAAACCAGCAGGCAATTTTGCTGCCGTGTCCGCCCTACGCGCAGCCAATGCCGCAGCGGATAAAGCTGACGATGAGCGTTTTGCACTGTACGATAGCGTCGATGCTCGGATCAAGAGCTGGAAAGACGGCAAAGAGACAAACTTACGTGCTCTCTTGGGAAGCCTGGATACAGTGCTCTGGCCCGAGGCGAACTGGAAGAAGATCGGCATGGCAGATTTGGTTCTGCCAGGAAAAGTGAAGATTCAGTACATGAAGGGGATCGCGAAGGTGCATCCTGATAAGGTGAGTCTGTCCCTGCACAGTCAAAAGGTCGTAACGACATTCTGGACATGTGGCTAACATGATTGCCGTAGATACCGACGGATGCCACGACAGAGCAGCGGATGATCAGCGCTGCGGTATTTAGCGCATTGAATGAGGCTTGGGATAAGTTCAAGGCAGAAAATGGGCTGTGAGTTACGGAGAGACAATTGGGCTGTCAGCTCCGGCAGTATGAACTGCGGTTGTTGGCATTGAAGGCGTAGAATATGGGCAGCGACATGCGCAGCTTGAGCCTGCCCCTATCACGACGTGTCAACCTATATGTCAATGACAAAGAATATCAATGCCCTGTAGGTGGGAATGACTTTTCTACTGACACGGTCCAGAGCTCTTGTTTGATACTCATTGCATGCTCAGGACAGGTCAACCGCGAGTTGAAGTCGACACTTATCGAAGAAGCTCGCCCCACCAAGCAGCAATAGATGCTATCTTGGCATGGCAAGTGCCTTCCGGAACTCGTGTTGGCCAGTGGTGTGGGGAGAAAAAGGGAGAGATAAGGTCGAGGGCAAGACGACCACTTACACCTTTTCAACAGAATTGACGATCCGGCGCAAACCGAAATGATGAGTTCACTGATTCGGCATTAAGCATTCACTATTCGCTGCATGATCCGGACTACCGTTGCTGGCCAGTGTATTGAAGCAGGCGGGTAGGGCTCCAACGACACAGTGACAAGGAAGTGAGAAAGCTTGCAGCATAGCCGTCATCTTTCCTATCGTCATCCACGAGCCAATTCTCAGATCGTGAGGATGAGGAGGCAGCAATCAGGCCACAAGCCAGCCAGAAGATTGTACACAACCACTAATGTTACTGATACACAGCCTAGAATGCCCGCCTCTCGCCACCCATGCTCTATCACCGCTTAGCCGGCCGCTTAGTCCCCTTCGCCGGCGCCCTCGTCCCGCCTTTAGTCTTCCCCAGCTTCCCAGCAGCCCTCGTCGCCCTCGAATGCCGCTTATTCTTGAACTTCAGCGCCCTCACTCTCCATGCCTTCCACCTGTCCTTCCTATCAAACGGCCTGACCTGGACTTGCTCGTCCACCGCATCTCTTGCCAGCTGCACGTTTGCGATTCTGTAGCCCTTGTACCTCATAATCGGCGCCGGCTTCACCGGTGTCCCAGGCGCAGCATGCCCAACAGGCCTCGGTGACCCATCCGGACCTGCTGGCCCACTCCCACCGACAGCGTGCTGTTCCAAGAACCCCCTCGCCTCCTCCGCCGTCTCCGCAACTTTGATAGGAACCGCCAGCATCCCAACCCTCCTCCGCGTCGGCGCATTCCGCGGACTCGGCAACACACTCTCCTTCCCCTCCCTGGCCAGCGCCACCCCAATATACCTCCTCGTCGGGTGCGCCGCTGGATTTCTGTAGTACCGCACATAGCCCTCGACTAATATAGATGGTGTGGTCTTTTCCCATTCCTACGTTCTCCCCCGGATGCCATTTCGTGCCGCGCTGCTTGAAGATGATGTTGCCGGGGATGACGTGTTCGGTGTTGCCTTTTTTCAGGCCCAGGCGGCGGCCGGCGGAGTCGGAGGGGCCGTTTGCGCGGCCTTGGGAGGCGTGTTGGGCGTGTCGGACCTGCGTCTTGGGAGTGACGGGTATAAGTTGGTGGATGGTGAGAGAGGAGAGACTAGTACTGAGGTGGACGAGGATGAGCGTGAAGCTGGTAACCGTGGTTGAAGCATTGTTGTTGAGGAGCTGCGGGAGCTCGGAGAATGCTGTGAGCGAGCTGACGATTGGAAGGTGCAGTGCTGGAGGTAGCTATAGTCGTTGATGCCGGTCGACTTTTTGGAAAGCAAGTCCGCAACATGGCACTAGGCTGTTTTGGGATTTCGCGGGCTTGAATGAGGACAAGTTGCACATCGATGCTGTTCACTGCCCACGACGACGACAGTGCTCGGAACCAGTTTCATCTAGGTAATTTACAGCCTGGAACTCCTTAAGATGTGCAAGCCATGGAGCATCGCCATCCTAGCGCTCTTCGCCTCCTCTGCGTCCGCGCAATTCCAGTTCTTTGACAACTTCTTCAATCAAGGACAGGGCGGCCAGCAGCAGTCACAGCAGGGCGGCAACGTTGCTAGCGATTCGAGCTGGTACCACTCGACTTGGGATGGTGGTAAGTCATCTTTCACACAGGATCTATGGTAGCCACCTTGTGTCTTGTCCACATCCCCTCGCCCTCGACGATCCAGACCCAGCCAGACAAGACACTGATCTACAACGCAAATGCTAACCCTTTCTCGTAGCAAAATGTTCCAAGTACCTCTGCCCCGACACCCTCGCCTGCGTGCACTTCCCCCACCATTGCCCCTGCCCACACGCCGCCGTCGAAGAGAAAGTCGAACTAGGCGAGGGCATCAAGGTGTGCGGCAGCAAGGGCGGCTTCAAGCAGGGCGAGACCGCACGGAAGATTGAGCTCGCAAGAAAAGGACTTCTGTGAACGCATTCATACATGACTCGAAGCGGATCTATATTGTCATACACATCATAACTCAGCCCGACGCCCTGAGATACTGGTACAGAAGTGGTCAGCAGAGCCGACTGCTCCCCTCAAGAAGTATAACACCCACCCTATCGATACTGGAGATGACGCTCCCAACCGATCAATACCACCACCTATTCTGCGGCTGGTTTACAAAGCTCAAGATGTCGTTGATCTTCTCCAACGCCGACACCCACTTCTCCGTATCCTCCGACGCAGCCTGCGCACTATCATCAGCCGCGAGTCTCTGGTAGAAAGTCCTCCTCGCCGGCACAAGATCCCAACTCGCAGCAAACAGCGCCTTCTGATAGTCGTTGTGATACATCTTGAGAGTATCCGGATACGACTTCTTGAAAGCCTCAGACAGCGGCTTCTTGGGATTCGCGTCATCCGGCGGCGAGTTCTTGTTGTCGTCGAGGTCCTTGCGGAGCGACTTCACCGTGAAGTCCAGAGTGCGCGCGAGCCAGCTGAGGGCTTCGCTCGCTGAGCCGGTGTAGCTGACGCCGCTGTTCTTCTCGTTCTGGACGAGCTTTTGCAAAGTGCCCGCTTGGTCACGGTGGCCGTTGAAATAGTCGCGGATCTTCTTGATGTTTTGCTCGTTGTCGATCCTGGCTGGACGGAAGGCGACTTGGCCGAGTAGGTCGAAGAAGGATGGTAGGGATTGGGACGCATCGAGAAATTCTTCGGTATGGATACCGTTGTCGCCGTCGACGGGGACTTCGTCGAAGCGCTTCCTCAGGGTTGAGTACCATGTACGCTGATGCCATGGGCCGTTATAGGGCCCAGCGGCGCCGGCTGGACGAGCAGCGCTAGCGCTACCGCCTGAAGCTGGGCGTTGAGGTTGTCCGCCTGGTCTACCCCTCGCAACAAACTCGCGTGGGTGGCGAGGAGCGCCATGGTCGGCTTCGGCTGCGACTTGGAAGACGCAGAGGAACAGCACGAATAGCTTGGCGGCGAGGCCGCCGGAAGCGAGGATGTTTCGCACGTGCATCTTGTCTTGTCCCAAGTGCTTAGAAGGTGCGAGTAATAGGAAACATGATCTGCTTCTTCATATATTCCCAGTCGCAAGGTGCTGTTCCTTTCTTCAAATCGAGAAAACGGTCCAGACCTCACGTGGCTGCCCATTGTGTTGTTGAGGTTGGTCTTTGTTCGGCTGGTGTATGTTGACGCGTCCGGCGATTGCATTGTCTTCGACTGGTGTCACGCAACCTCGGATGTACCTCAACCCTATTTTGCCCATTGTTTCTCTCGGCGGTAGGTCTCGGAACACGAGAGAATCCCAACGTGAATTCTGCTTTGGACCGACCGTTTCAAAATCCCATCTTGGGATATCCTTGGCACGACAACCTAGAGCTCGGACCTTTGGGAGAACCGTGCGGGAACTGTTGGACCGACTTGTTCCCATCACGAACCCCAACTCCCTCTCCGCCCCACAGCACCAGCAGGAACCATTGCCACGGGTGGCGGCAACAGCCACTCATCAACCTGCTGCTCAATCCGTTTCCTCCGCTCCGCCATTTCTCGTTGCTCCTGCTCGTGTAAAGCCTGCTTCTGTTGCGCACGTTCGGCTTCTGCGCGCAACTGGTTGCCTGCGCCGCCTCTGCCGTATGCATAGCTTGTACTGCTGGTTTCGCTGGTGGTGGTGGCGGGCGTAGTGGTATTGGTCGTAGTCGGTGTGCTCACGCTTCGTGCAGACGATGTGGGTGTGTCGTTCGAAAAGCGCTGACCTTGGCTGAGCGGGCTTCGCGCTGATGAGATGACGCCGGGGCTTGTTGCGCTGTTGATGTGAATGTTGCCTGCTCCGCCTCTTCCGACACTCCTCACATTGTCCAGTCTTTGCAATTTCTTCGCTGCTGCTCTTCGCTGCGCCAGTGAGGGGCCCTGTCCCGTGCCAATAACATCCTGGGCTGAGCTGATTGACGAGGGCGCTGATGTCACGCTCGCTCGTCCGGTGTTGAGACTGCCCCATACGAAGTTGCCAGCTCCGCCTCGACCAGTACGTGTGAAGGGCTGTTTTTGATCTGGAACAAATGATGGTGAAAGGGTCGGGCCGTAGCCTTGTACTGACGCCGAGACTGCTCTCCACTGGTCTGGGCCTGCAGTGTCATCATTTGCTGCTGTGGTGTGTATCGATCAGAGGACATGGCTGTGACGGTGCTCGTAGAGGAGCGCTTGAACGCATCAGAGTCGCTGAACCACCGCTGCTGTTGGCGTTGTATCACTGGATGCAATCTGCCTTCTGTCTGCTCGGGATGGCTATCATGCTCATCGTCATGTTCGTGCGGGAAGTCGTTCGTAGATGGCGAGGTCGCTGTTGTGGCGTAGGCGTCCAGGAGCCAGGCGGCCCATGACTGGGTCTGTGGCTGTGACGGGGCTTCGGGATGTGGTGATAGCGATGGCGGGGCATGATGTGAGATGTGTTGCTGTTGATGGGGAGGTTGCACGCTGGTGGCCATCATCGGTCGTGCAAGAGATGTGGGTCAATTGATGCGGCTTCCCGAGGAGGCTTTGGGGCGGCTGCCGGGGTGTGCTGGCCCTACAGGCTCGAAGTTATCCTGGTCGTGTGCTCGTGGAAATGCAGTAGGGTGGGTCTCCACAGGTGAAGAGTTGCAATCGTCCTGTCGGCAGGATGGTGTGTCCACTGTTTGTAGCGTGCGCTAGGATCAGATACTGGGTGAAGTGTACACAAGATCAAAGGTCCGCTGATGTCTTCAAGCTGTAAACCTTGCAACCTAAGACCACGAGGAATTCAATTTCGCGGGGTGCAGGAGTCCACTATGTTTAGGCTTCTTCCAGGGGTCGGGATGAAGAGGCGAGCCCGGAATTCTGGTCGTTCTTTACTTCAAACGTTTGTGTTCTCTTTTGATTTGTGCCCAATCCACAAGAAGTAGACAACACTGGAAAACAAGGCTTGGAACAAGCACAGCAAGGAATGCATGACGTTGACCCCATCGTGGGTACCGCCGCCGGCCATTGTTTCTTCCAGCGGAAGCCGCATACCTATCGGAAAGCATCAATCTCCAAGGATCCGCTGTCCATCGTCCGTAGCGGGCTTCGGTTACGAGCTTGGTTCCTTAAAGGCCTTCCTCAGGGAAAGGGTCAGGACGTCAGGACGTGTCCCATCGTTCTGCAACTACCACTGGGAAGTGTAGACAAGGTCGGACACGAGGGATTGCGGGGTGGAGGAGCCACTGTTACGAAGTGTTGTGTCTGGCTGCTCAAGGGTTCCGAAGATTTGCTAAACCTTGGAAGGCACGAGCATGTCAACTGCCGTAGTGGCTGCTCATGGATGCGAAACTTCTCGACTCGTTCCTGACGGATACACGGCCTTGGGTCGCTGCTTCCCGCGCCCGATGTTGAGCGGGCAAGTGCGACCCATGCTTGCAGCCTATAAGTACTTGCAGACCTACGCATTCCGCATTCTACAGCCACATCATATACAAGTCGCTATATCTGCTTCTCCGGCTCTTTACCAATGTTGATGACCCGAGCCATGTGGCGCACGTTATCGATCCGGGCGAACCTGTTATCTGGATAGGCTCGGCCTAAGCTATTCCCATTGGTCAACTGGATCGCTATCGGACTCGGCATTTGGGCGTGACGAGATGCAATAACCTTTTAACCACGAGCCTTGAGCGGGCTCATTCTCCTACCCAGTCACCGACGTGATGTAGCGATTGACAAATGTTCAAGCCAAGGTTGAGAGCCTGAGTCTGGCCAGAAGATCCGGATGACAGCCGGCTAACGAGTGAACTCTCCACCGCAAACAAGAAAGCTGGCCGGCCACCACTACTGTGCTCCGAGGAGATGTACAGCCGCTCCATCATTCTTGTGCATGACAAGGCAGTTGAGAATTTGCGTGGGAAATGATGGCCCCAGCTACGCTGAGTAACGCCGGGGAGGCACAGGATGAGGCGCCGCGACAGCGACCCAGACGGAAGCACACCGGTGGGGCAGAGGAGGGTTCGAAACGGCGATGTAAGAGTGCTGAGCAGTGTGTCCAGGGCTGCATCGCTGACGACACAAGCAAGCAGGCGTAACCTCGTGAGCACAGCGTGTATTGCGTGTCGGTATGTCTCCGCCCTCACCGTCTCGCTTGTGCATGATTGGCAACAACGTGGCTGATACCTCCGGCCGCATGCAGGAAACGCAAGAGCAAGTGCGACGGTAACCTGCCCGCATGCGCTGCATGCTCTCAGGTCTACGGCACCGACTGCATCTACGATCCCAACTCTGATCACCGACGGAAAGGTGTATACAAGAATGAACTTGACAACCGCAAGACGCGCAACTTCTCCACGCTACAGACACTCATAGAAGCCATCTTGAATTCTCCAGAAGACGATGTGTCTAGCCTCGTGCAAGAAATACGGACATGCGAAAGCTTGGACGCAGTCGCGGAGAAAATCGCGGCTAAGGAGCATGGCATCGACGGCGAAGACGAAGAGTACGATGATGCCAAAGTCTCACACGACAATGACAGTGTTGTTGGCAGGACATTCGAGACGCAGCTCTACGGCAAGATGGGCGACTTGCGGCTAGACGAGGGCTCGGTGAGGTACATTGGTGGCACTTCGAACCTCATACACCTCGCGCAAGAAACGTCCTCCAGTGAGTCCCTCGACGAGTACACGCAGCAGGAGGATCCCATCACCTCCTGGACGAGTGTCACCGACGATCCAGAGCTGGTTGTGCACCTGTTGCACATGTACTTCACTTGGCACTACACATACTTCACCACCCTGTCCAAGACACTATTCTACCGCGACTTCTTGCTTGGTAAACCTCCTCTGACCGCCAAGCGGAAGACGTACTACTGCTCGCCGTTACTCGTCAATGCCATCCTCGCGCTTGGCTGCCATTTCACATCTCGCAGTGGCGGTCGCGAAGACCCAGACGACTCCGCAACAGCAGGGGACCACTTCTTCAAGGAAGCGAAGCGGTTGATCATGGAGAACGACGAGCACGAGAAGCCCAGGCTAACAACGGTTCAAGCGCTCGCGCTCATGTCAGTTCGAGAAGCAGGCTGCGGCAGAGAAGCCAAAGGATGGGTATACAGCGGCATGTCGTTCCGCATGGCATGCGACATGGGTTTAAATCTCGACTCCGGTCGCCTGACAACGAATAAGGCTATCAATGGCGACGACGCTGAAGAAGACGTTCGGCGTATCACATTCTGGGGCTGCTTTCTTTTCGACAAGTGCTGGTCTAACTACTTGGGTCGCCTGCCACAGCTCCCGACCTCGATCATCACAGTGCCCAAGGTCGAAGTCTTTCCGGACGAAGACTCGGCGCAATGGAGCCCATACACTGATTCCGGCTTCACACACGCGCACGCCCAGCCGGCACGGACACGAGCTGTCGCTCTGGAAATAACGAAGCTTTGCGAAATCAGCAACGATCTGATGAACCACTTCTACAACCCAACGGACATGGAGAAGACAAAAGGCAAAGCTGCTGAGCTCAAAAAGCTGTCCGACATACACACACGACTTGAGACGTGGCGAAGAGAGCTACCAAAGGAGTTTGAGCCAAGAGAAGGATGCCTGTCAAGCGTTCTGGTCATGCAGTAAGTCCCGGAATCTGTCCTGCTCTTCCATGTGTTGAGGTAGGCGGCTGACCTCGCATCACAGCATGTTCTTTCAACTGTTGTTCATCCACCTCTTCCGTCCATTCTTAAAATACAACCAGCAGACTTCGCCTTTGCCACACAACGTCAGTCCGCGCAAGCTGTGCACCCAAGCTGCCGGCATGGTGTCTAAGCTCATGCGATTATACAAGCGTTCACATGGCCTCCGACAGATCTGTAACATCGTCGTCTACATAACGCACTCGGCGTGCACGATACACCTGCTGAATCTACCGGACAAGAACGCAAAGCGCGACATTGTTCATGGCGTAAAGCATCTTGAGGAGATCGCGGACAGTTGGCTCGCCGCAAGACGAACGCTTGCCATCTTGAGCTTCCTAGCTCGCAAATGGAACGTAGACCTTCCCGAGGAAGCATCAGCAGTGCTGGCACGCACAGATGAGAAATTTGCAAGCTACGCCAAAGAACTTGAAAAGTCATCTTCAAACGCGCCTCGACAAGCTTCGGAGCAGATGCTGAATCCTGCACAACTCGCAACACAACCTGCCTCATTGGACTCCACCCTTGCAAACGGCTACTTTACCAACGCGCCAGCAGCAGCCAACACTTTCTGGAACGGCGGCCCTGGCCCTGTACGAAAGCTCAGCGGCACTCACTCGCTACCTCCCAGTGACGCCAACGGCATACGTGCCGCACAAATGTCGAGCGCTACCGGCACACCAGTCCCTACGGCAGGCCACCGCTACAGTGGCAGCAGAGACTCAAGACGCACATCCGCCGCCAGCCCAAGCGACATGTTCGGCGGCGTTGAGCAACTTTTGCGTGACAGTCAAGATTGGGTCTTGCGCGATCAGGCACAGTTCGCCATGGGCTTCGAAAATTGGACGGGCATGGACATCGATTCATCAACATGGGCCGAAAGACCTACCAATAACAATGCTGTCAATGGCGCTGCTACAAGCAACGGCCCAGTAGCCGCGACTACCAGCCCAGTCCATGCGATGAATGGTGTGCCAAACGGCGGTGCCGCAAATATTGCCAACGGACATCCGGTCGGAACTTGGTTCAATGGATCGAGCCCATACGGCAGCGCCTGGACTTACAATGAGGATGAGTGGTATATTTAATAGAGCACGTTGGTAGATGGAAACGTACCAGATATTTTACAGCTTGGCCCGATCATGCTGAGCCATCACAGGTACCCTACGTAAGCAACGCTTACGCTTACGTTCGATATGCCAAGGCTTATGCACCTGTAGTAAGTTCTGATGTCAATCCTGACGCCTGCTTGCCATACTCTAAACTCCTCGCGGGCGTGCATCAACAGACATAGTGCCCCCTGAGCGCACTGCATTTACCTGAATGTGCTCCTGCCTGATGTAGACGAGCGGTAGACGAGCTTCGCGGACCAAGCGAAACGTTCTCGAGCAGAATAATTCCTCTGGAATTAGGCAAAGATATACGAGAGCCGGGAATTGAAGACTGCACGTGTTTCGTGGTCTTATAGACCATGAAAAGTCCAGCTCGTTCTGGTTCTCTTTTGGACTTACGGTATCTTCCTCAACGCCGCAAAATTGCGAACGTACACATTATTTCATTTGGTCGAGACACCTTCGGGCGGCGTGCCGGACCGCCGCTCGTCCACTGGTGAAACCAGCGGTAGGGATTGACCATCACGAAAGGGGATCTTGGCCTTACCTAGCAATCACTGTGTGGTGAGCTGCATTGCTGGGTCATGTCAAAGGGGCGCCATGACAACAAAAGATGGTCTTTGGCGTGAGCCTCTTCAAAAGATCTGCGCCTGCTCACCTTACAGCCATACCTCTGGAGATGCCAATCGTTGCCTGACCGCGGAAAGCAAGAAAAAACGCGTGCTATGGTACCGGGCCGCTGCTCCCAGACACGTACCACCTACCAAGGTCGGAGAGGAGTCCGATGACATGTCCGCCCGGTGTTAGCTTGGCGGAGCACTGTACGATCCGATTCGGCAACTTCCATAGAGGGAGCAACGACGCCGGTCAGGTGCTATGACCAGTCCGAGGGAAGTCCTCGCTTCATCTTCAAACGACCCGTGTTCAGTAGCATGCCATGCAAGAAGCACCTAAGACCGGTCTTGGGTGCGGCGTGTGTGGCAAACGAAGGAAATTAGCTGCACTGACCTACCAGTGTGTCGAAGGGGACTGCTGGGAGATCCAGGAGAATTTCGAGCTCAGCGTACACCGGACAAAAAATGGTACTTTTGTTTGGCGAGAACCACGAAGCTGAATCATGTTGGCGCGTCGAGTCGTTGCAACGGGACTCATGAAGTCCCAATCGTGATGCCCGTCGGTTGGCTTACTTCCCAAATGGACGAATGTCGTTGGAGATCTCCATGGTCATGCTCAAGAACAGAGATATCAGCGGATGTTGTTCGGCCTTGGAGAGCAACAGGGGCTCCGCATCCCTCTGTGGCCTCGTGGCAGACCTGATGCTCCGATTTCAGCCACACAGCAGCTGCTCTGGACGCAGAGAGATGTTCGGCAATCTGATTCCCAGGCAACTTTACAGGCAGCGCAGTCTCACTTCTGTTCATCCGGGAGCCTCTCTTCAGAGTACGTGGACGGTGGTCCGACGCCGTCGACCCCAGCAAGATGATCGACATTGGAGAACGGAAAGCTCGGTCAGACAGACCGAGATGAGCGCCAATGTAAGTGTGATTGCGTACAGATACACTCCGGGGATCCGAAAGTACTTGAACCTGATGGAATTCTTCCGCAATTTTCGCGCTGGCTAAACGCGATGAATCCTGCATGGAAAAATTATCCTTGGTGCGACAACGTGGGCATATGCGCGACATCAGGAGATCTGGAATATGCCGTTTAGGAGGTAGTGCAGGCGCAGAAAATCCGATGGCCGAACATTGTCCGGCTCTTGAAGCAGAGCTTTTCCAGGTTATGAGATAGCCGCTCGTGTTCAAAACCTTATACCACATGGTCAATCTGCATGTTGGCGGATAGAAGTATTCGAAATGGCGCTTCGTGCAGCGACCTTTAACAGACCGATCGGGCAGTCGGTCTACAGAGATGGAGGGCATCTCACAGTGTGGTCTTTCTAATGCCCCGCACAGCAGATGCGAACTCCTGCTTGACATGTCGTCGCCGTCGGATCAGGTGCGACAACCGTCTGCCCGTGTGCGAGCGATGCGAGAAGCGAGATGTGTATTGTGACCGCTCAAGTCCGTTGGTGGTCAAGCAGTACACGCCAGAGTCTGGTGTCGATCTGGACAAGACACCTCGAGAATTGCTGCAGGAAGCTCTCATAGCCAAACTCTTCGTAAGTACTCGTACCAGTGCCGTCAATGCTATGCTATCCGAGATGGCCTCGCTGACCATGCTCATCACAGCATGTCTACATCAAAGACTTAGCACCCTGGTATGACTTGTGTGACGAGACGCGGATGTTCGAACGCCAGGTCGCAGAGAAAGCACTTGATAGCGTGCTGTTGTTTTCTGCCATCATGCTTTCGCTGGGATATACATGCATCGGAAGGAGTCTTTCCCGAGGATAATAGCAGAGGCGTATCATGACAGATGCGTCAAGCTATTACTTGTTCTGTCGCCAGGTGCCCAGGAGGTGGAGGATGGTACTGCATTGGCATCAACATGCCTATTGTCATCATACGAGGTCCTGTCTTCGGAGGAGGAAGACCCCAGCCGTCATTTGTTTGGAGCCTGGTCGCTACTTCCGAATCCCATGCCCATATTCAGCGATAAGAGCCTAAAAGCCGCCGGGTTCTGGAACTTCTTGCGAAAGGACATCACATACGCCTTGATACACGAATGTCCGCTCAAACTTCGGCTGGAGCGTGCATCCTCGCAACCTATTTCCGACGACGATATCGCCAACAGTATGACGCTGTTGCTTGGGCGAGCAATCAATGTTGTATTCGGCGGCCACGAAGATAATGTTCTTCCAGACATCATGGAATGGCGGGGGACTCTGTCCAAGCAACCGTTCTCGAGAATCGATGATCGGCCATTTCCCACTGTTCGAATGATACAGGACTCCCAGGTTGCTGCAATGCAGTACTTCTATCTTGCGATGTGCTTGCTTCAGCCGGAAGAGCGCGTCGAATCCGCATTGGAGATCTATGGGTTGAGTATGTGTTCGGAGAGCGTTCCGGTGCTGGTCAACTCGTACGGAGCTATGGTATTTGCGGCGAAGTGGCTGCAGTCAAGCGAAGAGCAGCAGACGCTGGTCGATTTTCTGAGGAGCTCGGAAAGGAAGACTGGTTGGGCTGTTGGTGCGCTCGTGTCCAAGTTGAAAGAAGGTTGGGGTGAGTCAGGTGCTGCCGCGCTCAATCGGTGAGGTCAGTGTCACCTTTGGTCTTCAGTCAACCTGCAATGCTCTGTTCTGAAGCTTCGACATGTCATGGTGAAGTGGTGTTCGCTGGTCAAGATAACACGAGCTTTGATGAAGAAATGTCCAGAGCACCTGCCTACTTGACCAATTTAACCCCACCCATTTAGAGGTGGCAGGCAGTAGCAACATCGTGCCTTCCATCTGCTAGTTGGTTCTTCGCACCTACTGTCCGCACACAAGAACTGCTGAGATCAGTCTGATCCTGCTACTATCACTGAGCTCGCAGCTGCCCTTGAATCGGATTTCAGATCCCGATATTAGGGGTCTAGGTTTGCCCTAGGCCAAAGCATAAGGTGTAAAACTTTGAGGATTCTCGCGCCGCCATGGACTTTTGCAGATTAGGCATGTCTAGAATCTGGGGAATTTGCGATCCCTTCCGAGCTGATGAGATCTGGATCTTTTTTCGAGACAGCTCCTTGAGAAATGAGGCCGAGTGCTTCCGGGCACACTGATTGTTTCTGCTGGGGAGGCTGACTGAAGGCTGCTGCTACGGTCTTGATACTGAATTACTTGAAAGATGATCACCAAGAAAGCGATTCTTGTGGCGCTGTCGTGCCTCTCCGCAAGTTATGAGCCCCACACAGCCATCCGACGTGACACGCATTTGAAGCAGGGGTAGCTACCTAGCGCAGTTGCGTGTTCAAAAACGTGTCCGCCGATCAGCGTGCTAGAGGTACCTACATCGTAAGTCGCACTCCTCACTCAGATCAGGACTCGTATCTGCTATATCTCATGAATTTCGACCTTGCTCCTGTCAAAATAGAGTGATATTCTTCGCCCGTGGAGCAGATACAATCCATCAGCTCGAAGGAGAAGGGTGTCGTGACCTATGCCGTCAGAGGCGCAATTGCGTACTCGCCACGACCTTGCGCTAGAGGTCAGGCCCACAGTATTGGGGAGGGGGTGCGCGTGAACAGCCATAATCCGATGAATTGAACGTGGCCATGCAGCAAGTTCAGCAGCTGATAGGCCTATCCAAGCATGACAGCGCCACTTGACTGGAAGAACGGATAGAAGCTGAGGGCCAAACTCGTGCTCTGGTCGTGGTGGGCGGCCAAACCAGAATCAGCGTGGTTTTGCTGCAAGGTTCGCTTCGCTGCTCGAGGACCTGCAGCGAACAAGTGCAGGAAGCATGGACTAACCAGCTTGGTGTTGTTGCAGGAGGGGCTGCGATACAGGCCTACTACCTACGAGGTGTGCAATCAGTTGGAGAAGCATAGACGCGGTCCGTTATCTGGAATTTTGGATCACCCAGGTCTGGACTTCGAGCTCATGTTTGGATTGGTGGTTAGCATGAAATTGAAGTGGAAGACTAGAAGCCTGTAAAGCCAACACCGATGGTCTCGATAAGCGCAGGCCCCCGCGACGCACAGTGAAACAATTGGAAGGGCGGCACAGCAGTCCTAAAGTAATCTCCTTTGTCGCCCACGTCCAGGTGTAACTGTCCCCGCAAGAAACGTGCATGAGAAAGCAGCCATTCGGTATGCTGGAGTTCTCGACCTGGGCAGGTAGGCTCGCGCTATTGACTGTCGCGCATGAGCACAGCCGAGGCGAATGATACGGAGAATCGGGCAAGCAGCAACTCAGAAACGCCGTCACAAGATGCTTTGCGCAGTATATTGTGGCACGGGAGATTAGCCAGGAGCACCTGGACATTCCACATGGACAATTGAAAGGCCCAGCAGTATGGTAGGCATTTCTTTGGTAAGTTTGACGCATGAACAAAAGGCAGTTATCGTACCTGAACCGATGCCGATCGCGACATGGAGAAACTAGACCTAATTCATCGTCCTTGGGGGGCGGCGGCTGGATAGCGAAGGATAGCGAATATCTGGAGGGGATGGCATCAGGCCAGGATGATACCCAGCTATGGTGTGCTCTCAATGAGCTCCTCCTCGGGGCCTCATTCATCGCTCTCAGCTAAAAAGGCTGCGTGTAATAGTATCGAATGATCACTAAAAAAGTGGCCTAGATTACGCTGTTGCTTGAACTTGTGACCGATAACGGCAGCGCAAGCCAAAGGCCTGAGCCACACCTCTGACATGATCATCCCCATAAAAATAAAAAGTATTAGGGAGGAAGCGTGACTTTTAGCAGCATTATTCTATCATTGGACTTGGTCAGGCACACAACAATCAAGCCAAAGTCGGCCGGGATCAGTTGACTCCCGAACTTGCCTGGCCTTGTCCTTGCATTGCGACTTTCCCACTCGGTCGACGTGTACTCCTCATCCTCTTACTCGGCCTACTTTTTCCACGTCTCACTACTTTTCTTTTGCCCTTCTATACACTCGTCCACCACAACAAACAGTATACAACCACGTAGACCAGCAGCAGGCGGGATCTTTGTCGACCTATCCGGCCCGACCGTCCCACGCACGCGGTCGTGCAGGGCGTCGTTTTGGTTCCGCGTGCTGTTCGGTCCACAGTTCACCCCACTCCGGCTCACGACGATCGATCGGCTGTTGTCTTCAGGTTTCTACCACGCACACACAAACAGAAACACGCTCTCTTGCAACCTGCCATTATTTGTTTTCTCGTGACTTCCAAGCGAACGTCTTTTGCGCAGCCATGGCTTCTTCAAAGGTAAGCAGAACCCGCGTCCTATGTACCTGCCATCCAGCCATCGCTCGTGCTCACATTCTTTACTAATCTTAGGACCAGCCCACTCCTCGTCCTGTCTCGGGCAGCTTCTCAAAATATTCCAGACCTCACTCTCATTCCATATCACTTTCTGCAACAAACCCTAGCCACAGGGTCAACCGCCGAAAAAGTGTCAACGCTGCCGCTTCGTCCACAGCCCAGGCTGCTATAGCCGCCGCGTTAAAAGAATCTGGAAACGCGTCTAATATCTCCCACCGCAGGAGCATTGGCTCGAGAAAGGGCGAAGCACAGTCCCAGTCCATGAATTCGAGACCTGCCATGCACTCCTATTTTGGCTCCAGTGGTGTAACGGATCTGCCTGATCAAGAAGTTGTCGAGGATAATTCCCAAGACGACGAAGACATGGCTGCACAAAAGACGAAAGGTCGGAACCGGCGAGCCAGCGAGGGTTCCTACCTCATCAAAGGAGACAAGAAATCGAACGACCTCCGTTGTGACACGTGCGGCAAAGGCTACAAACACAGCAGCTGTCTGACAAAACATATGTGAGAAACGCAGACAGTGACTGTGTTTCAACTTGCTGACCGTATCAGGTGGGAGCACGATCCAGCTTGGGCCATCACGTCCAAGTTCTTGATCTCCAAGCATCAGCAGGTCCAACTGCTCGAAGCTGCTTCTGTCCTCTGCAACATGACTGTCGACGGTCACTCTGAAGCCGAAAGTTCGCTTGTCGATCCGACCGAGTCCTCGTCCGCATCTCCTGTATACTCAGGCTCCTCCGAAGCTCACGATGAGGTGAGCAGTGTTGAGACCACACCGCCTCCCATGCCTGAAGGCTATGCAATGCCCGAGACAAGAAGATACAGTGCAAGCAGCAATGGCTTGTCCCGCTCATATCGGTCAATCCACTCAAGCTCTTACGCTGAGAGTGCTCTGTCACCCGGGTTCCCACCACAGCGCTTCTCCGGTGTGAGTGACTTCCGGCCCTCCACATCTGGCACCGACGATGGGGCTCTGGCAGCCGCCGCCGCCGGCCTCACCTTCTCCGGCACCCCACGAACAAGGCCATCGATGGTCGGAGACGATGTACCTCCTGTACCACCCCTCCCTCAACAGTACCAGTCTCTCAGCAGCAAGTCTCCTGACGAAGCTCTGCATAATGCATACAATCCTTTGGGCATGCCTACTCAGACATTCTCCTACAATGTGTCAGACGAGCGTCATCACAGCGATCCACACGTATCGCAATATGACGACGAAGGCATGTTTCGGATGGAGGAATAAACCACACCCACAAGCCAGCCAAAGCTTGATGACATTCCTTACCACGACGTTCCCTTGGAGAAGCATTTCTGGTGTATTTATTCTATCTTATTAGCAGGCATACTACTTTATCTGGACAGCAGGGAGAATAGCGCTATCCAAGCTCCACGACACAGGTCCGAAAGCACCGATGAGTTGGTTAATCCCGACGAGGTTGAAGCGAGTTGGACTTGTATCCATGAAAGTGATCGTGTTGAGCAGGGGGCTTCTTCCACCAACAAAAATTATAAAACGACGAAAACGAAACAACATCATCCGCCGCTACAATAGCAACAGTCTATGAGTACCCGGCATCATCAACATCAACAGCCATGACTATCATATTGGTCCGATTATATAGGCGCAAGAGAGAGGCATATCGACGGTGATTGTGGTCAGCTTTGGAAAACCCATTTCCCAAGCCATCGATTGTCGCCGTTGAATGAACATCACTTTGCACCTGCTTTGCGCGCTGTCTGCGTCTAACGACTCTGCTCTTATATTTTGATTTAACTACTTTCGAAAAAAGTTTGTGCTGATCGTCAGGTTTGAAATCGATCTACACTTCATCGATCGCAGATCCATTCAAGGTACACGAATGCTAGGTTACAATCCCAGCTGACAATTCCACGAAGACGTAGAGGCCTCTGGGGCATTGACGATCACTACGAGGACAAGTCTAGGTACCCGGGACCGAATTTGTGGGCGGGCTGGGGGCGATCGACAATGCGAGTGTCACGGAGAGTGGTCCTGCGATAAGGCTGCTGGCATGCATGCCCTCGCCTGCAGCTACCCGCGGCACAACATTGCTTGCTGATGATGCTGACTCCGATGCATAGGCTCTCGAGTGGCGGTTCAACATATTTTCTGGGGATTCGGACCTCCATTTGACGATGACTTCGATGGCCAGCGACTGCTGCAAGTGCTACAAGCTGCCCACATCAAACGTTTCACAGACAGCACCGAAGCTCTGCTGACAACACAAGCACCCCGCAATACCCATGAGCTCTCTGTCCTACCCAGCATACTTACCACACTGCCGGCCTACCCGTTTACAGACCGGAGCATTTTCCCCGTTCCAGCTAAACTTGTTGAGCAGCAGGCTCCGGAGGCCTCTGTGTCGGCTTGCTCGTCGAAGATGACTGGTCGATAATCCGAGATGTCAGATGACTCCGAGGGAAACGAGGCTCCATCGCTTTCGCTGATACTTGAGGCAATGATTTGCGTAGGTGGGTCGATACACTGGTTACACGTTGTGGGGGACAAGAGGGCTACCGACAAAACAATGGCAGAATATGCGGAAGAAGCTACAACACGAATCACTCAGTCAAAAACAATTGGACTGTGTCTGACGGTGCTCAGCAGCTTATCGTGTGATAGCGACTTCGACTTTCGCTCAGGACAACGATCAGCCGCCCAGTGTGCACGTGTCGTTGGTGGTGAGCAATATCATCTCTGCTAGCGGAAATCCATCTCCATGATTGCCCAGATGCTGGCATCTTCAACACACTTCAAAACCACCATATTATCTATTCCAGGTTAACAGCTACAGCAAGCACGAAACGTGGGAGCACTTCCAACAATTTTGTTGGTACTTTCGGTGCGCTGCCGAAGTTTAGACGCGTGGCGGCCGGATCAGATCGCCGATCGCCAAGCAATGAAATGCGAACCAATGGTAGGTTATGTGCTTGCTCTCGAGCATTGCCAATTGGTATGCGTTCTTCACGCTCTGAACGAGTCATGTGTTCTCACTGGCAAGATCATGAACGAACTCTACGCGTCCACAACAGGCGGCCCGACCGAGACAGACCGGTGGAATGGGCGAAGCATCTCAGTAGGTACTCATTCTGGAAGGAAGTTACTCATGCATCCTTCTCCTTCGCGAACAGTAAGCACTTTGGGCGGTTGGTTCTCAGAGCCTGTCTTATATCGCAACACATGGTCTTACGCGTGCGTGTGCGAGCATGCAGAGACTTTGATGTTACTGCGGCGACCAACTCAGCTTGTTGGTCCAGCTGAAGGCAAGACACCATCGTCACATGAACTCTATCCGTACTCACATTTATGGAAGGCCACAGCTCTCTCTATCAACATACTAGTCTCGAGGCAGGCTCAAAAATATAGTATCGTCCAGTTATTCAGACACAGACTCTTCCCTTCGATGCTAAGGTGTCGCTCGATCGGCAATGAGTCGTGCGTATGTCCCAGCTGGCAGCGCTTTCCCTGCTGCTGAGAGACACACCGTGTCCTCGTAGCCATTGCAGCATATCTTTGCCTTCTTCTTCGGGGCACTGAGAACAATCGTAACAGGGTGCTTCTCGGGACGATGATGAAAGAAAGTCGACAGGGTCAAGTATCTCATCTGTTGACCGCTCTAGCCGCTGAGGCAGACATTTCTAGTATCCAGCATTCGGTGAGAGCTCTGTCGGCTGGTAGCAAGGACGACTCCCAAGGATTCTCCTACGGAGTTGACGATTGTCACGACTACTCGGCGAATGCCGGACGGTCTTATTTCTGAGTCCCAGACGCAAAACCTACCTTTGCGTTCATCGATCCTGGTGTTGTGGGTGGTTTGTGGGATTGCAAGCGGTCCTTCGAGGGTGCAAGCATACTTGCGACAAGCTCTACTCGCCTTCATACTTGGCAGATGGCAACGCAAAGGCATGCAATTGCTTTGGAAAACACTTAGAACCGCCAGGTTGGCCGACCAATATCGCATATCAGAGCAAAGGCAGGCAGAGACCAAAAATGCTTGGCGTACACTCGGAATTAGACAACGAGTTCAGCAAATGCACGGCTTGAACCGACACCAATTGCTCTCCCTCATACTTCAGATTGCTAGCAAGGTGATACGAGAACGTCGCTGCAGGCCCATCCGAAAGGTCGCACAAGGAAGTGCTTAAGCTATCAACCGAAGCTGTCCTCGAAAGCCATGGCATCGCCTCAGGCAGCAGCATTCTCGAGACCACTGGTGACCGCTGCTGTGCCTACACATGCCAGCTTCATGAACAAATCTGCTTCCACGTCGGTCCGTCCCTGAGCTTTTAAATTTGCCATCTCGTGCCTTTTCTCCTGCCCGGTCAACACTTTGGCTCGGACAATCGGAGCCATCTGCCCTGCCTCGAGCGAACTTCATCGATCACCGACCATGGCGACTGACATCTGGTAAGGACCTGCCCTGTGGTCGCAGTCCCGACGACCTATATCCGCAGTGCTGGACTATACACTGACCACGGCGTCCAACCGAACAGTCCTGTATACGCCGTGAGTTCCCCCCTGGTGACTCCTAAGCCCAACCATACCAGTCGCGAATATCACCAGTCCCTGTCCCGCCACGAAAAGACGAACACCCAGACGACCAGACTACTGACATCCCAGCCCAGCCCTTCTTCTCAGCCATAGGCTGCACAACCTCCATCGTCTTCGCCTGCTTCGGCGCCGCGTACGGCACAGCAAAGTCCGGCGTTGGCATCATGGCCGCAGGCATCCTTCGCCCTGACCAGATGGTTCGCAGCTGCATGCCTACTGTCATGGCTGGGATTGTTGCTATTGTTCGTCTTTGCTACCTTCCTTCCTCCTGAGTGATCATTGTGCGGCTGACGCCGCGACTGACTCCGCGAATAGTATGGTCTAGTGATATCGCTGCTGATATCAGGCAAGCTCTCCTCCGCTCTCCGTATCGCGCCCTCGCTGCCGCTGTCGACGGCCTTCATGCACTTCGCAGCAGGTCTTTCCGTCGGGTTAGCGGGTCTGGCGGCGGGGTTCAGTATTGGGGTAGTGGGGGACGCGGGAGTGAGGGCGAGCGCGCAGCAGCCTAGGTTGTTCGTGGGGATGATGCTTGATATTGATCTTTGCGGAGGTGTTGGGGCTGTATGGGTTGATTGTTGGGTTGTTGGTTGTTAGTGGGGCTGGGGAGGGGGGTTGTTGATGGGGTGGGTTGGAGGTGGTTGGGCCCCTAGGAGGGTTTGAGGGTAGGGGAGAGAAATGAAGTTGATTCAAACAACACACAGCTTTAGTGAAAACCTCCTTGCGGAGCCCTGCGGTGACAGTGAATCGCTAGCTGCGGTTTGCTGCGGGAATTGACTTGATGTGAAAGGTATAAGTAGCTGCCTTGCTTTCGATATTTTCTTCTTCTATCACCATCGCTGATGACGAGGAACATGATGGTTGTCATGCCATGCTAGCATTCGCTTGCTAACTGGTTGGGCGAGCTTGGATCAGCAAGCAGACAGACAGGCCTACCGAGACTTAGTTCTAGGAGAAATTGGGCATGGTTGAAAGACAGGCATTGGAAAAACGAGGATGGCGAGGAATTGAGCAGCGTGTCCGCGGTAGGAATTATCGAGGCAAATGTCGTGCATATGATGGCTGGACTGATAGTACCAGCAGCTGGAAAATGATTACAGCGTGGACCTTCTTAGGAAGTTGGCGCCAGGTCAAACCCAACAACATTGCCCGTCTCCACCCTCACGACACCCATGCCTGGTGCCTTCGCATCCAGCAGTACCAGCTCATCCGGCTTGACGACCTCGAGATTGTACTTGACCTGCTCTCTAACCTTTGGATCCTCCGAGTCCGCATTACCGGCTAACGCGTTGAGGAACCCAGGTACGTCTGCGTCACCCGCGAGCGTGAAGATGGCAATGCCGTCGAACTCGATCACTTCGTTCGTCGGCGTTCTGGTGTTGGGAAGTGGCTGGTTGGAGACTACTGTCCCCGAGACTTGGATCTGAAGTTCTGAGTGAGCTGCTGCGTCCTCCAGCTGGGCGTTTTGGAGAGGCATGACAGACTTGTTGATAGAGCAACCCTCCAAACACCGACAGCATTGGCGCAGCGAGGGGACCGTGGTGGCCTTCCCAGTACTTCCAGAACTCTTCGCGCGTCTTAAAATTCGGGTTGCGCTTGAGATGGGCAATGAAGACGATCTTCTGGGTTTTGGGGAAGGAAGACATTTGAGCTGCCGTGGACTTGCTGTTGGCTGTAGATCAGTAGGTAGTGAGTTCTTTTCTCATGCGTATGAAGCACGAAATCTTGAAGGGATTGACACGCTGTATGTGCCTTTGTACGACCCGAAGGTCCTGCATGTCAATTGTAGGGGTTTTGGTCTCAACACGAGACGCATTCCTGTTCGATCATAGCTCAAATCTGGGAAAACCATATCCGGCACCCGGCGATCACGTCTAAACGCGACACTGTGTGTAGAGTCAGCATCCATCTTACCAGCTCACTGATCATCAGCAAGTTGGAAGCATTGCTGGAGGCTTTCTAGTCACATAAGATGTAGTGGTTTGAAGTCAAGATCTCGAGCGGTGAAGAAACGGAAAGAAGACTATCGCAGACGAGGCAACCGCCAAGACGGGCGCTCCTTCCTCATTCACCATTCGACGGTCACTCTCGTATCTGGTAGCCAAGCTTACGATGCCCAAAGCAAGGTTGCATGCGAGATCGTACGACTCTTGACTGCTAAGGCCGAGGCTTTTGCAGCGGTGTCGTGCGCTTCTCCTCTCTTCGGACAACTCTTAGAGGTCTTCCAAGGACATAATCTGATCACCATCAACCTTGCCAGAGCGCCGTATGGCGAACAAAGGACTCAAGGCAGCGGAACTGATAAGCCACCCGGCATTCAAGAATCTCAAATGGAAGCTTCCGCCGACAGAAGAAGGCTATGCGGAAGTTGCCAAAGGCCGAAGCGGTGGTCCGTTCAAGCTATGGTATGAGGTTCATGGAAAGGGCGCGACGAGGATAGTGGTAAGCGGTACTCTGACCAATTCCAACAACTGCATAAGGAAGTGTCTGATATGAATTTTGTAGTGGATCATGGGCCTCGGAGCATATCGAACGGCCTGGAAACGGCAGACTAGATATTTCGGCCTCACGCACGATCAATACACATCCTTGGTCTTTGACAACCGCGGAGCAGGCAAATCTGATAAGCCAACATGCCGTTACTCGACCTCTGAGATGGCAAAGGACATAGCGGATCTCCTTGTGCAGGTCAAGTGGCTAAAGGACGACTTTACTCTGCTGGATCCCAAGCAGAAGATCAACGTTGTCGGTGTGTCCATGGGCGGCATGATCGCTCAAGAGCTTGGTATTTTCCTGCCGTCTGGGACGCTCAATACCTTGTTCCTGGTGTCGACTTGGCCGAGAGCAGTAAGGACAGTACCATACATGGAGCACCTCAAGCAGCGTGCGAACATGTTCATTCCACGCGACATTGATATCCAGCTGGATGGAATCTGTGATCGGTTGTTCTCAAATGACTTCCTTGCGGTCCCAGATACGGAAGGCGATGAGGCGTATGGGCCCGGCGGGCCAAACTATCCTACCAACCGCGATCGATACGCTGCTGGAGAGATGGACAAGCGAATGGATCCAGACGGTTTCACGAAGAAAGGCTTTATTCTTCAAGCAATCGCAGCGGGTTGGCATTACAAAAGTCCGGAGCAGGTTCGAGACATGGCAAAGCACGTTGGCGAAGGCAGGGTGGCAGTCGCACATGGCACGGTCGACAAAATGCTCACGTTCAACCACGGCGAGTTGCTGAGGGATGAGATCGGTGAGAGCGTGGAATGGCGGAAGTATGAGGCAGAGGCCATGTCCTGATGTGGGAGGAGGAGAAAGACTTCAATGACTGGATCGCTGGATTCATCGCGAAGTGGGAGAAAGCAGATAGTTGATGTTGCTTATGGGGCTCTGCAGGCACTGTAGCGCTGGCCTGAGCCGATATACCCCTTACAGCTGCTGAATGTCACATGTGTGTACAATTGAGTCGAGATGTTGTACATTTGCTTGCCAAGAAAATCGCCTTCACGATATACCCGCAAAATCTCCCTTGACTGAACCTGAACGCCTTGCTGAAGCCCCATGAAACATCCGCCGTTGGGTGATGAGTCGAAATCGCCTGTATAATCGTGCGTAGCCCTCCACTTCCTTCGCCCTCGTATGGCAAATCCACCTTCCCAGCCCAACGCTCCGAGCACTCTTTTTCCACCGTTTGCCCATCATCCCCCTCGATCCAACAGCTCCTTCGCCTCATTGATCTTACTCGCCAAATACGGACTCCCGCCCCGATCCGGATGATTCGCCAACATCACCTCCCTATGCCGTTTCCGCAATTTCTCTTTCGTCAAACTTCGTTCAGGCAGCTCGAATATCAGGGAAGCTTCCTTTTTTGTCATCTTCTGCTCGAAACCGCCCTTGTAGAAGGCCTTGCCGAGGGCATTGAATGCGGTCGGGTTGCGCCAGCGGCGGAAGGCGACGACGCCGGCGCGGCCGAGGAAGGCGGCGCCTGCTATGCCGAGGCCGATTGCGAGGGTTGATGTTGCCATGGAGTGGTGTAAACTAAGACCTGGGGACGCCGAGATTGGATATCTGATGCGGCAAGAGGCTCGATGTGACGTGGGTGATTGTGTAGAGCGTGTGGCTGGATGATGGTAGAGTCGGAAGCAGAAGACGAATCGAAGGTCTCAAAGAATTGTCGCAGCGGAAATCGTTTCCGGACGATCTCGATCTCCATTTATCTCCGAAACAATTTTTTGGCCGCCTCCGCAATTCATGAGTCGAGAATTCCTACGACACCGCACGCACCACTACATCAAGTTCAGAGCTACAGCAGGTCAGCGTAGGTTCTGTCCAAGGCGTTCGAGTGCCCATCGAAGTCCTCAGCACCGTCAGCGGCGCCGCAGCGCCCGCTCCTTCAAGATGAGGTATGCCCGCCCACAACCGCTACCACGGCTCCAATTAACCATACCAGAATCGAAACATGCCACCTCTGCTCCCGCCCAATCTACCCCTCCAAAGGCATCACCTTCGTCCGCAACGACGCCAAAATGTTCAAATTCTGCCGCTCCAAATGCCACAAGAACTTCAAAATGAAGCGCCAACCCCGCAAGCTCAAGTGGACCAAAACCCACCGTGCCCTGCGCGGCAAAGAAATGATCGTCGACCAGTCCCTCCTACTCGGTCAATTCGCCAAACGTCGTAACGCGCCCGTCAAATATGATCGGAACTTGGTGCAGGCAACGATCAAGGCAATGGAGAGGATCGAGGAGATCAGGGCGAAGCGGGAGCGGGTGTTTACGAAGAATAGGCTGAGTGGGAAGGCGGCGAGGGAGCAGAAGCGGAAAGAGGATCTCAAGGTTGTGGCTGAGGGTGAGCATCTTATTCGGAAGGAGCTGCAGGATTTGGAGGCGGCGAGGTTGGAGGGTAAGGAGGTTGTGTTGGAACAAGAGCAAGAACTTACACAGGTATTGGGCGAGGAGAGACTAAGAATGAAGTCGAAGCGGAGGATGATCAGAGGTGGTGGAACGGAGGAGGAGATGGATCTGGATTGAAGGATGGTGCTGGCTACGATATCATGGCGTTACGATACCCGGCGTTCAGGTTGGGCATGATGGAAAAGTCCCTAGGCAATGGCTTGTTCGGCAGCAATCAAGGCTAGGTCCCTGTTCGGATCTGAGATGGCCGTGCTTTCCATTATGTTGACGAGCTCAAGGACTCTCAAATCGGCAAGCGCAGCTAAGGACTGTTCTGCTTCCTTGTCCACTGCTTTTGCCGGCTTCATCGAACTCAGTAGTCACAAGTGAATCAGTGGCTAAGCATCGAAGTCCTGCACCGGGTTCAGGAAATCCTCGACGGTCGCTTCGAGTACGCCTTGGCTCAGACCGGCTGACAAGCAATTCGATAACGCCGACCGAGTATCTCCTTTGTCCTTCCGTTGTCTGCTCATCCATTGTCTTTGCACTGGCTTCTCAATCTCTCCTTGTTTCCTTTGTGGTGTGCGGCCATTCATGACAAAGCACTTTGATCGATGAGGCCAGACAAAGGCTTCCAGGCATGCATATACGCAGCGAAGTATCGCATTCCTATGATGGTGGGTCCATCATTCGATCCCTCCCCGAATGCTACATCGAACAAGGACGCTATCACATAGTACCTTTGACGAAACAGCATCGATGACACAAAACGAAAGCGGCTTACAGCGCTTCCTCTCGCTACGCAGAGGCGCAAAAGCTACCCAAACAACACTTCCAACCGTGCCAGAACAGCAGATCGAAGCACAGATGGACCCCTCGCAATGTCAGTCGTCGTTTGAATCCTTTCCCAAGATTCCTGATCAGCTGGTATCTGGCCCCAAACCTCCGACGTCGTCGGCAGACCCAGTCTTCCAATCGTCCCTGAGGCGCGCCCCATCAGCTGCCCAAAAGTCTCTGAACTCAATACTGACAAGGTCTGACTCAGTTCGCAGTATGCGGGCCGCAGCAACAGCAGCCTCATCTGCAACTTCACGCCCAAAGACGACACTCACGATGGAAACTGTCCCGATATCCCCTGTTCTTGTGCCAGGTCGTCCCAGCGGGTACGTCTACAACATCGAGAACACTCCGCCCGAGTCGCCTGCCAGCAACGATTCGCCAGACAAGAGCACCAGCTATGGTGACTTCTTCCAGTCTGTCGTGTCGTTAGGTCGAGCAAAGACTCCTATTTCTATTCGCGAGGCTATTCGCGAGGAAGTGCGCGATGCGGCAGGTGCACGCACAATTCAACCTACAAACGTGATTATGGCTCGTCACGCAAGCCACCGACTGTCCACCACACCAAGCGGCCAGCCAAATGTCAGCCATCGCACTTCTGTGATGATCAAGCGAGCACGGAAAGCCGTCGAGACTCCTCCGAAGCTGCGATCGACCATGCGGCAGCAGGCTGCGAACCCGGGTCTGGCGCTGGACGTAATGGACTTGGATGAGAGTGAGGATGATACGACTCCCGAGATCATGGTCACCGCTCCCACGCCTACTGGACCCGCCGAGGTACCCCCGAAGTGTGACTACACAGGTAAGAATCCCTCCTGGGCTGACATGATGGATGAGGATGAGGACAATGATGTCTTTGAACTTGCTCCTCCCTCAGCCGAAACATCATCGGTAGAGGAGAATACGCTTTCTGATGCGAGCAAACGTAAGCTTGACAACGCTTTCGACGAGACTGAGCTGACCACATGCCCTCGCAAGCGTGCAAGGACAGCCGGCAAGCGCATGCGAGAGGTATTATCTCGTGGCATCAGCCGACGGTTGCCAGGCCCTCCAGCACCCACCTTCCCTACCCTACCCACCGAGATCCGCCAACAAATCATCTCCGAAACCGTCCCATCACACCTCCTACTCTGCACCCAATCCACCAAGACACACGACGACGGTAGCCTGTACCTAGCAACCAGATGGTTCGACGAGATCGGCGACGACAAGTGGTTGCCCGGCCTGCTGACCGTGAACAAGGAATTCCATGCTATCGTCGCCGAGATTCTTCCGGAGCGTCGTCGAGTCGTTCATCCGGGGATGCTGGAGCGGTTTGGTGATGAAGAGTTGAGGGGAATGGATGAGGGTACGCTTGATGATGAGTATATTAAGGCGTTGTTGCTGGAGGTGCGTCTGCGGGAGAGAGGTCAAGATCGTCCATCAGCAGAGGGAAGTCAGGAAACTGTCGTCTTACACACCGCACGCTTGCATAGAAGGTAAGTGAACTTCAAGGTAAGTGATACTCGTATGCCCTGTTGCATTAGAGACTAGGTAAGTAATTCGAGTAGAGATGTATCTGCTCAATGTAATGAAGTTGTCTGAACCTCGCACAAATGTTATCAGTAATACCACCCAATCTCCTTCCTGCCAGTAGTCTTCGTACCCAGGAAGGCTTTTTTTTCGACAGCCACTCACCCTCTCAGACCCCTTCTTGCCTTCACTCAAGCAGCAGTCCACCCATTATCAACCCCAACCTCCGCCCCGTTAACCTCATTTGCCCCCTCCCCCGCCAAGAAACAAATCGTCCGCGCAATCCCGTCCGGCGTCGCGATCGCAACTGCCATGCACGCCGTGTAAGGCTGTGTGGCCGCGTACCCTTCCTGATTCATCTGAATTTGGGAATTCGCGTAGATATTCGTCGCTACTCCGCCTGGTAAGACGGCGTTGCAGCGGATTCCTTGCTCGCGGTACATCCACGCCGTGCTGCGGGAGAGGCCGAGGAGAGCGTGTTTGGAGACCGTGTAGGCTGTGCCGGCGCTGCGCCGTGCTTGCTGGCGGTGGAGCAGAGGTTTACTATGCTGCCCTTGGATGGGGTACGGGGAGGGCCTTGCTCGCCGCGGAAATTGAAGGAAGGGGCAGCGTTGGCGGGAGGCTTCGGGTCGTTTCTGAGCATGTAGGGGATTACAGCGCGGATCAGGTGGAAAGGGCCGTTGAGGTTGATGTTGAGGACTTTGGTCCAGGCGGCGTCGGTCACAGAGGCGGTGGGGGAGAAGTCGTCCATTACGCCGGCGTTGTTGATTAGGATATCGATGTGCCCGAACTTGGTGAAGATGGCGTCGACAATCTCTACGACGGCGTCGTTGGAGGAGACATCGCACTGGTAGTATGTGACCGAATCTTGGTTGGGATTAGTGGGTGCGTCGGCAAGGTCGAGGTTGGCGACTTGGGCGCCTTGGGCCGCGAGGAGGGCGACTGTGGCGGCACCGATGCCTGAGTTCCCGCCTGTTACGATCGCGACCTGATGGGTAGGATTAGTACTAGGTTAGTGCCAGGGGATCCTGTAGACGAGGCTGGACGTGATAGTAGTGGATTCAGCTAAGGGAAAGCATACCTTGCCTTCGAATTGAAGAGCCATTGTGGGAATTTAATAGCTGAATACTGCTACTATGAAAGACGTCTAGCACGTTAGGATTCTCCTAGGACGTTTTATGTTTTATGAGGTTTCGAGCATCCTGGTGACAACGGTACCTGCACTTCGTACGTTCACCTACCGTGTTGCACCACCCGGCTGCGAGTGCTAGTGCTGCGGATCGTCCCTCATGATGGAGCCCGCAACGTTTCCTGCATTCGGGCTCTATGTTGCGGCGGCATGGTACTTACGTGTGAAGTCACTCTTGTTGCGGCGGGGTCGTCCCCCGGGTCTCTTGACAAGGTTGGAGGCTGATGGAGGGCGCAGCAAGCCTGTTGACAACAGTAGCTCGTATTGTAGGGGTTTGAGACCGCGTACATTCGGAGGTGCTCATTCGTATGGGTAGTGGCGTCAAACCCATGCTATTGATGAAGTCTACTGGGGATCATAGTTGCCGCTGCACGGGCTTCTGACAAGAACTTGAACTTTTCTTGAGGACGCGGCCCCGCGCGGCGGACGTTTCTCCAAATTTTGTCATGGCCGGATAACACACGTGCCAGCCAGCGTGCTGCACGCTCTGACGTCCTACGCGCATGGTCCCTAATAATCTAGTACCATTCCTGCCTCCTCCGGCAACCTCACCGCCCAAATCTGAGGCCCGCATATCACCATGCCCGCTGACCTTCTCTCACCAACTGAGCCATCCACATCCCAGGCCCCATCTACGTCCACTGCCATCGGTACGAACCCTGACCGGACCACGGAAGCAATCTACGCCCGGGTCCTAGCCTACGACTTCGACGCCGATCCGGACTATATCGCCGGCCTCGCGTCGATCTTGGGCCATCCGGAGACGCCGCCTACGCGGGAAGAGTTGGATGGGAATGGGGAGTTTGTCACTAGGGTCAAGTGTTTCTACTTTACAAGGAAGTTTGGGTTGGGGGACGTTGATCCAGATGCTTGGGGACGGTGGGCTGCCGCGCAGGGACCGAGGGGCGAGGAGGAAGAAGTCCGAGCGGCAGTAGGAGCAGAAGAGACCAACACCGCCGGGACTCTGGCTTCTGGTCGACTGCCTGTTGATTCCGGCAATACCACATTTACAACACCCTCAGACTCAACCTCAGGCCCTTCTACATACTCGACACTAACAGCACCACCAGACGCAAGTCCGACTGCACAGCAGCATCAGCCGACTCCGCAGGAAGGACCGCCTTATCCCCTCTCGTTCTCTGCTATTGTCGACCTGATCACCCGAAATGTGCCTGTTCCGGGGATCGAGACTGTGCCCGATACTGTCCTCGAGCATGGGAGCAGTAAGGTTGATCATACAGCGAAGAGGAAGAAGCCTTGGGAGAAGGATGTCAGTGCTGGTAGCACAGAGCTCGGCACTGCGTCTGCGCTGTCGTCATTTGGGCTGGCGGGGTCAACGACACCAGCAGATGGGCCGACTTCTGCGCAGGAACCAACGCCAGATAGCAATGGCCAGCGAATATCCAACGAAAGCATCGTCAACGGACATCTGTCTACTGGTGAAGGAGTGGTCAAGATTCTACAGCCGAATGCTATTCCGGACAGTGGACTTTTGGCTAAGGAGTGAGAAGGATCACCGGTCTTACTTTTCGGGCTCATAATACGTTCTATGTCCGGCAGCACCGATTGCGCGGTGCACATTACGCATTCGATGCATGGCTGAGAATCTGGTCTAATCCTTGAGCGAAACCGCAATTCTGGCGGACGCGAGACCTGCGGGCGAGGAGGCACCTCTAGTGCAGAGACGAATTTCTCGGCACATGAATATCCGGCCAAACACAGACCGCATCGTCTCTGCCGTACCAGAGCGATCACGAAGTCGGCGAGCGGTCGTATGGTTCCGCACAGATAACATAGCCAACTGAGTCCTGCTTGAGTACGGGTGACGCCAGAATCCCGCTCACAGGAAGGGCATCGATCACAACAACGACACGTTCAGTCAATCGCAGCTTTGCAAGGGATTGCCTGCAACATGGATCAGATCTGCGCCGCGAGCAACGGTGCTGCCTGGTGCAAAAGTGGCAAGCGAAAGTGGTGTCTACCGTCGCAAGATAACAGTCTGCTCAGGTACTCGGACATACTGAGGTCGAGGATATACTCATGCAAGAGTCGGCATGACTGTACAGAGAATTCGGGTAGAGGCACAGGCCTCTGATGCACCTGACTAGAAGATGAAGTGATGAAGTGATGAATGATGAGTGATGAGTCAATAGCGAATTGGGCTTTATTGGCGCAAGATGCAAGCCCGGAAAAACGCGGGCGAGCGGCCAACACGAGATCTTTCTTCGATGGAGAAATGTTCAACAGACCAATCATAGCTCAGAAAGGTGATGTTCGCTTCCGAAAATTTTGCAGAGACCCCTTCCTCCCGGAGTCGAGAGCGCGGTCGGCTGCATATTAACAAAATAATCTCCATCCTGCTCTTCACACATTGCCACGACTCTAAGAATCAATCAAACCTGATCACAACCACGTTCATTTCACATCGAACAATAGGCGAATAGACGCCTCGCGCGACCATTCTCAGTGGCCACCATACAGGTCGTGCACGCTCCAGATACAGCGATAAAGACACGATACAAAGACCTCTGTAGAGCTCTCTCCAACTTGCAGGCTACACGCCTTTTCCATCCCACACATCCCCTCCGATCACATTCGCACAAGATGAGGATTTTCTCATCATCATACACCTTCGACTACTCGTGGGAAGAAGTCAGCACAAACAACTGGCGGAAATACTGCCCATGGAACGACAAAGCCGAACACGTGCTGGCCGTCGACACCTTATCACGAAATGTCGATGCAGCGACAGGCATCCTGCGAACTGAACGTCTCATTACCTGCAAACAGAACGCACCACAATGGCTTCTGTCAATACTAGGAGGCGACACGACAAGCTACGTCTACGAAGTCAGCTATGTTGATCCCAAGGACAAGAAGGTTACCATGTGCAGCACCAACATGACCTTCTCAAACCTGCTACAATGCCGAGAAACGGTCACGTACAGCCCCAGCTCGGCTGGCAAGACAGACTTCCATCAGAACGCACGAATAGTTGCCTTCTGCGGCGGTTGGCAGAAGATTCGAAGCAAGATCGAAGAGGTCAGCGTCGAACGCTTCAAGGAAAACGCCACACGTGGACGAGAGGGGTTTGAAGCTGTCCTTGAAATGTCGAGGCAGATGTTTGCTGAAGAGAGAGAGAAGCTGAAGATGGGCCTGCCTCTGACGGTATAGGTCCATGATCTCGACTCAACCTGGAACGATACACAACGATTTGTCGACTTTTAGCGAGCATTGCATTGGACGGTTGTTTCCCAGCGCGGCGTTGGGTGTGGCTTTCATGGTCCAAAAGAAGTAGAACTGACATGCCTGCATGGCGATGATGGCTTAGAGAGATACCACTCTACACTTTACACGACCTTACACTAGAGGTCTAGATATCTAGATATAGAGAAGATCCTCACAAGAGCTCCCTTGCTGTTGCATGCGTTGATCAGCTCCTGCTCGCTGTGCTTCTGCTTTGCTTGTGGCTCGCACGTTTCTTCCAGACTGGTCACGCAGGGAAGCGCGAAGGCTCCCTCCTGCATTTTGAGTCCGAGTATTGCATCTCCGAGACTGTTACGACTCAACGTCCTGCAGAATCCCGCAGTCTACCTTTTCCATTGAGTCGACCCTCCACTTGGTCGGCAGCGTATCCGGTCTTCTCATCAGAGGCCACAAAATGCTCGTGCTATGGCAATAGACAGTCAGCAAGATTGCGGACAACCTGTCACTTGCCGCACGAGCAGAATGAGAGCCAAAGGTGCCGGTGTCTTCTCGGCACAGATTGACTTCAGACCAGTGCTGACTTCGAGATCCTAAAACTCCGGCTGGCCGCTTTCGATCCGCGTGGGAGAGTCTCCGGTACAGGGGCTTGCGTACAGAACAGGGGTCTTGTTCAGAGCCTGAACCTACTCTCGAGAAACTTCGTGACTTGCTGAGGCACGTTCTCTCGTTACGCAGCGACACTGATCTATGTATCACTCAATTACCCACTATCTAGTACCAACGAGAACGTTGCCAACCGCCCGTATGCGTTCGCAAACCCGCTCGCTTGATCTCAGACACTCATTTCCAGCGACCTGCCGCAGCCAATCAGGGGTGCGCCCTGCTTATTGGAGTCGACGTCGGCAGGAGGACTGAAAGCGTTTCGAGTCCGGCCGTCCATGAGGGCGCCGTACTCGGCAGTATGGCCAGCAGCGAGCAAGACGAACTACCGCCGCTGCCACAATTCGCGCCGTCCACCTCTCCGAAGCGTTTGCGACAGCCACTGACCGCGAGCCCCGCTATTGTCACCCAGCGCATTGTCCGCACTCCTGGTCCTGACGAACTGATTGCGAATCTGATCGACTCCCTGACCGCAATATCCAGTCAGAGCGCGCCAGCAGAAGATGACCGACCAGTAGAACATAGACTTGACGCATTTCACGAAGAAGACGACATAGACGACCGACCACAATCTGCAGGCTCTTTCTACGTGGGAGGCGCCTATGCGCCCTCGATTGTCCACCCACCTGGCGCTGACTCTGAGAGCGATGACGATGCATGTCCACCAGCAGTAATACCATTCTCGCGGCAGCCGCAGAGAAAGAGAAGGATGGAGAGACTTTCAGGTCTGTCAAACAATCAGACCAGCAACACACTACGTCCGGAGCGGAGTCTGTCTGTGCGTGGTTCGGTGCAGAGCCTCCGCTCCTTGCAGAATGGCAAAGACACCGGATTAGGGGGACTTGAGAAACGGAATGGGTCAGCGACAAGTTTGACTGCGTCCTTGTTGAGTCTGAGGAATCGAAGTCCCAGAAAATTGTCACCTGCAGGAACGCCAAAAGAACACAGTCCTACGCGGTCAAGAGCAATACCCGAGCGAGCCTACTCTGATTCAATACTGCGACCTCATCGAAGCTCGTCACTCCGCGATAGCAATGGCGATGCGAGTGTGATTAGCACAGACGACTCACAGACAAGCAGCACATTGAGCCCGTTGAACCGTGAGAAATTGGAAGAGCATCTGATACCGTCACGGCAGTCGTCGATGCGAACAGCGCGGCGTGGTCATCACCGACACTCAACAGGGAGCAGAGACCTCAAAGATCTGCAGATCGATGAGGAGCTGATCAGCTCAGACGACTCGACGGTACGACGGATCAAGGAGCTGCAAGAGGCCAAGGAAAGGCGACATTCCGAATGGCGGAAGGAGTCAAGTCCGTCTGAGCCTACTCCAAAACGGCATTCAGCACCCAGTCCGAAGGCACTGCGCAGATCGAGCACTTATCAGAGCTCCAAGCTGTCGGTGACAGAGGTTTTGATCGAGTCAGAGCACGAAGATCCCCATCTCACTGCTCAGATCAGTGCAGCTGATCTTGCCCTCATGCCAGCAATTGTCGCAAACGAGGGCAACAGTCCGTTGACGCCAGTTGGCGGACACTCAACGGCAGATACTCCTGCACCGCCGTCAAATCATCAACCTGCGTCTGTACCGACTCTCAGCGCTCCTGTGCCTCCCAGAGATCGTACTGCTATCCAGCATAAACGCCTGTCGTCAATGTCGAACCGCGAGTCAAGAGTCGACGAAGTCCGATCGATATCAGATGAGGTGGAGACCTTCCTCAGTGCTTCGCGACTAACGCAGAAACTTCGGCACCCACGGACGGGTCGCACAATCGCATTTTCTGAAGTTGGCGATCCGAACGGGTTCGTAGTATTCTGTTGTGTGGGCATGGGACTTACACGCTTCATAATGACATTCTACGACGAGCTCGCGCGGTCGTTACGGCTACGGCTACTTACGCCCGACAGACCTGGCGTAGGCGAGAGTGAGGCAGTCCCAGAGCGACTCAACAACCCGCTGACTTGGGTTGACGACGTTTCAGCAATATGTGAGGCGCTCGAAATAACGAGATTCTCACTTCTGGCGCATTCAGCAGGCACGATATACGCCATGGCGACTGCGCTGAAGTTGCCACAGTTTGTACGAGGTCGAATACACCTACTTGCGCCGTGGATACCTCCATCACAAATGCCGAAAAGCGGCACCACAGGACCTGACGCTCAGCCAGTTGCCATGTTGCCAATGTCACATCGGGTATTGAGCGTTTTGCCAACATCCATGCTAAAGATCGCCAATTCTAGATTTCTGTCAACGACCAGCGCTTCGGTCGACACAAAGCCAACAGCAGCAAAGCGGAGCAAGCAGGTAGACATCCTCGAGCGTGAAATCAGCCAGACCTACGCCGAGCTAAACACATCATCCTTCGACCTACCACGGGAGATCGACAAGTCCCAAGTATTCCGCAACGTCAACAAAGACGGCCGGAGTAACACCCCATCCCCAGAACTAAACCGCCCAACAGCAGTCAACGGGTCTTCACGTCCAGCATCACCACGCCTCACCTCCGAAGCACGCGCGGTCCTGTACAACCGCCAGCTGACCCACCGCATATGGACCCTCGCCACCCACAACGCCAACCCCGCTCTCGACCTAATGACCTGCCTCGAGCGCAAGAAAACGATCGGGTTTCGCTACGCAGACATCACGCGGGCGATTGTGATGCGGCACGGCGCGAAGGACAATCGGGTACCGCTTGACAATGTGAAGTTCCTAGACAGTATCCTCAAGCGCTCCGAACTGCGAATACTGGAGGACGAGGGACATAGTCTCATGCGAATGCCAGCGTTATGAGTAGTGTGCTGTCGGAGATAAGTCAGGAGTGGGCGGAGTGGGATAAGATTGCAAGGTATAAGGAGAAGAAGAAGCGGGAGGGGTTAGGTGGGAAGGAGGGGAGTGTGCATAGTGGCAGGCGGTGAAGGGCTGAGGGCGAGAATCATGTGGTGGACAGCTGGATAGGGAAGTCACCTGTATAGATAGCGGGGTGGAAGTCGTGTCAGCATAAGCATCAGGATATGGCTGGAACTCCCGAGATGAGATGTGAGGATCTCTTTGGCATAGCATAGCGGAGCTTGGGTAGGCAGGCCTGACCATCGTGACGATGGAACTTATACTTAATACAAGAGAGTGATGTGCAAGCAAGCCTAGTATCGATCATCGTACCATTTGTGCAAGTGCATGAAGGTTTGGCTTTCCTAATTGCGGAGCGGAAATTCTGCAGGAACGACCTCGCGTGGCAGGTGCCAAGAAATCTCGTTAGAACCTCCCATCATCTACCTTACCTTCGAGCATTGTTCACTCCGCGGACAACTACCTTCTTTATCATATGCAGACTTGGTCTGGACATGAGCGTGGCTGGTGGAGTCAAGACCAAGATCCCACTCGCGAGATACATCCTCAACCGCCTCGAACAACATGGCTGCACTCATCTACATGGCGTTCCAGGAGATTACTCGTTGCCATTCCTATCGCACCTGCCAGACTCGAAGGTAAAATGGGTCGGCAGTTGCAACGAGCTCAACGCCGGCTACGCAGCAGACAGCTATGCTCGGATCACGGGTCTGGGCGCGTTGTGCACAACGTACGGAGTGGGAGAACTCAGTGCACTGAACGCGGTCTGTGGAAGCTATGCTGAGAATGTTCCTGTTGTGCATATAGTTGGGATGCCCAGCACGACTGCTCTGAAGACGACCTCGAAAGGGAGGTTCGACGGCCTAGTCCATCATGCCCTAGGCCGCCAGGATAGTCTGCGTGCTTTCACTCACGCGGCTGATGTCCTGATACATGCATCGAAGGACCTCACCAAGGACAGTACACTGGACCATACAGCAGCCTTCGATGATATGCTTCACAAAGCCCTGTTTTCTAAGCGTCCCGTACGCATTGGCCTCCCCAGCGATCTTAGTGAATTACTGGTCAATCCGCGTGAGGAACCGCTCAACACCCAGTTCGAGCATGAAGACCTCGGCCCGTGGCACGCGACCGAGTTCTTGGCTCGCGTGAAAGGAGTATCGAGGCAATTGAGAGCGGCAAAACGACCAGTGATCGTAGTGGACGGCCTTGCAAGTCGATTCGGACAGAAGGATTGCATCAACACACTCGTCGCGGCTACTGGATTTCCGACGGTCGTCACACCTCACGGGCTTGGTATAGTTGAAAGCAACCACTACAACTACTGTGGAGTATATACCGGACCTCTTGGGAGCACAGTGCTACATGAATATGTTCAGAATGCGGATTGCATTTTGATTTTCGGGGAGCTCTTCTCGGACACAAATACAGTGGGTTGGAAAGCGATACCGCCCACTTCAGATCTAAGCAAGATCATACATTTCAATCATCATTCGATCGGCCAGTATTTCGCATCCCAGCGTCCAAATCCCCACTCCCGGATACGTCGCGTGGACGTTACAGCATTTGTTGAGGCGCTCGCAACAGAGTTTGCAGGCGTTGCGGAACTCGATAGCTCTGTTGACAGTCTTCTGGATATGTTTGGAGATCCGGCACACAAGGAGCGACCGATGTTTTTGAAGACTCCAGCGAACGAGATCCTTCCAAGATCACTACCGCCGCTTGATGTAAGCGCGGACTCTACAGCACTGACGCAAGACTACGTCTACCCGCGTATCTCTGCATGGCTCCAGTCTCACGACACTGTAATCCTCGCCAATGGCACACCATTGATCGGTGCCGCTTTGCTTTCCTTGCCACCAAAGACTCGTGTCTTCGCTTCCGGTCTCTGGTTCTCCGTAGGGCAAATGCTGCCCGCGGCACAAGGCGCGGCTCTTGCTCTCCAAACTTTACCGGAAGAGCAGCGTGGCCGCACGATTCTGCTCGAGGGTGATGGTGGCTTTCAAGCGACTGCTCAGGAGCTCTCTACGATCATTCGCTACAAGCTCGACGTGACCATCTTCCTCTTCAACAATAAAGCTACGCCTATGAACGTCTCATTCAGGGGCCTACGGCGGACTACAACGACGTCAATGACTGGGAATACACCTTCGCACCCGCGCTTATGGGCGGTAAGAATTACATCGACGCCTCTGACAACGATTACAAGATATATACCCGCAAGATCTCGACAACCCGCGAGCTGGACGAGGTGCTGGCTGATGCGGACTTCAACTCGCCACAAGGTGTCAAGCTTGTTGAGTTGCAGATGGGTGAGCTGGATGTGCCGTCATTCTTTGCTCCCGCTCTTGAGGCAGCCGGGAAGAGACTGCTGGGTGCAACACCGCCTCTGACTTCTTCGTCTGATGCGCGACCTGTGGCATGGAGTGATCATTTGGCATTTCCCAACGAATTGCATGACTCCGTGCCACCGAGGTTAGGAAGCAAGGAACAGGCAGATAAGATGAGACGGAACGCAGAGCAGGATGCAGAAAGTAAGACAGTCCAGAGGGTGAATAAAGCATCCACTTCGTCTACACCTTCGATACATACCGCCACGGCCGCCGTTGACGAGAGCAACCGAGCCCAGCCACGGGTCATTTCCTCCAGGACAAAGGTACCGGCACTACGGACCGGAGACCATGTCGTCGTCAGTAAGGAGTCGTGGGTGCGAATCAACCAGGAACTTGCACAGCTGAGGGAACAAATCGCTGTCACTGTCCGTGCAACAGAAGAGGCATTGGTTCCTTCCACGTTGTCGACGCTCCCCAGGATGCACAAGCACTATGCGGCTAGGCCATCAACGCCAGAAGTTCCGGAAAGAAGGAAGGAGGCTTTAACGCCAGCATTTCCGGAAAAGAGGGCGGAGGCAACAAACAATGATCTCCTTTCTAAGACCTTGACGTTACTGAAGCGGGAAAGGACGGAGGAGGCGACAGCAGAGCCCAGTTCCCCTGCAGCCTCGACACCGCCGAATCTGGAGAACAAGGAGAAGGCCAATGTCTCGACGTCGGCAGAGGAGGATCTGACGCCATGCAGACAGGCTACAATCAGGAGCTGAAAGAACATCGTACACAGTCGCGTGGGAGCACTCCTGAAGGCCTTGATGCCACGGAGGAGGGAGTCGAGCCCCGGATCAAAATCACCAGAGCCATGGCTCGTGGTACGCCACCATTATCCTCAATGTGGAAAACCGCGTTGGTGACACGACGGCTAAAGTTTGACCGTGATGAAGACACTAATAAGTAGGGGACGGTGGGCGGGGGAGGTGGTGGGGAGGTGGCGGCCCCAAAGGGCCGCCGCCTTCCCACCGCCCAGGCGAGCGGAGCGAGCGATTTCCTGGTCGCGCCGCAGGCATTTATAAGGAGGAGCAGCGGGAGCGAGGATTGCATGGCGCTGCACGTGGGTAAGGGAGAGCCGGACGGATGGAGGTTGGGAAAAAAGGTAGGGACCCATCTCACGCTCAAAATGAGCCCTGAATGGATGGGGTTTCAGCGACACATGCCAGATGGCATATAAGAGTCCAAAGCTGTAAGTACCGAAGTAGGTACAAGGTACAATAACGTCACGTTTCTTTGCATCGAAGTTTTCGGATGAGGCACCAAACTTTATCATCACAACCCCACCGCTCCCCATGGGGCAGCTCCTCGGCTCAAGGCAAAAGAAGCGCAGATTTGAGAGCTCTGTGTCGAATATAAAGCTTTCAGGTCGTTATGTGTTAATGTGAAGTCACTGTGCAAGACCCAACGTCAACAACATGGCGGACCCCAAAGCTGCACTACAGGTGCATACACACATCAGCTCGGAGAAAGGACTGTCCTCAGTTACCACACTGATCGTCGGCTCAAAGGCAGCCGTCATCATCGACCCACCATTCCTGGTCCCCGACGCACTATCCGTTGTGAGCTTCATCAAGGAGAAGACATCCAATCCTGTCGTGGCAGTGTTCGTCACACACCACCATCCAGACCACTACTTCTCGGCCAACCCCATCCTAGAAGCATTCCCGCAAGCCAAGTTCTACGCCCACTCATACGTCCGAGCCGGCATCGATCGAGAATACGACGAGAAAGTAGTTTACTGGCCCAGCGTCTTCGGTGAGGATGTGCCCAAGAACCCTCAAAAACCGGAAATCTTCCCTTACTCGTTCTTCATCCTCCCCGGGGACGAGGGCAGTCCAGTGACGTTGCTCGGGCCAGTACAAGGCGACAGTATTGACCACACCATCTTCTGGCTGCCTCGAGAGAGGGTTGTCATCACGGGCGACGCGGTCTATGCTAGGTCGACGCATGCTTGGGTTGAGGAGATTGAAACACCGGACATTCTGCACGCCTGGAACCTGACCTTGCTTCTGATTGAGAGCTTAAGGCCGGAGAGGATCATTGCTGGACATATTGAGCAGGGGTGGGAGTTTGATGCTAAGAAGGATATGGAGCACATGCATAAGTACCGTAAGTCAGCCTGTGAAACTGGAATCGGGCAAGACATCAGTCTCCTGGGTCTGAGTCATTCCGACACACGTCCAGTCTAACAAGTGCCATAGTCGATCTATTCGCGTCCAAGATCACCAATGCACCGAAGAAGCCTGGCGTGGACGAACTGTTTCAGATATTCAAGACGTCCTTTCCACAGTGCGAGAAAAATCTTGGTAAGTCGGAACGATATGTTAACAGCAACATGCTGACCGTCCAGACTTTTTCCTAGGCCACCTGAGCAACCAGTTCGGAGAGGGCGGGAAAGTGTGGGAAGAGAACAGACATCACGATGTTGGCAGCAGGAAACGAGATACATTGGAAGGTTTCCTGTTGGGTATAGGGGCCTCGAAGTGAATGTGCGTCGTCTGTCGAAGAGCGTTGCTCGACTGCGCGGTGCACAATCAACGATCTCCCAGATCATATCTGATGTTGATGAGATGGGCCGTCGATGTATGTTAGAAGGTAGAAGTTGGCACACAACCCTGGCCAGGGTTTGTGTTTGTGTCCTTTTGCTCGAACCGCTACCTCGCGTACCTCTATCTTACTATGCCCTTGGCTTGCCTGGTCACCCCATCCAAACTGAAACACTTCGACATAAGAAGCCTTTATGCCACTTGTGGAGCGATGGCAGCAGCGGCCCTTCGATGTCTAGTGTGCTAGTGCAACATTGTAGTCATTAAGGCGACACTGCCACTTTGACGGCATCTGCTGATCGAACGTGCATGAGTCTGGAGATCTTGATCGTGTTCGCGCATTCTAGAACTGTGGCTTAGCCCAAGCAAAAGCATACATCATCGACCTCGCTTGGCGCGATCATTGCCCCTCCTTCAAGTTCTCCAAGGCTCCGGCTGCCGCTATCCAAGGAGGTAGGTCATCACTGCATGATTATAAGCAAGGCCAGCTTGTCCATTTGTGCCACACTTCTCGCACCGATCTCTCGTGTCCAGTGTCGCAAGCGTCGGCGCTGCATCGAACCCGAATCAGGACCCATCTATTTTACTTCAGGAACGCTGAACAATTGAAATCTATCTGTACGACAATTGATGAGTGAGTTTGCAGCACCCAGCGGGCCGCCCCCGCCGCAGGTGCCTGAAGGATGGAAGGCTGTTTGGAATGATCAGTATAAGGAATGGTAAGCAGAGTTCCTTCTTTTCATTCATTCATCTCAGCCCATAATGCTCTCGAGCCACTTTCGCGCATTAACGAAAAGCACACTCTACATCGAACCGAAAGACTGACCGCGACTACTCACCACAGGTTCTACGTCAACCTCAAAACCAAAGCCTCGCAATGGGACAAGCCCACCGCCCCGGCTACGGGCCCAGAAGACGCGCCACCCCCCGATGCTCCTCCAGGGTACAGCTCGGGCGGTAATGCGCCGCATGTCTTTGATTCAAAGACTGAGCATCTGAACTCGAATAATCCGTACAATAACAGCACATCTCCGACAGGCGAGACAGACGAACAAATGGCGCGTCGCCTACAGCAGCAGGAACAAGCCGGCGCCGGCGGCAACCGCGGCGCATCAGACGGGTACTACGGACAAGGTGGCGGGCCGCAGCAGGGATATCAGCAGGGCGGAGGTCACCAGTCGTACGACAACAACCAGCTCCCGCCGCGTCCAGATGATCGCAGCGGCGGCGGTGGGAAGAGGGGCCTCTTCAGCAAGATCCTAGGCAAGTCGAGCTCGTTTTCTGGTGGAGGCTACGGACAGGGCGGGTATGGACAGCAACAGGGCTACCCGCAACAGGGTGGCTACGGTGGTGGGCCGGGCTATGGTGGCGGGTATCCCCAGCAGGGGTATGGAGGGTATCCTCAGCAGGGTGGGTATGGGCCGCCACAGGGCATGTATGGTGGAGGCTATGGTGGGTATTCTCAGCAGGGAGGGTATGGGAGGCCGATGGGTGGTGGGATGATGGGAGGTGGCAGGAGGCCTGGTGGTGGAATGGGTGCTGGTGGTGCGGCGGCGTTGGGTGTGGGTGGTGGGTTGTTGGGTGGGATGCTGCTCGCTGATGCTATGAATGACGGAGAGCAGGATGCGTAAGTGATGATCAATTTTCTGCCGTGGGAAAGTTGATGCTAACGATTGTGACCAGTTATCAGGATGGCTATCAGGACGGTGCTGATGATGGAGGTGGTGGTGATGATGGAGGTGGTGGTGATGATGGTGGCGGCGGCGACTAAGCATGAGCTTTCGTGCAAAACGCTGTTTCTCTGGGGCTAAGATGTCTGAATCGAACGGCGTTCAGCCGAGCCTCGAGTCCTCAGGTCTGTCGATAACCCAACAGATCAATTCAAGGTTGTGGTTAGGTTTAGGGCTTTGTCGAAAGAACGTGCTGCCTATGCCAGGCGGTTGTAGCCAATCAGCTCTCCCGTACCGCAGCACGTTCTATCGAGTACATCACCGTCGTCATCCTGTTGCTTCATACCTTCCATTTGTGGCCAACTTCCGAGCTACTGCAGCAGCAAGTAGGCAATATAGTAAGCAGTCTACAAAATGGACATCTCCGCAAGCGAGCCGGGTAGAAGAACTCGATGCTCACCGCTCCTCGGACCGTCCTACCTGCCCTCATACTTCTGGGCTCGATAGCACTGTACGCCATGATGTGGTCATCGTATAGCAAGGTCACATGGCCAGCAACTCTGCTCGTGAGCTCAAGGGTTGGTCCAGCAGCAGCAGCAGCAGCAGCAGTCGCAGGAACATCGTCAGCAACATGTACCTCTCCACAAGAAATCGACCTGTCCTGGCACCCACCCAACGCCACCTCAGTGAATAACCTCACCGCTGTCCTAAACGACAGCGGCGTTTACGGACTGCTCATCAACCCAGTCACCCCATCAGAAGTCCCTTACTCAACCTACAACTACTGCAACATGCCCCATGTCCGCCGCCAGGAATACCAACCTGCTCCACCAGAGTACAAGCTGGAATATGTGGAGGTGATCCAACGACACCACAAGCGTACGCCCTACGCGTCGAACACCTTTCCCAAGGAGAACTACGCTTGGACGTGCGATGACGAGGCGTTGCTGTTCTACGGTGTGCCGTACCCGGATGGGACCGCTGCGCAGGTCGCGTGGGGGGTGTATACGACGGAGTTGAATCCATTTGCGCCGGCGGAATTTAATGGGACGTGTCAGTTCCCGCAGCTCACTGCTGGTGGGCTCAACGATAGTCGGGTGCATGGAACTGATCTGTCTGCGGTGTATCACGACAAGCTCAATTTCCTGCCTGAGGTGTATGATTCAGCCAAAGTGCAGTTTCGGGTGACGAACAATGTAATCACGAGTCAGGTGGCCGGGCAGGTTGTCTTGGGGATGTTTCCCGATACTGCGAACACGACTGTCCAAGTGAAGATCCAGCCGGATTCGATCGATAGTTTGGAACCGACCTATTCATGTCCACGCTCGGACGCGCTGAGGGAGATGTATGGCGTAGGATCAAACTTTACGAATTGGACGGACCATCTTACTGCGCCGGCTACACAGGCGCTGTTTGCACGGCTTGAGACAGTCAGCAACGTAAACAGCTCAAGTGAGGCGGATGACTGGTATAGTTGGTTCGACCACTACTTCGACAACCTCTCTAGCAGACTATGTCATGAGAAGCCGCTTCCTTGCACGGCGGATGGGAACGAGACGTGTGTGAGTCAAGAAGACGCGGACGCGGTGTTTCGCAGGGGGATGTATGAGTACAGCTTCATCTATCGGGATTCGCCTTCGAGCTTGGCGTCGAGCGTGGCGAGCTATGGGGTTTGGTTGGCGGAGCTGGCTGGGACTCTGCGTGGTGCGAGTGGAGGCAGCGGCGATGGGGTCATATACCGCCACAATGTCGCGCACGATGGGTCGATCAGCCGGCTGTTGTCGATCTTGCAGGTGGAGGAGATGGTGTGGCCGGGAATGGGGAGTGAGATTGTGTTTGAGCTGTATACTCGCAATCAGTGCTGGTTTGTGAGAGTACTTTGGAAGGGCGAGGTGTTTAGGAGTAGCAACCCGAGTCTGGGCGCGATGGATATGCTGCCATTGGAGGTGTTTTTGGGGTATGTGGATGGGTTGGTTGGTGTTGGAGCGGGAATGGTGCCGGGGTTGTGTAAAGAGGATGACTAGTGTCAGTGGTGCATTCTGGGTTCTGGCCAGGGTGACTATATCTACCTGCCGCTGAGGTGTCTGTGACCGGCATTCACAGGAATACCGAATGCCTTTGTGACACGGCTGAGTGTTCTGGCAAGCCGATGCCCCGATCGAGATAATGGTGAATATGTGTTGCTGAGCCATTTCGCCATTGAAGCTTTACTTCACTAGTGGGAGTGGAAGACTTAGACGAGTAGAGCATGTCTCCGGTCTTTCATCGTGACTGCACTCCCACCGAAGTGACTCACACCATGCAGCAACGGATCTTGAATCATACAACCAATAGTGAATACATCCTAACTCATTCAGTGAATTATTGGCTCGGTTTGCGCCGGGCCATGCGCTTCGTTGAAGAGGTATAAGTATCTGCCTCGCCCTCGCCTACGACCTCCCGTTTCTTTTACAAGATCAAGGAATCTGCAAGAACGGATCACTTGTCATACCATCATAGCATACACTGCTACGTGGTGGGACGAGAATCTTCGACCGTACACCAGACCCTGAGCTGTATCCCGTGTCCAGAGCCAAGATGAGACCGCCATTGACGCCCCTGTCATCCATTTCACGACCCGAGACTGAGATCCTTATGCTCCGGTATAGGACTCACCAACCTCCCCTCCTCCACGCCCACCCTCACGTTCTCAATCGCCCACGCCTCCATCCTATACATCGTCTCCCACGTATACGTCCCCACATGCGGCAGCAACAACACCCGCTCATTCCTCAACAGCCCTTCCCTCACCACCGGCTCGTCCTCATACACGTCCAGCCCAGCACCCGCAATCGTCCCCTCATCCAATGCCTTTACCAACGCGTCCTCATCCACGACCGCGCCCCTCGCCGTGTTAATCAGTATCGCGCTCTTCTTCATCACGCCAAACTGCGCCGTCGAGATCGTATGCCTCGTATTCGCGTTCAACGGGAGATTCAAACTCACCACGTCCGCGACCTTCAACAACCCCTCCAGTGACTCAACATACTCCGCCCCGTCCTCCAGCCCGTTCTCTAACCGCCTGCGATTGTGATATACCACTTTCATCCCAAACGCCTCCGCCTTCCGCTTCAGATTCCTCCCAATCCCGCCCATGCCCACGATCCCCAACACTTTCCCGCGCGATCATGCCCCATCGGCGGCGGGCCCCGCGAGCCTTGCGCTTTCCCCCAACCGCCATCCCGCCACTCTCCGCGTCGAAGGCTAGCCATACTGGCGCCAAACTCCCGCAAGCAGCCTAACATCAACCACATCGCCGTGTCCGCGGTGGCGTCGTTCACAGGGTCGGTCACATTGCTCACCAGTATGCCGCGATCTGAGCAGGCGGAGGGGTCGATGTGGTCGTAGCCGGCGCCGCAGTGGGAGATGAACTTGATCGAGGGAGGGAGAGCGGCGATGAGGCGGTGTCGAAGCGGCCTGTGGTTGTTATGGAGGGGAAGGTGCGGTAGATACCGGTCACGCCGTCGAGGGCGCCGGATTGGCATTCGGCGATGAAGCTGGCGCGGTCCGTTGATTTGGGAGTGATCACTTCGTGGGTGGAGGCGAGGGAGGACCATTTGTCTTTGGCGAATTCGATGTCGCCTAGGAGGAGGATTTTGGTGCGTGTTGAGGAATCGGGGTCTGCCATTGTTTGCTCAGTTCTGGCCTGGCGGTGGCGAGTATCTGTTTGGACCTAATGTCTGCGATCGCGGTTGCTGTGTGGAAGAGTAATGCTTGGCTGGACTTCAAACGGGCTGAAGTACTCGCGGACGGACCTGTAGCCAGAACCTTGTTCGAGAGGGACACTGTTCCGTTCTGCGTGAATGTTGGTGTTGATGGTGAATCTAATTTGTATTTATATCGAAACGGAAGTTGACGGCCACGCAAACTCGCCCACGTCCTGCGGTTCGATCACTGATTATATTCCACGTGCCATCGTGCAATACTCGCCCATTACTTGGTGGACGCTAGGGCGATGTTCGTATCAAACTTGACAGCCAGAGCGGAACACGAAGTGGAAGGGCGTGGAACGAACCCATTGAGTGGCCATCTCCGAAACAATTTATCTCGACACCATTGCCTGGGTACTTAGGTACACTTTTTGCTGCATATGTACTCGATTTATACCATCAGTGCTTCACGACAGCGCCATTCTGTGCAGCATATGTCATGTAGAGCAGCGGGTACCTCCAAACACTGGTAAGTGATTTTTGCGTCACTGGTGTAGCTACTGCTGCTTCGTATACCGTTCATTCGCAATGGAAGCCCTTTCCAAGAACACGAGCACACTCGCTCCAGCTGCCGCCACCCTTTCCAAAGTCGACTGTCTCTCGTATCCCTATCCATTGAGCAAATCAAAATAGGACATCATCATCCTCGAAATCATTCGCGTCCAGGACGACCGGACTGCTCTCGATCACGCCCCCAAAGGGCACTCGCGGCATTGCATTTTCCTGGTCTTCGATCCCCTCCTCCATCATGACATGCTTCAACACAGCGCTCTGCTCGACCATGGCTTCAACCTTGCTTTGCTTGCCCTCACCTATCCGACGTGGTTTCTTGAATGCACCGCCAGGCACACTAAGCTTGGGATTGTGCGCAGGCGAGAGAGCAAGGTTGCTGGCTCGGTTCGACGGCTTGAGCGGTGACCGCTTCATGCCCAAGCCTTGTCCAGACTTGGCTTGTGTCAACGGGCCCTGCGTCTGAGTCGGCACCGTCTGAAACAAATGCGCCCCCTCAACCGATCCGTTCAGATCATTAATCCACCCCTTCTCAGCCATAATCCCCACAATCCCAGTAAGAATCTCAACCTCACTCCTCTCCAACGTCGACCGACTGCCCACTAGCACAAGCTTACTCTTTGCTCGTGTGATCGCCACATTCACCCTTCGCCAGTCCTTGAGCAGGTCGCCCACTTTCGCGTCTTTGTTGCTGCGCACACAACTCAGGATCACAACGTCCTTGTCCCGGCCCTGGTACTTGTCGGCGGTGTTCATCTCGACATCTGCCGCAGCAGGCGAGCCAGCGTGGGACTTGATGTCGCGTTTGAGTAGGGCCAATTGGGAGCGGTAGAATGTGATGACGCCGATTGAGGCGGGTGGTACGCCGGACCGGATCAGTGTGGTGACGAGCTGGGCCACGAGTGTTGATTCGACGGCGTTGACGATTCGTGCGCCTGCGGCAACTTCTTGTGCGCAGTTTTCGGGTGTGAGCGGGTCGGTGTTTAGGAATATGCAGCGGTTGGATGGGGAGAGTGCTTTGCGGAGGAAGCATGTCGAGTCGTTGCTGCAGGGTTTGGGCGTGCTTGTTGACTTGTACGTTGATGCTGTGGTACTGCTGTGGTGGTGCGCTGAGAGGCCGGCTTCGAGATCAGGGATGTGAAGCATTTTCGACGCAGTCTCTGGCGTGCCGCACTTCAAGCGTCCGCTGTAGACTAAGCGGGAGGCCAATAGTTGCACGTCTTCCGCCATGCGGTACTGATGCTCGAGATTGACCACGGACGCTGGGTGAGCGTCTGAGAGGAGTTTGAACAAGCTGACGTTGAGTCCGCCCTCTTGTGCCTCTTTGTTCTGCACCAGCGGCGGTAGTTGGTTGTGGTCGCCAACCAGAACAAAAGTTCGAGCAAGGCGGATTGGCCCAAGGCAGACCGGAAGCGTGATCTGAGATGCCTCGTCCACGATACAGTAATCGAACGTTCGAGCGTTGAAGATGGCATGGTTGACTCCCAGGCAAGTCGTGGCTACAACCGAGCTTCCATGCCAGGAGGTGTTCAGCTCTTCGAGCGTCTTCTTTGGCACTCCTGCCAGATCAGCGAACTCCTTGACTTGAGCATGCACTTTGCTGACAGCTCCGATGCGGAGAATCGGTATGTTGTCGTCCTTGATCTTTAGCAGGATGTTGTCAACAGCGCTGTGGGTGTACGAGGCAAGCAGTACCGACTTGCCCTGAGATACCAGTGCGCGAATGATGTGAGCAATCGTGGTTGTCTTCCCCGTGCCCGGCATGCCGAGGACGAGTGCGTAGTCCTTTGCCGTGAGTACCTTGTCAATGGCTGCTTTTTGGTCGACGTTCAGCTGCTGCTGAGACGCTGGTCCTTTGAGTTGGTAGGGCGGTGCCTTCGCTCTGAAGGTTGGGGCGGCACTGCCGACGATCAGCTCACGCAGTTCGCGAGCTTGAAACAGATCCTTGTCCATGACACGAATGAGGTTGTTGCGAGCAGTCGCCATACCATTCGCAAATTCATCCTTGTCTATGCGATAGAGCTTGGGCTTCACAGGGCTCTGTGATCCACTTCGTGGTGTACCATCCAAATTGTTCTCCATCAGACCCGTGAACACCTGGTTGAACTCCGGATCGAAGTCGTGATGCTTTCGATGAGCGTTCTGCAGTCTCCTGTCAACGGCGACCACGACTCTATTCGGTCGCACATTGGTCACATAGCCGCTTGCGAGATTGAAGTGACCTTGCTCGTCAGATACCACAATCGGCTCGCCAATGGTGATCTGAGATTCGGTGAAGGAGAATCCGGCCTCGGACTTTTGCTTGACAAACGTGTACTCGTATCGATTGATCTTCGAGCTCTCCTTGTTTTCTCGTGCTGATCCCGCTTCGATGACCACGTTGGCAAAACAACGCCCAAGCGCTTGCCGGTCTTTGCTTATCATGGTCCAGAGTTCGCGCCGGAACTTCATGGTGTCACGCTCTTCTTTTGTCAGCAGCAGATCCCACTTCTTGAAGAACTCAGCATGTGCAGGCTTGAGATGAGAAGTGGCTTCATTGAATGTTTCTCCCAACCCACTTGTGGTCCCATCACCACCCTCAACAAGCTTGTGGTAGGTAAAGCATTCTGCTTTTGAGTAGCACGCCTTGCATAGATGAGGCTTCTTTAGCATGGGAGGCAAATCCAGCTTTTCGTGAACATAGCACGCAAGGTCGTTGCGCTGGATGATCATATGGCGTATCTCGTTGCGAACACTTTCGACTCGGAAAGTCTTCGCAGTCTCCATGTAGTAGAGCACACCGCAGACAACGTTGACATCGTAGCGATCAGACAGAAGCAACGTATACAGTGCCGTCTGACATCTATGCGTGTCCACGTTGTCCTTCTTGCCGGTCTTGAGCTCGAGCGGGACGACAAGAGTCCTGGATTCTTTGTCGCCAGGGACCTCCATCTTCACTTGGACCGTGGCGTCGATGTTGCCCTTCAGCCCATGCATCGGGGACCAGACGTGTTCTTCGAGTTCGAGCAGCTTGTTGATGGTCGTCGGCACGAGGACTCCATTCCGATCCTGGATGACAGCATTCGCAGAGATAGTGTCTTGAACGAAGATCTTTGCCCAGCCGATGAGCTCAGGAACTTTACTCAGAAGATATTCCTTTGCATCATTCAGCGGCACACCTATCTCATAGAGTGATTCGAGGTATCCAGGCAAGATCTTTCCTATTGCCTGCTCGAACGAGTTTATCGTCCATTCGTTGGTGCGCAATGCCTCACCGAACAGCTCGTGAAGAATGTGACCGTAGACCTGTGGAGCTGTTGCGCCGCTTGTGGCCTTGACCCGGTCTTGTAGGGCTGCTCGTCGAGTACACGTGAACGAGTCGCCAACCACGGTCGCAGATATCAGATGGTCTGGGTGCAGTATGATCATGTTGTCGGCATCGTCAATAACGCACTGACCATATCGATCAAAGTCGCCGATGACGTGGATGTAGGAACCTTTGGTGCATCTCGTGTCGTACCAAGACTGGCGCAGTATGATTAAATGCACTCGTTGACTTCGCTCATCCTTGACGTTGAGCAATTTCTGGTGTCTGGTCTTGCCAGTGTCGGTGGTGTACTGTTCCGCGTGCACATCAAGGATGAGATAGCGCTTGATGGCTTTTTGATTGAATTTCTAATAATGCTATCAGCAGTAGTCTATCATGATCTCTTAACACATACTTGGCTTGTTGATCCAATTCCCGGCTTTCCAAGATCCACATCGCCAGCGATCTGAAGTAACAGGTCGTCGTCGTCTTCGAATACTCCATCGAGCTCTTCTACTACTGGCAGCGGCTCGCTTTTGTGCCTTGGTCCGGTCACTTCCATTGTCACTGCCTGCTCCTGTGATTCAATCTTGGCAGCAAGGGTTTCAAGCTCGTTCGTAAACGTGTCGTCGTCTTCGTCAAACTCGTCGAATTCTCGTGCCACAGCAGGTTTGACCTGCTGGGATTGATTGTCATCTATCCTCGGTGGTGATTTTCGTTCGCTCGTATGTTGTTGAGGTGGTGGCTGCGTGTCTTGGGGACCATCAAAAGTCTTGATGCCCTGAGGCTGTCGCTGAGACACCACAACTTGCGACAGGCCCTTCTCTACTTCTTTGAAGAAGTCTAGATCCAGATCATCGTCGTCAAATTCATCTAGCGCAATTCCGTCTTTCTTCAACTCTCCAAGCATATCCTCGTCACCTGAGACATGTTTCTCTGCGACCTACTTTGTGAAGGCGGCCGAAGCTGTTGAGGCGACTTCGTGGGTGATTGCTGCGAAGCGGGCATCTGCGAGTGCTTTGATGGCAGCGGAGAAGAGCTCGAAGGCTCATCGGTAGCTCGAGCTTGATAAGCAAGGCTTTCTTGTATCTTCTCCACGAGCAAACTGACACGGGATGTTTTGGGAACATTGCGAGCAAGAATCTCTCTCCTCGAAGCTGCAAAAATATCTTTCGTGCGACTGTTCGAGTCATTAATGTCGACTTTCCGTCGCTTTGGTTTTGACGTCGGCCACTCCACACCACAGCTGACTGTCCGTCTGAGAGCACTGTCCTTGCTGGAAGTGCTTGGTGTCAAGGGCGAGGAAGGTGGAAGGTGCGCAAATGTCGGCAATTCTCCTGCTGCTGCGCGTGTAGACCCATTGGCATTCATGTACCTCTTCCAAAGTTCTTGCGTAGGATCATTGTTCGGCGTTCGCAGGATCTTCTGTGGTCTTGACTGTGGCTCATCTTCCTGATCGTCGAAGTGGGCCGATCTCTCCATTTGTGACGAGCCTGGCGATGAGCTGCGAGCGCGTTTTCGACTTCTTTGTGTGGGATTGACCGAGGCTGAACCGTCTGTGCTGGTAGGTCCATTATGCCAGTGGACATGGTCGCCTGGCGTTGCTGCAGGCGGAGGACAATTGAAAGCATCTTCGGTATTCGCTATCAAGTCTTCCAGCGATATTCTCAAGCCCGGCGTTGATGGAAAGGCCTTGACATTCCTCGACTGTTCAGCAGCATCGGCCTCTTCCTCAATGATGTTTGCATTTTCCTTGTCGGTAACAGTATGCTGACTTTTGCGCAGCGGCTTGGAGATGTTGGGTGTATTCCGAGCCTGTCCTGACAATGATAGAGGCGCTGAAGGCATCTCAGAGCGAGTGTACTAGTCGCAGCATCGCAGGTTTGCTGCTATGAGTTGATCAGTGTGTGATGTCGAAGGATGAGCGGACGCGTGCAGTCGCGTCGATATTTCGAACACGAAGTCACGTGGCTCTGTCGTCTTGGCATCAGCCTGGTGCCGAATCTCGAGGACGACCTCGACTTGCTTCTTTCTCCCAACTCGTTGGTGCCCAACTCAACTCTACCGATCTTCAGCTGATCTGGAATCGCCTCCCGACTAGAGGGTCTTCCTGGTAGTGTTTTTGCAACAACCTTGTTGCTCGTTGTCGCAGTTCTGGTGCATTCGTTCTTTGGCGGTCTCAGCTCTGTCGTTGCATCCCTAAGCTGGCTTCGCACTGGGAGTCGGGCAAAATGTCATACGCAGGAATGTCAGTAATCACAGACATATATTGGTATTCGACGGGCGCTGTACAATCTACTCGATCGCGCCTTCGCCAAGTTTCAGCCTCGAGGTAGAAGGAAGCATTGTTCACTCTTGCCGAGCAAGACTCTGAAAGGTCGGAGCAATCGCGATTTGAGCCGCACTTGCGTCCGTTGGGAATCCTCCTGATCTTCTCCGTCACGAAGAATAGTTTTGTGGGCAGCTCTTGCCATAACCGAAGTACTTAGACATGGCAAGACCAACCACTTCGAAAGCGGAGCAAAGTCGTCTTCACAAGACGCCGAGCACTCCCAATGCGCGGGCAACATGGCTACAGCCGCCTTTATCTCCAGGCAGGAGTGTATCATTGTCTCCATCTAGGGCAAACATACATTCATATTCCAGCAATTCTGTTAGACCCACATCAACATCGCCACTGAGGCAAAGGAAACCAGTATCTGCATCACCAGCCCGAGCAATGGCGGCTGAGAAGCGGCGCAAGCTCAACCGTTACAACACTGTCGATGACGCCGTGCGCCTGCTCAAAGAGTCAAAGAATATTGGTATTCTATGTGGTGCCGGCATCTCCACCGCTGTTGGTATTCCTGACTTCAGATCGAAGGACGGTAGGTGACAGGCTTCCGCTCAACGAGCGGAGACTGACCGTGTCTAGGCTTGTATAATTCAGTGACTTTTCGATTCACTGATCCACAGCAGCTCTTCTATCGCGAAACATTCGAAGACGATCCCAAGGCCTTTTGGACGGACGTATTCCCCATCGTTCCGAAGCTGATACAAGGAGACGTCCTTAGACGAGACGGATCTGAGTCAAAACACGCCATTGCAGCGATTCCGAAGTACTCCAAAGTCCACTCCTTCTTCGACCTTCTCCAAAGTAAGGGAAAGCTAAACACTATCTTCACCCAGAATATTGACGCACTTGAACTCGCTGCCGATGTCGAACCTGACAAAATCATCGCCTGTCATGGATCATGGGACACTGCCACGTGTCTAAGTTGTGATGGCAAGATCCATGCCAATGACTATCTTCCGGTAGTACTGGACCACAAGTTGCCACTCTGTGAGTGTGGACGACCGGAACCAGCTGATCCGAATGCCAGGAAATCTGCACGCACCAAGAAGGAGGTGGTTCTGGATGACGATCAGGTGCGGTATTTACCAACCTACGGCGGCCAGCAAGTGACGCAGAAGAAGCGTGTTGGACGCAAGAAACGAAGAGCCATGGAGGCAGAGCTCGACGACATACTCAAACGCGATAGTGACGACGATGACAAGTTCGATCCGCCTGCGCGGCGCGGCCTGCTCAAGCCTGACATCACATTCTTCGGCGAATCAGTAGTCTCGAGTTACCAGCCACGCTTAGATGCCGTCAAAGACGACCTGGACCTACTGATCATCATCGGCACTTCATTAGCCGCTGCGCCCGTGAGCCAGCTTCCCCTGGAAATCCCACCAGATGTGCCACAGATATGGGTCTCGAATAAAACTCTGAAGACCTCTCTCGTGCGTGGCCTTCAGGTTGACATCGAGCTGATTGGGGATGCCGACTCCATCATCACAGAGCTTTGCGCGCGTACAGGCTGGAGCAACGGTCTGACGAACAGGATATGGAGAAATCATCTCGGCTCGCGAAAGCAGGGAAGAATCAAGGTGCTTGAGCAAGTGGCCGCTGCAAGGACGACCGACCTCGCAAAGCCTGCGGCTGCGGAAACGGCTGAGCCTATACAAGCCTCGATACCAACACTTGATGGCACTACCGAATCTAATGCTCACATCGATCCCGTTGCTGTAGGTCTGGGGTTGGAAGCAGTCGCAACAGGCCTCCTGGAGCCGGCAGTGCCTGAGAAGACATCACTATTGCCACTTGTCAAACAGCAAAGCACCAATGTAGCCCACACAACCTCCACTCCTGTTCTGACGACAATCGACTCGCATCCGGCTGCAGATTCAGCCACCTCAATAGTCGACGCAGCAACTGCTGTAGATCCAGGCCTTCCACTGCCACCACTCACCACTGCTCCTCCTGTGGTATCTGCAGTCCCTGCTGTCAGCATCTCGCCATCTAAATCACCGCCTTTGCCATTCAGAAGTGGCATTAAGAGACCGCTGAGCATCGGCGACGCTTTGACGCCTCCCGCATCATCAGTCAAGGCTAGTGCACTCGAGCCTCGTGAAACCGCGAAAGCTCTGCCGCCTCCAGTATTGCCAGGCTCACCGCCGGACTCAAGTCCACTTCGCCCCACCAAAGTCGCACGTACGCAGTCCATTACAAACATTGCAGAGCGGCCTGCAGTAGTGGCGACAGTAGCGACACCGGCTGAGCAGGGGCAGCTGAAGATCTTCGCGGATGATATTTTTGAGCATATCACTTACTTCAAGAGGCGGTAGATTCGTACTCATTCAACGGGAGGAAAAGCGTTGTACAACGCAAATTCATGCAGTAAATGCCTGTGCATGAAATGGAATCCGTCCTTGGACACCATCTGTTGGGCAGAAGCCGTCAGCATGTCAGAGTGAGGCCGGATCGTCTGTAGGTTGACTGGAGCAAGTACAGCCTTCTATTTGGGGGAAGGACTAAGCTGCGAAGATTCGGGACCCATTTTGGATATCAGTGCCAGTATTGCCATTGCTGTGAAGGCAGGTGATTCAATCATTATGCTTGTCAATCGCTAGTCCACCCGCACACAAGCTTGAAGCAGCAGGACCAGCGTCAAGAAGACATGGTCCATCTTCTCACCCAACCGGCCACTCATGCTGCTTCCACCACCATGGTCAAGAACATCGAGAAGAACCGCCCTCGCCCGAAACCTCACATGGCCCCAAATCTGTCCGTCCCGATCTAGATCGCTTTCTGCGACTTTGTGTGCGTAATCCGCATAGACATTATAATCTGCATCTACAAGATGCAAGCCCGATAATGCCGCCATCTCTTGCTCCTTGCCTTTGCCTTTCCCCTGCTTGCTGCGTTTGTCTCGCAGGGGGTCACCTCCATCCTCACCCAGACCCCAACTTCGTCCAGCCCAGAATCGTCGATGCGGATCCCGTAGTACCGCATGTGCGCTTCTACGCCTCCCGTCATCGATGCTATCCGCGAGACTGACGTTGGAAGACGTGCTGGGGAAGTCAGCATGGGTCGTGACTTCCCACTGGAGGCCTGCCTCCTCATCGTCAGCAGTGCGGTCTCGCTGTTGGCCATGTGCGTCAACGATGGTAGTTGTGCTCAACATTGGCAGAGGCAGATTCCCCGTGTCCCGCAGCGTGTCATACTCGAGTCTAGATACACGTGCCCCAGGGGCACCGAACAAGTAGACGGCCAAGCCACCCTGCCCAGCATCACCGCCATGTTCGTCGATAGGCTTAATAACAGCGAGCGCTTCCCGCCTGGAATCCCCATCTAGAGTGGTGCCGGTGCTAGAAGAAGCGTGGTCGGCGGCGCGCCATATGACACTTCGACCCTGTGAGCTAAAGCTCACTCGATAGCGCTCTCGTCCGTCTGCTGTGCGGGCTGAGAGGTAGCGGTTGCCTTGCATCCTCACTTCCGGGGGGCTGGAACCAGCGTCAGAATGGTGGTGTGTGAGTGTTAGTGTTGAGAGGACTGCGTCGGGCGTGTTCCGGGCTGCGGAGAGGAGGGCGTTGGGGATGCTGGCTCTGCTTGGGGTTGATGTAGATGGTGAGCAGGGACCAGCGGCAGAAGAAGAAGGCCCCGCGAGAAGTACAGTATGCGCCTCCGGAGGAAGCGTATGATATGAGGGAACCGGTGATGGTGGCCGTTGCGAGACGATGCTGCTGGTCTCGTCCATTGCTGGTGGTCAGAGATGAGATACGATACTACCGGAGCCCGGATTTTCGAACCCTGGAAAACCATCGACCTGGTGGCATAGTTGGCGGTGCCCGGTGCAAGGTGGCGTACTGAGTCACATTACTCTCTGGTCGATGCACATGTTCGTTTGGGAGTCTTGGGGGTCCCGGATGGTTGCCTTGGGCCAAGAAACAGAGAATGTTCGCCAATCACGGTCGACGTTGCTATAGCGCTAGTACAACGTATAACTTCATGCCCATTGAATTGTTTGAGGTACGGCAAGATTATGGTTCTTTTTGTGTTTACAGCTTCCGGCTGCCATGACAGCCTCGAAGGCAAAGTTCGCCTTCATCAGCACAGCCCGCTGCTCAGTGCTCGGAAAGTCGACAGCCGATCGGGTATCTCACTCACACAGACCAGACCAGCCAACACGGCCAGCCGAACACCCCATGCCCGCGCTGTGATAATCTACGCCCGTCCCCTTACACCTCTGCCACCCCTCCCCACTCGAGGACCGGCTCCTCCATTCACATTGCCCACACCCCACCGCCCCCTCGCTAACTCATGTAGCTCCTCATCACCACTACTATCATCGTCACCATCGCTCAAGAACTCCTCCAGCTCATCACTATCCCACTCCTCCTCCGCGTCCCGCTGAGCGAGCTGGAGGAACCGCTGGAGCGCGGCGGGATTGCGCCGCTCTGCACCACCTCGGGCACCAGCAACAGGAACCGCAGGAGGCGCAGCAGGCGCAGCTGGACGCACGTTACGTTGCCGGTGCGGCTGTCGCTGTCGCTGTGGCTGTCGGACTGGAAGTTCTGCTGGCGCGCGCTTCATCACGCTCTTGTCGAGCAGCCATGAGCCGCGCGAAGTTCCCAGCCTGAAGCTCAGCGAGCTCCCGCTGGAGTCCTGCAAGCCGCATCGCGCCTTGGTCAGGCGCTGGTCCACGGGGCAGACCGCGTTGTCGTCGGCGACGACCTCCGGGACGTTGTTGTCCGGCAGCTGGAGGCACAATCGGTACCGCTTCTGCGACCTGATTCGGTAGAACGATCCGTCGTCCAACACCCTGCTGCGCACCACCTTGTGCCGCGAAGTTGACAAACTCGATAGCCCGCTCTCGAGGGGCTGGTGGCTGCGGCGGCAGATTGATGGGCTGTACAGCAGCTGGTGGGAGCTGCGGATTATCCGGAGCATCATCCGGACCGTTCACTAACTGCTCGAAGTCAAACTCCTGGGGAGCCGCCAATTCCTGCTCCATTGCCGCGGCAAGGGAAGGAGGATTCCTTCCCCTCCCAAATTTGCTGGACCATGGTCCTCACCCTCAGCCCCATCTTCCTGCGCGACCTCAGCAACACCCTCATCAGCACCCACCTCAACCTCCTCATCATGAAGCAACAACCCCCAATCCTGAAACCCCCTCTGCACAACCCCTTCTCCATCCCCCTGCTCCAATTCCCACAACCGCATATAGCAATTACTCCCATGCGTATTGAAATGCTGATACGGATTATCCGGACTTAGCCACGCTGAACACAAATAGCAGAAATGCGTATTGCACTTGAAGCAGATCATATGATTACAACCATGCGACTTCTGCGCGGGAGCCTCGCAGGTCGGACACGGGGTCGAGTAGTGACGGAGGTAGGCCAGACTAGCCTTTTCCTCTTCTTCGAGTTCTTTCTTTTGGCGGGGGTTGCAGGCACCGAACTCGCCGTGCCAGGACTTTTTGCAGACGAGGCAGAAGGCAAAGTCGCAGTCTTCGCATACGCTGAGGCGCTCGGACATTGGGATTGTGTTTGGGTCGACTTTCTTGGTGCTGGCCTTTTTGGGTGGTGGTTCGGAGGGCTTCGTCTCAGCGTCAGACTCGGAGTCAGAGACGAAATCCTCGAGTGGATTGATCGGTTTTGGGTGCTTCTTGCTTCGGGAGGGCCCTTGACACCACTGACGAGGGCAGTAGATGACATCCTTGTCCGACTCGAGGCGTTTCTTGCGCTTCAGTCGAACGTAGCGCTGGACCATTTCGTGCTCGATGGGTATAGATAGAAGCTCAGAAGGGTTGAGAGTATGCTGCTTCCGCTTCTTAGACGTGCCGGACTCTTTCCCGCAAGACGGATCCATGCACTTTATCTGGTCGATGTCACCTTCTGTGATGCAGTTGTTGTAGAAGTCCTGCAGGCAAGCCACGCAGAAGACGTGCCCGCACATCAGCAACCGATGGCAGTCCTTGCCTTTCTTGGGCTCGAGGCATATGCCACAATCAAAGCTTTCCTTATCAAACTTTTCTCGCTTGGTCTTGAGGTTGAAGTCCAGCAGGGACAGCTGTAGATCCGCGGAAAACGAGACCGCTTTGCCGTCCTGTGACAGCCCGAACGCAGATTCAGCCCCCTGCTGCAGATTGTCGATGAATGTGTAGACTGTCTGATCTCGACCCAACTCTTCCCACAATTTCGCGCAACCCGCTTCTAGCTCTGACAGCTTCTCCTGCGACAGCCATTGCGGTGATACCAAGAGCGAGACTCCTGGCGGCTTCTCAGAAGGATATCCCTCAGGCAACGTCACCTGCAGTCGTAACGGCGGGAGGTGTTCGATTGTGTGCTCGTTCGCGTTCACGCCGTCGTTCCGCCCGTTCTTGTCTCTTGAGCCTGTAGCTACCTCGCCACCCTGCTTGCCCTGATCGGACGAACTCGTCTCTATACTAACGCTAGTCGGAGGCGTAATGAGCGACGATTCAGCGAGAGGCTCAGAAAATCGAACCTTGAGCGGTCTGATCGGCACGACAGCTACATCGAGAGTCGCACTGTATGGATTGGATGTCGAGTAGATGAGCTCAGGAAATATGGCGGCGATGGAGGAGAGCTCGATGGCGCGCTCATCGTCGAGGTCGGGCTCAGCGTCTTCCATAGCTGTCGTTCGTGTTCATGAAACGAGCCCAGCGTGGCACTCAACCTTAGTCTATGAAGACAGCGTTGATACAAAGGTAAGAAAAGACAGAACTTTGTGGTGATCCCTCACTCTATGTCGGTGGCGTGCCTCTTACCGCCTCTACCTAAGAGGGCTCCGAGAGTCAATAAAGACCTCAGATGAGAAGAGCTGGTGCTAGAGCATGGTAATGACTTTCGTCTGCTCGCAGTAGCTCAGTGTGACTGTCTTGAAAAGGTCCTGGTCGCCGCCAGTATGAGTCAAATGGTGACGATGATCGAGTCCGCGTCGAAGTGGTGGCGTCGAAAAAAAAGTCCCCGCAACCCGAGATCGATCTGGTAGCGGGGCCGAGTCATAGCCCGGAGATAACGCTAGGAGATAAACAGCTCTTGACCTCACCTCTTCACTCTTTCGTACCTACATCACAACTTTGCTCGTGGACGTGATGAAGCGACAGGTCGAAAGCGTCAACATCTAGTAACACAACTTCAACCAGCCTGGGCCGGAACCGCTGAATTGTCGATAGCAAGATGGCAGGCACCGATCCTCCCAACCTGACATCCCTCTCCCTGACACACGCCCTCTACGACCCAACAGACCCCATCTCCCACATTTCAGCTTATCTCGCCCTGACGCCGCAATTCTTCGTCTGCATCTACGTCACACTCATCTGGGCGACCCGCGAGGTGGAAGTACTGCTGATGTTCGCCGGCCAAATGGCTTGCGAAGCCTTGAATTTCGTTGCCAAGCGACTGCTAAAGGGCGTGCGACCGACAGAGCACATCGGCAAAGGCTACGGCATGCCCTCTTCACACGCCCAGTTCGCTGCCTACTTCTGCCTGCACCTCACACTCTTCCTGGTTCTCCGTCACCAAACCTCCCAACAGACCTCAACATCACACCGCCCGACGAGCAAGATTGAGCGCCTTGCCCTCTCGATCCTCGTCTCCTTTGTTGCCTTCCTCGTCGCCACCTCTCGCATCTACCTCAACTACCACACACCGTTGCAAGTCTGGACCGGGTTTGGCATTGGACTGGCGTTTGCGGTTTTGTGGTTCGGTTTCACCACTTATCTGCGCTCCAACGGCTGGGTGGACTGGGCGCTAGATACCAAGCTGGCGCGTTTATTTCGGATGCGGGATTTGCTGCTGACGGAGGATCTGCAGGATGCGGGGTGGGGGCGGTGGGAAGAGCGACGGAAGGCGGGAAAGCGTGATGCCGGAAGCGTCCCTGCAAAGGCGATTGGGACCAAGAAGGAGGGCAAGAAGACGAGGTAATGCCGTAGTGGACATCAATTTGGGATGTCGTCGTCTTTGAATATCCTATGCCCTAGAATTGATGTTTCGGATCGATGTTGAAGGCGAAGGCCGAAAAGTGGTGATGATGTTTGACCATCAGGATGTTTTCCGCACAGTGGGTCAAACCCCTTACCCAGGATAGGTTTCGTACGGGCTGACCGCCGGTACACTCCGAGGCAATGATGCTGGTCCCACCGCCGGGTACCCATCAGGCGTGCGTTCCAAATGTGGCGACGCCGATAGATGCGGACTATTCTGTGTCGACGGGCTATAGGTGTCAAACATGATGCCCGAGTTCGCGTTGATCTGTCGATTGATCGGCCGCAAATCCATGTCGAGATTGCTGAATTGAGGCATGCCGCCGTTCGTCAGCGGCATCATTGGCGTCGGCAGATGGTCACTCGCGCCCGCATAGCCCTGCTTGATGCTCAACGGCATCTGCTGGCTTGGCGGAGCAAAGCTTGGAATCTCTTTTACTCGCGCTGCGAGAAGAGGCAGATATCGCGAAGCGCCGCCGCGAAGTTTGGAGACTAGCTGAAGGATGTACGCCAGATTCTCCTTGGGCTCAGTGTTGCCCGAATCGAGTGGGACGCATGTAATGACATCGATCAGGGTGCATGCCACGTCAAACAGCTTTTCGATCAGTCCGACACCGTGAACTTCCATACTGGCGAGACTGAGCTCTTTGATATCTCCGAGCAGGTCTTTGACGACTTCGATCGGATACAGGAAGCTCAATGCTGGATCTTGCGAATGGCTCGAGATGTGTCCATGAGCGACACTCAATTGCCATACCATGATCCTAAGCCACTGCTGAGTGATCCTTAAGTCTGCGATCTGATGCTCTGTCGCTTGCAGATCAGGCGGCAGGACTTCGCAGAAGCGCTGTTGGAGTCGAGACAGCCACTCCGGTGAGCAGTCGCTTTTAGTCTTGTTCCACAAGGCCATGAAATCGTCGTCAATGCAGCAGAACAATTTGGACAGGTATACAAAACCTTGCATGACCTCTGCTTCAGGCCCAGCCATCTGAGGGAACTCGATCGTAGGATGTACACTTAGCGTGCGATGTCGCTCCATGGCGTACGCACGCTCGGACAATAAAATCAGCCAAAATGTTCTTCGTTTGAATTCGTTGTCTTCAGCATCTCCTTGGTAGTACGTCGACTCCTCGTGCATCTTCATGAGCTGAACCAATGTGCTTGCTTCGCGCAGATAGTACCAACATGAATTCTGCTTCTCAAGAGTGAAGTACGAACAGAACACAAAGAATGAAGTTTGTGCTGTAGCCAAAGTCGGCTGCTCGACGTAATCTCTGCCGTGTCGGACCCGAATGAGATCGTCCAACAGCAGCTTGGCGAACCCGTACCGATTCTGCGGTGGTTCACCAGCATATGATTCGCCTATTGCCCCGGACACGTTGAGGTTCATGCCCGGTTGAACCATGACAAAAGCGCACAGGGAAGCCACCAGGCAGTATGCGTCCTGTTGGTTTGAGCCATCGCTGTACATCAACGTCGTCAATTGCTGCTGGTGAAAGATCGGCATAGTCGGATACAAATGTTCAAAGAAGAAAGCCAAGCATGCATCGATAGTTTGCTGCGACAAAAGTCCTGGCGTCCTCGAATATGTTGGCGTGAGCGGCCCATTGAAGTCGAATGGACTGGATTGACCGCGAAGCAAAGTAGGTGTGGTAAGAGCACCGGTCGGATCTTGGGATGATTTCTGCTGAATGCCCTCTGCTGGCGGAAGTTGCTGCTGTAGGTGAATCTGCGTGTCGCGTATCTCTGAGATGACTTTCGCTCGGGATCCTTTCGGTCCCTTCTTCTGTGGGATCGCTAGATACGTGCACTGCAGCTTCGTCTGAGCACAGTTCTTACATGGCTCTCCTCCGCTGCACTTGACCTTGCGGCTGTTGCACTTGTTAGCTGGAACATGTACCGGGAAAGACCTGACCCGGGAGACTAGATGTCTCGCCCGATCCAGGTTCATAGGTATACGTACCGGTGGCACGCGTCGCATGCCTTCTTCACAGGAGGGGTGACAGCAGCAGTCATGGTTGTGGCATGCCCCGCAGCATCCGTTAGTCGTCCAAGTTCACCATGAGCTGACTTCTCTCGTTGTCGATACGATAATTGACGCCGCTCGTCTGCAGTGCACGGTGAGATGAAACACTCACCAAGTTTTGGTCTTGACTAGGCAATGCGAGGCGGCCAGCTCAGCCCCAGCCGTTCTTCCAGACTCCAAGGTTTGTGTGGCGTTCGTGCATTGTCGATCTAGACTTTGGTGGCCGAGACGGTTGCAGCAGGGTTTCTCCACGCTTCGCATGCGTACACGAAGGCGTGGAAATTCCCGTCGGATGACTTCAATGCTCATATTCTACCATGATTGCATGTATGCAGTATTGTTGTGGGCCGCGTTATTCGAGGAAGCAGGTCAAGGTCGGGAGCACCGACACTTTCAGGGAGTCACGATCTTTGCTAGCGTTCGAGAAGGTAACCGTTTGAAAAGGCAAGAGCGTTGGCGAAGAAGGCAGCAGCACTAGTCGTTGAGTGGCAGTAAAGCAGTCACTAGACCTGCTCATCCAAGATACCTGCATCCAGAACTTCTGTGCGTCTAAGTCCCATTTACACGTGCTATTCATATGCAACACTCCGTCCATCCAAAACCAGTCTCTTGGAAACTGCCATGTATTCATCATATTCGAGCACTTCGATCCATTCAAGATCACAGCAACTCCCTCATCGCACCGTACGCAACGCCGGCCCCCGCCGCCGCATACACCATGCCTGGACACGCCGTCTGTCGTGGCCCTGCTGCATTCCCGGTTGCTGTCACGACTGCACCAGTCGCCCCTCCAAAATTCGTACACTGCTGTTCCTGCAACCCATAACACGCCTGCGAGCTCAACGAAGAACACACACTCGCCGCATTCGTCACCGTCGCCCCACTCCCACCCGTCACCGTCGTCCCTCCCCCACCCAACACCCCAACAGTCACCCCATTCGACCCGCCCAACGACTGCAGACACGCTGTCGACTGCTGCTGACACACCGAATACGCTGTCTGACACAGCTGCGCATTCGCGTACGACGTCGGGATATATGTGAACACGAACCCCGCAGCCTGCACCGTTGATCCTCCACCCGAGACGCCCGTCGAGGGTATCTGAAGACTGCCGCCTGTCGTCTGACTTATCTGCGTGACTGTAGTCGACCCCGCAGCCGTGCTGCCACCCAACACGAATCCCGTCGTGCCCGTCCCACTCACCGTCCCCGTCGCAGTGACCGGCTGCCCATTCACGGTACCCGTACACACCGCCGCGATCGGACAGCACCCAACATTCCCCGCACTGTCGTTCGCGCAGATTGTGTCTTCTGGACAGCAGAGAGCGTTATTGAGGTTGCCGCATGAGACGCCATTGTTAGCGCATTGCTGTCGCCGCTCGAGCAGTAGTGGTGAGCGGGCTTCGTTTAAGATTGGGTCGAGGAACGGTGAGTAGTTATTCGAGGCGGCGGCGGAAATGGCGCGGAGGGAGGAGAGGAAGGAGATGAGCTTGAGCGGGTTCGGCATTGCTGTGCGACGGCCTTCGTGGAACTTTGGATCTGTGGAATGTTCGGCGGCGGTCAGTGCCGCATCGTTGCGGTTATATTTTATATTTATACTGGTCGTTTGCGCCGAAAAGGAGCCAGAGTATACAGCTTCCTCCAGTCAGTTGCTCTTTGTTAAGCGATCGGGCTTCTGACAGAGCAATCTGCTGCAACGGTTCAAAGCTCAAGTGTATGCGCAAAGGAACAGAAATTAGAACGATGATGTCGACTGATGACAGCGGACGATCCGACTGGGATGCCAGGATGAGGCGGCTCCGGGTGCCCAAGCAACCGGCTCAACCGCTTCCTTTTAAGCCGCTGGAGTTGGCGCCCAGCGCCTTGCCTCATTCACACCTAGCGCTTTTTGCGACACGCATCTCACTTTTCTCCCATTTTATCAAGGTCCCATGTCCTTCCCATATTAGCAATTGTTCATAATGCTTCAAGGGAGGAAAATCTTGTAGGATGTTCCTAGTCGATCAAGGTAAGCCCATGAGAAGAATTCGTCTCCTCAAAATCCATTCTGCAAGATGAACAACCAGAGATTCTGCAAATCCAACGATCCTCTGGGGTCACTGCCGAAAGCTCTTATTCGCATTTATATTTATTCTGAATCCCTAAAATGTTGCCAGTCATGTCCATACTCATCATAGTGAATTGATCGCTGACCCGCCTCATATAGTGATGGAATCCTAGAGTCAAAATAGGAACGATGGTCCAATCATTCAGACATCCTAGCAACCCTACGCTTTCAGCCTTCTCTCCTCACAACCAGAACACACAGCCTTCTCCTCCATCTTCGCCATGATCCCCTTCCGCTTTTCCTTGTCCGTTGGCTCTACCGACACATCCCTTATAAAGAACCGCCCATCCTCACCAAAACCCCCCTCGCACTCAAAGCACTTGAAGCAGCTCTCATGCCACTTCCCACCCAACGCCTCAACGGTGACCTCCTCCAAGATCTGCTGCTTACACTCCCGACACCTTGCACTCGTGCGCTTCGTATGGCACCGCACGCAGTAAGCATACCCATCCTTCTCGACAAAAGGCGTGTTCGAATCGAACGGGTCACCACATTCCGCACAGAAGAAATGGCCGACGTGCCATTCTGCACCAGCGGCGACGATGACTTCTCCCTCGATGGGTGTCTTGCATGATTTGCATCGTGGAGCGAACATTTCGGCGTAGTCGAGCGAGCAGTAGAAGCGGACATCTGCCTCTTCTGATCCCTCGGCGATGCCCTCGGCCTCTAGTCTTTCTGCTCGCTTTGCATCGGGCTCGGGGAAGAATGCGATGCATTCGAGGTTGGCTTGGCAATGGTGACATGCGAAGCACTCTGGGTGGAATCTAGCTTTGAGAGATGTGGTCGCTGAACCAGAGGCAGTCACAACGCGTCCAGAAATGGGTAAGGAACAGCTCGAGCAAGACACGGAAGGCACGCCCGGCAGCCCGCGATTCAGCCAGGGCAGGCGCTTGCTTGGCGATGCGCGGACAGGGGCTGTAGCGGCATGTACAGGCAGCGGTCTTGCTGGAGCTTTGGGGCCGATTTAGGTTCAGCTGGTGGGAAGATAGAGTAGGTGGGTGCGGTCGGTGCTGTGACGGCGATCTCTGGCGCGGTCACACTGATACTTGGACCACTGCAGTCGTCGACTTGGATGCTTGGGACATCATCATCGCCAGGCAGGTTGATCGTTGGCACTGCTGGAGCCGTATTGACCGCCTCGGAAGTTGATGGTAGCGGCCGTGGGAGAGGTCGCTGCATGTCCTTGCTCGTCCGTGGTGACTCAGTGAACTTGATGACCGGCCTAGCTGTATCGTGGCTATTCCGAGGAGAATCACCGGATGGCCTCCAACTAGGGTCAAAGCTGACGATGGGCCTTCCAAGCTGATCACTTACTGCCGAAGGTGTGGGCAGTTTCGCACTTCTGTCCTTCAGCTTGAATCCGGTTGCTGCTCGGATGTCATCACTTCGAATTTCAATGCCGTCCACGGATCTACGTGGCTCTTCTTCCGCCTCGTCGATTGACTGATGGCGTGCATGAGACACACTGCTGGTGTACGCAGCATTTCGGGATCGTGAAGGTGGGTTCTTGTGGATCTCAACTCGATTGTGGCGCGGCTGTTGCGGTGCGAAAGTGACGCCTGGCTTTTCAGGAAGAGGCCTCGATCCTCGTAGGATCGAGTTGCGGTCTCTTGACCTCAGTGGGAGACTTCCTTGAGTCGAGGCGTTCCCAGCAGGATCCATTATTAGCTCAGGCTCTTCGTAAATCTGGTCCTCGGGATTGCGGAAAATGGACTTGTTGGAGCCATTGCTAGCATTGCGCATGCCACTACTTCGTCTTCTTCCTGACTTGGCCATTGACACAATTTCGGCGGATCGCTGCTCCGAAGCTAAGTGAAGATCTTTGAGAGCGGTGGAAAGAGCACGGTCCCGAGGCTGACCAGATCTGGACGTCGAGCTCGTGGATGTATTCGAGCCATCTGAAGCACTACGTCCAGTCTGTTGAGCGCCATTGCCTAGCTGGCCGCCATAGCTCTTCCTTCCAGCATCTGGATTAAAATAGGGCGCTGTCTTCTCTGCCTCAGCTGCCTGAGGATTGAGATGCTTCCAAACAAGGTCGCTGCCTCAGCCTGGGCTGCAGTATAGATCCTGCTCTCTTCGTCTTGGCCATCGATAAGAGCCAGTGCCTCTCTAAGAGTGTGGGCCTCCTCTTTCTCGAGCTTGCGCTGCGTCGACTCCTGGTACTCTCGATCGAGGCTGTCTAGAGATTGGATGGAGACAGTGGGAGATATGTTGCGACCTTTCTGGCTAGACACGCTTGGTGCCGGGCCGTGAACAAGTGGTCTACCCTTATGCGAGATGTGGCTCGAGAACGAGCTTGAATGCACCATCTGACCTGGTCGCCGGGAATCTGGTCCATCATGGGCGCCAATCGAAGGTGCCGAGTCTGATCTGGACAACGAGGCGTGGATGCTTGCAACAAATGACCCAGTCTTGAACGGAGGAGGCCTCGACCCAGTCGGACGCGTCGGTCTATCGTTGCGAAGGCTTGCTAGATATGAAGCTGATTCTGATTGTGAGTATTTGTGCTTCCATGGAGGACTTCTCGGCGGCATTGCTGTACGACGAAAGCAGAGCTTACCTTTCTGTGCCTCTGTAAAATTTGTCGGTGTTGGTGGCGACACCTTTCTATTTGAGCCAGACAAGCTGGTCCTCTTGCTGTGTAACATATTCGGAACGAGGCTGCGTCTGTCGAGATGTCAATCATGCAAGTCGTGCGTCCGGCAAGCCCGCTGGCAATGGATATTCTGTGCAGAAGTAGTGCTTGTCTATGAGTTCTGGCAGGTGAAACCAATGTCAGCATGCATCGTTCCGTCGATAGTATGCGCCATCAACGTGATGGCAAGTGCAAATGCAGCAATTCGATATCTGCCTTGCGGTCGTGGTTCTGAACTTTTTTGTTGACGAGGCATCATCGCCAGGGCAACCGTGGAGACGAGGCAACATCCCTGCTCCCTTCCATTTCTTAGGCGTCTCCAGCTCGCTCAGACCACCTCATTGCGTGCTCAGCCCTTTTCTTAACTGTCATTTTGCCGAGGCCTGGTTGCCTCATTGATATCTGTTCCAGACATTGCGCATCCGTACAATTCGACCATGTCGAGAAACACGGTAGATTTGCTCACGACGCTGTCTCGAGACGCGCGCTTCGCAAGGGTCTCCGGCAGTACGGCACGATGCGGCAGACGGAAGGACTTGACCGCCACCATCATCATTTCTCCACGATCACCAATCCTTTGAGTCATAGAGCTCAGGCCCGGTGCTTAGCCGCGAGGTGCGCTTGCTGTCGGCTCCTTGCTGCCTTTGCAACTGCTTCAAAGCGGCAGGTGCCCAGAATCCGGGGAAAGGACGCCCTAAAATTGAAGTTGTGTGTCATTGAAAATTCTTTTGCGGACTTGTCGACGTGCTCCAACCTCGGCCTCGGGCAGCTTGATTGCTCGCCTTTGACTTTACCATTTTCAAGATGTGATGGACGAAAATCTGACCTTCCTACATATATGCCAGAGATGGCGACAGCGACTGATCTAACAGCACAGACATGACAGACTCACCCGCGGCAACCCAACGGGATTCACGCAAATCTGCGTCTCTCCACTCCAAACATCAGGATGCCTCTTCCGAGCAGACGTTACAGGACATTGAGCAACCGTCCTCGCTGGACGCTGAAAAGGACCGCGCCTTGCCACCCGATGGCGGCTACGGATGGGTCTGCGTAGTCTGCAATGCGTGCATCAATGCGCATACTTGGGGCATCAACAGTGCGTACGGCGTATTTCTAGGATACTACTTGTCCAGTAATGCATTTCCGGGCACGTCCGCCCTAGCATATGCCTTCGTCGGTGGGCTATCGATTTCGCAAGCCATGCTTATTGCTCCTCTCGCCACATATGTCGTCCATCGCTTTGGCACAAGGGCCTCTCTGAACACCGGCATCTTTTTCGAAACATTGGCCTTGATAGGAGCATCATTCGCCACCAAACTATGGCATTTAATTTTGTCCCAAGGTGTATGCTTCGGATGGGGCATGGGCTTCCTCTTCACCGCCTCAGTCGGCATCCTTCCTCAATGGTTCCTGAAGCGCCGCAGCCTGGCCAACTCTCTCTCTGCAGCAGGTTCAGGTCTCGGCGCCCTGATCTACTCCCTCGCCGCCGGCCGAGCTATTCAAACCGTGGGCTTGCCCTGGACCTTCCGCATCCTCGCAATTTGCACGTTCAGCGTCAACATCATCGCGTGCAATCTCCTCCGCGACCGCAACAAGCTCATTGGCACCCGCAATCGCGCTTTCGACTTGAGCATCCTAAGACGTCCCGAGTTCCTCCTCGTGCAAGCGTGGGGGTGCTTCTCCATGCTCGGCTACGTTGTTATTGTGTTCTCCATCCCAGCTTATGCCCGCTCAATCGGCCTCAGCGAGTCGCAAGGCTACATACTGAACGCCATCGTCAGTCTAGGGCAAATGCTCGGCCGCCCAATCATCGGTCTGACATCCGACCGCTACGGACGGATCAATCTCGCCTGCCTGTACTCTCTCTGCTCCGGCCTCGCCATATTCGCGTTCTGGATTCCCACCGAGGCGGCCCCTTCTCCTTACGGCCTTCTCATCTTCTACTCCATCGTTGGCGGTGGCCTAGCCGGTACTTTTTGGACGACCATCGCGCCCGTCTCCACCGAAGTCGTTGGCTTGAAAGACCTTCCTGGCGCGCTGTCTCTGACTTGGCTACTCCTGGTGCCGCCAACCACAGTATCCCAGCCCATCGCGCTTGAGCTGCGGAGCCTGAACCAGCAGCATTGGGTCTACCTGCATCCACAAATATTCACCGGGTTCATGTACGTCGCTGGCGCTATGTGTCTGTGGGTGCTCAGAGGATGGAAGATCGGGCAGGTCGAGGAGGTTGAGCGACGAGTCCTCGCCGCCAAACGCAGAAGTGTCAGGACGGCGTTGGTGGAGAAGCAGGAGGAGAAGGCGCAGGATGAGCTCGCGGGCAAGGAGTTGCAGGGCGGTGAATTGCTTCCAGATGGTGGTGGTAACGAAGACGCCATCGAGACAGCAGCGAGCAGCAGACATCAGCGCAATCCAGCTGCTGGAGCAGATGAGGCAACAGCCAAGCCGGACACCGAAGCAGCAGAAGCAGAAAAGGTCGATATAACACCCGCCGTCATCGAGCGTATTGGCACGCAAGAAGACGTGCGTGACGCGAGCTGGAGATGGCGAGATCTCCTGAGACGGATGTGTAAATTGCAGAAGGTCTGAAAGCAAAAAGGTATATCCATCCTACGTGTGCAGATATATATTTGCGTCTTCAAGCATACCTAGGTATCTTCTCTTCCTGAATTGCAACTCGTTGCAGACGCTATCACAATTATCAGTTCAGAATAGAGCATGTGCTATCCGAGGCCTCCACCCACTCAGATTCTGGGCCCAGTATAACGGGAATGCCACAGTACTTCTGATCTGAGTCATGTCGCCAATCCTGTCATTCGGCGCTAGATAAGCCGCCTCGAGGATGATACTCCCATTTTCTGCACATCCAACCTTCCCGACCTCTTTGACACTTCCTAGATACAACCAAGCAATATTCGCATACCATAAATATGCAAACATACACAGTCGAGTCGTCTAGTTGAAGCTATGCTCAGACCCAATGTTTTATCTGACAACCTGGGAAGGTCCCCAAATTTGTTCCACAGCTTTTACAAGCGATGCAACATGGATCAACGCGTCAACGAAGCCACAGTGCCTGTGTGCACCGCCTTCTCGCCACGTCACCGCCTGCCGTGCGAGGAACTGTGACTGACAGCAGTACCTTCGACAGGACTGTACTTTCGTGCATACCGGAAGGGGAAATCGAGGAAATATTGGCGTATTCGCATTTCGACGAACGGTAGGAATCGCATGCACTCTATTCTCTCGCGGGAGCGCTTCCTACTTACACAGTAGGGCGCGTCTCTGTATCATCGAGGCTTGGAAGAACGTCCTGATTCCAATCTGTCACTTAGAACCCAGCATGACCATTCCCGTGTCCCGCTGAAGAAACCCTACAACGATTCCTCAACACTCAGAATGGTGGCCCACTTCCACGAAGTCCCGCCCATCCACGACGTCCCCGTCATCAGAGACGTTCCCGTGATCCACGATGTCCCCTTTGACCGCGACGGTCCGCCCATCCACGGTCTCGCCTCCATCGCCACCGCCCTTCTTGCCAGCACTATCGCCCTCCTCATCTTCTACTACCAGCGCCACCGCAACATTTCCGCCCCCGGAAACCTTCGAACCGGTCCACCATCTCCCCGGAGCCTTAACAACACCACCAGCAGCTCATCCACCAAATCCAGCGGCTTGGTCGTCTCCGTACACCAATCACCGAACCACGCCTTCACCAAAACCCCTCTACGCTCAATAACCCTTGTCGCTGGTTTGGGCGTCCAAGGCGACGCCCATGTCGGCGCCACAGTCCAGCACCGCTCGCGCCTGCACATCCGGCCCGCACCACCAAATCTCCGACAAGTCCACCTCCTCCACGCCGAAATCCTGGAGGAGGTAAACGTCAAACCAGGCGAGTTAGGCGAGAACATCACTACACGCGGTCTCGACCTTCTAGCCCTTCCTCGTGACACAAAATTATTCTTCCTCCCACCCATCCAGACAACGTCGACGACCACGAGAAGCTTGAGTCGGCGACGAGGCTGCCTGAGTCTCCGCCGCCGCAAAGCCCCGACGACAAGGCGCCGCTGGATCTGTGCGAAACCTCAAAGGAAGCACCCTGCGTCCGAGTCACGGGTCTGCGTAATCCTTGCGCGCAGATCAACACGTTCCGACCTGGTTTACAAGAACATTTCATCGAGCGGGATAGCCAGGGTAATATCACGAAGCGAAAAGCGGGGGTCATGGGAGTTGTCCAGGTTGGCGGAAAGGTTACGGTGGGCATGCGGATTGTGGTCGAGCGGGCGGACGAGTACGTGCCGTTGGAACCAGTGTAATTGAAAGTCGCGACGAAGTGGCAGCGGCAGCCGACTTGAGACAATCTCGATGAATAATTTTTTTCCAGAGCATTGTAAAGATCGATACTACATGAAGCGCCGAACCCGCTGGTGCGCCGATGACCTTCTGAGCAGACCACTCTATGCTTATCAATTCTACCCTTTCAACTCACGACGCCGAAAAGCGATGCTTCTCGAAATGAAGAAGAGCGTATTCAGACATGCTAGAATTTAGAGACACACCCCTCTCCCTTTTGGATGCTCAAACGCCATCGCTATGTGCTTCGATTTCCACGGTTGCAAAATGCACGAGACTGAGCTTAGGCAAAATAGCTCTTCCAAAGCACGCCCGATAAATCTTCGATATCTTCTGGCGTGAATGCCTGTGCACACAAAATGTCAGTATGTGGTCTTCGAACGGGAAAAGAGGGAAAACAACTCACCTTGACGTCAATATGCCACGTATCCTGCCTCGTCTTCTTGAAGTCACTGATGATGTTCTTCACCGCACTGCCTACCATGCCCGGATCCGACGCCGCGCGGTTGCTCAGCGTCGACAGCAACCCACACATCCACTGTGGCGGCGGACTTGCGTACGGAAACGCCTGGATCAGCGCACCGAGTCCCAGAACAGCCGCATGGCGCGTTATTATCAGCCGCTGGTGTTCTGGCGTGGGCGTCGCTGTGCCCGAAGAGCGCACCGACGCAAGCGCCGTGGCTTGACGGCCTTTGGGCTTCTTGGGCAAGGGATTATCAGCGAGCATCGCCTTGAAGCGGTCGCCGAGTTTCGTCACCATAGCTTGCTGGAACGCGTACGGCGAGCAGCGGATCATGCCTGAAAGCGTAGTGGCGGCTCCGGCGCGTACTTCGTGCTGCGGGTCTTCGAGCATGCCGGCAACGCAATCGAAGAGTTTCTGCTTGCTTTCGTTCGAGAGGAGGAACAGGCGGCGGAAGAAGATGATTTGAATATTGATCATGACGCGCAGACGCTGATGCCAGGACTTGGACGTCTGGCCGATGCGGATGAGTGAGGCGATGAGCTTCTCGTCCTGGCCGATGCGGTGGGGAATGTTGGGAAGGTGGCGGAAGACGTGGTATGCTAGAGACTGCAGCTCCGGGTCTTCTTTGACGTCCATCATGTGCAGGAACTGCTCCATGAAGACGTCGGGGAAGTATTGCAGGAGCTGTGTGCACTCGTAAGAGGTCAGCATTGCCTCGAGCCAGAGAAGAACTGTCTTGCTGCCAGAGGTGTAGGCAGAGGGTGTTTGTTGCCCAGGTATTCGCTCATGGCGCCACTTCTCGATGCGGTCGAACGCATCGCGAATGGCAGCGTCGAACTCTTCGGTGGGGATGTATGGCTGCTTGCCAATGGAACCTGCCTGCTTTTGGTCCTTCACTAAAGACGCAACATCGGGATAAGACTCGTGGTAGCGGGTGCGGGTGATGGTAGCAAGTGTCTGAGCCATTGCCTCACGGACGCCCTTGTATGGATGATCGATGTGCGCCAGGAAGTCCTTGGTAAGTGGCTTGTCGAGCTGGAAGTGCCATCCGGCGTCCATGACCACCTGATGTAGCAGGTGAATCTTGGAGCTCTCCTTGAACGCAGCGTTGGACTGCATGTCGAGGCGGAAGTTGGCGAGCCAGTCAACGAGAGGCCAGGCTCGTCGCGGATCTCTACTCTGCAAGATCATGTGGAGAAAGGTGGTCCAGTAGGCGGAGTTCTCGGGCGTCAGGCCATCGGCAAAGACACGTTGGACGATGGGAAAAGCGAAATCCCAGACCTTGGACCGACGCTCCATGGACGTGTCCATGACAGCTGTAATGAGACCAGGCCAAAGATCTCAGCCGTGGCTCGGTGCTGATGCTTGTCGCTGCCATTGCCGTAGACTGCCAGGGTCTCCTCTTTGATGTCCTCAAATGTAGCCACAGCTAGTCCGTCACGAATAATGAGCTCAAAAGCGTAGGTTAGCAGCATCGCACTCGGCATTCTGAACTTATCCGCATTCGAGTCGCGCGGCTCCTGCTTCAAGTACTTGAAGAAGGTCTTGAACCAGTTTCGATCCAGGATCTTGCCGATCACCTTTCTTTTGCTCCATTCGAGATCATCGTAGACAATATCTTGCGAAATGTTGGACTTATAACCCGGCATTTCCTTACACCACACCAGCCAACCCGGATAGTCGTGGTCAATGTATACATCTGCATCCGGTTGTGCAAAGTTGCTGAGGTACTCTTCGGTTTGTGCTTTGTCGAAAGACTGCGTGGTCACCTTCACCTTCGCAGGGAACTCCTGAATACCACGGATGTAATTTAAGTAGCTATGATCGCATACAGCTCTGACATCAGTCATGGTGAAGACAGCTATCATGCCTTGAGAATAAAGACCACGCAGATTCGGATGCTGATCAATAGTGCCGTGTGCAATGAGCTCAATCATGTCGTCTGATGCGATATGGTCGAATCGCATGCCCAACGACATCACCAAAGTCGAGATGCGCTGGGCCTTCTTCCAGTGGGAGGCACGGGCTTGTTGGATCAGCTCTTCGGCCAATTCTGACTTCTTTCGCTCGATGTTGGTGCGCTTCGAGATGATGAACTTCTTCTTCTTCTCGATTTTGTCTGACACATCCTCAAATGGCGCGATCGCCTCGACAGGACCTTGCTCGACAATAGCTGTGCGATCTACAGGCCGACCATAGTCCATGACCTGATACAGACCGCCACTGCACAGCTTCTGGATTGAAGGCTTATCCGCACTACTGGCTTCAATGAACGTCCTGATGATGTCCGGCGCATACTTCCAATGTCGGCCCACAGTCTTAGACAGACTTCCGAAGAGTAGTGCAAACAGAGAGCCTTTGATACGAGGAAAATCGCTCTCTGCTACAGACTTCTTGAACGTATCCAGGAGCGGAGGAATCACGAACAGCCGAGCGCCGAAGACCACCTTAAGAGCAGCTTCGCCTGCAGCTTGAGCATTGCGGCGCACCTCAGTGTAAATGGAGGACGAGGACTTGACGAGGTCGAGTAGTAGTTGCTCGTCCAATGTTGATCGAGGTCGCGGTGCCGCATTATGTCGCAGTCGCTGGGTGTGGTAAACATTGGCACGCCGCACCAGAATTGCTCTTGGATAATCCTTGCGCTTACCGCTGACCTTATAAGGCTGCTCATCGGCTTGCAAGAGGCGTGTGATGCGATCCAGAACATGCGCAGAGCGCTCAATGCCAACATCGACGAACCATGTTCTATATGCCGTGTAGAGTGGCGCGAAGGAGGAGACATCGTCCTCGCTCTCTCCCGAAAGAAAGACGTGAGCTCTGTGCAGCGTCTCGCCGATCTCCTTTCGTATCCTATGGATGACTTTGTAGTTCTCGTCTGCGGGAGTCAGGTTGAAGCCCGTCGGATATTGGAAAGAAGGCTTGATAGATGTCTCATCTGTGCCGTCCAGGTAGGCGTCAGCTTCAGAAGTCGCTTCCGTTGCATGACCATTCGCCATCGACATAGATGTGTCGGCGTCGATGCCATTAGCGGTCATTGTCAGACCCTCATTAACGCCTTTGGCATCGAACAGAATCGACACTCCAGCCAGAAGCAGTCGAAAGAGGACAAGATTTCGTGAAACCTCGTCCGACCATTCCTTGCCACTTCCATCACGCTTGATCGAGGACGTGCCATCGAGGAGCCCGTTCAGCTTGGACATCGCTGTCTCTGCTTGCGCTCTGAACAGCTCGACGGCGAAATCGATTTCAGCTTCTGAAGGAACGTGCCATTTGGGTTTGAGTGTCTTTGCGGGCTCGGCAAAGCCCCAAAGCCTGCCTGTGATGCCGTCCTTGATTCGCTCGGGCTCATAGAGATCGCAGTCGACGGTGTAAGTGCCTGTCAGGTTGAGCAAGAGGTGATGAATATAGTTCGAAATGTGTACTGTTGGCATGCCCTTGCAATGCGTCTGCATGTAGATCGCAATGTCGAACAACTCCTTCTTGTGGTTCAAGACCGCGCTACCAACGTGCACGACACACATGCTGAGCATGCTGACGTTCCATACAAGAGCTCTGTCTCGGGGCAGCACGTCTGATGCAGCATTCCGGGTGGACCCAGCACCATTCTCATCGATCTCAACTCGGATTGCGCTGGTCAGCACAGGTACTAGCTTAGCCAAAGCCTTCTCTGGATTGACCTTGCACAAACAATTGCAGATGAAAGCCATCGCATCTCTTGACTGGTGAATGACATGAGTAGCGACGAAGTCGACAATCTTGTTGAGCGCTTGGTCGAAGAGCTCAGGCGAAAGAGATGACAGAAGTGGCAGGAAGGTCGCTGGTAACGTGTTGACGATATTTTCTTCTGGAGAGCCACTTCTGATCCTTGACGCGTCCGGCAAATTCTCAAGTAATGTGAAGACGCGTCCGAGGAAGGATGACACAAACTCCGAGAAGCCTGCAGTTGATGAAGCAAGAACCATCTCTTCTTCCCGATCGTCCAGCTGGTGGTAATTTAGCTCGAGAGGTGTGCCACCGGCAGCTTCTTGCTCAGCGTCAAGCTTCTCCATCTCACCCGTGATCCATTGCATTGCCAACATATTGCCCTGCACATCATCTCTTCCTTGGGAAAGATCGACGAATGGGATATTGTAGCAGACATTGGAAAAGAAGGTGAGGGTGTAGAGAGTCTTGTCTAGATCATTGGCATCGATTCCAGGAAGAGCGAGACCGAGGAGCGCCGTGATGTGACAACGATAGCCTTTGGACCGAATCATCACTCGACTTAAGGCATGAAGCGACCTAAGCGACGAGACTGTACGATGAACTTCGACCAAGCCTTGCATGGACGGATATATACGCTTCAGTGCTCCTGGAAGGATCAGCTCTGGCTCGAGGTTTGCCAGAGCGGATAGTGTGGACAGAGAATAGCTCATGGCTGTACTACTCTTGGAGTAGATGCCCATGAAGATGACATCCCGCAAACAAAGCACGAATCGTCTTCGAAGTGCTGGAGTCAGCCTCCGATCTTCTGGCACATCAAGCTCGCCATTGTGTTCCCTGTTCCATCGCATGACGAAGAAGTCGGCCAAGTAGAACACCAGCTGCGAGAGGGTCTTAGTCCATGCGCCAGCATTCGACGGGTGGAAGAACGTCTCGATTGAATCCATCAGATTCGTCAGCAATGTAAAGATAGACCCTTCTGCGTCCAGAGCCTGCGGGGACAATGACATAACAATCCATCGTGCAATGTGGTGCGAGACAGGGTGTTTCCTCGAGTCTCTGTCAATGAGGACCGCCATTCCAGCCGACAGGTCCACCAACGCACTGTATGGTGAAGTTGACTGCCCTACTGGGATCTCGAGAAGGCGTAGTATTGCGGTGAAGATGAGGGTAGTTTGTTCCTGTGTGAAGATACCATGCTGAGAGAATGGCACGTCCGGGCTCGGCAAAGTGTCTCTTGCCATGCGGGAGAAGAGGTCTAGAAATGCTATGTCCACAGTCTTCGACCGATTCAACAGAGACCACAAATGAAAGAATGTTGGAAGATGTTGTTGTGGTAGCAGATCCTCGCGGTTCGGTGGTGGGGGAGCAGTGGGTAGCAGAAGATTGAGCAGAGCCGTGACAACGAAGGCACCCTCCGTGAAGGACATGGTGAAGTGCGGCAAGATCTCGTCCAGCATCGCAGGAATGTCCTCGGGATCAAAGTACAGTTGAGCAAACGAGCTCATCTTGACCAGTGTCTTAATGTTGCGCTTGGCATTGGTCGTCTGAATCAGACCGGACTCTGCAGGGATGACGAAGATCTTGATCTCGCGGAATAGCGGCCTCCAGTCGAGCGTCAGGTCTCTCTGTGGTCGAAGGTAGTGCTTCCTCTTGGTGAGCAACATGAACATACTCGCAAAGCGCTCGGAAACACTGGGATCGATACCCGGAGCCAATGCTAGCTCGTAGTAGAGGTTGACCAGCTTGATCCGCTGCTCTTTGGTCGGATCGAACTTTAGTGACATCCAACTGCGGAGTTCTCTTGTCCAGTGAACAGCTCCCGGAGTAAAGTCGCATGACTGTACTGCTATGTAGAGATGCTTCAGGATTTCCGACAAGTCTTTCTGCCGCCGAGCCTCATCCTCGACCTCGTATGGAAGGGTAGTGAAGTATGGGTACGTTCGAGGTCGAGTTCGAGACTTGGAGTGATCAGTGTCGCCATTGACAGCATTTGTGTCGTGTGTTCCTCCACTGGGGGAGGTCGCCCGTGAGACCTTAGCAAGACTGTCGTCCTGCAGGCGCTGCGCCCGATCCATGGTGAAAGGCCGGGCAAGACCTCACCAGGTGCTAAGTTGAGGGCGATTTGGTAGGGAGGATGTCTGGCACTCTCTCTGCATATGTGAGGTTTGCGACAGGTCCGGGGAGGTACTCTGGTGCTTCGAGTGCGTTAGCGCCCTCTAAGAATGTCTTGATTCAGGCAGATGCTGATGACCAAGCCGTGAGTGAGTGTCGATGGTCTCCGCAGCCTTGCAGAAGGCAACTTTTGCTAACGTCACTGACTGTTCTGGGGCCGGAATGAGGAGGACTTTTCCGTGGCGGAATTGGGCCTGAATGATGATGAGGTAAATACACAGTTTTGACAATACTCTGGCTTTTGTCTCGAAATGGTGTGCAGCTTCATTGCCAGTACTCTTCACATCAAAGTAGCACGCGCCCGCAGCAAGTAGAGTCGGATATAGCACTAAAGCCCGCTTCATAGTCTTGGCGCTTCGGTCATCGATTGAGTCGCGCGACCAACTACCTAGGTATGTCGTGGTCTCACACGCTTCAACAAGTTTCAAGGTACATCTCACAGCCTTTGTGACTTTCTGACTACATTTTCTACGCGCCATCAGCCAGCCTAAGTCTCTTTCCTGAGTCTCGTGCCTGCTGTCGGCGGACTGTCAGGCCGGCGGGAGAAATGATGCATACAAGCCGCCCTGGATCAGAGCGTATAAGGCCATCCACCGCACTGCAGTCTTGACTGACCTCGGCCGTTCAGCTGCTAGCCAGATGTACCACCACGGATAGCCAGAAGCTATTCGAGTTATGATCTGCACATGGTAGGTCGTGAGCGCGAGTACTGCTAGAATCAATTGCGGTATAGCCAGGTAGTATGCATCCGGAGATTTTCTGAAGTATACAGCTCTGACGGCGCCATCTATGCCCGAGCCGATGAGGAGAGCCAGCGTCGGTGCAGCAAGCAGGAACAGCGGTATATTGGATATCGTCCAGTATCTGAACAGGCCGACATTCCTAAGGTGTGCTATCAGTGCTGGCTTGTCGGCGGTTTCCTTTCGTACGTACCAATAGTGCGATTGAACAAAAGTGAAGATCGACGGAACAACGTTCTGACACCACGACCTGACCGAGGCTGGATCACGACCCTCGCAGTACTCAGTCCAAGCAAGATACTGCGGGAGGACGAAACCAAAACCTGCAACAACACCCGCCACAACCAGGGACAGCAGTCTCTGTAGATCGAGGGCACTCCCTCGCCGTCTCAGAAGCCGAACGCACGCCTCGTACGCATCCCACGCGAATATGAACCCGCTTAAAATGCCGTTGCTTCTCATGATAATTGAAAACGCCAATGCTGTCCCTGATCCGATGTTCAGAAGACTTCCTGCTCCAGCTCGACCTCCGGCAAAGGCCGTTCTTCCATCAATGAAGAGTAAGTATGAGAGCATATGGAGTGCTGCAAAAACGCTTTCCGTGTACGGAGCTGAGAGAAAGATGCCGGCGGGAGAAATGATGTATAATGAAGCGGCCACAAATGCGGTCGATTGTTGTTCAGATGGGTCCAGACGCCGCGAGATATGCCAGACGAGCAACATTGATAGCCAGCTGCTCAAATGGGATATAACCAGTCCAGAAATGGCAAGCTGCTGCACATTGGGCATGGTAACATCGTAGAGCACTGCATCGTGTCAGCCAACATGCCCAGATGTTGACGGTCCATGAACGTACGACGCGAGACCCGCGACAGAAGGCCCGAAATGCCTACTCCGAACGCCCACTCCTGCTCGAACACATGTCCATCCTTCGCCATCTGCGTGAAGTAGATGGCATCCCAGCGGACGAGCTTGGCGAAGACACTGCCTCCTCCTGGCCAGTCTAGCAGATCTGTAGATGTATCGTACCCAATGCCAGGGCTGGCGACAGCTAAGATGAAAAGCAGAGACTTCCATAGCACAAAGATCGCCGTCAGCGTCGTGAGAGGCTGATCTCTAGCAGCGTCCTTGACGTTGGAAAATGCCATACCCGCTGCTCCACCCCTGAAGCCACCACAGCTGTGCACGAGGACCGCGGCATGAGTGATGCCAGCGGCGGCCGACCGTACTATCACTTTGAGAGTATGGTCATACAAACAAATTGACGGCAATGAATATTCATGTCAAGCAAGATGCAAGAACAAGGCAACGACCAAGGCGTGGTTCAATTTACGACTTATGTAAGCACTGCTAGCAATGATCTGCAGGGCCATTAGCGATCGCAAACCGATCAATTTTCATCGGAGCTTTTCGTGCTTTTTATCATCCCGCATTGTGTGGTGAGCAAAATGTTCTTTTTTCAGGAGTGAAGTCATACTTGCCCAAGCGATCATTTCTTTGCAACAATTCCGAAACGACACTGCTGTTCCCACTCTTTCGCGGAACAGAATCGTTGGGGCACAAGCACCGCCTATGCGCTGCGTGGTCAGCATCTGCACTCTCCACCGCGCCTGTGCCACAGGCTCTTGCCAGCTATGAGCCGATCCAGACCAATTCGCCCAATGGTGGCACACCTTCCACAGCCGGCAGCTAAAACCATAAGCGTACCTGCTTGGCGAATAAAGGTCCAACACAATCCGCGGAGATCCCTGTCCGCAACTTTTGATAACCACCACCACACACGATCTGTCCTTCCTTCTATACGACCATTTTCGACCTCATCGATAACATCTATAAACCCTTCATCACCTACACAACATCCCAAATCTTCTGGACGACCTTCGTTCCTAGCGACCTATATTCAACGGGCCTCAAACAGCACTCGCACTACGTCATCGCCTTCAAACGACACATCTGATAGCAGCTCCGACTCAACCTTTACAGATCCCGACCATCGAGCCATGGCTTCCGGTGAGTGAAACCACTTTCCCGCTCCTCTATCGTCCATACCTGGCGCACCGCAATCGAACATCATAGCTGCCGTTTGAAAGTCATGCAACACCATCCACAATAATTACCCTGCTGGGATCAACGTTTAGCCCAACCAAGCCCTCACCACCCCAACAAGCACTCTTGGCAACGACTTCACCAGGCCTTCCTCCTCCACCTCGCCCAGAGCAGTACACCTAACATTTCTCACCATACTAACACCCCCTCCAGAAGACGCCTACCACAAAGCCTTCAACAACAACAGCACCTGGCGCCGCTCCCTCGCCGAAACGGACCCAGCCTCTTCGAGCGCCTGGGCAAAGGTCAAGCCCCGCAGATCCTCTGGATCGGCTGCGCCGACTCCCGCTGCCCGGAGACCACCATCTTGGGCCTGCAACCCGGCGAGATCTTCTGCCATCGGAACATCGCCAACATCCTCGTCCCCACGGACATCAACTCCCTCAGCGTCATCCAGTACGCCGTGCAGTACCTCAAGGTCAAACACATCATCATCTGCGGGCACACTTCTTGCGGCGGCATCGCCGCTGCACTGGACAACAAGCGGTTGGGACTGATTGATACGTGGTTGATGCCGCTGCGAACTTTGCGTCGGGAGAACCTCGAACTCTTGGAGAGCTTGGACGAGAAGGAGCGCGGGATCAAGTTAGTCGAGCTGAACGTGCGTTCAGGAGTCAAGGTCCTCCAGGAGAATCCCGTGGTGATCGATGCCGTGGCGGAGCGGAATTTGCAGGTGCATGGACTGATCTATAATGTTGGGACGGGGGAATTGAGGGAGCTGGATATTGAGGAGGGTGAGGAGACGGTGAAGAGTCGGAAGACTGCTTTTAGGGTTGAGTAGGAGCTTTGCAGTTAGGAGTTGTTGGATCATTGGCAGTAGTCGAGATTGGGTCAAGTATGGGAGGACAAGGAGAGAAACGACTAGCACCCTGAAAAAGGTTGACACTGCTGGACATTGTGTTATTGGGGAATGAGTACATCCTGTATACTGAAGCTTTAACACAGTACTGAGAATGATTCATGTCTGAATTCATGTCTTAAAGTATCTCTATGACTTTGAGAGAAACGCCCACCAGCAGAACCATCCGTAACATACCTCTCAGCCATTCGAGGGCCCAATATGCCTCAGCGCTCCTCTTCACTCCAGTCAGCGAGTCTACGCTTGTTGAGAGTCTCGAGCCTTCCAATCTGGGCCATGTAGTCTTGCATAACTCCAACGTCAAGGTCATTGAGGCCATGAGAACCGTTCATATGATGAGTTCCATCGACGTGGGCAGCGCCTCCAGCTTTGCCATTCGCCTGCCTAAGCTGGAAGTTCTACTTCCTAGGCTTGACCAGACTCTCCCCCCGCTCCTCCTTCGCCAGCCCAAACTTCTTCAACCGAATGGCCTGCACGGTAATGAAGCCGCCCGTCTCACTCGGTTGGAAATCGCCAATCTCATCCATGCTCGACTGTTGCGCATCATACAGCTTCTCCGTCTCCGAGCTGCGGCCCACGATGATGCAGTTGCCCTTGTACAGCTTCAGGCGCACTTGACCATTGATCTGCTTCTGGGACTCGATAATGGAGGCCTCCAGGAATTCACGCTCGGGACTGAAATACATGCCGTTGTAGAGGATCTTGGAGTAGTTGACGGTAACGAACTGGTCGCGCAGGCCGCGGACTTCGCGGTCCATGACCAAGCCCTCGAGGTCGATGTGGGCGTTGCGAAGGATGGTAAGGCCGGGTGTTTCGTAGCAGCCGCGGGACTTGAGGCCGATGAAGCGGTTCTCGACGATGTCGATGCGGCCGACTCCGTGCTTGCGGGCGAGGGCGTTGGCGGCGAGGAAGAGTTCGGTTGGGGCTGTGGTAGTGCCCGTTGAGGCTGACTTGAGGCTTACGGGTAGACCTTTGCGGAACTCGATGGTCACGTCCTCGGGCTCGTCCGGGGCAGTGAAGGGTGATTGGGTGAGTTTCCACATCTCTGCGGGCGGCTCGACGTCGGGGTCTTCGAGGATGCCGGCTTCGTAGGAGCAATGAGCAAGGTTCTCGTCCATGGACCAAGGAGCGGACTTTGTGCTGGTCACTGGAATGCCCTGCTTTGCGGCGTAGTCTAGGAGATCGTTGCGGCCCTTAAAGGTTTCGTAGAACTCTGGGATACGCCACGGGGCGATGACCTTGATCGTGGGCTGTAGAGCATAGAAAGCCAGCTCGAAGCGAACCTGGTCATTGCCTTTTCCTGTGCAGCCGTGTGAGATGAATTGGCAGTTCTCTTTCTGGGCAACAGCGATCTGAGCGCGAGCGATGACAGGTCGGGCGAGGGAGGTACCGAGCAGGTAGACGTTCTCGTATGAGGCGTTACATTGGATGGCAGGGAAGCACAGCTCTCGAACGAACTCATCGATGACATCCTCGACGTAGCACTCCTTCGCACCGATCTTGAGCGCTTTCGCTTTGGCCGCTTCGAAGTCCTCTTCCTGGCCGATGTTTGCCATGAAGCAGATGACATCGTAGCCCTTCTCGATCAGCCACGCGAGGATGCATGATGTGTCGAGGCCGCCTGAGTAGCGAGACAGACTCGCTGTTTCTCTGCCATGGTGAGTGTCTGGGCGATATGGTCTGGTCACGATCAGGCAGTGTTCTGTAGATATGGTCCAGGTTTCAATCTAATAAGCAAAAGTTTGTGTAAGCAGTCAGCGGATGAGGACGAGGAGAAAGCGATGAAGTTTTCTACTAGGACGCCAGTCTTGCTTGCAGGGTCAAAAGGCGTTTCTGTGGGAAGAATCTGTTTGCAATCAGCGGTGACAACTTTGCATGCGCACCTGCCGCTGCAGCTTTTTTTTCTCGACCGCTGCTGCCCGCATAAAGGCCTTATCGATATGCCCGCCGCTCCGATTGGTGTACCTGGCATGCTCAGAAAACGCCTATCTCAGATCAGTGAAAGCGCAAACGACATCGCTCTTAGCAGCAAACGACATCGCTCTTAGCAGCAAACGACACCGCGATGGCATCTAGTATAGGGCGTACTGAGGAGCATGCATTTGGCTTCGATGTCGATGTCGAGCCGACTCTTGCTAGCTGCTACGACGCTGTTGCATCATGACGTCGCTATGCTGGGCTGCCAAGCTAGGCAGTCATGACCCACTACGCTTATAAGGACCACCTCGCATTACAACCTAGATGGCCTATGGCGGTGCCATGCAAATACCTGAGTATCTACGTGCGGCTCACATATCCACTAAGAATACATTTCTGTGTCTCAAGAGTTCGATTCCTGGAGTCGTTGTTGATCATGGCAGGCACGATTCATCAAATAAGTGAAGGCTGCAAGCCTTTACCACGCTACACCACATCACCCACCAAATCTGACACCAAATACTGTATACGCTAGAGTCTAGCCCGTGGTGTTGCCTTTGTCGGCACCGCGAAGCTGGAAATATCCTCCTTGGTCGCTCCATCGATCGCTAGCTCCGCCATAACGCGACCAATGACCGGCGCAAACTTGAAGGCATGGCCGGCTCCCAACGCGACAAATACGTCCGGATTATCTGGCAGTGGTCCAAGTACGAACTGCCGCTCGGGCGTGATGGCATACTGGCACGTGACCGTGCGCAGAGTCTGAAGCTTCTGGTCCCTGGATATGAAGTCGCCCATGAAATTTGTCAGTTCATCGAGAAGCTCTGGCGAGTGCACGAAGGTCCGTTTGTCCAGAGGCATTGTATTCTCCGAGAAGTCCCGGGCGGCCTTGATTGTCGGTTCGCCGAAGGTAGGAAACCCGTAGAAACCCTTGCCGTTTATGAAACAGATCCAGACCGGGAACTTCTCTTTGTCGAAAGCCGCGGGTGTCGTCGGTTTGTAGTATGTCACTTGCTCTTGCATAATCGTGAGCGGTATGTGCGCTCCCAGTGGCTCAAGCAATTGGTTCGTCCAGGCGTCTGTCGCTAAAATGACCTTTTTCGCCTTGAACAGTCCAGCAGGTGTCCTGATGATGTATCCTTTGCCCTCCCCTCCAATTGGCGTTACACTGGTCACTGGAGTATTCTCTCTGAGGTCGGCTCCATGGGCACGAGCCGCAAATTGCATTGCCGTTACACTCTTCGAAGCATGCGCCATGCCAGTGTCGGCAGAGTACACGGCCGCCATGTTCTCACCGATCGTGATCTGAGGCCAACGTTCCTGGACTTGCGCAGAGGAAAGCAACTCGTATGACAAGTTGTTGGCCGTCAAGCTCGCAGTGTAATTTTCGATCGTTGGGCCCTCCGTGGCATCCTTTGCGATGACAACGATGCCGCCGGTCACGGTCAGGAGCTTCATGCCGACCGAGCTCTCAAGGTCTGCCCAATCCCTATATGCGCTCTTCGCCAGCGCTACGTACTCAGGAGCATCATAAGACGTTCTCACGATTCTCGATGTGTCATGAGAAGCGCCCTTGACATGGCCAAACTCGAACTGTTCGAATCCTATCACCTTGGCCCCCTTTCGCACCGCTTGCCAGACTGCTGCGCTGCCCAGGGCTCCGAGTCCAACTACAGCTACGTCGTAAATCCCCATCGCTGTGTGTGTTCGGCACGCAGGGCTGTCTGATGGTTCCGTTGTCGCTAGCGATGGCGAGAAAGAGCGTGTCCTCCAGCGAGACTATGCTTCGTATCACTCTGGCTCGCTCTGTGCCAAGTACCCACCGGGGGTGCTCTGCAGATCGGCCGTGCTGCTGACATGGTCCGGATCGCGATACCAAATCCGTTGTAAGCCATAGATAACGTGAAGCATTTGGGCCCGGACAGCCCGGGGAAGCCGTACGATGGCCGCTCACGTGATGCTCCCCGGTCGGCAATCTGGACAAGGTTGCCCGACTTATCGGATGCGCAATGTAACTTTGGTATCTTCTCGAGATTGACTCCACTGAGCTCTGGCGCGCTCGAGAGACAACATCACTCCACGCCAATCAACCAAGCACAGAGGCTACGATACCTAGTACTTTAAGGCAGCGATGATGATAAGTCTGTGGTTATTATGGAAGCGTCTGCTCGAAGATCAAGTCTGTACAGAGATCTCGACTACGTGGACTGATCATATAAGTACGTTCCGGGCCAGCTACTTCATCAACTCGGAGCCTGTGTTGTTGCCACGTACCTACAGCGCATAGCGATAGATTCTGTTCGTCCACCACAACTGCTCATTGACTCACAGGTTGCGGATGTGATCGATAGAATCGAGCAAGTGCCTAGAGCCCACCTAGATATTGCCCTACATGGCTCGTCTCCCGTAAGGCTCGTACGGGAACAAAACCGCCGCTATAGCCTGGAACAAGTCGGTCAGTAAATGCTTGGAGTCACACGAGTCAACGTACCATGGCGATGTAAAGTGCCGCGCATACGAAGATGGGAACCGAGGAGGCAGTATTGCCGTAAGCAGCGACGAACGAGGAGATTAGACCCATGACTCGGTTACAAGCTACGGCTATACCATTGCCAGTGGCGCGATGGGCTGAAGGCAGGACCTATCTTTCGGTCAGCGAGCTGAGAGACGTCTTGGCTGCAGATGCGAACCTCTGGGGTATAGGCATATACTGTGTCACAAGTAGCATTAGTGGTAGCTCAATGGCAAAGCGAACAACGTCAGTGCACTTACAGGTGCCGTAGTAGATGTTGAGTGTGAAGGCAATAATGCAGCTGAAGGCGACATTCTGTTCCGGAGTTCGTACAGCTGTGTATGCGAAGAAGAAAGCCATTGTGATCAGAGCTCCGATTACCATTGTGTACTTCCGACCCAGGACTTTCAAGTTGCACATGTAACCAGCTGATGTACCTGTCAGCATAAGACTGTATCGGGAAGACCCAGAGTCGGGAGATGGGTGTCTCGCCCGGTACAGGTTCATAGATGTACGTACCAACAATAGGACCAAAGATACCCGTTACACTGCTGAGCATGTAGTTTCTCCAGGTGTAGTAGGCACCTGATTGTCCAGTGCTGGCGCCACGGGAAGCAAGATAGTCTGGAAGGAAGACGTAGAACAACGGATATGCCAGGCCTGCTGAAGTCAGATATGGGAATGTGATCCAAAGGCCATCAGGCATACCAATAAGCGTCCACGACAGCCAAAGTAGACCCGTCGAGATGGCCAGTTTTCTGGTCATGAAGAGGCCACGAACATGAGCTGCGAGCTCTCCGAAGCTGTATCGGCTTTGGCCGTAAGTCGAGCTGATGGCGCCCAGAGATTCCAACGACTCCAAAGTCAACGAGCACGGCCGGTTGTACTTTCGTGCAATGTCTTGTAAGCCCTTGACCACCTTCGCGTCATCTCCCTTGACGAGCAAATACTTGGGAGTTTCGTGCAATCGGATCACCGTAAGTCGTAAGATACTGCAGAGGAAAACGAGAGCTCCGTTGCCGTACCAAACATATCGCCAGCCCTGTTCCATGGTCAGCTGTCACTATACTCTGGTGGCGTATAGAAGACCTCACCATGTTGTTTGCTTTGGTGCAGGTCGCAGCTTCGGAGCAGGTCAGGCTTGAGCTTGAATAGATCGGCCAACAAAAGGTCGCAACGATCACGTATGCCAAACCCCACCAAGTTGCCATAAGGGTTAGCAGCCATTGTTTACTGCTCGGTAGATACTCGAGGAAAATGGCTGTATCAAGCACCAGATTGCCACCGGCACCGAATCTATCGCAGTAATCAGCCATCAGTGTGTTGAAGCGCGAGAGTGTACGTACGCGGCCAAAGCGACGAAAGTAGCCAAGGATACCCAGCTCGGGGCGGCCCCTGCAACGATGGCAAAGATGGACGACGAGAGGAGTGAGCAATTGAAGGCGAATCTGCGACCGATGATGTCCGCCCCTGATACTGATGAGTAGATGGAATAATTGTGGGACGCGCAAAAGAGGTACCCATGCCCCAGAACAGCACTCCAGTCAACATGCCCGTATAGACAGCAACGTTGAGACCGTACGCGAAGGACGGCTGAAACTCAAGCGCAGCTTGACCTGCGGTCACTGCTTGAAGGGCCAGAATGAGTGAATCGGCCGCATACCCGAAGCCGTTCAAGAAAAAGAGCTTCAGATGCATATTTGTCCAGCCGATCTCATCTAAAGTCTAAGTGAACATTGTCAGCACGCGTCCAGAGCCAGCGCTAGGGATTGCCTGACGTTGTTCACAAGCTGCATCTTCGCATCCAGGATCGGGTCAACCATGGCATACATCTGGTCTTGCGTCGACCCGACCTCGACTTCTGTGCCGACGCCATTTTTGGGAGTCGTAGCATATTGTTCACGATCACCCGCTAAGCCGTCCTTGACGCCGGTGTTGTTACCAGTGGTTTTCTCCATTGCTTGATGTGCTGGGCTAGAGATGGGCAAATGAAAAGAGTCGACACGCACGTCCGAAGATGCTTGGAGCTGAAAAGGCAGGCAGGCTGGGGTCCACGCCTTTTTCTCAAGCACGTGTTTAAGTTAAGGGCTTCTTTAGGTATGATTCCGCTCTGAGCGTCGTATACCTAGGCACATTTTGAGCTTGCTGACGGCCAATCGAGGCGAACGCGCCCCAAGTACGTGCAGTAATGCTACTTAATTCGATCAGCATGATTGGTCTCTCTTGACCCGACATCCGAATCCTGATTCATTTCGGTGATGCGGCGCCGACGCACCACGGTGAAGGGACAAGGTAGCAGATTAGATGACTATGTGGTGGGATGAGGAGTGAAGCCTAAGAAGCCGGCAGGCGCCGAGGCCAAGGCTCCACAACGGGCATCCAGACCAATCCCCCCATCTTTTTCGACTGTGGGGCGGGGAGACACGGGGCGCGACTGATCGCGCCGCATCTCGTGTATCAACATCTTTGGTGGTGACTGCATCGCCTGCGATGTTTTGCTCCTTATGGCTATACAACCCTGAGTAGCGATAACGATTCCTTTGTCATGTGAAGATCCTGTCGTCAGAAAAGCGGCGGCTGCGCAGGAACAAGGTGAGATCATGCCGTGTTCGTCTCCGTGAACGGGAAGAGCGAGACCGTGAGAGTATCTTCCGCGAGTAGAAGCCCTCAGCGTTATCTTTTATATTCCAAGCCATGAACGGTTCATCCTGTGCTGAAGCACCGTCGGGCATTTGGTCGACCGTAGCAGCTACTCGTGTCAGCTGTCCTCCTCATCAAAATGATTGACATGGCACAGAGGGCAAATGCCTACGGGCCCCCAGAGCAACAACAGTCCCGAGCACTGCCAGCTTCCTGGTACTGGAGAGACGAGCTGTACCAGTTGGAAAGGCGAGCCATATTCTCCAAGCGATGGTTGCTCGTAACTCATAAGTTGCGATTCACGAAGCCCGGAGACTACCTTCGCTTCGAACAGGCCGGATATTCCTTTGTGCTTTGCCTGGCTAAGGATGGCAAGACTATCAACGGCTTCCACAACGTCTGCCGACATCGAGCATTTCCAGTGGTCACCGAAGATGCTGGGAACGCGAGGATATTCTCGTGCAAGTATCATGGCTGGTCATACAGTATCAACGGTCAGCTTGCTAAAGCACCTCGGTTCGACACCGTATCCTCGTTTGACAAGACCGACCACGGTCTGTTTCCTGTTCACGTGCACATTGACGCCTTAGGCTTTGTCTGGGTCAACATGGACGCATCGTCGACTCCAATACCGTGGGCGGATGATTTCGAGGGGGTTGACACCCAAGAGCGGTTCAAAGCCTTTGATACCTCCAATTACCACTTCGACCATGTCTGGACCGCGCCAGGCAACTTCAATTGGAAAACACTTGCCGACAACTACAACGAATGTTATCATTGTCAAATAGCCCATCCTGATGTCAGCAAGTTGGCCGACTTGTCCTTTTACTACACAATTTCCAAACCTGGGTACATTCAGCATTTCTCGCGACCGAAGCAGGGAAAGGAAACCGACGACATCAAGAACGTCAGCACATATTACTTCCCGAATGCCTGCATGACCATTACGTAGGTTTGAGATCGACCTTGTGGCATGTGTAGCTGACAATCCATCTAGGCCCGAATTTTTCTACATGATGCGGTGTGTACCTTCGTCGGCCAGCACGGTCACGATGGAATACGAGGTCTACCGCCACAACGATGCGACCGACGAGGGATTCGAATACATTGATGCCTGGTTCAAACGTGTGCTTAGTGAGGACAAATACTTGTGTGATAACGTGCAGAAGAACTTGAACGCGGGCGTATTTGTTAATGGAGAATTACATCCCGAACTTGAAAGCGCGCCATTGTACTTTCAAAAAACTGTCAGGCAGTTATTGATGGACCATCGCAGAAAGGAGAAGGAAGCAGGGCGAGAGTTGTGGCCAAGCTCTCGGTCGTTGCATAGGTCCGGGCGTACCAACCAAGAGGAGGAATTCTGTAGCGATCTGGCCTGCACCATCTCGCAGGACCGCGAAGTAGAGTGGTGATGCTTGGCATAGAGCGGTATCTTCCATTGATAGTCTGATGAGCATCATAGGGCAGACAATTGATAGACATCCAGGCCAAGGCACCAGTCCAAATATAGTTAGCCTAGTCTGCTTGAGGAGTGATATCTCTCTTGCAGCCTTGGAGACTCGGAGGATTGATACCTCCACATGCTTCGGCATCTATTCTAGCTCCAAACATGACCTCTTCCGCCTATATCTGATGGTTTTACTTCCAGCACCACGGTTCGTGTACATCGTCATGGGATGCGATGCAGAGCCGTTCCCACAAGCGCCTTCATCAAGCGTGCGATAACTGTCGGTAGGCTGCTCCAATGGCGAGAACGGTTGTGAGATGCTTATGACTGCAAATAGCAGGAAAAAGACGCGATGCCCAGGTGAGCGGCCGGCGTGTTCAACCTGCACGCGTCTCTCGCAAACATGCAATTACCCGGAGGAGAGTAGGGCAGCCTCGGCATTCAATCACGAAAATGCCAGCTCAGCGCATACGGTACGTGGTATCCGCATCCGGATATTGCGTTGACTGTGGGACTCATGTTGCGAATCAAGGAGACCCGGCTGGCAGAACTTGAAGCCAGATTGCGGAGGGTAGAGAAGCAGAAGTACAAGACTCGAAGTCTGCTGATCTCCCCACTGACAACACCTCAGTCTCCTTCCTAGCAGCGATGTCATGAACGACGTGGCCGTCTGTTACTTCCGCTTTTGCCACATGCAGCCTCTGTGGCTGTTCGATCCGGCCGAAATGACGTCCATTCCAGACTATCGCGAAGAAATATTGTTTTCTCTCCTGGCACTAGCTTCGTGTCACTCAAAGCATCCGTTCTTACGCGGTCGAGCCGACGAATTGAGCGAGAGTTACGCCCAAGCCGCCCGAGAACACCTGATGCAGCGCATCGCGAAGACCGGAGCCTCGCTCTCGACGATACAGGGCCTCTGCATGCTGGCGCTCGCTAACTTACAAGGTATGCTAGATCACTGTCAGCCCGCGGCGACCATACTGACTAGGCCGGCCAGCCAACAATTTAGTCCTCATGCAACTGCACATTGGTTTAGCGGTCACCCTCACAAAGTGCGCCAGATTCGATTTCGAGACACGCACTTCCGAGGACGTAAGTTTACATGCAGAGTCGATGCGGAGGGTGTTTTGGAGTCTTCACTTGCTGCAACAGATGTATGGACAGCAAAGCTCGGCTACGGATATTTTGGAGGATATCTCACGTCCCCGATATGTCGCGGCTCACGTAGACTTCCGGAAGAAGTTGAGTGAGCTCCCGCCATTTTTGCCACGAGAGGACACGATACTCCGCCGCAGCACTTCTGTGCCTCAAAAGAACAGCGGAGTCTGGGCGTACATGATCCAACTTGGATCGCTCTGGGCCGAAGTGCGGACCTATGTGAAGCAATGGGCTGAGCAGATTGATTCTGCGCCTGCTCCGTGGTCGATCGACTCCGGTTACGCTGCGATTGGTAGCCATTTAATGGATCTGGAAACCAAGCTACCTGCTCGACATCGCTTCGACCTTGCACGTTTTCCCGACCAGAACGAACAACAACTGCAAGAGAATCGTGAATACTGGAGCCCTTGGATATATCTCCAGTTCACGTACCATACGATCCACAACATCTTGAACCACCCATTCTTGTACTCAGCCAGACCTCGTCAATCGGCGCAACTCGCTGTTCCGAATACTTTCTGGAAGACTTCTTCAGAACTTGCCTTCATCCACAGTACCTGGGTCGCTCGGCTGATCGATATGGTGACAAGTAAATCGTACCGCGTCTCAGATCCATTCATCGGTCACTGTACAGCAATTGCAGCCACTGTGCACATTTACTTCTGTCGGGCTGCGGACAAGACTACCAGAGAATCAGCGATAAGCAGACTTTCACGATGTGCCGCATATCTCGCGGAACTAGCCTTACTCTGGCCCTCGTGCAAATTTCTAGTAGGTTTTCAGTCTGCGTATAGATGAGTGCTAACTTTCGATCAGCACGCCAAGCTACAAGCCTTGGTTCAGTCAGCTTTTGCGTCCGACACGACGGATCCAGAGAATGTGCCTCGAAGAACTATCTCCATCAACACGCAGCTGATGTGGGATATCATCCTTTACGCTTCTGGCACGAATAAATTCACGTCGGTTGTTGGAGGCCTCCGAGACGGAACAGAGTTTCGGAGTGACTCTGATTACGAAGAAGACAACACCATCGAAATGGAAATCTCGCACGAACCTACAATTGAAGTCATTTTATCGAACGGGCAGGCAGTGCCACCCCAGTCAGGCCAACGACGGAGCCGAGACAACACCAGCCATTTGCAGTACAGTGATGATGCGAGCGAGCAAGCAGAAACCTCGGGTGTGCCTGCAGATAGCAGCATTGAGCGCTCTGATCCCAACGGCCTTGCGTCTTGGCCAGTGCCAGCGAATGCCTCGACTCTGGACATGACTTACGACCCGTTCTTCCAGTTTCAGATTCCTGGAGACCCGTTCCTGAGCACATGGGAGGTCGGAAACCTATAGTTTCGCCTTCTGCGAAGCTACCGCTCGGAGACCTTGCACAAGATCGGCCAAGAGATCCTCTGGACTTTCCACGCCGATGCTAACCCTCAGGAAATCCTTGCTCACAGTTGAGTCCGTCATTGTGCGCCACTCAATCAGACTTTCGACACCGCCGAGACTGGTTGCGTGGTGGAAGAGGAGCAATTTCGACGGGAGGCTCTTTGCGGCATCGACCTCGCGCAATGTGAGCGCAAATACCGGGCCATACCCTCGTGGCATTTGCTTCCGTAGCCAGTCTTGCGCGTCTTCCTGTAAACTGGCATGGTGTACCTCTTTGACCACCCTCCGAACGATCGCACGTTGCTCGTCGCCTAGGACATTCGTCTGAGGCGATGTCGACAGAGCGGAATGCAGTGCACGCACGATATACTCGGCTGACTGGCTCTGACGAAGGACTCTCATTTCGAGCGTCCGCATACTCCTCGTCCCAAGCCAACTATCGAAGCCCGCCATAGTCGATCCGAGGAACAATCGATCCTGGTGAAGTTTCTGAAACCAGTCTTCTCTCTTGACCGCGAGAATCCCGCAAAGGAAATCGGAGTGGCCCCCAATGTACTTGGTTCCGGAATGCATTACGATATCCGCGCCATGGAGGAAAGGGTCCTGTAGTGGAGGTGGCGCAAACTTTGAGTCTACGCTGAGGAAAGCGCCCCGGGAGTGAGCCCGATCGGCGTAGTACTGGATGCTTAAAGCTTCACCCGTTGGATTGACGGGAGTTTCGAGATGAATGAGATCGCCCGAGTCCAGCTCATCGATTGCGCAGTCCAGCGGGATTATCTCAGCGCCAGAAGCTCGAGAATAGAGCTCGAGAGTTCCGTGACATCCATGGTAGCCTGCACCGATAGAGACTTTTCTTGGGTTGAGAAAGTTGAGTAGGGCATGGAAGGAGGCCAGACCAGAAGAATACGTGATGCTTGGATGGCCTATGATGGATGTCAATAGTGCCTCGAGACGTGTCACTCCCGGCGTCGATTGTCGGGAGTAGCAATGCTCTCCTACGTCGAGGATTGGATAGGATGGTCGTTCATGATGGGGGCGCAAGCGCGCTGGATCCCGAGGATAGCGGAAGGTTGTGCTCACATGCACTGGAGGCGCGACGTCGTCAGTTGTGTTGAGAACGTCATCGGCGTGCACCGCTCGGGTCGAGGGTGCCAGGCGTAGCAGTGCGGTCGCGAGATTCTGTCGGAACTTATAGATCGCTTCGTCGTCCATGTTGATGGGCTATGTGGTTTGGTGAGGAGAGGTGTACCTCTCACGAGGAGAGCCCATAGTGCAGCATGTCAAATATTGAACATAGGATGTAGTCGGCTGCTTACCATAAAGCCCCCACGAGCGGTCACGGCCAGGTACAGTGAGGCTGCTTTGCCTCATAACTTCCAGGCGCTGTGGTCTCGGCAGAAGATCGAGGTCTCCCCGGTCACGTGAGTGTGTCTCACTGGGGGGGTCCTTGACGGGCCGACGGCTAAGCGAAGTGTGGGCAGAACTCAACTCAACTCAACCATCGCAGATGGACCTCACGGAAACCTCGCTATCGTCGCTTTAGAGCCACTTAATCCAGGTAGAGGCCTTTTGGTGACTGTAAGGCTGTCTACCAAGACGCGCGAAGTGATGAATGAAGAGCGCCGAGATGAACAGGCCGCCATCATTAGGTAAGTCCCGCCCTCCCGATTGGTGTGCCTGGCCTAGGATCGTATATCCATATTCTCGGATCAGCAAGAACTTGAACGCTTGCTACCAACAACGAACGCCTTCAGGAAGCCATCGAGCATAGAATCACTGAGCAGCATGTAATGAGGTTGGCTCTCGACGTCGAGCCGGTTGTCTCCATTTGATGCAATATGTATACACATATGATGACGTTGTTGCCTGGGACGGTTCTCCAAGCACTGGCAGATCTAGAAGCATTCCGCCGCCTCTTTAGACGCCCCACTTGACGTTGTTTCAGGCACGCGTGGAGGAATGCTCGAGCCTCCCACCCTGAAGTCGTCAGCCACCTCTGGCCTGTTGGAGTTCAACGACGACGGGACAAGAGGCCGGCGGAGATGCTGCTCTTCCATGAGGTCGAGTGTCTGTCGGTGGCGATGACGCACCCTCAGCCGTGGGTCTTCCGCGGTAAAAATCTTGCAGCGTGCAAACCATTCGTGGTTTCTGGGCGAGCGATTTCGCCGCTCAAAAAATCTGCGCTGTCCAACCAGACTGCTGGGGACGACATCTGCAGATACTCCAAATTGCCCTGAGAAGCTAGGGCAGCCGTCAAGCTTCTGCAAGGAGTTTGCTTGTACCAAGGTCGTGCACCAGTGCACTGCTAAAATCCACACTACAGCCAAGTTCTGGTACGCAGCATTGCGTTCTCGTAGCAGGTAAGCAGGGGGTGGCGGGCGCTATGCTTATGAATAGCGAAAGGCCCAGCACGAATACCTTTACTATTTGCTGTGGCCATAAGCACATCGTAGCCGCAATCACCTTCGCCATCAAACGCGCCAACCGAACGCGACCGCAGCCGACACGATGCGCTACGTCTTCCTGACGGCGTTCGCCGGTCTGGCTGTTTCGCAGCAGACCTTGAACGCATATCCCAGATCGGCGACGGTCAGATTCAGGCACCCACAGGCCCTCAGCCAGCACCGCCCGCCTCCACAGCACCGCCAGCCTCCACAGCACCGCCAGCATCATCCGCACCACCAGCATCAGCCGCACCACCTCCAGAATCACCCGTTACAAGCACTACAACCACGGCCCCATCAGCTCCTGTCCCACAAACAACGATCCCAACTTCGGCGGAGCCTGTACCAACCACAGCACCTCAGCCACCGCCGGAATCTCCAGAGATACCGACTCAGAGACCTGCAACTACCGCCTATTCCAACTCAACAACTATTCCTGCAGCTTCCTCGTCGATTCCCGTCGATCAGACCACGGTGCTGGTCACGAATACCCAAGCCAGACCGAGTCAGACGATCGCACCGCTTAATGGTGCTGCGGTCAACCATATCAGTGGTGCCGCTCTCGGACTGCTCATTGTGTCGATACCTTTCTTCATGCTGTGAAAAGAGCTCGCGCAGCGAGATCGTTGCTTGATGCACATTGAATCGGGATGGAAGGGGCCACTGTTTTCGGACATGTCGAGAATCAGATCTGATGAATTGACGAATGTTTCTTGGGGGACCAGGGCAGCACTGAAGCGCCCTGACTATTTTCGGAGTCGATGGATAACTCCGTGTCAGTAGACATGATAGAGCAATGAAACGCATATAGATCGCAATCCGTTGGTTTGTCTTGCTCGGTGCTGTAGGCTTGTGAGAGATTGGTCAGGTGTTTCCATTTCTTCATCTAACGACATCTAGAACCTCTTCGCATCATCAACGGATGATCAGCTCTTCTGTCCACCGCCTTGCCCCTGCTGCACCCACTGCGTAAACTCCGCTCGCTTTGCCTGTCAGACGACTCCCGTTAGCATCCTCATCCATACTGATCCTGGACAACCCTCGGGCTGCACGGCGCATACGTACCCGTATATCCATAAATCCTACCCGCTCCTCCAGTCCCGCAAATGGGTTGAAACCCGCTTCCTTGTCCCCTTTCTCAATCTTGCCTGCCCGTGTGCTCCAACTGATCGGCTTCAAGGATGGAGATCCCAGCACCAAACCCAGACACGCAAGGCCCACTGCTATGATGGTCTCGACCTGTATATCTACGGGTAGCGTCGTCGAGGACTTTGTGGGTGATGAGGCGCGGCGGCTGGAAAGGGCGGAGAACTCGTGGCTGAGTAGGCGCTGTTGAGCAGAGGGTATTAGTATGCGCTCGGGACATCTGTGATGGATGCGGAAGAGGGGCGAATAGCATGAGACTCTTACGCGTGGAACAGGGAGAGGATGCCAACGAGGACCATGAAACGGGACAGGAGCGACATCGCGTCTGAGAGGGTTGACGGAGGTGCTGAAGGATGGGTGTAGAAAAAGACGATGATGAGATTGCTTGCAGTCGCCCGGGTTCAAATTGTCTCCAACATGGAAATGTCGCGGCTTGGCGCGCCGCGGAGCGGAACCTTGGAACTTTTGCAAGGCTGTTTCCAAGTTCTCCTCCTGGTACACTCTTACAATACCTTTTCTTCAAGACGTATGACCACATTTCCCACTGAGAGCAGCGCCATGCTGTGCCATCATCATAATGATGCTCACTACCCGACACGTTATACGCTGCCAATCCCAAGGATGCCGCGTCGCGAGATGATGAGCCGCCCCAGCTCTGCATTCAGTGCCCTTGCTCGCGTTTGCTACGATGCACATCCGCGTCTTTGTTGCTAGGCAAAGACCGCCTGCTCTGTTTGCATGTCTTTGACCACGTCAATGGAGGACGCGTCCTCGCAAGGCTATATAGGTTTGCAAGGCTATATAGGTTTGCAAGGCTATATAGGTTTGCAGTTGCACCTGGATACCGACAGCTGAAGCACTTGCTCCAATTTTCTCTGCCGACTTTTGTGTCACTCGTTCACAAGTAATTTGGCGCATCCTTACTCAAGACTTGTCTTGACTATCCTTCGCGATTGAGGATCGGTAGGAATCACACCCCGAAAGTCTCTGAGAACGTTCGATCATGTTGTGCAAATCCACGCTCATGGCAGCACTGCTGGCTGTCCCAGCCGCCGCCAGAGGACTGTTGGGCTTCGCTGTTGGAATGAATAAGCCTGCCGGTGAATGCAAGACCACCACAGATTACAGGCTGGAATTCCAGCAGATCACGGCCCAAACAGATGCCACTCTCGTACGGACATACTCAAATGCCGATTCGAATGGGCAGGATTGCGACGTGGTGAGGCAGATTCTCCCTGCTGCGAAAGAGAATGGTCTGCGAGTACTTCTCGGTACTTGGTGCGTTGCCCGATCCGCGGGTTATTCGCACCGATGGAGCTGACCATACGTAGGCCTGATGGAGGTGGACAAAGCTGGGAGAATGAGAAGGCAGCGCTCGTGCGCGCCAATCTGACACAGTACGGCGAAACTGTCTACGGCATCACCGTCGGCTCTGAAGGCATCTATCGCAATGGCCGTGACGCTAAGAAGGGATACACCGAGGCTCAACTCATCCAATGGATCGGTGAAATGCAGAAGCTGTTTCCGACAACATTGATTGGAACAGCAGACACGTGGAGCGGCTGGTCTACCGGCAGGATGGACAACGTAATCAAGAGTGGCATAAAGCTCGTCCTCGCCAACAGCTTCCCCTACTGGCAAGAACAAAACATCGGCAATGCACCAAGACATACTTCTACACCTTGAGCCAGGCGCTGGGCCACATCCAAAATCTCACCAATGGAGGCGAAGACATTACTTTCTGGAACGGCGGTAAGACTGACCCAAGCCGCAGCATTAGTACCATACTAACTTTGACCGTCGTAGAGACTGGCTGGCCAGGCAATGGCGGAACCAACAACGGCCCATCCGTGGCCAGTAACTCAAATATGCATACATACTGGAACGAGGTTGTCTGCGGCGGCCTCGCGTGGGACATCGACATGTTCCTTTTTGAGGCTTTCGACGAACCTCAGAAAGGTGAGGCCACTGGTGATAATGGGCAGACGATGAACGAACAATATTGGGGTTCGTTCGACCAGCTTAGACAGCCCAAGTTTAACATGAAGTGTCCTTTTGCGAACAGAACTCAGTCATAGTGCCATGAGCATGGTTTGAGACATAACTTTGCATAGCGAAAAGGCGTTGTCGAGCTGTGTCAAGCAACGAGATAACAATTTTGGGTGTTGCATATTTTGGAGTAGATAATTGGCATCAATATCCCTCGGTCAAATGCCGAACACCTCTTCCAATGCACGTCTCTTGACACTTTCGAGCGTTTCCTATATCCACACACTACGTAGCAAGATGCATACGACGTCTCCACGCCCCATATTAATGACCCTCACTCGAGCTTGAGCAGAAGATGATTACTCGCAAACCACTATTCTTCGCCATCCGCCCCGCTGCTCGTCCATCAGCAACACGAGCATTCACCACTCGCATCCAACAACGACAACAATCACATCCGCTTTGTCTCCCAACACGCCCTTTTTATCAGTCACGAGCAACTCGTCCTCAGCAAGCCAGAATGTCCTCCTCAACACCAACCCCCATCCAACCCTCCACCGAACTCAACCCCCAACACCTCGAAACCCTCGCCCAGTTCTCCCCATGCGACATCTCCGACGCCTCCTGGCCATCGACCCCTCCCTCCCACAATCCGGATTCCTCGCCGACATTACCCCTCTCACCACCTCATCCACCACCACCACCCGCATCGTCGCACCAGCCTCAACCCTAAAACTAATCCCCAAGTCCCCCACCCCATCTGTCCCAGTCCCGGAGCCCCTCCCGTCAGACCACCCCAATGCAGTCCCCAAGGATAGCCATTGGTAGATATGACACCCTCTAATTCTATCGTTCTGATACAAAGCGCAACCAACAGCTACGCCGCCTCCATCGGCGGCATCATGGCCCTTCGCATGTCCCGCAACAACGTCCGCGCCTGCCTCATTTCCGGCCGCGCGCGCGACCTTTCCGAGCTCAACGCCGTCAGCCTGCCCATCTGGACCGGCAAGGGACTAAGCAGTGTAGCGACCGGCGCGGAAGCGAAGGTTTGGGGGCGGGAATGCGAGATTGAGATTGGCGGCATCAAAGTGAGGCCTGGCGATGTGGTGTGTTTGGACCATGGGGAAGGTGTAGCGGTCGTGGTGCCCAGGGCGTTAGTTGAAAAGGTGGTGGAAGTGGTGGGCGGGCTGGTGGAGAGGGACGAGAAGGTTGTAGAGGCTGTGAAGGCGGGGATGAGTGTGAAGGAAGCGTTTGGGAGGTTTAGGGGGAAGGATACTAGGGCCTGAGGTTGGAGTGAGTCGGGTTCATTGGTCCAGGCTACGCTATGCACGGAGAGCATTAAGGGTCGCCTGCAAGATATACAAGCAAGCATTACGATTTGCCAGTTTCATGTATACTGAAGCTCGGGACAGCGACTTCCTCGCCCATTGGGAAGGCCAGCCGGCGGATTATCTGGCATATGTCTAGCTACGCTACTCTGGCATGTATGAGGAACAATACAGTCTGTCTCAGAGGTATCGAGTAGGATGTTATGTCGGCCGTTAGCTCAACAGATTCGTGCAATGCCCGCGAGACTTATCCGTCGCCGGATGACAGGAATGACCATATGTCCAAACAATATGTCCGCTCCTACTCTCGCCACCTAGAGCCATTGCCTCATTGTACAACAACTTCGCTATCAGGCTCCGGTGACTCGAAGTCAGCCTGGGAAGAGGTTATCTGAGGGAGCAGCTGCAGGGCGGCTTCGCCAATGCGGATGAGATATAAATGCTCGAAGGGAAGACACATCGCGAAACATAAAGAGGATGGCAGCTCAGTCATACCTCAGGGTTTCTGGAGTTGAACAGGGTGTTTACACCACACTGTTGCTCCCGCTTGTAATGCTTTTCAAGACCGTGCGCCCAGACATCATGCACATCGTAACGCATACCTTGTCATAGACCAAGTCGTGCTTGGTCATATGGCAGAAAAATAGCATTCGAGCCATTTGAGACAACTTGGAGCAATCTCTTAGTCCTCCCTTACAGCACCAGCCGTGATCTGCATCGTCATGAACTTCCTGATGTCCCTCAAGAAGAATGCCAGGATGCAGGTTGTCCCTCCGAATGCAATACTGATCCAGTACGGATACTGGTACGCTAGCGCAAACGCCTCTTGCGATGACCTAACAATAAGATCGAACGCCACGTCCTTGCGCATCACCAGCGGACTGGCGTCAATGAACTCCTGTAGTTCCTTGAATTGAAACGCCCCAACGTACGTGACAAGAACCGTGACCGCGTCCAAATTGTCAGGCGAGACAATGCCTTGCTTGATGATCCCATCGACGGCGACCATGGGCGTGGCATATGCGATATACTTGCTCTCGACGGCGTTGTAGTAGGCAGTGAAGGCGACTGCGCCACCGATGTAGCGGACGGCGAGAGTTATGGCTGTGATGGTCGCGATGAGGTCGGGTGGGCAGATGATCTGGGCGATGATGCTGGCAGGGATGATGACAGCGCCGCAGCCGAGTGAGGCGAATAGGACGATGGCGTAAAGAGTGTTGATGTTGTCTGGGTTTCCTACGCTCATGGCGCCGCAGAAGGCAGTCATGATTACAGTGGCGACGATCATGAGCTCCTTGATGCGACCTTTGATGTAGGGGAGGAGTGCGAGAGCTGTGACTTGGTTAGTGAGTGATGGCAGATGGGACAGTGAGAGACTCACCAATGAAAGAGCCGCCGATGATACCGAAGCCCATGGGCAGTGTTCGGAGACCAATCTTGACTGGTCCAGGACCTGTGAAAGGAATGGAGTGTTAGCCATGTTCTTGTTTTCAACACGTTGATGCTGCCTACCGTAGACATTGTAGATCTGAGATGGCCACATCATGAGCAACACAAAGAAGTTGCCGCCAGACACGAACGTGATGATGAGGATGATGATCATGGTGCGCTTCTCGAGGCTGAAGATCCGCGCGGGCACCATTGGGTGTGGCGCAAACTTCACTTCCCATACGAAGAATGAAATGATGAGGATGATGCCGAGGATGAATGGTGCAAGCACATGAGCGCTCGTCCACTTGTACTGTTGATGATTAGCAAGTCCGTCTACAAGAGAAATAGATCGCCCATACCTGCACAGCTCCCCATTGCATGCCCATCATGAAAAGCAGACACCCTCCGATCGAAAGCAGACCACCAATGTAGTCAACCTTCCTTAAAATTTCCATCTTGGTGGGCCTGTGCCTGACAGGTGGATCCTTGTAGAAGATGGCAACGAAGATTAGGCCTAGAAAGTTCCAGACCCCGACGAGGATTCCGTTGTACCTCCAGTTGGAGTGGGCGGCGATGAGTTGAGCCATAGAGCAGAGGGGCAGAATGGAATGATGGCGAAGACAATAGCTCCGACATATTTGCCTCGCTTAGCTACCGGCACAAGTTCACCAGTGCCGGCAAGGGCGATGAGCTCGTTCAGTCCTGCTCCGAGGCCGCTGAAGACTTGACCGCCTGCTTCGTGTTAGGTCTGAGGCATCAGAGGTCGAGTAGCACATACAAATGGCGATGTTCATCGTGTGCGCCGTTGCAGTGATGACAGGGCCGACGATGAGTGTGACCTGACCAACCATAGCAACGTTGCGCCGACCGTACATATCTGATAGTGCGCCAACGAAGGGGCTAGCATTTGTGAGGTCTGTACCTGGCAGCAGGGTGACTGTGGCTTACCAGAGAGCCGCATTCGGAATAAGGTAGCCGATGACGAACCAGACGTATCGGTCCACGCCACCAATATCCGAGTAGATCAGTGGCAAAACGCTACCGAAGAGATATAGCGGGATCTGACTGCCAACCCACAAGAAAGCCATTGCGGTCAAAGATAAAAACAGGCGCCAGTTCATCTGTTGCAATCGTCAGCAAGGCGTCGGCCGCCATGGCCCGAGGGCACAAACCTCTTGATGAATGTAGCCATCGTCCTCTCCGCCTTTCTCAGCGACTTGCTCATCCTGTCTCGAGCTGTTGCTGGGTGAGATGGTCTCCAACTCCTGCGCTTGAGCACCATGCTGGTCTTTGGTCTCTGGGATGTCTTGCCCCATTTTGATTGTTCCAATGATTCCAACGATGTCTTGACCACACGCATGTCGGCAGGGTAGTTACCCTCACTATATACCAATATACCATGCCGCGGAAGCATATCTTGGGAGGCAACCTTCCCCGCAAATCTGGGGTTTCTTACCGAGTAGTCTTGCGGGGATCCTACTAAATTGGTGAATAAATTCATGGTACACAGGATTCGGCAACTGTCATTCGATGTGCTACCGAGGCAAGCAAACTCTCTTTCGACATTAGCACTGGACTTGTGCGCGCAGATCTGGTTGGTTAGTGAGCAAAAGTATTGAAAATCGCTTGAGGCTCCGCGAATCCGGGGATCTCGTGTGGACAATCCAAGGATTTAAGCGATCATCGTGAGCTTGGCTATGCTGCCGCCAGACCTGCCACGGTCTCGTCAGTGGTCAAGGAGAACTCAGGCGGATAGCCGGCCAAGTCTTTGCCTGCCAACAGGATCTCTCGTTGTATGAGTGGAATGGCCTGGCCTCAACGATCCTTGCTCGTCTGCGAACAAACGAGGAAGACAACGGTTAAAACGTTCATGTCTGGATATTTTGCTGCCGAAGATGGCTCTTTCGCAGCAGGAAGAGTACTTAACCTCGGTAGGAAGATTCGGTTCAGAAAGAGATCGGTCGCCCTGGCATAGATCCTAATAGGATGTGTCAAGCTGAATATGCCCCGACGACACTGACCAGTGTGGGCCTGAACAGCGCTGTCGATACCTTGATATCAAGCCAGCTCGAAAGATGGTTGCTGACTGAATGACAACCAGGGACATTACCATTATGAGGTCCATTGACAACGTCCCCCTCAGGCTGGTCCGTGAGGTGCAATTGGCACAGCGTCCATTCAACTTACTGAGAAGGCAACACAAGGTGATCGAGAAGTCCCGATTCTACGGGCGGGCGCTCTCCTATGTTGCCTTCTTCTGAATCCATTGGCTCTCTCACCTTTGCAGTATTTGCAAGTCAATCACAACTTACCCCTTGTCATGGTCCCTTCCATCACCAGTCTGCGACACAAAGGCAATTCACTCACCAGCCTTGTCCACAGTCAATATAAACGCCTTTTCAACGTAACAGTCATGCAGCAGTCACTTCCTCGGGTCACTTGCCTGATGGACTTAGCAAGTCTCCACGTGACTTGCAGCGAGCTCGTTGAGGCGGTAACGACGAGGAGATGACTCTCTTCAACTGCATATTTGTCACCTTCGACCAACAGTCCTTTTCGACCCCACCAACGTGATTGCAAGGTCGACATCATGGCGCCGACTAGCAACAACGAACAAGTCATTGACCTCGACGATTCTGAGGCTACCCCGGAGCGTCGTCGAACAGGAGGCACACAACCCACGAAGAGAGTCAAGAAACCCGCTCGCAAGGAAAATGCCAGCGAAGCAGGGGACCCCGGTGTAAGTCCTCTTAGCCAAGTATCGTGCGTCGTCTCTTTGGCAGTCGATGGAGATCAGCGTCTTGAACTGTTGCTGTACTCTGACAGCAATCAGTCGAGTTTTTCCAACGCTCTGAGTAGCGAACAGCACATTTGCTAACGATTGACGCAGAAAGTCCAGTTCCCTGCTGGAATCCCGGCCAGTGTCACCAAAATGCTGCGAGACTATTTCGTCAAGAAGCAATCCAACGTGGTTCCGATCGACATCTACTACATGCAGATCCCATTCGGCATGAACGACAAGCATAAGTCCAAAGCTGCATACTTCATCGCTGCGACCAATGAGCTCTGCGCAGTCAGTGCCTATCATCTGCCGTGGATGAAGAATCAGCCCGGTGGTAGCAGTGGGCATCTGCTCATCGCTGAACATCCGTCGTTCGGTCCAGGTGGCAATGTTCTTATTCGCGTCAAGAAGAACTCGAATGAGTTTCGTATCTGGCGTGGCGTCAACGACAATCCCTTTGACCAAGCTCTCGTTGTCAAGAAAGCGGTCGATGACACATTCGAGCACAACGGTCGGTACACTGGCAGAGGCAAGTCTCCAAAGACGCCGTCTACCGGTGCTGCGTCACAGCGTAAACCACGCAATCAACCTCCGGTACCTCAGTACACAACACCCACTCCCATCCGCTTCGTTGATGGTGGCTACGAAGATACAGGTATAGGTCAAGGTGGTTCTCCTGTGCCTGGATCGTCGCCTGCCTACCCATCGCCGACTGTTGGTGGTGTATTCCGCCAACGTCTCCCAGTTCAGCAGTATGGGCTACCACAAGGGTCTCCACAAGCCTCGGTGAACAAGAGAAAGCGAAACGCTGTCGAGGACGATGATGGGTCGGATGTCGATTACGATGGCGACAATAAGTACTCAAGCGGTCGACCATTGTCTTCACCTATACGTGGCACACAATCTGCTGAACCGCAACGCTCGAATGTTGGTCAGTCTATCCACTTCCATTTCGATGGTCCCATCCCGCGTATGCGTACTTTGGCAACTTGCGACGACATCCACAAGTTCTTCACCCAGTGTACTGCGAGCGAGTTGATCACGTCCCTGGATCTATACCCGAACGTTACAGCAACACTCACCGGACTCTTCGAAGGTCCCGAGAAATACGTCATTGCCGATCAGATCGATTTCGATGAGTTGGTTCAAGCAATACTGGCAGATGGTCGATGGAATGTCGAAGGTGCTATGTGCGTTGTTCGGGTCACTAAGCCTTGATCCAAGCATGCTTCAGTGCATTTCCTCGAAGAAAGCCATAAACGGCAGTCCGGGCGACAAGTGCGATTGACGGTCCATTGGAGGCCTCCCTGGCGTAGTATTTGAGGTCCCGGGCCCACAACCCAAGTGTTTGTCACATTGCGGGTAATGTAGCCAGGAGCACCAAAGATGCCACAGTTTAGCTAGTGCTGGTGCAGGTGCTCCTCAAAGACTTATTCAAAGGGCTCCTCAAATGTTCAGACAGAACTAGAAGTCATTGAATTCATTGCCATCGAAGATCATGCACAGTCGTTCGACCATGTTGCATCATTGCAAGCGAGGTCGAATTCAAATGGTACGCTGCGCGACACATGCCATAGACGCAGTAGATAACTACGGTGGGGAGAGGAGGCAAATGGTTCATCCGAGCGGCCAAGAATGCCATCTTCGACATCATCGTTCTCCGTGGAGTAGAGCTACCAGGCATCGATCAAAGCTCCGACATTCCCTTTCTTTATTTGTCTGGCTGTTCAATCGACAGCAGACTGCTTGTTTCAAGCCTATACATCACACTGACAAGGCCTGGGCGGCCCACGAGCTCTCTCCCACCCGCCCAGTATGGCCTCGAAGGACACCATCTTCCGCTCGGCGGACATGTCGTTGACCCAGTTCTACATCTCCAACGACATCGGCCGCGAAGTAGTATCTGCAATGGGCGAGCTTGGCATAGTCCAGTTCCGTGACCTCAATGCCGAGACAACTGCCTTCCAGCGAACCTTCACAAAGGAGATCCGACGCTTGGACAATGTCGAGCGCCAGCTGCGATACTTCAGAGCTCAGATGGAAAAGGCTGGCATCGAGATGAGAAGCAGATTCGATTTTGACGATGACATGCTTGCCGCACCTCAAGCGAACGAGATCGATGAGCTCGCTGAACGTTCCGAACACCTCGAGGACCGTATCTCGAAATTGAACGAGAGCTACGAGATCTTGAAGAAGAGGGAGACTGAACTGACGGAATGGCGATGGGTTCTGAAAGAGGCTGGCGGTTTCTTCGATCGAGCGCACGGCCAGACTGACGAGATTCGCCAGAGTCTGGATGACGACGACGCACCTCTTCTGCGGAACGCCGAAGCTGAGGAAGGTCGAGCCATGAACGGCGATGCAGACCGATCGCAGCAACAGTCATTCGCTGTTATGAATATCGGCTTCGTATCTGGTGTCATTCCTAGAGAGAGACTGCCCGCCTTTGAGCGAATTCTATGGCGAACACTTCGTGGCAATCTTTACATGAACCAATCTGAGATCCCTGAAGTTCTGATCAATCCGGAGAACAACGAAGAGGTCAGGAAGAATGTCTTCGTCATCTTTGCCCATGGCAAGGAGATCATTGCGAAAATCAGAAAGATTTCAGAATCCCTAGGAGCCGACCTGTACAACGTTGACGAGAACAGCGACCTGCGCCGCGATCAGATCCACGAAGTCAACACTCGTCTGAGCGATCTCGCAAGCGTCCTCCGCAACACCAAGAACACTCTCGACGCCGAGCTGAATGCAATTGCTCGATCGCTCGCCGCATGGCTGATCGTCATCAAGAAAGAGAAGGCTGTGTTTGATACACTCAATCGCTTCTCCTACGATCGTGCTCGGAAGACGCTTATTGCCGAGGCATGGGTGCCAACGAACTCCCTGCCGCAGATCAGAGCCACTCTGCAGGACGTCAATGACCGCGCCGGTCTGTCGGTTCCAACCATTGTCAATCAGATCAAGACGAACAAGACGCCGCCTACTTACGTCAAGACCAACAAATTCACAGAAGGGTTCCAGACCATCATCAACGCTTATGGTACTGCCAAATACCAAGAAGTCAATCCTGGTGTCTACACTATCGTCACCTTCCCCTTCCTGTTCGCTGTCATGTTCGGTGACTTCGGTCATGGCACGCTCATGACCATGGCAGCAGCAGCAATGATCTACTTCGAGAAGCCTCTGTCACGCTCGAAGCAAGACGAACTCTTCGCCATGGCATTCTACGGTCGCTACATCATGCTCATGATGGGTATCTTTTCCATGTACACCGGTCTAATTTACAACGATGTCTTCTCCAAGGCTTTCACACCCTTCGACTCTGCCTGGGAGTATCCCGAAGAAGGCCGTCCAGAAGTCACCGCACACCTCAAAGGCTCCTATCGCTACCCGTTCGGCCTCGATTGGGCATGGCACGGTTCTGAGAACGACCTCCTCTTCAGCAACAGTATGAAGATGAAGCTCTCCATCCTGATGGGCTGGGCACACATGACTTTCGCACTGTGCTTCTCCGCCGTCAATGCTCGCCACTTCAAGTCTAAGGTCGATCTGTTTGGCAACTTCATCCCCGGCATGATCTTCTTCCAGGCCATCTTCGGCTACCTCGCTATCTGCATCGTTTACAAATGGAGCGTCAACTGGCAAGAAGCGGGTCGCAACCCGCCTTCCCTGCTCAACATGCTGATTCAGATGTTCCTCTCTCCCGGTACCGTCGAAGAGTCCGAACAGCTCTACTCAGGCCAAGCCGGCATACAAGTCTTTCTGCTGTTGATCGCCGTCGTCCAAGTCCCCATCATGTTGCTTCTCAAGCCATACTGGCTCAAATGGCAGCACCAAAAGACCACGGCACAGGGCTACCGTGGCATAGGAGACACGAGTCGCATCACTCACGCTTTGGACGACGATGACGACGATGACAGTCGGCCCGACCATCAGACCAATGGCCGCCCATCCCAGGACAGCGACGAAGGCGCCATGATCACCGAAAATATCAACGACGAAGAGCACGAAGAATTCGAATTCTCAGAGGAGATGATCCACCAGGTCATCCACACCATCGAGTTCTGTCTCAACTGCGTCTCTCACACTGCTTCCTATCTACGTCTTTGGGCTTTGTCGCTAGCGCATCAGCAGCTGTCGGTCGTTCTGTGGAGCATGTCCCTCGAAAACGCCTTCGGGTCAAGCGGCGCGACGCAGGTGATCATGATAGTGGTGACGTTCTTCTTGTGGTTCGTACTGACGATCGCGGTGCTGTGTGTCATGGAGGGCACGAGTGCCATGTTACACTCGTTGAGATTGCATTGGGTGGAGGCAATGAGCAAGCATTTCGTTGGGGAGGGCGTGACTTTTGAGCCGTTTAGCTATAAGGTCATGCTTGAGGAGGATCCTGTGGAGTAAGCCAGTTTGGTGGTTGTGTGAAGTAGTACTAGGTCGCGGTCTACACAGTGTACGTGCGCAGCAGTGTTCAAGTGTTTCATTCATAGAAATAGCGTCGTATGCCTAATGAGCAGCACGTACAGAAAATGCTACGGTTGCAGCAGTGGAAGTCATTCGCGCGTCATTTCTCCCTCGCATTGGAATACCCAATAACATGTACGCAGGGACAGCACTGGAAGGCAGGTCGAAGTGGATGCGCCAGGCAGCGACTGATCCTGACTCATGCAACGACCAGTGCAGTCTGTCTGGCCAAGCAGTGAAGTGATCGTATCGGTTTGCCTCGGATCGTTGATGTCGTGAAGAGGTATAAAGATCCGTCTCGCCCTCGACATTACGCCTTTCCCTTCTATCACCACAACGGCCGATTCCGATGCATTTCCCGACATTGTCATGCCTTGGTAGTGCCAGCTGCTACCTGGTGGGACGAGCGTTCGCGGTATAGTCGATGTCTTCTGTACAACCTCATTGAAGAAAGAGTAGGTAGGCTGAAGACGATGATGCCGACCTTGATTCATGGTACTTGTTTCTCAATGCTGACTACCATAGCTACATCACAAGGTACGGTGAACATGCCCAGAGTGCCTTCCCCAGACTCGCTTACTTCACCTCCCTAACCTCAACCTGCGCAGCCGTCGTCTCTCCCTTCCCAACCACCCCCTCCCCCTCCATATTCTTCACCTCACTCCTCTCCTCAGGCGCCCAGTCCCCAATCCAATCCCAGTCCCCTGGAACACCCTCCTTGACCTGCTCCCATACACCCGAGACCGCATCCGCAATTTCCTCGGGCAGTGGTCCACGCTCAAGTCCCGTCAATGTCTCCTCCAGACGTGCCTCGTTCCTCGCGGCCACTATCATACCATCTCCTTTTGAGTCATCCAGCGCAGAATGATATCTCACCCACCTCAACGCAACCTCATGTCCCGAAATCCCATATTTTGTGCCCAAGTCCTGAACGTGTTTGATGGCAGCACGTGCTTGCGGAAAGCCGTAGAACCGGCGTTGGAGGTCGCCTACGGCCCCCTCCTGCGTCAGCAGACTCGAGCTCGCATCAAACGCGCCGCTCGCAGACGGGCTCCACGCAATGAAACTTATCCCATGTTTTCGCAGCAAGGGGAAGAGCTCAGCCTCAGCGGAGCGCACGAGCGCGTTGTAGTGGCCTTGGTAGACTGCTGGGAGGGGAAGGTTTTGGGTTGTGCAGATGGAGATGATTTCTTTTACTTCGGAGAGGGAGTAGTTGGAGAGACCCCAGCGGCTAGCCAGACCCTCAACGACGAATCCAGCGATGACGGGCACGGAAACAGTCAAGGGTGTTGTGCGATCGGGGTAGTGCAGGTAGATTGTGTTGATCTTGCCAACGCCGAGTGACTTGAGGCTGCCATGAATCGAGGCGCGCAGCTTCTCGGGGGAGTGGTCGCCGGGATTGGAGAGGACCTTGGTGTCGACTAGACCACCGAATTGGGTATGGGTGGTAAGGCCGATGAGCGTCTCGGAGCCGCCGTGCGTGCCGAAGGCTGGGTAGAGGCGGGAGGTGTCGATTGTGGTGTGGCCGTGGGCGTGGAGGACGTCGACTAGGGGCTGGAGTTGGGAGACTTCGGTGATGTTGGTGACGGCTGAGGTTTCTTTGTAGCCGAAACGGCCGCCACCGAGGAGGATGGCTGGGGCGTTTTGAGGTATAGTGGTGGACGGCATAGTCGCGGGAATCGCTTGTTGGCTTTGTTTATGGTTCCAGTATTGGTTGGTGCGATTGTTGAGATGAATTGAGAGTCGAAGTTGTGTTAGTTGACTCACTGCTACCTAATCTACAGTCAGAGCGAGAGTGTCCTTGAGGTCATATACCTTTTCGACAGTCTTCTAGGCATGAGCTTGTGGTTGCACGAGGTATCACATAGTCAGCCAGCACCTACTAGTTCGAGACGCCTTGGCTGCTTGTCAACTCTCACGATAGCCCGCTGCGCCAAGGGCATTCTCTTTCCGATACTGGTGCGTGTTGCCTGTGTCAGCAATGAGAAACGAGAATGTTATGTCCGATGCACAAGAAACGAAGCAGGCGTTGCGGACAGGTCAGATGTACAGTCCGACAGGTGACGAGCTAGGCTAGGCCACCGCAAAATGCACAAAGACAGACTTTTCAGACATGCAGGATCAGTCGTGTGTAGGCTGACGATATGGCTGCTTGAGAAGTTTGAGAGTCGTGTTTTGAGCACCGAGATCAAATTAGAGAAGCACATTCCCGACGAGACTTTGTCATCTTGCAGCTCACGAAGCTTGAACAACGCCTCCCAGGGACTCGGCGGACAAGGAAGCGGACGAAGTCTGCGGACATCACGACAACGGTGAGAACGTGAGGTCAACTTTGACATCGATGCTGCCGACGACGATTATCCCCGAGTCTGGCTTACGCAAGGCTGCAGAATCGAAATCGAGCACGTGACGGATGGCAAGGCTGAATCTTGGCGCACATTGATCGCCGCATCTCAACGACCTCATCGGCCTACGACTTTGTCTTTCTCCTCGTCGACATCACCCACACTTTCTGATCGAAGGTCCTGTCAAGAGTAAGCGAACCACCTGTTTCCTCGTATGCGCTATGCTAACAACCTCACAGTGCAGATGTAGGTCTCCTCATAGCCTTCGATAAACCCGCACATTCGCCCCTCTTCGATCCCAGCGAGAAGACTGCAATAGAAGTACGGAACTAACAGGAATGCGAACAGCTTCGTCAAGACCCTCACGGGCAAGACCATCACCCTCGAGGTGGAGTCTTCAGACACCATTGACAATGTCAAGAGCAAGATCCAAGACAAGGAAGGCATCCCACCTGACCAGCAACGCCTGATCTTCGCCGGCAAGCAACTGGAAGATGGCCGCACTCTATCAGACTATAACATCCAGAAGGTAAGCTTGCGCACTACTTGTACAGCATTCGCTCGACCGAACGACGATGGATACTATGGTCAATTGGAATCATATGACTGCGGCGAGAGAGAAACAGTGCGCTGACACCGTTTTCAACCAGGAATCCACCCTCCATCTCGTCCTCCGTCTCCGAGGCGGTATCATCGAGCCCTCCCTCAAGGCCCTGGCCTCCAAGTACAATTGCGAAAAGATGATCTGCCGCAAGTGCTACGCCCGTCTGCCACCCCGTGCCACCAACTGCCGAAAGAAGAAGTGCGGCCACACCAACCAGCTGCGGCCGAAGAAGAAGATCAAGTGATCGATTCGCTACATCCGAAGGGAGGGCAGTGGGACGGCTGTGCGCTGGTGGCGGACGTGTTTCATGCGACGAGCAGATGGGCTTTTGAGCATGGTCTGGCGGAAGCGGGAAAGAGTCACCGAGATCTTCGCCCTTCCGCCTTGCGTTCAATAGTGAGGGCAAACGATTGCGGCTCTCTCGCTGAGGCCATCGGTCACTTCGGCTGTGGAGTTTACAAGAGGTATCAAGAGTAACTCAATAAGCATGACATATTCCAAGACCAGCCTTCGACGTCCATCAGCATTGGATCCGAGCCCCCGATCATACTCATCCTACCGTATGACCAAATCTACTCAATCGCTATACCGCAATTACCTAAGCATGTGCTTGAGAGACAACCAAACAGCACAATCCCATATGTGTGGCATATCATTGCTGGCGTAGTCGTAAATTGAATCTTTGCACGTCGTGATCTGCGACGCTACGCTATGCCTCAACAACGTGGTTTCTAAGCGAAAGATAGAGCAGCATGGCTGTAGATTCTGCCGACTCGTAGGACGGAACCCTCTTCGATTACACTCTAGTACTGGTACAAAAGCCTGTGACCGCCCCCTTCGCAATGCGTTTAGAAAATCATCATGCGCCCAGCAGCACCCCCATCACCAGCAGGCACCTCACCTCCACCTGTCGTATCTCCCCCTCCACTCCCACCACTCTTCGCCGGACTCCCATGACTAAAGAACAACACCTTGATCGCCACCGCCATTCCCGCATGCAACACCACCACCGCGACCAACAACACCTGACTGATCTTCTTATCCGTCGCGCTGATCACCGGATACAGATTCTTCAACAGGAAGAACACACTAACCGCAAACCCGACCCCGACCAGCACGTAATTCAACGCATTCAACGGAGACCAGCTCAGCAGCGCAACGATGATCCAGAATAGATTTCCGTAGCCGTACAGCGCCCAGCATTCGACGAGTTCGAGGCCCTGCGCGCCAAACCAGCGGAGGGCGGCCCAGAGACCGAGCGGGACGAAGAGGGTGTACCCGTAGATGAGGCTGCGGCGCCACTCAGGAGTTTGAAGTCGTATTCGAAGTGTGCTTTGCCCTCGCTTGCTAGCTTCTGACTGATCGTTCCTGTCAAGAAGAGGATGACGACGACGGTGGTCGCGACCCAGAAGGGCCCGTAGAGGTCTGGGTTGCCGTCGAGGGTGTCGAGGAAGGGCGGGGTTGCGGGGAGGAAGGGGATCAGGGCGGTGCGGCAGCGGTGGAGGACGGTCGTGGTGTCGACGTCGAAGAATTGGGCGTAGAAGGAGATCGTCCAGAGCATGCGCTTACCCGTCGCAGCGGGTGCATCGTTGGGGAGGGTTGCTGGGTTTGTGGAGGAGGAGAGGAAGGGCGTGCTGTCTGGTTGGACTTTTCGGGCGTTGGGCGGGTTTGTGAAGTCTGTAGAGTTGTATTAGTCATGGACGAATCGGAAACGTAGTGGTAGCGTACTGGACTGGTGGAAATCGAGGCCATCGTCTTGTAGATCGGTGTGGCCTAGGTCGCCCTGAACACACGGGTTAGCTTGGGTAGTGTAGGATGCTGAGGATGTTGGTGCGCACCTCTTGATCCACATCGACCACGACATCGTAGCCCCTGTTCGCCATCCTGACGATGAGATGCGAATTTGATCGTGTAGGCGAGGGTTGTGCGATGTCATCAAGCGAGTAGGATGGCAGTATGTTTAGTGGAGGACGTGTCGTGCCTGCGTCGTAGCCTTGCGCGGTCGTGGCCATTTCTCCACTCTTTGGAATTCCAGCTTGACTTCAAGATCGCGATTGAGACGTTGGCAGCGACATGTTGGCAGTTTGCGTGTGACAAGCAGAGATCGATCAAGCGGTGTTACACAGACAACACGTCTCATCTACATTGCCTTGATGGCTGGCTGGTCGATGCACGTTGCGCGTCTATCCAATTGTTGTACATAGAGTCTAGAGTCCTCCCTTGCGCCTGCTTTCCCTGCCCCCTTCGCTGAGCACGACATCTGGTGTACAAAGTCTTAACGCCGCACCATTCCAAGCAGGTATTGCGCAAATGAAACGAGATGCTGGTCATGTCCTGACCGCCTCAGGTAGAAGGACAAAACGCCCAGCCCCAGTGCGACTGCACCAGCAGTAATGGGTAAGCGGTTACGCAGAGCTGTCTGCATTGCCTTCTGCATTCTTTTCTCCCACTGGACTTCTGCTGCTTGTTTTCGAAAACATTTCTCTGCATCTGCCACGCTGAGTGGCTGTCCAGGATGTGTCGACTTGAGAACGCTGGAGGAGGATATGCCTCGCCAACCCCTTCCCGGTAATCGGTCTGGTGGGAATTGCTGAAATACCTCCAGTGCTCGAGCAATAAGTGGCTCCAGATTGAGTGGCTGCGGAAGTTTCTGAAGCACAGCAAACAATATTTCATCCTCTTCGGGTGCAAATTCCAGCAGCTCAGCACGCCGTGACATGATAATGGCAGCAAACAAGTAGATGCTCATGACTGGTTCGTGAGCTAGTATGAAATCGAACAGTCTAGCAATGTCACTGTACTGCTCGATCTGATGAGCGTACAGAGTAAGTGCCGCCGGGAGGGCGTAAAGGGGATTCGGCAGTGTCAGGTGTTTGGCAAGTTCCAGATCGGCTGCGTACAAGATGCAAGGCAACAGAGCCAGATGCTTCTTGACCGGATCCATGGTTGGTAACATGTAGTCCCGAATGCGGAACAACGAGATCGATTCGATTGCCGAGTATGCCGCCTCTGCGCCAAGGACAAGCAGGACGACCTGAACGATGTCATGAAAACCTTGGAAGTAGCAAAGCATTGGATGGGTCCGTAGCACTCGTACAATGAGATCGGACAATACGCGCTTGCGTGCGTCAATGACTTTTGGCGATTCGTCTATGTATGGTCAGCCGACTGCGAACCAGTCCGAATAGCGATGTAGGGGTTGGTGGAGGGTGTCAATACTGACTGCTGGGATAGTAGACGAACGCCCGGTTCACGTCTTTCTCGACCTGCTCCTCATCGCGGTGTGCCGGTAGCTGCTTCCAGTCCGTATTCGTACCATCTGATGATCCTGAGCATTGGAGCAAAACCGGCCCTGGGCTGAGCATTAGCATCTTGACTGACTCTCTAAGCGAAACGAGAAGTCTCACAGGCTAGTTGGCGCAGACCATCATCGAGTAGACCGCCCTCGGAATCTGCTAGTCGCCCCAGGTACTGCAGATCCGCTTTCTGACAAGCCTGCTTGATCTGGACACGTTTCATGGTCGCATTGCTGTCGTCCAACGGAGGACGTTGTTCAAGAGAAGTGGCGCCTGCATCACCATGCTTTTCCTCCGCATCGCTCATCTTCCAGAGACCGCGCTGCGACGTTGAACGTCCGAACTGCTCGCACCCGTCCCCGACCTCAGATAGGCACCAGCTCACAGACTAAGGGGATGAGACACACTTTATTGTTGATGCAGTTTGCTCGCATGTCGCTACGTGTCTTGGCCGAGTTTCCAGTTGGACACAGAATCAGTGCACCAATTGGACCGGCTGGTAACACAGTGACATACGCCACTTAGGCCGTTGGGGTTGTAACAAGACAGCCAGGGACTGTGGGAAGTGACAGGTCACACAACGTCAATTTGACTGATTGAGGATTGGCTGCTTCCTGAAGTAACCGCCTGCACGTGGACAACTATGTTCGATTCAGAACCTCAACAATGGCATTCTGTCAGGCGCAGATTATGGAATGTCGTGTATAGCGTGTTATATGCCACCTGCAACGAACGAGTGTGATGAGGTGAAGTCGACGGTGATGGAAAGGTTTGGATTCGAGCAAAACACGTCAATGCCTGGGCATGGAGTGCGCCTGCCGCATGAGCATCCCTGCCCATGTTCCTGCACCACTTCCTTGCAACCATCTTCATCCAATGCACGTGTCTGATCTTGCTGCAGGCTTCACGAGCAGGGCTCGCCTGCCATCGTGCCAATACCACACTGATAGATGTTCTACATAATAGGCGAGCGCGATGAGCCGCATTCGCGGTAGCCGTAAGGAGATCCCGGACGATCGCTGTCTGCTCGTCATTTGCGATTCAACTTCTCACTTCAAGTCGAGGTGGGACTTTTCACTGCCTCTCGAATGAGGCCAGTCTGTCTTTGTGCAGACCATCATTGAGATGGACGCGACAACGCCGCCGCCACCAGAGTTGAGGTCGCCACAACTTCAAGGACTATTATCACGAACACTTAGCTCGAGCCCAGCAACCAAGTGGATTCTACCGGCGCGTCTTCGATCACCATCGAAGAATGATCTGGTATTCGTCGGCGAATCCAGCATACATCTTCGAGAATTTATTTCCACAGATGAACCTTGCCTTGCGGAACCATCGTGTAGCATCAATTTCGACAGTCAAATACTGGCAGCCGATGTCATCTCGGCCAATATCAACATAGTCGCCATTTCCACAGATGAGCAAATTTTGCAGCAGAAGCAGACGGTCGAGGAGGAGAGCTACAGCAGCGATGGACGACCGATCAGAGATGGAGAGCCGGCACAAGTCCTGGTGCTCAGCACTTCAAACGCAGAGCTCATCTTCATCTACGCTACCGAAGATTTTGATGGGACTGTCCGCTTCGTCCATGCCACCAAGCCGCTTCTGACTGGGCCTGGCGTGCAAGACCAGCGTCTCCTGCACCTTGCTCACGACCATGAATCTCGAGCGCTCGCGGTCGCTCCGAACCGTGGGCTTTGCATGATCGGTTCACTGCCTTCTCTGGATACCATGAAAAATGAGATCGATCAATGGAGACCAGCTGGTACTGCCTTGAACATCTTTCGGAAACAGCGTCTGCTCCAGGTTGACGGCGAGATCGTACAGATGGATTTCATCCACCCACTGAGGGAAGACAAAAGTAAATTGATGCTCGTACTTATTGTTGCTAAGCAGGATCGGACGTATATGGTGCTCTACCGATGGGACGCTCAACAGCCGTTGCACCGCATCAGGCCGATGCGATCGAGTGGTCAAGCAATGCCTGATTCGGACGCAAAGCCACTAATGTTGATCCCATGCAATGCCCCCGCTTCATTCTTCCTTGTCACAAGGTCCGGCTTGGTTCTATACGATTGGATCACGCACTCAGAAGCTAGGAGGACCGCACATCCTCTCTCTGACCAGAATGAGTTCCCAGATGGCAATCGAACCAAGATGTGGACACAGTGGGCAAGACCACGGCGACATGAAACACACAGACGGACCGCTGATGAGATCATGCTGGTTCGTGAGGATGGCCTGTTGCATCTCTACGACATTGATGTGCAGCCCGCTCTCCGGGTCAAGCTGGCGTGGCCCTCAGGCAAGCTCGACATCAAAATGCAACAAGCAATGTGTCTTCTACCAGCTCCTTTACACATTGGAGGCGGAGACATTCTCGTCGCTTGTGGTGAGAATGCCGATGGTGGAGTTTACCATCTCAGAGCTAGGAAGCCGAATCGTTGTGTCCAGCGCATTGCCAACGTCACATCCACGAACGACCTCCTGTTATTCCCGCCGACCAGCAGCCGAGACACAAATGTTGATCGGAGATCACGCATCTTTGCTTGTGCCGGGGATCAGCAAGGTAACGGAGGCTTGGTCGAAGTGTGCCACGGCATCGAAGCGAACGTCAGAATGGTGATTCAGGACGACGAACTCAGAAGCATTTTGCGCATCTGGACTATTCCAAAGAACAGCGATGAAGTATTGATCCTCAGCGCACATCCTTTGTACAGCAGCCTGATATCGCTCGACATGTCAAAAATGGAGCCGTTCGAGGAAACAGCAGATACTTTGCCAGGAATCGACTTGGAGGCGACGACGTTAGCAGCGGCCGCTATGTCCGACGATGTACTGGCTCAAGTCTCCACGAGCGGACTCAGAATCGTCTCGACCTCTGGACGCCATTCGCCGTTTCGAGACGAAATGAGCACTACGAGTCTGATATGTGCTAGTATCGAGCCACTGTCAGGCGCGCTGCTTGCCGCACATCAGGAAGGAGATGAGTACATGATCAGTACGTACAAGGTGGTGACCTCGCCCCAGCCACGTCTGGAGTCGTTGGCTAGCCCTTACTCAGTCCGTCATCAACCCACATGCGTGTGTATCTCCCGCTTAGGGGAAGAGGTCATCGCCCTAGCCGTGCAAGGAGACGGAGGCCGTCACCTCACTGGCATGCGAATATCGTCAGCGGGAACGGTACACTTCACTGCCGATTTGCTGGCCTTATCGCCCGAGCTTGCACCTCTTTCCATTGGCAGTATGTGTCTGCTAACAAGACCTGAAGCTTCCGTTGGTCTACTTGTCTGCGGTTCTCGGAATGGCTTTCTGTTGTGCTTAGAAGTCCGAATATCTCAGCAATTGGAAGAAACTAGACTCAAGCCTGTGCTAAGCCGCCGTTTAGCTCGCACTTCCGTCAATGTGTCAACGGACGAATTCAGTCGACGCAGCGGCTGCGCTGACGCTGCCTTCGTTGCGTATGGCTCGATCCTCGAACGATTGTCGCTCCAGGCCAATGATGCTGGCGCCGATATCGACCGTACATACATCACTGTGCAAAGTCGCGATCGGTCCGACCACTCCTCCGTGTCCCCGGAGGTTCTCAACGCAGTTGGCCGAGTCCCTTCTGTGAGTTCTGACCAGAGTGAGTCAACTGCTGGTCTTTTGGTCTGCGCGACGTCAAATAGTCTCACGACTTCGACACTCTCTCGAGCTCAAAAAGCAATTTTCCGTCATGTTCAAGTGCCAGGAGTCGCCAAGAAGGTCGTCTATTCCAGGTTTCTGAAGTCGATGGTCATCGGCGTGAATCCTGGCCCGGATTCCAAAGACAATACGATGGTCGCACGCCCCATGATCTGCTATGCCGCTCTGCAGGACGAGGAAGCAGACTGCGGGCCTATCGACAAGAGCAAAGTTGTCGTACTGGGCACGGCCGACGATCCCGAGGAGAAGATCAGCGCCCTGACACACTATTCTCCCGCCAATGAGAGGCATCACTTCGAGATGACTCTCGTTGCATTACAGTCCAGAGTCCGCATTGACAAGAGCGACAAGTTCCGCATCAACAGTCGCATCGTCTGTATCAGCGACAAGCATGTCAAGAAAGCGGATCCTTCACGCGGACCGATCAAAGTCAGTAATGTGATGAACGTCAGCAAGAAACGGGTGACCGCTCTGTGTCCGATCGGCCGATCTGGTCTGCTCATCGGATCTAACAACGAGCTGTTGTTGCACAACTTGGACGTGGAGTCGAAAAAATGGTCTACAATCACACGGCACTCTCTGCCCTCACCAGCACGCCAGATTCGCGTTCTGGGCTCAATGATCTACGTCGCCACCGAGAAACATTCTCTGCTCATTCTCAAAGAGCATTCCAACACGCTCGGCATACAGAATTCCGACATGAGGGCGCGCGCGATAGCAGATGTCCTGCCCCTGCACCGCCAACACGTCTTCATTGCCGATACTAGTCCCTATGGCACTCGACTGACCGGAGTTGTGGAGGACCAGCAGGGTGCCACGCTGCAGCGAACATTCGAGCTTCATCTCCCGCAACGTATCAACCGTCTGGAGCTCGACAGTCCTATAGCAGCGCAGCTGACCCAAAGCAGCCGGCCTGCTATCGTAGGAACTTCTAGCAGTGGCCACATGTACCGATTCACATCCCTCAGCGCTCCGGAATGGATGCTGTGTCACTTCCTGATCGGTCTCACCAAGCCAGGCATGAGGATAGGTGCAAAGACAATTGGTCAAGAGCTGGATTTTAGTCCACGGATGGAGAAGACACAACGACTGGCATTGCCGCCACAGATGATGGGCATTGATGGGGACTTGCTTGCCAGAATACTTGAGGATGGCCACAGGGGTAAATTTGGGCTGAGATCGGTACTTGGACTGGACGAGACTTCGATCAAAGTAGAGAAAGATGGGACTTATAGCAACGGGCGGACAAAGGCAGACGATGCGGACGAAGATGTGGTCATGAGCTCGTCAGAGGCTGCTATGGACATGACAGCACCAATCACCGCGGCGCGGCAGAGCTCCGAGCCTGATAAAGAAGTGAAGGAGAAGCTGCAAACGCTGCAGAAGCTACTGAGTAAGGTGACGGATCGCGTGCAGCCAAGGGACATTGTCGGTTCGACTATGATCTGGCTGAGGGAGTTGCTGCAGTCGTAGGTCTTGGTAGTAGGCTAGAGACTGTGTTCCGGCAGGTAGCAACAGTGTTCATGTTAGACATTGAAGGGTCCGTGGACCGTGGCAACTGCCAATCGACTGCCATGTCGCGACTTCTTTCGAGAGGTACCTGCAGCGAAGTAGCAGTAGTCACGACCGCCGACCGCCAGGCTTGCAGGTCACGTGCCTCCGTGAAATGACGGCATGTGAGGCAGTCGCGTCTAGCACACCCCCGCCAATATTTATTGCGCAGGCAAGAGATCACCCAGATTGCCCTAACACCACTACTCACAACCCATTATCCTTCCTTACTCTGTATTCACAACAACAGAGGCCTCCTCACAGAGACCTCTGGATGCGTACAATCACCCATGAGCGGTGCTGCTGAGCCACTGTCAGACATGCCCGATGCCGCTCGAAACGCACGACACCGTCGTGCTCAGAGATGATCCCGATGTCATTGGCACCGTGGAACAGACGCATATTGATTCAGCAACAGAGATCTCTCTGGAGGACCTGCTGGTTCTCAACTATACCAATGTGCCGGAGCATATATTCCAAGACTACAACAACACAGGCACTCCCCCGAAAGGCTACGTCTTCGTAGTGTGCTCCAGGGAGGACTCCGGCGCGTTCTTGGCTCTCGAAGATGACTTGATCCTTATCAGTCGGTCCTTCGACGAGGGCGATGTCATAAAACGAGCCGGCCAGGCGCACTCCATGATAGGAACCATCATCGGCATACAGGAGACATGTACCCTTGTCCCAGCTCTCCGCGTCTCACGGGACGGCAGGCTCATATCTGCTTCCTCGCGGGCGCTGCGAGAAATGTCACTGGATAACCATCCGCCCAAAAGAGCATGCACTTGCGATCATAGGCAGTACGATCTCATCCGAAACGTCCCGGCCGAAGAGCTGGTGAGAGCCACAACTCCGAACGAGGACGAGCTAGTCGTGATGCACAATGACTGGGTAGGGGAAATAGACAGCGTCGACTTCGATGTGGTCTTGCTTCATCAGGATAAAATCACCTCGGTTGGCATAATGGATGGTTTGAGTGATCTGCACCTGCCAATATTGCACCCTGAAAAGCCCCTGGTCCATTGGCCAGACCTAGATGGTCTTGAGCATCCCTCCGTTGTTGAGGTCGTCCAAGGCTATCTCACGCTGCCTGCCGCCGAGTATCCTCTCCTTGGTCAATTCGTCATTGCGAGCAAAACAAGTCTTCATAATGCTCGTTGGGTTCATGGTCAATATGACAAAAACTCACAGGTGGTCGAGGGAACAGTCATTGACCTTGTACCGAGAGCTGCTGGCGTCAAATGGATCGCAGCAAACCCGTTCACGAGGAAAGCCACTTGGGACGTCAAGCTGCCCTCCCGCTCACAGCTTTTGTTTCAAAACGTCAGCAAATTCAGCAAACCGTCTGACTTGGTTCCAAGAGGATCTATCAGAACATGTGCTACGGCTCTAGGGGGTCCTGTCACTATGACCAATACCGTCTTCGACAGCCATGGATCACCATCGGGGACGACATCAGTCACTAAAAACGTTGCCTATTATCGCTTCGAGCGAGGCAGCCAGGTGCGATTCCGGGACCCTGCTGCAGCCATGCAAAAGTACCAGGGACGGGAGGACTGCGGCTGTGGGGCTTTTAGACCAATTGTATCGGACAAGTACTGCCCTGGATTTGACGTCAACTTTTTGAACGTGGTCTCACCCAGCCAGATCGTTCGGGTCCGGTGGCAGAATGGACAGGAGTCAGTACATCCTGCAAACGATCTTTCGAGCTTCGGAGCCTTCGAGGTGCCACTGGTCCCTGGCGGTATCGTCCTCGACAAAGCCGGGATCAAGATGATGAAAGTACTGATGGACCGGCACTACTACAGATATGACGCTCCACCGCAACTGCATGATCTCAAGGACTTCAATGAAATGGCATTCTTCGAAAGTCCTCATGACCTAATTGCATCGCGCGTCGGAGTCATACAGGCAGTCGATCCGAAAGAGCGGATCGCGAAAGTCAGATGGTTTCAAGAACCCAGGGTCATCTTGATTGAGTCTGGAGAAGCGCTGCATCCGTACTCAAAATATGGGCCCATTAGCGACACCATTGAGGAGTTGTCCTTGTACGAGATCATGACGTTCCCTGCGTTTGATCGACGGGTGTTGGACGCGGTGTTGCTGCCTCCGAGCGGTATTGGTCTCGCGCTACTTGAGAAGGTGTTGGAGAATAAAGGCGGACCTCCGAACCATTCTTTGCCTTACGCCGTCAACTCTACCTTGGATTTCGACCGCCTGGTCCAGCGGGCGATCGCCATCTGCGGCGAGCATGGAGGACTAGTCCAGAATATAGTGTCCAGTGATAAAACCAACATAGACGTCAATGGAAGCTGGCTCGGACAGATCGTCGCCGTTGGCTTGGACGGCAATCTGACAGTCAGACTGATCGGCAAGAAATCTTGTCAGGATGTGCAGATACCCCTGGACCTCGTCCTGGCCACTATCAATATCGACGAGCTTGGTGCCGTCGACTACGGTGACGACGACTCTGAGTATGACTCGGTCACGGGAGAACTTCTGGAAATCGAAAGCCGAAGTCCCTCTCCCATCTCAGAGCACATCGAGTACGAAGGCGGGCAGCGATTAGACGAGGACGAAGACGACGATGCGTGGGTGTCGGCGGAAGAAGACTTGGCCAGCTTGGACGATATGGATTTGTTCGCCGATTCATCATCAACAGAAAATTCACTAGCTCCAGCGTTCAGATCCGCTATCAATCGAATTGGAAGAGCCATCAACGAGTCCGACGAGACTCGCGATAGTGACGAGGACATTGAAATGACCGACGCGAGCACACAAACAGCTGCCGCACAAGATTCGTCCACTACATCCAATCTCCTCGCGCTCACCGTGCCGACTGAACCACCACCACAATTCGAAGTCCTCAGCACCGCTCCACCACGAGACCAATTCCGCGTCAACGAAGCCCCGAGCTCCTCTCCTGCCTTTCTAAAACGCATCGCAAAAGAGCACAAAGCCCTCTCTACCTCGCTGCCGACCAACCAGATCTACGTCCGCACTTACGAATCCCGCCTGGACTTGTTCCGCTGCCTCGTCATCGGCCCACCTGACACCCCGTATGAAGATGCCCCGTTCCTCATCGATCTACACTTGGGTCACAACTTCCCCACAGAGCCGCCCACTGCGCACTTCCACTCCTGGACTGGCGGTTTAGGACGCATCAACCCTAACCTCTACGAAGAAGGCAAGATCTGTCTGTCTCTGCTTGGCACATGGCCTGGGAAGGAGAAGCAGGAAGGCTGGACCAAGGAGTCGTCTATCTTGCAGATCCTCGTCAGCATACAGGGTTTGGTCATGGTCCGCAATCCGTTCTTCAACGAGGCTGGATTTGAAGGCTATGAAGCCGAAGGGCAATACAAGACCGAAGCGGCACAGTACGCGGAGAAGGCGTTCGTGATGAGTCGTGGGTTCGTGAGGCACGCTTTGCTCACGCGGGTGCCAGTGGGAATGGAGGCGGTATTGGCGTGGCTGTACATTCCAAGTCATCCTCGCAATCCTGCAGAAAATGGAGGAGGAACAAATGCTACTCCAGAGCCCGCCCGGGCAGGCTTGCTACTCAGAATCATCCGGCGTGGCCAGTCGTTGATCTATGCGTCCCAAGCAGCGGCTGCGGCCGTGGCGCAGGTAGATGAAGGGATGGTCGACAGCGACATCCGAGAACATCTCATGGACACGGCAGGTACTAATACGGGCGATGCAACGAAAGCATTCCTGCGACCGCTCAGTCGAGGTGCAATCGTTATGTTGCGTCGCTGGCTGGGCGAGCTGGTGGAGGCAGCTAAGTAGTGACATCAAGTACTACGCGATTAGTACATATTATTCTGTTGAATTCTCACCGGGCCCTCCCTGCCCAGAAAGTTCGACGTAGATTTTCTTATTAACTAAGGCTCAGATCAGGCTCATCTCGAAGTCAGCCACTTGATCTGCATCCTGATTCTATGTTTTTCATGCCCTCTCCAGTGCTCTACTCACATATCTGCCGCTGCAGCTAAAAACGCCCAGGACTTATGACTACAGTCTGGCGAGGGAAGAACCTTCAACTGCTATGAGGGCAGGCCGCGGGTAGCGCACCTATCCCGCAGAAGCCCTGGAGTACTTGGCATAGAACAGTCTTGCCTCGAGGCCTCATCCCGTGTCGTGGAAGGATGCTTCATCGCATGGACGAGGCCATCAGTTACTCATGCAAGACCACGCTTCGAAAGGCCGCTACGATCAGGTATCACACAGTTGTACTCTGACTCGGCAGCCTATGAAAGTAGGGGACATTGTTTGGCAGTGCGCCTCAGTAACCAGTCAACAAAATGGCCTTGCCCGATCGCGCTTACAGTCTGTTCATCGAACTACATTCACTGAGTTTGAGTCTTCGGAGTCGCCCTGTGCTGTATGTGCCTCGCTCTCTGCGGTTCTTAGTGCCGCTGCCTTTACATGCCACCGCTGCTGCAAACAAGGCCTGTCAAAGCAAAATGGCAGGATCCGCCCACGCAACGTGTTGAAGCTTATCGAATACGCTTCTTCCGGCCACGATTGCGTGGAATGCTTGGTCCGGTCGCTGTGCTTCACCAGAAGCCAGAACTGCCACGGCCCACAATCATTCCCGAGAGCCGTGTTGTCCCAGGCAGAATCCGGCGGATGACCAATCCACTCCAATGTTGCTTTTGATTCGGTCAAGCGTCTTGGTGGTCGAAGCTGTTCAATTCTGAGGAAGTCTGGTGAGGATGCGGTACGCTGCTGCAGCCATCTCGTGCATCTCAAGCATAGTGAATCAGGTGCCCGATCACGGCTACTTGAATTGTTGGAAGTTATGGATAGACTGTTTCTCAAGTACTTGGCTGGGACCGGACCACTCTTTAGAGGTGAATATATGGAGCACTGTCCTAGCTCGTATAAGGATGGGTTGGACCAGACTTGACAGCGCTCGGCCTCGAGCAAAGTAGAAAGGTATCCCATATCCTGGAGGTTCTGTGTGAGATATTCATACAGTGGTCCTGGTTCGAGGCGCAAGTAAGTGGCAAGTGGAGGCGCAAAGGACTGATTCGAGTATGTTTGGCAATAGTGACATACGACCCTGAAGAACAAGCCTCTGACGGGCTCAGCATATTGCACGTCTATCTTACTTCCGTCGATTGCAATACTAAGCATGGCGTAGATTCGATCACGAACATCTTCGCACTCTAGCCGCAGGCTTCGGAGGCCCCTGATCCGGTCGGACAGTGTGGCTGTCGTAGTACTATAGGCATCTTCATCCTCTTCACCATATTTTTCACCAAGCATGGTCTCGGCGGCGGACCAGGAAGTGTCCCTTCCAACATGCTGCTCACATTCTGCTGCAACACGCCACACATCTCTCCCATCAGCAACGAAATGAGGTGACATAAAGACAAGCTTCTGGGCGAGGACCACTTCAACGAGGGTCCACATTCTGTTGAAGTAGTCATTATAAAGGACGTCTGCGTCGAAATCCCAAGAATGAGACTCGGACGTAACCAGACGTAGAAAGAGGACGCTCCGAGGCCCAGGATCAAGCCAAGCGTACACACATGTAGCCCGCTGAAAAATCTGGGACATTCTGCGCACCTGGTGATTTCGTTCTGCGGTATTGTCTTGGTTGATTGAGATGGCGTCGATCCAGAACGACGCAGCATGTTTAGTGCGCCGGGCCTCGATGAGGAAACGATACAGATTATCGCGGACAAAATGTCGAGCGCCGTTCAGCAGTATGGGATTCAGGTGGTCAGGACTGCCCCAGCAGTAGGATAGACACGCGTGCGAGGTACCCAGTGTGATTGTCTCAACTTGACACTCCACTAAGGGTTCGGGCCCATCGCCAGTCGGCTCGCTGTTTTCCGGACATGTGATAGGAAGGATGCGAACCACTCGAACGTCGTTGCTTTCTTCCTGCAATGGATCGTACTGGTACGTCGGTAGGCTGTCGTAGTCGTGCCTTGCAAGGAGGCACTGCGTTGGAGTAATGCGGGCGCCTTCGACGGGTTCCATCTAGGTGAGAAGTTGCCGGTTCCTATAACAGTGGTTCAGAACTTAGACTCCGGCCCGCTGGGGTGTCCAGATAGCGATGCATTATGGCCATGGCTGAGTCTTATAGCTTCCTAGGTCAGAACTTTGGTAATGAGTCGTTAGAACCTCGGGGGACTTTGGAGGACGAAAGTTCCGTGGTCCTATTCTTTGTGTAACAGGCTTCTTGCATTCAGGTGCTTTCGTGAGATCGTGCGCAGGTCAAGGTCGACAAGGGCGTCTTCGGACGCAAATGCTGTTGAGACCGACGCCGGTAAACATACTACGCGTCTGAAGTCGTTGGCATGAGATCGCTCTGGCAAGCCAAATCGTTTTTACCACTAGAGAGGCCGGGCCAAACTGGCACTCCAACGTTGAGGCCAGGTCGAGTTGAGCGACTACGGATAGTTTTGGGGATCTTGTAACCCAGCACTGTAGTCCCAGTCACCACCAATATCATACGACATCGCGTTGCTGCTTCCTTGAAAGTACTGATCAAGCAACGGCCAATCAAGCGGATCGTTGCTGTAGATCAAATCCCACATAGGATCAGCCATTGCAGGTGGACCGCTGGAATCAGCCACAGATGTAGCGCTGAGCATGTGAGTCGCAGCAGCCACATCATTCGACCCAGAGTCTGCTGCGCCGTATGCTGGAGGCGGTGACGTCCAGTTCAGAATGGTACCATTCTGTGGAGGAGGACCAGGAGCGCTAGCAGCAACAGCAGAACTCTCGACAGACTTGATTAGAAGCTCTAGCGTCCGTGCCGCCACGACGACCTCTTTGAAGACGATTTCTTCGGAGATCCAGATCTGATGTGCAATCTTTAAAGCAAGCAACTCCCGTTGAGCAGTGTTGTCCAGCTCCACGACGCCCACAACATGTGTAGACTTGTCAGGTTGAATTTTCGTGCGCATAGACAGATCTAGACATAGCACCATCGCCGCTAGGATGAAGTCGTAGGTCGTGGTGACCGAGCTCAGAATCCACCTGTCTTCGTAAAGCCGTCCTCCAGGTCGCGACGCTTGATGCAGATCAGCCTGACGGGCAAGGATCTCGAGGGCCGCCTCGACGCATTTGCTTCTGGAGATATCGAACTTTGGATTTTCCGTTTCGTGCCTGAGGTAGCGGCGATGAAGAACAATAAGGCCCTTGAGGTAGAGGATCTCCACCGTTGCTCGATCCCAGATCAGCGCAGAAATATCCATGAATGCTTTGTCAACATCTCTGCGTTGTATCAGGGCAGGCACTCTGGAGTACGTTTCTCGCATTTCCTGGTCGAGAGCCAGCGTCTGCTCATACGTGACCGGTGTGAGGGCTTGCACATGCTGGGTGATCTTTTTGAACATCGCCATGACTGGTGCTTTCGAGATTCCATATAGATTCGGCGTTCGATGTGTCAACGGTCGTGGTGGCGGCAGTGAAGTCATGCCGACCTCTAAATCGGAGAACTCGTAGTTGCCCGGTAAGGATGTATCATAGCTTTCGTTTTGGATCAAGCTAGGAAGACCAATCTGGAAGGAGCCCAATGCATCGACCTGTACCAAATGCATCCACACGCGACGACGCATCTCCGCATCAAGAACGGAGCAGTTCTGTAGCTTGCTCGGCTCACGGTGGTACGCGAGACGATAGGCAAGCTGGATCGTATGTCCGAGTGCCAGCCATAATTGTAGGTAGGACGAGTTGTCGGTAATGAAGCTGCTATGCATGTGAAGAAGAAGTGCTTCGAGCACATTTCTGTTGGCTGTGGTGTAGCCGCCGATCACGAGGCATTGCGAAGTACGTTTTTGTAGAGTTCTTGGTGACGGCATGGAGGACTCTGCGTTGTCCTTGTTTGTTCGCCGAATGCTGAGAGCCAAGGACAGTATGGCAAACAAGAGTGCAAGCCAGATGAAGTCCGGTTCTTCTGTGGGTGCCAACCAGAACTTTTCATACTGTACTCGAAATTGTTCAGGATGCACGATTGCAAGAACTGAGTAAGGCGTGTTGAAGAACTGCGAAAGAATACTGCTGCAGATAGGTTGAGTGGGCAGGTCTGTCAGTATCTCCTCGATAGTTGCCGGCGTGTTCTCGGAGAACATCGGTATTGTCGACAACGGTGGAGAAGTTGTGGAAGGCCCCTCCGAATGACTACTCACGGAAGGTACATCGCTTGTCGCCAGTGTCTCACGTACTTCTCGCAGCTCTTCGAGCACCGACTGCCAGTGACTGGCGTCGACGTACGAGACTTGGCCATCTCCACCCGCTATTGGCCGCGGACTTTCCTTGAGATGATCTGGGTCCGGGCTGCTAGGTGTGAGCTTGTCCGTAGGTTGGGCGGGACCTGTGAAAGAGGCCGACGATCCAGCCATCGAGAGTGACTGCTGCAGTTGAGCATCTCCATTTGGTTGAGTCTGCTGAGACACTAAGGAAGAAACAAGATTCTCCAGCTTATTCAATTTCTCTTTGAGCTGAGTTTCCTTAGAGGGAAGGCGCGGCCCACGGCGGGCGTTAGCTGAGTAGTAGCAGTCCTTAGCTCTTCTCACACAAGTCTCACACGGAAGCTCCCGATCGCACTTGAGTTTCCTGGCCCTGCATGGCTCACACGAGGCAGGCGGTCGGTTACGCTTCTCCATCGTGGATCCGAACAAGGTGACTTTGAGATACTAGCCACGTGCCTGAGTCGGGCGCGTACGCAATCTCCGCATACAGCTCTTCGATCCTGCCGGCCCAGACAGCTGTCAGTCCAGTGCGTGGGTCATGTCGAGATGGTGGAACGAAGCAGACGTCCCCAACCGGCGCCATGTTTGCGCGCTTGGAGTGCAATCCAGGAGTGTTACAATGGAGATATAAACGACCTTGGCGAGGGAGATTGTAAGTCCGCGCATCTAATCTTATCTAATCTGAGAGCTGCGTCGATAGCCCATCGGCGCCGAGATGCGGTCGAACCACATCCGTGCGGGTTGTGTACGCTAGCATCAATTGAGCATCTTTTGACTCCGGCGACTTCATACAGTTTTATACGACGATGTAGAGAGTTTTACGGTTTGTATTTGAGCCGCATGCGGACGCATAGAAGAGCGAATAGTCCGATAACAGTGCCCGAATAGTCTACCGACAAAGTCCTCCGGGACATGTATATAAATGCACGGCGCCCGGCATGACAACCACGTCGAGTGTGCCATACGTTCGCTTTAATTGCTTTGAGCAGATCAAAGAGCCAGTTTTACCATCCGTACTGCTGCGTACCTAGGGCATCATGTCGACTCTATCAGCCATCTATGGCACAGCCCATGCAATCCTCTCCAACTTCTTCGTTACACCACCTGTACCACAGGCTCATGGCGACATGTCCAAGCTCATCTATATTGTGACAGGAGCAAACACCGGTCTCGGCCTCGAGTTGAGCCGCCACCTGCTTCGTTTGGGCGTAGGCAAGCTTATCATGGGCGTTCGAAGCCCTTCCAAAGGCGAAGCCGCCAAGAGAGATCTCCTCACTTCTACTAAGCGAAAAGAAAGCTCGGTCGAGGTCTGGACTGTGGATATGGACGACTATTCGTCCATCAAAGCCTTCGCGAAGCGAGTGCAGACGTTGCCTCGAGTCGATGGCATCTGCGCCAATGCAGGAATGATGACAACAACCTTCAGCCTCAGCGAAGGCATCGAGAAGACACTCAACGTCAACGTCGTCAGCACCTTCTTGCTTTTCTTCCTCCTACTCCCGAAAATGCGGGAGCATGAGCAGACCATCGGCACTCGCACACACTTCACCGTCGTCAACAGCGGTCTGCATTACACAGCAAAGCACAAGGAGCTATACCCAACGCACGACATCCTCGACAGGCTGAATGATCCGAAGAAAGCGGATATGGATAATAGATATCCGCTGAGCAAACTGCTCGTGCTTTGGATGGTGCGAGAGCTCGCTGCTCAAGGAACTTCGATGCCTATCCTCAACAGTCCGAACCCAAGCTTCTGCCAGTCTGGTCTGCTTCGCGAAGACGACAGTGCTTTTGCCAGAATCGCAGAGAAGTACCTTGCCAGAACGACCGAAAGCGGTAGTCGGACGCTTTACCACGCGCAGTTTGCCGGACCGGAGTCGCATGGACAGTATTTGGCCAATTGTCATGTACAGAAGTAAGTGCACCGTACTGATTGTGAAGCTGTGTACTGACTCGTAACAGACCTGCGAGTCATGCTACCTCCAGAGCGGGCCAAGTCATCCAACGTCAAGTGTTTGCAGAACTGCTTGAGAAGTTAGAAAACATTGAGCCTGGCGTCACCTCTAGCTTAAAGAGTTCCATGACGCAGAAGGTGAAGGCCTAATGACTTGGCCTGCCACTATTTATGGGTTCTCGAAGGGCGCCATTGATCAGATTGAACAGAGCATAGTCGCGTCTTGCTTGCGAGGATGCATCGTCTGGTCGTTGTATACGTACCACAATCTTCATTGCAAGTCGTATCACCAACCAAACTTTTCCACATGCACCTCAACATGATAGCCTTCACGAACAAGTCTTGCAGCGCCATTGCGTACAGATCTAACAAGGCTGTCAGGTCCACTGACAACGATCAGATGCGTCTTGCTCGACAGTGCCCCCGATCCGGCCTTTTGCCCCTTCCCCGAGTCCAGCTCGACCCACTCTCGCAGCTCAGTGAAGATGTCAGGTCGCAATGCGTGAACTCCTCGAGTGCTGAACCGGGCCGTGATTAAATCCGCAGCACGGCCGTCGTCTGCTGACAAAGGAGCCACCAGGCCTTCAACTGAGTGTCTTGTAGAGTCCAGTCTGGGCACATACTGTAGCCACCGATCAGACTGAGGGTCCTGCCTGATCCAAATATGGCTGTGCTTATTGTTTTGTACTTGCTCAGTCCCAGAGATTTGGGGGACAATTCGACGACCGTCCTCATAGACAGTCCGCTGACTCAGGACTGCTTCAGGAGTCGCTCTGACCTGCAGAGCCCAGGCAAGAGGGTATGTGACAGCTATCCCGCTTCCGCCAGCGATGAGACAGACCCGATCGACTTGTTTCATAGTCGCCAGTGTATCCGTAGAACCGTATGGACCATCCAACAGAATCTCTACATGTTGATGATATTTGGCGAATGCCAGCAGCTCCCTAGAGAAGCCATCCTGAGCACGGATAATCAGCTGCAGCTGCCACGGTCCGGTATAGCCAGTCGGCGGTGGCGGTGAAGCGATTGTGAAAGGATGCGTTTGCAGTCTGTGTCGAGCGTAGCCCAAACTGGGCACCGTGACGAAGACATGCTGTGCCGCTTCCCATCCTTTCGAAATGCTTGAGGGGAGCCCTTGTCGCCTAGGCGTGACCTGAACAGTGCAATGCAGCAACACCGTCTTCTGGTCAGGCGCAATCTCAAGCGTAGCAATGTGCTGCTCGCTCGAGACCACATTCCGAATCATCGCCCTGTCTATCGCCCATACTGCGAAACTCGCCAACACATATGGCCGGCTGTTGTGGTGGTGAAAGAACAAGAACACCAAAGCAGCCACCTGGAGCACAACATGCAATAGCAGGAACCTCTCGTAGAACAACTTCCTCACCCACCCGATACTGCTCACATAGATCGCCAAGTACGCAACGAACGCAAATAAGCCAAGCAGACCCACCCTTCCACTAATGAATCTGAGAAATCCAAAATGCAGCGGCCTCAGTAGCGTGTACCAAACGCCAACCATCCCAACGGAATGCATGGCTGCCAGAGCAGTCATCCACTCGCCCAGGCGACGATGAAAGATGTTGAGACCCTCATAGGACCAGCCGGAAAGTGCCAGGATCGGCTGATTTGTCTTTGCAGCGAGTACGTACAAGACCGGAAGATTCATGGCGAAGCATAGGCCAGCTCGATCGGCGAAGGCGAAGAGCATGGGTATGCTGAGCTCGGTGTGGTACAGGAGGTAGAAGATATTGACGGCTAGCATCAGAAGTACCGCGATAGACGTGCCATTTTCTGGTAGTGTGCTCGTGGGTGATGTGAGTGAGGGTAACGGCCTGGGTTGGTACATGCATATCGACCGGGCCGAGCGCGCGAAGGTGGTGAAGATGCCGCCGCGGGCAGGTCCGTCACTTGAGCGTGCATCACTAAGTAGAGGCTTCCTTTCTGGATCGCCCTTGGGTGCGACAGCCTCTTCCGTCAGTGTGTCGCTTGACGATGCATAGGACGCAGGTGTTTCGACGCCCGACTTCGGCCTCTGGCCTCTATGATATAAGAGTTTCTTTGTCCCCCGCACGCTTGCGAGGGTGGCTACCAGCACGGCCACCACGATATAGTACGTGAGCACGAACTCCCGACTGTAAAGCACAGCCTCGACGAGCTTGCGCAGGGCAGGATTTCGCGGGTTGAACGTCTCGTCATCGTTTGCGGTCCAGACATCGTAGGCAGTGGCCTTAAGAGAGAGCCGAACCACCTGTAGCAGCTCCGAGGGCAGTATAGAGTCCTCCATGCCGTCGTGCGGCATCTGACAGAGGCTTCGCGAAGGAGCATGCGCAATGGTAAGACTGTGCGAGAGCGTATCTGATGACGGCGTGATGTCCGCTTCTTTGTTTAGCCGATCAGATCTTATCTTGATCCTCGGCGTTTGTCACCGCCTACTGCTACGTTTTACGTTTCCACACCTTACGAACGCGATAACGTCACGGCCACGACTCTGGTATGCTACAATTCGGTGGACTTGCTGATCAACGGGCCCTCTTGGATCCTGAGGTGAACTGATTTTACTCGCAGGGCTAGGCTGGCTGCGCGTGGGACGCTGCTCTATGCTTATAAGCGTCTCCTGCTGCTGCTCCCGATGCTCACATTCTGAGCAGCGACATTGCCACCAGAGACCCAGATCTGTTCCGCTGATAGGGAGCTGTTCCAACTAACGTCCAGCTTGAGGGTCTCGTTCGGGAACAACGTGACATAGTTGTCCGACCACAAAGCGGGCAAGACTTCTTTCCCGTTGGTATCAACCAACACCAGACGAATGAACCAAGCTGGAATCTCAGATTGATTCTCGAGTATCACCTCAGCGGCAGTAATGTTGTCAGTATGAGCGCTGTCGCCCATACTGACACCGATCGAAGCATTCGGCATACTGAAGAGTGCACTGAGATCAGCATACTCAGTCACTGGCGTGCTGAACCAGGAGCTATTCGTCCAATTCATGACATCGTTTTGCGCCGTGATCCAGTACACGTTGCGACTAAACTCAACATCCGCTCCACCACTGAGCACCAATTTGAGGAAAGCCACATCTTCGATCTCGTTGGTGGCGTTGACGTAGTCAAGCAGATGCGCCGAATTGGGGAATGCGTCCATGGACAGGTCTGCGTGAATCAAAGTTGAGCCATTCAGGCTGATCAGATCGACGGTCACATTTCGACTGCCTGTTGAGTTTAGGGCGTGGCTGACCACGTATATGCTGGAGTCTTTGTAACCATAAACAACGTGTTCTGGTCTGGTACCAACTTTAGTGCCATAGTAGGAGCCCGCTGCTGCCAAATAGTAGTCGAAGAGCTGCCAATGTAGATTTGGCCAGGCGCCCTAGATAGTCAGGTATGAATGTCGGACGGTAGACAGCGACGAGACATACCTGAAGCATCCAATATATCATGCCAGTAGCGGGCCTAGTGTCAGTCTTGCGAGCTGCGAATGCCTCGAATTGTGATCGAGTCGCCTCGTAATCCATGATCTGAGCTTTCAAGAGGTAGTCTTCGAGGCTCTTCGGCGCGCCATATTTGTTGTAGAGCGCCTCGTTGTAGATCGATCTATCGTAGAAGCTAGAGACGTTCGTGGACATGTGGTAGAGACCCATGTCTGGCTCCTGCCACATATCATCCAGATCTCGTTCGGACAAGAACTTAGTCAATGACCCCATCTCTGGCGTTCCTACGCCTGACCCAAGCTCAGAGCCGAAGCCGAAGGCGGCGCCCAATTCATCATACCACCAGTAACTGCGAGTGTCAGTATGAAGTAGGGATAGGACAAGGGGAAATACTTGTTCGGCACCCAGTCATATGGGCCATCCATCTTCATGCCAGAAATGCCGAGCAGGTCAGGATAGCCACGCTCTGCAGCAGATGCGATGATAGGGTTCGGCCAGTCATATTGGTTCAAGGCGTCCACATAGATCTGCGTCGCGCGATCGTCCGGCCAGAAATCCGAGCCCACAAGAAATGCTAGGAAGCTCGGATGAGACTGCATAGCAGCAGCCTCGTGCAGCATAGACGCATTGGCAACAGCATAATCTGGATCCGTCCATTTCACTCCGTCTGCTTCATCGTTGTACTCCCATCCTTCCCACTTGTCGCAGCACTCCCAGCCTGCCATGATAAACACTCCCATTTCGTCTGCGAGCTCATATAATTCCGGATGTTCCTGCTTGCCTTCCAAGCGGATCGTGTTCAGGCCCATGTCCAGAACGAGCTGGAGCTGCTTCCGAGCTCGATCAGTGTCGAATCGGTAGAAGATATCTGCTGAGTATCCGGCTCCGAGTACAAGAAAAGGGTAGCCGTTGACGAGGAATGCAGTGTCGTTGTAGCCATTCCGGTAGGATGTGACGTGTCTGATGCCAAAGGATCGCGTTTCTGCGATATCGGATAGAGACCCGTCAGAGACCGTTGCGTTGACTTTCAGCGAGTATAGTGGCTGGGATCCCCACTGGGCGGGCCACCATACCTGAGGATCATGTATGGCGACTATCATAGGTACCGTCATTTCCTCTCCGGGCCCGATTGTTTGGCTAGCTGTGCCAAAATACTGCTGCCCATCTGGTGACGCTATCACAGTGTCCAGTATCACGTTCTGTGAGGCGTTGGCGCTGTTGAGAACATCTACGCGTACAACTGCAGTGACACTCCCTTTCCAAGTGTGCTCGAAGTCAGTCGTCACTCTCGGTGCTGACAATGTTACTGAACCACTCTGACGGATCGAAACTTCTCGCCAAACCCCTGTGCCGTTATCGAACGGATAAGGATTCCAATCAACAAAGCCCATAGCGAAGTCGCGTAGATAATTTGTAGGATAGGCCGTAATCAGAATGCAATTGTTGCCGTCATTGAGATAGTCAGTGATCTCGTATCGGTGCCCTCCGTACGAGCCAACCTGTGTGTCATTGGTAGCGACGGTCTGCCCATTGACATAGATATCTGCTCGAGATGTGATACCATTGGTGTTGAGCCAGTAGTGTTGATCCTTGCCTGTGCTGATGTTGAACTCCTCCCGGTATACCCAAGGTATTTCAAATTCCGAATAGTCTACCAACGTCTCAAGATTGTCGCTGAAGAACAGCACCGTGTCATTGTAGACGCCATTCTCGATGAGACCAGCCGCGACGGTGCCTCTGTATGATACCCGATACCATTCACTTACATTTGCACCAGCAAGGGACAGACTGCTGAGGTTAGTCGGGAGGTTCGCAGTCGACTGCAGATACCAGCCTGGTATGACAGCACTTTCGCCGGCACTCGATACCAATTGCGCAGAAGCCGCCGCGAGCGAGAACACAACTGACAAATATCTCATTGTCAGTAACGACTGCTCAGCTCTACCTTGACCAGCACCAGCACAACAGAGGCTAAGCAGCCACCTTAACCATAAGTACTTGGGCAGGTACCTGGGTAGATAACATCTTGACTTGACAGCTATGCCCTCATGGGAAGTTGCATTGATCCCAATGCCGAACTCCGCGGTCATGATTCCTGTGAAATCATAAACTCAAGGTGAAGAGGTCGCAGATCAGTTGCAACCTCCTCTCTCACCGTCTCGTCTGGAAATGCTACCGCGGGGTAGTCGTGGGCATCGTGGCAGTGGCTTCGTGCTGCACTCCTTCGGGAAATGTTGTCTAGCTTTATCTAAGCTCTGACTATCGACTTCAAGCATGATAAGCTTCAGGGTTGACATTTCTGATCATGACAAAGTCCGCGAGCTCCTGATGAGGAACGAACGCGACGTTCACGAAGCTCCCGGGCTCGCAAGGATTCCGCCAAGCCTTTTACGCCTTGACCGCTGGCCGACTTTATTCTCTTCGTCATCCTTTACAACTTCAGCGTGGTTGCTGGGCGAACCGTCGAATGACAGCATAATGCTCGCGCTTGGGCCTCAACGATCTGGCACGATGATTTCCTCGCAGCAGGACCATCACACCGAAAGGATCATGTTATATGCACGGCGTACTCGGCGACCACGAGCCGTACAACTTACCTAGTCACACGGCTGCTGCAGTAGCAATCTGATCTGTTGTTCCGTCTGCTTCCAACAGTGTCCGACCTCAATGAAGACTACTGAGATAGTAAGTAAGGTTGTCTGTCCACTGGCAAGAACATCCGCGCGGTCACGAATTCTTGACAACGCACAGAGCAGATGCATTCCACCTCGTACCATCAGGATGACTCTCCACTCAAACATTGTTGTTGTCAAAACCTTCCTGTATTAAAGTCTTCGTATTTCATTCGCACGTTCTGGTCTTCCTAGGCATCTTTCTTGGAACAATATACACTAGAAGCCTTCAGCACAAAACCAATTTCTAAGCAGATCCTCCATCTTCCCTCAAGATGCGTCACTCGTTTGCTCCTCTCATCTTTGCGGCCGCGGCATTCGCCCTTCCTCAAGCCAGTCTCGACGGCCTCACTGCCTGTGCGCAGACTGCCGTCCTCGGTGCACTCGCTGGTACCGGCTGCGGACTCACAGATGTCAAATGCATCTGCGCAGCCTCGGGCTTTCAAGCGGCTGCTCAAGCGGCAATCACTACCGCTTGTGGTGCTGGTGATGCTGAAGGTAAGCACTGAATTCTATAACCATGTACAAGTCTGGTTGTGTATCGTCCACGTACTAACGCCTCACTTTAGCGACCACAGCCTGGGCCACCTCCTACTGTGCTGGTGCCGGCTCCCCGCTCCCCAGCGATAGCACTATCTCGGGTGACATTGCTGACCCGACTATGATCTCCTCCACCCCCACAGATACGTATGCCGGCCAAGTCACCAGCACCACGGACGTTCCCGCCGATGCCACCACTGCTTGGGTCAATGGCACATGCACCAAGTGCGCGCACAGCAACGACACTGCGCCCTTGGCGACCCCTTCAATGCCTCAGGAGCCCAGCCCGAGCAACACGGGTAGTTCGGGTCCGTCGTACACGGGTGCGGCGAGCAAATTCGGCGGTGTTGCTGGCATGATTGGTGCCGTGGCCGCGGCTGCTGTCTTTGCTCTATAGATCTCTTTTGTTTCATCTGTTGGTTGGGGAAAAGTATGGTTCGGAAGGTGGTTACAGGTTGAAAACGTTGCATTTCACAGACCCAATTTGACCAGGGTAGTTCGATATACAGTACGAAAATGACAATGCCAACTACAAAAATGTCATTGGCCGACCGACAAGGGCACGTTGGTAGCCACTCGAGTAAATGAACTGGTGTCGTCTATCTGGAGCAAGGTCGCAGAACGTGGCATAGATGTTGTTGGCCTTGAGCAATGTGAAGGCCAACAACATCTGTGTCACCCTCTGCGGCCTCGGGCCAGACAGACGAAACCAGTTCATCACTTAAGTAAGGACCTTCGCGCATCACAGGTAGATTCTCGAGGCACAAAAAGGACCATTGTGTCTACATGATATAGTCTGTCTGTCTATATACCAATCCTCGGCCGTCAATTCGTATACAATCATGACCAACGCTGTCCCGCCGTAGCATGTACAATCACCACCTGTCCGTCCCATCCAAGCTAGCCGGCCGTGAAACTGTAGGTTCTGTGTCTGGGTTCACCAAGCAAGATCGAGCCCGTCGTCTTGATTTCCCTTGGGCGTGAGCCGTCCTGTTCCATTTGTCTTCCGACCAAAAATTCAAAACAAGCCGCCATAGAACATGCAAAGCAAAAACACCGCCACCCTGATCGACCCCAGCCAGCGATCTAGACCATAGACCTCTCGATTCTCCCATCTTTACCAAGACTGAGGCCTCGGGAAGGCGCCCTGTTGTCCATGCGAGCCCCAGGCACGCCAGCACCACCCTCAATAGCGCTCTGCAAACCCAGCGGCACTAACTCGACATCCGAGTCAGTGTCATCCTCACCTCTCGGCTCCCTCGACCTTGACGAGTGTTGATACTGATTGACCATATGACTTCCCACGGCGCCTCCCGCACCAGCAACCCCGCCCCTGCTGAAGTTCCTCGTCTCACTGTTCCCTCTCCCTCGACCTACTGTCCCCACAGCCGTAGTCGCCTCACTATGCCTACTCACATGCCCCTTCGGCAACCTCGCAACCCTCCCATCCTCCCCAACCTCATAACTCCACTCACCCGTTGTCGTCGCACTACTCACCACATCCACGACCTTGCCCTTACTGATCGTCTTCTTATGTATTGGCCCCGTCCCGTCACTATTACTCCCCACCTGCCCAAAGTCACTCGCACCAGCCTTCCGTCGCCCGCCACCAATCGTATTGACGTAGTAGCCCTCGTCGGTCGCGGCAGTTGAGCCGAGGCCACAGTTGGGGAAGTAGCGGCGCAAGATGACGCGTGCGGCGGGCATGCAGAAGCAGGCGATGCCAATGTTGAGTTCGAGGTCGGACCAGTAGCCGAGGGCGACGTAGTCGCGGGAGAGGTTGTGGAGGAGCCGACTGCGACGAGGGAGGGGATGCGGATTACGGAGACTAGTGTTACGCTGCGCATGTTAGAATCGGATCAGGATTCTGGAGGAATTGACCCAAGGCCAAGCAAGAGGGAGAACTTGCAAGAATCCGACAGCAAACATGAGCAGCACTTGCCAGCGCTTCTTTTTCGAAAGGTTCAAGGTACGCAGCTGGAACATCGGCAGGGCGAAGATGGCGAAGTCCAGAATGATGTTGACGATGGCATGAATAGCGGCTCCAACCTCAAATCCAAGGCATGATCCCTCTGCTTCGCCGTCCCATTGTAGCCAAGTGTATGCGACGGGACTGCACTGGAATGCAAAGAGAAATAGGAAAATGACGCCTTGGATTCCAGTAAGAGCGAGCATCGGAAAGGCGACCCGACGCAGTCCGGGTGTTGGAAAGAGTCGTATGTAGAAGCACAGAAAGGCCATCTTGGTCACTGCGACGCCGGTCACGTAGACTAGTCCGCCGGCGTAGAAGATCTGAAGACGTCAGTCGTCAATGTCGAACAATAGAGTCTTGTGATTGGCGATGCGTACCTCCAGTATCTTGTCGGTGTGCGAGAAGGGTATCCGCCATGCATCTCTACCGAAGCCCCATCCTCGTGCTATGTAGAGGTCAGTCCGAACCGTACAGTGCAGAAGGTCAGGAAGCATCGTACCTATAGGATTGCAGATCGCATTGCCAATCATCATGACCTAGACACTGATCAGTGACCGTGCGTCGAAAGTGCTTGTCGAGCGTACCGTCCCAACAGCAATCAATATATCGTCCCAACCCCACGCGCGCGTGCTCGCAAACACCATCAACTGCATGCCAACGAAGACAAGCGACACTCCCATCGAGACGAAAGTGACTGCCGTGCCGGACGGGCCTATGTCGCGATCGGGGAACTGACATGTCGTGGAGGTTATATTATGCGATACTGTGACAGCCGTCAGCACATCTGGCAGACTAAATGCCATGGTGACGCGACTGACTCAATGCTTCCCGTATCGTGCAATTCTTGTACCAGCAATCCTGGGCGTCTTCGAAAAGAGGCTGGTCATTGCAAAAGCAACGAAAGCCATCTTGCAGTCCGACGCAACGGGCGCAGTCACTTGGTTGATGCAGTCGACCTGTCATTCGCGTCAGTACGTCGCATGTTCGACCAGTCCTCGCACACCACGTACCGCGCACGGTGCCCATTCGAGCGGTTCGGTTTGCGCATGCGCAAATCCGAATATGAACAGAAACGTTACGAAAGTAGTGAATACACGTAACCGCTCGTGCCGCATAGTTGTGTATAGAAGAAGAAGCAACGTCAAGCAAGACACCGCAGCTAGAAATCCCCGAATCAAGACCTTGGGGACCTACTATGGGTAATCGAGATCCCTTCTCCAGGTCGCAAGCGATGGAGTCGTCCTCATCGAAGTCCAGCCCGGCAAGCCGGATCAGCGTGTAATAGCAGTAGTGCCGGTAGTGTGAGTCCATATAACGGTGCCTCTGACATGGGATTGGATGCAAGAATGGGACGGCCTTGAAACATGTGCAAAGGCGAGTCGTGCTTGGTTCCGCTGTAGACCATATTCAGATGGCGGAAACCGGGATTCTCACGTGGGAAGTGCTCCATCGTCGTCTGGTTGACCACTGGGGTGACAAGCCGTGATGGGGAAAGCCATGATGCACCTAAGCGAGTCGTCAAATGTCATTCGGAACCCCGTCAGTAGCAGGAAAAGCAATCCACTAGCATGTTCCTGGCACAGCGGGGAATTAGCGAGGTCGCCAATGTCAGAGATGCGGAGGAGTCAGCCTCCTTTTGGTCTCATCTTCATAAAATCAGAAGCTTGGAGAGCTTGCGCACATTGTTCAGCTTGTCGCTGACCACGGCCAAGTCTCGACATTCGGTACAGTTGTGGCTTCATTGCGACATTGAGACTATGATGAAAGCTAGAATATGTCAGAGGTTCTGGAAGGTGAAATTACCTGCAGCAGGAGCGCCAGAGAAACTCAAAATCATGCTTTAGCTGCCCGACATTGCGCGAAACACTAGCGTTCGCTCCAGCTGTTTCCAGCATCATCAGGGTTGAAACTCGGGCCAAAGTTTCTTCAGTCTGGTGCACTCCTCAACTGCCGACTCCGATGGCGAACAGTCGAAGGATGGCATGATGTCGGCACAAAGTAGTTGAAGTCACAACACCGGCGCCAAACGAGCCATAACGAGCAATTGTTAAAGCTGTGGTTGTGTCAACAACATGTCAATGACAGTAACTCGATGAGGCGGTCGTCAACGCTATATCAGCAAGCGCGACGGCAACGACTCGCCGAGGCAGCCACAGGAACGCGTCTCTGCGTCGATAAGCGAGCTCTTCGCTGACGATGAGGTGTTCGAGGAAGCTGTGGACGTTAGCCGAGGCATGTGTCGTTCTGGCCTCCGAAGCGATATTAGGGCAGTGGCGAGTATAGCACTGCTTCTTAGCCCTTAGAGAAGAACAATTGAGCGTCACTTTGCTTGGACTCTCATGGGAACTTGAAACTCAGGCGGACCTCGGGGAGGGTCGCCAGCTTAGCGCCAAGCTGGGCGCACCGGATGACGAGATCTCGAGGCTCAAGCCGATTGACAAGCTTGCCCGATGCGTTCTGAATTACTAGCTGCTCATGCCTCGTCCCTCTTGCTTACCCACGGAGTAAGCCGCACTAGCAGATCATCATCATGGCATTTTCCTCACCTACATGAGGTCTACTGCTGTATGCGCGGAGCGGTCACCCAAGGACCATTTCTGCATTCCTACTCCGTTGGGCGCATTTATATATCTGACTGTCCCCACCCAACACAACGAATCTTTCCGCAGCGCCCAGCAACATAACAGGTTCTCAACTGCCTTTGAGAGTACATCAGATACACGCAACTAGAGTCTCTCGACTCGACTCAGTCTGAGGTTCAGCGAACGCCATCTGAACTCCACGGATGAAGCAAGGCTCACGCAGGCCAGATATGTAGCAAAGGCACGCTCACGTCAACTACTCGGCAGCAGTCGATTGTGTACCCTATACAGAACAAAGAGCAGTGACTTCCTCCTGGCCGACTCAGAGAAGTGATCATTTCGGTTTGCCACGGATCCTTCCTTTGCTAGAATCATGCTTTGGTAGTTCTTGCTACTGCCTAGTGGGACGAGCAGATTCGCAGCAAGGTTCTTCGCATCGCTCGGACGGACCGTGGCCGCGCGCAACCTGGCCATCTTCAACTCATCAGCAGCTGAAGCAGAGGCCTACGCCTGCATGATGGAGAAGACACTGTTGCAGTGAGCGTACGGTTCTGTGACCGAAGGGTGTATGAGCAGCTATGCCGCGGTGGATCGAGGTCAGAAGGCAGAAAGAGTCTCAGGCAGATACGACGTAAAAAGCCTCGCGGTGCGGTGAGGATTGCGACGGAGGCCCTAGCCATGGAAAAGCAAGCGTCTTGAGCCAGATTGAAGCATTTGTCTATCTACATGACTACTTGAATCAAGTAACCGTTCTCCTGATATTATGACACTGTAGTAACAGCATTGACCCAATGCATTAACACCCTCACCATTCGCTCATCAAGACATAAAAGCAGTGACTCCAAAGGCGACGCCCAAGACTCCCATAACACCATTGCTTCCAACACTCTGAGCAGCAGCACCTGTGAACACACTGACCTGAGGCTGCGATGGCGTACTCGCACTGAAGCTTGCCACAGCGCCACCAGTGGCAGCAGCAGCGCCGGAGCCCGCAGGCTGAGGCTGCTGGGGCACAGTTAACGGCGAAGACGGACCTGACGATGGTGCTGCAGCGACAGAAGCAGGGATTGGCACGAGGCCAACACTAGCGACAGCCTGAGGCGTCGGTGCAGCAGTACCCTGTCCTGCCGCGGTGGGAGTGATAGTTTCAGCGCCGGTCACGAATGTCACGAGCGGCACTGTAACGGTGCTGATCTGCGTGATCGTGGTCGTTGGGTTGGTAGTAATGATGTTGGTGAAAGTCACAGTCGTGCACGGAGGAGGCGTGATCGCTGGTGGAGCGGGCGGCTTCGCAACCTCGCTCGTTGGACCAGACGTCGATGGCCCTGGTGGTGGCGGGATGGGCGTGACCTGCGCAACCAATCCAATACTGCTGGGCACATCGGTGCAAATGCCTGGGTTCTGAGGGATGAAGGCGGCGCAGATGCCGGCGAAGTAAGACAGAGCGGCTTGTGTCTCGGAGTCTGAGCCGGACCAGCACGAGACGCAAGAGATGACATTGCGTGTGAAGTCAGTGTTGGCGCACATGCAGGCGATGTCGCTATTGGACTTGCAGGTGGTGGAGGAGAGCCAGGTGTTGAGGCAGCGAGGAAGTGTTGGTGGACATGGGGCGTCTTGCTGAGGTGGTGGAGGAGGGGGCGGTGGCGGTGGCGGCGGCCGCGGTGCAGCCGATGTCGTGGTTGTAGTCGTGGTGAGTGTGGACGGCGTCGAAGTGGGCGGCAATGTGGTGGACGGCGGTGTCGTGGGGACCGTCTCTGGGCCTGTCGTAGTTGTCGAGCTTGTCGATGTAGTGCTTTGCGTCTGAGCACTAGTGGACGCTGTCGATGTCAGGAAACTTGACGTACCGCTGGTCATCTGATACGTTGAAGTGTTAGTAAAGGGAGGGAGCGTAGGTTGACTGCTCGAGCTAATGCTTACATCTGACCAGCATGACGAGCAGCTGTAGCTTGTGCTTGAAGTAGCAGCGCTGGTGAAGGTACTCAAGGTCGAAGGCGACGTGGTGGTTGTCAAAGGCTGAGTTATGGTTACGCTAGTTGACAGGGTAGTGGTGACGGAAGTTGTCGTTGACGAAAGGGTAGTAGTTGTTGTCGTCGAAGTCGTTGTCGATGTGCTCGGAGGCGGAGGAGGTGGCGGCGGCGGCGGTGGTGGAGGTGATCCCTCCTCGCAATCGAAGTCGATGCGGTGAACACCAATCCCACACTCGCGACCGTTCTTGGGCACCTGAAATGCAACACTCCTCGCTCCGCCACACTGGGTATTAGCCACCTTGCTTCCACCAGCCGAGCATCTCGAAGTCTGCTTGCAGGTCGTCCCATCAGGCATGTCGTACACAAAGTCAATATCAGCATCGAACTCGACCGTCACTTCCATCTCTTTGATTGAGAAGTTCTTGTCCGGGCTACAAGCAACCTTCGGCGCCGTCGCCTTGTCTTGGGTGCATTTCCCTTCGATCACCTTCTGCTGGAACGGACTGCGAGCTGCGATGGTACGTCTCGACTTCCGCCCAGCAGAGAAGGAGTCTTTGCAGTCGAACCCTGAGAAGTCAAAGCCTCCAAAGTTTGACACTTTGCCCGTGCCCAAGCCTGACCAGTCGAAACCTCCCTTCTGGACATCGTTGCAGAAGTTGTCGTTGTTGATTGGGTTCTGGTATCGAGGCGCGAGGCCCCAGTTGAACGTAGCTGCAGCCGGCTGCAGCAGTGCAAGCGAGGCCAGGAGGCCCGTAATCAAGGTGACCGTCATGTAGCGAGTGGGACTGTATGTTGTGCGAAAATAGATCGCGGGTAGGTAACGACTGCTCAGAGAAACGAATGTCTATAAGCCAAGAACGAGGGACTAACAGCAAGGAAATAATACAAAAGCGACTGAACACCTGAGCGAAGGACAGGTTAGGAAATGAAGGCTTGCATGCTGCTGACCATCAGTGGGATTGTGCCTTTTGTATACCTTTGTTCAAGTCTGCGGTCAAGGTCGGGGCATCTTGGTGGAGTTTCGACCATGTACACTACCAAGGTGTCTTTGTTCCACAATGAAGCATTTGATGTCAGTATGATATTCAAGCAGCTCAGATAGGACGGAACAGGTGCATTGAGCAGCGCTTGTCGTCCAGCATGGATCTTCAAAATCCAGTCAGCCTCAAAAGACTGGTGTCGATATGAAACAAGACAACGCCGGCACTAGCAGCTGCGCTGTTTTTCATGTGTAGAAGCAAGACATCGGGGTCGATAAGTGGCATATGTCCACAGTGGAAAGGGCACTGTTATCATCCCCTGGGAGGGACTGCTGGCTGTCAGGAGCCGGATCGCACTGTGTCCACTGCATCGTCAAAGCGAGCCGCTCAATCGAACCCACGATGGAGGCTGAGTTGGCACAGCTCCCAAGAATCTACATTGACGGCATTCTGGACATCGACTTTCTTTGGTCGTGGTGTCAAAGGAAGAGGAGATTGCCCAGTTTGAAGAAGGCGACACGAACAAAACATTGGCGCGTTCTGATTGGCTGGCGCCTCGACCAACCGCCAAACATCTTTGTCTCAATTTGCCACAAGTACGCGCCGCGTTGATGCTTTTAATAGCTTCACGTGAAGGGCTCGTGCAACTGCTCAAGTCCAAGTCGCACTCTCATGCCCCACAAGACTGAATACGCATTTAATGTCTTAAGGACTTGGCTCACCTATTTCGACTCCTGACTTGAACTGGCAGTATATCCCTTTCCGCAGCTATTTTCCATGTTCCCCGGCGCCATAATGATGGTTCACCAGTGGCGCATGGCCCTCAGATCCATACGCATTGCCTCCGTACTCGAGATAACCCTCCACTCCCACTGAATCCTGCATGATATCCGCCGCATCACCCATGATCCACACCGTCTGCATCCCCATGATCATGTGCTGCAGCGTATGACAATGTAGCAACCACACTCCCGCATCCACCACTCGGAGCCTCCAAGCCCTCCAGCCTTGGTCCTCATCCGGAGGTAGCTTTGTGTTCGTCGTGTACTTGTATAAGAACGTCGTGTCGCGCAATACCGGAGTGTAGTTTGCGGCTCGAAGCTTTGCCTCATTAGCAGCCGGGCTGTAAGTCCCAGGACCGGAACCAAGATCGTAGTAATGTCCGCCGTGCGCGTGCAGAGGATGAATGTCGAAGCCACCCGCGGGATCATTGGGCCGCTGAACCCATACGATCTCGAGGACGTCACCTACCGAGGCAGCATAGGCGTCAAAGGCGGACACATAGCTATTGTTTCCGGCAGCAATGGCTGCATCTGGTACCGCTGCTTGACCCTGGCTGTAGATGTCTACTAAGTACGGCGTGCCGCGTGGGCGATCTGGGGAGACGAGTTGTCCGTTGAAGTGCCAGACCAATGCGCCGGAAATGTTGACCTGTTCTGTGTAGATGTACACCCGACTGGTGACTTCATCTAGGGTGGGGAAGGCAGCGGCGTCCGCGGGGGAAAGGGGTTCGAGGGTGTACTCAAGCCAGTCAAGCGAATGCGTGACGTTCAGGACTGGTGATGACTGCGGTGGGGCTGGTCCGCAGCCTTTGCCGTCATACGACAAGCAAGCGTACGAGGAGTAATTCACGGGACGGTACTCGACTTCGAATTGGATCCAGAAGTTGGACTTGCCGAGAGTGGCCAATTGGGCTGCGCTCTTGGTCTTCAGGAGGTAATCGAAACGTTGGCCCGAGCCTAGCTGCATATGTGAGACAGAGGCGGGTTGGGTGTAGCTGCCGTCAGCTTCGATAATTGTGAGCTCGTCGTGTTCTTCGATGGCGTAGCTAAGCGCAGAGAGCGACATGGCGGCAATGTTGCGGAATCTATACGTCTTGCCGGGCTCGACTTGTATGATCTCTGGGCCGCATTGGCCTTCGAAAGGGTGGTCGGAGGGTGTTGAGGTAGACTTTGCTGGTGCGCTGTTGCCATTGACTAAAATTGCCATGGCCTCGCCGCTCCAAACAAAAGGCGTCGCCTCAAGGCCCTCAATGATTGCGCTATCCGACTTGTTGAAGTATTCCGTAACCATGATGGTCCGTTCCTCGTCATACTCGTACGGCGGCTTGTCACAGTCATCGACGATCAACGGCCCGACTGCTGAAACTGTCTGAAAGCCGACATGCGAGTGGTAGAAGTAAGTCCCAGCTTCGTCCGCAGAAGGATGTAGTTCGTAGTCGAAGAAATGCAGTGGTGGAATCGGCCACTGACTGAGCATTGGAGTTCCGTCACTAAACGGGCTGACAGACTGCGACAGTCCATGCCAATGTACCGTAAGATTCTGGTCCTCCATATCATTGTACACCCGTACCCACGTCGTCTCATCAGGCTTAATATGTACCGGGGGCCCAGGCGAAGTCCCATTCACCACAACTGACGACCGCCCTCGACATGCTTGGTTGCTGACCTGTTCGCTGACGCGCAGGACTCGGTCGGGCTGGAAGCTGTCGTCGTGAGTCTGTACGCCGGCCAAGCATAGTTGTGCTGTAGCCAGCAGCAGAGGGAGCCATGTCATGGCCGCTGTGCAAGCGAACGCTTCAACAAAGAAGATCGACGTGTTCTGACAGTGTGGCCAAACGTCTCAAACGCAGCAATGGGACAAGAGAAATGCAAAGTGCGACAACAGTACAAACCGCGTGCAACCGTATCGTACACATTCTCTCGTATGACGGGAGCACTACCGCAGGCATATATGGTTCGGGCCCTACCTTGTCGGCACATCATGCTGAATGCGCTTATTCCCCATCCGTGTAGGTATGTGCTAGGGCTTAGTAGCCGAGCACGCCTCGTCGAGATTATTACCATATAATGGGGACGGGCAAACCTTGATGAACGAACATGGCCCCCAAATTCCACAGGCTCAGAAAGCATAGCGGCGCCTGTCAGCCACGCTCAAGGCGCGTGGCAACGGTGGGAGGGTGTACAGTTGGCAGATCGCTTGGTGGGCCTGAAGTGTAGATCTGTGTATCCCGAAGCTACCTATAGGGCGGGCGCACTGGATGCCCCTTTGGGCATCCTTATTGGATGCTCTGTACCATCATCTGTGGGCAAGTTCTGTTTGATACCGGCTATGGGTCTCATTGCTTCCGGGCTGCGACTTCTCTTGATCCAGGACAGTCTCCAAGTCGTGATGAAGAGGATGTTGTGGTGTACTCAGGAAATTGAAGGTGAACAAGATCACGAATCCGCCGATCTGCCGCTTGTCCTACCAAGGTTTAGCTGCTCCGCTATGTCCGTTGCCTAGGATGACGTAGTTCGTCATTTCTGGACGCCTTCACGTTTTGCGGTTGTCGGCTGTGACATGAAACCCTATTCTAGCCAACGGTCGATAGGCCGACGTTGAGTAGTGTGCCGTCAGCTCCTGAACCTTGCTCATGGCTCTTGCCAGTCGACTGGGCAGAGGTGTTCAGTCTGCGGTTATTAAGACGTGCCTCCTTGAACTGGGATCTGCGGCGGGAGCACTCGCAACTTGCAAGGTCTGCCAAGGCTAGTGAGGCGAACTTCTTGAACAGAACAGGAAGCCCATCGAATGAGTGGCACAGTCAGCCCGCCAGAAACGGTCCGGCTCATCTTACCTTCAGCTACCCAGATCAGGGGCCATACTCCCAGGGAGAACTAGTTCGATTTGTGTGGCCATTTCAGTCAAAGCCGTGAAATGGGCAGGCCTCGATGGGCAGATCCGGCAGCAGAAACTTACCCACGCCCTGGGGTGGGATGTCGGCCGTCATGGTGCATGGACTTGCACTCGGTGCGCTTTCTCGGATATGATACTCGAACCTGGCGGAATGTCTACAACGGTAGGGGACTGAACAACGGCACGCGTACAGCTGGGTTGCTGGGGAATTGGTGCTCATAATGTGCAGGTGAGGTCGCGCCTCTTGCGAACCACTAGGTAGGGCTCGTTGGAAGGAGTCTACGAAAGCACCACCTTTTTCATTGCTGCTGGCGTCTCAATGTACGTGTAACTGGTGATGAACCTACGAAGGTCTGCGATCCCAACGAAGGGACTTGTGCTGCACAAGACGCGGCTTTGAGAGAAAGTGACAAACATATTTCCCGTACTTTGGAAGCAGAAATACATTGACCTAGAAAACGCCCGCGGAAAATTGAGGCGAGGGGGGCACGAAGAAGTGATCTGTCGAGGAATGTTATGGAATAAACATGAAGGATATCATTTCGCTCAAGTAGCCCAACCGCACGCTTTGCGTTATTTCATATAGTAATACATGGTCAACGCCTGGAAATGTTTTTCGTGACACAGTACTGGAGGAAGCAATCAACACCGCTCAAGACTCCCTCAGAAAGCCGAAACTTCAGAATAATGAGTAATTCCAAGTCGGCCATCTACATCGACCGCTGACTGCTGGTGCTGCTCCGGGTTGATTGCTTAGAGAGGGATGCCTGAGCATTAACTGGGCTGCCAGTCCGCTGACCGCTTCGCCGCCGTGATGAGTTGCAAGCTTGATTCATCTGTTGCTTGGTGTGGAAGAACATGTCGCGAGAGTAGGAGGTCATGGCTTGCATGGGATCCTCTTGGTCGAATTCGAAAGGGTGTTCTGGCTCAGAAAGAATTTGGACTTGTTCTGAGGAAGACATTGTGTGTGTATGATGGGTGTTGGTTGATGGGATTGTGTAAAGGGATGTTTGTGTGTTGCCGGACGCCTTGCTGTGTTTGTTCGTATCGGGAAGTAAAGTGTGTTCTTACTGTTGATTGCTGAGTGATGAGCGGAAAAGGATATTTTTGAGGGCGACGAGCATGATATACCTACCAATTAAGCCCGTTGTTGCCTTCTGAAGGCTGGAGCACTCGAAGTGCACAGACATGACCGCCTATGCTGTCAGTTTAGTGGACCTCTGACGCAGTGGGTCCGTTGAAAATGACAGCTCTGACTTCTAGTTGGCCAGAGGTGACAGCGGTGCGGTGGTCTCGAGGCGTTGATCAAGCGAAAGCGACTGCAGGGTGCCGTCAGACACGCTCCCTTGTGCTGAGGGTTGAGGAACACTTGGGCCCCGCTGACGGCGAGTATGACCGTGTTGCCCAGGTAAAGTGATTGTCGATGGACGTGCTTTTGCGCGATGCCTGAGATGCGTGCAAATCGGACGAATGAAAAGCAAGTCTGCTTTGTTCGATGGGGCACACGACCCTGCAGATCTTCCCCTCGGTAGGCGTTCAGAAAGTTTTTTCGCGAGAGCTGACAAGGGTCCAAACATAATATCTTTTGTTTACCATGATAGTGGCCAGTGATTTTGCTCCAAATGCGTTCATACTTGGAGTATTTGTTTCGTTAGTCTGGGGCGGGAAGGTGCAGGTAGAACGGCATCTGGATCAGATCAACGCTGTGGGATTATCAGCGACTATAGTGATTGGACGGGAGTCATCTTCCTGATCATCCGCACATCGGTGAACAGAGTTATGCTCATCGAGATTGACTTAATGTTAGCAGTCGAGACTTCCATATCGAATTCTGAGAATGTCGATCATGTAAGACGAAAGGCTCTCAGGGAGGTCTCGTCCTTCCGTCTGGTGCTCTGGACAGCCAGGGGCCGACGGCGATGTCACTGTCACGATGGTGGTCATTCGAGGCGGCAAGAAGTCTGCACCAACAGGCGCGGAGCACGGGCCACAGGGTCCTGTCTCAACACAACAGAAGAACCGCTATTGCATCAGACCACGCGCTTGATTCCAGGCAAAGAGAGCGAGAGAAACGTTGGGAGTCAGGACAGAGCCTGGGTGGCTTGCGCTAGCCCGCAATTCTATGACATCTTAGCTGCAGCTGTCATCACGTCATTGGGTCGGCATGGAAGAAAGCTCCGCAAACATCACCTTGGCGGAAGACGTCATGTGGATCCCTGCGAGTTTGACCTCGAAGTTCGGGACGATGATTACGAGAATGGGATTTCCAATTGCGCATGCATTGACACCACTGGTTCAGCTGATACCTCGTCCCCATTTTTCATCACTGATATGGCACTTAGCTGGTACTAGGTGATGAACAATACACCAAGGCCCCACGCTATGCTATAGCATGCGGTCTCTGAACCAGGCAAGTAATTGCAGCAGCTCGCTACGAGGCGTTCTTCATGAGAGGGCAAATTCATCACATGTTCCGGTGCATCTACATGGCGGACGGCGATAGATCTCCGTCAGCACGTCTACCAGGCCCGTTTCATGGGACGCCCTCAGTGAATTCTTCCATAGCACATGCCGATACGTCGTCTACAGCACCTAACGCAGAACCACATTCAGTTGCAGGTGCGTATCACAGCTTCACCACACAAGCCGTGTTCCCCGTCGCCTGCCCCTCGCACAATTGGGACCATACCTTCTCCAGACCCTCTTCACGAACGCCCCCTCGAACATCTAGGTCCATGCCCAGGAACGTGTTGGCGGCACCATCGTTGCTCTTTTGCTGTTCAGCTGTTACGCGATGCCACTCCCTATGGATCAGCTCATACGTCTTCTCCTCCCCAATCTTGTCAATGACCGCGTCAATGATGTCGGTCGCATTCATCGGCAATGACTCCAGCTTACTACTACGCTCCATCCTTGCCTGCAGGTCATCTTTGCTGAAGACCTTGCCATGTCCTGAGCCTATGCCGATCAGGGTGACTTGAACAGCAGGATTGAGCTTTTGGAAGAAGCCATGGATGTGCTCCAGCGCCGTGCCCCGGCCGGCAAAGTCCAGAATGACGACTTTCTTGGCTCCAAGCTCGGCAATTTCCTGCAGAGAGGTCTTCGTGCTGGCATCCTCATATGTCACAACACGATGCTGGAAAGACCACTTAGAGATAGGCACGGTGGGTTCTCGCGTACTGCTGACTTCGACCAATGCAATAGGTCCTGTGCCCGGAGCCCGACTGGTGGCCAGCTGGTGCACGAATGACCGACAGGTCTTGCTCCGCGAACCGAGCGTGATGACCACTGCTTGCGTTAGATCGGCATCTGCCTTCGACCACGGCACCGTTGAAGGCATCGACGAGACGACTGGATCCTCTGGATATGAAGCGAACACGAATTTGTTGAGAATGTACCCTGACTTCCATGCTGGAAACAAAGCTGCCTTCCAAAGCCGTGCATATTCGCTGCTTCCTAGCGCAAAATCGCCTTCAGCCTCAAAATATCGAGAATAGATCGCCATTACTTGAGCTCGATGCTCACTGCATTCTGTCCAGTGGCCCGGAGCCCCTAGCTCGGATGGCTTTAGTTTCAGGTCGGTCACCATATTCGAAGTGGGGATAAAGCCGTAAAGCCGTCTCCCGGGTTTCAGCTCCTCAATCGTGCTTTCGAGTATCTCTGCGTATCCCCAGCCAGGTGCAACCGCGTACTCGTCAGAGTTGCGGTATGGGGTCGGGAGCGTGTCCGGAATTGGGAAGGCATCATACCAATGAAGCTGGTCGCCCAGGGCACAATATGATAGGTTATTGGCCGAGAGGCCGAGAAGCCGTGCTTGGATGCGAACTGACGACGGCTTCAGCTTCGAGCTCGTCAAGTCTCTCTGCTCGAAGAAGAATTGCTCGTTGTATTGGTCCTTTTTAACGAGTCTGGCTATTGGGTCTGCCATGTCGAGCTCGCGAAGGAGATGCAACTGCGTCTGGAAATCAAGGGAAGGCAGGCCGATCACTTAAGAACGTTGCTTGATGGCATCCGATTATCGCTTGCGCACGTAAGACCCATCGAAGAGTGATCAAGTGTGGTCTGCCTTACGACTTAGGTCGCCAACACCTATCAGATCCGCTCGCAAGCTTAGGAGCCACATCCCCACACTGGAAGGTTTGACGCACTAGTCCGATTGAGGTAACTAATACGGCCTTCGGGCATAGTGCCTGAGCAGGCGGTTGCGACGTTGTGGGGGGTCGTTTCATGTCTCTCAGTGCCACAGACAGGCTTTGCAGTCACCTCTTGCGTGTACAACACCTCGTCGATTGCCCGAAACCCCGTCATGTGAGTCACAAAGGCTCAGATCGAATGTTTGAGTGTCTACTAAGTAGGAAGAGGTTGAATTGCGTTCCAGATCAGGAAGCCTACATCCGCTTTCGCGTACGCAAATAGCACCTAAAGCATTGACGATACGAGAGACAGTATTCGACAGCAGCCTCGAACGGAATCATCATAAGGTGATTGCACGAAATACTACTTGTTTACCGCTGGCTGCATTCGACAGCCGGCGCAGGATTAACTGATCATGCGAAATTCGGGATGCATGCTCCCCAGCCTGCCGATCTCCTCTTGCGACTTTCCGTTGAGAATATGGTCCCTCTTCCCTGACTCCCGCAGTTTGTTCTCCCGCGTGCACCAGATGAATGCCAAAGCGGAGAGTATGGCGGTGCACGAAACTGAGGTCAAGTTCAGCGCGTGACCCAGGGTATAGGCTGGCGCCATGAATGGAAGATACGTCCAGACGGCAATGGTGGAGCACAGTTGCCTGTTGCGACGATGTACGCACTGGTGACGCTTCGCACTGAAGGCCCAGCAGAGTTGTTCAGCCCCCAACTGATGATGATCGGCCCTGCAGCGAACATGCCCATCGCTGACAGGAACACCGCAGCATACTTCGCGACCGCGCTGTCTGATGCGACCAGGATGATGTAGCCGATCGCAGAAGTACACGCGCAACCAAAGATGAAAGGTCCTCTGACACCAGCCCTGTCCGAACAGTATGCAATTGCAATGCCCATGGCGCAAGCACACACATATGGCGCGACAGACCGGAGCTGTGCCTGGATCGCCGTATAGCCGAGGTCTCGTAGGATGGTGGGCAAGAAGACCGAGAAGGAGGCCAGGCCAATGTTCAAGAAGAAAAACATTCCCGCACAGAGTGTGCCGTGGACACTCAGCAACGCTTGCTTGACGTGGCGTGCACGGACCTTCTCCGTTGCGTCGGCTTCCTTGTATTCTCGATGCATTCTCTCTGCTGCGATCTGCCGGCCTCGTTCGCCAAGAAACTTGGCGGAGCCTGGTGAATTGGGCAGGATCCAGAGTCCCAGGAAGGCGGCTAGGACAGACACTAATCCTTCGAAGAAGAAGATGTTTCGCCATGTGTGTATGACTGCTGAGGACGTGCCCCAGTCTGGGATCTGTGTGAGGGCGGCTGCTAGAAGACCTCCGAAGGCTCCCGCAAGTGAGCTCCCCATGATCATGATGCTGACTCTGAACAACAGCTCCTTGCGACGGTAGAATGTGGAGAGGTAGAAAGCGATGCCGGGCAGCACGCCACCCTCACAGATTCCGAGGAAAAATCGCAGCGCCAGAAGACCGGCATAATTCTTCACGAAGGCGGTGCAAAGTGAGACGATACCGAAGCCGATGACTAGTGTTGGAATCCAGATCTTTCCACCAACGATCTTCAAGACCAGATTCGACGGTATCTCAACGAAAACGTCTGATAGTCGTTAGTGACAGTTCTCGGTTGTTTGGCATCTTGTAACCTTACAGGCAAAGTAGAAGATGCTCAACGCCCAATTAAAGCGGTAGCCGGTCAGGTTCAGGTCGGTCTGCATGCCAGCAATGCGGGCATTGCCGATGTTGGTTCTGTCGATGTAGCAGAGCACTGAAGGAGGTATACGTGTCAGCAACCCCTAATGGCCAGCAGGAGTTCGGAGCTCCGTCAAGCAACTTACGGAACAAGAAGAAAACAGTTGGAACGATCCGCAGATCCAGCTTCCATCGCATGCGGCGCTCTTCCTCCTCAGTCCACTCAATGCTGTTGGGCGTTTCGTCCTGTCTAACTTCCTCCTTCTCGAAAACTTCGGGGTTCATCTTGTCCATGTCGGTGGTCTCACAGCTCCAAGTGTGATTGAAGTGACAGTACAAGTAACGACACTGAGGCGAGAAGTGGTCACAAAGTTGACACTCTCCTGTTCAAGGCGAGCCCCAGATCAAGACGAGATCGGCAGGCTGCTTGATATAGGTGTGTAAGGAGAGCTTTGCCCCGAAGTCTCGGGATCGTGGAGTCGCGTAGGCCCATCTGGGGTCCCCGTCCTGCCCCCATCTTGTTGGAGGTGGGCAGCAATCTCGCCAACGACTGCAAAATGGGCTGTCTCGGCGTGTGGGATCCATTCTCGGGTAGGTGGTGGATTCCTTCGGAACGCAAAAGAAGACTCCAACCTGCGCCGAGATCGTGTTCCGATTGGGCAGGGCAAATGCTCTGCATGCTGTCAATGCTAGTAGTTGCTTGAGCATGTACACACCGTGTTCCAGACCTGATGCACCACTAGATTGGTCCTAGACTGAATACTATGACTATTGCATTCCACAAGGTCAAGCACGGATTCACGGCCAATGATTCTAGAATCCAGCCGACGAACGTTTACAGGCCAGCGACCGAAAGCGAACCGAAGCTGAAGCCAAAAGACCTGGACAGGCGATTGGCGAGATAACCCGAGCCTCTGGGAATGGGAAGGTTGAAATGCATCAAGAGCTGAGCGACGAAAAGGCCTAGCCCGGTAAATCCTTCTGACGAAGGCGCATGGTCCCTGGAACCATGAAGACCGGAACAGCCAAAGAAGACGTTGCCATGAATCTCTGCCTACTGTAGAGCATGAAAGCAACAACGCGGTTGATTGGCATCACAGACTTCCGAAATACCTGCAAATATGCTGTCCAAAATGTATTTTCGCTAGAGTCTAATTCTACAGCTTCAAGAACTCGTCGTCAAAGTACCAGACAGGATCTCCGTCCGGATTTATCTCTTCGGCTGTGTAGCCATTGCCCATGAACTGGTATATGTTGGATGTCCGGTAGTCGAGCTCGTAGTCTTCCCATCGTACATCCTTCAACATCTCAAAGAAGTGCAATCTGCTGCCGGGGTAAATCGCCGTGACGGGACCGTGTGTTTTGCCGTTCTTGAACCACGACCGGCAAGCTGGAAACAATGCACGTCAGTACCGAAGTAGCTGGAGGATGCGGGAGATATGGAACGGAAAGCTCACGAGATGACCAAACCAATCGCTTCATTAGCTCGTGGGTATGGTTAGCTAGGTCCTTGACACAGCGCTGCTTCGGCTCGAACGCTTTGATATTTTCTCGCTGCATCTTCTCGATCATCTGGAAAGTATAACGGCAGTACCATGTCATTATGGGCAGGATCGAGCTGTGTGACGCTGGCCCATTGGGGCCTTGGAACACTGGCGGAAATCATTAGCCGAACTCTCGCGTGCGGTAGGAGTCTGTATGTCAAAGTGTGAGACTCACTGAAGAAATTAGGAAAGTTGGGCACAGTCACACTAAGGTATGCTTGCGGAAAGTCGCCAAACTGATCTTGTATGACCGCATTGTTACGGCCGGTCAATTTGAAATGCGGCTTGAAGGACGTCTCGAATCCTGTTGCACAGATCACCACATCGACTTGGTGCTCGCCTCCATGTTCGTCGATGACCGAGTTTTCCGTCAGCTTTGTGACACCTGTGTGGACGGTCTTTACATTTGGATCTGACAAGGACTCGAGGTACCGACTGCCAGGCGTCATGCGACGGCATCCTAGCGCAAAGTTGGGGACCAGATGCTTCTCGAGTGCTTTGTTGTTGAGACGCTCCGACATCAGGTCTGCGATGAGCTTCCGCGACGCCGCTTGGTCCTTACCGTTGGTGTGCATCAAGGTGAATCGCTTGTTGAGTTCACCCTCAACTTCTCTCGAGTATTTCTCGTACTCTTCTGGGTTCGCTTTCCACTTTTGGATTTGCTCCTGGCTGTATTCGAAGTTCGTGCCACCAGGACCAGCGTGCTTGGCCCCAAAACCAGTCGTAACCCAGACTGGCGACCGCAAATACGCGATCAGCTGCTTGACCTTGGGCTGGATAGCTGGGATGATCTGGACTGCGGACGAGCCACCGCCGATGACAGCCACAGTCTTGTCTGTCAGATCATAGCTGGTATCCCAGGCAGCCGAGTGCATCAGCTTGCCCTTGAAGACATCGATGCCAGGGATACTGGGCCACTTCCATGAGTTCAAGACTCCTGTACCGTTCAAAAGCACATCGCACCAGTCCTCGAAATCTTTGCCGTCGGCATCTACCAGCTTCACTTGGTACTGACCCTTCTCCTCGTTCCATATCGCTTCTTTGACGGTTGTTCGTAGTTTTATGTATTTGTCAAGTCCATACTCTATTGAGATGTCCTTGAAGTACTGCCAGATCTCCTTGGAGGACGAGTAATACGCGGACCAATTCGGATTCTTCGCCCAAGGGAATTGGTAGCTGTGTGATGGGATGTCGCAAGTACATCCAGGATAGACATTCTCTAGCCAGGTGCCGCCCACATCACTGTTCTTGTCGTATATTTGAAGTTCATAGTTGTCTAGTGCTCGTTCGGCCTTGTAAGCCACCTGCAAGCCTGATGCGCCCGCACCAACGCATATGATTCGAACCGGCCGCTTCTCGTGTAACGGCTGCTCTGAAATTCGATAGCCGTCAAAATCCTGGTTGTACCATTCGTTTGCGTGTACTTCGCCCTCTTTTGGAAGTCCGCTGGGATCTATAGTCGCAGATATCGTCATTATCGGTTTGTTGATCATCGTGGCGGTGGCTTATCTAAGCACGTCAAATCTCCAAGATTTCTTTGGTGAGGTCCTCAGCTCGATGAATGACCAAGAGGCGCGTTGGCAAGTTATTTGCAAACGCTCCTGAGGTCGTCTGCGGTCAATTATATCACAATAACATGCCATCATATCAAAGTTCAGCGCGACAACGTAACGCGTCGGGCATGAGCCTCGGTATGGATTACTCCAAAGAGATTCCGGGTTTCGGAAGGGTCGACTCGACAAGGGTCTTCTCTCGGAGTCAGTGATCAGCTCCAGAAGCTCGAAGCGGTGGGCCCCGCATCAGCACATCCTCCTGAGCGGAGGTGTACGCATTTCACCGTGACTCGCAGAGCGAAAGCGCGAGTGTGAAGATGGAGCTTGGCACCACGTTCAACCACCTTCTTCTGGTCCTTCCATCAAGGCGTCAAGAATCTCACGGTCACTCAGATTAGACCAGAATTGCCTCTCAGAGAGGATCATGATCTCGAAGCCGACCAACGAGATGAGCGGTGAAACGTACAAGCCAGCGTTCACAGAGCCGCCTGGCACGGTCCGTGATGTATAACCGTCATGTGATCAAGAAGCTGACTCTTTGTAGGTTTTGGCTGGCATACCTGTGAAGGACCTGAAGTTGACGACGCCATGGATGTCGTATGGCTTACCATATGATCTTGCTGCTGCCAAGCACGTCTCTGAGACGTATAACGCCTCCAGAGTATATATCATCGCTTCTGGCACACTTGCACGCAAGACCGACAAGGTCGATCGACTCATTAGTGCCATCGGCAAGGAGAATGTCGTAGGTCTGCGGAAGGGAATTACGCCTCACACTCCATGGACTGAGATTCTGTCGATCGCGAAGGAATGCCGGGAGGCACAAGCAGATTGTGTGGTCACCTTAGGTGCAGGCAGCACCACGGATGGCGCAAAAATCGTTGTCTTATGCCTGGCGAACGACATTGAAACTCCTGAGCAGCTTGCAAGGTATTCCATCGAGAGCACGAACATCCCTCAGAATGTTGCGCAACCTACAGTACCTCTCATAACGATTCCGACAAGTCTCTCAGGCGGGGAGGTGAGTTTGCTTTCTTGTCTGGCTGTTCTTTTCTCACCCAGAGCAGTATTACAGTCTCGCTGGCGGCACTGATACCACAACAAACCACAAGCATGGCTTCCTGCATAGTGGGATGGGAACTAAGCTTATCATTCTCGATCCTGATCTGTGCAAGACAACTCCTGAATACCATTGGCTCAGTAGTGGGATTCGAAGCATGGACACTGCGTGGAAGCGTTGTGCTCACTGGAAGCCACGTCGAAGTCAGATGCCAAGGCCGAGAAGGGACTTCGTCTGATCGTGCCGGGCTTGTTGAAGTGCAAAGCATCGTCAGACGATGTTGCAGCGCGACATCAATGTCAGATGGCCGTAAACCTCGCAATGGATGGCGTTCGTGCCGGCATACCCATGGGAGGTAGCCACGCTATCGGTCACCAGCTAGGACCACTTGGTGTGGCACACGGCATTACGAGCTGTATCATGAATCCAGCAGTGATGAAGTATAACGTCAAGCATGGGCAGGATCCAGAGATCCCGCGAAGGCAGCAAATGGTTCGCGATATCCTTTGGTCAGAGCCTGAGATTGAGCAGACCTTCAGAGCAGCCGGGCTAAAGCGCGACACCGCAGATCTCGGTGACTTGATGGATTGCATCATCCGCGCAGTCGGACTGCCCAGATCTCTGAGCGAGCTCAACATTGGAGAAGAGCAGATCTCAAAGCTGGCTGAAAGGGCGCTTCATGACCAGTGGAGTCCGACCAATCCAGTGCCATTGTTAAAAGCTGAACAGGTGGCGGAGATACTGCAAGCAGTCTTGTAGCTCTTCTTCTTGATGTAGATATGCAGCGATTTGTTCTAGTTAGATTCAGCGTACATGGTTCGTGCCTGCCTACCTAGGTACTAAGTAGGTACAAGAATGCAAAGTGCAAATAGTCTCCACATATTGGAGCGTGCCTTCTCTGCGGGACAGTGTCCTCCCTTACTGCTTCCTCTACACCACTGTCATATCTCCATCTAACATATTAGCAATCACCACTCATCAGGTACTGTTCCGAAGCAAGTCTTCTGTTGCGTCAGAGCAGCATGGACGCTGAAAAGTTGAAGCTCATGCTTCAACCCGACTACGTCCATCCTGAATTAGCCGAGGTTCGTCATTGTCATTGAGATCAAGCACACAATCACTTACCACGAAGGCAGATCCTACGTACCGGCGCGCCTGTCGGCAGCCTGGACGAGTCTACTGATATCCACGAGCTCAGGAAACTGCTGTTGCAACGAAAACTTGAGGCAGCCAAGAACGCGGACCAAAATCTGAGCTCGAAGGAAACTGATGTACAGATCCCCACCAGAGATGGCAGCCAGATCACCCTTCGGATTTACCAACCTCTGGAGAAGACTAATGCCAGAGCGCCCGTGCTCGTCATGCTCCATGGCGGCGGTTGGGTTCTAGGAGGACTGGAGAACGAGCAGCCTCTTTGCCAGAAATGGGTGGACGAGTTCAAGGGCGTTGCAATCAACGTCGAGTACCGACTGGCACCGGAGTCCAAATTTCCCGTACCGATATACGACTGTCATGATGCAGTTATATGGGTATGTACGAAGGCACTGCACAGAATCGCGCTGACGATGGCAGGCGAGGTCACACGCATCAGACTACGGTGGCGACCTCACGGCTGGCTTCATCGTAGCAGGCATATCGGCTGGCGCCAGCATGGCCGCCACTGTCTCGCACTTGGACCGTGACGACAAGAACAGTCCTCCGCTGACTGGCGTGTATCTGTCCATCCCATCATTGATGGCACCAGAGGCGGTCCCAGAGAAATACAAGTCCAAGTACCTGAGCCGAGAGCAACACAAGGATGGTCTCATCATCAATCAGAAGGCAATGAAGCTGTTCCGCGGTGAGTTCTGACCCTCTTTCCTATTAGAAATGACTGACATGTGGCCAGACAACTATCAAGATGACCCAAGGTCCCCTTTGATGTCGCCCATCATCTGGCCTTCCGGGCACAATAATCTGCCACGCACGTATTTCCAAATTGCAGGATCAGATCCCCTTAGGGACGAGGGCTTGATCTATGAGCAGATCCTCAGAGAAGACTGCGGCATCGATACAAAGGTGGACTTGTATCCGGGGCTGCCGCATGGCTTTTGGAGTTGGTTCACATCGGCTCAATTTAGTCGGGAGCACTTCAAGAATGCTGTTGAGGGCTTGAGGTGGCTGCTGGGCAAGTCATGATGAGTTTGTAAATGCTCGAAACAAGCTAGGCTGCAAGACTCCAGCCTAGCTCAAAGTCTGTTGACTGGCACATCTGACCACAAGGTGTCAAGGGTGTGCGATTCCACAGCACAAACTTGTCGCAACCACTGCTCGGAGCTTCCCCAAAACTTGGAGGCCCACGTGGTCAGAGCACTCCGAGGTGAGGGGAAGCTCTGGGGACAGCTAGTCCCGGTGCGTCGTAGAGCAGAACCTTAGACAAACCCTTGCAACATCTGATCCCGAAGCTCCATTTCCTACTCCGAGGTGAGCTCTGCCCTTCCGAGCTGGACCGCTTTGCTGAGCCAGCGGGCGAGTTCGGTCCCGGCTTGGTCGATTCGTCTACAATGCCGTCGAGCGATGTGATCCACTTGATCAAGCCAAGAGATCGGGCTCGACGACATGAGCCGTCCTTGTGAGAGACATCCCGTCGACGGCGAGGTTCTGAGAAGGCGTAGGGGTGTTTTGCTCAAATAGGCCCAACGCACGATAGAGCGAAGAACCTGCGGGCAAAGATGCCACCGTCAACGACGCGGCTCTCAATAATCCAAGGCCCAACATCGCCACCATTACTCGAATGGACCTTCAACGATCTCCTGGATGAGCGATGCCGACGACAGCCAAACCACACGGCTTTGATATGTCCTCAGCAATCCACTCAACTCACATACTCAGAGTTGCAAACACGTTCGAGACGTTTGGCCGCATGCCTGCACGGGGCGGGTGTTGGTCGCGGTGACCGTGTGGGTATACTGCTGGGCAATCGAGCAGAGTATGTTGAGATCTTTCTGGCGTGTGCCAAGTTAGGCGCATATGCGACGCTCTTCAACTATGCATACACCCAGTCCGAGTTAGAGAATGCTCTCGAGTCAACAGACCCCAAGGTGCTCTTCACAACATTGCGGACATCGAGGTATGAGTACCAAACGATCTTGGATACTGTCCGGCGAAAACGACCGTCTCTGCAGCGCATCGTCTTGTTGAATGACGTGTCATCGACGGCCGCCGCTCCATCAGACATTAATGGAAGCTACTATGTCGGGTACGAGGAGTTTCTCTCATCATCGATGTCGTCTCCGACATCACTTGCTGAGGTCGAGGCACTGGAGAAGACCGTGAAGCCTCACGACATCCTGAATCTTCAGTTCACATCGGGCAGCACGGGCCTACCCAAGGCTGCCGCCCTGACCCATCGAGGGATGCTCAACTCGGCCAGATTTATCGGCAAGCAGATGGGTGTAAGCGAGATTGACAGGATTCTGGTCCCTGTACCCTTGTTCCATGCCTTTGGTTTGATCATGGGTAAGTCAAGCACGCCGTACCCCTACTTCGTGATAAACAAGTATAGCATGTATACTGATAACGAGCTGCGAAGGATTATGCAACGCCTGTGTCTACGGCGCCTCCGTCGTCCTCCCAAGCGAGTATTGGTCAGTGCCCGCCACCCTCTCTGCCATTGAGCAATACCAATGCACGGGCTTATACGGCGTGACAACCATGGTAAGTCTAGTCTCCCACAGCCAAACCTGTGTCCATAGATGAGCTTTACTCTCAAGGCCGCCCGAATGTATGGTTCGGGCTGGCGAAGGAGTGGCTCTCGTGAACCTTGCAAATTTGGCCTCGAGCACACGGCCTCACCCCGAGACAAGGCTGATCAGATCCACAGTTCGTAGACCAGCTCTCCCACCCCAGCTTCGCGACCACAAAGCGTTCTTCTCTACGTTTCGGCATGATGGCCGGCTCCGCAATGCCAGAAGAACTCCTGAATCGCGTTATGACCTCCTTCCCTATACCAGCACTGTACACGAACTGGGGCATGACAGAGCTCTCGTCGGTCGCGACCATGACTACTGCTGCCGATCCAGTGGTCAAGAAAATGGCCACGGCAGGCCGACTCCTGCCGCACTTTTCCGCCAAGATCGTCGAGCCAAACACGGACCGAGTGCTGCCCTGGGGCGCGAGAGGAGAGATCGTCATCTCTGGTTTCGGGGTCATGGATGGGTATTTTAGAAATACGGAGAAAACTGCTGAGGCAATCAAAGTGCATCACGGTGATGATGGGGTGAAGTGGATGCATACCGGCGACGAAGGCTACCTCGACTCCGACGGCTACTTCGTCATCACTGGTCGAATCAAAGACTTGATCATACGCGGCGGCGAGAATATCTCCCCACTAGAGATCGAAGCACGTCTGTATCAGCACCCTGCTGTTGCACAGGCCGTCGTGTTTGGGTTCCCGAGCTCGCGGTATGGAGAGGAGGTCGCGGCGATGCTAGAGGAGGCGCCGAGCAAGGTTAAAACGAGACCAACTGATAAGCAGGTCAAAGACTGGGTCGGTCAAGCGCTAGCCCGGTTCAAGGTCCCTGTGCATGTCTTCTGGTTGGGTGACGAGGGTACGCCGACGGAGTGGCCTAAGACCAGCAATGGTAAACTGAGGAAGATGAATGTGAAAGCTATCGGGGAGCAGCTGATCCAAAAGAAGGAGAAGAAGAGGAGGCGACCGCCCGTTGGGCTGCGGGCTTCTCTATAGCAAATCGAACTCCCTAGCCCGTACCTCCAATGCATTCACGAACAAACGCTGGTGGACTTAAATTCATTGACATGTATGATGACGCTGGCAGACATCAGAAGATGCCTCCCAACAGCATCTTGCCATCTTACGTAGGCGCGCAATGCACATCGGTCGTCGATCAAGAAAGGCACATCAATGCCTCATTGAACATAGAAATTGCCCACCTGCAGGTGGGGAAGGAACCGCCAAGGAACTGGACCCAGGAGCTTGCCACCCTCGTGCCTTCCATCAACAAGTACCATGTGCACATGCAGTAGAATCGTCGGTGGCACCTGCCAGATCTTCTATAGAACGCTCGTCGACTATGTGCTCGACTGAAAGTGCTCGTCCATCTTCCTACAGTCCTAAGCATGACGGATGAAGTCGAGCACGCACAGGCACTCAATGTGGACGCCGAGCGGCCCAAGAAGCGCCAGAAGATCGCACTAGCTTGCAACCTTTGTCGCGCACGCAAGGTCCGATGCAATGGCGAGCGACCTCACTGCGCAACATGTGTGGCCCGGAAAGAGGCATGTTCCTACGATCCGGCACCAGAGAGACTTCCACAGAAAAGACAGAGCCTCGAAAACAACCCAGTACGGCCAATGGTGTATCCTGGTGTCCTGGACGAAACATCACCGCCGCACGCTGTGGACTGGAACGGAAACGTGATAACTCGACCCGCATCACAAACATCACCACATGCTTCGTACCACGGTCCCAGTCCCGCTCAGGCAAGCACGGGTGGCACTTTGACACGCCTGGAGGCAGGATCGTCGAGTACAGGAGGCTTTCTTCGAACCTTGCTCGGTCCTGAGGTTCAGAATGGCGTTGACAGTGATCCTACCAAGCGACAAACAATCGCAAGGTCGCTGGCAGATCTGGGCAGCATCGATGTTGCTAGTTATACCAAAATACGGAACGAGAACTTGCTTCTTCCGCCGCGACGAGAGATCAATCGATTGCTACAGATATATTGCACTACGCACTACCCGATCTTCCCTCTACTAGACCTGGAATCCTTCAACAAAGATGTTGATGCGGTCTGTCAGGGCACTGCGTTTCATGCCATGGACGAGCGCACAACGCTCTGCATCCTGAACTTCATTCTGGCGCTTTCGACTCAAAGCGATCAGACTATTGGTACAGCAGTCGAAGATAACTCTGCTGATGCTTACTTTGTGAGAGGACGGGAGTTACTTAACACCGATATGCTAGGAGGCTATTCATTTGCTCAGTTACAATCTATTCTGATCTGCTCACAGTTTCTGCTGAGCACGGACAAGCCTCAACAATGCTGGATACTTGTTGGACTAGCTATTCGTGTCGCTGAAAGCTTGGGCCTAGATCGTCCGATTACAGTTCAAGGACTGAAGGCCCCCCCAGAGCAGGCGCTGGCTCGTCGAGTATGGCATGCCTGCGTTGCTATGGACAGGCTGGTGGCCATGTGTCTCGGCCAAAGGCCAAGCCTGCACGATCACGCGACATCGTTTGTCTCACTAGAACCTCAAGAGAATATCGAAACCCAACCAAATAGCGGCAGTAACAACATCGCCGTAAGCCACTCGTTCTTCGCCGCATCCAGCCGCCTTTTCGATACTCTCTTCGAGATACTCGTCCGAATCTATGTGCCTGAGGACCGAAATCCCTCCGAGAAGCTAATTATCTCATCTTCTTTCGCGGCGACTGTGGTTGACATCGAGGAGAAGCTGGATCTGTGGATCAGGAGCCTTCCCATTTCGCTGAACATGCATTCGTATGACCATCACGAGGCTTCGACGGCAGGAAAACGGCTGTCGCAGTTCCTGAGGCAGAGGTTAGTAGCTCAGGAGTCGTGTCATTCGCTTGCTAACCCGTGGCAGATTCCTGCAGGTGCAGATGATGCTCTACCGTCCCGGGCTTGCAGCTTTGACCACTCAGGGAGGCACGGGCGTCACAAGGTCTCTACAAACTTCAGCTTTGCTCCATGCGGCTATAGCATGTGTTTCGTGCGGCCAAGAGATGATCGGTCTCTGCAGGCAGCAGGCTTACAACAAACCAGGAGAGGAGCATCTCCCACAGACACCGTGGTGGATGAATGTCCTCTGTAAGTGACCGATAACCTCCACAAAGCAAGAACTAAACCAATGCAGATGTCTACACGGCAGCGGTAGCGGTTGCTGCAGCTCTTCTCAAAAAGAGTCTAGAAGGACAATTCGACACCGCAAGTCTAATGCAAAGTATGCAGGAGGCTATAGATCTGCTCAGGAGTTATGCTCAGACACGACCTTCCGCGAAACGATGCTTGGCCACCTTGACCTCGATCCTGCAGCTTCGATCGGCAGGCGAGCCTGTGCCCGACGCGGTGCTGAATAATGACCAAACGCCTCAGCAGTACCTCAATGGGATGGATCTCAACACAGCTGACACTCGGAACGCTTATCTGGGCGCAGACATGAGCTGGACGCTCCCCGTGGACGCTGAGAATGCAGCATTCGAATTCTTCTCGGATCAATGGTTGCTCCAACCTCAATTAGATTCCTTCAACTACCTGGGGATCTAGAACTAGCACCCAGGATACCCGTCTCGAGTCTGACAGCCACGCTTGCTGGGTGGCTGCATCTATCGCCTAAGGAATGCCAGGCCCAGGATCTGTTCCGAACCGAAATGCCAAGACCATTCCGAGAGCAAACTGTCGGCTCGGCACAGGGCCAGGGAGGGCTTCGGTATGGGTCACACACCCCGCTTACGATGCTGCCCAGATACTTGCGCGCCCAATTATTGCTTGACGAAGCCAGTCTGGTGCCGGATTCCCCGTGGGGATTCCACCAAAGTACTGCCACCCATGTGTGCTTGCATTGACAATGCCAGAGAAGGGCTTTGAGATACACATGGGGCTTCCTGATGTCTTCATCACCAAGACCGAAGACCTCAGCAACAATGAGCAATAGCAGTGCCATTCTTACAGGCCTTTGGCCGCCAGCGTATCTTGCTGTACCGGTCGCGGTGCTAGTGGTCGTCGGTTATGTCATCTGGCTCAGATTACTGCCGAAACCATTGCCTGGCATCCCATACAACCCAGAAGCACTCAAATCAGTCTTCGGCGATGTGCCGTCAATGTTACGATGGCGGCAGGAGCACGGCGAGCAGCGCAAATGGTACCAAGCACAAGCCGTCAAGATGAACACTCCGATCTGCCAAGTCTTCACCAAACCATTCTTCTACGGACCCCAAGTCATTCTGACCGATCACCGCGAAATCCACGACATCTTCCACAAACGCTTCAAGGAGTTCGACAAAGGCTATAAGGAATCCGAGGCATTCGGAGGAATTATTCCCGATGAATTGCTGTCCTTGAAGCTCGCCTCGCCTGAATACAAGTTCCACAAAGACTTGATGCGGGACCTTATGCTGCCGCAGTTTCTTAACAATGTCAACGCTCCTGAGATCTACGACAAAGCGATGCTCCTGGTGGATTTGTGGAAGACGAAAGCGAGTATCACCTCTGGTCGGCCCTTTGACTTCAAGGATGACATCCACAAAGCAGCACTCGATATCATTATGGCCGTATCTTTCGGGCTGGAGCAAGAGGAGTCTTGCACGCAGAAACAACTCTCCGACACAGTCAACAGCCACGTCGAGGATAGACTTTCTGCACCCACTGATCCCTATTCGTTCAATGAAGTGCCAATGGCAAAAGAACCCGAAGCAATCACGACCCTTGCTGCAAGTGTCAAGATCGGCTTCAATTCTCCCTTACCGGTACAGCATCACTGGTTTCTGCGACAGCTGCCGCATTTAGGAGGCGCGGTCAGGACCAAGAACGCAATGATGCGTCGCAAGATCAACGAGTCGTTGGCGCGAATGCCACCAACCGACGAAGAAGCGCTCAAATCTGCTCGCACTGCTTTGGACAACATGCTGTATCGTGAGCGACTCCTTGCAAACAAGGCAGGGCGGCGGCCGAACTTCCATGCTTCCTATATATACGATGAAGTGAGTTCCCCCAAAAAGCTGTGCCGTGTGTGTGAGGGCGGGCTGACCAACACAAAATCCAGATGCTAGCATACGTAATCGCCGGCCACGACACAACAGCCAACACCTTCTCCTGGGGCCTGATCTACCTCGCCGATCACCAGCAACCTCAGCACGATCTCCGCGTGCACCTCTACTCGCTCTTCCCTCATGCCGTGGCCGAACAGCGCCAGCCAACAGTCACCGAGATCATCAAAGCAGCTGACGCCCCCTATCTCGACGCCGTGATCGAGGAAATCCTGCGCTGCAGCGTCGTCCTGCCCATGATCTCGCGTGAAGCGCTGGTAGACACGACTATTCTGGGGAAGCCGATTCCGAAGGGGACGCTGATCATGTGCATGTCCAACGGGCCTGGGTTCTTTCGTCCCGGCTTCCAAGTTGATGACAGCCTGCGCAGTAAGTCATCACTTGCCACCACTGGATCAGGTGCTGTGGGCACGTGGGATAGTGCGGATATGCACCTGTTCAAGCCCGGACGGTGGCTCGATCAGGACGCTACAACGGGAAGGCAGACGTTTAATTCCAGAAAGGGACCCATGAATTCCTTCGGCGGCGGACCAAGAGGATGTTTCGGCCGAAGGCTAGCGTATATGGAGTTGAGGATCTTGGTGGTGTTGGTGTTCTGGAATTTCAGATTGGGGAGTATTCCGCCTGATATGAGGAGCTATCGGAGGAGGGAGCAGATCACGATTGAGCCGGCGGACTGTCATATCCGTTTAGAAGTTGCGCCTCTGTGGCACGGGGTTTGAGGAGGTGGTTTGAGGTCCTCGGGACGGCTGGGGCAAGCGGGAGGCGCGAAGCACGGCATGCTGTGCTTCTGCTGGCCTCGTGCTGCAGCGCGATATTGAGGTTGGCAGTCTTGCTAGGCTGGCTAAGCCGGCGGTTTAAGGCATTCCAAATGTACACACATATGTTTACTGCGAACCCATTGCTGACTCATTAATCGGAGTGATGTCAGTGTTACATCTATTGACCATACAAGCTTCGCCTAGATCACCACCCGTGTGCAAAGGCGAAGCCTCGATGCAGCCCAAGTCCCTGGATCAACTTGCCCGAGGCTACAGGACCTCATCTCATCTACTCACCTGCGGCGCTTCTTCCTGCCTTGCGGCCTCAGCCTAATTGCCGCTGCACTCGCGGGGCCCACCGGGCAGCCCACCACCGCCACCTCCCCCACACCCACCCACGCCTTACCCCTCTCGCCCTGTCCGTCCACCGCCGCTCATCAAGCAACCGTCAACCTCGTTCCCGATTCTGCCGCCTTCCCTTACTCGTGCGGCGTGGCTCAGCGCGGCGCTGCTTCCGGCCTCACGGCCTCCAGCCTAATGCTCGCTGCGCTCGCCTATGGCGGCGAGCGAAAGGCCCGCCCGCCTCCCCACCACCTCCCCCACCCACCGTCCCCAGTGTGACGTCTCAACGTGAATTCCACATTCCCTGATGCCCTGGTGGTGGAGGTGGCGGCGGCAACGGGGGTGGCCAGGGCCCGTTCCAATTCGGTGGTCTCGGTGGCGGCATTGGCACTCCATTTGGCCCCAGGAGAAACGGCATTGGCGGCACAGTTGGTAAGCCGGAGGGAGGGAAGTTCGGTGGTGGGGGAACATTTGTCGTGTTCTGACTACCCAGCGATGGTCCCATTGCTGGAGGCGGCGAGGTCGACCTGGAGCGCGGTGGAGGCCGGAATTTGTTTTTATGGTTGGAAGAAGCTCCCAGACCTGGCGCGGGACCTGGCGATGATGCCTCACTAGCACTGCTCAGCCGTCTCCTCTTATGCGGGCTTCTGCTTCGACTTCGACTGCTCCCGCTGCTGTAGCTGCGTGAACGTGTTCTCCGTGCGTTGTGCGTCGAACCTCTGCGACGCGCCTTCATGTTCTCGCAGAATGCACGCGACCAGCCGTAGTATGTGTCCTCGACCTGCTCCCCCTCCGGATCCATATAGCTGATCTGCCCGAGATCATCGATATCGGGCACGATGCTTTTCGTCGTCGAGATATTCATAGGTATTGTCCATTCTTTCAACTTCCTTCAGAAATCTCTTGACAACGCTGGCTAAGTTTCCGTCGGCCGGACCGGGCTTGAATTGAAGTGGTCTGATGTCCTCGGCGCGCATGGCTATAGACTTGCTGGGGATTATGTGGGGCATGAAGTTTGCGGCGGGGAGTTCGTGGTAGGGGAGGGAGGGGTCGCCATGGGTTGCTGGCATGATGTATGGTGGTTCTTTGGTGTGTGGGAGTGCGTCTTTTGGTGTGTCTTCGTTTGTCTTCGCGGTGGATGAGGTGGGGTCCTGAAGGACAGCCCTGGCTTGTGTGATGTTGGGAGTGGTGATCGTCTGGTCTGCTTCCCAGATAGCCAGCAGAGAGCGCAGTCTCGCGCAGACTCTGGCTTCTGGCCTTTTGCGGCAAGCCGACAGAGCTCTACAATGGCGCCCTCTACCGCTTCAGCGAAAGTCGTCGCTGGCTGCAGACCGGTGGCATGATGCTTCGCGTGGTGAAGTACATCGTGTAGAAGATAGATCACATGTAAAGCATGTCTGCTCGGGGACAGCTTCCGTGCCCCATCCTCGGTAGATGGATTGCTACCAGCCCAAGCAATGGCGTATTTCATGAACGCCGGAGTTCTGTGTGGTGAAGGCACAATGTGTTCTAGAAGCCATAGCTTACACGACTGGACGTTCTCAGTAAGTTCATATGCATTTCACATGATCAGGAAAGTCTGGCAAACCTGTACTGCTTCTACTTTGCCAGTCCGAACGACTCGCTCGAGTGATGTGTGGAATTGAGCTACCTCGTCGCGAGCAATGCGCGTCACGTCAGGACGCAGCAGGGACGCTCCAAATGTCGCCTTCGCACCGTGACTTGGTGCGCGGCCATTATGTGGGTGCTCGCGCCATACAGTTGAGGCGTCGGTAGGTTGCAGGAGGATTCCCCGTCTGCAGAGAACAAAGTCAAGTTCGAATCGCGCTCCAGTTTGATGGCAGTGATCAGATGAGGTGCAAGTGCAGCCCTAACCCTGGGCATTTTCGAAGCCGGATGACAAACCTCTGCGGTCGAGTATCTGACCCTTCCCGATACTTGGTAATTCTTGAGCAAACACAGTACAGTCATTGCGCCATGTATCGTTGATAGCCTCGAGTCTCGCACTGCTGAAGACACACTGATGGTGGCAGCCAAAGATGTGGAAGCGAGTCCTGACCAGACACAAACTGACCAATGAGAACTTGAATATAATCGCTCTGCAAACACCTCGACAAGTACGCCTGAATATTCAAGGCTGACCACGTATATTTCGCAGGGAGGGTGATCAACAGTAGGTACTGTGGGCATGCACAGGACTCGAGGAGGTGGCAGGGGAGGTGCAGTCCCCTGCCATCGGGCGAGTAGAAGAGGAAGGAGCGATTCTTGAAATGGTGCCATTCTCTGACTGATCTACCTACACAGCACTGCCTCTCATGGAGCATAGCACTGTGTCATTGAGGCGTCTGGTGCTTCGTGCTTGATGTCTGGTGTTTGGTGCTCGGCGCTCGCATTGCCTAGTACCTCGTTCTCGCACTGTGGCCCTCTGTCGTGGCAGTGTCGTGGACGTGCTGTCTACGTCTGGTGAAGGAAACGCGCCGACTACTCCGAGTCTTCTGAATCACATCGACGCTTGGTCCCAAAGTATGTTCCATCCTGAATCAGTTCTCTCAGCACAACAGCCATAGAACGATACTCGGCCCACTTAGGGATGGCCTTGTTCACGACAACGCCCAACGAACCCTGTCTCTCTTGCAAAGGCAACTCCTCTTGAGCCTTCAGCCACTCAAGCATCTCCAGTCGAATACGTTTGTCAGCGTACAAAGCCATGGTCTTGCGCACGTCTGGATCTCCCATCGTGAAGTGGAATCCACAATGCTCAACCATAGCGATCTCGACGACCTTGCGGACACGTCGTGAAACGAGTCGGACCTCAGGAACCCACTCAGGCGACCAGGAGACAGAGGTCATCTTGCGGTTCTCGCGGCGGGGATCGCTGTGGAACATGTTACTGACGTTGATATCGAAGTTGCTGGGGATAGTGAAATCGACCATCTTTCTGAGAATCTCTGTTGGCATAGTCTCGAGCTTGGGTTCGGGTTTATCGTGGGGGGCATGTCAGCGAAATTTCACGATAGCCTGGTCGAACGAGCTGACGGACCCATATTGGCGCAGAAAGTGCCTTAGACATCTTGGCCAGACTCGGTTGTGGTAGAGGCGGACGATGATACCTGTGACGAACGACGTCGATTCGGGCAACAATCAGTCGTGGTGTCAGAATGCAAGGCTTTTGTGAGGTCGGAAGATCTTGTCAAACTTTGGTGATGCTTCAAACAAACAAGGCTTGGTCAAGTGAAGTTGAAAATGCCAAGGCCAACTCTTGCTGTTGAAGAAGAAACTACCCGTGGGTCTACATAGCGTTCATTACGGTCATCCTTCAGGTCCGCCTCTCACATCTCTACCCGACTCCATTTCGGCATACTGCTCCCCACGACAGTCTTGAACAACGCAGCTCCAGGCGATTTCCCTCTCCCTCCAGGGCCTGGACTGCCATCCCCATCTCCTAACCTGCCTATGCCCGGAACATCCATTGGGCCTTTGTTGCTCGCATCCTGCGTCAGCACGGTCTCTTTGAAGTTCACCCGAGCGTCCAGGATGTCGAGCAAGTCCGTAATCGCCCTCAATCGCACCTCTTCTGCCCAGGTGAAAATGTGCTGTACTCGGTGCAGCAAGCTGGACATGTCGGCTTCGGAGTCGAGATTGTATGTTGCTACGACGCCGACTGTCTCGGCGATGAAGCCATCCGAATAGTGGACTTGGAGACGAGCCGTCTTCTTGTAAATGGCCAGTGCGAAGGCGCCGATGCTGCGATTGACGCATTGTGTCAGTCGTGGATCGATGTTCGCAGACATGGGATCCAGCAGTGCCGATGCGAGTGTCATGAGAGCGTTATTGCATGTCGAGGTGGCTTCGACCGCAAGGTGCTTGCGGCGTGGAGAGAGATTTCACTGATCTCGATCACGAAGAATGGCCAGTACGTGTCTTTGCACACATGCGATAGCTTCCCAAGATCGCGAGGGGCGCCATCGATATCCGATATAATGCCGTACTGGAGTTCGCGCTGGTCGGTGGTGAAGACTTGTGACCGGTAGCCAACATTGATGGCTGGACGTGGTGGAAGGAGACCCATGCGGCGTGTAGCCGTCGAGTCGAGCCTAGCACGAAGCCAGGGATGCTTCGCGATTGAAGAGGTTGTCGATTGTGACTATCAGACCACGATGAGGTTGTGCAAGGCTGTCGACAGCAGCAGACATTACTTCGGCCATTTTCTTCGCTCGCTTGTCGACCTTCTTGCTGAACTTTCGTGCTGACTCGTTCGGCGGGCCATGATCTGACGGATTGATGCCCATAGAGAGAGCGGCGGCATTCCATTGTTGAGGATCCAGGGTTGGGCTTTTGGTCGAAGTTGAGTCCGCGAAATTTCCGGAACTCGTCCGTGAGTCGAGACTGGTATTATCATCACTACTCGATCGCGAAGGTTTGCTCAGCGATCGATGCGAGGCGGGCGCCTTCGACATGGCAGCAGCGGTGTCAGTACCATCCAGCAACAACTACCTCAGAGTCGACGGGTGAAGTCTGAAGATTACTGCTGACAGGAGTATATGAAGGGTACCTGGTGGGGAGAGCGCCCAGCATTCGCCTACGAACGCCTCGACCGAGCAGCCGATCTGATGCTGAAATCAGCAACACCAATGGGCGGTCGTGTCCGGGGTATGGCCACTCCACCTCAAACGCCCGCCTGAACGCTGGCGCTTGTGATTGGAGGGCGCTTACAGCCAATATGCACTGTATCTGGGAAAATATTTGTACTTTTTCCACTGCAACGCTCTGATAATGCGCCATTCCAGGTCTTTGTGCGGGAGTCGAGCATGCAAGCATATTTTAAGCTCGCCTTGACCCTACGCAAGCGCCTAGGCAGAAGATCAGTCGAAAATCAAGAGTGCCTCGCAGATATGGATTACCTCCATCGCGGGACCCAATACTCACTTGCAGCATGGGCAGGTGTGTAGATCCTGCGGACGGGAATGCCCTTGGGCGCCAAGGACGGTCCTTCAATGTTGCAGAAAGCGCCTGTGGTCGAGTGTATCGCAACAGGCGGATGGTGTATTGTCCACCATCGGCCTCGCTCGTTGCTCAATGATGTTGACGGGTTAGGGATCAACTCTTGTGGGTTCATTCGAGGTTGGTATCATGATTCCTCAGTCAGAATCAGAATCGTATCCGCCTAGTCCGAGTCCGACATTTTTGATGACTGGTGTTGGGGCTGCCACAACGGTCTCTTTCTTCAGCACACTTGTCAACAGGGTCTTCTTCTTCGGCTTCTTGACTTTCTCGAAGGAGGGAATCTCTTTGACTGCTTCGGTTGCCTCGGCAGGGTCCTCAGCGCCGTTGATCTCGATATCGGGAGCGCCGTCAGCCTTTGCATGCTCGAAAGCTCTCCGGGCAGCCTCTTCATCTTCTCGCTCCTGTGCTTTCCTGGCTTCTTCGGCTGCATATTTGGACTGCGCAAGTGCTTCATCCTCCTTTCCGCCCTTCTCACCTCGCTCAATGCGGGCATTTCTGGTGCGGATTTCGTCTAGGGCATCGGCGACTTGCATTTCGCGTTTGCTGTCTTCCATTTTCTGCTCTAGCTCTTCCATGGCGTTCCGCTCGGCATTCTCTGCCTCTTCAGCCTCCTCCCGCTCCAATCGATCGAGTCGCTCTTCGTCCGTTTCTTTCAATTCGGCAGCCTCGGGGTCTCTCCATGATTCAAAATTCCTTTTGGCGCCGCGCTCGGATGTGTAGTCCATGTTCTTGGGGTCAGTCTTGAAGGTGATCTCAGAACTACACCTCGTACATCGGATGTAGAATCGATATATGGCGATGTTCAAGTACTTCTCATCAGTAGTCTCTTTCCGGGCATTGAACTTGCGACCCTTGTATATGTACTCGCCGCAGGAGGTGCACTTCATGCTGAATGGTGCCATCAGGCGTACGGGCATCAACTTGGGACCCGTCGGCCTCTCTGACTTGGGAGTCCTCTTGATCTTGGACGGATCAAAGTCCGGGGGATAGTATTTCGATAGCACTTTTCTTTCTGACATGGTGGCGGTTGAGAGACGATTACTGTGGGCGTTTCGAGATGAGCGCTCGCCTCTCCGGGATACGTAGAAGGAAGAGAAGTGGCGTTCCTTGGGCTGGAAATATATATACAAAGGAAAGAGGCACCAGCGAACAGATCGACTTCACTGCGTCACACCTGCCTGAGAAAAAGTTGGAGAAAGAAACGCGACTCCCCTTCAACACCCCTCCTCACGCGACGAGCGAACTTTACCCAAGACACATGATGCTGTCCACGATCGTTACGAAGAGATGACCTTATGACACCCTCCCAGGTTGAAGCAGAAGGAGTTGCCCGGCATGGCGACGCGGTCAACAGCCAGCATGGAGAAGTTTCTCCGGTCATGGCGGCAGGATGCAGTAAACAGAGGGCAACACGACACTGCCGTCTACATAGGTGACAAGATACTGGCGCTGTCGAGTAAGGAGAGTCCCCATACTGTCTGGCTCGGCCACTGACCTGTACCAGACCTAGACTCAGACGCTTTCTGGCTGGCCCAAGTCCATTTCAGCACCCGCAACTACACACGAGCACTCTCGCTGCTGTCACGCAAAGATCTGATAGAGCGAAGTCTGTCCTGCCGCTACCTGGCTGCAAACTGCTTCATCAAGCAAGGCAGATACGAACATGCCCTCAATCTCCTGGGCGAGGACGACCCAGTCCAGTTCATTCAGACTACTACAAATGCCCGGCGAAAACTGGCACATGTCAACGGCACCGCCAGACATGGTCCAAAGACCGGACGGGGTCAGAAGGACCGGATAGATGTCAGCGAAGAGCGGGATCGAGATCGGGAACAGGCCAAGGAGTTGAGGTTCGAGGCAGGAATGTGCTACTTGAGAGGCCTATGCTATGCCAGAAGAGACGCCTTTGATCGGGCCAGAGATTGCTACAAGAATGCCGTCAGGATCGACGTCCAGTGCTTCGAGGCGTTCGAAGAGCTCATGAAGAACTCGATGATGTCGCCCGCCGAGGAACTGGCCTTTCTTGAGGAGCTCGACTTCGACTCGGTCCGGGTGGAAGATCAATCCAGCCTGACCGAAGCGGCAGATTTCACAAAAATGCTCTACACCACCCGCCTGTCCAAGTATACCTCACCGGGCATCTTAGCTCATGCTACCGAGACCTTGTCAACCCACTACAACCTGGCCTCGAATCCAGACATGCTGTTAGCGCGAGCTGAGATGTTGTACACTCAGTGTCGCTTCCACCAAGCATTGGCAATCACTACAGAGATATTAAACACGAAACCCGAACCTGCATCTATCCTCGACACATCAGACAGCAATACCGCCGCCGCCCTGGGACACAGTAAGCAGCTGTACCCGCTTCACTTGGCCCTACTTTACGAAACAGGCTCGCACAACACCCTATTCCACCTATCCCACACACTGTCCGTCCACGCTCCACACGAATCATACACCTACCTAGCCATTGGCACATACTACTTCGCCACAGCACGGATAGCAGAAGCACGTCGCTTCTTCTCGAAAGCCTCCCTGATGGACCCACACTCAGCAGCCGCTTGGATCGGCTTCGCCCACACTTTCGCCGCTGAGGGCGAGCACGACCAAGCCATCGCCGCATATTCGACCGGTAGCCGCCTCTTCCAAGGCAGCCACCTCCCGCAAGTCTTCATGGGCATGCAACATCTCGCCCTCAACAACATGCAACTCGCCTGGCAATACTGCAGCAGAGCGTTCGAAATGAGCACTGGCGTAGCCAAATCCTCCTCCGACCTTGAATCATTCGACCTCAACAACAGCCTTTTTAACACAAAAGACATAGGCTGCGACCCACTGGTCCTCAACGAGATCGGCGTTATTCTCTACCATCAATCCAACCTCCCCAACGCAGCCCGCCTCTTCAAACGCGCCCTCGAGCTAGCATCTAGTCTAGGCTGCAACATGACCGCATGGGTCGCAACCCGTGCGAACCTAGCACATACATTGCGGCGACTAAATCGACTCGAAGAAGCCCTCGCAGAGTTCGATGAATGCCTCCGAACAGCCACAGGCGGCGCCTCGCCATCGACCAATGTCTTCGAGTCATCGACTCACCCTAACGCAGCCTCCTTCGCCGGACTAAGCATCGCCGACGCCGCAACCTCCAACACCAGTGGTCAAGCAAGCGGCTACGACGAGCGGAATCTGATTGGAAGTATACACACCAGTCGCGGGATCGTCCTGCTGTCTATGCTGGGCCGCACTAAAGACGCCGTCATGGCGCTGCACGAGGCAGTGCGTGTTCTGGGTGGCGATGCTGGTGGTGGGGGTATTGCTGGGACGTTGTTGGGGCGGGCTATTGAGATTTGGGCATTGGAAGAGGACGGCGAGCAAGACTCAGAAGACGAGAACGATGCCGAATACAATGCCTCTGCAGCAAACGTCAATGTCCGATCGAGAAAAGCCGTTGGTGGTGGAGGAAAGAGCAGGAACAACCCTGGCGCCGTCCCGGACGAAGGAGGGTATGATCCCACACACGGCGGGATTCTGGTGCTGGGTAAGGGCAAGCGGAAAGGAAGACAGATGGACTATGAGCGGACCGTAGCGAGCGAGCTGGATGGAGATGCAGATGAGATTTTGGAGGCGGCGTATAGCAGTTTGCGGTGATGCTGACTTTGACCTGTCTTTGGGTGTGGGAGAGATTGGAAAGCGTTGGCCTATATCTTGGGCGTTTGCGGTCTAGCATGGGCCAGCCACCTGGCGCTGAAAACGCTGCATTTTGGGATTCGATACGAGCCCTCTGATGAATGAAAAAGCTTGAGAGCTGGGTAAGGTAGTCCGTTGTTTTTTGGCATAACTAGGAAATCGACATCCTTGCCCTCCGCTCTTGCATTGGTGTGTTTACCCCTTCTTCAAGGTCTACGCGTCAATGGAATGACTGATAACGAATTCAAAAGGCAGGCCGAAGTAAGAAGGAGAGTCGAGGTTGACACGGAAATCAAAGTCGGGAGGGGAGTCGAGATAGAGAAGTCGGAGTGATGTAGTCGATCGATGATGCTAGTTATGATATCTACAAAACAATGGGCTTCACTTGGCCGCCTCTCGACCAACGACGTCGTTCAGCACGTACACACACAGCCAGCTCCAGTCCTGTCGCTCACAAGTTACCAATGATAGCACTCGCATACTCACTCGTCTTGGCCTTCCCGCCCAAATCTCCTGTCAGAGCCTTGCCTTGGGCTAATGTCTTGAAGATTGCGCCCTCGATCTTGTCTGCTTCGCCCGTCAAGCCCATATGTCTCAGCATCATCATCGAGCTCAGTAACAGCGCGGTGGGGTTGGCAAGCCCTTTGCCCGCGATATCGGGCGCGGAGCCGTGTACGGCCTCGAAGATGGAGCATTCGTCGCCGATATTGCCGGAGGGGGTGAGGCCGAGGCCGCCGATGAGGCCGGCGCACATGTCGGAGAGGATATCGCCGTCTGACGAGGTGACATGTTAGTGAGGCATTATGGGGAAGGAATTGGGAGACTTACAGAGGTTAGGCATGACGAGGACCTTGTCCTGGTATGGCCCTGGATCGGTGGTGATTTTCAAACAAGCATTGTCCAGAAGTTCTGCGTCGAACTCGATATCCGGGAAGTCCTTGGCCACGTCGCGAGCAGTGCTCAGGAAGAGACCATCAGACATCTTCATGATGGTAGCCTTGTGCACGACTCGGACCTTCTTTTTGTTGATGTCTTTGGCGTATTGGAAGGCATAGCGGAGGACGCGCTCAGAGGCTTCTCGTGTGATGAGCTTTATGGACTGGACGACGCCGTCGACTACGACGTGCTCGATTCCGGAGTACTCGCCCTCGGTATTCTCTCTGATCAGGACGGTATCGACGTTGTCGTAGGGAGTCTTGTAGCCAGCTATGCTCTTGCACGGACGCACGTTGGCGAAGAGGTTGAATGTCCGGCGCAGGGTCAGGTTGAGAGAGACGTGGCCCTTACCGATGGGCGTCGCGAGGGGACCTTTCAGTGCGACGTAGTTCTTCTGTATGGATTCGATCGCTTCATCCGGGATGACGGTTCGGCCGTCCTTCAGTCGGGGCGTGACATCGACGGGCTCCCACTTGATGGGGACCTTGGCGGCAGAGTAGATGTCCTTGACTGACTGCGCGATCTCGGGGCCGATGCCGTCGCCTTCTATCAGACTGACGGTGTAGTTGCCGTCTGAGCCTTTGGTGCCTTTGAATTTGGCGACTTTATCTGGGGCTGGTGTTGCGTATGATCGGGTCTGTGGATATGTTAATGTTGGCGCATACTTGAGAGTAGGTTCGACGTACCTGGAGTGTTGGAATGGCCCATCGTGGCTGCTGGTATGCTGCTGTCCGCAGGCATTGCCTAGTGGGAGCTGCAAGAGCTCGGACTGGTATCATGGCGGGCAACTTGAAGCTGTGGACAAGCTCCGCGGCGTGCTGTCAAGCTGTGTTTGTGGGCCTAGGAGCGTTGTCGCATGGATTGTGCAAGGGAGCAAGGTCCTGTAACACTGTCCGCTGCTGTTGCTGAGGAGGATTTGAGCTCTTTAGTAAACTGCGCGGGCATGAACATCAGATTGTACCCGCGGGAAGATTTGTTCTGCGAAGCTTCAAAAGGACCCGCATGTGGCAGCTGCAGGTCAAACTTGCCGGTCGGTACGGTGGCGGAAGAGGACTCATGGCAGCATTTCGAGTTCCGGACAACAACGGCTACTGGCCCGACAACATGGTTCAGGAGTCGGACTTATATCAATTGCACATTGAACAACATCTAAGCTATGTCGACGGTATGGTAGAGTCATCCATTCTATTCTTCTGTTCCACTCTCGCAATGCCCAGAATGCAATGACGACAGTAAATGCCAGGAGCACAACATGGCAATGGAAGTCGAGAAGAACGTGCTGACACACTACAATCTGCGAGTTGCACAACCAGCGGAATGGCCGGCAGAACTGGACGAGAGCGAAGACGAACAGCCTGATGATATTGGAGTCCGGAGATCAAGGTCGCGATATTCTGCTCTAGAACGAAGCGCCAGTGACCGGCGAAGTGGTCTGATCGGTGCTCAGAAAACCAGCGACGGCAGGTCAAATCTGGTACAGAAGGATGAACCGGATCCATTGGGCGCGCAAGGGACGGTCGTTGGGTCGCTTAGATCCAGAGGTCTTCCCATCGAACAGGATTCTCGACTACGGAACAAGTTTATGCTTTCGTCAACCACGTTTTCTCCGGCATTGTTTCTTTCACAAGCACACCATGACGCGTCAACGGATGACCTGGTCCGAGGCCTGCAATTCCTCAGCCAAAGCATCGATCAGAAATCTGCGTCACTGAAAGTCCTGGTGGAAAGCAATTTTGAACGCTTCGTCAGAGCCAAAGCGACCATCGACAATGTCTACACTGAGATGCGAGATCAAGGCATAGAGCGTCCAGCAGAGCGACCGACCAGCCCTCGACATTCTCGAAATGTCAGCAGGCAAAGCGGCATCCACTATCGGAATTTCAGTAGTGCTAGTGCGGCCTCCGCTACTGCTGCCACAGCGAAACCCAGCAAGAACGCTCTTCGGAAGGAAACGGACTATGGCGTGCAAGGCATACGTGTGCCCTTGCTCGAAGTCGCGCAGAAGGCTGAAGATGTCTGGGGTCCAGCTTTGGGTGGGAAAGAGCGAGAAGCCAGCCTGAAAGCGCTCGCCGAGGCGATTGAGAAGGAGCGACCACTGTACGAACTTGGAAGCGAGCTACGTTCCTCCATCAAGCACAGAGATTACGAGAAAGCTGTTCAGCACTACAGTAACGCACGTTCCTACGCAGCTCAGGCCAAGGCTCTGGCTGATCGAGTGACGTACAGCGGCCAAAGCTTGACCGATGACCAAGTTCGTACCATCCTTGTGACCGGCCGTATGTGGGCAGATGTCGAAGAGCAGATCACACTGCTCAAGCGTGATATCTGGAAACGGTTGACCAGCATTCAGACAGTGCTACCACTTCCGGGAGCTTCACAGGCCGAAGAGCATATGGAATTGATCGGCATCCTGCTTGAACTTGGAGTCGACGACAATCCGATCTGGGTCTGGCTTCTTAGTCGTTATGACAATCTCAAGAATAAAATCACTGCCATCGTGGAGCGCTCACGTGTGGAGATAGAGATTTTGCGGCGACGACTGGCCGCAACAGAGCAACGAGATGCTCGTTCTACAGCAATATACCTTCGACAAGCTGCAAAAGAGCACCCAGACGCACTCGATCAGCAACAGGTCGTTGAGTTCTGGGAGACAATCACGACATATTTGACCAAGCTGCTGTCAATGTCCAATGGATTGCTCGGCGAAGTCGTCGATTTCTGGGATTCGGCGAAAGCTTTCATCGATGGCCACAAGCAGAAAGCTCTGCCTACGGGATTCGAGGGCGAGTCTAGAAAACACCATCGACTCTCTGATGCAGGTGTGCGCGATCTGACAAATGGAGCCGTGGAGCTGGCTGAGCTGCTACGAGATGCTGTCAACAAGCTCTTTGCTGAGCCGCCGACCGACGATATCTCGACTTTGTTCTCGCCCACTTCCGCTTCCGCGACCACACCGAACACACCAGCTGGACTTTCCGCATTCTCGCCTACCGAAGGCCGTATCGGAAAGCTCGACAAGGACAACCTTCCAGCACCATCACCTCGAAAAGGTGAAGCATGGGAAGACTTCAGCTTCTGGCCGCCGCACGCAAACTCCGTTGGCGCCGTCCACTACCTGGTCAAACTCCTCCACCTGGTGACAGCTGCCGCAACAGAAATGGCAGCCATGTCGCCCGTCTCCGGCAGCTCACAAGTCAGCGATAAGATCCGCGCAACCCTCAGCGCAGCACGCGAGCGAAGCGTTCGAGCATTATGTGACGCCTGGAACAAAGACAGCGAGTACTGCAACGGCCTCGAAGACTGGTCACGAACGCCAGAAAAGCGCGACCAAACAAACCTCCCATTTTTCTTCGAGGCTTTCGAGAAAAAGATCCTCTCCGGCGTCCAACAAGTCCTCTACCTATCAGACCCTTCAAGCAAAGCCAGCTCGAACAGCATCATCGCGCCTCCCCCATCAAAACTCCTCCAAATGGTCCGCACGCAGTTCGTGAGCAGCATCTACAAAGCCATCACGCTATGCTCGAGAACGCGCAGAAAGTCGACGACAGCGAGGAAAGCGAATGGATCCTCCCCACCGCTGCCACCACATCCGACGACAACGACAACAGCATGGCCGCCCCGATCCAAGTCTCCGACCGCAACATCCGCCTCCTCCTGACCCTCTCCAACCTCAAAGCCCTCCGCAACGAGCAGGTGCCAGCGCTGGTAACGTTCTTCGAGACATCCTTCTCCGTCACGCTCACCGAAGAGTCCAAAACCATCCGCGACGTATTCGGGCAGATCGACGCGAAGCTTTTCCAGGCGTATACTTCCTCCACTGTGACCAAACTCACTGAAACGATCCGCGAGGGCATCAACGCGCCAGACTGGGCACCCAGTACTGGAAAGCCAGATCAGGTCAGCCCGTATATCTACACCGTAATGATGATCTTGGTGATGGTGCATACTGAGGTCTCAACTACTGTTGGTAATAGGAGCAGTGACAAACCGAGTCCTCTATTGCACGAGACGCTGACGTACCTGCTGGAAAAGATCTCTCAGGCACTTCTCGACGGCTTCAAGTCCCGGCAGCCAAACACATACACGCTTCCGGCGCTGATACAGGCTACGCTGGATACGGAGTTTATAGCGCAGACGATGAGTCAGTATAGTAGTCCCAAGGCGGGGGAGATCCAGGGACAGATTTATCAGGAGTTGGATGGGAGGAGTGATAATAATGCTCGAGCTAAGTTGCAGCAGGAGTTGGGGGATATGAGGGTCGTGCTTAAGCGGCTGAGGGAGGGGAGTAGGGGGAGTTTTGGGTGTTTTAGGAGGGCGAGGTCTGAGAAGGAGGGTGAGAGGAGGCCTGGGAGGTCTGAGAGAAAGGGTGTTGCGGTGTAGTCAGTGGAGTTCCTGCCCAGTGATGCTTGAGCTGTTCTGTTGGAACTCCAGCGATGGATGGTAGATGTTCGCATTTGGAAAGTCAAGACTCTGCAGTCAACCACGTCGTCGACCTCGCCTTGCACCTGTTCCGCCTCTGCCGCGTTTGGGTGCCCCACGACCGCGTCTTGTGGTGGTCCCTCTCTTCTCCTCTTCCTCGTGCTCTTCCTCCTCACTCGAGTCTGCGTCGTCATCATTAGCTCCGTCGTCTTCGTCCGCAGCATCCTCCATCACCTTGTCCTCATCTTCAGGTACCACGCTTTCCGCCTTCGTACTACCAGGCGTGGCCATATCCACCTCCATCTCGCTCTGCGCCAACCTAGTCAGCCGCCCACTCTTCCTCGCCATGCCCCTGCGCCCGCCTCGCCCAGTCGCTGACGGCACAGGCGAGCTCCGTGCTTCATCCGTCTCGGCGACTTCGCTCTGCTCTCTCGCACTCTCCGCTTCTGGACTTTCGCTCCCGCTGCCGTGACTATCGTCAGGGTTGAGCCGGCGCTGCCACATTAGCGCTTCGAAGTCTGCTCCGGGGAGTTCGAAGTCACGCCAGTACGCCCCTTCATCGTCTCCCAGGTTGGTGATGTCAGCATCCTCACGCTCGTCCAGGCCTGGGAGGTCGTAAAGCTGGTTGAGTTTTGCCCATATCTGAGCGGTGCTTGTTGCGATACTGTGCTGGTTTAAGTCGTTCGATATGGCGATCATTCGGAAGTGCTTGTGCATGCCGACTGGCTTATTGGTGATGATTGAACGGAGAAGGGCTGTTTCCTGGTCTGGGGCCCATTGACTAGAATCCAGATCTGTAGACTGTGAAGTCGAAGCTTGTTGGAGCGTGGTGGCCATGGTGAGTCTTTATATAGGATTCTTGTTAGGTGCTTGTATTTGGGAAATCATCGATTGCAAGGTGGGAACCACAGCGCCTGTCGTAGCGCGTTGATACAACAGCCTGTTCGTCAAGGTCGAACAAGGAATTGAGCACGATGTTGATGGGAAAGGCCAGATGAATTGTGAAGTTGAAAGGAAACCGCCGGCGAAAACTCGGCAAGCCTTTTTCGGCAAGTACGCGTCGCGTCATCTTCTTTCCCTTCGCGCCTGCAAGTTGTTGCCAGATTCCGAGTCGCTTCATAGAAAGGCAGCAAGCACTTATACGAGATCTCGCGGGCGACAAGATGATGCGCAACTGCATGCGACGATGCAGCGCCCGCCGGAATCCAACCCTTTCACCACAGCCGGACTCATAGCATTGCCGCCCCTCAACACACAGCCAGCAGATGAGTGGGATGGCTTCACCTTCACGGAAAATCTCGAGAGTGGCACGTTCTACCTACCAGATACCAAGAGCGAGGCACTGCCGCTGCTACAGCCAGAGACATTCAAGCTCTCAGCGGTAGACGCAGAACTCGAGTCACTCGACCCACCCTCCTCGTCTTCCTCCGCGTATGACACTGCCGAAGATGTCAGTCCAGCAGCGGGAGCCGATCCTGCGCCGGAAAGCGACAATGAAGACATATGGATCCTACCAGACGTCAAGAATGCCCCACGAACGCTCAAGCTGACCAGCTGGGACCACTTCCACAACGAGAGCTATCGCGAGCCCGCCTACCATTACATCTCCGAAGCGGGCCCACAAGTCCTCGACGCAATCCTAGCAAGCGAGGGACAAGACGAACAGTACAAGACCGCGCCCCCAGACGCATACCTCGACGCTCTGTTCGAGCTAGCACTTGGTAGATCGTCGCAGTATGTGAGATGGGATGAGAAGCACCAGGAGTTTGTGCCTACGGTGCAAAGACTTACAATCTCGGGGTATAGTCCAGAGCTGATTGAGGACTTGAGGTACTCGCTAGATGTCACGGGTCGTACGATGCGTATTGCGAGTTCGTTGGACGTTCACGATGGGCGGACTACACCCGGGCAGATCGCTTTCTACAGTGCTGCCAGGGCGATTCTGGCGGCTGTGCAGGGGTATTTGCAGCAGGAGAGAGCAGATGTCAGAACGCCTGTCCAGCTAGCAGAGCTTATCGAAGGTCCACACCGCTTTGTGGTATGTGTTGGGACGCTGTTGAACACGGTCGCGTGCAGTGGCGACGATGCAGCAATCCTACGGGATGTGCTCCAATCTGTGCCGTCCATGGTCTCGCTGCTGCCGCGGTACCGAGGACTGTTTACTATCCTGCTCTCTGCGATAGCTGGTTCCGTGTTAGCAAGGCTCCGATCAGATCTGGAGACTCCTCCTACGATTGATGCTGAAGAAGTCCATGAGAACCTGGCTGTCTCGAAGCTGCTGTCTGAGGAGCTCTCGCAACTCATTGGCGAGATCCGGACTTCAAAAGCACTAGTGTCTGCTGCTGCCGCAGGCGTAGCTCAGTCGGATGGTTCGGCGCTTCCAAGGAATATCGAGCTGGGCTTGAAATACTCTTGGCAAGAACTCGCGAAGTTCCAAGAACAAGTCAATTTCGCCGAGGACCAGTTGTCTGTCACAGAAGATCTACCGGAGCGCAAAGTCGATGCTACAGCGCCCGACGCAGCGGAAGAAGGCGCTTTCATGACTTTTCAGCCCATCGACTTCGGAAGCCTCACTCACCTGAGTTTCTACGAAGCCCAAGCCGCATTGCAGGAAAAGGTCTTCCAGTGTTTGACTGAAGAGTCCTCGAATGTTACCACAATCGATTCAGTCCCATTTGATCAGGTGGTCGAACTCTCTCTCGCACCATTCATAACGGCAGAGCACCGTATGCTTCATTCGCCGTACTACGAGCACTGTTCCAAGACAAAAGCCTACCCACAAATCTTGCCCAACTGCAAGACTTCCAACTTCTTGGTAATGGTCCGTTCGCCACGCGGATCAGCATCGCGCTATTCGACACAAGCCAAGCCAGTGGCGAAGGCCGACGAAGAGACGGCAACTCGACCGGCTTGCGTCTCGCAACGAGAGATACGTGGCCGCCAACTAGCTCTGAGCTGCGTATGGTACTAATGGGCATCCTACGAGAACATTTGCCCGAAATCAATGGACGTCAACAATTCGAAGACATCATCTCTTTCTCATTGCGCGACCTTCCGGAAGAGGCGCTGGAGAAGTGTCGCGACATAAATTCCATCTACGCCCTCGACTTCCTTCGAATGCAATACAGATCTCCAACTGCTCTGCTCGCGGCAGTGATCACACCTCGCGTGCTCGAAAAATATGACAGGATTTTCCAGCACCTTCTGCGCCTCATGAGAGTGCAGCATCTGGCTCAGCACTTGTTGCGCGAAGTTAGCAGTAGAGCGCCTACCCAGGTTTCTGCTCCAGAGCATCGTCTGCGACACCGGATCCAGCATGCGATATCCACCCTGGCGGACTATACCCACAACACAGCTCTGCGCCACGGCTGGCTTGCATTCGAGCAAGTGATGGCTGCTGTGCAGACTAGGATTGACGCCGGCGACTACCACGGCACACTACAGACCGGTCGCTCATTGGCTCACCTCCGTGATGCTTTGGAAGCGATGCTCGACGACATGCTTAGAGCGCTGTTGTTGAAAGAGAGGCAGAGCAAGTCGAGGAGATGCATTGAAGAACTGTTTGGGGTAGTGCTCAGGTTCGCGGCATCAAGACGGCATGACCACCAAACAACGAGCAACAATGACGAGGCTGCGGCGCCGCTTAAGCAGTTCTCGGACGGCTTCCGGGACTGCTTGGACAGGATCAAGGAGGGTCTGGAGAAAGAGGAAGGCTTGCCTCAGCATTTGCTGTTGAGGCTAAGTATGTCTGGCTGAGATCATTCAACGATGCCTATCGCCCATTCGAGGAACTGAACTTATCGATTGCGCCCACCATCAACGATACAGTCTTGTCTATCTAATACGGACCTGAAGCGTTCATCATGCTGTCGAACTACGCAGAGAATAGACTTTTGAGCGTCGAGCATTTCGAGAGTCCTCTTCGCACCGTCAACCTGTTCACGCCTGACGAGATTGGTGCCAAACCAAGCTTGACCTGAGAATTGTCGGTGCGCTCAAAGAGCCCGGAGGTCGATGTCAACGTCCATATATGACCACGTGCGAGGTGGTATCATACTGTAAGATTTAGCGGGGTGGCCCGAATCGCGGGCTTGAAGCTTAATCGGGCGCCCCACCACACCCGCATCCTTCACTTTGCGACGACTTTACCAGAGCACACCCCGACGGAAAACTGTCTGTCCAGTAAGCTGGATCAATACGCGGTGATACGAACGGAAGTTCGTCTGTGCGCTCAACTTTGATGTGTCCGAGCCTTCAAACGACATAGTAGCTCAATCTCTACCGATCAGGCTGAGATCGAGGAGGAATTCAAGAGACCGGTCAGAAATGCGGCTAACACCCTGAATACGACTCGCATGCATCAATGGCACCTTTTCGGCACAGGCCTGCTGGAATTGGTCAGTCTAAGGGCATTGTCAAGCCATGCGACGCTACATGCAGGCTAACGATGGTGTACTTGTGCTGTACCTCGCTTTGGCGATTGCTCGAGCTCGAACCCCGCCACTTCCCGTGATAAGGCAGGTAAGTCCCGCCTCAGCTCGTTGCTCCTGCGACTGCGCTTTTCATCGCATGTAGCTGTATACGTGCTGCTGCGACATGCTGTCGCTATGCTACCTGTCGTTCGCTGCACTGCTGTTGATCGAGTACGTTCTGGCTCAGAACAGTTGCTACTATGCGGCAGGCAAGACATTGGGTAGTGCGGTGATACCGTGCGGAGATACTAGCGATGGTGCACAGAGCGCTTGTTGTCAGATCGGCGACCTTTGTCTCAGGTGAGCTCGAATCAGAATTGTCTCCAAAGCAGATCAAGGCTGACCTACTTGCTACAGCGACTCTGCGTGCTGGGACTCCAATACAAATGTCACATACCTGTCCGGCGTACGTTGACAATCGCATGCGATCTATGAAAGAAGGAGCTAAAAAGGGCTACAGTGTACGGACTCGGCGTACGCAGACGCCTCTTGCCCGTATAAGTGTGGACCAGACTTCGTGAGCAAAAGCTTGCCAGGCTCGACGTGCTCAGAGTTGACCTCAAGCAGAAAATTTATACTGGGTCGGCCTCTTCTACTGCGGCTCAGTGGCCCCAAACCAATGGGCATGTATCACCTGTCGGCATCTTAAGTAACAGGCAGTCTGACTCTGATGCAAGGCATGCAACCATCCGGAAGACAACACTCAGAACATTGTGAGACCGGCCGAGGATTTAGGAGCGGCTCAAGTATGCAGCACAGATGCCGTTCTAGCATTTGGTACGCTCGAGCCGAACACGATGGAACGAGTACTGACCTACTCGCGCAGCTGCTCCAGCCACACTCGCCCCAATCGTCCAGCTCCCAACCGCACCAAATGGCCCGAAGACATATTTCTCGCAGGTCAATCCGACCTCGTGGACGCCGAAGCCGGGCTACACACCGTCTTCGACAGCTAAGGGATCTGCTTCGGTGCCTACTTCTGTTGTGCACATCACCGTCACGGACACGGCACAGGTGACTGTTTCGGTGCCAGCTCCAAGCACCACTTCTCGCACGCCCAGCACCTCCAGCACCTCCAGCAGTCCGAGCGAATCCACAGAGGCAGCCACTACTGTGTCCAGCACTGCGGCAAGCAGTGGAAACACCGGGAGTAGCGCGAGCACAGGCAGCAGCGCACACGGGCGAATTCGCGAGCACAGCCTCAGGCTCAGCGACCGCATCACCTACGCCCGCGCCAGTCCCATCACCGGGCGGCCTCAGCACAGGCGCAAAAGCCGGCATTGGAGCCGGAGTCGGCGCGGGAGTGCTCGCCTCTATCATCGTCTTAGCACTCATCTGCCTTCGCCGTCGCCGTCGTAATAGAAACCCCAACCTGCAGAATCCTCCAATGAGCACAACCGCACCCTCGGCCATGAAATACACCTATTCGCCCGCACCAACCGACCCGCCGCGCTCGGATGGGGAGGTGCCGCCACGATACGCGCAGCCGTCGGAACTAGATGCGGCCAATGGCAGAGCCGGGACGGAAAGCCAGCAATACCTCGCCGCCAGTGCGGCCGCTCATGCAGGTAGGGACAGCAATAGGTGGTCGAACAATACTTCCAATACGGTCTCTTCGGCGAGTTGGGGCAGCAGCCCGAGGATGGGCAGTCCATTGCCGACGACAACGGAAAGCGGCTCGGAGGCGCGGAATGTGGGCGGGAGGCAGTATCCTGGTGTGCATGAGCTAGGTTGAATGGGCATTGTTCCTGAACATTAGTCCGACGGGACGAACATGGACATGTGTCGTGCTAGGACAGTGATCTCCCTATGATACGGAGAAGCCGTGTTAAGCAAAAGACGAACGGTCGGTCCTTCGCGAGAAGGCAGTGTACTGCATCTCCAGTGGTCTATATCTACTTAATTCACCGGAAGCACGATAATAGGCAATGGGTATTAAGCTACGCTGACAGGCGGCTGGCTGCGACCTCTCCTTGGACCAAGCGGTCATCCGGTATCACCAGGAGACAAGTTGATATCGCCAGATGCGAAACTCACTATCTTCAGCCACGGAAGGTCAAGTTTGTGAGCAAGATGAAGCTCACGTTCTTATGCTTCCCAACATGCTTGCACCATTCTCCAACGAGAGCCAAGCAGAATCGTCTGGTCTAATCGTCGCTTTTCCCAACTCGATTGAAAGCAGTGCCGCCGCTCATCATCAGACCCCTCAGAGCATGCATGAAGATCTGCTCGAAGCCCAGAAACTTCAAGATGCACAACTTCACCCTTACGCTTTGCCGTACCGCCCAGTCAATGAGATCGATGTGTCTGTTCACACAGACACTGCCTGCAGCGGCTGCGCTTGCCGCGGGTCTCCAACGTGCCTTCCGTCCCAGAGGTAGCAGTACTTCCACGGCAGGCGTGCACGACTCGCACCTCTCTAACACTGCAGATACCTTCTCTTCAGGTTATTCTCCCCTCTCACCTCAGTACCCCGTTCATGACCACCTCGCTCCAACATCTCCCCTTGCTCCCATGATGGAGGGCGTAACCGACCTATGAGATGACACAGAATTTCAGGAGGAGTTCGTCAGCTGGGCGACTTCGCAGCTCGAAAAAGAGACCACAGTCTCACGCTCACTGCCATTTGCCCTATCCTAGGGGCCGCTCGCTGATCTGTTTGATAAGGGACAGATCCTCGGTCCGGAATGTCTTCCCAAATTACTGGCTCAGTCGAACGTGACAGGCGAGAAGCTTGCTGAAACTCTGCCTTCCAGCACTGACTTCCCACGATCGATCCCTGACGACCGGCTTGCAGTCTATGATGCAAACACGACCATTGAAGATGACAAAGAAGGCTCCTATGTTGGCTCTGGCGCGAGTGCCAATGAGGGTGCAGCTGCACGTTTCACTCGATTGAAGAACTAGGTAGGATATTGGACTAGACAAGACATGCTGCTACGGTTTTAGGATGAGGCCAACAAGGAGGATGCAAGTATTGCACACCATCGAGTGCTTATGTTTGTCAATGAGCACGATCAGAGGTACGCCTAGCTGTGAATGTGCAATAGCTAATTCACAAGTCACAGCTCCTGGGGCATGAACGTTGCCTTGCTCGTCCTGCTGGAGAAGGTGTCTTGTGGTCTTACAAAGACGTGCTACATGCCAGACAGTGTTGGTTCCCATAAACGGCACTGATCTGATCACCTCCACGCGGTTCTGCCATGGTCCATAGTTGACTGGAGTATCAACAAACTTGCTACACAAAGCTGCCACACAAAGTGAACGGAAAAGCGGTCTGGGGAGGACGCTGCTGGTGCCACTTGTGCTTTGTTGAAAGATTGTACTTGAGGAAGCCCCTGTCGCTGCAAGAGAAGACACATCCTCTGCATATTTCCTTCCTCCACTATTTCCAGGAGATCGATTCCGCGCGAACCTCATCCTACCCGTCATCATGGCAGCACCTCAACCCACGGCTGCTGACAGCCAAGCCACCTCAACAATCGAAGCCAGCATCGCGCTCGTCTTTCAACACACCACCTTCGCCCAGTTCGCCAGAGGCTACAAGGCCCTTCGAAGCATTGCGCTCGACAACACACTTTCAAATGAAGTCGCGGGCAGAGCCAACAAAGAGGTCCTACATGCGACTTTGAGAGGAGTGCTTTGGTTCGTTCATCCAGGTGCCGGCAGACAGGATGTGGTGGACTTTAATGTAAGTTTGGAGCGGCCCTTGTCACTGAACATCTGTTGCTGTGGACTTGCTTTGGACTAACCAAGCTTGTTTGCTGCCCTAGAATCTTGCGAGGGAGACGACTGAGCTGTACCGTAGAGCGGAGCCTCCGAGGTTGGCGAGATCAGCACAGGCGGAGGGGGCCGGCAGTGGCGGCGTTGCTGGCAACAGTGGCGTCGACGAGGTCCAAATGGGTGGGGAGACAGCTGGTGAGGATGACGGCGCTGGTGGCGAGGGGAACGTGGAGCCCACTTCTTGAAGCTTGGGGAGATAGTGGTAGAAGTCTCGGAGAGGTTCTTGGGTACAGGGTCTTGGGTACTTTGACAGCGCTCTTGCCGTCAGGGGAGGCACGTAGGAAGGCACGCAGGAAGGCACGGAGGAAACCCGCAACTCGTAGCTGCCGATCCAAGGCTCATGAGGGAAGCCGCACCTCTTCGCTGCTGCCATGGTGGAATTGGACGGGGTGAGCACAGAGTAATCGCATATGCAAGCGTTAGCTGAATGACAATGTTGGGACTCTTCTGTTTGATAGTATGCTAGCTTACCTACGAGAGTGGACGATCTGGGCGGTAACCTGCCAACTACTCCTGAGAGCCTTCGTCTGAGTCTTCTGTTGCTTATTATGCGCTTGTTGGGCTGTGATGATGTACTACCATTGGTGTTGGTACTCTTTTGCATCGGTTCAGACGCGAAGCTTACTGTCTCTCACGCCTTCGGACCAATATCGTCGCACCTCTCGGAATTCATGCCGTTCCATGGGTGATTTCCTGCACCGCCTGCATGCTGCCCACCTCTCCTGCCGGCCGCTTTCACCAATCAGCTACCTATGTTGTGTATCGTCCTTACTTCCTCGCTCCCAACCAGCCTTCAGCGAACAGCCTGCAACACCTTCCCAAACTGCAGCTCGGTCCTACAAAACGGACAGGACATCTTTGCTCCGTGCATGGCGCCTCTCTGAATGAGCCATGGCTCAATACATCGAATGTGGAAGCGGTGCATGGCGTTGCACGGCATCACAGCCATCATGTCGCCAGCTTCGTAGTCCTCGATACAGATACCACAACACTTGTCCTGCTCTATGGCCTCGGGACGGAGGAGGGGAATCTGTGTCGCGGGAAAAGGATCGTTGTGGATGGTGATCGTTGCGTTTGGGTCGGAGTTGTGTGAGGAGGTACTCCATGTATGGGTGATGCAGCTGTCGATGATTGTACTGGCTTGGGGATTGGAGTCGACTAGATCTGCCCGAGGTCTCTCGCTGTGCCGCATATTGACTGCGCTATTGCTGGCTTGTGTCAACACCACCTGTCTTGCAAGTACCTCAACTTCTAGGTCGCGACGTGTAGCTTCCCAGTTAGTCAGCGGTGGGGAAAACGGAGGCCGATCAGAACTCTGGACGGTTCCGATACCACCGTCAGAGTCCTCGCCGAGCAACATGATCAATTCTTCCAGCGGACGAACAGAAGGAGACCCGAAAGCACTCGGAGGTGACTCAGCTGTCGTTCGTGGAGGAGGCGGACGCTGGTTTTGTTGGAGTGCTGCCATCAAGTTGTCGAGTGCTTTTTGTCCGGGATACCGGTTCAAATCAGCGTCGTTGGTTTGTGTCGCTGACGAGGGTCGTTCTGGGGGGATGTTTTGATGAGGCGCCGTAGCTCTTGAGTTGGTTTCAGCACTCGATCTGTATGGTCGGAGCGGGTCGGGGGGGCTCCCTCGCATCATCCGCTCTATCTCGTCTAAGGACGGCTGATTGAGAGCACGAACCTCATCTATGGTATAAAGACGATGCGTAGCACTCCGAGGAGGGTAGACAGGATCGTGATGAGAACGGACAGGACTGGTAGGTCTGACGGCTGCAGGCGCCATGTGGGAAGGAGCATCGTGAGGAGAAACTACACGATACCGAGGAGCATGAGCAAGACCGTCGTTCGGGTCTCTTGATAACAAGCCTGGGGGGAACTCCATCCAATCCCCATACTCGTCCAAGTACTCCAGCTGAGTTCGGCGGTTTTCTCGATGATTTTCTTGGCGACTGGATCGTGTCTCTAAAGCGGTAGATGGATCGGACGGCGGGCTGGCCATGTGAGTTGAGGGCTCGAAGGCTTGCTCATAGTCTGTACCATATCTATCGTGGAGTACTAGGCGCCTTATTCCTCCAGCTGAGGAGGCTGAAGTATTGTGGGTGTGGTTGTTCGAAGACATGATTCGGACCGGCTGTAGGAGTTGGTGATGCAGAAGAAGGAAGGATCCTTAGAAGGACATGTCGGGACTATATGCGCACAAGAAAGGCACTTGGCCTAGATATTAGCCTTAAGACACAAGTACACTTCTTCATGTTGCGAGGCACCTGCCCAGGCAAAGTGTTCTTCACCTTCGTCACTCTCATTGAACATGAACTCACTTGCCAGCATGATGACTTTATGGGTGACAAGCAGACAGGCTGCTGTCTGTTAGTTACCGGGAATGCTTTGTCTTGTGAAATGCCCTGCTTGAGTGCGCGTGACGACTGGAGACATCGATGGACACACTTTTCTCAATCTGATATCCGAGTGCGATAAACGCTTGATCGCTGATGAGGAAGCAGCGCAATCACTGAGACGTAACGATGTCAATCCTTGGTTGACACCGGTCGACAGTGTCGCACTGCTGTTGGTGAAGTATCCATCAGGTCCGAGCTCAGGCGCGAATAGCTCATAGATGGAGGGCAGTTGCAGATAAGCCTCAGACACAATTCAGACCGGATGACCGACCCGTTCTTGCTCTGCGATTGACATCTCAAGTTGGTCCAAGACCGTGGATGTAAAAACCCTTGATTCATTTTCTTCTTTAATGAATGTCATTAGATTGCACTTCTTCGCATCTAGCCAGTCGCAGCGAACGGGCGACAAGCCAAGCTCCAGTTTGATGAACGTAAGCCATACTCATTTCGCCCCATATTTACTGCATACCCACCAAATTCAGCAGTATCCTATACCCGTCCCAAACAATCGAACACCGTCCCACAAGCAGTGCAAGTTCCTGTTCCTTCAAGCAGCCCTGAGGATCAAAAACCCGACGATGGCCAGCGCAACAAGAACCACAATCAGCGGGGACAGGCAACCAACAAAGTTGATCACACGGTCTGTGGTGTCCATGTCCTGCCGTTGCGCAACCAGTCCCTTGGGCCCAATTCCTGGCCGGCTCTCATCATCCGTGACAAGGACCTTGTTCTGATCCTCTTTCCACTTCTCGTATTTCGCCATGGCGCTAGTTCCGTTGCCATCATCGACACTACTTGACGCCTTTGCCTCTCTGTCTTTCGGCAACACTCCGTCGCGCTCCTCGAGGTAGGCAGCAACAATCTCCTCCGACTTGCTCAAGAGCTCCTGCAACAGTAGTTTCGTCAGCCATCCAAACACACATGGCTAAGCAGATTGAATGTCTCGAGCTTACAAGGACAGCTTTTCGATCGCCAACCTCATTTAGGAGTTGATCCATCATGATGGTCCGACCTATGCCAGCCGCCGACGAGCCTGCTCTAGAATCCTCGTCCACTGGAATCGGGTTGTAACTAGGTGAAGTGAACCAGATGAGTCCGCGGAAAGCTGCAAGAATGAGCTCGTCCATAACTTTGCGCTGAATAATCGGTGAGATTGGTCCGTCGTCTGCAGCAACGCTCGCAAGGCCTTGGAGACCAAGTATGAATTGAGCATAGTTGGCGTAATTGGCGCAGTCGGTGAGAATGTCCATGCTTTCGTCGAGTCTCGCCCAAGCGGCCAGGTCCAGAATGGCGGAGTGTGGTGCAGCCATGATCAGGAGGACGGGTCGCTGCCTGAATGTTCTCGTAGACGGATGATGTATAGATGCCAGTGGCGTGCCTTTCTGGGGTATGTATGTCTGGTGGTCTTGGAGGTATGGACAGAGGAGAAGTTCTTCCACACTTCCGTGACAGGACAGGCTTGTCATATGCGTAGCTGTCAACAATAGTACCACTGAGACCGCCAGACTGTTGACAGGCTTGCTAGGATCCAATCTCTATCCTGTCTCTACTGCCTGATCTGTTGCGATATTTCGTCAACACAAGAGATTGCGTCTGACTCAAGATCCAAGCCACCGGTAGAAGCGTTGTCCAAAATGAGGTCATTCTCAGGGTGAGCATCCGAGACATTAATAGATCAACATCAATAGACCAGCGATTTAGGGCCAGAAGCTCAGCATAGCATATTGTTGACAGTATGTAGGAGCGGAAAGCGGTGGTTGTACACACAAGAGATCCTTCTACTGCCGCTCGGTCAGTATACGTGAATGCTGAGAGGTCATGCCCGATTTGCGGTTTCGGTTTCGGGAATGCAGGAGAACGTATGCAAACGAGGAGAAACCCAATCGACTTTCATAGCACTGTACTCGCCTGCCCAAGTCAACGACGCCGCAGTAAATGCACGCAGAAGTAGGCCAGCGCAAGAACAGCCAGAAGCCACAGGCCTTGTCGGACACTGAGCACTCGCTTCGTCTTGCCACCAATGGCGAGGCCCTTCTTCATCTTCTCCTCCTCTGTGACCACGTCCACAACCGAGGGACCACTCTCCCCACCAATATCACCACTACCAGCCTTTCCAAGATCCCTCCCGTCCAACACGTTCAGCTGCCGCTCCACGAAGTAGGCAGCGCTCATAGCATTTGTCTCTTGCAGGAGATCCTGTGATATTGACTTGGTCAGTACACGCAAACGACGTGGACAAGCAGGAGGAGGACTTCGAACTAACAACAAGATCGGTTAGGTCGGGCAAGTGCTGTGGAACGATGACCTGGTCAACGAATTCCTCGGATGAACAATCGTTGACTGGTACTTTGGCGAACCATGAAATGCCCCTCTCCCCGGCATGCATGAGCTGTTTGTTGGCGTAGAGCTGCACTTGTTCGGAGAGGTCAGGGTTGAAGGCGACGCTTCGGAGCCCCTCCAATCCTTGCGCGAATTGAGTGAAAGTGGTGTGGTCATGGAGCAAGTTGAGGCTAGAGTCAATGTCGAGAATAGCTGCCACGTCTCGAAAGAGGGCTGATGTCGTATCCATGATGGGTGATTCAGGTGGTGTTGTTGTTGTATTCGTCCACGTGTGAGGTCGGTTGCTGATTCTACGTCGTACCTATCGTCGGTATATGCGTACTTCGCGAGTGCCTGAAGCATAGAAGGGACAGAATCTTTGACGTTCCAATCGCCGAGCACGCTCTCCTTATGAATGATCGCGATAGGCGACAGCCAACTCACCGGGACTGGGTCTTGGTTGAATCTAATCTCCCTCACGTTCCTGTTGCCTGACCGACTGGAGCAGCTTGTTGACCGAAGAGATTGGACTTGCCCTAAGATTGACTATAGCAGCAGAGGTGTTGTCGGAGAAGACCATTTTTTGGGCGAGCATCCGAGACATTGACAAAAGCATGACAAGCAACCTAGCTGGCGTAGCACTCCATGCAAACGGATAGCAATAGTCACCCTCCGTCTTGGGATCAAGGATTGCGTGGTGGTGGTAGCCCGAGAGCAGTCCTTATTACAGCTGAATGCGAGCTCATGGTCGCAAAGCGATTCCATGTATAGACCGTCCATAGTGCGAAAACTGATAGTGAAGAAGTGGAGATATGTGGATGAATTCTAGCAGGCGTCAGTACGTTGTGAGATCGAGACATCGTATTGCTGTCGCAGAGTCTATATCCGACCTGCTTCCTTTATCCTCCCTGTCGGGCATCCGGCGACGTGCGAATCCCCCGATCCAACGTTGCGAGAGGACTTTTCAGCGCCAGTATCTCGACCATACCTGATGAGGCCTGATCGTGAGAATCTCTCGAAGACCGGTCATAGAGTTTTTCAGCGCCGTCGAACTTGTATCTGAAATGAGCGCTTTACTCGGAGGATGCGACCCACTCACTTCCGCTCAGCATTGACGCTGTCTTCATTCTCCTCCTCCTGGTCTGCTACAGCATCAGTCTCCCCAACACACTCGTCATATGTCGCGATCACGACATCCCCGTTCTCATTGACCACCAGGTGGGGAGTGTATGCGATTGCAGCTTCCTTGTAGATAGCATTCCAGAGAGGACTATTTCTGATTGATGCTCCCAACTCGTTGCACGCGATGCGAGGAGTGTCTCTAGAGGCGGCCTTCGTCACGGCAATACTCTCATGAGCGAGCTCCTACACAAGGGATGGTTCGTTAGCTCACGTACGCAAGTCGCCAGCATCTACGACCGAATCCCGCAGAATGGAGGAATCTAGCGCTTACGTTGTAGCCCTCTTCCTCCTCTCCCTTGACTGCCATGTCACGTAGCTGGTGGGCTATGCCACGAAGAGCGGACGCGCGATCAGGGTCGTGTGGACAGTACAAGCTCGCATGCTCCTCCTCTGGCAGGAAAGCATGGAGTGATGGTGCGAACCAGTATCTGCCCCGTGCCGAAGCTTGCATCAGCGCGACGAAGCCTCTGAATTTGACGTCCGGAGAGATTGTCTTCAAGGAGATCGTGCTGTGAAGGTCCTTCGTCACTTTCGCATAGTCGGCAAAGGTCGGGCGTTTGGTGAGCAGCTTCACGCTTGCGTCTATTCTCTTGATGGCCTGTACGTCGAGCGCTAAGTGTACCAATCGAAGCATGACTGATCGTAGTGAGCTTATCGCTTGATGATGCCGGTTGGTAGCCGTCGAAATTACTGTCGGCGTTGGCTGTGGTTTGATGTCGAATCGCAATGCGTCTGCCGTGAATTAACGAGCTTGCTTTGCTCTCATGTGATCGCAAAAGAGCAAACTTACACAGTGGAAGAGGCTTGCCAGGTGATTTGAATGTCATCTTGGTGGCCCTGCACGGCTGCAGCTTGTTGTTGCGCTTTTTCAAGTGATATGTTTGCAGCCCTCCAAGTGACGGGTAGTGGTGTAGGTATCCGGCCCTATCTGTTGCGTAGTACCTATCCTTGTGTAACATCGAATAACTACGAGAGAAACGACGACGGAATTGTACGGCGTCGTCTAGACGTCGACGATCGAAAGCTGCACTCCAGTAGCTCCTCTGACGCGATACAAACTTGATGATATACTGATGATACATATACGCCATTGACGGGCTCCTTGAAGCAAATTTTCCATCGTGGCGGTCGACGAGGTTGTTTTCGCAAGTGATGATCCACGATCCATCCCGTCGCCCCAATACACACCGCTTCTTCCACGATGCCCAAACCCGTGACTGGGAGGGAAGACCTGCAATCCAGTGGATCTCTTGCCGCCGCCACTTGACGTGTGTTTGCTTCACGTGTCGGATCTGGCATTTGCGTTGAAAGCAGTGACATTCGTCGTGCCTGTTGCGAAGTCCCTACATCGGGTGCACTCTGAGGCTGTCCCAAGTGCGGTGCGCTGAAGAGAATTTTCCTCCAAATGCAAAGGGCCTACGAGGGATGTGATCCGCGAGGTGCTTCCGGTGTGATTTTGTTCCAGCAGTAGAGTGGAGTCTCGGCTCGTTGTGTCTTCCTCACATGTTGCTTCTCGAGTACGAAACTGCCGCTTTCATGTGGTAATCGTCCACATCTCTGGCGCAGCCTGACTCGTGCATAACCTCACCACGCGGCGGCGGTCGCTGTGAAGGGCGTGGCGATATCTGATAGCCGCTTAGTACGGCAGATCTTAGCTGAATCTGTTCCCCTTCTTGCTCCGAAACGGCTCCGCTGCCTCATATTTGCTTCTTTCCTTGATCCTCTGCTCCGCGGTCTCCGGCGCGTGTCCCACAGGTGCGACATCCTCACTGGCCTCACCGCTCGGGCTGCCGGCGTGGTCTAGGCCTTTAGAGTTGTGGGTGCCGCTGCTTGGGTCCGTGGCTGGGTGCGACGATCGAGCTATCGATGTGCTCTCATATCGCTCGAGGCGTTGGCCCTTCTTGCGCAGTGCTTCGTGTTTGGCGGCTCGCTCGGCATTGATCTCGCGCTTAGCGAAGTAGTATGCGCCGCCACCCGCGACACAGAGAGTGCCCCAGCCGATCCAGGTAGATCGGATCTGTAGTGCACGAGTGAGTGGTGTGATCAGCTTGAAAGGCCTCGGGGAGAAAGCTCACTGTGTTCATGGTGTATCAGTTCGGTCACGGCGACTTGGGCAGCAGTAAGCAGGTCGATCGTGAAGTTGCGCCTCGGGAATGATGCTCTGTATCAAACAAGACTCAAGGGCAAGTATTCAATGAAGGTAGGACGGTTGGTCGTGCTCCGGCTCCGGCTACTGGCGGCTCCGCAGTATGGATATCTCATCCGGGTGTGAGTCATTCAGCCCCGCCAGGCACCTATAAACTTACTAAAGACTACATATTCTTGTCAATCATTTGAACGTTTGTAGTTGCCTTCATGCCTTGACGAACTCGGTAGGGAACTCTGTTTCGTCGCTCTCTCCTTGTCCTCGATATCAGGGAAGGCTCCGCGTCGACCGCATGATTGAGTCCTGAAGCGGCCGCAAGGCAGGACTTGCCACCATGTCCCTCAAGCGCAAGGCGATCGATGGCGTGCAGGCGTCAGAGCGCGGAGCCAAACGAGCCAGCGCTGGTCCGTCGACGCCCTCGAGCTACATGAGCGACTCGGACTATGCAGGCTCTGATCATCCTGATTCCGATGCTGACCAGAGCGAGAGTGAGCACATCAAGAAGGCTCGTGCTAAACTCGACTTCAGCTCCATAACTCCCAAGCAGAGTCATAACTCATCTCGTTCTTTTGGTGTCAAGGACTTCGCATGGCAGAAGCTAAAACCAGATCATGCCAATCGACCAATATGGATCGATCCCGCAGTCTTGCCTGGCTCACGGAAGGGGCCCAAGTTGACTCTCGAGATATTCTCTCCGCTAGGCCAACAAGCCACCGATCTGCTGACTACCATCGCCGAGCCTCAATCGCGTCCGAGTCATATGCATGAGTATCGCTTCTCCGAACACAGCCTGTACGCTGCCCTTTCCGTAGGTCTCAAAGGCAATGATATCATAAGAGCACTGGAGAAGTTCTCCAAGACACCCGTTCCCGATACCGTCATCGAATTCATACAGCGCCATACGAAGGCCTATGGCAAAATCAGAATGGTGCTGAGAGATAATCGCTTCTTCGTTGAATCAGAAGACCGGGCTCTCATAGAAGAGCTGCTCCGCGACCCAGTCATTGGGCCCTGCGCCAGAAGTCAGATTGAGTCGGGCACACTCGAGGCTCGAGCTGCTGTCATACAGGGGACAAAAGAAGCCACAGCCGTCAGACAAGCACAGACTCAGAACGAGCCGGCTCCACGACCCGAGCCTCGGCTTACACAGCAACAGTCCGTCATTGACGACTTACTGGATGAAGAAGGTGAAGAGGAAGATGATGTGCGGCAGTTGGTCAATCAGTTCGAGATCGAGAACGGAAAGAGAGATATCGTCGCAAAACAGTGTCTAGACATCGGCTATCCCGCAGTGTCAGAGTATGACTTTGAGGGCGATACTGTCAATCCCAACCTGCCCATCGATCTCAAGGCCAGCACTCAGATCCGGCCATATCAAGAAAAGGCTCTGAGCAAGATGTTCGGCAACGGTCGTGGCAAGAGTGGTATTATTGTGCTCCCTTGCGGCGCAGGCAAGACCCTGGTCGGCATCACTGCAGCATGCCATATCAAGAAGAGCGTCATGGTTCTCTGCACAAGTGCTATGTCCACGCATCAGTGGGCCAATGAGTTTCGGAAATGGTCCGAGATTGATGAGCAGGACATCGCCGTCTTCACAGCTAACGACAAGAAGCAGTTCGCCAGGGACTCTGGGGTTCTAGTCAGCACCTACAGTATAGTCACAAGCTCCGGCAAACGTGCGCACGACACTCAGAAAATGATGGACTGGATCATGAGCAGAGAATGGGGTCTCATGATCCTCGACGAAGTCCACGTCGTACCAGCGAGAATGTTCCGAAAGGTCGGAGCTATCAGCGCTCACTGTAAGCTAGGCTTGACGGCAACCCTTCTTCGAGAAGATGACAAGATTGGCGACCTCAATTTCCTGATCGGCCCCAAACTATACGAAGCTAATTGGATGGAACTCGCGGACCAAGGCCACATTGCTAAGGTACAGTGTGCCGAAGTGTGGTGTCCTATGTCAATGGAGTTCTACCAAGAATACCAAAGGGAAACGAACCGCCGACGAGCCCTGTACTACATGATGAACCCTATCAAATATCAAGTCTGCCAATTCCTCATCGACTACCACGAAAAGCGAGGCGACAAAATCATCGTCTTCAGCGACAACATCTTCGCTCTCGAGCACTACGCAAAATCCATGGGGAAATACTTCATCAGCGGCCAAACGTCCAACAACGAGCGAATCGACGTCCTCAACAAATTCCAAAACGAAGACAGCGTCCGAACTCTCTTCTTATCGAAGGTTGGTGACACCTCCCTAGACCTGCCCGAAGCAACTTGCCTCATCCAGATCTCATCACACTATGGCTCCCGAAGACAAGAAGCTCAGCGCCTAGGCCGTATTCTCCGAGCCAAGAAGCGCAACGAGGAAGGTTTCAACGCATTCTTCTATAGTCTAGTTAGCAAAGACACGAACGAGATGCACTACAGCGCCAAGCGCCAGGCGTTCCTCGTCGATCAAGGCTACGCCTTCAAGACCATCGTGCATCTCGCAGGAATGTCTGAGATGGTTGGTCTCCGCTATCGCACCAAACAAGAGCGCATGGAGTTGCTAAGCCAGGTAGCGCTGCAGAGCGAGACGTCGGCTGATATTGAGAAGGTTGTGGATGATAACCTGTGGGGAGGTTTGAATGCGGCGAATCCGAAGGGTGGCAGTGGGAAGGTGAAGCGGCAGACGGGGCTGTTGGCGGATGCGAGTGGCGGAGGGGTCATGGCGCCGCTGTATAGAGAGCAGGAAAGTAGGAGGGGTGGAAAGAAGCAGAAGGGGCCGGACAGTGAGTGGTTCAAGAAGGAGGCGCGGAGGAGGGAAGCGCATAGGAAAAAGCGGGCTGCTGCTGAAGGAAATTAATGTATATTACGACAAAAATCGGTCAAGTTGGCGGAACGTATACTGCAGCTTGTGAGGTGTTGAGCGTCGCTGTCGACAGCAAGTGAAAGGTCAGCCAGGGAGTTAGATTGCCCCAGGCAACCACACTGAGAACAATAGCAAGTATGTCAACAATGCTATCGTCTGCTACTATTCACATCGTAGCCCAGCCATCTTTCCTTTCGTTTGCATCGCCAAAATCATCTGTCTATAAGACATCGTTCGCCTTGCTTGCTTCAATCTCGACCGCTACTCAGATCATCCCTCAACCACAACCACCCGCCCACCCACGCACCGGAAGATGGCGCCACGCATCCCATCCGACAGCACAGTCGGCTCGAGCAGCCATGCCTCCTCCCGCATGGACATCGACGACCCCGTCTCTCGCCGCACCTCAGTCACGAACATCTCCATCCACGACGCCCAACAGGAAGAACTCGAAGACCGCTTCGACTTTCTCACAAATGCCCTCAACACAATCCGCTTCGATGCGCAGCGTGACCTCAATCTGCAGCCCAAGTCCACACAGCTAGCGCTGAGTACAAAGACTAGACCGATCTTCAAGGCGTATGGGAAGCATGGCTCTGAGGCGCAGTTGAGCAAGGACATCAAGGAGTTTTTGGGCTCGCATAACAATACACGGGGTCTTACTGTTTGGAGTCCTGAGGAGGCAGCGACGAAAGAGAAGGCGGCGAACGGGCGCATGACACACCTAAAGCTCCTCACCGCTGCGCGCGCGCTCGATGCTGCACAACGCGAGGCTATCGCTCGAGATGAAGACCCGGCTCTGATCGACCCCACAACCGTCGAGAATGCAGATATCAACAACTCACCGCTCGACGGCCGTCGCACTTTAGTCAACGACGAGGAGTCCCTCGAGCTGGTTCAGGAGATGGAGTTTGAGCCCGCCAATATCCGCATCTCGTTCCCCGAGGAGGTCGCTGGGAATATCCCGCCCGAGATCCTTACCACCACGAACAATATCCTAAACTTGTTGAATGCGCAGGCCAATGCGAGACTGGAGGGCTATGTCGCCAAGTACATCACCTTACACCCAAGCCCACTGCAGACCCGCAACGGCTACGGCATCTTGCGTCTGGGTTTGCACGAGGAGTACGCACAGCAGGCCAGCAACCTCTTTGCCACTGCACAGACCAACAACGATGGTCTGATGTTCGAGCAAGGCCAGAGAAGCTGGTTGAGGGAGTGTTTTGATCATCTGGGTGTGAAGAGGGAAGGGGGAAGGCAAGGGGAAATGACGGAGCGGGAGAGAGGGCTGATTGCGAGGGCGGTGGGGCTTGATGAAGATGCGGTGGAGGGCTGGTGGGAGAAGATGGCTGTTGAGACGAGGGGAAGGAAGGGGATGGCGGTGTGGATGAGGGCGAGGGAGTTGGAGTTGGTTAGGAAGGCGAAGCTTGAGGGCAGATACTGAACACACTGTCACTCATTCAGGCTCCTGCGGAGGTCGATCTGGCGTCCCTTCGCATTCCGGTGTGATGGCGGTAACTGCGATAGTTTGCCTCCGTTGTCACCCTGAAGTCGGAGTTTGTCTTGGCAAGGAAGGCGTACCTGCAGGAGAAGTACTTGTGGGCGGATGTTTCCATGCAGCCGACCTTGGACGCTGGAGCATAGATCTGGCCACATGCAAACGACATACGTATCGCATAAGTAGAATGATTCAATGTCAACTCGCATCAAATGCGTCCCTTGCACGAGAAAGTCCGGCTGAGGATCGCAACATCCATGGTAACAAGACTGTATCTCCCATGAGGCAAGTCCAGCTCGGATGATGCGGTACACAATTCTATGCAAGAGCGGGGGCGGCCGCTCTCCGCTCCAGCTGTCCCGAACCTTCCTCTCACCTCTCCTATCTCACACAGCACAACGTCGCGCATTCCTGTCATGACCTGTCAGGATGACGCCAGACAACCTGGGAGTAGTAGGCACGCAGACTTGAAAGAAGCTGAGAATCACCGCTTTTTAAATGACATTTGATAGGCACAAAACTTATCGCCTATGTCGGTGTTTCTTCTGCTTCGAATGCGTCCTCCAGCTTCCTGAGTCTGAGCCCATATCTTGGATCCTCATACCCTCTGAAAACCCTGCTTGATATTATCACCTTCGCGTTCGCGTTATATTCGCGCACACGGCGACTCCCAGCCATGGCCACACTTCACCGCCCTAACCGTGGCGGCTCTCTCATCAACCTGTCCCATCGCGCGTCCCTGGCGTGCCGGCCTTGCAAGTAAGTGCCCACCTATTCTCTCATTCTCATCAATGGATCCCTTCTTCTTATACGTCTACAGGAAGCTGAAGCGCAAGTGCACGAAAGAACTCCCGTCATGTTCCCTGTGTGTCCGCTTGGGCAAGACGTGTGACTACGATGGGGCAGCGAGCGAGATGAATGTTGACCAACAGGTTTTACTTGACAGGATTCGTGAGCTGGAGAGACAACTGGAAGCCGGAAGTGGTGGTGGCACGATTGCTGAAATCAGCGCCTTCCCACGTCAGGGGTCGTCCCTGGTCAACCCGTAAGTGAGTTGCTACTCCGAACTGGAACTGTCGAGTCAGATGCATCGATCGAGGTCTCGGACTGGGTAATACCGACCTTTGACTGGCTTCTTCAGAACATATACGATCCATCGGCAAGGGTTTGCTTCTAACCTGTACTTCCTGGACCCAGAGTCGTTTGGGCCTGCAGGTGTACCAGCAACCGAGTTAGACCCAGGCATGCCGGTACCTGAGCAAGTCCGCTTCATACTGGGTAATCGAGGTGAGTTGAGATAAAGGCCTGATAGGAGGTCATCAACACCTTCCTGTGCCTAAAACTCCGAATCTGGTGCAAAGATAGGCTGGGTAGGCCGGTACACTGACTTGGCCACAGCCGAAGTCGAGACAGTGACTGAATCATACTACGACACGATCGATCGATGGTTTCCCATCGTCAGCAGAAAGCGACTCGTGGCAAGACTTACCACATTTGAGCCCAAGACCGATGCCAGTGTCGCCCTTCTCCTGCTGTGCATGAAGCTAGTGACACAGATCCTGCCTCACGACGAAAATCCGCGGACAGGTCTGTACTGGATCTGTCATCAGTTCTTGATGCAGGTAGAAGGCGCACCGCTGCTGTCTCTGACTCTGCTACAAGCAACAGCTCTCATGGCTATCTATGAGATCGGCCACGGTATCTGGCCCGCCGCCATCCTGACTGTGGGAAACGCTGTTCGCTTGGGACATATCATGGGCTTGCACGACAGAGATAATGCACATCAGCTCTTCAGGGCGAATTCAACGCTTACTGGCAGGGAAGAGGAGCGGCGGACCTGGTGGGGAGTAGTTGTGCTCGATCGGTATGCGCACCAGGCTTTCTAGAAGGAGCAATGACACTCACAGTCGTCCTAGTATTGTTACCATGGGCACTTATGATGGCTCGATCCTGACAGCCGACGTCCGCAACCATGAGCTATTGCCGTGTACGGACTCTGATTGGGATAGCGGAAACATTGCGCCTTTCGGTCATGCCTTCGCTTCTGATCTCACCGGCATTCAGATCGGTCACTGGGCACAGGTCTGCCAAGCGGCGCATGCCCTCGGTTGTGTGCAACGGCATCGAGTGGATGAGGGTCATGCCAAGAATTCTCGTCTGGACGAGGCTCAGCAGCTGGACCGGACGCTGGTGTCTTTAGCAGCATCGTTATTGGCGGATATGAAGCAACGCGGTGATATGGCGATTAATGATCCCAAGCAGACTGGCAGCCGATCATCGGTAGACGCCATCGCGCTTTGCTGCAGCGCACGCTTTCTTCTCTACGAGCTCTATGCCTGCAATGATGGCAAGAGCAACATCAGCAGAGTCAGCAGCTTTCCATCAGGCCAAGAAGCCGTGATGCAGAGGATCTCACTCCAGGGAATCAACGAGTGCGTCAATATCATGCACCAGATCGCCTTACGCCTGCTGGAGCCACAACAGCACTCAACAAGGCAGAGTCCCGAGTCCTATATCACGTACCATGCTGGCAGCATCTTCGTGACCCATGCGTTGTACTGGGCGGCATCTGAGTGTAGCTGGATCGTCAAGGAGGGCATCAATGCTGCTGCGGCGCGTGTCATGGGCGATCTGGTCAAAGCGTTACACCTGCTAAACGATCGTTGGCACCGGGCGGGAGATTACATCAAGCTGCTGGAAAGAGAAGAGACACTATCAGACTGACCCAAATGGGAAGTGGATGGCTCTGCACGCACGCTAGCTTTGGTGGCTGGCTACGCTTTTGTCGATGTCTCGGGCCTTCACCGTTGATGTGATGTTCCTGGACGGTTTCGGCGCTGCCATCTCGAATAGAAGCTTGAAGCGGATCACTTTGGACCAGGGTCGATCCCAAGCGATCAGGCAGCAGGAACAAGATGATGTCCACGCTTGCAGAGAGTTCTGCTACATAGCATGGCTGTCACTGTTTCTTTGTTGCAGACGCGCATAAAAAGGCTGAGCACATTCCCTTCCTCTCTTTTGTACCTCAGAATCTCTTCACAGGAACTGATCCTTTGGGAAACGTTACACTTACACTTACGTCTGATATACCAAGCCCTACATCCTCAAGACAGCTCCTACCGCCGAGCATGGCTGCACCACGTCCCACAGCGTCAGATATCAGCGCCACAGAAAAGATCGAAGCCAACATCGCACTCCTGGCTGATCGCACCACCTACGGTCAATTCGCCAAATCCTACAAAGCCCTTCGAAGCGTCGCTCTAAGCAAGAGAGTGTCAGAAGCTGTGAAGTTCAGGGCATTCAATGAGCTTCGACAGGCCATGGTCAGAGGGCGGTCCTGGTTTTCGCCACCGCTTGATTTGTGGCCAGAGGGTCAGGGCCTGGCAGGTCACATAGAAGCTATGAGGGCCTATGGAGCAGTGAACCAGAGGGACCAGCAGAACTTCTTGGTATGTCATCGGTCCTTTAGTTGGGGCTTCGTATGGAAACGACAACGGCTGACGCGGACAGAACCTCATCTGCAAAAGTAACGAGATGCTGAAAGCCCACTTCGAAGAGAGAATGGCAAACGGGAGAAGGGCAGAAGCGACGGCAGGGTCCAGCAGCAGCAATGCCATCGAAGAGAGGGAAGTCACGGACTTGGAGGAGGAGAGCAAGACTGGCTAGGTACCTACAACATCCTCTATGGTGGGAAAGATTCAGATCGTGTTCATTGCAGACCCGTGGGAAGGTGTTGGTGGACGATCACAGTCTGTGTCTTCCTTGGCACTGTGGCTCTTGTGTTGTACATTGGTGGTGTTGTAATAATAACGCCCTTGCATTCCCGAGTACATGTGCCGCATCCCACAATCTCAGAGAACGCTTTCAGACACGAAGACGCCGCTCTACGATCTCACCGCACCGTCAAAGGTCCTTCGTACCAAGTCCGCTGTCGTTGGCGCGCTGATCTGTCGATGTCTCGGAAGCTATCTCTGAGTATGATCCTTTCGGGACAACGCTTCACTGATGACTCGGATGCGAATGCGCCGCCAATCTTCTTGAGCGATAGTACACCGCAAACCGTCAGGCAACAGAGACAAGGTGGTGGTCGGTGATCTGTTGAGTAGTGAGGACGTAGTGAGGCTTTCTGCAGTGGCACGCACATAATGAAGCGCGTCCACTGCCATCCAAATCCCCAAGAATACTCACTGCTTCTGTCATCTATTACCATCCGTCGACAAGTATAGACAGTTCACCACGCGTCAGACCAGTCATGGCTACACGTCAACACACAACCCCTGACATGTAAGCCACCAAGATCATCGACGCCAGCCTCGAGCTACTCAAGAATCGCACCACGTACACCCAGTTCGCTCAGGGCTTCAAAGACCTGCGAAGCGTCGCGTTCAACACCGCAGTATCGGCTCAGACCCAGATCAGAGCTCAGGCGGAGCTCAAAAGTGCTGGACGAAGAGGCATTGAGTGGTTCGCCAAATTCCCAGCCGTGGCATCTTCTTCGTCAGGTCGACTGGTTCTCCAAGACTGCAGGCCACAGCTTTTGAGGGATATGGCAAGCTTCATTGTAAGTACAAGATGTTCTCTGCCGCCTCCGGACGATTTTGTGAGGACTGACCATATTGCGATGGTAGGACCTCATGGAAGAGACGAATGCGATAAGTGATGCCTACCTCAGGGAGCTGTATCCGGGTGTGTTCAGCGGAAAGCGGCTGGGTGGGGCCAGCGGGGGTGGTAATGACAGTAGCGGCGGCGATATCGGTGGTGGTGATAAGGCTGGTGATGCTAGTGGTATCGAGGACCCTGGTCAAGAAGATGCCGTAAGGGCAACGGGTGCAGACGATGCGGAGGCAATCTCGTGGTGGAACAGGACCTGCGACGCCGTGGAGAAAGAGTGGAAGCGACGACTTTGGACTCAAGACTTCGTCACGGAGGAGCGAGAGCAGGACCAGAGCCCTTGGACCTTCGGGGAAGTGGCCATTTGCGTCACTCAGCTTGTATCGTTCGTCATCGCCTTATCGCGTTCATCTGGTTGGCACTTGCTCTCGCAGGAGGGCTTTGAGACGGGGATGTTTTGTGGCAGATCGCGTATCAATATGTCTAAATTTCCTCACACTGCAGCACTTGGGTATTTGCTAAATCTCGTGGAGGGGTGGTGTCATTTGATCCACGACTTTTGAAAGCTGCCCATCGCTCCGCGTCTGCTAGACCACTTGAGAGTCTTCCATTCTCTGAATCGGCACATCGGATAAAAGATTGCGTAACGACACTCGATCAGTGGCACCGCGGACGACTCGTCTCATGCTGTGGCCGTATAATGATCCGAGGGCCGTCCCAGGTAAAGATGCAAGTGCCCGGAAGCAGCGCCAGGGCGGCGAATCCTATTCTAGCACTCCGCCTCACTGACTTCGCCGTCATCGTCTGCACTTTCAGCGCTCTATATCTGGCCTAGGTACCCTCCGCGTCGTCTGGCAAGCCGAGTCAGCATATCACAAATGCAGCGCCACGGCTGTCCTTCTGATGTTACATGTTACACAGGGATCGGGATACCGAAACCAGGTGTCGGATGCCATCATGTCTTCCCGAAAAATCCAGATCTGCGACCCAAACGGGAAGCAACGACTACAGTACCTCAGTTGAATCCATTGCCCTCACTGACTTGGTTCGCTGGCTACTCTGAATGTCTGATATTCATTCTTCAGACGCCTGCCCTGAAGTCAGTGCTGTGGATTTGGCTCTTTGATCTTGCAGCTTCAGACACAGGCGTGAATCTCATCTGCTGCACCGGGAAAACATCGCAATGGACGGGAAGCAGAGACAACGCGGAAATTGGTGCTTAGCCGCAAGGTATTTACCATTTTCTTCTTGCTTCAAAACATATGTACAGCTTGCTTGACCTCTAAACTGCTGGATACTTGTTGCCTTCATCTTTGACTTATATGCTTCCAATATACACGTACGAAACAGACACTGGCCATCAAAAGGTACAACAATACTATTCTCCATTTCATTATGGCTACCCCTGAACGCACGACTCTCGACACCACTGCCATCGACACGATCGAAGTCAATTCTCGATCGCTCGCGCATCGCACCTCGTTCGCACGCTTCGCGAGAGCATTTCGAGACCTCCGGACTGTGGCCCCCGATCTGCATATCTCAGTAAACATTCAGCAAAGAGCTATGAGTGAGCTCAACGACGCCGCATTCCGGGGTGCATCCTGGTTTCGGTTGCGGCGCCTGACATCTTTAGGGTCCGGTTCTGGACAGAAGTTGATCAGAAACGCCCGAGATAATGCTGATTTCAAGGTAACTCTCAGCACTCCCAAGTGCTCAGCATATCACCCACGTAATCTGCGTGTATTGACGAAATTTTATCGCAGGAGCTCATGAACGACACGATTCAGTTGCAAACAGCGTTCCGCGAGGAGAGGAACGCGGCTACGGAAGAGGCTAGCAGTACTACTGGCACCGATAGAAGCAGCGCCATGGAGATAGAGGAAGACAATTTGGGAGAGACATCTGAATACCAAAGCATCACTGATGGGAAAGGCCAAGAAGTACATTCTTCTAGAGACTCTGGCGTTCGAGGAGGTAGTTTGGCGCGGCGAACCGTGGTGCCGGACAACACGGACTTGCCTCAACAACTCGTTCCTCTGGAAACCTCTGCCATGGACCAGATCGTCTCAATTATCGGCCGGCTCTCTGTGAGCACTGTACCGCAGACGAACCGTGCTCCCAGTGCTTGCTTCGTGGCCGAGTTCGAAAAGCTCCGAAGTCTGGCCTTCTATTCAGGACTTTCGGAGGATGTACGAGGAAGAGCTCGGAAAGAACTTCGCTACTTTGTGGCCCGGGACTATGAATGGGAAGCGTATAGTGAAGCCCGAGACGTGATCGTCTTCAAGGTAAGTCACCGGACCTGCAGGTCTTCGTCACGCCACTCCCGTGACATGTGCGGACTAACAATGTCTCTATGATAGGCCTTTTTGAACAACACATACCACATGGCTGTAGCAACTATCAAAGAGGAGCGCGTCAAGCACGATGTGACGAGCACAGTGCCCATGACACCAAACGTCATTCTCATGGAATTCGCGATCGCCATGGAATTTTGTGTATCGATCTCGGATGTTGAAGAGCGGTCCCTCCTGATGTCACCTGGGATGTTTTCAGATCGACCGCACTACAAAGTGGTCGAGGAGTTGTATAGCGCGGAAGAGTGGGCAGGTGTTAACGCTCCCCCGACATTCACGAACCTTGTCGATGATGAGTCTACTTATGGCATGAGTGAGTGAGCACCGCCTCGAGGACTACTCATCAGGCAATCGGGTAGATGGGAGCGGAAAGGGCTAACAGCAATATATCCTTGGAGGTTGAGCGAGTGAGTACTCAATGACATATTCTTGTCCACGCCTCAGGTACTGTGGTAGTCGATTTCCAGGCAGATACATGAGTGAGTATCCAATGAGTAGCCAAAATCGATGTACTCGATTACCATGAGTTACTTACTCATCGAAAACCCTATTGACATCCAGGATGCCTTGACAGTCTTAAGATTGGTGTCTACACTCTACTGTTTGCCGCAACTCGCGAGCGCTACCCGTGGCTCATCCACCCGATCTCAGTCCGCACTCTAGCTTTGCGATCATCTCACTTGTGTAAAGCCAGGCTTCTCTGGCGTCACATCTAGCTGCACTGCGGCCCGTACTTCAACTTCCTTTCTCAGCTGCCGATCTGAACATTTGACTAGCATCATTACAATCAAGCCTTGCTCCTCTCCTGCTCCAAGACATCCCCTTCCAAGCGCCGACTCAGCCCCGGCTGAGCGACCGACCCAGTCAACGCCGCCTGTCCGACCTCCTTCAAGAAGCCCAGCGTGCCCGTCGTCTTCTTCCAGTAGCTCACATACGTCGTCTTGACCTCAATGAGAGCCATTCGGGGGTCATTATAACTGCCATCGTGCTTTCCGTCACCCAAGTCTCCGAACCACGCTGATACAGTAGGCGAGTAGATGTCCTTGATCCTTGGGTCGCTGTTGTCGACCGTAGTGGCTTCACCCGTGATGGAAACCCATCCCTTCGACGTGCTGTCACTGAATGTCACCAGAACGGTCTTTTTGGAATCTAGGTCGGAGAATTTGTCGGAGTGCGTGTTGGCGAGGAAGAGAAGATCGGGCCCGGAGCGCTTGGCGAGGGCCATGGCGCGAGAAACGGGGCCGACATTGGGACGCGTGGTGGTGAACATGCAGAGTTTAAGGGAGTCGATCAGGGAGTACAGGTCGGACACCTGCTCAGACATTGGTGTCTCGTTGTCCCATTGCTTCGCGACGGAGGGGTCGGTCTTCGAGGTCACTTCGGATTTGCTAAGTTGTTCAGGCATTTTGAGGGTTGAGCCGGTGGTGAGATGTCGGTTGTGCTTGTTGAAGTTGGTTAAGTGTGTTGGGTCTGACCGGAAGGCAGGTGCTGAAGCGAGTGCTGCTGGTCGTAGTAATGCTCGACTGAGTTGGATAGCCTTCAGAGGTAGTCTGCTTGTTAAGAAGGACATGACAGCGAAAACGCGTTCGTGTATATACTGCGGAAGTCAGTGTGTGAGAATCGGTCACCTACCATGGCGGTGCTGGGCGGGCACGTAACAAATGCAGATCGATGTCATATTGCAAGCATTGCGACACCAGGCGCTCCATGTTCCGGGTGCTTCTTGAGGACACCGGTTGCTGCAGTCACACGTCGCTGTGGAAGAATCTTCTTGTGAATACCGTGTCTGGATGGAACAGCAAATCCGCGATCAAGTGGTGACGAAAGAGCATTTTGGATCCCGCGAGCCTGACGCGCTTGGCAAGCATTTGACGACCATTTGACGACCGAGCATCCGAGAAACACTCCAGATACATCAAAGGTAATGGCAGAACCAAGTTGGAGTGATGGTCGCGCTTCAATGGCGATTCAATCGTGACGCGTGGTGTAGCCGTTGCGATGCTTCGACGTCATTTGCGCCGAGGGAGGCATTTCGAGCAAAGCCGCAAGGAGATCATGCTTGGGCAATGCAAGCAGGCGGGGAAAATGATCCGAGGTTTGGATTATGGCGTTTGGACCTGGGCGCCGTTTGTCGCTTATTAGGCTTGGGAGTTCAGGCACCACCAAACTGGCTGACTCATTCACTTTCCAGCTCGAGAACTTTGCTTGTAAGAGCGTTGTCGTACGAGAAATGTTTTGTTAGGCTCGGGCTAATTGCGTAGGTTGGATTACCCTATCGTTGATGATCCGAGCTTTCGACTCTCTGGCGTTGCGGCATGTGGCTGATGATAGATGATGGACTCGGCTAGCAAGATTGACCGTTGGTTGGACATGGGGAGTCTGCGCAGTCGACAGATGTCGCAAGCCGACTGGGAAAGAGACGAGATGGAGCGCGAGATACATAAAGCAGGTGCTCTCGGGTGAGCTTTGTGGAAGCAGTCATTACAACATATTGCAATCGAACCCCATTCGGACACCACTGAATCTGAAGCCAGCAGCTCTAACTCACACAATCTCGACGAACTCACAAAATTGTACTACCATGTCCACGATGCAAGCATTGCGACAGGATAAGGTGGCAGGACCTCTGCATGTCGAGACTGTCCCCATCCCACAAGTAGAGCCTGGCTCGGCTGTCGTTCAGGTTCTGGACAGCTACATCGTCTCATACACACGCGAGCTGCTCGATGGCACACGCGCAGTGCCGTACGTTGCACCGTCCACCGCCGGCATGAATGCCGTAGGTCGAATTCACGCCTTGGGACCGGACTCTACCGCACTGCAAGTCGGTCAGCTTGTTTTCACCAACGGTGTCTTACGGGGACGCGACGATCCCATCAACTCGATCGCGTTGACCGGCGTTTTCCATGGCCCTGCTGGCGGGCAGAAACTGATGCAGTACTGGCCAGATGGCTCTTTCGCGGAGTATCAAAGAGTACCATTGGAGAACGTTCTGCCTCTGGACGAAGACCGGCTAGTCAAGGAGCTGGGCTACAGCACAGCTGACTTGACCTATATGTCCCAGCTAGGCGTTCCGTTTAGTGGCTTGTCCGACATTGAGCTGAAGGCTGGCGAGACCATTGTGATTTCTCCTGCGACGGGGGGTTTCGGTGGAGCAGCTGTCCGCATCGCTCTGGCGATCGGCGCCAAAGTCATTGCCATGGGACGCAACAAGGACAGGCTAGCAGAGCTGAAAGCGCTGGCCGGCAAACCGTATCCTGCCGACAGGCTAGTCACAGTCCCGATCACAGGCGATCTAGGCCAAGAGATGGGCGCTCTCGCAGAAGCAGCTGGACCAAGTGGTATCGACGCTTATCTTGACATAAGTCCCGCTCAGGGTGCCAATGGATCGTATTTCAAGGCCGCTATCCTCGTATTGAAGCCATATGGGCGCGTCAGTCTGATGGGCGGCCAGGCAGAGGACGTCATACCTTACCAGAAGGTCGCGTTTCATCAACTGCGCCTACGAGGAACCTGGATGTTCACTCCTGACATTCCGCGAAAATTGATCAATCTGATCGAGAAAGGTGTCATGCCACTTGGCAAGAAAGCAGGACTTGCGGCTCCAAAAGAGTTCGCTCTGAAGGACTGGAAAGAAGCTTTGGACCATGCTTTCGGGGACAACCTATCTGTCTTCGTTCCTAGTAAGAAGTGACGGCAGGGTCATGACAGGACTCATAAGCGAACTATGTACAATTCAGAGAAGCATTGATAGATGTGAGTGAAGCACAGGTAGCTAGGAACAACGATGAGATCAACCAGAAATGACATACAGTGGCGGTTGCTCCTGCTGTTCTGGGCTGTGTTACCGCTTGTTCCAGGCTCGCTTGGCAAAATCAATAGGGCTGACCTGTTCCCTCTGGCCTTACCTCATCCTCGTCCTCGAATCACTTCGTGGCCTCTTTGTCTCTTCTACAGCACTGGCATATGCGTGTGGATGTGAATTCTTCTGTTTTAGTCACGTTGCTGTCCTGCGCTACTCTATATACACATCAATTGCCTCTATGTGTCCAGTGACGGAACGTGATCTGGTTCCTTTGACTGGCAGTTTGACGACCGGACGAAGCAGCTAGGGGTT